GGGTGGTCGTAGATCGTCGAGGCTTGGACGAGTCGCTTTTGGTGGGTGCGCTGCAGAAGGAAGTAGTCAAGTCGTGAAAAGGACTTTGGTCGCTTGCGGACGATGTTGGGTCGAGTGAAAGATGGTGTGAGCGGGTGTTTGAATCGTATGCAGTCGGTGTAGGGCGAGTCGAGCTTGCCGATCAGGATCGGCCAGTGATGGCCGTGCCGACCTTGGTTCCGCCGATCGATCGCCGGCAGCGGGCAGTCGTTGAGATCGCCGCCGAGGAGTCGAAGGTGGGTGCTCTGCGTCCTGTGGAAATGTAGTTTGTCAAAGAATGTGAGTCGTTGTTTTGTATCGACTGGTGCGTAAATGTTGTTGATCTCGAGTATCCGGATGTCGCCTCGAAGTCGAAAGGAGGTGACCAGGATTCGTCCGTCGAGTGCCGAGTGGGTGCGCAAAATCTCGGCGTCGATCAGGGGCGAGTCGGCGGGGATCAGAGTCAGACAGTGTTTGCTGATGAAGACCTTGCCCTCGTACTCGTCCTTGATACATTGCCAGAGTTCCGGTTTGATGAAGTGTTCTTGTAGTAGAATGGCGGATGCTTTGAATGTTGATAAATAGGTGTAAATGTTGCGTCGCTTTTCCGGGATCCCCATGCACCTCCTCACGTTCCAGCTGGTGATGGTGTGCTTGATCATTATTGGGTAGACGATGTAGACGTGCTCTTGGCGGTAGTGTCGTCCTCAAAGAGTGGGAATTCGGGGAGAATGTCATCCTCGGGCTCGTGGTCGGACCAGCGCTTCTCCTCCTCCACCCCTTTACCCTTCTCCGCTTTCGCCTTGGCCCCCTCGACCTGCATCGCCGCCGCCGCCGACATCGACCTCGTCACCCTCTTCCCCTGACCCGCTACCTCCTTTCCTGCTCGACCTTTGACCCTGTTCAGAACGCGCTTGATATCGACCGGGTCGTCGCTCGGATCGCTGAGATCGGCCACCGTTTGCGACCTCTTCATCTTATCACGTGACTTTGCGCTTGATGTTGTAGTGCTCTAAGGCAATGCGTTTCCCGCGGTCCCATAGTATATCGGCTAGTACATCCGGTTCTGATCCGGGGGAGGCCGGTTCGACTCCGGCTGGGACCTCGTCTCCTAATCTTTTTTTTTTCTTTATTTTTTTGCAGATCTCAATGCCGTGCCGTTTCTTTTCAACACGGTCGTTCGTCACCTTCTGGCCTACGCTCTTTTATGTTTTTTTGGTCTGTTTAGGCCAACAGCTCCACGTCGGCCACCTTTGCGCAGCGTTTTCCTCGGTGAGTTGCTCGTTCCGACCATCGGTGTAAGGGGATGCCTTACAGAACAGCCCCATAAGTAGCCTCTGAGTAGCCTCTGAGTAGCTAGAACTGTCGAGTTCTAGTTAAGACTTGCTTTTAGCCCAGCGGTCAAGAACGACAGATTGTGTTTTATGCACACCAGTGGGATCCCGTTAAATTAACGGGAAGGTGAAATCCAAATAGCAGGAGAATAGAACAGTCTACATGATTTCAACAGAGGTTAAGAAAACACACTACGAAGTCCAGCAAAGAAACAGCTCTCCATTCATCGCCCAAACAGCCTGCCCGTTGCTTGTTGCCAAAACCGTTGTCGCAGAGTCGGTTCAACTTGGCTTCAAACACTCGTGCAATGAGATCCGGTCGGTTGCATGCTTGGTCGTTCGGCCCCAGTGCAGCCTTGATTTCCGGCCATTCGGGGTTGCACGTCACCGTGATGAACAGCGAAGGCTTTCCATATTTGACGACGCACGTCATCGCATCTTGGTAACGCTGCGTGTTCTCACGCGGTCTATTCTTGAACGTTGAGCCCAAAATCACCGAACATCCAACTTGATCCGAGGTCAAGCTGATGATGCCTTGGCCCGTGGTGAGATGGAGGTTTTCTTGATCCAACTGGAGGTAAGTTGAGTCGATCGGTCTCGACCTGGGAGTATCCGTCATCACGAACACCAGGAAGGCACGTTGGGTGCAATGCGGGATTGAGAAGTACTCGTCGCGTTTGTGCAAGTAGTACGCAAAGAATTGTGAACGCGAGACTCGCCATCTCGACCCCCTTTATTTAAGCTTCGTCCTAGGTGTTCAAACGTTCAATGTCAGTCTGTGCGTGCGCCTTAACAGAATGGAACATCCGAGAAAGAGCCGAACGCGCTTACGTTCACCATCACCATTCTCTTCGTCCCCTTCCTCCTCGTCTTCATCCTCTTCGTCGGCGAGGGGTGACCCAGCTTGGTTGGAACTGCAAAGAGGAATGTTGGGGAGGAAGTCATCTTCTCCTGCAGGGAATAGGAGTGGGTAACGGAGAGGCATCGCAGACGGATGGAGCGAGCTAACAACTTGGTACTTGGGCCGACCGTGGGGACATTGATCACCGTGCGCCTGAAGAATAACGTCTTGCGGTCCACTACCTCACATCTTGGTGTCGGAATCGCAGATAAGCATCGCCATTTCCGTGCTCCACGTAGGAAGGTTGTGGGTACGTCGGTCCCGGCCAGGTGTTAGACAGAGGCGCAGGACCCATTCTTTAGCCGTACCCCAACCTGCGCGGGCTTTGGCCGATGCGAACTCCCTTACAACAAAGCGATGTCCGGTGCCCAACATGGAGTCGAGCTTGGTCAAAGTAGATCTTTGTATGCGACTGTCTGCGCCGTCGGGTCCAAGTTGAGTGTCGATGGCCTCGGCCGGGCAGATGAGCCATGTTTTGGCAAAGTTGGCCGCTGATTGACGGCAGGAATCAGGGCGCCGAGGGTGCGCCGAGTCGATAGTAAATGCGACGAAATACCCGAAACATGCGGGGTCGGGGTCCTTGAGTGCCTGGTCGAGTCTGGTCAAAGTGGGCAGCGAGCGAAGTGAACGACAGCGCGTTGTTGTACGACTGGGCATTCTCGCGGAACGCCAGAGTGCCTTAGCTTCTGTGTAGGTGGGTCGCACAGTTCAGCATGTGGGTCTACTACAGACGAATGTCGTTGGACGGAGCAACTGACCGCTATCCGAGCCTTCAAGTAGCTGTTGAAAGTTGGGATTGGGCCGGAGAGAGGGAGGTAGCTGCACCTTGCCCTGCGAGCAGCGTGCTGAAGTGTCCGGTCGACTTTGTCCTTTCGCACTCCCAGTGTCGAGCCTTGCAGTGGGTACACACGGTCATCTGGGGCCGAGGTAGTCGCGGATGGGGGCTTGAGTGGCTTGAGCTTGATTCGAGGCCTGCGCACTTGCCTCTGCGCAGGAAGAGGTGGTGGTGGGGCGAGCTCAGCGTCGGATCGGCCATCGCGCCATCGCGCTGACCACGCTGTCCGTTCTACAAAGCTGTACGGCGGACGCAGCAATACCAAGATCGGTCGAGTGGTTGTCATCACGCGCGGGAAGCTGATTCTGTTGATCGGAGCGGGACGAAGAGGAGAGTCGAGCAGCGGGACGCCCAGCGGGACGCCCAGCGGGCGCTCGAGCAAGCTCAAGCAGGCCCATGGTCTCCCATACTCGGCGCGGTTGTCACAAAAATTCGATGAGAGTGAGAGGGAAAAGGCGAAAATTAGAGAGAGTAGCGTATTCACAGTTTCTGGAACCTCATGTTGTTGTTGAGCCCCTAACACCGGTGTCGGGATGCCAAAAATACGACACGTGATCGACGGGGCATCGCGCAGCGTAGCCGCGCCCGCGCCCGCGCGTCAACGACAGCGAGACCACGCCTGAGATCTGTAGAAGAAGTGTCATGCAAACCCACGCGCTTGCTATACATTAAATCCTACACAGACTGATCAATAGTTCACCACCATGTCAAAATTCGACAAAAATCGTAGTCGGGCTGTAGGTCGACTTTTATGGTCCAGAAAATGCAGAAAGGGTCGTACATGACTTCTGGTCGAGACGCCGATACCACAGGCAGGTGCGGCAGACTCAATCATGTACAGGTACATTCATCACTTGTGGCCCGGAGGGCCGCAACACAGACAAAAACTGCGATTTTAGGTACATGGGTCGCGGATCGACATTTTTTTTTTTACTAGTTAGAGTAATGAGAGGCGCATACCTTACAATCGGCGTCCGCACACTCACCTGCTCTCGACGTGCGTAGCCGCCCGCGCTTGCTGCAGCCTTTAACGGTTTGCTGACAGGTTGCTTTTGAGTCTTTAGTGTGTGCCGAGCGAACGATCCAAACAAAAATCCCGCACCGGGCTCGCCGTGTCGCGAGAATCTTGACCCAAGCGAGCGATCCTGCTTGCCGATCCAACGCAATCAGCTCGGGTCCAAAAGCAGGAAAAGGAGAAACGGGGTTTGGCCCAAATTATTGTCAATATCTGAGCCACCAGAAAGGAAGAGAGAGAGGAAGGGGAGACTTAGCAGGGCAATCACGAGTTCTTTATACTTTTTTTGTAGAAATATGTATCGTATTGCCCCCAATTCCTGTTCCCCCTTTGGCCTACGGAAAAATTAGATGGAAGTCGACGATGATAACACAAACCGCCCGCCAAAGTGCGAGAAACGGGCGGGTGTCCACCAATCCAATAACGGGATAACAGGGTCCAAGGGCCCCAGCCAAGCGGTTGCTCCCCCCCCAGGAGACGAATGAGAAAGAGAAAGAGAGAGAGAGAAGAAGATAAGGTACTAACGACAAGAGGCCCACCCCGCGCCCACTTCCCAACTCGGTCGAGACAAAGACAGGAGAGCGACTGCGCAGCTACCCTGACCCGCGAAGTCCCAAGTCTATGCTCGGTCACAACAAGACGCGGTGGAGGCCCCTCAAAACCTCCACCTCAGCAGTCCCTGGCCCCTCAAAGCCGACTTTCTGCCTGTGTCTGCTGATCCCTCCCTTAAACTCAGAACCCCGAAGCCAAAACGCGAGCCGGTCCATGAGCAACGGAGGCAGACCTGTAATAAAAGAAAGATGAAGAAATGATATTTAGTATACAGTTTTTGTAAGAGGATGTGTGATGTGGGGTGTGTGAGTGTGGGATGGGGTGGGGGGAAATCGAACCCAGCCTCTACTGCCCTCGCCCGCCTCTTGCTCCTCCCGCCCTCAACTTCATCCTCTCCTCCAGTACCACCCTCCTCCTCTGCAAGCTTTCCATCCTCGTCCCGAGCTTCTGCATCCTCCATCTCCCACTGCTGATCATCTCCAAAACCATCCCCGTGAAGATCTCGATCGTCCTGCCCGCGCCTTCCTGTTCGCTGAGCTTGGCCTTGAGCTTGGGGAGGCCAAAGAGTCGTTGCAGTGTCGTGTATTCGGCGTCCTCGATCGTGTCATCCGAGCGCGTCGCAGAGCACGCCCCTTGCCGCGGTCCAGACGCTTCGCGAGTCGACGCAGCCGAAGAAGTAGTGATCGGTGTTGTCCACCGGCGCTTCGCAGACGAGGCACGCAGGAGAAGTGTCGTGCTTTTGATCGTGCTGGAGCTTGCGCGTCGGGGTGAAGCGGAGAATCAGCTTGAACTAAACTTCCCTCTCCCTCGCTGTCAGTGCCTTCGAGTTGACCGCTTTCCAGAAGCTCCTGAGATCGTCTGGCTGCGGTGGTCCCTTGAGCCCAAGCGTGTTGGTAAAACCTTTTTTTTTTTTTTTGTAGAATTTTTTATTTTATTTTACTGGGGCTCATAAATTGCAATCCTTCGGGTTGGCTGGGACCGCTACAAAAAGAGCTAAAAGAGGTTATAAAACAACGACGGCAAGCAATTGGGTGAAAGTCAAACCCCTGCGCGCAAAGAGCGCTGCGCAGATCAAAACCCGCCGAGCACCTAACGCGGACTCCAACGGGCGGTGAGTACTGCTGCCGCTTCACGTCCCAAGAGCGGGAGCGAAGATACTCGAAAACCAGGCAAGAGCGCCTAGAGAAAGAAAAGGGGAGAATATACAAAAATTCACGACTGGAAACACGGAGAACCAGGAATACTAAGACAGAGAGGAGGGGAGGAGGAGGGGAACACACCCGAGGGGCCAAGGGAGGGGGTCGAAGCCAGAGCTAGAGGTCCCCAGGGACTGACAGGCCGCAGCCAAGCCCCAGCTACTCGTCACCCCGACAGCGCCTGATGTCCTCCCTTGGCTGAGTCTCGAGTGCTGGCTGTTGAGCCGTCGGGGCCGAGCGAAAACGATCCAATACAACGAAACAAGCCTCGCCTTGACGCGAGGATATTGACCAAAAAAACGAGCGACCTTTCTTCCCGATCCATGCCGTAGATCTTGACCAACGCCAACGAACGATGTATTCGACGGAATCCAACACACGGCTTAGGAATAAAAGGAGAAGTGGCTGAAGCGTAGTCAACAACCGAGCAACAGGAACGAGAAGAGGAAGGGAAGGGAGAAAGGGGAAAGAGAGGGGAGAACTTCACAAAGCCTCCAACGCAACGACGATCGACCGGCTTGCCGATCCATCCAAGAACGAAAACCGCTACTGCACAAAGTAGAGAGAGGGAGAGGTGCGCAGCCTTCCACTGCGCAACAAGTTTCAAGACAGTCAGCTTCTGACCGGAAAGGAAGGGAGGAAAATGGGAAGGAAGGACTTAACTCGGTCATCACACCTCCCAATCTCGAACCCCAGAAAAGTCACGTGATTTGTTGGTAATTGTGTATTGTGCAACCCGGGACAAACCGCCGTCATCTTATCCGGTCCCATCGTATATCGGCTAGTACACTCGGTTTTGATTGCTTCAGGACGTCCGAGAAAGGCCGGTTCGATTCCGGCTGGGACCTTTTCTTTTTCCTGCCAGCCCCGCTTTTTTCCTGTCCCCTGTCTATGACATCGAGTCCTCGCAGCTCTGACTATGAATGATGGCCAGGAGGTGTGCAGCTCTACTCGCCCGTTTTTCCTTTTCTCTTTCTTTTTTTGCACCCGCGCGGAAGTCGAGAGCGAGGCGCCGGCGCTGGGCATTGGATCGCCGAAGTCGACGTCCCCGAGACCGAGTGGCAGCGGCGAGTGCGTCATCACTCGCTTCCTTCCTCCACTCACCGACGTCCCCTGTATCAAGGCTTCGAGACCCGCAGGTCACTCGAACCCGCTCTTCTCATCCAGAACCCCTCTCAAAGCACCCACTAAGCTCGCATGGCGGTCGTCCCCGATGTTGAGTACCCGGCGACGGTGTTTGATCCGGCGACCACGCTTCGTAAGGGGTTATGCACCGTCTGCACCACGTCGTCGCGCGATCCAGCTCGTCACAAGCTCTACTATGGTAGGTGGACTGGTATCTGGGTCTCCTGGCGGGTGCGTGGATCGATCTCATTTGCTAATATCACTTGATCCTCGATTGACCCCACTTTCACGCGCTACCGCGGGTCTCATAGAAATCCATGGCGACCCTTCCCCCGAATCGAAACGTCTTGTCTTTATCATGGGTCTCAACAACTCTTCATTTGCATGGCAAGCTCAGGTCGATTTCTTTGGTCGCGCCAAAGGCGTTCAGGCGAGTTCTGCCCTGGGCTTCCCCCCTCGGACTTTATCGAGCTCTTCGTTTCTCCGAGTCCACACAGGTCCTCGTCTTTGATAACCGCGGCGTCGGGTCTTCGGACGCCCCGCGAGGCCTGTACAAGACGTCGGAAATGGCCCAGGACACGCTCGAGCTGCTCGAGTATCTCGAATGGACCGAGGAGAAATCGCTCAATGTTGTAGGTGTGTCGATGGGCGGCATGACGGCGTTGGAATTGGTCAGTTGTAGGGTTGGATTCGGAGTGCCTACGTCGATGCTAACCGTACGTTTAAGACATCGATTCAGGCCACGCTCATCCCCAAACGCATCAACTCGCTCATCCTGACCTCGACCAAGTCTGGCACGGCCTTTGACCTGCCCAAGCTGCCCGTTGTCAGCATGTTTGCGCGGCTTTCGTTTGGTCTCTTCAAAGACGTGTCGCAAGCCGTTGATCTGGTGTGTTCGGTCCTCTTTCCTGAAGAGTACCTTGACTCGATCGACGAAAAGACAGGCAAGACGCGGCGCGAGATCCACTCCAAGAATTTCATCCAGCGGATCGCCATAACGAAGCGGCAGACGGTCGCGGGGCGGATTGGGCAGATGATGGCCGTCTTCAACCACCACGTGTCGGAGGAGCGACTAGACACGATTGGTAAGACCATCGACAAGGTTTACATCATCCACGGTGATCGGGACATGTTGGTCGATTTTCAGAGGGGCAAGGATCTGCACGCCACAATCCCGGGCTCTCGTTTCAAGGAGGTCAAGGGCGGGGGACACGCCCTCCCATCGCAAATCGTCGACGAATACAATGCGTGGATTGAATCGATCATTTCAGAGCCGTGATTTTGGACTCTTGTAATTGAATTGGGCCTTGCTCTGATGCGATCCGAGTTGGCGAGGGTTGGCATGCAGCTAGGTCAAAGGCACAAGATCGCTCTCGAGCCTCACTGATTCCGTGACCCAACTGAAATGATCAAACGGTGTAATTCGCGAAATGAAAGGACGAAGGTCAAGAGATGCGGCGGCGCCGCGGGCGAGATCAAGCTTGAGGCCGCTGGTGTTGGCTCGAGGTCGTCGTGAGGCGTAAGCGGAGCGGCGCCCTACACTCGGTGGCTGCGAGCAGCAAGTACAGAAAATGGCATGGTTGGCGATTGTATACGAGCCCTCTCTTGGTCATTACAACGCACCATTTACTTTTTTCCTCCTTCATTTCTAGCTTCCTTTTTTAACTACTCCCGACTCTTTATTTTTATCTCACCACTCTTGGTGTGGAGCTATAAGGGGATGGGGAAGTCACCGCGCCGTACCGACCGGTGTCCACGCTGCGCAATTTAACAAAACTCTGGAGCGGGGCTCGGGACAGTCCAGCGTCTATTTCCTCTCACTCTGTGACAAAGGCACCAAAACACTTGACTTGAGTGTTCAAGTTTGCACGATCTGTCGATGCCCGATCGCGGGAATATGCGCGGCAGGTGTCCTGTGGCGGTACACATCGGTGTAAGGCGTCGCTCCGCCTACGTCTCACGACGACCTCGAGCCAACCTCAGCGGCCTCACGCTTGCCCACGCGCGCGGCGCCACCGCGTCTCTTGACCTTGGTCCTTTTGATAGTCTTTCTTCGCCTGCGAATTACAATGTTTGATCCTTTCAGTTTGGACTCGGAATCAGTGAGGCTCGAGAGCGATCTCGTGCCTTTCGATCGGCCAGCCAAAAGAAAGCCAGTACCGGCTTTTCTCGATGTCGATGTCTGCAAACAGTTTTCCTCCGTGGCACCTCCACTTCCGACCAACAGGAGCAAACACCAAAGGATTAGCCCATTGGATTAGTGGAGATTGTATACAAATAATGATAATGCAACAAAAAAACGCCCTAAGCGGCATCGCTAGTGCGGCACCGACGGACAATGATCGACGCTCTCAAACAGCAAAAAGATGCCGAAACCCGGGCTCGAACCAGGGACCCTACGCTGTATAAACCTGATTACTTCAGGCGTATGCTCTCCCAACTGAGCTATTTCGGCTCCAAAGAACATGGAAAGATCATGCATCACGTACGATACGATGCAAGCCGAGAATTCCGCAGGGGTCAGCCAACCCAAAGGATTGCAATTTATGAGCCCCAGTAAACTGGGTATTGCTTCACGGAAAAAAAAAAAAAAAATCACTTCACTTCACTTCACTTCACTTCACTCCACTTCACTTCACTTCACTTTACTTCACTTCACTACACTTCACTTCACTTCACTATCGCCCTACTGCAGCCTTCGATACTCGAGTTAACAAGTGATACACCGACAAGATGTCTACCGGAGACCCTGGGTCCCCACTGCCGGCACCGCCACCACCGGTATCCGCCACCAGCGTCCAGCCCCCCCGCGACCGGATCCCGATAAGCTCGAAGAAGACGCAAGTCACGGGCCCCGCCACCGCCGCACCCAACTATGCTGCCGCTGCGAGTCAGATGGCGGCTCAAACACCTGAACAACAGCAACAACAACAACAGCGTGCCAAGGCTCTGGGCAGCCTCCTACAAGCCATGGGTGCTGTACCCGGAAACCGCATGGATCGCTGGGTCCAGGCCATCTACTTCGCCGAACTCTACCCCGTCGCCACCGCCACATCGCTGAAATTTTCGGCCTTGAACGCGAACCGGTCCGTCGAGAACATCTTCGATTACGCCCTTGAAGTGACTCTGTCTCACCAGAGCGCCTCGCGAGCGACTCATGCCGACAAGATCGATCTCGTGGCCTGCGTCACGAGGCTGCTATCGCCCATCTCTCCTATCTGCTTTGAGCCTGGAGTTCCTCTGCCGGACCATCTTGCGGCTTATCAACCACAGATCTTAGGCGTACAACATTCATCAATCCTGCGTAATGGGGCGGCTCACCATCGCGTTACGGTTGGGTTCGTCACCGGCGAGGCACGTGACGCGGCGCTCACGACGCCCCCCGCTCTCACTTGGCGATCGGCGAAGGCCCGCTTCGCGAAGTCTCACAGGTTCCACCATAACATGGTCGAGCTTCGAATCAACGTCGGTGTTCAAGGAGTGCCCTCCATGGATGCCATCATCAAATCGTTCCAATCACTTGTGCAAGACCTGTCAGCCAAGGGACATTCATGCCAACTTGTGCAGGTTCTGCGCGTTATCAGCGTGGACAACGCCTCGGCCTTCGCCCACGTTGCCGGAGACTACTCGGCTTTCCTACACTTCGATGACGACTCCCTATTCCAACGCCCCAACACGACCTTGAAGGAGATTCTACCTTCGAGGATCGACCTTCCCACTCGAGGCATCCCGGTTACCGCCCTTCGCCATGACTATGAGAAGGAGGCGGCTTGCGGTAGGTGCCACTTTGTGGGTCACGTGGGAACCTGCGGACTGGATCAGGAGAGGAAGCGGAAGGAGGCTCACAACGGCATTATCAACAGCAACAAAAACACCATCACCCACAACACCAACATCGCGGAGGCCGAGGCCCCCATTCCTGTGCTGGTTGTTAACAGGATCGCATCACAGAATCACTTCGCCGGGCTCGAGGTCGAGGAGGGACAGGAGGAAGAGGTAACTGGCCAGGGCGAACAGGGACCGGAGGAATCGGGGGAGGAAGACGCTGGTGATAAGGCGGATGACGAGGACTCGGAGGACTCGGAGATGGAATCGGAGGCGGCCGCGAAAACGGAGGTCATCAAAATTGAAAGCGAGGACGAGTCGGTCTTGGAGGACTGCAGCGGATCCGATGGAGAGGTGATTGATGAGAATGAGGTGATGGCGGATGAAAGAGGTGAAACGGAAGGAGAGGTGGCTACGGAGATGGAGGAAGAGGAGGTGGCGACGGAGGTGGGCGATGTGGACGAAGCGAGGGGATCGACGAAAGCGGAGAATGCGGAAGCGACGGACTTAGGGGAAACGAACAGGCTGGACAATGACGACGACAGCGACGCCACAGCAACCGCCGCCACCGCTTCCCGCGAATCGACGCCGCATGAACCAACCCCACCTCTGTCACCCGAAACTCTCGCCAAGTCGCTACGCGAGGGGGAGGAGTGGGACAGGATCAGAGCTAACTGGGTTGAGCAGGCACGACTTGAGCGGGACCAAAGCATCGAGAGGAGGCTCAACGCTGAAACCCCTCTGGTGCGTCACAACTTTGCCACGTGGGACGAGGACGGTGAGATACGCTCCATCAACATCAGGGGGACCGCTGCGAAGTTCAAGAAGCAGGTGATGAAGAGGTCGCAGACTGCGGCGGACCTCAGTGACCCAAGTGACGAACCGACCGACGCCAAGCGAGTCATCATCAAAGGGAAGAGCCGCGTCGTGGTGAAGGATGGAATAGAGGGGCGGAGGGTGACGAGGTCGATGTCGGCGGCAGCGGCGATGCAGGTCGAGGTGACGAAGGTGGACAGAGGGAAAGGAAGAGGGGTAGCTGAGGAAAAACGATGGTCCGACCACGAGCCCGAGGACGATGTCCTGCCCGCCCTTCCCCTCTTTGAGGACGTCACCACCGCCAAGAGCGCCTCGACCTCGACTACCCATTAATGATCAAGCACACCATCATCACCTGGAACGTAAGAAGGGGCATGGGGGTCCCGGAAAAACGACGTAATATCTACACCTACCTTTCCACATTCAAAGCTTCCGCGATTCTCTTACAAGAGCATTTCATCAGACCACAATTCTGGCAGCTCATCAAGGACGAGTACGAGGGCAAGCTCTTCATCAACCAGCACTGCCTGACCCTGATCCCGGCCGACTCGCCCCTGATCGACGCCGAGCTCTTGCGCACCCACTCGGCACTCGACGGCCGGCTCCTCGTCACCTCCTTTCGTCTGCGGGGCGACATCAAAATTCTAGAAATCAATAACCTCTACGCGCCCGTTGACCCAAAACAACGAGCAAAATTCTTCGACAAACTGATCCTCCACAAAACACAGAAATCCCACCTCCGACTCCTTGGCGGCGATCTCAACGACTGCCCGCGCCCAGAAGTCGATCGGCGGAACCAAAGTCGGCGCGGCCACCACTGGCCGATTCTGATGGGCAAGCTCGACTCGGCCTACACGGACTGCATCCGCTACAAGCACCCCATCACCCCATCTTTCACTCGACCTAATCCCAATCGCAAGCGACCCAACTCCTTCTCCCGGCTTGACTACTTTCTCCTACAAAGAGCTCACCAAAAAAGGCTCGACCAGGCCTCGACGATCTACGACTATCCCAAGGATCTTTCCGATCACCGACCGGTCTTGATCGTACTGGCTCTCTCAGACGATCTTGATGCGGCTCTCCCACAGCTCAGCCTACCTACCACATCCAACCAACTACATCGAATCAATACCACAACCTTCAAGACGGTGGAATTTCAGCGGATGATGGAAGGATGGTTGGAAGGGGCAAGCGGGGAGGATCCGGTGCGAGAGCTTGAGGAGGTTCTGGAGGCGTGCAGGGACAGGGGTGGGGAGATGGCGAGGAGGCTGCATCGGGAGCGGACGGAACGGATGGAGTATTTGGTGGGGAGGGTGCAGGATCTGGAGGCGTTACCGGTATGGGGGGAGGCGGAAACGGCAGAATGGACAAGGACGTCCGAGGAACTCAAGCGGGCGGTCGAGGAGCGCGCGCGCCTACTCCGGATCCGAGCCCACGTCCCCGAGATCGCTTCCGAGGAACGACTGTCGCGGCCGGTCCACGCCAAGCTCGCGGCGCGGAACTCGGACTCCAAGATCACAGCACTGCGCTTGGGCAACGGAGAGCTAACGCATGACATTGATGTCGCTCTTGACCACACGCAGGCGCATTTCCAGCGCCTCTACCACATCGAGCCTCGTGATCCGGAACGCGTCGACCGACTTCGGGACGAACTCCTCGTGCCGATCAGGGCGGCACGGACTTGCGACGACCCGCGCTCAGATCCGCTCTTTCTGCGCCGACTCTCGGAAGCGCAGATTGATCTCCTCCAGCAACCCATCACCGAGGACGAGGTCGTGGCCGCGATCGGGACGACGCACCCGGGGCGATCGCCGGGCCCGTCGGGCGTGCCTTACGAACTCTATCAGACCGCACCGGAGGCGTGGTCCAAGGTGCTGACCAAGGCCTACAACGCGATGATCGAGCGCGGTTCACTCTCTCCCAAGCAGGGCCAGGGACTCGTGCGCCTCATCTTCAAGCGCCACAAGAAGAATGCCGATCGCGCCGAACTCTCGTCGTATCGCCCCATCACCCTGCGCGAGTGCGATTACAAGATTTTTACCAAGGTCTACGTCGCCCGATTGAACCAAATTCTGCCCGATCTCCTCCCGCCGCAGCAGCACGGCTTCGTCAAGGACCGCCGATCGGCCGACGCTGCACTACACCTTCGTCTCCTGATCGAGGAACTTGGCGCGCGCAGGACCGAGTTCCCCGCGGCCGCGCTCTTGTCTCTTGACCAATCATCCGCCTACGACCTCGTCGAGCATGACTGGATCTTTGCCATTTTCGACGCTCTGGGCGTTCCTACCACCTTTCTTCGCGTGCTGAGGATGCTCTACTCGGGTGACTCGACCTCGGCGCGCTACATCATCAATGGGTTCCTGACGGCGCCGGTGCGACTGACGTGTGGGCTCGGCCAAGGGGACCCGGCGTCATCGTCGGTCTGGGACATCGTGTTTCAGCCGTTCCTGGATGCTCTACACCGTCGAAACATCGCGCTGAATCTCTCCATACCTGCACTTCATCCGTACCCACAGAGCCGCGCCATTACATCACTTGCATTTGCCGATGACGTTGTCGTCGCCGTCGCGGGCTTGGAGTCACTCAACTTGCTCGATGACCTGGCGCTCGACTGGAGGCATGCAACGAATGGCCGGCTCAACACGGACAAGACGGTCGTCCTACCGATTGGACGTCGCTGGGACCCTGGGGAACGGCCAATCGTCGTCAAGGCCGCAGGCGAGTCGCTCGAGTGGATCGGCCTCCCCTTCGACCCCAGCGGCGACACCGAACTCGCCTACGCGAATCTCATCGAACGGCTCGAGGCGACGCTGGAAGCGGTTCAGCATCGCTGGCTCACGCACCACACCCGTGCCTTTTACGTCAATCGGTACGCCATTCCCAAGATCCTGCATTTCCTTGCAGCCGACATCCCGCCGCCCGAAGTCGTCAAGAAGCTCGATGACATGCTCGTCGATTTCGTCCGTGGGGGCAAGGGCAGGACCAGCTACGGCAGAGACATTGTGTTCACCGCCAAGAACAAGGGGGGACTCGGGGTGATAAGGATGCGGGACGTTGTGGACGCGGTTGCGGCACGGCTCTGGGACGTTCTTCTCGGCGGTTCCGGCGCGATTTGGCAAGGACTTGCGCGCGCAGCACTCCAGCGAGCTCAGCCCGACCTCGACCTGGCCACCGATCTCTGGCCACATCCATCCACTCCCATCCCCAACGACCTTCATCCCCGATGGCACGCCGCACTGGGCGTTCCGAAACTTCACGACGTGCAGGTCAACCCGAGGGCCTTGACCACCGCGAACCTGCTCGCGCTGCCCACCCTGCTCGGCAGCCTCCACACCCCCATCAGAGGGAGACAGACCATCGACGCGGTTCATGTACCTGACTACCTTCGTCTCCAGGGCTACCCGAAGGTGGTGGATCTCTATCGGCGCGAGTTGTATGCGGGTGGGGGGTTTCACCTCTGGACGCCGCCGGCGGATGTGCTCGGCGACAACAGCGAGTACGATCGACGCGGGCTCCCGCAGCGACTGGCAATCGCGGCCTGGTACCGGTTCACTGTCGATCGACACAAGAACACCCCCTTGGCGGCGGCGGTGGCGGCGGGACGACTCAACGTGCCTCCCCGGATCGGCACCAGCGCACCACTCGAGGCGATCATCCCCAAGCCCGTGGCCCGCTTCGCAATGGAGCAGCGCCTTCCGGACCCGGTGCTTCCACAACAGGCGAGCCAGTATACGCTGCTGAACATGGCTCGCCCCTACACAGTCCGTCGCATCCGCCGGGTCCTGAACGCGAAGGCATTTACCAACATGCTCGGGCTCAAGGGACCACCGCAGCCGGACGACCTCAGGAGCTTCTGGAAGGCAGTCAACTCGAAGGCACTGACAGCGAGGGAGAGGGAAGTTTGGTTCAAGCTGATCCTCCGCTTCACCCCGACGCGCAAGCTCCAGCACGAGCAAAAGCATGTCACTTCTCCCGCGTGCCTCGTGTGCGAAGCGCCGGTGGACGACACCGATCACTACTTCTTCGGCTGCGTCGACTCGCGGAACATCTGGACCGCGGCAAGGGGCGTGCTCTGCGACGCGCTCGGATGCGACACGATCGAGGACGCCGAGTACACGACACTACAACGACTCTTTGGCCTCCCCAAGCTCAAGGCCAAGCTCAGCGAACAGGAAGGCGCAGGCAGGACGATCGAGATCTTCACGGGGATGGTCTTGGAGATGATCAGCAGTGGGAGATGGAGGATGCAGAAGCACGGGACGAGGATGGAAAGCCTGGAGCGGAGGAGGGTGGTACTGGAGGAGAGGATGAAGTTGAGGGCGGGGGGAGCAAGGGGCGGGCGAGGGCAGTAGAGGCTGGGTTCGATTTCCCCCCACCCCATCCCACACTCACACACCCCACATCACACATCCTCTTACAAAAACTGTATACTAAATATATTTTCTTCATCTTTCTTTCTTTTATTACAGGTCTGCCTCCGTTGCTCATGGACCGGCTCGCGATTTGGGATTGACTCGACGGTGGCTCGCGCTCTTTGGCTTCGGGGTTCTGAGTCAAGGGAGGGATCAGCAGACACAGGCAGAAAGTCGGCTTTGAGGGGCCAGGGACTGCTGAGGTGGAGGTTTTGAGGGGCCTCCACCGCGTCTTGTTGTGACCGAGCATAGACTTGGGGACTTCGCGGGTCAGGGTAGCTGCGCAGTCGCTCTCCTGTCTTTGTCTCGACCGAGTTGGGAAGTGGGTGCGGGGTGGGCCTCTTGTCGTTAGTACGCCAGTTCTTTTTCATTTTCTCTCTTTCTCTTCTCTCTCTCATTCGTCTCCTGGGGGGGAGCAACCGCTTGGCTGGGGCACTTGAATCCGAAGTATCGGATTGGTGGACTTGGCCCGTTTCTCGCATCTTGCGGGCGGTTTGTGTTATCATCGTCGACTTCCATCTAGTTTTTCCGTAGGCCAATCAGGGGGAACAGGAATTGGGGGCAATATGATGAACGGTTTCTACAAAAAAAAGGGGTTTCTACAAAAAAAAACAAAAAAAACGGCTCATCGTCGATCCTCGGCTGCCACGGCAAACTATCGGAACTTTCTGCGCACTCTCAGCTTCTTTCTCTCCTGGTCTGCAGCACGCTTCTTTCTCTCCTCTGGCCTGCATCACCCGCACGCGTATACCCGCGTGGTGGTGAACGACATCTCGACACATTGGTTATGGCCGTCGATCCTAGACCTCGACTACACGGCACCTCTAATCGAGGTGAAGGCCTCCCTCGTCTGCGCACCCGCCCTTCGACGTCGTAAAGAAACTCATGCGCTGGCGCTCGACACTCTTAGAAATCGACGCTGGAATCTCCATCGCCATGCCAGAGTGATGCCGAGCTAGGGCAAGGAGTTGACGGGACTGAAGGAGATGTTGGACCTCATGTCGTAACGATGGAGTAGACGGCGCTCCTTTCCCTCCCCAAGCAAACCAAAAAATACATGTCCCCTTCTTCTCCTCCCGCATCTCTCCGTTGTCCTCTAAAAACGCCATATTTACCTGAACTTATTATCTCTCGCTCTATTTGCCGCTCCTCCTCACAGGCTTCCTTAAGTTGGACCCGCCGCCGGGGGCCGAGCAGGTCTGTGCGGCGCACGCGAGCGCACGCGAGCGCAAGAATGCCTAAATAGAATTTGATAGGCGTGGTCCCGCGAGCCCGAGCTTAGGTCTTTTCCTCACGTTTGGCTCTGCATCGGACCAGTCCATTGTTCAACTCCGAACTCTTCAGGCGCTCGGGTTGTTTGCGCCCGCGGGCTTCGTCGCCCTCGGTTCGAGCTTCGGCCACATGGCGACGACACAGCGAAAGCGGATCCCCTCGGCCCTCTCCTGGACTCCGCCGTGTGGTTTCCACTCCTCTTAAGGAACCCAAAAGAAACCTAGTCTTTCCGTAGGACAAACAGGGGAAACAGGAATTGGGAGCAATATGATGAACAGTCTACATGACAAACCCTCTGCAGCCCAGATAAACCTGAGCAAAAATGTATTTTGCATGCAGGCACAGTGACCTGCTCATCACCCATCGGCGGCTCGTCGCTGCTTTCTGCCCTCCTTCAACTCTTTTTGTAGCGTCCCAGTCATCTAGGAAAGTTGGAATCTACGAGCCTCGGTGTAAATATGTTTCGCGGTGAATGGCGTTCAAACACGCCTGCTCGGACCAAGTGAACCCGGTCGCAGAGTTCTCCCGTTCTGTAGCGCCTAGGCCGCCAACCTCGTGCGCTGGCAAGGGGATGCTAGTGCTGAATAGCCGGGTGAACTTTGGCTAAACAAGTCGTCAGCCCTTGCCCTTGTTTTGTAGAAGACTCTGCAAAGTGGAAGCTGGCCGTATGCTAGGTCAGGGGTAAGCATTTTTGACTAGGTCAGGGGTCAGTTTTTTGACTTCGCGCTTCGACTCGGCCGTGCCGCCCGCGGTCGCGGGTCCAGCTGGCGGCGTCACTTCGCGCTCCCTCCCTCCGTGCCCTCCACCCTTCATCCATCTCGTTGAACCTCGGACTTGCCTCCCCGTCCCCACACCGCTCTTGACCATGTCGGCCCCCGACCGATCGTCTCGTCGCGACTCCGAGACGTCGGGTGCCGCCTCTACAACCCCCACAGCCACTTGCACACTCCCCGCGTCGCAAGGTTCGCCCCACCCAACCACGACCAGCACCACACCCCCCTCCGCCATGTCCACTCTCTCGTCATCTCACGGTTGAGAGACCGTCTCGTGCAGTCGAACCTGCAGTTTGACCCACAGGAAGTCAGCGCCGATGGCCTGAACTGTCAATATATTGCTGTTTCATCCCACTGGTATTCCCGATTATGATTAGTTACTAGTTGTTGATATTAGTCGCCCCGCGCGTCTCGAGCCTGCCTCGCACGCGCTCCCTTAGCGCTTATCTTCTTTCTCCAACTATCTTTACTATCTTCATCGGCTCTCGTACTTACGCACTTCGTGCCTCGGCCTCAGTTCCTGAAAGGTTATGAGCCCACCTAGCCTATCAGCGGCGGGCGACCTCGACGTCCACGGTGACATGGCATCAACGCCTCCACCACCGTCATCAACGTCGTACCATACCAACGACGTCGCCTCCACTACCTCCGTCACGCTCACTAAAGAGCAATTCGACGAGCTGATCAGGAACCAGCGCCCCGCACGGGACGACGACGCATTATCCATGCGTCAGCGCCTACCCCCAGCCAACCCTCCGGTCTTCCCCGACGACTCGAAACTTACGGAGGACAATTACGTTGACTGGGTCCCCACGATGCCGCCATGCCCGCCCTCTTGGGCTGGATTCAACGCTCGGACGAATCGAGCGACGGTCCCCGTTGCGAAGGCGGTCGTACCGACCAAACGCTCTGCACCAGGCAAGAAGGGAAAATGGGATCGTTCTGGTCCTGCCCCGAGCAACTGCCCAGCTTGTGGTCAAGGCAAACACTGGCTCGACAAGTGTCCGGAATCGCGCAAGCGAGCCAAGTACCTCGAGCTCAAAAACGCCATGAAGGAACTCCAAGGCTCATCATCGCCTGCGTCCACGTTCGTGGCCACCGAGGCAGCATCCAAGGATCAACACCTGTCCGTCGTTTCTTCTGCTACGTTTGTCAACATCGGGCCACCGGCGGAAATCCTTCTGCTAGACTCGGCGTCGGCGTGCCACGTCGTCAACGATGCGTCCTTCTTTGACGGCCCCCTTTCACCTACCCCGCAAGTCCTGCAAGGTCTAGGGGGAACGGTGAAGGCCTCGGGAATCGGCTCGGTCAAGCTCGTCTCCGATAATGGTACCAGGTTCACCCTCAACGACGTGATCTACGCCCCCGAGAGCCCTGCCAACCTCATCTCAGTCCGGGCCTTCGACCGCAAAGGCGTTCGCATCACCTTCGAACACGGACAAGTCGAGCTCCGCACGCCGCAAGGGTGCATCGCCACAGCATCAGCCATCGCGTCCTGCGTTTACAAACTCAACGCTTCGGTCCAAGCTGCCAGCAAAGATGCGCGACACACGCTCGTTGCCACCAAGTCCAATAGGCTACCTTTACTTACCCTTCACCGGCGCTACGGCCACGCCTCTGTCCAGACACTTAAAAAACTGGCGGCCTCTGGCCAGGTGGAGGGTTTAGATTGGCCCTATAGTGACTTCGAGTGTGATGGCTTCACCTGCAACGCGTGCCTTGCCTCCAAAGCGCATCGTTTGCCTTTCCCCTCTTCGTCGTCGCATGCCGCGGAACCACTCGCATTGGTGCACTCGGACGTCTTATCTTTCCCCGAGGAATCCTTAGGCCATAAGCGATACCTCGTCACGTTCATCGACGACTTCTCGAGGAAGACTTGGGTTTACCCCATCGGGCACAAGAGCGAGGTCCTTCAGACATTCAAGGATTGGCTTCTGGAGATCGAAAACGCCACGGGTCGCAGGGTCAAAACACTTCGCTCGGACAACGGGGGCGAGTATGTCTCTACCGCTTTCAACGGCTATTGCGTGGCCCGCGGAATTCATCGCGAATTGACCATACCGTACACACCCGAGCAAAACGGTCGGGCTGAGCGAGCCAACCGGTCGATCGTCGAGGGCACCCTGGCTCTACTGTCTCACTCGGGACTCCCACGATCGTGCTGGGACGAGGCTGCCATGTGTTACATTCACGCCAAGAACCTCTCGCCTCACGCGGCCCTTGGTGGAGCCATCCCAAACAGTCGTTGGTCGGGCCACACACCAAGCGTAGGGGGTCTTCGGGCATTCGGTTGTCGCGCTTGGACCACCGTGCCGGCTCACCGACGGGACAAGCTCGACCCAAAAGGGATTCCTCTGGTCTTCGTCGGGTACGATCGACACGCGAAAGCCTACCGCCTTCTTGATCCTTCCTCCATGCGTGTGAGTCTGGGCCGCAATGTGACGTTCGTAGAAACCGAGTTCCCCTTCGCTATCGCGCCCACCCGAGTGACGCAGCCGTCCATCCCGGGTTACGCCCCCAGCCCCCACCCGTCGAAGCTCCAACACCCGTCGAGCCTCCCCCACGGCCACCGGCCCCAACGCCTGTCGAGGCACCCGCGTCGCCCGCATCGACCAGCTCGGCCGACAACGACGACGCCTCATCGACCACGAGCGCAACGACGGAGTCAGCCGTGAACCTGCCGCAACCACCTCCGGATCCAGCTCCACTCGCCAAAGTCAAGCCGAGTTGGGAGTACGGCGACGTCGCCAAGGTTGGTCCCGATCCAGGGAAGTACGGTGAAGTCGACGCTCGAAACATCATTGATGGCCCCCGGACTCGCCGCCAACCCGTTCCCACCATGATCACGCGGGAACAGCCAGTCGACGGCACCGACGGACCCACCGCCTCTTTCAAGAGCCTGCTCCTTGCCTTCGCATCCACCAAGGCCGGCTTCGCAGATCATGACTTGTCGGTTGTTCGCGATCCGGCAAATTGGGGCGACGTCATCCGATCGGGACAAGAGGACGTTTGGGGCGCTCCGGCACAGGATGAATTCGATTCGCTTCTGAACGATTACGAGGTCTTTCAAATCGTCGAATCCTGTGAGCTCCCAGCGGGTGAGATCCTCCTGCGGTCGGGCTGGGTGTTCCGGACTAAACGCAACCAGCATGGCGACATCACCGATCACAAGGCCCGACTTGTTGCTCACGGATGTGCCCAACGCCCTGGCCTTGACTTCGAGAAGACCTACGCCCCTGTCGTCAAATTCACGTCCATTCGAGCCCTCATCGCACTCGCCGCGGCCAACGGCTATCACGTCCATCAGGCCGACGTCAACAAGGCGTATTTACACGGCAAACTTGACAAGCCTCTCTACATGCGCGTCCCTCAGGGCATAAACCTGCCAGGCAAGATCCTCAAGCTGTCCAAATCCATCTACGGCCTTCGCCAGGCCGGCACCATCTGGAACGCTGAGATCGACTCGACTCTGCGGTCCCTCGGATACGTCCCCACCAGGTCTGACATCTGTATCTACCGCCGCGAACACGACGGGCACTCACACTATATTGCCTTGTACGTCGACGACTTGCTTTTGGTTGGTCCCTCTACCGCCGAAATCGAGCGGGTGCTGGACGCGCTGGAACTCGCATACGGCATCAAACATCTCGGACCTGCCGAATATATTCTAGGCATCCAAGTCAAATGTGGACAAGACGGCTCTATCATGCTCTCACAAGAGCGCTACCTTCGGGACATCCTTGCCAGGTTCCAATTCACCGATGCCAAGCCGGCAAGTATTCCAATGCAGCCAGGTGTCGTCCTTGACTTCGAGGACTTGGCGGCCACTCCTCAGGATCGTACGCGCTACTTGCAGGCCATCGGTTCGTTGATGTACGCCGCAGTTGGAACTCGTCCGGACCTCGCCTTCGTGGTCAGCTACCTCGCTCGCTTCTCCCAGCAGCCTGGCCCGGAGCATTGGACAGCCATCAAGCAGGTCCTCCGTTACATCAAAGGCACGCTGGACTTGGGCCTCACCTATCGCAAGACCAGCCAACCACTCCATGGCTACTCGGATGCGAACTGGGGAGCCTGTCTAACGACCTCACGATCGACCATGGGCTACGCGTTCATCTTGTCCGGAGCCGCTATTGCTTGGTGCTCCAAACGCGAGCACAGGGTGGCCAAGTCCACTACCGACGCAGAGTACCTCTCTCTTTCGTACACAAGCGGTGATGCCATCCACCTGAGCGAACTCCTGGCTGAACTTGGCGCTCCGGTCTCCGGTCCAGTCGTACTCTACGGGGACAACCAAGGTTCGCTGGCTCTTGCGCAGCACCCGACCAACCATCAGGGGTCTCGTCATGTTCGCATCTCGGAACATTACGTCCGCGAGAGGGTAGCTGAGAAGGAGATCGAGGTCCGCTACATCGCCACCGGCGACATGATTGCCGATATTTTCACCAAAGCCTTGGGTCCCAAGCCGTTCATCTTCCATCGGGAGAATTTGGGTTTGCGAGGTGCAGTGGTATGACAGCACGGGGGGGTGTCAATATATTGCTGTTTCATCCCACTGGTATTCCCGATTATGATTAGTTACTAGTTGTTGATATTAGTCGCCCCGCGCGTCTCGAGCCTGCCTCGCACGCGCTCCCTTAGCGCTTATCTTCTTTCTCCAACTATCTTTACTATCTTCATCGGCTCTCGTACTTACGCACTTCGTGCCTCGGCCTCAGTTCCTGAAATGAACTTCCTCTTTGAGACGGTCGGTGGTGACCTGGGCGCTCCTGAGTCCTTCGCATTCGCGTCGTACGAGAGAGCGACCACGCGTCATTACCTCCTCTCGGACCAAGAGTTGGCGAGGGTTTTGGCACTGGTGGAATCCACGAGCACGGATCCAAACCCGCCAGAGGACGAGCACGTCACCTACGTCCGCAGCTGGGCGCTCCAGGTCGAGGAGCTTGCCCTACTCGTCGAGGCGTGGGTCCAAGCCGGGATCGCTGTCCCGGAGAGCTGGTCGTGGCTCGTCGATGCCTTCGCCCATGAAGATCCGAACAAAGTCATCTACGTACGTTACGTTGGTTCGACCTGTGGCCAGACCGCATACAATCGGTTTATCGAGGACCGTCATCAGCGCAAGACCGGCATCATGGGCGAGTTTCTGGGCACGCTGCTCGAGGTCGCTCCCCGAGCCTACGAGCACGGAAAGACGTTCGAGGTGCGTTCGGAGATGGTGTCGATTTTTTTGGTTAGAGTTTCTTGACCTGAGCGAATGATTGTACACGTTATGCCACAGATCCGAAATGCTCGTCTGCCGTCGTCGGCGTCGTCGGCGGCCCGCGACTTGAGGGAGCAAGTCATCATCGCCTTCTTCGGGCGTCACAATCTCTTGAACGTGCAAGCCGGAGGAATTTATGCATCCTACGCGCCCGATCCCTCCGACATCAAATTTCTCAAGAGCCCTACCTCGCGTTTCTTCCAGAACTTTGCCCAATGGTCCAAACCCGTCCCTCGAGCAATGATTGAACAGCTCAAGCACTGGAAGGACTACGTCGCCGACCTCATCGCCAGCAATCCGCAGTCAACGCGCTCGGCCGTGCTTCCGCTGCCCACCAAGACGCTCGACACGATGTTCGGGCAAGCCGTTCCTAGCCAAATCGGGGGTCTCGTGCCCATGGTCCATGTCGGCCTCGACATCACCCTTGAAAGTTACCTCGATGGAACGGCGTACCTGCAAGGCAAGTGCCGCACAGGGCACATCACCGTCCGCTTCGCCGAGCGACACGCGGGATACGAGCTCGGCCGAGAGGACGTTGAGCTCGACAAATCCGTTATGCCCTTCGTCAACCTGTTCCCGTGGCCATGCAAGGTCGACATTGATCTGGGGTTGGCGCAGCTCACGAATTATCTTGTCGTCGTCCTCCCCATTCTCGTCGTCACGTCTTCGCACTTGGCGTTCTCCTGCGCCATGGCCAACTGGCTGCACCCACTCGGAATCCGTACGGACGCCGAATTCTTCTCGCACGTGGGCAAGGTGCACCGTCGATATCTCCTTGACAATGACTACCTTGAGGACGAAACCCAACTCGAGCCACCCGGCGATCGAGAGGTCCTCGTCATCGGCCACATTGATCCAGGATTCGACAAGTATGGCGCTCAGCCGCAAGAGCTTCGACGAGTCTTTGATATATGCCACGCCATCACGTGGTTCGTCGCCGGTGTTGTCGTGGAAAAGTCCCATCTACTCGCCCAGGGTCGTCCCGACGGCCGAGCCGATCGCGCAGCCGTCATCGACGAGGTCATGAAAACCCTCGACTCGTCCTCCCGCTTCAGCGACCTCGAGCAGAAACGTGACGAGTGGGTTGCCGAATATCAACTGTGGGCGGTCGAGCATCGCGCGCAGTATCGTCCTCGCATGGGAACGGCGGTCGCGAGCAGGGTGCGCAAAGCCGGTGCGCGGCGACGCGTATCGAACGTCGAGCTCGCATGGGGCGATGTCGGCAGTGCGGAGCGTCGGCGCCAGCTCGTCCGCGTCTGGAAGCTGCAGAACCCGGAATATTTTCTGTGCTTGGAGCGGCCGATCACTTGGGAAAAGTGGGAGCAGTGGGGCGGGGGCGTCGCCAAAGGTAATTCGTATTTCGCGACCGCGCTCGCGCAGGCTGGTCGACAGCGCCTGGTCGCCCAAGGACAGCATCCTTTGCGCAGCGTCTTGCTCGGTGAGTTGCTCGTCCTCAGGCTGGCCCTCGGCGTCCGCACATTCACCTACTGCCAACCTGCGTAGACGCCCTCGCTGGCTTTCAACCTCCAACGGTTCGCTGACAGGTAGCTTTCGACTTCTTGGTGTGTGCTGTAGCGTTCACCCCCGACGATGCCATCGATGAGTCCTGGATGGCCGATTCCGTCGCCGTGCAACGAGCCTTGTCCGCGTGGTCCCGCAACGCACTCGCCCACCTTCCGACCGATCATTGGTCCAGCAAGAAGCAACGCGCACGCACGCTCAAAAAGGGAACCATCTTCTTGGACCGGCTGGAGGGCGAGGTGGCAGAGTTCAACTTTTCGAACCGAAAGTGCGAAATCTTGCTTCGCCGCCACGACGCCGAGGTCGACGACGACTTTACCTTCCGTCTTCGGGTTTCGCCGAGCTTCGCCCCCCGCGCCCAAGGCGAGCGCCGCATCTTGCACTTCCTTCCCGGAGGCGTCGGACTCGAGGACGAGAACGGGAATTTTCTACAACGTGATGGTTTCACCCCCGAAGAAGGCATCTTTCGTGCTCGAGACGCGGTGCTGGGGCATCGTGGGGACGTCTTTGCTCGCATCTTCGCTGCCGAACGGGCGGCTCTGGCCCCTGCCGCGCCTGCCCGCACGGCCACCGCCACCTCGACGAGTACGAACACGCTCGCTGCTACAACCACGGGGACGCAACTCCTGATGCCCCCGACGGGAGAGCCGCCGGTCACGTCGACCACCCGTAAACAGAAGCGCACCGAGGCGAGGGAACAGGACATCTCTCCCGGAGACGGGGTCTGGCTGCTGAAACAATGGGTCGACTGGAGGTGTGGGTTCGAGAAGCCAATCACATTCAACACGCTCGATCCCAGCGACGCCCGCCTCTCCGCCGACCTGCGCGAGAGCTCGATCGCAACGAGCTTTGTTCGCTTTCTGCACCAGGAGCCGTACGCCCGCCACCCATGGAAGCAGAGGTGGCTCGATTGGTGCAACGATATCAAGCTAAAGGGCAAGAATATTGTGGCCAACCTCGAACGTTTTCGCGTGATCCAGTGCCGCACCGGACGGGTCAACTTTGGCGCAGGGGGAATGATAGACTACCGCATCATCACTATCTTCCCGCAACAAGTCGGCGCCAGCGCTCGCTCCGCTGCGTCCCCCACTCCCCCTTCCTCATTGGTATCCGGTCCTGGGTCCCTCGTCCCCGCCACCACCTCTCGTCCTTCGCCAGCTACTCTTGCTCCCGCATCTCGGAGCGATTCCGCCGTCGCAGGACCGGGACCTTCGACGGAGCCCTCACGTCGTGCTCGAGTCGCGGGCAATGTCGCACCAACGAAACGTCCTCGATCGCCCTCGCCATTCGAGGAGTCGTCGCCGTAGGCATCGAGTATCGACCTTGTTCACTGACGAGTTTTATTCTACGCTGAACCGAGCCGTCTGGGGTTTGGTGGGATGTGTATATATATAGTCAAACCGCGTTTCTTTTTGTTTGGCCGGGCTCATACATTGCAATTCTGCCGCCTATTTTTCCTCTGTTTTACCGGGGCTCATGGAGGGGATGATGTCTGGTGTGGTAACATAATACATAGATACAATTACAACCCCAAACAATACAGGGGGGGCGGCTCATCATCGTGCACTCTGGGTAGCATCTCCTTTAGTTCCGTGGGGGTCTCCTCGTCTTGCAAATTAGCGATGAGTTTCATACAAAAAAAAAGCGGCTCCTTCTCTCTCTTTCTCTGTCTCATTCGTCTCCTGAGGGGGTGGGGGTGGGAGCAACCACTTGGCAGGGGCACTTGAGTTCCAAGTATGTATATCGGATTGGTGGACACCGGCCCGTTTCTCGCCTCTTGCGGGCGGTTTGTGTTATCATCGTCGACTTCCATCTAGTTTTTCCGTCAAATAGGGGGAACATGAACTAGGGGCAATATGATGAACAGGTTCTACAAAAAAAGGCGGCTCCTTCCCCCCTCAAAATTGGACAGTGGTTTAGTACGCCCTGTTGGTTTTCCTCTGGGGGCACAGAGCACAGAGGGCTGCGGATTCGAATGCCGCATGTATATAGGGGCGCTCCCTGCTGAACAATGAAAGGTACGCTGTCTCGGACAGCGGAGCCTCACTGGTGACCGAAGATGACAGGTGCAAGTTATATGGATTACAACTAGCTTCTGGTGTCAGCTCGATGAAGATACGATAGTGCTGAGATAGGGAACACCAGTACTCACCTAGCTTCTGGTGTCAGCTCGATGAAGAGAGAGCTGAAGAAGCTAGGCGCGCGCAAGCTCTATTTCTAATGCCTGTGGCCCGTCGTAAGGCCTTGCCTTACAAATAAACACCAATACAATCCCACAACTCCCTCAAGCAAATCCTCCAATCCTCAATCAATTCAATACTCTTCAAGATCCCCAATTACAATTTTCGTTGCACTCCCTCGGAGTGGCCCATTTGAATCCCCCGTGGCCTCAAGACAGACCAGTACACAGGTACTGGAGTCAACAGCTGAGCTGATAGGATGCACAACTTTTTTTTTTCACATTCACCGTGGGTCGCTTCGGTGCGCAGGCTCTGGCCCCGGACGCCGAGAGCAGCGCGAGTCATGACTGGTTTGAACGAGCAAGTGCGATTCTTATTACAAGAGGGTCAACGAGCACGGCCTGTAAACCTCTCCGTCCCGATTGCGCACGACCACCATGCGGCGACGTCGACCCGAGGTGCTGGGAAAGTAGGGCAAAGCAATCAGTTCCTCGAGGACATTCTCACGTACCTGTTTTAAGCGCCAAACTCACTTGGCATCCCTCTTGATCAGGTCAAGGTACAGAAACAGGGGCACAACGGCGATGGCGTGGCCTCGCCCTCGAGCGAGCGAGAACCCACCCGAGGTGATGCGGCCCATCACGTCCGCCTTGCTCGGGACCTCGCACAACTGCACCCAAGAGAACTGTTGGATTAGTGCAGGCAACAAGGCGCCTCTCCAACCGGTTGACGCACGAGTGCCGCGTCCTCCTCCTCCTCCTTGTCTTCGCCGTCATCACTCTCATCACCACCACCGGAGGCCTGCTTCCGCTCGAGCCCGTTAGCGACCTTGTCCCGACGTTCTTGGTCCAGCGAATAGACGAGCCCCAGTTCTTCCGGGGCTCCTCGACCGAGAGGGGTGACGCGACACTGCACGAGCGCTGTTTCGAGCAGCAGCTCCGCCTCCTTGGTCGCACTCGCCGAGTCGTACTCTTTGACGAGCCGCTTGACGTATTCGTCGACGAGGGCTGAAGCGCCCGTGGGCTTGGTCGTAGTCACGCTCGATGGTTCTTTTCCTTTCCCTTTCGCCTGCTTGGTAGTCGTCTTAGTTCTGCCCTCGGTTCGTTCGCGCTCCATCAAGACATGCTCGACCCCGCGTGCGATCGCCGCTTCGACCAACCACAGCGACTTCTTCTGGCTCCGCCCCGGACGCGCTCCCGCCGCGACCCGCTGTCCCTTCCACCGCCGCTCCACGATCTGGCCCACTTCGGCCCGCCAAGGTGCCTCGGTCCCCAATTTGGCCCAGCTCGGCCGCTTCGCCGGCGGTCGTCGATCCCAATGCCCCTTGTCCTCGACCTCGCGCGCGAGTTCGTACTCGTCGAACGCGCGCGTCCCGACGAAATCCTGCGGCCATGTCGCGAGCCCGGCTTCGAACGACTGCTGTCGCACCTGTTGCAACCCTCCGACGCGCGATTGAGCGTGGACCAACGAGGTCCAAAACGCCATTCCCCACCCCGCGGGCACGATCAGCGTCCAGCCGTACATCGCTTCGGGCGCGTTCGGCGCCGCCGCGAGCGAACATTGCACCAGGAGCACGGGGATGCGATCGTCTTGCGCTTGTGCAGTCAAGGATGTGCCGGGGACGAGCAGCTCGGCGCGTCGTTGGTCGAGGTCGTGCTTGGTGTAGTGCGGCTTCCTCAACGCCGCCCTCACCCTGGGTGACCAAAAATCGTGGACATGAGCGAGTTCCGTCCCCGGCTGCAGCAGCGTCGTGGCTTTCGCATTCTTTGGCTTGGAAGGGTTGGTGGACGCCTTGGCCAACTTGGGGGGGAAGCTGAAAGCCCGTGGTAGGGAAGGGGATCGTTAATCAGCTTACCTCCTCGCGGGGGCTCACCCGCGGGCCATTGTCGCTCACCTCAACCTCGGGTCGTAGACGCTCAACCCCAACACCATCGACGTCGGCACCCCCGCCGGTCCGGCCTTGTCATCAAGGCGCTTCCAAGCGTCGAGCTTGCTGTGCGCATTCGCGAGCGTCGGCTTTAGACACGCTTTGATGATCTCGGTCGAGCGGTGGCCTGTCAGTTCGAACGTCAACAGCTCTTGCTCGAGCGGTCTCGCGGCGATGCCCGCTAGCGTGACCGGGTCCTGCTCGAGGTGCGTATGAATGACGTCCAGGACAGCCTTGTTGAAAGTGGGGTGGAGGCGTACGAGCAATCGTCGCAACGGCGGGCCCGGACTCGGCGCCTTCGAGGTGCTGGCGCTGGGAGAGGCCATCGCGGTCGCGTCCGGAGGAGCCACATCCCAGATGAAGCACGCAGGTCCGATCAAGACCGGTGGTGGGGCCAACGAGTCTGGATGAGGTCGCGGGGGGTAGACGTTGGCACGGCATTCGCGAATTCCAGAGGTGAACCTGCAAGAGACCCCCGACTGACGAGTCAGCAACGGCAGGCAGGGGCCATCACGCGGCACAAGCCCGTTCGTGCGCTCTCACCGTTTCGAAGCCGGACCCGCCGGGGTCAAGGGGCACAGCAACCTCACGAGGTGCTCGAGTTGATCCTGCGGCCCCGTGAGTTCGATGTACTGCAGGTAGCTGGCGTCGTGGACGAGCGCGCCGTGGACACTGGCGCGGTACGACGGTCGGAAAGCCTTTTCCGTCGGTCGAATCGCCTGTCGATCAGGTGTCTGGTGAGCGCTGGCCGTACATCACGTACTTTAAAGATACTCCTCTCACCAATCTATGGCCCCATCGTGTCGTCATGTGGGTCCTCTTGGCGTGCCAGACATGGGTCTCGAGCCACAACTTGCCGCGCTGACGCTTGAGCAATGCGGCCGCCTTGGACCGCCCTCGCAGTCGCCGCCTCGGACCAAGCATCTTGCGTGTCACTTTCTTCGGTTTGGCCGCATCCTTGGGGACCTGTGATTTGGAGTGGCCTTTTGGTCAGCTCCTGGGATACGTGCCCGGCATCAGGTCGTCGCTGGTAGCGAGTCCGTACCTCGGCCAGCGCGCGCTTCCTCAGTCGGGTCGGTAGTCGACGAATGTTGTGACTGGCGGCCCGTCGTCTCAGGTGTCGAGGTAGTGACTGGAACGCTCGTTGCGTATTCGCTTCCCTGTGCGATGCCAGGCGTGCGCGTCAGTCTAGTTCGAGAGCGACCACTCGGACGAAGAAACTTGTCCGCGAGTGGACCGACTTTGCCGACTTGATGGCCCTTCGCATGGCTTCAATCTCGAACGAGCGGGCCTAGAGTAGAACAGAACGTCCGAGTCAGCAAGGCAAACCCATCGCGGAGGATATGTGCGAGGAGGCGGCTGCTGACCTGAGCGAACTTGTCGACGTCGATCGTAGGGGGGAGCTGGTCATTGCCTGAGTGGACGGTCCAGTATATTAGCGACGGTGCTTGCAACGCGAGCAAGTCCCACCGACTGACCGCGTGCTGCTGATCCACCTGCTCTCGGTGCGGCCGTCGTTCGGGCTGGGCGTGGTGGTGGTCGAACCGTAGGGGCAGCAGCAGCAGCCGACGCCCCCGAGCGTGAAGCGGAAGTGGACGTGGGTGCTCGCTGTAGTTGTACATTGATGGTGCGCTGCTGCTGCAGACGTTGTCGCTTGTAGTCACGCCTGGGTGCTACCGAGTCCGAAGAAGGATCGTTGGGGCGCTTGGGTGCCATGACCGCGACATGGAAGCGCCAAGGGGCAGTCGTACGCTCACGTGGGCAATGAGGAGCAGCCTGTGAGAGGAAGCAGTGAGAAAGGCCGAGGAAGAGTGAGGAAAGAGAGCTAGAGCGAGCGGCGAGGAGCGACCAAACTGGCGATTCGCCTCTGGTGCTTGAGCTACTCTTGAGCTCATAGCCTCCTCTACTTGCACACACCGGCGACGGGTCACGGCACTCGTCCAGCATGGCAACACGGCGCCTCTCTTGCCGACTTTCCCTCTTGGCCTGCTCGACGCTGCACCACCAGCCAACACGAGCACGAACCCCCGCGCTCGCTCTCGCGCTCGCCGACGCCGTACGCTGCTATGCGACCCAAGCACCGCAACAGACCGTCATCCTTCCGGACGACCCAACAGCCTCCACGCCATCCTCTACAGCGGACCTCACCACCCCAGCCCCAGCCCCAGCCCCAGCCCCAGCATCCCCCCCGGCCAGCTCGAGCTCGACCAGTCGACTGCCCCCGCTCGCACCTGAACCCGTACCAAAGATCGCACCTTCCCCACTCTTGACCAGAGTACAGCGACCGATCGGTGCTTTCAGAGGAGGGTCAGTTCGGCGAAGAAGACACGCGTACTCTCTACAGGCATAACTGAACCCACCTCCCACCCCCCGCACAGCCTGATCGGATTCTTGCTCGGGATGACCACCGTCGGCATTTGGGGCTACACCCACCTCTTGCAAGACTACATGACCGCTTCGAAAGCGTTGCTCGACTCCGTGCAAGAGTTGCACCTCTCGACAGAAAAGGTACGCTTTCACTTGTTCGAGGAGACCGACAGAACCCGCAACCGGAAAACCTGACGTCCAACGCACCTCCCCACACACACATACGTCCGTCCACAGATGACGAGCCACATCGAACGGATCGAAGCGGTCGAGAAAACCGTCAACGAATTGAGCAAATCGTCCAGTACGAACGACCAAATCGATACACTCAGGAAGGAGTATCGCAAATTGCTCGTAAGTAGATCATCTACTGGCTTTTGGCCGCTTGCTCGCAGAAACGCAGAAACTGATCGCTGGCTGTCTCGATGATCAACGATCACAGGAAGCCGAACATTTGGAGGTGCTCGCGCTCAAATCGCACGTTTGGGGAATGCAAGTTCGGCTCCAGCTCATTCACGAAATGCTCCGGGGCCACGAGCTGACTAGCCCGATCCTTGCCCGACGCTTGCCCACAGAGAACAAGATTTGCAAGCCCTGTCAAGAGGCGCCGCAACGACCGTTCGAATTTAAAAGATAGAAAATGTACACCCTCTTTGTAGAATATAGAACACCGCACAAAATACGCCAGCTGCACGCACTTGGCCAAGAGCGTGTGTGTTGCCGTACTGCATCATCAGGCGAGCGAAGCCCTTCTCCAGATAGTCCGTCACGACGTCTGGTCGTTTCAAGTCTTCTCTGTTTCTTCTCAACCAAAACGGACAAGAAGAAGGCGGGGGGAAAGTTGTATCGGTACAAATCAGAAATATGGGGGGAGATCCACAAAGGAGGGAGAAGATAATGCGTTCGATGGTCTATACGTTGACGACTTGGCCGTTGTTGAGCATGATCGGAACCTTGGCCTTGACCGCCTCGTCCGCGCTTTGGGCGTAATCAAGTCTTGTTGCCTGTAGTCACAAAGAAAGCCCAGGCAAATGATGAGCAGACGCAATCTCATGTCGTGGGACCTGTTTACGAGTCCAGACTGACCGGGGTAAACGGTACGACGTGGAAGAGCGCGCTGACACTCTCGCCGTAGTGGGACCTCCTCACCGCCTCGGCCAGGACGTGACTGACGTCGATCTCGCGCAACCTCGCACACCCTTCGCGGTGCGCCCGTTGCGGGATCGAGTTGGTCACGATCAGCTTCTCGATCTGGCTCTCCCCGAGCACCTTCAACGCCGGACCGGACAGGATTCCGTGCGTGACCAAAGCGAGCACGGTCTTGGCCCCACCCGAGAGCAAATGCTTGGCCGCGAGCGCGAGCGTACCGCACGTGTCGGCCATGTCGTCGATCAGAATCGCGGTCTTACCCTCGACGTTGCCGACGAGCACCATGCGCGCGATTTCGTTCGCCTTTTTGCGCTCCTTGTGGAACAGCGCAAAGTCGAGGTCGAGCGCGGCGGCCATGGACGACGCGCGCTTGGCGCCACCGGCGTCGGGGGAGACGATCACGGCGTTGCGGATCTCTTGGCCCATTGTCTCGCGGAGGTATTGCAACATCGTCGGTTCGGCGTAGAGCTGCGGAAGTGGGGAAGGGGGTGGGCAGGGTTCAGTTCAGGATTGGCGGGGGACGGCTTTTTCATTTTCGCCGAGGTCTCGACTGGCAAGCTCACACTGCACAGGGGAAGAGGAGGGCGGAACGTCAGTCACTCGAATATAGCCTTGAGTCATTGTGAGATCGGAGCGTACTCACTTGTCGACGGGAATGTCAAAGAAGCCCTGGATCTGACTGGCGTGCAGGTCCATCGTCTGCTCGAGAAAGTGCCGAGGGAACCACGGTATCGCAGAACGAGTCGTCAGAATGTTTTGACAGACGAGAGAAGGTGGTACCACCACTCACGATGACGTGATCGATACCGGCTCCACGCACGAGCATGTTGGCGACGAGCTTGGCCGTGATCGGAGCGCGGGACTTGTCCTTTTTGTCCTGGCGAGCGTAAGGGAAATGAGGACTATCTGGGCGGAAAGCGAACACCAGAAAAGGGCCACGAAGCAATGATGAGCACCAAATATATGTGACGATCGGGGACTCGACCGGGGATTTCCGTGAGCACGTGGTGTATCCCCTAGCCCCGACGAACGAGAGCCGAATCTCTCCGGAGCGGGGGGTTTAGCGGGTCAAACTCACACAACGGCGGTGATCCTTCGCGCCGAGGCTATCCGAAGGGTGTGGGCCATGATGCAGAGTCTATCAGAGTACAAGAAAACGATAAGTTCGCGCTCATCGTGATGTCGGAAGATGTCCGCGTCGCCGAGGGGGAAGACGACGACGACGACGACGACGACGACGATGACCGCGAACGAGGGTGGGGGACTGACTCCATCAAGGCGCCATTGGTGCCGGTCTCATCGGAGGAAGCGGTGGCGACGATGTAGACGTCGGCTTCACGAACGGACTCGTGGAAGGTGACGCTGTGTCGCGAAGCGCCATGCCGACGGTTCAGGAGAGACCATCACGTGCAAAGTCGCGGCGGGTGCGAGACAGGGAGGAGTGCCAAAGTCAGCGAGCAGTACAGGACGAACGTGGTCCGAGTTTGGCGCGAGATGAGCTCTCACTTACGAAAGCTCTCCCGAGGGCAAGGTGACGATGCTCGAGTTGCCGAGCGGCAGTCCAAGGCGACGGCAGATGAGTTGCGCCAGTTCCGGGTGCGACGTGCCTGTGCGAGCGTCCGTTCGCGGCGGTCAGCAGCGCGTTTCTCCTTCTCCTTGTCGGCCCGCGGGAAGCAAGGTGAGGGGTTGGCACTTGCCCGAAAAGATCTTGAGCGCACTGTTGGAGCTGGCCATGGCTGTGGGGGGAGCGTTGCGTTGCGGGAGCGAGTGGATGAGCGATGAGAGATGAGAGATGAGATAAAAGGGGGCCGTCCCGGGTCTATGAGCGCGACGACCCTCCAGTCGGGCACAGCGCCTCCGGAAACCCATGACTTCGGGTAACCTCTCCCACGAAATGGTGGCAAGATACGGTGCAGTCCCCAAGATTTGTTTAGAAATTATCGACATTTTTCGCTCTCACCCTGCCGGAGCTCCCGGAACTATTTGATTGACCCGGCCGAGCGAAAACCGGATCAAATGCCCAAGTCTGCAGGCGGACCTGAGCCAGCGCCCTCCCAAGACCTGTGTTTGTAATGATCATTGTCGCAAAGCACACGTAACAGCAGCCCAGTGGCCCGTCCCAAGGCAATAATGCCGCCCTCCGAGACCACGGAAATGTCGACCGCGAGTTAGTTCCACTGCGCGCTTTCCAGCTGCGCCGCTCCCCCACTTGTACCCCACTTGAACAACCCGCCCGCTATTATCCGGGAAAACCTTCCTTCCTTGCCCGCAGACACTGCAATGCCGACCCTCTTGTGCACCGGTTGCTCGTCCGGTCTCGGTCTTCAAGCTCTTCGACACTTGTACAGCCATGTCCCTTCTTCTACCTCTCCTGCGGCCCCAAGCTGGCGACTCATCATCGGGGCTCGCGACGTCGCGGCGACCCAAGCCAGGTTGGCAACCATCGTGCCTGCTCAGATTCCGAAGCCCCACGTCCTACACCTCGATCTCGAGTCGTTCGAGAGTGTGAGAACCTTCAGTGATCAAGTCAGGCTGCTTGTAGAGGGGAGTGGAGCGGAATCTACTCCAGAAGCTTCACGAGCACGGACCGACGCGCCGGATTGGCACGAAGGGGGCATCCAGTGCATCCTTCTCAATGCCGGCGTCTACACCGCCAAGTTTGAGCCACTCCAAGGTGGATGGTGCAAAGAAGCGATCGTCAATACATTCGGTCAATCGCGAAACGGCTCTGCTGACCAGGCGTAGCTCATCATGCTAACCCCTGTCGATCTTTCACCAACTTGTAACTCGCCCCTAGCTCAGCACATGCTACTGCATCTCGTCTCCCCACTCCTCAAACCCACCACATCCGTTCCCCACCCTCGCATCATCGTCACCTCCTCGGGCCTCCACACCAAGATTCTCGCCTCTTCCGTCGCGTCCCTCCCCACGATCCTCAAGTCCCCCTCGACACTCTCGATGGAACGTTACCGATCGACCAAGTTCACCCAAATGGCGAACGCGCATTACTGGAAATCGACGCTCAAGACCCACGACGTCGACGTCGTCGCCATCTCACCTGGGTTCGTCCCCACTTCGGGCTTGAACAGGGAAAGTTCGGCGTGGACGAGGTTCTTTCTGAGATGGGTTTTGTGGTGGTTTCCCTTCGTCAGTACGGATGAACAAGGCAAGTCCGCAGACCCATGCGTGCAAGCTCAAAAGGATCAGAGCTCACCGACGTACGCTCTTTCCCCAGGTGGCAAATGTATCAGCTCGGCGATCCCCTCTCTTCTCACTGCCGAGGCCGACCAAGCAGTCGAGGATCCACCCCTTTCGAAATGGCTGCAAGAAACCAGATCCAACGACGGGGTCCTCTACATCGATGTCCACGGGAAGCATATAAACCCTCATCCGGCCATGCTGGAGCAAGGTCGCGCCCTCTGGCACGAATGGTCCCCTTCGATCGAGACGATGCGAGCGTGGTGAAGAGTGTCCGTTTGTATGCAATGCAAGGAAATACAACAATCAAATCATGTAAAACCCACAAAACGAGAGAGGGAGGGAAGAGAATATGAAAAGTACAAGTGTCTGTGCTCCGAAAGAATGCCAAGCCAAGCTCATGCCACTGCGCCAGACTCGACGGCCCGGCTCGCCTCGGCCAAAGCGAGCGCCTGCTCCGCCGGAAGGCTACTGTTCTCAAACAACGGCCCACTGCAATCGATCAGCCCACCGCAACACAGGTTCGGGTCGTACGCGATATTCTTGATTTTCGCCGTCCCAAGTCCCTTCGCATTCGCGTTTGTGCTCGCATTCCCCTCCAGTCCGCCACAGACTGAGAGCAAATAGTGGCGGCTCCCGTTTTCGCCCTCGTGCTCGTTCTGAGACCCCGCCTTTTTCACCTCGATCGTCGAATCTTCGGCGTGAGGTGGTTGACAGCAATCCGCATCGGCCGAGGGACCACACAATTCTCGCGCCGTAAGATCGGCCGAAGGGGCCGGCACCGAAGGGGCGCAGCACGAGCTCGATGTGGTCGAGCACGACCGTGCCGAGGCCTGCTTGCTCCACTCGACGAGGACCGACGCGGCCGAATTGGTCTTGGAATCCGCTGGAGCGGCGCCCGTGGTCGCGGAGGGAGCAGAGCCGTGGATCGGATACGTCGGAGACATGGGCGAGTCGGCGTTTGACTCCATCGTTGTCGTCGTCGACGACGGCTTCCTGCGCTTTGAGGGAAGCGGAGACATCGCAGGTCGCTCGGGCAGCTGGGGAGAGTCACCGACAGCTTCGGAAGGATCCTGCTGCGGAGGTAGGGTCGAGTACGAAGGGTGGGACCAGGGAGGTGGCGGCGGGGTGGCGGCGGCAGGAGGGCGCGGGGTGTAGATTTGCTGCGTGGGTCGCCAAACGTAGGTCGTGGTAGTACCAAGGCCCCAGGGCTTGTCCCGCGATCCCTGGTTCTGATCCTGTGACATAGATCGGCTTTGCTCATCTTCAAGCGGCAGATGCCCGGGAGCAAGCGATGATCGCGACGGCCCTTCCTTGTACCTGTCCTCGTGCAAGATCGAGGCTGGGGACAGGTCCTTGCTACTGCTCTTGGTTCGCTTGACCCCCCTGCGCGGCCCGGGGCCCGCGGACGTCAAAGTGGCGGCGGATTCGGTCGTAGCCGAACGAGCCGAAGTCGAAGCATCCGCAGCGGTGGCGTCCTGACTGGTCGAAGTCGAGGCGACGGGGCAGTTCGTTTCGCCCTTGTAGTATGCCAGCTCGCGCTTCAACTCGGTATTCTCTTGCTGCAACGTCCGGACCTGGTCCTCGAGTGTCGACAGTTGCTCCGCTCGTCGGGCCCGAAAGGCGCGTTGCACGTCGCGAGCGCGCTGCGTCGACGGCGAACGAGACGAGCCGAGCCAAGGTCAAGGGGCCCACACAGAGTCAGAAGCCATAATTCAGTACGATGCTGCATCCACAGGAAACTCGTAACGCACAGACGGTTGCAAGCTGTCGTCTTGCTTCCTCCCGCGTTTGGCGTTCATGACCTTGGCTCCTCCAGTCGTACCGACGCCCCGACCAGACGTGCTTTGGTCCGATCCTGCAACGGCACCGTCAGGGCTCATGTTGGCCCCGAGCTCAGTCCAGGAGCAGAGCGATGCAACTCGAGCGTAGCGGCCGAGGGTGGGGTTAGATGGAGAGGGGACGCCCCGTAGGTACCCACCGCTGCGCTCGCTGCGGTGCGGAAGATGGGCGTCGAGACTCGAAGTCCGAGTGGAGGGAGGGCCGAGGCGAATTTGCGGAGATTTGCGGGACCAGCACCGCGCTCCCAACAAGTTTATTTGCTGCTTGGAGGTGATGGTGATGATGGTAACAAGAGCGACGTCGGACATTGAACCGAAAGGAAAAGGCTAAGCGAGCTGTGATGCACGGTGCGAGTCTCTGGCGAACACTGTCAAGAAACTGTCGGCATGTCAGGGCATGTCTCGGCATGTCGTGTCTCAACCCGAGAGCACAAGTCCCGTCGTTTCGACTGGAGCGCTTATTCCCTCGGCGCTTAGTATTTCAATCCGTGGCACTGTGCATGCACATTGCGATACGTGCACCCGAACATACAAAAAACAATGGAAACACTATGCAAACGAGAAAAGCGTTAACGAGGGACGCGCAATGATGTATGTCAGATATGACCAGGCACTGTCTGATCATAGACGAGTTGGCTGCCGCGTAGCGCCGCTACAGAGCTCGAGGTTATGGGAACCAATCTGAAACAACAGAAAAGCAAAACAAAAAACAAAAAGTGTCGACTGCCTCTGGGAGATGACCTGTAAACCATGTGTAGCTGGGGGTTGATGCGGAAACTGAACTATGCTACCTCGTGCAACAGAATTAGGCTGCATGCGCACTCGTTTGTGATGACGGCCGGGTACCGTGGGCGTTCTTCAGTCCGAAGGTGAAATCGACCTCGAACGTTGCGCCGAGGTGATAAAACGGTGGAGGCTAGTGTGGAGAGTGAATACAAGGATCGAGTTGTCAGCTCCTTGTTGAGACTGCCTATCGATCGGTCGATCAAGGGCTGAAGCAAAGTTTCACGACGTACGATCAGATTGGAAGCGGTCAGGACCAAGTGCCGTGGGCGCTGTTCAACATTGCAGTGAGAGGTGAAAGGTGGGATGGAGTAAGATGGTGGAGGCCGGCGATGACAGATGGAAGGTGAGATGGGAGAACACGATACAAGACGGGTCGAAGGTGCACGGGATCGAGAACTCAGCATTACAGTTTGCGACACGAACCCGCTTTGGACGATGGGAAGGATTGAAATCCATCATCTACCACACTAAAAAAGCCACTGTTTCGTATCGTCTTGAAGAGGGCGCGATGTCGGCAAGATGAAGTGGTGCGGCAAAGTGTAGAGCGCGTCGACGACGCGAAGGGAGGAGAAAAAGATAGGCGACGAGCTCGAGGAGGTTGCTGGCTTGGGTACGGAGGGGCGCACCTGGCAAAGTGGGTCATCTCATGGACGATATGATGCCACGTCATAACGTCAAGCCCCCCCCTTCTCCACCTCTGCCGAGCGCCGAGCCGAGCGCGGCCGAGCGCGCCGAGGATCGAAGCGAAATCGCGGACAGGGGACCGTGCACCCCACATCGACATCAACGATCACCTCTCGGCAAGAACGAATACGTTTTTGATAAAGCTCGTTCAATTCTCAGCAAGCACATCGAGCTCCGAGGGCCACCCTAGAGTCGAGATTGCCGTTATCGGTACAATGCTTGTTGCTCAACCATCTTCGTTCGAGCTGGGACGACCTCGTGTCCACCTTGATTTGCGAACTCCGACTCCACGGAGCTAAATTGTGGTGCGGGGCTCACTGTGACTTGAGAGAGCTCCGACGCGACGAATAAACGCTAGTAAACGGAAGAAAAAATAAAGATCAATCCCTGGGTACTCCAATGAATAGAATCTGGACGCCTTTAGCTTTAGAAGTGAACCGGCTGCTTGGTCTAGTAGAATGACAGTCGGTCGTGGGCTGCAATATAGTAGCTCGGATTTCGAGTACATCATGCTTGTGCATGGCCAGGCATAACTTCGCGTCTGGGTTTCAATGGTCATCTCATTGAAGTTCCTGGAGGTAGACTGTCATGCAAGGTGGGGCATGCGCTATGAATCGGAGTGGAATTGTGCGGCGCCAGTCCACGGCGGTTCAAACGGTTCGTCAGACCAGTGCATGGCGGTGCATGGATGTGCATACGTGTGCTCAGGGTTCTATACGAGTTTGGACGGGATCAGAGTTGTTTTCAGCCTGCTCCGAAAGTGTTCAATGGTCGGCCCGAGCTTGACCCACTCGTGACCCCTGACGGATCGATTCACTGCGGACATTGGCCGGCCAATCTCGGCCAATCAGTACTGAATGTTTACACTCCGGTGGGTCAGCGCCAGTCGGCGCCAGTCCTAGCCCCAACTCGCCGGTTGGTCAAATTCGCGCCGACAACAACCATCGCGATTGCATCAGGTGATAGGTTCTTCGTATTACCAGGCTGTATGTGTCGATAAGAGCGACAAAAGAACAAGCTTCAGGACGAGCTTCCCTGATGACTCGGAGGCTGAAAATGCGGCGGGCGGCGGCCGGTGGATTGAAGTCGGAAACCTCGACCACAGTGCGCGCACGGTCCTCTCCCCCGAGCTCGACGAACTGGTCCGGCAGGGCAGGAGCGACTCGGGGAACCTGGGAGGGTTTGGCTCCGATTAGCATCCGCCGGTCTCTGATCGCCTCGTTGTCCCTCCTCAATCGGTGACCCTGCCCGACCGAGGCGGAAAAAGGACCTGTGTACAATACGATTCGGGACCACGGGCAAGGTCCACTTTCGACTGCATCTGACTGCATCTGACTGCACGACCCGCGTCGTCCCTGGCCAGAGCTCTCGGCGACAACGGACGAGAGGCAGTCGGTCGCAACGGGGCGGGGTGGTACAGCATTTCGCCGAACTAGCATCGCTCTAGGTGAGTATTCACCAGAACAGCCATTAGCCTAGTTCTTCCGTACCGGTCAGCTTGAACGGTCACTGCGACCTGCAGTCCAGAAGGCTTGCGATCCGCCGAGCTCCGGAAGACTGAACCAGATCGTCTGCACCACACAGTCGTCCGATCTGACAGGCAATTCGTACACCGCATACCCCGTAGACGATACCTGCCCCAAGCACCAATGGCACCGACTCGAACACACGCTTTTGGATCGAGGAGTCGCAACAGCTCCCGAACCTCGTTAGGCGAGCTCGCAACCGCTGCTGCTGGCCCGGGTCCCTCCTCCTCGCTCGCCCACGGCGAAGGCTCGACGGCGTCCTCATCGCACCCGCAGTTGAGCTCTGGCACGATTCCGGGGGCCGGTGACTCGTCGTCGACCTCGTACACGGGGCCGCCGCCGCCGTACTCGGATGCGCAAGGCCCGCCGCGCTCGCGAAGCGTACCGTCGTTGCCGAATCTCAACTTCTCCTTCACGGCTCTACCGTCCTCGAGCTCGAGCCGAGGGATCATCCACGACAGCAACGGCCACGCGAACGCCCACAGCCACAGCCACATCTACAGTCAAGGTCAAGGCCACCACTATGACGTCGCGTCCCTCGCTTCCTCATTCTTGTCGTCCCACAGCGGGCACTCGCACCGACCATCGTTGCAGACCCGCCAGTCGTCGAGCTCGTTGACCTTTGCCCACTCGTGCAGCTACGTCGACACCAGCGCCGACGAGGAGGTCCACTTCTACCCACTCCAGGGCGGGCCCCAACACCAACACCGCAACGGCGGCTCGCAAAATTTGAGCTTGTACTACGAGAACCAACCCCCAACCCCCGACGACGAAGAGCTCGAAGAAGAAGCGATCCAGTTCCGGCCACGCACGAGTAGGAAACTCCGCGCATCGGTCTCCGTACACGCGTCTTCGACCGCACGAGCGACGCCCCTCGACGCGTCAGCCGCCCCGCTCGCGCACGCCACGGGTGCACAAACGACTCCGGGGGTGTACAGGAGAGGTACGGAGCACCCAGGGATGCGGACCCGAGCGGTCGCGCAGAATGGAGGCGGCGGTGAGACCGGCGGCGACCACAATGATTCCCCCGTGAGTGAACGCTCCCCTCTCCCCCCACTCGCGGCGAAGCGGCGTCTGACCCCTGTATTCGGCGGAGAACAGCGCTGATGTTTGATGCCCCACCTTGCTTTTCGTACAGTCTACATTACTGACTTCATCGAATCCAATACCCACGCATCCACCGCCGCGGCCACCGGGCCCATTCCTGCCCCGTTCCCGGCGGTGGGCGCTGCTCTTCCACTTCATCCAGTCTTTTTCCGTCCTGCCCTCGTTTTTTGGCTTCGCCTACGCTGTGCATCGGTTCTACTCCCCCGCACCGCTCGTGCCCGCTTCGTCGACCTGGATTGACTATGGGAGGGCGGCAGGTGTGACCCAGGCTCGTAGTACGCGACTCGACTGGGTTCTCGCCGGGATGTGGGCCCTCGCGTGCGCCTACTTTAGCCATTCGCTCGCCCGGGGGCTCCTGCGGCGGTGGCTCGTGTACTATTCGCTACTGCCGACAATCGTGCGCGTCTTTAGTCTGCAAGCAATTTGTTGGCCCTTGACGCTCACAACGCACCGCGTGCTCTCGTTCGATCAGCCCGTCGCGGCGTGGCTCGTCTGCGCCTCGACGGCAGCCTTCTCAGTAGGTGGAATTTCATGTGCCGCCACCAGGGACTGCAAGGATCTGACAAATGAACGCTCTTTTTCTGCCTCTCCGCAGAACGTCATCCAGATCTGGGTCACGAGCAACATCGTCGAGCGCAAGGACCAGCGAGGGCATCAACGGTGGCAGCTCCTGTCGTATGTTGTGCAAGCCGTCGTCGGGCCGCCGGTGCGCTCCGAAAAGTTTCGCAAAGGCGAGAGAGCGCTGAGTTGGAAGCGGGTGCTGTGGGGCACGATGGTGCCGTTTGCCGTCCTGGGCTGGATTACGACTGTCGCGCTGCTGGGGCAGCAGTTCGTGGCGCGGTACCACGGCGGTGGGGGCGTCGACCTCGGTCGGCCTAGACTCAACAGCGCGGTCGGGTCCGGTGGAGTCACCCACGGGCTTACGATCGTCGACCTCGACCGCAACGCCGACATGCGCATCGTCATCCTTGTCACGTCGTCGTGGACGAACCGTTCGCGTGCGAACCGACAAACCTTCCGCGAGTCGTCGGTCCTGCTCTTCCCCAAATCCTCGTCGACCATCTCGGTGACGTACCGGTTCCTCCTGGGCACCGCCCCTTCCCCGCAGACCGCGGCTCGTGAGGGGCCCGCGATCGCAGCCGAAGCAGCGCAAAACGGCGATTTGCTGCTCGTGCCGGCGCACGACAGCTACGCCGATCTGAGCAGAAAGATCTACGAAGGGTGGAAGTGGGCGGGGCAACTCGACGTCGACTACATCTTCAAAACCGACGACGACATTCTCTTGCGCATGGACGTGCTCGCCAAGGAGTTCATCGCCCTCGGGCGGCGGCGAGAATACTGGAAGGGCTTTGCTTATTGGTCAGTTTTCCTCCTCGATGGGATGCCCGCAGAAGGGTGAGTTGCTAACGAGAGATGTCTGGCCGCAGGGACATACCCGCGATCAAGGACGCTTCCAACAAAAACGCCGACTTTGCGTACGACCTCTCGTCGTTCCCCCCCTACACGGCCGGCGCGCTACACATCTTGTCGCGCGACCTCGTGCAGCTCATCGCACCTCCTGATGCGTCGCGCCTCTTTGTCATGAACGAGGATCAGAACCTAGGGTTGTGGCTGTACCCGAGCGGAATCCGCCCCATCCACGACCGACGCATCCAGCAGGCGCAAGTCTGCGAGAACGACATGGTCGCCAAGCACTTCGGTGGGCAGTACGTCGAGCCGAACGGGCTGGGGCCCAGGGAGATGTACGCCAACATCGTCGCGGGCCGGAAGCTCTGCGACGGGTTCCTGACGCGGTGGTGCGGGGTGTGCTACCCGTCGTGTCGTTCGCGCGACAACCACTGGCGCGACTGGGGGTTCATGTGCGACGAGATGAAGGGGGCGACGTTGTCGAACCGCCCGGCGGCGCAGATCGCTTCGCTCGACGCGCCCGTCAAGGCCCCACCCCCACCGTACATCCTCGGCAGCTCCGACGACCCGTGGGTCATCCCCGGCTTGCTCTCGCAGCACTCGTCGACGTTCTCCCATACCGACGACTGGCACCTCTTGCACATGCTGTGCTGGACGACGGGACCCGACACGTTCCAGGAGCGCCACTATCAGGCGATCGAATCCATCTGGGCCCACGAACCGCGCGCCGTGCTTTTCATGATGTCGACGTCCCTGCCGCTCGACTTCTTCCACGACTACACCCAGCACGGCTATTCAATCCATATCGTGCGCATCGGTGGGGTCGAGCTCCTGCAGAACGGGTGGTTCCTGGGGCCGCAGAGCGAAAAGTGGCTCATGGAATGGGAGCAATGGGCCAAAGGGCCGAGCTTGTGAGTGTGGCATCCGATCCCCGCCTTGCGTCGCTCGAGATCTCGCTGAACCGAAAACTGATGATGGCTTGTCCTCCCTCCCCGGCAGCTACTCGCACCTGACCGACTACCTTCGCTACCTTTTCCTGTTCAAGTTCGGTGGCACGTACCTCGACATGGACGCTCCCTGGGTGCGCTCGCCGCCGGACTCCAACGTCGAGTTCATCGGCGCCGATTACTCGACCGTCGCTTCGGACCTCGACTGGACGCTCGACGAGGACGGTATGTACCTCGCCCCCGGGGTGATGCGGTTCCGCCGCGGTTGGACGTTATTCCACGACATCATGGAGTCCGCCTTCTCGCCGTCGACGTACCGCGTCGACTGCTTCAACTGCGTCGGTCCGCGCGCCATCACGCTCGGTGTCAAGTCGCGCCGTCGCCAACTCGAGTTGAACGGGTTCACGATCGTGCCTCCGTACGTCCTGTACCCGCGCAACTGGATCAACTCGCACGAGCTCGTCAAACGGCTGCCCCAAGGCCAGGCCTCGGCCGAGTTGCACGCGATCGCGGAAAAGAGTTGGTCGATCCACCTTTTTGGCAAGATGACGAACCATCTGCGCATCCAGCCGGGGTCCATCGTCGCCGAAGCGTTTGAGCGCTTCGAGCTGCGCATCCCGCGCCGCATCGGCTACCTCTCGTCGGGCGAGAAAGAGCTGGGAACCCCGTCGCTCGGGACGGGCCTGACGCTCGAGGCGCCGTCGCACTACGTGTACCGCTCTCGCGCCGGATTGAGCCACGAAGAGGTGCGCGACCTCGACCTGCGCGGCTCGATCGACGGCTCTTTCGACGGCCTCGACCTCATTTTCATCCGCGCCGTGCAGTCGCCGCGCGTCGCTAGGGCGTCGATCCGCGTTTCGACGAAGCGCGGGGGCAAGCTCGCGTTCCGCAGCTCCTCGGCGAGGGTGTTTGCCAAACGTGACGTTGCGAATGCCACTGACGCCGTACCGGGTCTCGCGACTGACGGTGAACTCGGCGCGGTCAGTCACGTCGAGTTGGACTTGGTCGACGCCTCGCTGCGGGACATCAACGTCGTGCTCGGCTCGCTCGTGTACGTGCGCGGATCGGTTGGTGCAAGAGAGTGGAATGGTGATGAGATGAATATCGAGGTTGTCTATGGAAGCGAACGAGCTTCGCATATCGTACACATCGCTTAAAACCGCATTCGGAACACGAGTACGCGGCTTTGGTGCCTCTGTCTTGTTCTTTTGTTTGGGAAGGGGTTGTTTCAATATCCGTGTCCATTTTTTTTTGTCTGTGAGAACTTTCTATAAGCTGTGCCCGCCATGATGTGACAGTTACGTTTTCCCCCTCATGCCGGATGTCCCGTTACCGATGACATCGATTGTGGTGTCAATAATCGCTTTTACTATTACCGGTCCACACTTGATCTCTAATCTCCACGTAATCTACATCTCAGGGTACTCCTTAAAGCTTGGCCTTGCCAACGCCCTTGTGGCCGAGACCATCACCGTGCTCGGGCGCACCCAACTCGTCGCTCTTCTTGGGAGCAGGCTTGTACTGTTGTGGAATGATCATAGGGTCATCAGCACAAATGCTCGATCTCTGACGTACCACGACACTGTACGAATTCACACTCACGGGCTCGGATCGATCGACACCGAGTTCGATCAGCTTGGCGAACGCCTTGGAGAAGTCCGAGAAGAACAAGTCCCTGTCGGCGGCGTACTTCTCGACCCAGGGCTTGAACTTGGGGTCTTCGATCAAGGCCAAGTCGGTCGGAAGCATCATCAGCTCCTCGCCGAGATCCTCATTCTTGTATTGGAACGGTCCGGTCCAATCCTTCTTTTCCCACTTGAACTTGGTCAACATGCGGTAGTACTGCGTCGAGAATTTGGTCGGGGACATGGACTAGTGGACATAAAGTGGGGTGAGGTGAGTTTGGATTTGCCACAACAAAGAATTCGGATTACAGCCTCACCCAGGGGCCTTCAAAGCCGGATCGGTCGCTGTGGCATCGCTGCGATTCGGAAGAGTGGGGTGCGTCAACTGCTGCGCCGAGACATCGAGCATTTACGACAGCAACTTACTCCGAGCGAGTGTGCGCCGGACAGGCACACGATTTCTTGGTCGTTGAAGCCCATTCTAAAAAGTAATAAAAGACGAGTCAGTCGGTAATTCCGAATCAAGTATCTGAGCTCTGGCGGGCAGAAAATCTGTTTACCGGTAGAAAACGTCTCGCAAGTGGTCCGAAGCCAGAGCAGCGTCGGGCAATCGACCCCGGGGAGGGCACTAATTTGACGTAAAGAGTGGATCACAGTCAGCCTAGCGGAATTAGGGTGATCAACGCAACCAAATAACACCGGGAGTGCGAACCTTGGAGTCGTCGGTGAAATCGGTGCGGCCGGCTTTCCAGGGAATGTCGGGGCCGCCCATCTCCTTGATCGCGACGACGCCGGCGAGGGTCCACAGGTCGGCGTACGAGATCCAAGGGTACTTTTCCTTGACGGGTTCGAGGAAGACACGGGCGTGTTGCAAGCCCGCGTTGGCTGGGTCACCGCCTTCGCATTCGTAGCTAACGGTGGGTGGCCCGAATGAGCGTGAAAGCGCGAGCGATCGGTAAGTCGGTCGGTGTGGCAAAACGGTTTTATAAGGGACATGGTTAACTTCGATACCAGCGACCACCGTGGACACATGGAACCACACGATGATAAATCGAGGCTTACCGCATGCCAGCACCGTTGCTGCCTCCTGTCTTGGTCTTTTCATCATAAGTGCCCGACGCATGCCTGCCCGCGCCCACCACGGATCCGATGGTCAGCACCGAGTCGGGCAACGTCACGACGATCGCAGCGCCCGGACAGATACGGAGCACCAACAGCAATCCGCAACTCACCAAGCCAGGCGAACCAATACGGGTCCAGCTGACCCATCGTCGTAATCGGGGCGGGGGATCACCTTGGCAATGTCCTTGCGCACGGCATCGTAGTCTTTGTTGGGAGTCGCCATTGGTTTCGGGCCCTTTGCTGAGAAGGGGGAGGGCGGGGGTCGAAGGGTCGTGTAAAGGTAGATGGAACGTGTAATACGTGTGTTTGACTTGGCTGAGTGTACGGAGTAGGTGTACGGGCGCGTGCGGATGGGGGAGAGAAGCCCAGAGAAGGTACCGGCTCTGTTTGCGAGGGATCGCCTCCGGCGAGGTGGACAGCCGAACGCCGGGAAGCCGGGTTAACTAATCGCAGTTCTTCGATAGCGCTCGACCCCTGACCAGCACCGCCCGAAAGGCAAAACGCCTCCGGTGCGAGGCTACGGGTTTAAGTTTTCTTACTACTTTATACTTACTAACCCCCTTTTTTCCCTTCTTCTGGACAGATGCCGCAGCTACGCCATTGCATTGAAGGGTCCTCGAAAACTAAATTTGCCAACGAAACTTCTAGTGGTACCAGTGTCGAAATCCAAACAATCGTTCTGGTACTCGTATCGCCCCATGGACTGTGCTACCTGACGGCCATCTATTATCTTAACAGGTCCCGTGCGCACGCAAGATTGGTATAGTCAACAGGTCAAGCCCGCGGTAAAATGCAATTAGTGTCCAAGATAATACTTTGGTGTGCATATAGGGAGGCAGGATTCCTTTAACTGAGCGTTTAATTCTGATTGGTGATACCGGTAGGTGCTTCAGCCTGATATTGTTATCGGCTAATCGGTGACTCGGGTGCCTTTTGGGGTCTCCGACGGTATCCCGCATCAAAAGTTGGCGGCTAGGGGTCTCTCTGTCGGCACTTCCGGATAAATTCCTAGAAATTCGTCTGTCTTCCAACGTGTTGGAGCGCTCTGGAAACCTTGCACGCTCGGCAGCAAGTATCTGGCCCCACCCTTTTTACCGATAGGCCCGTCGCCGGCGATCCAACCTTGTGAAAACGGGGGTCTCAGCCGATCGTCTCCGAGTCAAAAACACCGAGTCGCGCTCACAAGGTTCGATTGCGAGTCGGGCATTTGCGACCCTCGAGCTTGGTCGTCCCCAAGCTCCCCAAGCTCCCTGACCGAGCGCGCAGCACAGCACCAATCGCACCAAGGCATATCCGACCGGACTCTGCTGACGATTGTCTGACCGAGCACAAGCTTGTCAGGATCTCTGCCAGCCACTGGGGCCCGCGATACAGCCTGTGTCGACAGCCATGTCGGCCCCTACCTCGACGACGATCACAATCCTGCCAGCCCGACTGCTGCTCGTGCGCCTGCCTCGCGAGCAGCTGCAGTCGCTCATGGCCCCCATTCTCGACTGTTGGTGGTTCAGGGGAGAGTGAGTGACCAGAGAACACATTTCGGTATAGTCGAGTGCACGCTCATCTCTCCTCGACTACGCTGTGCCCACAGACAGGATCCCTTCTTCTCGCTCTGTTCGAACGAGGTCGAGGTGTCGCTGTTCGCCAGCACCTCGGCCGTGCGATCGTCTTTTGGGGCTTACATCCAGGAGCCTCCACGACTTCCACCTTTCCACGATCGATCCTCTTCCGGCGACTCGGATCTTGACGAGGTGGGCGATGATCCGGCAGACGACGACGGCCACGATGGCTCTCAACGGCCCGACGATGACCCGGACGATGTCAACGAGAGCGAAATCACCCTTGGAACCGGAACACGCACAGAGGACCACGCGAGCAAGTCATGCAAGCGCAGGAGTTCAAATGAGTCTGACAACACCGGACAGAGGCACGATGAATGGCAACGCAAGCAAGACGAAAAAGTTCAGGTCGGAGCCGACGTCTGGGTCGTACTCGAATGTGCATTCCACGGCGACGGATGGGGTAAGAGCAACCGCGGTAAAGGGTAGGGGAAGTATGCGGTAGTGTCTCAATCTGACTCTCCTCCACTCGCTCCCACTCAGAACAAGCTGGACGACGTATCCGAGATTTGTCCTCCCCACTCGCCGACGCAGGAGTGTCCATTTTGTTCCTCTCGACCTACAACTCGGATTTCCTGCTCGTGATGGAAGACTCGCTGGCCGCGGTCACGTCGATACTCGAAGAGTCGGGCTTCCAATTCACTGCCAATGACGACGACGACGACGAGGAGGATTTCGACCACACGATGGCGGCGTCGACGACGCATCTTCGCCGCGGGGGATCGTTCCGTCGCAGCCGCGCACGGGCTGCTTCGAGCTCGACCCATGGGAGTGGGAGCGCGCGGATGAGCGGAAGTCTGAGTGGAAGTCTGGTCATGAGCGACCAAGGGAGCTCTCACGCCGGGAGTATCAGCAGAGCGCCAAACGGAAGCGCGACCATGTCGCGCTCGGGCAGTCTGGGCAAGCGCGCGGCCGGTGTCGCCGCAGCACTGCAAAAGGTCTCGATGTCGCCCGCTCGATCCATGGGAGAAGCGTCGAGCCCATCACTGCAGACGAATCTACCACTCAACGACTCGCCGGGCGCAATGTCGCCTGGTGGAGTCGCCCGCTCGATCACGACCGCAGATTTTGTTTCGAGTAACAGCCTGTCGATCTTGCCCGACGAACTCGTGTGCATCGGGCTGTCGCAACAACACGAGACCTTCTGGCGCAGCAAGATTGTCGAATGTCTCTTCTTCCCTGAACGTGTACTCCCTGCCCCACGAGCATCCTCGTCGGGACGTCGCCCGCCCGTGTCGGTATCCCCGACGCGCTCGCGCATCTCGACCGTGCTCGAGGACTCAAAGTCGTCGACGCGCAAGGCCTCGCCTCATACCACCCCCCCGCTGTCCCGCCGACCGTCGAATCGAGCAACGAGCCATGCCATTAGTGGCGGTGCCCGTGGCTCGTCGGCGAACCCCCTTCTCAGTCCGGCGATCTCGTCGCACACCCACCCGCTCGCGGCCTCGTTCCTCTCGACCTTGGACGCCGATTATCCGACTCCTTTCATCGCCCTGACGCAAACCGTTGAAGGCGTTTCGTTAATGGCGGACGTGAGATTGTTGCGAAAAGTGTTCAAAGAAGGCGAAGACGAAGGGATCTGCTTCATCGTTGGCCCTGGTGGTCTGCATTCGATCTGGAACGGCGAAGACGGTGTCGGATCGGACGACGAAAATTCGGATGACGAGTGTGGCTTCAGTCCAAGACGCGGAAGGGAACGAACACGCAGCAACGAGCACGATCGAGTCCAGATGGAAACAGCTCTGGAAGAGGAAATTCATTCGGGGACTGAGTCGTCCGAGTCGCGATCCCGCACGAGGGAGCAAGAAGCGCGCGAAGCCGAGCGACGGGACCGCAAGTTCCGAGCCAAGGATGCGGGCAAATTGCTCAAATGTCTGCAACTGGACCTGTCGAGCTTTGGACTTGGTAAGTGGTATAAGCGCAAGAAATCTCTATTCGATCATCTCCGGTGGTCGACGCTCATGTTGCGATGTATTCAAACAGACACCCATGGTATCGTCGAACACTTTGCGGGCCTACTCGTTAATGGTGGTCTCAATTGCCTCTATCAATCCACCTTCAGTACCGCTAATATTCTCGTCGCCAAGGACGACATCGTTCGTGCCCGTCGTATTCTCGAGGAGCAGATTTAAGTCTCCAGTAATCGGGTCTGGAACGACAAGACTGGTAGTTCTTCGTGTTGTGCGCTGTACCACGCATTCCTCTTTTCGGTACTATATCTCAGTCCTGCAAGTTTGTGCCAACTCGCAGTTTCCTCTGTCATCTGAACAGCCTCTCTCCCCTCATCGCTGGGTCAGTTCCCTTTCAGGCCCTTGCTCGTCAGGCGATGCAAGGCGCCAGCGCAGGAGGTGACATTTAGAACAACATTGCGAACACAATAGTGAAAGTACGAGATTGTACGGGGTATACAAAAGAGCGCTCTGGTAGGCACTTGTACACGTGGACATACCAAAGAACGCCCAGTCTTGCAAGTATAGAAGCTGCCTAGTGAGCACTGCTGCGGCTCATGCGTCGGTTGCTCGCCTCGATAGAGATTTTGGAGTTGCGGAATACCGAGATCAAGCCAGTCGCATCTGTAAGAAGGTAGAAGGGTATATAAAGGATGTGAGCGGAGGTCCGGGCAGATGTGCCGAGATCATTCTGGAGGGACTGACCATCAGCGACGACGATTATGGCATCGTTGGCGGCATTGACCACGGACGCGGCCGAAGCGCGTGTATTGACGGACCGCAGGTGGGCCACCGACTCGTCGCCTAGACTCGTGCCTGGTACGGTTTGTTCCAACGGAATGAGATGGGTGTGACCGTCGCCGAAGATGGGGTCGCCGGAATCAGAGAGAACTTCGCGCGTCAGAATCGGCGCGAACGAAGCGCAGGTGACGATGTGGGCTGGCACTGGACGAGAGCAGGATCAAGGTCAGTCCCATGCGATAGAAGAAGAGCAAAGACCACCGGATAACTGCACTTACTCGTGAACCACTCGTACCCCGCACCCTCTTTGGCCTTTTTGAGCGGATTCCATCCCGTTGCCTCGTCCCGCTCGGCCGTGACGCCCGAATCCCAAACTGTGTCGCGACGGGGCAGTTTGGTCAGAACTAGGGTTTTTGCTACCGTCTTTGGAGACAGAGCGACTCACTGTATACGCAGCGATCCTCACTACCCGAGATGACGTACTTGCCATCGCCGGAAAAGCTCGCACGGATCTGCGACGATGTGTTCTCGTGGCCGGCGTACTTGGCTTCGACGGCCTTGTCGTTGGTATGGTAAAGTCGTATCCGAGAGTCGTTTGAGGTGACCAGCAAACGCTCGCCCGAGGATGACGGCAGAGGGTACGGGAACATACTCGTGACTTTGCGCCCTTTCGAGTTTTTGCCTCGCGATGACTTGGCTGCGAACTGCGAGTGGTACTGGAACGATTCGGTCTCAAAGAATATGCACTGGCCGTTGAAACTGCCGGCGATCGAGAGTTTGCCGTCTCGACTGAAGGCGACCGAGGTGATGAGTTCGGGGAGCTCCGTCCAGATCTGGACGCGTCGATTCGGGATCTGTGTACAAGGACCGGAGAATGCTAGGTCAGCCAGAGGCGTCAGAGTAGGCGCACGTGGAGATGCTCTTACATCCCACAACCGGAGCTTGCAATCAAGGGAGCCAGAGAGAAAGTAGCGATCGTCCTTCGGATGAAAGGCGATCGACGTGACGAAATCGAGGTGCTGGAACGCACAGAGGCACTCGTTGCGACTAATGTGCCACAGTCGGACCGTTTTGTCCATCGAGGATGAAAGCAAAAAGTTGTTCTGCTCGCGCAAGGAAGGTCACGCCTGCGTGAGCAACGCCGCGATTGGAGAAGAATCAAAGCTTTAGGCCACAACCCACTTTGCTCCAACTGAGATCCAGGACGTCCGCTTCGTGTCCCGCGTACTCCCTGATCGGTACCGGGTTGAACACTGGCATCACATTCGCAGGCTTCGGAGGCAAAGACGTCTTCTTCCTGGCCGAGGTCGATTGCGAAGACGCGGTCGAAGTAGGAGGGCAAGGCCGGACTTTGGCTGGCGAGGACTGATCTGGCTTGAGCTGTTGACTTGTTTCACCGCCGTAGCCATCTGATGTGGCCGCGATGAACCGTCCCTCGGGGGTCTTGAGTACTTCCCAGACTGTGAACGTCACGAACCAAATGATGAGCAACGAACGACTCGGTAGTAGGCTCCAGGGTTAGATAGACGGTCTATGCTCACCTCGGACTACTCCGTCTTTGCCCCCTGCGGCCAGGTAGCGACCGTCACCAGACCACTCGATGCACCACACGGCATTCTTCTTCTTCTTCGACTTTTCAGAGCCCGACGAGGGCTCGTCGGGCGACGTTTGCGCCTCGTTGTCGTCGTGCGAATGCGTTGACGTACTGTCCAAAGTGTCGGATCGGCCTCGGCCGAATTTGCCGGTCGACGAGGAAGGCGCATTCGAAGGCGAAGGAATGCAGAGCTCTTGCGCGAGAAAAAGCTTGCCGAAATCCTTGCTCGTCTTTCCCTTGGTCTTGACCTTCGCGAGGCGCACCTTCTCCGGGCCAAGGTCTTTTTTGCCGGCCGTTCCGCTCGCGGCGTCGATCGAGGCGGGGACTTCCAGGATGGCGGGGCTGCGCGGCGATGGCGAGTCAAGCGAAGAATGGCTCAGAGCGGAATCGTTCGACTGGATTGACAGCGTCGTCATAGCCCGACTCCGATTCCCTCCACCTAGCCGCGAAAAGAAGCCCCTCTTCTTTGAGCTGTTGCTCTGCACCGTCTGGTCCGAACCGGCTACGGCACCCGACGCCTGCCCAAACTCGCCCGTCGAGGTCGAGTCTTTGTTGCCCGTGCTCCTCAGGGTCGCATCGCCGGACCTGGAAACGGTCGATTCGGTCGCAGAACCGCTTTCGTGCACGGAATCCAAGTTGTTGGACGACTGTCGAGATCTCGACGCTTTCGGATTATGGTCTTGAGAAAGCGACCGCGAGTGACCGACCGGGGCCCCACCAACGTACGAGCTCGTGGCCAGTGCCGCCGTCCAGCTCGATTTTCGTACGAGCGTGTTAGGCTTGGGCGGAACACCGTCGACCGACTCGTTCTCGAATTGCCGTTCGCGGTCCTCGCGCTCTCGCACGAGCTTGAGGGCCTCGTCTTCGTTCGCCTGCCGTGCAACGGCTTGCAGCGTGAGCGGATTGACCTGGCCGCCTCGAGATGCTGCCATGAACGCTGCTGATGGATGACGACTGAGTCCTCGACCCGGGTGTTCCCTTGTCGATGACGAGCCGTCCAGCGCCCGAGTTTCGCCGTTCGCCGTGGCTACAAATGAGCCCACATCGATAGCAAGTGTCAGCTCGCCTGAATGCCAGCGCACGGGGTACGATTCATACGACGCTCACCTTCGTTGATATCCAGATCGACGCTCTGCCGTCGGTCGACCCCTCCTGGGGAGGATGCGCCCTCTTCATCGTCTTCCTCGACGACGGCTGGCTGTGGCCGGTGCATCGGAAGGTGGCCGGGTAGGTTGCGCAAAAAGGCAGTCGAATCGTTGCGACCGCGTTTGATGGAGGTGTCCCTCGTCACGTTCGGATTGAAGGCCATGTACGTCGGCGAGTTCTCGTCGGGGGAGAGTGGCGGTGATCGCTCGGCATCGGGCCTGGCGCTGGCTACTTCGTCAGTTGTCGAAGTGACGAGATGAAGCGTCGGCGTGCTCGTCAGTCGGGGCAACATGTTGGACAACGAAGGAAGGAACGAAGAGAAGCTAAAGCCGGATGATGGCCCCGTAGCTTCGCCTGCATTGGGTTGGTTTCCCCTTGATGTGGTCGTTGTAGCCGAAGCAGAGGTAGCCGTAGCAGCCGCAGCCGCAGCCGACGCGGGTCTCGCAGTCCGATTCAAGCTCCCGGATCCCGGTGCGGCTGACGTCGACGATGATGCCCCGACGGTGATCTCGCCCAGTTCGGGACCCGATCCACCGTTTACTCGGGTATTCAAGGAAGATAGGGATCGAGATGTAGATTCATCGTATGCAAGATTCGTAGGACACGACGAGGAAGAAGGCGGGGCTGTCGATGCAGCTGCTCCCATCTGCTGCTGAAGCCGAGGAGAGGCCGAGGCCGAGCTCGGGCTCGCCCCCCTCATCGTCGAAGTCGTCGCCTGTCCCGACTGATGCTGCCGTCGTTCGTGCTCGTGTTGGAGCCCTTGACTCCCATTTGAGTCGCCGCCCATACCCCTATCGTTGGTGTCCGGGTCCTGAGCAAATCGAAAAGCTCCGTTCTCTGTCGCCGGTCCACGCTGATCGGGGCTCGAAGGTGAGACGGTGATGCTGGGCACCGGAAGCCCGTGGTCGCGGTCAAGATCGCGCTCGCGGCCGTCGCGTGAGGCATGCTGCTCAGTCGCGAGTCGGGCCAGCATGGGCGCCCCGGACGAAGGCATGGCCACCTAGAGCTGAACTTGGGCAGCGATGAGGAGAGGCGTATCGTCTACACCCAAGGATTGGTGCCCTTCGTCGCGGAATGAGCGGGGGAAAAGGAGAGCAAGATGGGCCGAGGAAGGCGAGCTAGCTGGCGGGGGAGGGTCGCTAGAGCAGGCTCTAGCAGGCTGCGGGACAGCGGCTGACAGCGGAGGACAGCGGCGCTATCTCCTGAAAATGAGGACCTTGAGAGAACTGACACAAACTTCAGGACTGGAAGCTTCTGCCCCCCACCCACCCACCCCCTGCCCCCCAAACTTCTCGAAAGGAAATCCTCAGCCCTGAAGGCCTCCAGGGATTGAGCGGCGGCAGCCTGACTCAGCCTGAGCATGAGAATGATAATTTGAATTCCAGCTAGTCTACAAAGAGACGACCCTTATCGGGCGCTGGTCCACATTAACTGGGCTGTCGCCTCTGACCTGACCTACGACAAGTTCCAACCGCTCCCCTACCCTGTTCAACACTGCAAACTACATTGCTCCTTTGAGATGCACTCTATCCATTACTTCTCCGTTGACTCTCACTGTCTTCTCCTACGGGTTTCCGCCCACGCTTTTTGGCGATCACCCCATATCCTTGCTGTCCCTTTAATCAGTTCATGATGCCATGTCTGCAGTAATTTCACCCTCAGGCGTTCTGGAATTGCCTCCATGGCTAACGCCGGTGCCGGAGTGAAGCTCACCCCATACCACCATCCGTGTTGTAATACCAGATCTTGTGCGAATCGGACTAATTTCTCCCGTTCCCCTTCGCCTACGTCGTCAGCTGTGGCCTTGATAAAACCTATGGTTGCGTTTTTCAGGTCTGATTGGAGTTGTACTCGGATTCTCACCGATTTTGGGCATCTGAGAAAAACGTGCTCCTCCGTTTCGGTGTCCGATCCCGTTGCGCTGGTACACCGCGGGCAAGAGGGATCAGTCCGATTTCGCTGCTCTTCTCTTCCGCGCCGCTTCATTCTTGTTGGTGGAGAAAAGGCTGACACAGGTTCAATTTGGAAAATTAGCCGACACAACATGGAAGAAAATTCGCCTATTACAGTTAACACAGCAATTTACCCCTACAAAGGCGAGATCGTCGTATGCTGCACTGGTGCAATGGCAACTTCGAAGCTCAGCGCTCATCGACTCCCGAGTTGCAGTGATAAGAGAAAAACCCGCACTCCGTAACAAACGGAGGGTTTTCTAAACAGGAGTTATGAACAAGTAGGGTGGGAGGGAGGAGCTCAAAAAAATGGTCGATCGGCTTTGCTCAAAGAGCGCAGGTCCGATTAGTAACTAAAACACTGCAACTGACTTGGGGGATAGGGCATACCTTTGCTCGAAAAGCGCAGGGCGGTGGCAGGGGAGGAAGGCGACGCGGTAGGTAGACGCGGCCAAACGAGGTCTGTATACAAGGTAGCCCCATGAGTCAACTTGCCCAACAAGGACAAGGAATTTGGCAACATGCCCAACAAGGACAGTCGTGATCCGGAATGCGAACCTTAGCTAGAAACAGCGAGCCGCGATAGTGCGAGTCTCGAAAAGTTCGCCCTTGCTCTAAGCAGTGGGTGCGATACGACCTTGCAAAGCAGCGGGTACGGCGGCTGCTTACAACGTAGTGGCAGGCTAGCTCATCAGTCCAACTGTCCAACAAGGGCAGAGGGCTTACGAGGGATGTTACCCACTTTGAGTGAGTAGAGACTGGCAGGGGGGTGCCGGAACCACAACACGAAACGCTGAGGCGTGCGGGACGACGAGGGAGAGGGAGAGGAAGGGCCCGCGCGCGCCAGCGGGTGAGCAAGGCGGGAGGCCCAAGGGGGCCGAGAAGAGTGCGTGCTGGCACAGGGTCCAAAGAATGCGTGTTCGAAGAGTGAAGCGCGAGCGGGCCCCGTTAGGCCGAGACCAGCGCGCTTGAGCTGTCCGCGTCAAAATCTTGCAGCAAAGGCCGAAAAGACTATCACTGCCACTATCTCTCCAAAATTGTTTTCGATCCATTCGGTATCGTCCTTCATGACCCAGCTTGAAAGTCCATGTGTTGGTGGCCTAAGCCTGCCTAAGCACAAAATGCATATCCTTGTGTAAGGGGATGCCTTACAGAACAGCCCCATAAGTAGCCTCTTCGGAGTAGCTAGAACTGTCGAGTTCTAGTTACGGGCTTGCTTTTAGCCTAGCAGTCACGGCGACAGATTGTAGTTTATGCACATCAGAGGAGCATACCTTACACCTTGTGGGCACGATTCGCTTCCGCGTCGGCCCTTCGGTTCAGTATTGACCGTTCATCCTGTCCCGTCGTGTGGGCTTTCACATGGTGTGCATTGACGTGGCCAACACCAACCTTCGGAGCCACGAGTGATACGAGCGACTGGGTGTTTTCCTCGATATCTCCCGCTCTGGGTGCGCCTGCCACCCCGGCCCACATGCCACTCCTTGATGAGCCGCGCCGTTCCCAGATGGTCCGTCATGATAGTGATCGGTGCCCCGTCTGAGGTCATGTACCGTGCAGCAATCACCGCCACAATGAGCGCGGTAACTTCCGCTTGCTGAATTGTTGCACGATACGGGAGAAGTATCCTAAGGTCCAGAGCAGGCGTCACCGTGAAGGTGGCAACTGCCCGTGCCAACAGCCGGGCTCGCCGACTCGAGTGGACTGAACTCCGGGCCGAAATCTTCCACCAATGACTGACCTGCAATGATCAAGCACAATCTTGATCAACTGAGCAGAGTCGATTGAGAGAGTTATCGATGAGGCTGATCTGAACGTACACAAGGGATGTGAATTTTCGGCTTTTGCCACTCGGCAATTTGTTTTCAGCAAGGACTCAGTCGAAGTGAATGGGAGCGAACGTTCATGACCGCTGTGGAAGGGACACGCAGAAATGGATACCTTTGCGATACTAGATCAGTACTAGGAGGTCTACTCGGGAACTGCTGGTAGGCTCAAACACTGCAATAGACACGATCGACGATGCGCTTAAATTTCCGATCCGTAATTTGCTTCGAGTTGGGTTCGACATCTGTAAGGTATGCGCTTCTGATGTGCATAAAATACAATCTGTCGTTCTTGACCGTAGGCTAAAAGCAAGTCTTAACTAGAACTCGACAGTTCTAGCTACTCAGAGGCTACTTATGGGGCTGTTTCTGTAAGGCATCCCCTTACAACATCCATCAAGCGTGGCCCAGCAGGCCAAGCTGAGATAATGATCTTTATAAAATAATTTGTTACCCATAGCCATGATGACTGGTAAGTGTATCATGGCAGTACAGCCTGACTGAGTTTCGGGACGGGGCTGCAAGAGCGCGCTGCGATCCGAGGCCCGGGATGTACTCTGGCTCCGCGAGGCCCGCGGGCCGAAGGCCGGCGTTCTGATCTTGCCTTGGCTTGCGCCCCACACCGCCAGCAGAGCGCATCCAACCCTATCCTTTCCTCTGTTCACTCGGACTCCGAATTGGCACACCTCGTACCTCAGTGTTCACCTGCACAGCCTCATTTTTCCTCGATACAACATGGCTGCTGTACTTACTCGCACTTTCCCTCGTGGAGCCAAGGATGCGCTCGCGACCGTCTCGCGCCAGACGAACGGCGTCTACTTGCTCTCAATGCACAACTTGCCCGACAACCGTCTAACACCCGTGAGTGCCCCATCGAAGATCTGAATCTGAATGATGACAATAACCCCTCTGACCCTCGTGGCTGATTCTGCCGATCCAGGACTTTATTAAACACTCGGTGCTTATCGACTCGAGCTAGATGGCCGACGCCTTCAAACGACGTCGTCGAGGCCAAAGCCGAAGGCCGAACGGTCCTAGGACCAGCACGGCTTGAATACATCACTAATATACGTGATTCTTTATGTGGATTCCAACAGCTTCTCCCGGCGTTGGACGACATTGAACTGGAGTTCCGAGCCAACTTCAAGAAGGGCGACAAAAGCGCTGCGCTCGTCCTAACCGGAGAACGCGTGAAGAACAAATTCTTCTCGTGAGGCGCTTAGCAGGCCTCGATGACTTTCTTTAGACTGCAGTACAAAGTGCTGACACCTGAGATTCCGGAGGTCTTAGCAACGGACTCGATCTCAACCTCGCCGGCGAATATCAGGGCAACTTTTTCAAGGTTTGTCAAGAATACTAGCCGAAGTCGCCGGAGTTTCCGGTAGATGACGGGGCCATCTGACATTTCTCGCCCGAACAACAGGAACTCTACTCGCACCTGATGCACAGACTTTTGACGTTCCCGATGCATACCGTGTCGGCCATCAACGGCCACTGCTTCGTAGGTTTTGTTGAAGGCCAGAGGCCACCGCCTCGTCTCGTAGTTTTCTGTTAACCTGTTGAGCTTTGACTGCAGGCCGGCGGCTTCTGCTTGTCCATGTGCACGGATTGGCGCGTCATCCGAGTGGGTTTATCAATCAGTACCGTTGCTCTTTATTTACAGAACTAACTCCGGCGCAATTTTGGATTATTACAGGCCGAGCGCGCGTGGATGTGCATGAACGAGATCGACTTTGGCGCACCTCTCCCCGTCGGCATGACGGGTGTACTCAAGCAACGTCTCCGCCCCGAAGTCTTGCGCAACGTCATGCTCACAGCCCACCGTTACGTCGCTTCCGAAGCGCTCGCCGCTGGTCTGGTTGATGAAATCGTTCAAGGGGATGGAGAAGCCGCGATCGCTCGAGCACTCGAGATCGCCGAGATGAACCTCAAACATTCCGAAAGTGGGGTTTGCGGCTTGCTCAAGGAGCGCTTGTATGCCGAAGTAGTTGTGGCTCTCAAATCGGACGAGGGTCTTCCGGATGTTTGGGATCATCTCGAGGATAGGTTCAAATCCCTCACCGCAGTAGCGACGCAAGCTGCGAAACTTTGAGTGCAACCTATCAGAGATATCAACAGTGTCGTCATCTGTGCTTGGAGTCAGCGGAGTTCGATTTCTGTTGCAATGTGACGCATTTCTGAAGCGTGACATTATCTTTACGCCTGGCTCGCCAACGGCTGACAGGTTTGAGAAAAAGCCGGCAATTCGGCCGGTTCACTTCATCTCTACGTCCTCTGTACCCTTGGCACCGGCTTTTCTCCCTTCCAAGTCCGGTAACCAAAACGCCTGCAGGTCGATCGAGTGGTCATTGAGTCAGCGCACCAGTCCTAGACTGCGAAGAGCCCATCCTTTAACTGACCAAATCGTCACCTGCACTCGCAAACATCGCCGCCCGATTATTCCACAGCAAGCACCGACTCGGCCCGTCCAGATGCCCTTCATCGACGTGCAAAGGCTGCAACGTCACCGTCTCTTGATCCGCATCTTCAACGTCGCTTGAAGAGGGTTTGACGTGGGACACGTCCCAGATGTAGATCTTGCCGTCGATTGAACCGGCGAGAACGAACCGACCGTCCGGTGTCCAAGATACCTCTTCGGAGGAGAGGCCTGCAACGGGATCACCTAGTGGTCGCTCGAAAGGCGCCACTGCCGCTCGTTCGAGTCCTGATTTGTCTCCCGCTTCAGAGCGATGGAACAGCGCGCAACTTAGCTTGAAACGTTCTCGCAGAGGGAGCGGCTCGCGCTTGCAGGGTACTGACTTTCTAATCGGGCTAATGTGGATCCTGTGAAAGCATCCAACACGTAATGTACGTCTCCCGAAGTCCCTACAAGCAGCTTGTTCCCATCGTTGGAGAACTTGATTGAGGTGTAGATGGGCACACGAGGGGGGAACGAGATCTTGCTCAATTCTTGATCGTCGAGGTTGACGTGCAGGAACGGTTGCTTGTCGTAATCCCGCTTGTCAAAGAAGAGCAAGGTTGATCGGAGATTGAGGGCGACAACAAAAATGACGCCTGTCGGATCGAAGGCAACGCAGGGATGCCCGGCGATGTGCAATTTGCCCTGCGAGCAGCACCAGAAACTTTGCAGTTCAGCTCGTAAGCCCGATAAAGAGCGAACAAGCTGAAGATTTTTGGCCACTTCTCACCTGCGCTTTTTGAGCTCTGAGATCCCATAGTTGAACGGTATCATCGGTGGCGCCCGAGATGAAATGATCCTCGACCGGGGACATTTCGAGCGAGACGACTCTGCAGCGAGACGAGTGGAGAAAGGACTGAACGGATCAGGGCAATCGCGCTGTACAGGGGGTGTCTCTAGCTAGCGTACTTTTTGGTGTGACCTTTAAAGTAACGAATGTAGTTGTTGTCGTGCAAGCTAAGGTAACGGATGTCATCTGCAGCACATAGCCCCGACGAGATCAGCGCATAGCTCGGGTTAGGCCGAATCGAGTCCGAACGAGCGAGGGGACCGACCGCTGCCTTTGGTACTGGCATGAATGACGTTGGTGTTTTTGTGAGTAAATCGGGCGAGATGTACTCCGTATTTCTTCGAATAGTGCTGGTTCTTGTGCCTGCGAGATGGTTGACGAAGGACCGGAGAGCCAGGCGAGGACACTTCGAATTGATCAGCCCTTGCAGTCGCACTGGTGGCTCCCTCGTGCAGAATATTGTGACCGGTTGAAGATGCTCGCACTCACTTGCCCGTTCTGACGTTGAATATCTGAATCGTCTCGTCCTCCGCGGCGGTCACGAGAAACTCGCCCCTGTCGTCGAACGACAGGCTCGTATACTGCTTGTCGACCTCGATGTGCTTGCGAAACACTTTGGACGGTTTCAGTGAGACCTATTGATGGCACGTCGAGTGAGAGGAGACTGGCTGTCAGAGGATGTAATCGACGGGCTGGAGGGACATGTCGGTCGCCTCAGCTTCCGTTTCGCTCACCATGACGTCCGGAGTGAGCGCGATCGTGCTGCTGCTGCTGCTACTGCCGACATGACTGCTCGTCGATGCTTTGGCTTGTACCGAAGTCATGTGAGCGGCTCAGTATGAAACGTGCCGTGCGAGCCGAGACAATCGGTGTGGCAGAAAGGGCTCGGGGGGGTGGTGGGGGTCCGCGCCGAGGAGATGAATTGGGTGGGACGGCCGGAAAGAAGTTCAGCGAGTCGGAGCTCCGAATACCGCAGTCACACATTTTCTGGTCTCGGGCATTTGTCTGCCATGCACGTGTCAGCTGTCGGACTGTGCCATTTAGACCAACCGCAACAAAAAGAACCCACAAGATATTCGTCAGGTATCACGCTCAAGGCGAGGGGTGAGATAAGTGTTGGCCTCACTGCCACGACTCAGCGCTGAGTCGCGCCTGCATCAGCAACTTTACCACTTCCCGATGCGCGGCTAGATCTGTCTAAATGACTTTACCGCTCACAAAATGACCGGATCGTCTGAATCGTTCTGAATCGTTCTGGATCGTTCTGGAAAGTGTCTAGATCTACCACTTGGTCACACTGAAGTAGCAACTTGTGCAATGAATTGTCTTCGCTGTCACGGTCTTATACACACTAGTCAGAGTCTTATACCACACGGCAGGCAGTAGTGCACATATCCTGATTTAGTCATTGCAAACACAGTCATAATTTTTTGGGGTGCCATTAATCGGAGCATACACAGTATGTACTGACATTTCAAATGCTATATAGGGGCTCTTTTATTCGTCGGCCCACCCGCCGCACGTTGCTCCGCATCACCCCTCCCTCTGATCTTTGAGGATATTGACAAAACTCTCACCAATATACCAGTAGTACAGAAAAAGCATTGAAAGTCATTTTCGGGTTTGCATTGTACAGAAAAAGCATCGAAAGAAATCTGACCCTCGCGGACCGACTTGAGCGCCGTCCGTCCCAATCACCTTTCGTCCGCTGAGAGGCAGAAGACGAAAGGTGATATCAGGTGACGACTATTGAGTGGTTAGTTCTGGCTAAAGAGAGTATTACAGTCTCCAACATTTTCGCTCCGCAAGGCCAAGAAGGGTTGGTCGCGCTTGCCTGCGTCGAGCCCACCCGTACGCGCGCCTAGGGTGCCTCGTGCTAGGTGCCAGCGTCGACGACTCAGGACGACTCGTCCTGACTCGTCAGGACTCGTCTCCTCGACGCGCTCGTTGCCGTGCGAAGGTTTCGTTTACTCGCGCCTTTCCCTCCTGCCCTTCACTGCTTTTCGCCACCTTCACGCCAGCGTCCCCTACTCGACGCTCTCCTCGATTCTTGTTATCACCCATCCACATTCCAACAGGTCACCGTGATCATGCCACCACGCAGGGTGGTGAGGATGCTCAAGTGGAGGTTGCAGTCGCCAATGAGGCGGCACAAATGAGCACCTAGTAAGTCGGTCCTATACCATCTGTGCCAATAGGCCTGCTACTTTTGATAAATGATCTCAGATAGGCCCAAGCGTAAACGCGCTCGCACCGCCTCGGCTAACTCAGGGGCTCAACCGTTGTCGAAGAACTGGCGTATCGCAAAGTCGGTTACAGCTACAGCGAGACAGTCTGCTTACTTCTCACACTGGCCGGTGGTATCTTGGTCTCGTGACATGGCTTACAGCTCCTACCTTGAAGCCTCGATCGCTAGTACTGCCGCCGCCGCCGTCGAGCCTGACTGGGTGAAACCGCTTGCAGCGATGCCAGGAGTCGTATTCACCGGCAGACGACTTCAAAGGGACGACCTGTCCGACGACAACATCGAGATTTATCCTTTCTTACTGTCCGATGAAGACAATATTTACGAAGATGCTGCTGTTCACGATGACCTCGACGCAGACGATGACGGCGACGATGATGTCCTCGAGTGGTGCCCAAGGTGAGAGTGCGCACATCCACAACAACAATTGATTACAGTCGTATATCAACCCAATGCTAAGTGCTAGCCTCTGCTCGATACGTGAATTCAAATCGCGCAGAATTTCGAAAGGGACAACTTTCGAAAGGTTAGATGACCGTGCCCCCTGAGCTGGCTTTGAGCTTTTTCTGATGGACACGGTTAGCAACAGATGCAGGTCCCCGCCGCGTTCCTCCCGCACAAGGCCACTCTATCTCGAGGGCGCCCAAAGCGCGCACTGTTCTTGGTGAGGATGACAGCGCGTTTGCAGTCCACCCCTCACCTTTCTCATCTCACCCACGGGCGCCATCGTGAAGTCGACGCCATCGTCGACCCGGTCGCAATATCATGTGCACTACCCTCAGCTGACCCCATGGACAGTTGCAAGCTCACCTACTGTTGCGACCAGCCCTGCTCCTTCATTGGACGGTGGTAAGCCCTTCGCCTATGGCGGCAAACCTTTCCTCGCTCCGCCCTTGGGTCGTCCGTCACGGAGCCGCCGAACCCGCGCGTTAGACAACATGACGCCAGATGAAGACAAGGTGGCCGGCATATGGTGCAAGCACCAGTTTGCGCAAAGCATCCGCCGCAGATCTGGACTGTGGGTCATATCCCACTGAAGTCCGTTAACCGTTGGACCAAATCGCTACAAAGCTTCCGATCGCGTCCTTCACCGTCAATGATGTCATCGTTGCCACGGTAAGTCACATGTTTGCCCGGAGATTCAGAAACACCTGCTGCATCATCAGTTCATTCCAGCATGAAAGGGTCTCTGACATTCCATGCAACTTCTTGCTGGCTTTAGCTGCGGTGCGTGCTGGGCAAGTTGCTTTACACGGCGGACAAGTTCTCTGCGGAGGTCTACGGACCAGTCGTCTTCAAGATCATGGATCACTGCTATGATGGTTCGTATACCTCGATTACAGGTGTGTCATCGCAATGTGTGTGGACTAGCGTCGCGGCTTGGGTTGGGCACAAAGAACTTCGTCGATTGACGGAGGCCCGGCTGAGGCCGCCGCTGAAGCGGCTTCGTTCGGATTTGCCTAATTTGTGCTCTTAGAAGAACGTAGAGTCTAACCCCCTTCTCTGTAAATGCAATGTGATCATACCATTGTACATAACCCTACCTGAATATGTCATAATTGGTCTGAAATGGCACTGGAAATGCTCTGGAAATCCACTGGAAATGCTCTGAAAGCTCTGGAAGCGCTCTGAATGCCTGAATTTCCAGACAAAATCTAGAGCAATCTAGCAGCGCAGGGCTGAATGCGCTTTACGCGCTTTACGGCTGAATTGTTCTAGATCGGCTCTGAATTGCTCTGAATTGTTCTGAAGCGCGCGTGGTAAAGTTGCTGATGTGAGCGGTTGATCTCTGACCAGCAATAGTACCGGTATCGTCATCGTCAGGTCGAAGGTGAACCCGTGCTCCTCCGATTTCTTTGTAGAGAACAAGCCTGATGCATACGGATTGACCTTGCTCAGATAACATCGGGAGAAACTCCGCCTAGGCTGGACTCGGATAGGGTCTTGGCACTCCTTTTAGTAGCTCGCACGAATTTTCTGAGTCAGTTTCACTGCACACTACTGGCAGAGCTGCTGGTACAATTTGGGTACCAAGCTACCGACAACGGCGGGGAAAACAAATGAAACATTACAAAATAGCAACACTGCTCGTCAAAGCTTTAATGCACCGAATGCCAGCAGAAGGTTGATCGTCACTAGTCTGTGCCGCCGTTGCGGCGGGCCGAAGGCCCAAAACAAGCTGCAGTTCCGGTAAATTCGGGGCCGCCATGACGCACTGGCCCGCCCGCTCTGCGCGATCCTCAATGACTCGACGGCCGCCCTGGGCCAGCCAGGGCCAGCCTGGGCCAAGCGCGAGTCTGCGCGAGTCCAATCCAGGCCAGGCCCAGCCACGGGCTGCCACCGGTCGAGCGCCTTTGTGCCACACGAGTCCACGACCCTCGACCCTCGACCCTGCATAACGCCGTTCACCTACCTCGACGCCCACCCGCGCCGACGGACTCTGCTCGCACTCCGACAGTGCTGTGACTTGTGTGTGTGATTGTACCTACTGCCTTCTCGACTGCCGCGCCTGTTCCGCTGGTCTCTACCCTCACGCCCGCCCGCCGCCCGCTCGTAAGTACGACCCAGCCAGCCTCGGCCGCGCCGCACCGTCGAATGCGGGTTCGTTGCTGGCCATGCTGACCACGCCGTTCCTCCTCTTCTTCTGTTTCACCATTGCATCTCTGGACAACACGTGCTACGACGACGTCTTGTGTCACGACTCCTTCTGCTCGGCTCGGCTCGACTCGTGTGTGGCAACGGCGACTCGACCATCGGCTCTTGGCCCCGACGCTGCTGGCTTGCGTCGTGACTCGCTGGTCGGCCCCGCATGGCCTGACTTGTGTCGCTCGCTTGCGCACGCTCGCCCTCGACCCGTGTCGACTCATCGCCTACCTACTTCGCGCGGTAGCAGCCCCATCTCGACGACACCCTTCTACACTCAGCCACCCGAAGCCACCATCACCATCATGGCCTTCGCCCTTTACTAAAAGGCTCCACCTCACCAGCCTTTACACCCGTCATCACAAAAGTCGCGTTCATTCGCACCCTTTGTTGTCCCGCCTCGAACGCCGAACCCGAACCCGAACCCGACGCCGACCCACTTGGACCGCTGCCTCCCGCGCCGCTCTGTCTCTGATCTGACTCATCCCTCCATTTACGTTCACCCGACACCGCGATGCGAGAATCCAACTTCAGCTCACCAGCTCACAACCGGGCTTGCGTGTGTATTTCTTCTGCTCTGTATGATCGACGAGGTCAGTACCTTATTCCCCCTCTGGCTTGCGGTGCGCTACTCTCGTTTGGCCTTGCTCGGTCATCCGAGCTCCGGACTCCAGGTCCAAGTCAGCGTAGCCACGTGTGATATGAACGCAGCACATCCCTCTCGGATCAATGTTCGTGATGGGGTCAGACCGTGGCCAACTACCACTACCAGTCGCCGTCTTTTGATGCCAGTGCCATCTGGCGCCTGAACTCTTCACGGTGGCAAACGGACCGCGTTGAATCAGCCAACCGGGGACGGAGCCTTGGCGCTCCCGAACAAAGGCTTCGCAAGCCTCTCGTGGCGACGATGCTTCACGAGCAAGGGCCTCGAGTGCAACTCTTTATTCAGAACAGTACATCGTGTTGCGACGGTCGATGCTGACAACATTCTTGGAACTTGCCACCGTCGTCGTTTTTCTTGCGATCCCACAGCGATCGACGCGCCCTCCCCCTCTCTCCCTCTCGTCAACTCGCTCACCCACCTCTCCTATCTCACTGCGACCTCGCCCCGAATTCGAGAAATTCTATCTCTCGATGGTGGCCTGGAACGGCTGGTGCGGATATTGAAAGGATGCGCGGCGGGAGGCCCTCCCGTAATCGAGGAGAGTCTGGCCGACATCCGACACAAGACCACTCGGGGACCCAAGAAGGGTCCCCGACGAAGCCCCTTCAAGAGTTTCGACGAGTACTCGCCGGTCATCGATGACGAGTGGACGCAGGATCGGGCCGGCTACACCTCCCTCTCCCGGACAGTCGGCGAGGCCCCGCTGCCTTGGGAGCTCGATGTCGAGCTTGCATCTTCATTATCGTCAGCCACCATGGCAACCAACACCTCGAGCCGGGATCGACACCTCCTCTACACCTATACCCTCGCTTTCCAATGCGTCGTCAACATCGGCGTACGCGGCTCTGAAACGATTCGAACGCGGGTCGTCGAAGCCGGCGCGCTCGATGTCGTCGTCAACGTCCTACAGCGATACCTCGATGACATCGCCCGGCGCAAGCAGCAAGCTGAACTTGCTGCAGAGGAAGAAGCAGCCGCAGCTGCAACGCCTGTCGCCGTACCACCTGTCGCGTTGGGCCTCCCCGTCGTCGCCGAGATCGTCCTGGCGCCGTTGACCCAACCCCAACTCGCCCGCCTTAATAACCGAGCGCCACCGCAATACCGTCTTGCCCCACCCGCTCGCGTCGCGACACCCGACACCGTCATCAGCACGGATGAAGGCTCAATCGCCGACGACAACGGTTCGTCGTCGGGGCAGGAGGGGGACGAGGTCATGACGGAAGACGAGCCACGGTCGCAGGCTTCGACCTCTTCCACCAACAGCCGACTTGAAAAAGCCATTATTGCGTCATCGTCTGCGCCGTCCCGGCGACAAGATCGCGACGAAGATGATGGCGACGTCGTCATGGGAGGCTCGGACATGCATGAAGATGCTGCCACGGCGTCAACCCCGCGCCACACCGCGACCTCACCGCAGGACGGTTCGTCTCGTCCCAATCAGTCGAGGAGCAGTGGGCTCCACTACCGTGACGAGGACGTCTTGCTGTCGCTGCAGCTCCTCGCCTACCTCAGCAAATATCCCCACGTTCGCTCCGTTTTCCACTCCCCCCACGACGCGGTCCACCCCGAAATGGATGACGAAATCGAGCACGACTACCTGCACGCACCGCACCACGACCACTACGACTCGAAAGCGAGCACACCGACAAGCACATCGTTGCCGACCCTCTCCTCGAACGTATTTTCGCTCGTGGAAGTTTTCACGCACCGCCCCGCGTCGAATGACCCATACACGCCGCGTCATTCAAACGAGGTGCAGTACTGGGCCGGCGTCATCATGCGCAACGCTTGCCGCAAGGACGAATCTCGCGGTGGGATCCGACAGTGCGCGAACATGCAGTGTGGAGTGTGGGAAAAGTACGCGCGAGAGTTCGCCAAGTGCCGTCGATGCCGCAAAGCCAAGTACTGCAGCAAAACATGTCAAAGTAAGGCGTGGCAATTTGGTCATCGGTACTGGTGCGCCAAGGCTGCACCGAAAGAGGGCAACTCGTCGACCCACGATGAGAGCGCTCCATCGTCCGCAGCGAATCATCACCAGCATCATCACCACGGCGTCCACAGCCAGGGTCAAGCTCAGGGCCATGGCCAGCATCATCATCACCACCACCATCATCATGGCCAGCACGGCCACCACGCTACTGCCGGCGGTGCAGAATCTTCGGGGCCCGCCGAACGTGAGGCGTTGACGCGTCGTCACGAGCGAAGATCTCGGCGCGATGACGATGATGATGATAACGATTACGACGAGGACGTGAACGCTCTTGCCGGACCGGCTCTGGGTGGTCTCGATCTCGCCGCCGCTGCCGCTGCCCACGCGATTGGGGCAGGCCTCGGTGCGAGGGCATTGTTTAATCGCAATCGTGGCATCACTCCGCGCGGACATCGTCAATCGCCCGGCACCGACAGCGGCGCGACGACGCCACCTGCGGGTCTTCGGACCGGTGGTGACGGCGCAATCGGTGGTTTTGAAGTCAACGTCGCCGGAATGGGCATGCGAGTTGGCGACGGAGCGTTGGGCATGGACGAGAACGACGTCGCGCACGATCTACTCGTCGGCGGCGTCTTTGGGGAGATCGGCGCCATGAACGGCTTGACTCTGGCCGAAAACCAATGATGATACGCGTCTACTTCTCTGTCGCCCTCCACTTCGGCTTACCACCCCTCCGTACCAGTCGGCATTACATCCTGTTAACATTTCCTCACGAAGTTTGGAACCCAGTCTCTGCTTTTCAGTGAGCGTTTCGCTGTTCCCGAGGCTCTTCCCATCCATCCTTAATTCCCTCTATCGTCTGGCTTTACTCCTTTCTGTTTTCTGTTTCGCTGTCTTTGTTCATGTTAGCACTTTGCAATTCGCACCCTCATGTCACGATCTATATTTCCTCGTTCTCGTAGTATGTACGGCGTGCCCGGCGCATCCACCAAGGCAACCCCCACACGGAGAGCCACACGGTGGACATCTGTGGGCATGACGTAGACGATTGCGCCAAGGCGCGCCGGCTTATCCTCTGTGTCTTGTCTTCAGCTCTACTCCGCCTCAACCTCTAACGTCAGGTTGTCCGGCAGCCTTCATAACTGGATATGGCGCAGACCGCTCAGTTACAGCCCCTCGACGGTGGCCGCGACAGCGATGAACGACCCACCGGACCTCCGTTGCCCAAGCCCATCGCCGAGGGCTCGCCGTCGTCATGGAGCTACTTCTTTATCCGCCTCTTGTTCGTCTTTGTCTTGCGCGTATTCTATTCCAACGTCGTCGTTGAGGGTGTGGAGAACATCCCTCAGGATGGTGTACCTTGGTGAGGGCCCTCGCTATCGTGGGCCATGTCGGGATCCACTGGGGAGGCGTCTCGTTGCTGATCGCGAGTCACATTGATTGTTGACTTTCAGTATGCTCTGTGCGAATCATTCAAACTCCTTGACGGATGCTCTGCTATTGGTGACGACCGTTCCGACCTGGGTAAGATCACTACGAGATGCTCCACGCTTCGAAACACGCTGACGCCGTCGGTCCCCGGTACTCGCACAGAAACGAAGGCTACTCCGGTTGACCGCCAAGGATAGTCAGGTACGCTTCGTGAGACAGTGCGTCGCCTATGAGCTTTCGTTACGATATGCTTACCGTCTCATGCTCGTATACCCGACTTCAGTTTGGACGCAAGACTTTCACGTCTTGGCTCATCGAATCGGCTGGAACGGTGCCGATCAAGCGGCAAAAGGAGCACGGCAAAGCCGGCACGACCGTCGACAACTCGGCCGTGTTTGAAAAGCTCATCGATGCACTCGGAAAGGGCGACATGGTATGCATCTTCCCCGAGGGGATGTCGAGGTATTATCCTCAGATCGCGCCGCTTAAGCAAGGTGTGGCCAGGATTTTGAGCGACACCTTGACCCGGCACGAGCACCAGCAAGATTTCAAGGTCGCCGTCCAGACGTGTTCCATCACGTATTTGCATCGAAACCTGTTCAGGTGGGCCACAATATGCTATCATGTGTGCATCCATATTCGGTGGACGCTGAAGTATTGCTGAGGTCGTTAGATCCGATGTCTTGGTCACTTTCCACCCCCCGATCATCGTCACACCCGAGACCCATCCTGGGCTGATCGCCAGACCGAGGTCCGAAGGCAGACCGGGCCGTATGTTCTTGCCCGAATGTGCGTCACGCAGCTACTGAAACGCTGACGAATTATGTTCTCGTGCTTTGCAGCCGATGAGGATTCGGTTCGTCGTCTGACGTCGTCGATTGGTACCGAGATCCGTTCCGGCATCTTGGATGCGCCGTCCTGGACCTACATTCGGGCAGCAAACGTCAGTCATAGTATAGGAAGAGCCTATATCACGTCTTCTGACCTCGACCAAGCTGAATCAACAGACTTGTCGACGCTTGTATGCTCCTCTCGGCACCAAACTTGGCCTGGGCGAGCACGTTCGGCTGACGCAACGCTTCGTTGAGGGCCTGACGGGGCGCAAAGCGATCAAACCTTGGCAGGAAGGCGAGGACGTCAAGGGCGTATTGAAGACACCGATGAGACAAACACGACCCGGCGAAGACTACTTTGGCTCGGAGAAGAGTGAAAGCGAGGATCGACCGAGCTCGCAAGACGACCTGGACCTGTTGGTCAAGGATTTGACCAACTACCAGGTGGGTCCTTCTTACCACTGCCATAGCCATGAAGGTCGATGCAATTTGACCCATCTCTTTCTTACCTGCTTCTAGGACTTGCTCTACGTCCATGGCATCAAGGATGACCGCGTTCGCAACCCGAGACTCTTGCGCCGTCGCACTCTGGTCAAAAGGCTGCTGGTGCGCTTCCTCGGCGCCACCGCACTCTTCGTCATGTGCCTACCTGGCTTGGTCTTCTGGACGCCGATATTCGTCATTGCCACCAAGGCGTCGAGAAAGTTCAAGAAAGCTGGGCCGGTGTTTGAGTGTGTCCACTGTCTTTACAGCGTCTCCTGATTTCGGCATATGAAGAAACTGATCGGCGGATTTGTATCTTCGCAGCACTTATGACGAGGTGAGATCTCGGCGTCGGTTTCCGTAGTACTTCCCGAATTCATATTGAACGGTAGGTTTCCCCCATCCCTTACAGGTCGCGCAAACCAAACTGGTCTATGGCCTCATCGTCGGTGTCATCGAATGGCTATCAGTGTGCCTGCTCACGCTTCCGCTGTCGTGGTTGACGCTCTTCATTTTCCCCACTCTTCTGTGGCTGACACTACGATGGTTGGAGGATCTGACCTCGTCCCTGCGTGCGTCGATTGCGCTCTTCCGACTCTTACTCATTGGCAAGCGACAGCTCCGAGTTTTGCGCGACATGCGCGAATCGCTGAGGATCAGAGTGGAGAACCTCGCCGTCAAGGATTGTGGACTGCCGCGCGATGCCGAAAAGTACATTGAGAGGCAGAGGGGTTGGAGGCTGGCTTCCTCTTTGGGCTTTTTCTCCTTGCGCAGGAGAAGAAAGAAGGGTGCGTCGCGGTCGCTGCTCTCTCGAAGCCTGAAGCTCGACAAAAAAATTGTGTTCAGACTCGGAAGCCCCATCACTGACGCCGGCTCGTCTCGCTCGGATCGACAGACTGGAACGAAAGCCTCAAGCTCTTCGATGTCAGCGAGTATCCTGGAGACGACATGCCTTCCGATCTTGTCTCGTCCGTACCTCTGACCCCGGCGGCGATCGCAGGCCCCTCGATGGCCAAGGCCAGCTCGAGCTTGACGAGCGTGACCGAGGAACGACCCAGGAGAGGTCGGGTGGACCGACTCAAGGTAGCCTGAAGCAGGAAATATTTTTCTGCTGTTTTTGTACTGTCTATCTCTGCATTGAAACCCTCCGCTTGCTGTCATCATTTGGCCGACGAAGTGTTTGGCCGGCCGTTTCGGTGCCCGGCTCGGCCGCCGTGATTCACGCGGGTAAGAGCTGCGGACTTAGCGACAGAGACGAGCCGAGTCAAGTCGAGCGCCGCCGGTAGAATCCTGACCTCCAACTTGCCAACCCTCGAACCTGATCGACACTTTGCCTCACCATGGCATTCAGGCTCTCTTCTTCACTTCGATCCTCCTTACTGTCGCCGGCTCGACCACTGATGATGGTCGGTCGTTCAGGACCGTCGTCGTCGCTCACGAGCGGTCGATTCGCCGTCAATGCGCTAGGTGCAACCTTCTCGACTACCGCAAGAATGTCCGAGAGTGAGTGGGGATAAGCTATACTGGCAGCCTGTCGATGGGTGATATGATCTATGAATTTGGCGGTATGATGCTGGATGCAAGGCGAATATGGAGCTGCCGGTTGTGTTCTTCGACCTCGCCCGGCGCGGAGGTGCTGGGAAGCGGTGCTACGTCTGCTTGTGGACGGATTGGACCCTGGGAGGTCAAAGATGGTGATGAATAGACGACCCGCTGCTATACCTCGACGCGGCGACTCGGAAGGGTCGAGGCACCGCGGCGGGTACTCCTGCGATGGGGGCTCACCGGTGGCTCCCAAGTGGGGACGGCCGATAAAGCCGTAGATACAGTCATGGCGCTGCGGCCATCACCGGTCAAACGTTTCAAGGACATGACCTCGGCTCTCTTTACCTTCACTGGCCGAACTCTCGTATAGCCTAGCTATTATCCGCTCCCTACACCTCTTCCCGTCCCCATCAGCACCCCTCTCGTCTTCCCTCATCGATCACACCTTCTGGTAATACCTCCCGAGGGATGTGATTCGAGATGTCAAACCGGTCCCATTACCCTCGTGGGTGCCTCTGGCGTACGAACGGTTTCTGCGATCGGGTCTGAAGTGGGGTTATTCAACTCTGTCGGCGTTGAGCTTGAGCGCGTTAATGACCGCATCAGCCTTCAACAGTGCCCCCTGTCTTTTTGGGGTCTAGCTGGGACTGAGATTCGAGCGGCGGCAACCCGAGCAGCGGGCGAGCGCCCTGCCTGCACTCGTGGCGGATCTCGGACCGGGCCGTGGGCGCGTGGAGCGTTGGTGCGTTTTCGCCCGCGCCTCCCAGGCCTCGCGCGCTTACATTTCGGCGGTGGGCGGAGCTCCCGGGCCAACTCCGCCAGAGTCCGTGCGCGCATGCCGCCGAGCCTGCGCTGGGGCGCGGAGGATTGTCGGGCGAACGAGGCGTTCCGCTACCGACCCGTGCCCCGAGTCTTGAACGGTTTCTTGCGCTTCTCCCCATATCTCCTCGCGTCTCCTCTCCCAAGTCCCCCGGCAAGAAACTTGCCCACTCAACGTTCGACATCGCAATCATGCCTACAGAGTTCAACAAGATCAAGGTCGAGAACCCCATCGTCGAGGTGAGTGGTCGTGTTCTTCCGCTCCCCGCAACCCACTCCACCTGCACTACAAGTGGCGCCGCCAGGCGGCAGAGTTCCGTCATCACGCTCGATGTCTCGTTCGCTGACCCCTGGCCACGCCTCGTCCGGTCTTTCTTCCATTATTTGTGCGATGCATTCGGCCTGTGCAGATGGACGGTGATGAGATGACCAGGATCATGTAAGTGCCCGGCTGCAGACGGAAGGAGCGGAAACGAGATGCTGACTCGACGCTGCTCCCCATTGGGCCTCCACTCCGCTTGGCAATTGTCGTTCTTACACGACGCCTTACATAGCTGGCACAAGATCCGTGCCGATTTGATCTTGCCCTTCCTCGATGTCGACATCAAGTACTACGATCTCGGTCTCGAGTACCGGTGCGTGACTTCCCTTCCGTCGGTCGAGCGCGGAAATTAGCCCCCGCGCATCTCCGCTCGGCCACATCCGCACCAGCTTACCAAAACTGACCGAGCTGTGGGCAGTGATGAGACCGACGACAAGGTCACCGTTGATGCCGCCGAGGCCATCCTCAAGTACGGTGTTGGTGTCAAGGTCAGTGGTCCCTCTTCATGCCGTCTGCTTGTCTTGGGGTAGCGCCCGCGTGGTCGGGGTCGTCGTCGTGGCCTGGCTCAGCTTCCGCCCAGAAAAAGGGCCGCGGCCCGATGAGCCCGACCGGTCGCGACGGAAGGAATCGGGAGAGGCCTTGTAGGACGGTACAGCTGACCTTGCCCTTTGCATGTGGTGACCTACAGTGCGCCACCATCACTCCGGACGAGGTACGATTTTTGGAAGAACTGCACTGCAGTGGCTTATTCTCGGTGCTGACCTCTCCCCGTCCTGCCCACCGGCTGTCGTCACCTTTTCCCCCCACCTCGCTGCTCACTCAACTACCCGCGGCTCGACTCATGTCGCAAATGGACAGGCCCGAGTGGAGGAGTTCAAGTTGAAGAAGATGTGGAAGGTGAGTTGCTCTTCTGGCAACAAGGCCGCCCTTTTACGGGGTTTCCCGCGGCCTACCGGGCCTGGCTTGTGCCGCCGGTTCCATGCGCGTTCGATCAGAGCTGACTGTATGCGCATTCGCGTGTCTCGTACCACAGTCGCCCAACGGCACGATCCGCAACATTCTCGGTGGTACCGTCTTCCGAGAGCCCATCATCGTCGAGAAGGTCCCCAAGTCGGTCCCAGGTCCGTCGTCGGCTCATCCGGCAGTCGATCGCTGCACCCTTGTCCGCCGCGAACCTGACCTTTATCTTGGACCCCTCGCTTTGTGCACCACCAGGATGGGTCAAGCCTATCATCGTCGGTCGACACGCCCACGGTGACCAAGTGAGTGTTCTCCCACCCTGGTCTTTTTGGCTACATCCACCGTATCACTTCATCAGACCTTCTCGTGCTGACGGATCCCCTTTCCGCCGCCGCAGTACCGTGCCACGGACATCATCATCCCCGAACCCGGCAAGCTCGAGCTCGTCTACACCCCGGATGACGCGTCCAAGAAGCCCACCAACTTGGAGGTATTCCACTTCAAGACCCCGGGTATGGGTCTGGCCATGTACAACACCCAACAGGTGCGCTTCTTGATACGCGGCCAGCTTGACATTACGGAATGCTGACCAGCGTGCCTTTTGTATCGTCCAGTCCGTCCGAGACTTTGCTCACGCTTCGTTCAAGATGGCCATCGAGAAGAAGTTGCCCCTCGTGAGTGGCGAGTTGTGCGGACGCGAATGGCGCATCGAAATGTATTGACCTGTCCGTTCCACCTGCAGTACATGTCGACCAAGAACACCATCTTGAAGGGCTATGATGGTCAATGGAAGGACATCTTCCAGGCCATCTACGAGTCCGACTACGCCCCCGAGTTCAAGAAGCTCGGCATCTGGTACGAGCACCGCTTGATCGACGACATGGTCGCGCAGATGATCAAGTCCTCCGGTGGCTTCATCATGGCCTTGAAGAACTACGACGGTGACGTTCAGTCCGACATCATCGCCCAGGGCTTCGGTTCGCTCGGCTTGATGAGCTCCGAGCTGTTGACCCCCGACGGCAAGGTCATCGAGTCCGAGGCCGCACACGGTACGGTCACAAGGCATTACCGCGAGCACCAGAAGGGCAACGAGACGTCGACCAACTCGATCGCGTCCATCTTCGCGTGGACCCGTGGTTTGATCTTCATGGGCAAGCGAGACAACAACGAGGCCCTCGTCAAGTTCGGCAAGGACCTCGAGGCATGCTGCGTTGAGGCCGTTGACGTCGATGGTGAGTGCCTTCTTCATTTTTGTCAGGTGCACATTTTCACCGATCTGTGAAACTGACCCCACCTCTCCTCTTCCCATTATTGCGCAGGCGTCATGACCAAGGACTTGGCCCTTTCCATTCATGGCAAGAACATGAAGCGAGAGCACTACGTCAACACCTCCGACTTCCTTGACCACGTCAGTTCTTTCTCTCGCTTGCCTATCGTGGTGCCTTAGTCACCCAGCAGCTGACACTGTGCCGTTTCCGATCGACTGCAGATCCGAGACTCCTTGACCAAGAAGTTCAAGGCTTCCCAATCCAAGGCCTCGCTCTAATTACACGATTAGAGTCGAATATGGTGCGATATCCTTTTTTGGGGTGGTTCAGGCGGATGAAAAAGGATGAGAAGCCAAAAAACCCACAGGACGCTGCTAAGATTGCAGAGAATCGAGCTATAGGGCGTCTTCTTAGATTGATTGTTATCACTTGATATTTACCTTGTAAAATCAAAGGTTCCTCGGAGCAACTTGTGGTCGTGATGTAGGATCAAGCTGCGTCCAGGTCTGGTCGGAGGGTCGGAAGGTCGCGGGACAAGAGGATCGGTACAAGTTTGCGATTGCATACCCTAAAGCTGGGCACAAGAATATAAAGAGCATATTCATACAACAGAGGAAAAGGTTTCTTCAACGCTTTTTCACACCTTTCTCCTTTTGGGGGAAACCTCACCCGCCCCCGCCCTCGCCGTCCCTGTCCGACTTGCAGACTTGAAAGGCTGCGTCTCGCCACTCACCAAACCCAAACTCCTGAGTTGCGCCAATCTCTCCCCTTCCCCCTTGACGAACCTCTCGGCCAGATTCGTAGGCACGCTCTTGGTCTTCCATTCAGCATCGCTGCCGACCAAGACGGCATTCGAGATGATGGACAAACGAGTTTCGGGGGGTTCCAAAGGCCCGTTGCGATGTGCCGAGGCCGCCGCTGATCTTGAGGAGATTGTACCCTGGGCAGAGGACAGCCGGCCAGCCATCGGTCGAGGCGGCTTGAAAGCCGCTGAGTTGATTACGCTGGAAGACGTCGATGAGGAAGAACTGCCCGCTGACGAGGCTCGGATGATGTTCGTCGCCGGTAGAGGCTTCGAAATACTCGACTTGGTCATCGCAGGTCCCGCGGACGTGCGATACCCGACACTCGAGATCATTCCGAATTTGGTGACACTCGAACTGCCCACTCCGTTGGGCCCGTTTTGGAACGTCGACAAGGCCGAACTGAATCCCGCGTTGGCGCCCGCTGGTATCGGAGCTGGACCTGTCGAAGAGTAGGAAGCGCGTACGTGGTTGTATGCCGACATGTTGGCCGAGTGTTGGTTCATCTTCGAGGCGAATGCTCGATTTTCAAGGTGGTTCGACTCGTTCGGAGCGTCGATCGGCAGGGTCTTGTTGCTGGTCACATCGCCAAATGCATCAGCGTCCCGAATCATTCCTGTCTTATGTCCGAGAGCGTAGGACCTACTGCTCCTCGATCAGCCTCGCCGTCTCGGCCTCATCCGGCGGCTCCCTCCCCAACACCTTTGCCATCGCCTGCCGCGTGTCGGCACCGATTTTCTGCAACTTTGGCACGAACAGCGTTGGATAAGTTTTGACCACGGACTTGAGGAACGGCGTCAAATATCTTTGGACCATATCGGCTATTGCGTGATCAAAATGGATGTAGCGTGCATCAGCATCAGCATAATCATCGAGGAGAGCTCGAAAGATGCTCTGTCAAGCACGAACCTCCGGCCATGCGCTGCTGACAATGCGTCAGAGTACAGAATCCTTGCGCCCTTGTGATCGCGACGTAGAGAAGACGCCTGTAGACGGGACACGGGCTGTCAGGTTGACACTCGTGAGGAAAGGGAAGTCCCGCTCAGAATTGGCTGACCTCTCTTCGGCAATCTCATCGTCCTTTCGACAGCGGTAGAAAGGGTAGGTACCTAGTTGGGAATGCGAGACGACATGAGCCTCGGGGGTAACCTCTTCGCTCGTTCGTTGAAGCGAGCTCACCGTCTTCACAAGCAGGCACGAAGATGATGGGCCACTCGAGTCCCTTGGCTGCGTGACATGTCGACAGCGTCACTTTCTGCTCGGGTTCCGACGTACATCCAGCCCGTGAGTCCCGGGTACTGCTTAAATGGCCTTTGTCCCGTGCTCACCCTCTGCTTTGAGTTCTCCTTGACTTCGTTCGTCTCCGAGTCAGTCGCAAGCATCGACACGGCTAGGAATGTTCTCAACGGATTGTCCGTTTTGGTGCCCGTCAAAACCGGTGCCGATCTGGTTGAGGTCGACGCATCGTCGTCGGCATCTTCTGCTTTTCCTCTCGCGGGGATTGCAACCTCTTCAAAGTCTTCGTCTTCGGGGAGCACGAGGTCGTCGACGCCTTCTGGGTGTTCTTCCGCGACGACGGTAGCGAAAGCCTGCGTGGAGAAGTTGGGCTCTGGTCATGAGCTCACAAGCACGAACGTTCCTAGGGCGCGATGGGTGTCCTCACTTTGAGCTCTTCGATATTCTCCCATCGATCCTTGGCGTCGGGTCCTTGAGATTTCTCGAGATGGGCTTGGTAGTTGAGGCTCGCAGTCAAGGCGTCAATCAAGTCCGGTACCGTTGCTCCCTGACGTGCGAGCCCACAGAAGGTCAGGTCCTTACCACCAACTCAAGTGTAACATACCCGTGCTCGACCGACTCACCTCATGCGCTTTCCGCTGCAGCTCCAAAATCAACTCGACAAAAAATTGCATCCCGTTCTTTTGCTTCGATGTCAACGAAACTTGTCCACTCCCGTTCGCTAATTTCTTGCAAAGCTCGAAAGCCGAAAGGTTCTTCAGTCTGGCTTGGGCGATGATGTCCCGAATGGTCTTGTCCCCGATTCCTCTGAGGGGCGTGTTCACAACTCGGACAAAGGCAGCGGTGTATGAGGGGTTGTCGACCAATTGTAGGTACGAGATGATGTCTTTGACTCTGCATGATATGGCACAACTCACAGTGAGCGATCAAGGGGTTGGAAGCGAGACCAAAGAAATTTACTCTGCTCGATCAAAGAACTTGTGACCACCGACCATCCTCGACGGTATCCCCGTTTTTTGCAGTGCCACTTCGATGTTTCTCGATAGTGCCCCGTAGCGCAACAAAATGGCGACATCACCATAATCGACGAGGTTGCCGGTATGGGCGACGAGATGCTTGATCTGAGCTGCGATGAAGCTCGCTTCTTCGTAGGCATTGGAAGCGCAATGGAGGACGACCGACGATCCGGCACCATGTGTTGCTTTTAGCCCTTTTTGAATTCGGTTCGCGTCTGAGAATTCCCAGACGTAGCCCATTAGCTTCGTCACTCCCATCATTTTACGATTGAAGGGTGTCTCCGTACCCTGCCGAACAACGGCCAAAGCGGCACCCAAGATCGCTCCTGTACTTCGGTAATTCTCCTCCAAAAAGATCTGCTTAACCGGCTTGAAATCTTTGACCATACGTTCCAGGTTCCCGACTTCGGCGTTGCGCCAGCCGTAGATTGACTGATCGGGATCGCCGACGATGGTGAGGGACTGGCAGCCGCGGGCGATGGTCGTGACGAAGTCGTACTGGATCGCATTCGTGTCTTGGAACTCGTCGATGAGGACGGACTGAATGTCGGATATGATGGATTCGTGCTTGCGAACGAGTTCAAGGCTGGACATGTCAGAGCTCAGATTCAGATCAGCGGCTCTCTTAGGGTCAATCGAGTCGGTTTTGGGCACTGACCCTCGCACGAGCAAGTCGTCGAAATCGAGCGCGTTGTCCCTTCCTAGCTCGTCCTCATAGACCCTGTAGAGCACGCGTGGGGCGAAGCATCAGATTTTGGGGGCTGCAAGACTTTGATCAATGATCTGCAAAACGAACTGGTAAATGTTGGCGATCGCATCCGTTTTTTCTCTCGCTTTGAAGTAGTCGATCGAATCGCCTTGGGCTCGATAGGCTCGAGGCGAGAGACCGGTCGCTTTGCACTTTGTGATGACGTCGAGAAGATATTTAGGGTTGAGCTCCTTGCGCAAATTCTCGGGGCATTTGGCGGTGACGACTGCTCGTCTGGCGGTGGCGAGACTGTCACGGTGAGCAAACGATGTTCAGGATTGAGCGCTGATAGAGTGCGTGTATGCGAGCCGGCGGAACTTGACTGACCAGTCATCCCGATCGGCCACTGTAAAGTCATTCCTGATGCCGATACGCCGACCATACCGTCGCAAGTAGCGCACACACACGCTGTGGCTGGAAGCCGACGTGCCGAACGATGTACGGTCAGCCGAATTTTGTTGGGACTCGTTTCGGAGAGTGCGTCGCTCACAAGGTGCCGATGATGATGCTATCAACGGTTTCCTTGCCGACGAGCAAAGCCAGCCGCGTCTTCATTTCGTTTGCAGCCTTATTGGTGAATGTAACCCTGTGATGGCCCCGGGGAAACTGGTTCAGCGGGGATACCGCGGCAAGATGTGTGGCGAGCGCCGAGGCCAGGACTGACACGACGAGGTGTTGAGGTTGAATCTTGTAGTGTTGGAGCAGGTACGCGACTCGGCTCGTCAAAACTTTGGTCTTGCCTGGTTCGCGGGTCGGGGGGGATGAGAGAGACGTGGCGTGAGTTGTTCGAGTCGTGTTGACACTGTTACGGGTCTCCCCGAACTTGATGGCGTGCGGGTCGATCACCACTCACCACTGCCCGGCCCCGCGAGGATCTGCAGGCTACCAAGATCGGCCGTGACGGCTGCGAGCTGAGCGGTATTCAGTCCGACGAGATACTCTTGCGGTTGTCGTTGCTGGAAAGTCAAGGTCGACTGCTTGAGGCTGGTCCGATTGCTCGTCGACTGAGTTGGGGTCGTTGTCGCGGTGGAGTTGTCGCCGCGTGGATCGGCGCGTGGATCGAGAACATCGCCGACTTGGTCCCACGGCGGTTCGTCTTGTGCTTGCTCCTGGCCACTATCACTATCCCCCTCCTGCTCTGCCGCAGCGATCAAAGCCGCCTCGTCCTCGTCGTCGAATGCGGTTGGCATCGTGTCGCACTCGCCAAAGCTGAAGCTCTGAAGCGTCGTCGCGTTGAGCAAAAGTGAGACGCGCGGCGAGATGGCTGTCATTCGGACAGTCACTGTACGTCATGGCGGCTCAGCGAATTACGAGTGGCTAATTTGTGATTTTCTGAAAACGTTGATTCCTCTTCCTCTTTGGATGTCGATGTGAACCTCAAGTGTTGGAAATTATTTCTCCCGCAAACTGTGACTCCGCACTCCGAGTGGTGCCGAGGAAGTTGGCCGGTGCCTTCAAGTTGTCGCGCGCCGATCGAGCCCTGTCGCAACAACTCCTGATTAGCGCTTCTCCCTTCCACCCGGCGTGCCTCTGACGTGCTGCGTCAGAGTCAATGTCACGGCATCGGCCGCCGATCGCCGCGCCCCTTCTGTCGTTCCCACCGAACCCCCCGAACCCATCGACCGCGCACGCTGCCCACCATGACCGGTGCTCCCTCCTGCCCACCGTCGCCGGCGCCACCTTCACCTCGTCCTCAACCGCCTCAACGACCGCGACTGCTGCGGCTGCGAGTGGCTTTCGACCGCTACCGCGCAAGCAGCGCCACTTGATCGTCCGAATATGTCTCATGACACCCCTCTTCTTCATCACCTCGCTCTACCTCTTTGCCGCCTATGCCTACCTGTTCTCCCTCGTGCTGGCAAGTTCACCGATGACTGCCACGTCGAGCCCTAGCCTCCCTCGCTGACTGCGGTCAACATCAACAGGACTATCTGTGGGTGGAACGACACTCCTACCTCAAAGCATCCGTCTACGCGATCGTCTTTCTCTGGTTCGAGCTCAACGGCTTGATCGCGGTCTGGCATTGCTGGTACCGCGGAGGGGGCCACATCCTAGCCTCGCGACCGGGCGACGACGACGACGAAGAGCAACTCCTTGGCACCCCCCATCGATCAGCGCCGATACCTGTCAGACCATCCCCCAAGGAAGAGCAAGGCCTGTTGCAGAACGATGCCGGATTGACCGTCAACCAGCCGTCGTCCGCGGTCGACTCCGCAGCTCGATCTGGGTCCACCGTCAAAACGACGGCGATGCGCGAGTTGAGCGACATGGCTCGAGCAGGTGACTCTGGTACGCATACCTCTGCACGGCATGAGCAAGCAGCGTCAACGATAGGCGTACAAGTCAAGAGCGATGGCAAGCAGAGATGGTGTAGAAAGGTCGGTCCTCCTGTCTCTCGCTCAGTGGAGGGCTTCATGTGGGGGTGGGCCGTCGGTGGCGCTGACCAGAGCGGCTCCCGTTTTCAGTGTCGACTGCCCAAGCCAGATAGGGCCCATCACTGCTCCTCGTGTCGGGCATGCGTTTTGAAGATGGACCAGTGAGTGTTTGGATCTACTGCCCGAACTGTTGCGTGCTCGTCGTTCCAAGGGCTGACACGCGAACGTTTGTTCCTCCCAAAGCCACTGTCCCTGGCTGGGAGGTGGTTGCGTCGGATGGGCCAACCACAAGTTCTTCCTTCTCTTTCTCCTCTACTCTGGCGCGCTCGGTATCTGGGTCTCGGCCACGACGATGAAGGAACTTGTCGACTTTGTAGCCGACGACGACCAGGACTTCGAACTCGCGCCCGTGATCTGGGCCATCGCATTCTTCGTCGGGATCGTCTTTGGCATCTCGGTCGGGCTCTTTGGGGTGTACCACCTCTATTTGGCCAGTCGAAATCGAACGACGATCGAGTCGATGGAGAATTCGACCTCGGTGATCGCTTCGGATTCGAGGCCGGCGCATTACCGCTCCGAGAATCACGCCATGTCGAGGGAAGATCGCAAGAGGTTGGACGAGGCGCAGGGAAGACTGAATATTTACGATTTGGGGTGGAAGAGGAATTTGAGGCAGGTGATGGGGGAGAGTTGGAAGGAGTGGTTTGTGCCGTTTGGGTGGCCGTGAGTTTCAGCGGCGTGGGGTGGGTCGCGCTCTACTTTCCCCCGGCACTGATGCTCTGCTTTTCAAGCCACCAGAGCTGGTGACGGGCACTCCTTTCCGGTCGATCAAGAGCAACTCGACCAATTGAGGAACATCACCTTACTCATTCGATCAGGTCAACATCACGCGCATGCGCAAATGCACTCGTCAGCGGAGTTTGCGGATGAAGACGAGGACGGGAACGAGACGGAAGTCGATTCTCGCGTGTCGAGTGAAACGGGTCGAGAGATCCGCAGGGCTTGACTTTTCGGGTGTATATTAGGATCTTTGCTTTGTTGTTGGAATTCTTGGGTGGAGGACTTGTGTGCGTCTAGACGAAATCGAAATTGTTGGACACATGGAATGTAATTTTGTCGCATTGGATCCTGGGATGGTACCGATCGCACTCGTCGCTAAAGGAGGAGCGGGATGCGGGATACGATCGCCGCGGCAAGCTCTCGAATGCCCTCGAAAAGCCTCGAAAGGGACTTGTGGCGAGGATGACGAATCCTGCGTTGGCGCGTACCCGCTCGCCTCCTGATTCAACCTCCGCCTGTACGCATTCCTCCAAGTCACTTACCCTGATCGACTCGAGTGCTTCTCCTCAGCGCTTGGTCAAGCTACCCGGACTACCTTCCATTATGGCTAGCCCTCTGTTCAACGGCAGCGGTGTGGCGCGACGAGCGATCAACCTCGGCGGCGCCCATCGTTCGAGCGAGACGTCGCACCAAGAGCTCATGCAGCGCGCCAAGCGGGAGAGGGAAGGACGTGAGGAAGGGAGGCGGAGGGAAGGCGCGGCGATCAAAGTGCAGGTCAGCAGTTGGAGGGGCAGCATGCCTTGGGGTGTGGTGATGGCCTCCGTGATCGCCGGCGACATGAGCGTGCCATGTGGCGCAACTCCGAGCTGACCGAGCCCACGGTCGCTGCCATGGTGTGCGATGACACCCTTGTTCTCGCGTACAGGCCTTTTACCGGGGAAGGGGACAAGCTTCCCGAACGCGCAATCAACTACGCACCGAATACGATCGCATGATGATGACGCCGACCGCAACCTCGTCAGCGGCTTCGTCAGCGGCCTCGATCGACCCGGACGAGTTGGTCCACGCCACGAAGCGATTGGTCCTCTTCCTCGCCGAGTCGAATCAGAGTGACATCAAACGACTGGCAGCATGGTGTAGGGCGGTGCTCGTTCCGCCGCGAGGGGCAACTGGTGCGTCATTTTCACGGCGGGCCCGTGTGGGGGTTCAGTGCGAGTGCTGACTTGCGCTATGATACGAGGACACTAGCCAAGACGCCTTCGCTGTTCGCGCTCTACTTGACCCATTCGAGCACCTGGTCCACGCTTGTGCGTCAGGTCACTCTGCACCTGCTTCGACGAGCGTCCTCGAGCCCAAAGTGAGTAGCTGGCCCCACTCACGAGCTGAAAGCCGGCTCGGCGATCACTGACCTCGTGTCTCCACGGACGGCGTCATCCTGCAGTCTTCCGCAGACGCCTTTGTTTGTCGAAATCGTCAAGATCTTGTGCGATCCGTCTTCGTTGACAAAGTGGAAAGTCATCCCCGTCAAAGGCCAACGGACGCCCCTAGAATACGTCCTCGACCGAAAGTTCTTCGAACTCCTTCGCACGCTGATTCTGGAGATCGTAAGCTCATGAGGCCCCTTCTCGCTGAGTACGAGTCGATTTCTTAACCTTCGTCCTCTATCTTCGACAGCCTACGAACAAACCGTCCCACCCCGCACTCTCGGCCACCGTCGCTCTCACGCTTCTCCCCTTCAAAGCTTTTCCTCCTAGCGCACCAGCGAGCAAAGCTTCTACCCCGGCTACGCCGTCCCCGACGCGACAAGCTGCACTCTCAGCTTTCATACGCCACATACTCTCAATCGAGCTTCTTCCTAGCCGTGTGCCGTCGGCATCCCTCGCTGCACTCGTGTCCCTGCCGATCGACGAGGTGCTCGCCACCGTCGCCACCGACGGCCACCTTCCACTCGACATCGAAGACAGCGTGCACCTCCTCGCGAATCTGCTCTTTCTCCTGCACAAGCGCGTTGAATCTTTTACTTCAGCGAAAGCGTTTATCAATTACCTCTTGGCTTTGCGCTCGCTATTGGATCAAGTCCCGTCGTCTGCTTTTACCGACGCGCACAAGAACACTGTCGCTGCCTCGAGCAAAGGTAAGGGGAAAGAGGTCGAGGTCGTCGTCATCGAAGATTCGGACGACGAGTCGGAAGATGATGGAGGAGTTGCAAACGAGGCAGTCCAACGTGCACGAGCGCGGTTGGGTGCGAGTTCGACCACTCGGGACGGGGATGGGGATGTTTCCATGACGGACGCCGCCGCCGCATCAACTTCACCCTCACGAACCTTCAAACTCTGTCTCGATCGCCATACGACTCAATCGCTCCAGTCCGTAGCTTCACGCGACCACATCGCCCACCTGCTTGTTCTCTCTACTCGATACTCGGCTTCGTCGCGGGTACCTCTCGCCTCCTTCCTCGTTTCTTTGATGGTCGCATGGCCCGCGAAGCGTGACGATGTGCTCAACGCGTTGATGTACAGTGGAGGGAGCTCGGTGAACGAGCGGGGGGGCGGTCTCCTACGCGAGCTCTTCCGTGGCTACGTTCGCTCGGGTCCACTCGGACGGATCCTCGGGGGGGCTGGACAAGACCGACGACTCGCTGCCGACAGCATTACTGGCTCACTGCTCGACCCTGCGCTCGCCCCGGATTGGACTGTTCTCGTCCTGCTTAGCGAACTCTATTCGCGCTGCTTGCACACGATGGGAGACGACGAGTTTTACTCGACTCGCAACCCGCTTTCGCTCGACGAGGTCGTCGGTTTATCGGCGATGCTGCGCAATCTAGCCTTCCAGCTGTACTGGCAAGAAGGGGATCTGATCTCGCAGCAAAAGGGTCGAAGGATTGCCGGGACGAGGATCTCGATCGAGGCGATGCGCTCCTTGGCGATGGCGCTGTTGCAACAGATTCACGCCAGGGACTCGAGGCGATCGTTCACGCCGCCGGACCATTGGCTCATGACGTCGCAGTTTGACCTTGCCTCTTTTATTCAGACCGTCGTCTATGAGGACGAAAAACTGGACGCTGATGAGGAGAACGCAACGCATGGTCCGTCGCACGACGACAACGATGCTCGAGGAGGGGCCCTCTCGCGACGACCGCACCCCCGCTCCTCGGCGAATCTCAGCAAACGGCAAATGACGTTTATCAGCCCTCGTTTAGGTGTGCTCAACAACATCCCTTTCGTCATCCCTTTCGAGACGCGTGTTGCCATCTTCCGTCAGTTCGTGGAGAACGATCGAATCCGGCTCGGGCTGAACGAATTCCGCTACGACCGATCTCGACGCACGACGGTCCGGGTTCGTCGCACAAACCTTGCGGCGGATGCGTTCCAGCAGATGAGTGGACTCGGAGCAGGGCTCAAGTCCAACATCCAGATCGTCTTCATCGACGAACACGGAATGGAAGAGAGCGGCATCGACGGCGGCGGCCTGTTCAAGGAGTTGCTGACGAGCCTGTGCAAGGAGGCGTTCGACACCGATCGCGGATTGTGGCTCGAGACGGCGCAGCGCGAGTTGTACCCCAACCCTCATGCGTACGCCAAGGAGTCCTCGCAATTGGCTTGGTATACGTTCATGGGTCATATTCTGGGCAAAGCGCTGTACGACGGCATCTTGATCGATGTTCGGTTCGCTGGCTTCTTCCTCGCCAAAGTGAGTGGAAGCGCGTCGACTTTTGATTTCAAAATTTGAATGAGAGTACTGATCAATGGGCGTTTTGCCTGTCACTGCAGTGGCTTGGACGTCAAAGCTATCGTGCGTCTACCCCATTTCAAGGCAAGGTCATGCAACACCCCAGCTGACTCCCTGGCTGCCATTCCTCCCCTTGCGTCGCAGTCGACGATCTTCAATCACTTGACCCCGAGCTTTACTCGGGCCTGATCCAGCTCAAGAACTATCCGGGCGATGTTGAAACCGATATGTCGCTCAACTTTACCGTCACCGATGAAGGTAGGTCCGAGCGCAGATACTCCGCGTGGCGGATCAAAACCAGAACTCTGACCCAGCGAGCGCTTCCTCCTGCAGATTTCGGTGTGTCCAAGACGGTCGATCTGATCCCTCGGGGTAGTGAGATTGCAGTCACGAGTGAAAATCGCATCCAATACATCTTCCTCATGTCGCACTAGTGAGTATTCGCGAAGGTCGGTGTCGGCACTGTTTTGCCCGAAGCTAAGTTCGGACGGGTGATCTGCACAGTCGACTAAACGTTCAATTGGAGAAGCAATGCGCGGCGTTCTTTGCTGGCCTATCCGAGATTATCCCGGAACGCTTCTTGCGCATGTTCAACCAGGACGAGCTGAGGATCTTAGTCGGTTAGTCTTCGAGACAAAACCTTATCGCCTCAGCTTCGCCTCACCCACTAACGCCGACTGCTCTCTTCGGCACCCAGGCGGTATCGATCAACCCATCGACATCGAAGATCTCAAGGCCAACACCGTCTACGGCGGCTTTGCTGGCGAGGAAGCGAACGAGTCGATCCGAGCCTTCTGGCGCGTCGTCGAGTCGTTCGACAAGGAACAACGCTCCAAGCTCGTCAAATTCGTCACTTCTTGCGCTCGACCTCCCTTGTTGGGCTTCAAGGAACTCACACCCAAGTTCGCTCTACGCAATGCCGGAGCGGATCAGGATCGTTTGCCAACGAGGTGAGCGGACTGCGAATTGCCGAGAACCTTTCCGTGTCCCCCGGCTTTGGACTAACGCGTGGAAGACGATGATTTTTCCTCCTTACAGTTCAACGTGTGTGAACCTGCTCAAGATCAGCGAGTACAAAGATGAAGAAATGATGCGCCAGAAATTGCTTTGTAAGTGGTCTACCGCCCCCGATCAAAGTTTGCTTCGCCAGCTGACGGTTGCACCCTCCCGTTTCAGATGCGATCAACTCGGGCGCGGGCTTTGATTTATCCTGAACGACTCCTCCCAGCTGTCGTCTCCGCATGTTCTTCCTGATCTTTTGTCGTCCTTCGCTATTCCTTTTCGTCCTTAAGAGTTGAATGAAAGCAAACTCTCGTTAAACTGCATAGTCTTTGGGGAGCTTTGACATGCCCAAGAGGTCTTCATGCGGATGAACCCGGGTCGCCCGCTCGCCGTTCCGAAGGTCTCCCTTGGCAACCTTAATCCTATTGAGAAGGACGTGAATGGATTCCACTGCTTGCTTTCATCAAGCGTTCACGAGGGAGGAAAGAAGAGATAGGTACCTCTCCGGAGCCATAGAAATCGGAACCTGTCACAGCCTGAGCAGAACCCATGGAGATCGAGTGCGAGTGCGGTGGTGCCTCTCGATCAGAGATCGAGTTGCACGGCTGGTCCCCGACAAGCTTGATGAGTGTTTCAGCCTGAGCTCCGAGGGGGGTTTGTCCTGTGAGGGCCGCCGCGACGGGTGAATTTCTCACGCCTTGGGGGTGGGAGGATGGGGATTCGTCTTTAGCAATCACTTTTTGTGTCAATCAGAACGACAAATTTGAGTACTAATCCATGTGTTGATCGAAGGTAGACCTACCTAGTTCAGTATTGCGCGTTGCAAAATCTATCAAGTGGAGGAGAATTCGCAATTTTAGGCGCATTATAGTATCGCGCGCTTGCCGCCTCGGCCCCAGAAGGGGGAGAAACCTAAGTATTTCAGGAGGTACTATGCAAGAAATGAGCTTGGCACCTCAAGCTCAAAGTTGGGAAAATGAGCCTAAGCTCGCTGGGTCTGCCTCTCACTTGCCTTGCACCAGCTGGTCGGCCGGAATCCCGGAATGCTTCGTAAATCGAGCTCCGGCGACCGAGCCGAAGAGCGGCCGCGGCACTAGCACTTAATTCGGGAATCTTGGAACCAGGCGCCTGTCCGTTGCAGTTGCTGGAAATGCATACTTATAGCGTTCGTATACAGAGCTAGAGTCATACGCAGTCTGACTTAAAAGATGCCTGAGAATCAAGGCGAGGCCACCGGGACCCTGGGCGCCGGTCGCGACGGAGCGATCGGTGAGATCGGGAATTGAGACGCCCGTGCACGACCTTAAGTTCGACTGAAGTCGAGATCGATGCTCGTGCACTCTTCTGTGTGCAGGTGCCCCTCCGTGTTGTCTCAGCACTTATCGGTAATCCTGCGCTCAAAATGCTGAGCCGGCGCCAGGTTTCCCCGGCCCGTCCAACCCCTACCGTCGTATGTCCGTGGAGTTGATGATGTCCGGCTGTAGGAGGCGCCACGTCGACATCGGCGAACTCCGCGAAAGAGTTGATGCGGATCATAACGCGCTTTCAAAACCCATTGAACCGGCTGCTTCAAACGCCACATTCATTGTTTCATGATCGTGAGAACGACATTGAATCCATAATGGATAGGGTCGATGCAAACCTTACGACAGACTATTCCCCTCGCACGAGGCGACTCGGAGTCAATCGAGCAGCTCGATCCGCGGTGGCCACTGCCTTGGGGTCGGTTTGTCTAGTCAAAGTCAATCCCACTCGGGTGTCTGCCTTGAGCGCATGCCGATTCGCCGATGCTCGAAGAGAGAAGGCGACATTTTTTAGTCCGGGTCGAGCTGCGTTTCGCAATCCACTTGTGGTCGCGACTGGTTCCGAGAATACATGTCCCTGCCAACTCGTGCCCACGACCACATACTGAGTTAGCCTCTTCGGAAGCGCAAGCTCCCGAGCTGCTAAAGCAGCGTGGTGAACGATCGTCAGCCCGGATCCCGGGCGTTTTCTTCTCAGATCTGAATTGGGAGGCCGGTGGAGGAGGGAAGCCGTCGGGGAATCGGCGGGTTGAACGACAGACAGCTTGTGCGACCAAGTAGCTATTCAGCAAACACAGAAAATCATACACGTGTTGACAGCCTTCTCAAAATTATGGGAGAAATACTTTTTACCTGTCGTTCAAAGTCCGAAACTCGCACTCTTTCGAGAAGAGAGTCTGAGGATCCAAATGAATATCTGCAGGCGAGGCAACGCCCTCGTATTCGTCGACCGCCCTCGTTCTTTTTGCACTCGATCAGCACCCGCTGCGAGCGCCTCACGCCTGGTCCGACCCTCCCACGGTGTTTCTGTCGGACGACAGCTGTCGAATCGCCTTTGTACACAAGGCCGTGAGTCGCCTTGGAGCGGTCGCAGCTGGCGAGGTCGGAAACGACGGCGGGAAGCTGATCTCTTGCTCCCCACCCTCCCTCCCACCGCCCGGTACCTATCGCTTCGCTTTGCTCGTCGTTGCAGGTCGTATCGGGCGTCGTGGTCGAGCGCCTTTTGGATCAACATTTCCTCCCCCGAATCGAGTGACTTCTGCCCTCCAGTTTTTGACTAGACTGGTTGGTGGTGTGGTCCGTCCTCCCGCCGTCGTTCGTCGTCGCCGTCGATCCTCGCTCTTTTGTCGTCCGTCCGTCGCGCCTTGACCTCGGCTGCTAATTCCCATTTGGCCGATCGAGAGCCGTGCGCGCGGTCCAACTTGAGGGGCGTGCGGTGGCCGTTGCAAGCGTCGAGCTGGAATTTGCTCCGGGCGCGACTGTGACCCCAGATTTCGATAGCCAGCTCGGCACGAGTCTTGAACAACGATCATGAACACAGCCGAACTGTCGCTCTCACCAGCGGAGCAACGCCCTTATGCGTCGTCCCAACGCCTGAGAAGTGCCTCGACGCAGCATCGCATACAGTTCGGCGACGAAAGGGTCTACACGGGCTCGATTGACGACTATGGCGCGAGCGCGGAATGGGCTCCTCAGCCCTCCGGCGGCAGCGGCCCCGGCAGCGGCGGCGGAACTAACGCTCAGCATTATCAGGCGCAGCGTTCCGTTTCATCGTCGTCGTCGGGCGGCAACTTGCATGCCGGCTTAGGCCAGCATGAAGAGGTCTTTCTCGATTTGTCCGCCTCGTTCAACTCTGCCTATCCGTCTATTTCTTCCGATTACCCCTCTTCTTCGTCGTCCTACGCCCATGACGGCCTCGGCCTTTCCGAAATGGACGTCGACGCGACCATGGCCCCAATGGGCGCGTACCAGTTCGACCCTTCCCTCTCCGACCACGAACAGCAATCCGACCACGCTTCTCATTCGCATGCACACGAGTATGACCAACGACAAGAATCGTATCATCGTCACGAAAACCCTCCACGGCATCAGCAGTTTCAGCAGCAGTACCAACCGCACCATTCGTTCACACCCTCCACCGGCGTTCACTCGGCGCCGGATCTCGCCTCGTCGGATCATTACTACGGCCAACCCGCGCCACCATCGACCGCAGTCAGCACCAACGAGGCGAGCGAGGATGACGCACCCTTGTCCAGTCCTTATCTAGGATCGCCGCCAAGTAGTCCTACAAAAGGGTCGCGTGCCCGAACTCGCTTTCAAAACCGCGTCTCCAAGGCTCAGGTGAGTTTCTGCGGTGGCCCCAGTCATCTGCCCCGTGACCGTCAGCGTAGCGCGGTCTGCTGAACACTCTGTCGTGATTTTTTTCTCTTTTGGGTTGCCTCCGCAGCCTTACCCGACGAGCTCATCTGCTTCACCCGCTCGGTCAAGGTCCGGATCGATCAAGAGCTCGATGCTGCCGTCGCTCAGCATCTCGACCTCGCACCAATCAGGCTCGGCCTCCTCGTCGCCCTCGTTTTTCCCGGGTGGCTTGCCGTCGCCTTACCGGCAGTCGTCGACGCCAAATTCGGCGACGATGGATCCTTCGCAGTCCATTCGGTCCTCGAGCCCGAGCTCGGCAAGCTCCGTTTCGGGCAACGCCATGTCCCGCGCCAGCTCGTTCTCGGCGGCCAGCTCGATCCCGCCCCATGAAGCTGCCTTGTCCGAAGCCTTAGCGGCATCCACGGCCTCGATTGCCTCGATGGCGTCTGCGGTGTCGTCGGCCAACTTGTACCGAAGTTCCGCCTCGTCGACGACAGCGACGCCGGTCACGGTCTCGCGCAGCCAGTCGCGTCGGGGCTCGCCGACCAAGAACTCGACGGGGCGAGTGCGCAAATTGTGCGACATCGATCGACGCGAGGTGTGCCTTTATAGTGCCGCAAACCCAGGGATGAAACAAGACCTCATCGCGTCCAAGTTTGACATTGACCGCACCACCGTCTCCAAGATCCTGCGCGACAAAACCAAGTGGCTCGCCATTGTCGGACCCCGGCCGGACACTGCGGTGGCCGAGTCCCCTGATTCTGCCGCCACGCGTTCGGCGGGCGATAATCCTAGCTCACCCCCGAGCGTTGCCACACCCCATCAGTTACCCACCTTCCCTCACACGCCACATCAAGGCGCGGTCACGTCCAGTACACCCATGTCGATGACATCCTCGATCAGCGGTCTCTTTTCGGAGCTGTCGACGACGGGGACCCCGTCAATTTCCCACAACAGGAGTTCGTCCGACAGCACCGGCATCTCCAAGATCGACTCCGAGGTCTTGAACTGGGTCCAATCTTCGATGCGCATTGGAGCGGAACCCTCGGACGAAGCTCTCAAGACCAAAGCCAAAGAGGTCGCCAAGAGGCATCGGGGCCTCGAAATGTTCAAAGCGACCGGGGCTTGGCTCGATAATTTCAAGACCCGTACGGGCCTCGGCCGACTGTTGACGGCACGCAACACGATCGTCGAAGAGTCGAACCTCAGTGATGTCTCGGAGGACAATCTTGAATCGCACGACGATGACGATGAACACGCCGAAGGCAGAGACCGTACGCAACGGGGCAAGACCAAAAGGTCCAAGCGCCAGTCAATCCTACGTCGGGTCCACAACGAGGGTGCCGCAGCTTCGTCCTCGCCGCTCAAATCCTCCGAGACGTTCGGCTCGTCGGGGGGCGCCACGTCGTTGCCGAATACACTCAAGGCGAGCAAGATGGAAGTCGACTCGCGCACCCCGCTCCGACAGGCCTTTGCGGGGTCGATGTCCGGTGACACGTCTTTGGACAGCGAGGCCACACCAACGCATTCGACGGTCCATTCGCGCGCGACTTCCGGGACCGCCTCGGCGTCGACGGATCAAGAGTTCAACGAGGCCTTCGCGCAATATGGCACCGAGAGCACCGGCAGTTCCATCGATCAGCGCCGCGCGTCGCCGTACGGCAAGGGCCCCACGTTGAGTACCCCTTCACGAAGCGGCAGCTTTGGCTCGAACAAGTCGCTCTCGACCAATGGCTACTCGCCGTCCGACCCGAGCCAGTCCCCCTTCGCCTTTGGTGGGTTCCCGCCTGATGGCAACAACGCCAATGCCTTCGGTAACCCGTTTCCACACTCCAACAGCGGTGGATCGGGCTCCAACGGCACCGACTACCCGCTAAAGTCGCCGTTCCAGACGAGTTCTCGGCAGTCGTCCTCTCAGTCGCTCTACTCGGCATCGTTCAACGCCGCCAGTGGCCTGCCCGGCTCGACCGACAACTCACCGCAAGCGACCTACAACCCCCACGGGCGATCGTTCTCGATTGCTTCGAGCACCTCGTCGTTCTCTGGCCTGACTGCATTCTCGTCGCAGACTAGTCAAGGCACGCCGCTCAGCACCTCAATGTCGCACTCGCAATCGAGTTCGGTGCCGTCGACCCCAGCCATGGGCACTTCGGGCTACTACAGCCACGGTCCGACGGGGACCTTGTCGCAGCTCCAAGCCGCTTTTGGCACGGGTCAAGCACCGCAGGCGCCAGTGCAGATCTCACCTCAGACCGTCGCGCCATACTTGATTCAAGGGGGAGCGAGTGAACAGAGTCCGCAGCGCATTGGCTTGGCTCGTCGGCAAACCATCTCGGGTTTTCCATCACCCAGATCGTTTCAGAGCGTTGATTTGGCCCCGCCTTCGCGCGTGCAATCGCAAGCAGTGAGCCAGCAAACATCACGGCGGCCGTCAACCGCAAGCATCTCGGATTTCGCCGCCATTGCGACAACCGCCCCCGGTAGCGGTTCATCGACCCCCGTGACGGCTCTGCAAGCGTTCGAGGGCCTCATGATGGCCCACCGGTGGCTCAACTCGCAGGATGCCAGCGGCTTCACCCAACCCGGCGATCTCATTGCCTCGAGCGACCTGCGCAGCCGGCTCGCGGAACGTCTCGGTCTCGACCTCCCCTCGGAAGCTCCCGGGCCGCTGCCCCGCTCGGCTTCGATGTCGGCCTCGATGTCGCTTCCTGGCTCGCGGGGGGCGACCCCATCGCTTTCCTCTTCCACTACTTCCAACGCGTCTGCGATCCATACCGGGGGCAAGGTGCAGTTCCCCAACTCGCCGTCGAGGCCGACGCGGATGCGGTCGGGGCGCACGCAGTCGACGAGCAGCATCCCACAGTTTAGTCGATCGCATTCGACACTGTCGCTGCTTGACGCGTCGATGGCCGAAGAGTCGCAACAGCATTCCCATGTATCACTGCATCAGTAAATGCATCTGATTCTTCTCTTTCAGGTTCTCATCGAGTCCTTGTACGTTCTAGGTCTGTTGGCATTGTTGCGACGTCGTGCAAAAGCTGACTTGAGTTTATCGAACAGACGCTTGCCCAAACGAGCTCGTCTTTATTCTTGTTGGCTCGCATTTTCTCTTCTCGTCGCATCCCCGGCACCATCACCGCTGCCGCCGCCCACGTTCTCCCGTCTACTGTAGAACACCCGTGTTCATTAGCTCGACTCCATCAGCAGCCTCTCATTTCTTGCGCGCCCGGCCATCATTCTATTTCTCTCTCTCTTTCTCTCTCTCCTGCTTCTATTTCCCTCATGACGGAGGATCTCGGATTATATTGCTTCCTATCACACTGTATCATGACGGATTCTGCAACGGTGCTTCTAGTATGTCCAATGGGGCCCGTCGCCTTCAGAGAGTCTACAAATCTGGAGAGGCCCGAGCGGGGCGCATCGGTGCGATGATTTGACGAGAGGCGCCGAGTTCGTGCCCGATCTTCGCTTTGTCACACCCTCCCACACCCCTTTCGCTTGACAGAGCTCCCACACCCCTTCTCAGCTGCCTCCTCCTCCTCCTCCTCCTCCTCCTCCTCCTCCTCATCGTCCGGAACTCTGACCTCGTACATACGACATGGGAATCAAAGGCTTGACGGCGCTCATCAACGAGGAGGCGCCCAACGCGATCAAGCATGAAGAGATCAAGACCTTGTTCGGTCGCAAGGTCGCAATTGATGCGTCAGTAACGAAACCCAGTTTTCGGGTGCTGGACGCGATGATTTGATGCTTTATCGATGTGCTGACTCAAGAACTCTCGGATCATCTTGACGCGCCGCGACGCGTTCAACCCCTGAATGTCCATTGGCCGCGATGGTCGACGCAGGTCCATGTCAGTCTTCCTTCTTGATCCTGGGGATGTACATGAGGACTTGAAGGCCGACTCGGGCTTTTCTCCCCCGCAGGTCCATCTACCAGTTCTTGATCGCCGTGCGCCAGCAGGACGGCCAGCAGTTGATGAACGATGCGGGAGAGACCACCTCGTAGGCTGTTTTCCCAGTACATGGATGAGTGTCGAGATGGTCTGAATTCACTCGGAGTAATTGATTCCAATAGTCACTTGATGGGACTCTTTTACCGAACGGTGAGTTAAGTTGACGGCGGCCGTCGAGCAAAGGTGGCAACAGCAACACTGGACTGACCTGAAATATCGCGTGTGCCACGTCTGGTTCCAGCTCCGCATGGTCGACAACGATCTCAAACCTTGCTACGTCTTCGACGGAAAGCCGCCACAGCTCAAATCCAACGTCCTCAAGAAACGTTTCGCCGGTCGAGAGGAAGCCAAGACCGCCGAAGAGGAGGCCAAGGAAGTCGGCAAGTCGAGCTGGCGAGTCTTTCGAGCCTTACTCGATCTGTAGACTGAACAACCAGCCATCACAGGTACTGTCGAGGATGTGGACAAAATGAGTCGTCGACAGGTCAAGGTCACGCCCCAGCACAATGAAGAGTGCCGTAAACTCTTGACCTTGATGGGTATCCCCTGGCTCGTGGTGAGTGCTGGTACAGGACGGGTAAGAATTGATGTTGCAAGTATGTGGTTGCTGAGCGCCTTACATCCCTGTACATTGATACCATAGGCGCCCTCAGAAGCCGAAGCCCAATGTGCCGAGCTGTGTCGTGGCGGCCTGGTGAGTTTTCACCTCGACGAGTGCTCAACAGGGCCGGCATGACCGCCACTGACAGATTCGTTTCGATGCGATACAGGTCTACGCTGCCGGTTCGGAAGACATGGACACGCTCACGTTCAACTCGCCGGTGGTTTTGCGGCACCTCACCTTCTCGGAAGCTCGCAAGTTGCCGATCGACGTCATCAATTTGTCGACCGTGCTCGAGGGCTTGAACCTGACCATGGACAAGGTGAGTGGTCACCTCGAAGCTCTCCTGCGTTAGTAATGAATCAAACTTGTTCATTCGGACACCGGTACTTCCCAGTTTATCGAGATGTGCATGTTGTGCGGATGCGACTACCTCGAACCGCTTAAAGGTATCGGAGCCAAGACGGCCCTCAAGCTCGTCCGAGACTACGATACGTTCGAAGAGATTCTCGAGCACCTGTCCAAGGGCAAGAACCCGCCACCCGAAGATTGGCCGTGGAAGGAAGCCAAGGAGTTGTTCATTCACCCCAATGTCACCCCTGCCAAGGACGTCGAGGTCAGTCGGCTCTGGAACAGCGCTCTGGCAGTGGCGAGCTCACACTCTTGACGGCTCGCTCGATGACAGCTTCAATGGAAGGCCCCTGACGTCGAAGGTTTGGTCGAGTTCTTGGTTAAAGACAGTGGCTTCAAGTGAGTCAAAAGCGAGATTTGCTTTCGGGCAAGCTCGAATTGAACGAATCACTGACACTGAACATTCGCCGCAATCCTTCAGTGAGGACCGAGTACGAAAAGGGTGCGATCGTCTCAAGATGCATCTCCAGGCGAAGCAGCAGGGCCGACTCGATGGCTTCTTCACCGTCAAGCCAAAGGACCCTTCTTCCTTGAACCCGGCCAAGCGCAAGGTGAGTTCCCGAAACTGGGCTTCAGCGCGCCGATTTCTCGGATGTTGACTTCAATCCGTGGGACGCTACATGAAGGTTGATGACAAAAAAGACGCCAAGAACAAAAAAGCCAAACCGGCAGCCAAGAAGAAGTAGATGTGAAACCGGTTGGGTCGTCACGGTAGATGAGATTGCCTGTCTCGGATTGAGTTTTGTCTCGAACGCAGGGTCTCCTGCTTGTTTGTGTGCTTGTAGCTGTAATTTCTACGTGTTCGAAATGTCTATCCTTCTTTGACTTGAAACCGAGAGCATCCTTCAAGACTGCATCAATATATAAGCAATCTACCAATGCTATCGACTTCCTACATTTGTACAACATGCGCTCACAGTCGGTTATGCAAAGGTGCTGCGTTTTCAAGCATGCTGCGTTCATCACTACTCAAAACTCTGCAAGCCGGAAGCCCACTTGCAGCGGCTCAAGCCGAGCCATCTCCTACTTGGGACAAACACTCGACCAGTTGATGATGCCATGGGCTGCGGATTGGTAACCAGCCCTTCGTCAGATGCGAGTGTGCCTGCGTGCGTAGATGCAGATACGTACGACCGTATTTCTTCTCGAGCCATTCGTTGGCTTGTTTGAAGTGACCGTTGTTCAGGAAGCCGCGGTGCACCGAGAGTGGGGAGGGATGCTGCGGACGGACGAGACGCGTATGGGAATAAGTACCGATACATCCCGCCTCTTGGTATACAACGGAAAAGACTCACTGCTGATTTGAGTACGAGGTGCTTGGTCTAATGAGTGCAAACGTGCAAATTCGAGCGTCGGCATCGAAATGAGATTTTGGCAAATGCAAGCGTCCAGTGAGGTTGACTTACAGTGTCGAGCTTGGCGACCCTCTTTGCAGCCCAAGCACCCCAAGCAAAAAATACGACTCTATGGAGGAAGGAAAAACTCGTGCTCGTCATCCATACAATCTCAGGGCTCCTGGCTTCTGCCAGGTTAAGCCCACCCTTTGCCAAGCTTGCCCGCGCCATCACTACCCCCAAACTTGTCGACAAGGTGAACCACCTTGTCGGTGAACGACTCCCAACCTTTTTCCGCGTGCGAGTTCGCCTTATGCGCTTGAACGGTCAGTGACGTATTGAGCAGCAGGACACCCGAGCGAGCCCAAGGGGTCAGGTCGCTGAATGGAAGCGATAAAAAGAATCAGACGAGGAGGCCAGCTCTAAAGGCAGGCAGATTATCTGGTTCGTGGCAGGTACCACGTACCCCGTCTTGGGAGGAACGAATTCGGGATATTCGTTGGACAACTCTTTGTACATGTTGCGGAGGGAGGGAGGCACGGCCACGCCGGGTCGAACGGAGAAAGCCAAGCCTGCAAGAACGCAACGGCGGGCAGGGCCGGTCAGCACCTAGTTCCGTAAGGAAACTTGCATAGATTCCTGTCCTATCATTGAGCTTACCGTGAGCTTGACCTTCACGAGGAAGATGCGTGGGAAGCATTAATGGGTCAAAAGCAGGCCGCACCGAGGAAAGCATACAAACAAATTCTGCTCACCCTCATTGTGGTAGGGATCCTGGCCAATGACTACGACCTTGACCTTGTCCAGTGGGCAATGTCGACTCCACGAGTAGATATCGCGTGCTTTAGACAATGTAATACGAGATTAGATCAACTCGGATTTCCTTGGAGAAGATTGTGAAAAAAGAGAGGGACCGACCAGGAGGGAAGACCTTGCCCGTAGTCGACTCGGGTCCTTGAACACCCTCCTTCCAAAGGAACCTTTTGAGGTCGAGAAAGTAGTGCTTGGTGATCTCATCCTTGAGCAATGCCAACCAAGATGGATCGAGGGTCGCGCATTCGAGCGAGAGCAGATCGTGAATTGTGGGCGATGGGCCGATGCTGGGCAGAGACGCGAGGAAGGCTGTCGGAGAGAAGGTGCCCGGCGCGAGCTCGGCCTGGGTCGCGACGGCCTTGCCCTTGTTTGGCTCGATGTACTTGCTGCTACTGGCATTGTTGGTTTCTGCTTCGATGGCGTTGGCGTTAGTGCTCGAACTTGCTGAGGTCGATGCGGCGGCGCCTCCAGGGAGCACGGTGACGAAGTCGGTGATCTTGCGCTCCTGACCAGACGTGCGAGCCTTCTTGGTCGCGGGCTGAGCCTTCGAGGAAGCACTTGCACGCTTTCCGGTGGGTACCTCTGCTCCCGTCATGGCGCTGGAGGTGGTGAGAGAGATGGGACGAGGTTGGAAACAGGATGTCAGAAGCAGCGAGAGGCCGGGCGCGCCGCGACGCGTGCGATGATCGGTGAACGTCATGACTAATTGCAACGACCTCCGCTCAGCGACTCCTCTGTCGCGGGGAAAACCCTTTCAGTTGACGAGGTCAGTCAGATCACACTTGCTGCATCACATGGCTAAGTAAATCTAGGTACATGGTTCTTGAGCCTATCATCCTCCTTGAGCACCTCGAACAAGTCATTGTTGGAGACGAGCGTCCTCACGCGTTGGAAGTAGTCGCCTCTTTGCGATTCGGTTACGAGCAAGCGCAGCGCATGCAGCTCGGCGACGATAGCGAACAGTTCGGACTGAGAAGGCACAGGGGTGATGGCGGTTTGGCGAAGGAAGTCAAGATGCCATTTGATCACCTGTAATAGACCGGCAAATGCGCCTCCCGTTAGCCCCTCCTCACGCGCCAAAATGCAGCTTTGATTCGACTGACCACTTCGAGCTCCACCTCCGGCACACCAGCTCTCTTGATGCATTGAGCAAGCGCGAGCAGCAAGATCTTTTGATGCAAGCTCGCGCGCTTGATAAAGACGCTCGAGCCGTGGTTCGTCATCTCAGTGTACGTCGCAGTCGCATCAGCAACCTCGCAACGACCTTCCCTCCCGTCGCCTCGATCCCGATTTCTTTGATCCACTTTTTCGACCGTTCGTCTGCGACGTCAGGGCGGAATTCAGAAAAAAAGGAATTGATCCGTGGAGTAGACCAGGCACGTACCTAGCAATGTCGAGTGCTCGACGAGCGTCTCCTGGGCCAGCAGCTACACGCCTGGCAATGATCTCGATGGCACGAGGAGCGAAAACCTCGTCGAGCCCTTCAAGACGGGCAACCAGGATCGTTTGCAGCTCTTCCCACTTGTAAGGCGTGAACACGATTCGGTTCGAGCCTAGACGGTCACGATCGTCATTAAGGGTTGTCTTCGACCCATGGGTCTAAATGATGAACTCACCGAGCCGAGATCGAATCTTGCCCGACATTTCTCGTTCGGGCAGATCCATAGTGTTGGCTACGGCGATGACGATCAGTCGAGAATGAGGCACATGGGGCCAGTTGAAAAAGTTATAAATCACGTCTTGCTTTTTTGTGATCATTTGATCCAGCTCGTCGACGAGCACGACTCTGAAGATGTGTCATGACCGTCAGATGAGGCTCTGTGTGGTTGTCTAACATTGGGTCGTCGACTCACGTTGTCTTGCGGGCGGGATCAGGCGTCTGAAAATGGTTCTCAAGAGAAACCAAGGCCTGCTTTGAGGAGCTCTTTTGACCCGAGATCGCTTCCCAGAGCAAGGAGAACGCCGTTGTGGGTTCGGCGATCTTCATTCCGTTAATCTCGACGAATTGGAACGCGTCCATGTCCTGCCCATCGCGCTCGAGTGGGTCAGTATCGACGAGATAGAGGCGACCTGAACAGCATGCTCACCTCGTCTTCTTGCAGCTCCCGGACAATACTGTGGACCGTGGCTGTTTTTCCCGTGCCCGGCACGCCATGGACGTCTGAGAGACCCAGGAGTGTCAGCTCGGACAAACGCCGAAATCGAATGTTCAGACCTACAGAGGCAGGTCCCGGTTTGACCCAAAACGGCGTCACCGAGCAAAGACGAGATAAGGTTTCTTTGGTGCTCTCGACATGGTAACAGATCAGGAGTCGCGCTAACGTGCAGCATCGCCTTAGCCCGCTCGAACGGTGGCAGCTTGGCGAATCCCGGTGAGAGCGTGAAAGCAGGGGGCACAAGGCTGAAGGCAAGGTCGTGGCCCAGGGTCAGTAAAAGCTAGCCCACTACCACATCAAGATGCAAGACTCACTTGATCATCTGTTTGGCCTTCTGTTTGCCCGAGAACTTCTTCTTTCTGATCGCGACCTTGTTGGCTCGATCCCTTGCGCGTTGACTAAGTTTCGGTACGATCCGTTTCGCCTGCTTGGGCTTGTTGACAGCCTTCGTATGCTTCTTCTTTCGATTGCTGGGAGCGACCCTCAAGGTTTCGCCATCGTCCGAGTCGTCTTCCTCCTCGTCGACGTTCTCCTTGTCAGAATCGTCGGCATCGTCGCTCCCGTGCTCCTCGCCCGACGCGCCATCGTATTCGTCGACTTCATCGCTATCATCATCCGATGAGGCTTCTTCTTCACTAGCGTCCTCCTGAGAAGCCAAAGAAAATTGAGTCTACATCGCACCCAATGCACATCGACGGATCAGAACTCACCTGTTCGACACGAGCTCGTTTGCCCTTCCACCCCGCTTCATCGTCGTTCCTGCCCCTCTTCTTGGGCCTCTCTTGCTCTTCATCGGACTCGATCTCTGCCATCGTGGCTTCGACGTCCCAATTACCGTCCCGAACGCCTTGCTTGTGCACCTCGGCCCAGTCGATACCACCCAAAAACTCGGCGCCTCGAATCGGTTTGGCATCAAAGACTTTCTTGACGACGAAGCAAGGCGTAGCCGAAGGAGGGAGCGGTCTCGATGGCGAAGGATCTTGAGGGGTCAGGATCTGTACGTGGCGTGAGATGGCGGCGATGGGGATCTGGTCGAGGCAGAGCGGCGTCTTTTCGACCAGTTTGGACGACGCGAGTGGCATGCCAGGTGATCGATGGGGATCCCAGCTTTGGCGTGCTCGGGTCTCATGTAGATGGGCCGAGTCCGAGGTGTAGTACAACTCGTACTGAGAGTTGGAGGGAATATGCTAAATTAATCAACATTCCGCGATCAAGATATTCCGTGATTGGGGCGGTGATGAACTCACATCGTCGACAATCTCATCCTCGGGGGGTCCATCGGCCCCCCATACGGCGCTCGGGCGGGCGAACCAGCGCACTTTGGCCATCATTCTCTCGCGTTCGTCCGAGTAGAGATCGACAAGGGTACCAACCTTGTCATGTGGTCCGAGCCCGTCCTCGCTGAACCAACTCGCTTCGGCTCGTGGCTGCTGCTTGCGTGAACTGGCAGTCATCTGGGCTCTGCCTTTCCCCTTGGCCATCGCCTTGACTATCGCACGGGACCGCTCCATTTGATGCTCGGGGACTTGCAACCATTTCTGCTTCAGCACTGCCCCTTGACCGATGACGACGGTCTCGCCAACGCAGAAGCGGTTAGGCTGGCCCGAGGACGAGGTGCGGATGAAGTGGCTGTAGCGTGCCAGGTTCGACAAGCCATTGTTGCGAGACACACGCGTCGGGGTCGACGGTCCAGCAACCGATTGGGAGACAGAACGTTCGGGCCAAGTGTCAGTCATATTGGTAGGATTACGGCGGTGCTGGTGGTGGTGACCACGGCGACGGTGACGGATGGCGGACCGGAAGCCAACGAGGGCGCGCGATAAACCCGACGCGACGCGACGCGCACTCTGGCTAAGCATTTGTGATCGGTGCCGGCGGCCGGTTTCCTCGATGTGGGCGGCGAAGCCGGGCCTGAGCGCCGTGACTCTTGGTCGTCGAGCGCACGATACGGCAGCCCATGGCGACGCACGACCTGTTCTTTTATGGCACTTTGGTAGGCTCCAAGGCTTGTTTAACTGTGGAATGAACCGACTGAACCCACATGTGCTGCATTGTCGCAGGTACACCCCAAGATCCTGGCACGGGTGACGGGTCATTCAGGGGCCAGTTTGACCACGTGCGACGCCCTTCTGCCCAACCATACACGACATCACGTTATCGGAGAAGGTATGCTACCAGCCACTGATTACTCTATAGTGTTCAAACTCAGCCACGCCTGATCATGCCTTCACAGACTATCCCGCTGTTGTCTCGCTATCGTTAGGCCGCGCTATCATCGGTCGTGAACTGACAGCCGAAGACAGCCGCGTACAAGGCAGTCTTGTCAGAGGATTGACGGACCAAGACATTGCCTACCTCGACGAGTTTGAAGGCGACGTGAGTGCTGTTCTCACTCCTTAGCTCAAGCTCCTTCATCGTGTGCGCCGGACGTGGCCCCCCACGCCCCCCACATTCCTCGGGTCCAATCCGCGGGCATCGGCTTGACTCACCGCTCCCCGCTTTTTCCTCCTCTCTTGCCATTTGCTCTCTCTCTCCTTGACTCATCGCTCTTGCCCACTTTGACTAGGAATACGTTCGAACCCAGGTCCAAGTCGTACCTTCTCTCGATCCTTCCGTCACCCCCGTCACCGCCGAAACCTACATCTGGATCGCCCCCGCCTCGCGCCTCACCCCATCCCTGTGGAATTTCCAGGACTTTTTGCAACAATCGGCGCATCGCTGGGTCGGTGAAACTGGAAAGAGCAACGAGTACTACGGCGAAGTCGATAGGCGAAGAGCCATGGGCGGTCATATTACGCCTAAAGAGACGGAAGGCCATGAGTATGAGCAGTTTGGGACAGCGTTTGGGAAGAAATGGTGGAACTTCCAGGAGGGGTATCTGAACCTCAACCACGGTGCGTGAATGTCCGTTCGCATATCTCACCCCTCGCGCGCTGAGTTATTGTCCCGCACAGGCTCCTACGGTGTGGCTCCTCGGCCCGTCGTTGACTCATTTCGAGCGTACCAGGACGAATCCAACTCAAACCCGGACCGCTTCATGAGGATGACTTATACGCCGGAGCTCTTCCGATTGCGCGGACGATTGAGCGAGCTCATCAACTGCGATACCTCGGACATCGTCATGTGAGCTTGCTGGTCCCCTGTTCCCGATGCCCAACGTTGCCGGAAGCTGATCAGCTTTGCGCCGAGATGCTCAGGGTCGCGAATGCAACGTCCGGCGTCAACACCGTCCTGCGTAGCTTGACGACGCAATGGCAAAAGGGTGACAAACTACTTTACTTTAGCACGACCATGTACGTACACGCTACCGTTCGCGAAGCCCATAATCTGCTCCCTGTGCTGATCCTCGCGGTCGCTCGGTTCCCGTTTCAAGCTACAACGCTTGCTCGGCTTCCCTCCAATGGATCGTCGATTCTCACCCTCACTTGTCCCTCTCCCTCCTCCCCGTCCCCGTGGCGTATCCCCTCTCCCACGCCTCGCTCATCTCGACCCTCAAATCGACCATCGCCACCGCCAACAAAGAAGGTGGAGGCAAGATCCGTCTTGCGCTCTTCGACGCCATCTCCTCCAACCCTGGTGTCGTCGTGCCCTGGCGAGAAATCGTCTCCGTCTGCCAAAAGGAAGGTATCCTCAGTTTGGTCGATGCGGCCCATGAGATCGGGCAAATGCCCGTTGATTTGAGGACCGCGAAACCGGACTTCTGGGTCTCGAATTGTCACAAATGGTTGATGTGCCATCGCGGCGCAGCGGTACTCTACGTTGATAAGAAGTAAGGTTGCCCCGCTCATATCGTCGTTGTCCCTGGTGATATTGAAGGACTGACTCTTGAATGCGTTGGATGATGCAGACACCAACCTCTGATTCACTCGATCCCAACAGGGCACTACTACCGCACCTCTCCCATAACCCCACAAGATTTCCAAAACGAATTTGATTGGAACGGAACCATAGACTGCTCCGCTTTTTTATCCGTACACGCCGTCTTGGATTTCCGACGCAATATTTGTGGAGGCGAGGAACGTATTACGAAGTATTGTCATCAGTTAGCGGTGGAGGCGGGTAAGGTCGTCGCAAAGGGTTTGGGTACGGAGGTGATGCAGAACCAGGATCTGGAGAAGGACGGAGATTTGATTGCGAACATGGTGAGTTCTGCTTTGGAACTCGCGTCGGTTTCTCACATTAAGCAACCCGACAACTTGTCTCTACAGGTCAACGTCCGCCTCCCTCTCAACGCTTCGACCGATTCCAGTCTCACCGATTCGGAGCACCACGCTTTGTTGATCAAGAAGTTGACGTGGCTCCATCAACAACAATTCGCCGATGGGTTCACTTTCGTCCCTGCATTCATGTCAGTCTTGCGCTTGCTCAAAGAGCAACGTAGTGGTGTCTGTCACGAGCTGACCCCTCTCATCGACCCGGCACCAACAGCCACGACAAGAAACCGTGGATCCGCCTCTCGGCTCAAGTTTATAACGGGCTGTCCGAATTCGAAGCGATCGTCCCTCTGCTCAAGGGCTTGTGCGAGCGCGTCAATAAAGGTGATTGGGAGGAGAAGGATCCTGAAGAAGTAGCGAAAGAGGAAGGGGTTGACTTGGTGAAGGAATGATGGATGGAAGTGTTTTCTGCGCAGAGGGTTTTTGGGGGGTACATTCGAGGGGAAAATTGAATATAGTGTTGGCATTTCAGAGGATGTATTTCGATGGGCAGAAAGAGAGAGCAGCTACAACGGACTGAAATCGGCAAGCTCCAGCTTTTCCATCATCCTAAAACTTCCATTTTTACAACTCGCCCTTGACACGGTCAACGACGTTCTCGACCTGGGCCTCGACGTACTTGAACGCCGCCAAGATGTTTTGCTTGGCACGTAGCTCATCGAGCTTCTTTCCGGCGATCGCGCCCTTGCGACTGAGCATCTTGCTCAACCTCTCGGACTCTTTCTTGATCCAGGCCTCGATCTCCTCGACCGAGGACGACACGTACTTGGTCATGATCTTGATGTAGTAGGCCGCGTTCTCGGACGACGAATCGGTCAGGGACGAGGCGATTGACGAGGCTTGGGAGAGGATCTCGGGTCGCTCAGCGGTGGGGGACAGGTAGGACGACGCAAGGCTGTCGAGCGAAGGGATTCGACCAGCCTGTCGAGGGAGAAGTATGAGGTAGATTAGCGAGCCAGTCCCGAGCGAAGGGAGCAGCGTGCGCAGACTGACCATGTCCGAGAGAGCGCCACCGGGCAATCGGTGGGTGCCGCACTTCTCGTTCAAGAACTCGAGGAAGGCCTCTTCGGATCGAGCGCCCTGGTAGTCTACGGCTTTTCCGCCTCCCGAGGGAATGAATTTGATGGTGGGGAAACCTGGAGATGGTCAAAGTCATGCAGCGTTCAGCGCGGGTTCTGGCTCAGAGGGGCTTCGAAGACACTTCAAAGGGCTGACCTTGTACGCCATACTTTTCGGCGAGGGGTCGGTTGTTGGCGTTGTCGGCGTCGAGATGGGCGACCTTGCATCGGTCATCGTCCTGGAACGCCTGGGCAACTTTGGTCCAGGTGCCTTCGAGGGACTTGCAGTGGCCGCACTGTGCGTCGAAGGGGGTCAGTCGGCACAATCGGACCACCAAGGTGTGGCACCTCCGGGGAGCCTACCCAGGGAGCAAAGAAGGCAACAAGTGTTCCGACGGATTGACCTGTGGGTGAGCACGCAGGGCAAGGTAGGGATGGGGTGGGAGGGGGAGGATCGGGAAGGAGAGCGGAGCGCCACGTCAGTCGGTTTGCCACCATTTGGACTCGTCGCAGCGGGCTACACTGATCGAGGCGAGCACGCCGCTGTGCTTGGACTAACTGTTGATGACCTTGTTGAAATTGTCACTGCCAAGCACGGTCTGTGATAGACAAGTGGCACCGTTGCGAGAGGAAGCGAGTCAGTGTCGGTGTCCCGTCCGAATCCGAATCCGAGATGGTGGTCCGTGCTCGTTCAAACGTTCATGGACGACAGCTCGAACCAGCCGGGGGCGAGGGGACGACGACTGACCGAGTACTTGGCGTCTTCGAGTCCAGCGAGGACAAGAGCGGGCAAGGCCAGAGCCGCAGCGATTCCGATCACCTTCATGATGCAGGTACAGAGCTGGAATGGGTGGCGAGGGGATGAACGTGGCAAGAGCGAGAAGGATGACCGAGCCGGGGCCCACCCCGAGGCGACTCGTGCAAATCGCCGCATTAACAGTGCATTAACCCCTTCTGTGTTAATGGTCATTTTATGGGCGCTTCTGTTACTTCTGGGCTCTTCTGGGCGCCCGGCGCGGGAGGCTAGGCTCGTGTCGCTTGTGCTGCCGCTGCACCACTCCGCCAATCGCTGCCAATCGCTGTCGTGAGAGCCCTCCACCATGGTCGGCGTAAGTCCCGGCTCTTGTTCCAACCCCATACACCCAACTCTTTGAACGGCTCTGACGCGAACTCACTCCCCCTTGTACCGCCCCTTTGCCCCTTTGCCCCTTGTCCCCCTCCCCCCCTCCCTCCCGTAGACGCATCTGCTTCCTCCCAACTTGCTCCGGCTCTTTGCGCCGCGAGCCCCGCTGCCCTTCCTCACACCAACAGGGCGTGACCCGGACGTACCGCTCAAGTCACTCGCACGCAAACCGCCAGCGCTGGGCGTGAGCGAGACATGGCTCGCCGTGCGCTCCGACAAGGAGAAGAAGGAGCAGCAGGCGTTCGAGGCAGGCGAGCGCCCCGACGACGACGACGGTCCCACCACCAATAAACCGACCTCGCTCGATCAGAAACCTAAGCTCGAAAGCAAGGACCCCAAACTGGACCCCCAACTGGAGCCGGATTCGGCTTCGACCGCCGCACAGGAACAGGGCGAGATCGCCGAACAAGAGGGCAAGATGCCACCGCCGCCCTCGACCGTCATCAAGAAGCGCAAGCGTGACGAGCTCGTCATCCCCCCTGGATTGAGTGCGACAGAACGAGCCAAGCTCAAGGAACAGGCCAAGAAGGCGCGCCATGAAAAGAACCTCGCCGAGGGGATCGAGAACTGTCAGTTGGGCCCAAGCTCACCAACGCCCTCGCTTCCTCGGCTGACATGCCGCTCCTCTCACCTTGCGTACAGACCGCCCGCAAGATGACCCAGAAGCCGTCGGCGATCCTTACAAGACCCTCTTCGTCGGAAGGATACCCTACGAGATTACCGAGCAGGACCTTCGACGCGAGTTCGATCTCTACGGCCCGCTCGAGCGCGTCCACCTCGTGCGCAACAAAGACGGCAAGAGTCGTGGCTATGCGTTCCTCGTGTACGAGAGGGAGAGGGACATGAAAGGTAGGTCATCCTACTTGATTCCATGTTGAATCTCTCACTCAGGCCGGATCCGCGAGCTGACGAGCTTTCTCTGCATCACAGCCGCCTACAAGGACGCGGATGGACTCAAGCTGCTCGGGAAGCGACTCTTGATCGACGTCGAGCGAGGGCGCACCGTCAAGGGCTGGAGACCACGCCGATTGGGTGGAGGACTCGGAGGAAGACCCAAGAAGGTCGTCCCCGTACCTGTGGACCCGTATGCTCAGTCAGGGCCTCCGGGTGGGTTCGCCCCTCGAGGTGGCTTTGGTGGGCGGGGTGGCTTTGGAGGAGGAAGGGGTGGGTTCGTTCAACGTGGTGGATTCGGTGGAGGAGGCGGAAGAGGGGGATTCCAAGGTGGTGAGTTTGCAAGCAGATGCTCGAGACCGACAACCGCATCTGACCTGCTCCCATCTCTGATCTATTTCTCCACAGGCGGAGGTGGCTTCCGAGGCGGTTTTCAAGGCGGGCAACGGGGTGGTTTCCAAGGCGGTGACAGTGGAGGAAGAGGTGGCTTCCAAGGTGGAGGAGGCAGGGGTGGCTATCAAGGGCAGAACGGCCCTGACTCGGGGTACGGCAACCGAGGTGGCTTTGGCGGTGGAGGAGGAGAAAAGAGGCCCTTCGACTCGGGTCCCGGTCGGGGTGGGTTTAGTTCTGGTGGAGGTGGAGGGTATGATAATTCGCGACCAAGGTACTGAAGGGGGGAAAGGTGTAATGCAAAACCCGTTGAGCCGACTCTCTTGGACCCCGCTCTGTCGGGCCATGGAAGCGTGAGGCACAAGCGAGTGCTTGTTCACATTGCTCATTCTCAGCTGAAGAATTCTGCAATGATCAGACTTCAACTTCAGAATCCCCAGACTTTCGACGGCCCAAGTTCGAAACACATGCGTCTGATGTTCACAAAGGGGTTCCTTGCCTTTCCCCGCCTGAATAGGTTTGCACCCAATCGTCCCTGAAGCCAATGAGGCCCTCAGTCCATGTTCAAATCTTGCCTCGCTTTGACCGCTTTCTCGATCGCACGCTGTCCCCCTTGTTTGATCCGATCCGACGAGGTGAAGGGGTGGTGAGCATCAGATTCGAACCAAGCACAAAGGGTTGGATAGATCGTTGGCGCAGCCCTTTCCCAACTCGGAACCCTGCACGAAGAGAGTTCGCGTATTAGCGAGGACCAAGTTGTCCTCCATGGTTCGACCACCCGACAAGCATCGAGGCTCGGTGATGTCTACTACCGGCGGTTGAGGTTTGCCTTAGTTGGATTTATCTGTCCTTTTTTGTTTATCCTTCTACCGCCACCACGGACTTTCTGCTCCTTTCTCGCACGCCGCCACTCAGTTGTACGGCCGGCGCGAGAGCTGAGAGATCCTTGTTGAGGATTGACCTGCAATATGCGGTAATCTGCATGCCGCAATGTCGAGATCGTCGTCCAGGCTGGGAATGTTCGCGAGTAGTGTACACCACCGGGACGTTCAGGAGCTCAACTTGACGCAACAATCGTGTGAACTACCTCGCACGAGAATGGTGTATTCTCTGAGCCTAGAGCTCCAGACAGACGCACACACACCTCAAACGAGCCGGAATAATTAAGTAGTATGATTGCATAAAACTCGTCATCGAACATGAACCGCGTACTTTGACTTGGCGCGGATTCGAGGCCCGTACACCCTAAAAATAAAAGGGATCGGGGCCAACAACACCGAGACGCCGCCCAGTAAACATGATGCACCGGTGATACCCAGGCCATGGAAGGCTTGCACGCTGAAGAGCGGGAAAACAGCTCCGACGGTGGCTCGACTCGCCATACCCGCCGCAAGAGCGGATGCCGAGGTGGCCATGTACGTTTCGAACAAGTAGGGGATGAACGCGGTGAAAACCATGAGCATCCCCGCACTGAAGATGAACTCGGCAATACAGGGCACGATCCAATGGATATGCGGGAAAGGTGCGGTTCCCGCGAACAGAAAAAGCGCCCTGATAGTGTGGGAAAAGAGCGAGGAACGGCGCGAGTCAGCTCAACTCTCGATCAGCGGAGATCTGGAGTCGCCTGTGACTTACAGGGGCACAGCGGGTGCACCGAAGTACGCGAGGACGAGTCGAGACTCGGCAGGAGTAGGTACACCTTCGGCTTCGGCTTTGGCAGCCGCTTTGTTGTACACCTTCACGCCCACCGTCGCCAACATGACACAACCGAAGAGGAAGCCGCAGCCGAGCGAAATGTAAGTCAGCCCGTACGAGGTCGAGCTAAAGTGACGCGTCTCCATCCAGACCACGATGAAGCCGTTGAAGAAACCTGGCGGAAAAGGTTCAGAAAGATGTGAGCACATCGAGCACTTCTCGTACCGTTGAGTTGTGATCGAACACACCGTAAAGAATACCGTAGAGGATCGCGAGGTATAGAGATACCAGCGTTACGATAGGTTCGGTAAAGAGATACAAGAGGGGACGCTTGATCGCGACCTTGTAAACATTAATGGCCTGATTGAACGTCAGTGCGGGAGGGGCGTTGCCCTCGCGCTTGATCTTGGCCTTGAGGATCGTCGGCCCGTGGGTCTCGGGGGCGAGTGCGGCCAAGATCGACATGACGGTGCTAAAGATGGCCATCACGCGGAAATTCCACCTCCACCCGATCCTGGCCTCGATGTAGGACGAGCAAAGTGGTCCAAGCGAGGGTCCGCCGAATGCAGACAGTGCGTACAGAATCGTGTAGGGTCCGCGTTCCAAAGGGGTCGTAAAGTCGCCGATACTCGCTGGGACATTGTTGATGCTCGAAGAACCAAAGAAGCCCATAAAGAAGCGAAAAACGAGGAGGGAGGCGGTGGAATCGGCGAAGGCGGCACCAAAGGCAAAGGCTGAGTAGCAGAGGCCCGTGACGACGTACACCGGTCGCCGGCCATAAACCTCCGACAGGGGGCCAAACAGAAGCGGACCCGCAGCGAATCCCAGCCTGGCGGGTTCAGATGACATGTCAGACTCTGAGGAACCAAAACTTACGGGATTCCGGTGCGATGGCGACAGCTTTCCACTCACACCATCAAAGTCACTCCGAGGATGGCCACTTCTTGGGTGATACGGAAGCGAGCCTCGATGACCCGGATACTCGCGACATATGCGGTCGATGCATAGGTCAATGACAAGACCCAAATACACAGGACAAAATTGACGTACTGTGTGGTGCGTCGCAGGCTCGGTCAGTTCCGGGCAGCGGCAACATGGTAGACTCCGCTCGGCGAACTCACAATCTTCTTGCCCTTCGCCCATGTTCGAGGATCTGTGCGCGCAGCGAGCACCCAAGCGATTGACTGAGCAAACGCTCGATTCATAATGCATGCCGAAACGCACAAGTACTCACTTTCTGGATCGTCAGCGGCGAGAGCAGGTGCCATTGGCACTGTCGGCGGTGGGGAATTGGTGACCACTGCGCCGCCCTTCTCGACGTCGGTGTCCTGTAATTTCGGAAGGGCTTCGCTTCCAAGCTCCGACTTGGTGCTAAAGTCGGCGTGGCCCTCGTGGTTCATATCGTCCGCCAAGGTGGTGTGAGAGGTGCTCGATTCTGAAGCCCATTGCGTCGATTGCGGCTGGCGTCCCAGGTCCTGTTGCGGCGAAACTGATGCGCGTGGGGCCATTGTGGGTGACTGCCGGAGCTCGCGTCACGTGGGTCTGTGGTCGAGTCAAAATCGTCTGGACTGGGAAGACCGAAACAGAGGTTTTGAGAGCGTGAAGCAGGGAAGATGATTTTGAGAGGAAAGCAAGGTCCTGGAGTGATTGTATTCTTTCATAATTGAACTGGAAGTGGGACGCCGTTTGCTCGGCGCGAGGGTTGTCCGGGCGTCGGGGGCGTGCATTCCCGCGGGCCGCGGGCGGGAGTGGTGTATGCCTAGGCTGCACTCATCTCCGGCTTGGTCAGCGTGCCCACTGCCTGTGCCATCTACGGTTCCAGCACATTGTGCAATGGTAGCTACCGTGCAGGTGGTATTCCGAGTCGCTTCGGGAAGAGGGAACCAGGTGGACCCACAGAGTGACAGAGGAGGAGGGGGAGCCTCGACGACGCTCTCCCAGCGGAGGATTCGTCCAGCTGGAGCCAGCCTGTGCCTGCTTGTGCCAGCTCGTCGGCATTCAGCATTCTCCGAAAGTTCGCAAAGTCCGGGGTCGACTAGAGTGCCGAAGTTATGTCCGCCATTTTAGACACGCTACACGACACACACCAGAGGTTCAGTGATGAGCTTACAAAGCTGAGCAGTCGTTACAAAATCCTCATTCATGTGAGCGCTATCATAGCCTAGCACAAATTCGAGCGTCAGGGGCCTTTACAGTGCTGCTGGCCGCCGTTCTACCCTGGCTCAAGATGAATTTGATAGTTCTTTAAACCGGCGCAGTTTATGTCAGTTAGACACTCAAGGAGTAGCTCTCCTGTCCATAGCATGCGATCTCCCTCAGGCTTAGAAAATGACTCTGCGAAATCTCGCACAAATTATCGTGCCGCCTGCTGCGCAACACACGACCGAGGACGCAGGCAACCGCCAGCGCGGTGGCATGGTACCTCCCTCTCAAGTCCCGAGCTGAAGTTACCCACACGAGGTTGCACGAGATTGCACGAGGTTGCGCGAGGTTGCACGAGGTTGTCAGAGAAGTGGAATTGTTAGCTTCTAGGCGCATTGATAAATCAACCTAGATGCCCCGCTGGGTGACAGAGTGCATTTCAATTTCAGCAGGTCGTTCGGCTGGAAGTTCAAGCAGCTGGGTAGAAGGCTGGCAGGCGTCACGCTCTTCTGATGATGCGCCCCTGGCACGCTTTTTGATGGATCAACAACTACCCCTCCAAGCTACTTTCCTGGACATTTACTTAACTACCTTCCTATCCCTCTACCTACACGAATGACGTCCGTATTGCTGGGAAGTACCGTCGATAAATCCGGTACGGGCCACGGCCCTAGGCAGCATAACAAAGTCGAGGGCCTCGGCAGAGTGCGCGCTGGCGGTGACGCTGAACCTCTGACGGAGTAACACCGACTGACACCGTCAGCTAGTATCACTAAGAACGTGCCATGGATCGGGCATGCAGCACCAAGTTCGCGAGTCGGTTCAATCCACATGAATGAGTCGTGAAAGTATGTGGCAAACGTTAATGAACATTGCAGACAAGAAGAGATCGAGCAAGAGCCGGGGTGTAAATGCATAAGTTGAGATCACTCGACATCGTCCACGTCACAGTCCGTGTGTGGACGACTTTGTGTATGCATGTGGTCGTCAGCGCCGGGGACCCACATCGCGCGTTCACCGAAGTTGGCTATAAGAAGTGGTTTCAGTTGACGTTGAGAGATCGAGACTTCAGGGAGGGACTTACATTTTTTGGGAGGGGCAAGGTCAATGTGAAGAGCGTCGGTAATGGACCTCCCGACCGGTGATAGCTTTTCCTTGGGCGACGGTAGACGGTCGGTGACTCGGAAAAGATGGGGACAAGGCTGTAATGATGACGATGCCGTAGAATTGTCAGATCAGCTTACCCTTACAGGAATTTAGTTGATTGTACGGATGTTGGTTCCACTGTCTCTGCGGTCACCACATTTGCCAAAACTACGTCGGGCACGCGACAGTCTCCATCCGCGATTTGTCGAACCGATACTTGGGGAGCAAGTCGAAGTGGAAGCTGAAACCGCCGTAGAAGCTGGAGAGGTCGGGTTGAGCGCACCGGAACTGCGTCGAACAAGCTGTGCAATCGCCATCAAAGGAGACGGCAGAGTACGGCCTTCTTGCTTTCGTTGATCAACCACCTGGGCATCGTATGGATCCGAGTCTGCTGCACGATCATGGGTCGACACTTGTCCAGCTCCGCAAGGTTGGGGCTCCCTCCGCAGAATGAAACGCAAAAACTGACAGCGAGTTCCTCGACTGACATGGGCAGTACATCGGTGAACGAAGCGGTGTTCGGGCTAAAGATGAGGGTGTTTCCGCGCGTAAATTCTTGTTGAGCTTTGGGATCTCCGAAACGATTTAGCTTGTACACGATCTTGTAGGCTCTGGCGCGCGCAGTGACGAGGTGCTCAAGCTGACTCGCGTTGGAGAAGCGTTCTCGGATATCAGCAGGGACGTGATCCAGTGCGCGATAAAATCCGATGCTCAACGACCGAGGGGGCTTAGTCGGTGGCCCTGTGGTAGGGAATAACCGTTTGAAGCAGTCTGGACAGAGTGAGCACTGAAGCGTGTTGTTCGTGGGCGAGTACGCGATCTGATCGATTAAATCGCTCAGTCGATGAAGACGTCGGGGATGGATGAGTGCGCCCCGTCAAGCTGAAAAATCGTAAGTGGGTGGTCGGAGGTCCGTCCGTAAGTGTAGAGTTGGTTAATACCTTCCAAATCCCTGATTCCTCACGCTTGATGCGGTGTTCAGGCACCCATCGTACTTGATGCCCGAAGACTCTCTCGGAGCACACCAGGCAGCAGAAGAGACGGGAACGAGCGTCGGTGAAGTAATCATTCCATTCAAAACGGTGCTCTGTCTTGAACTGATCGGATGCTGGCGCAAATGCGATGTCAGTTTATCGGGTTCTTCTTGTTCGGGTTCGGGATGCAGCGGTAGACATCTGTGCAGCGTTTGTTTAGAGTCAGTCGCTGAGACGTTCTCGCGATTCTTCTGGACTTCCTCGTTCAGTCAGGCTCGAAGCACGTCAACAGGTTTTGATGCGTATGCTCTGTGGTCGGGGAAGCAATGACGACGTGGCGGAGTCACGGGACTCGCCGCTTGTTGCCTTCTGAAAACGTACCCATTTGAACAAGCATTACAGTTGGGATTGCACGACCAAAGGAGCGCTTGTAGGGATAGCTCTTTGGCAAGCGGGTTCCTCCTGGAGTATCCTTCCACGTGGCGCGCCCGACAAAGCTCCTTCAGGAGATCCAGGCGGAAGTTGGTGTTGCCGCGCACGAGCTGCCCAAGACTGCATTTGACAACCACATCATCGATTACTGACACTGGACGGTTGCGTAGGAGCGGACCGGAGTAAATATACTGTGCTTGATTGGTGCGGCGGGAGGATCGGCTGTCGCTAAGTGGTGGACGCGAGGCTTAACACGTTGTCCAGATTCGAGCGTTGTGGGCTGACCTCGACAGTGGTGCGGAGGTGTACAAGATCAGAAAGCAGTGACATGACGGCGGTTGTGTGATAGCCTGTCTTAGAGATGCGAGGAAACTCGGTCCAAGTTAGAACAAGGCAGTACAGAGAGACGGAAAGGAGAGGGCCGGGCGGTGGCAACTTGCTAACGGAGGCCAGCCGGGTGCGCTAGCTTGCGCTTGTCTGCGCTAGTACATAGTGCACTCTGGCGCGGGGCCTCGGGGAGGCTGATGACGCAGCCCAAGCTGTGTGCTGACTCCTGAGTGCGCCGACTCGGCAGGTTAGGTTGGCGACCGGGCTGGTGGCCACTGTGATCGGCGCGCTCAGCCGGGGTCCTCCTATCTGGGGGAGCATTGTTCGCACCAATCGGCGCTGAAATCGAGCTCTCCTATTGGGGCTTCAACAGCCACGCGCGTGCGGTGTATTTCGGCCATTTCGTCCAATAAAATCTCAGAAGTGCACCATTTTCTTGGCTAGGACCCCCCATTTTTCGAAACGAAACCTTCAGCTCTAACGAGCTTCAGGAATCAGCTGCTAACATTATGAATCTCCATTATGGTATGGATTTCCAAGCAGTAAATGGTCGGTAGGTACCGCTCACATCCTCGGTACTGACTTGTCGGTGTGTAGTTAGGTACTGGGCACGTGATGTCATGCGTGCACGGTGCGCGGAGGCTCAGCTCAGCCTGTGTGCGGCTCTCAGGCGGTTTACATCTTTGCAGGTACTTGCCTATATTTGGTAAACAAAAGGTTACTTAGTTACCACTACTATAGGTATTATGCCTAAGCCCCACAAATCTGGCTGTAGAGCAACAAAACCCGCCACGTGACGTGCACATTTTCACAGATTGTTTCGCTACGACTCGTGCGCCTAGAGGTCGGCCGCGCCGGTGAACACGCCACGAGTACATGGCCTCCACGCCTCCTAGTTGACCATAAGTAGGTCCCTAAAACGAAAACGCGTCACCGCGAAACTGTGTTGCAACTAGTGCAGTGGCTCAGGCAGCTTTGGCTCGCCCCCAGTGCGTGTGGAACCTCGTCATTCGAATTGCCGTTCTCAAAATCCGCGACCGCAACCAGCAGCGGCGCCGGCGATGACGTAATCCGAAGGCGGGCCAGGAGCGAGCTACTGCTCGCGCGTGCGGTTGCAGCATTGGCGCGCCGATCAGAACTTGTCTCGGAAATTCGGAATGCTGCATTATAGCCAAGGTCGAAAACAGACGAGCTTAAATTGTGACGTAGAAAGCCGTGAATTCTGCCTGCGCCGATCGCATTTGAAGTTGGAGCGTCACCTGTTCTGACTCCCCTCTCTGCTTCCGCTTCCTCCCTTGCCCCAGACAATCAACCAACTTTTGCCTCTTGCAAAGCCGTCTCAGGTAAGCTAGAAGTATTGAGAGTAGTACATCTATCCTATGAGTACACACTGAACTTCACTACAACTCACCCTGCGCTGCACAGCCCCTTTCCAGCCACCACCCCTCGTTGCACGCGCCCCTCCCCAGCACAGCTTCAAGTAGCCATGGCTGTCGTTCACATGTTTGGATTGCTCTGCATCCTCGGCGCGACCGCCTTGCTCGTCATCGTCTCCGTCGGTGTACCCATCTGGGACAGAGTCGACTTCTTGCATGCCTACAGCGGCCAATACCTGCTTGGAATCTGGGGCGAGACGATCAACGGCGTCAGTTCCAAGACCAAGCTCGGCTACAACGTTTACAGCTCTCTCAACCAAAACAACAATTTCAGCAACGAAACTCGCCGTGTTGTCAGCCGTGGCTTGACCTACGCCTTGGTGTTGAACCCGATCGCCGCTGGTTTCGCCGGTTTGGCCCTGCTCGCCGCTCTCTTCGCTAACACGGCTTGCGGCATCTTTGCGTCGGTACTCGCGTTTTGGGCGTTCCTCGTTTCGATCGTCGCTCTCGCTGTGGACCTCGCTTGCTTCATCATGATCCGCAACCGCCTCAACCGTGACGACCCCAGCGCCAACGCACACCTTGGCAAGGCCATGTGGATGATCGTCGCCGCTGCTGCCGCGCTCCTCTTGGCCTCCGTCACGGTCTGCTTCACCCACTCGTCATCCAAAAGGCGCCGTGACCGAGACATCGAGACGAAGCCTTTGGCAACCGAGCCCGTCATGACCGAGAAGCGCCGACGATTCCCTTGGCAACGCAAGCAGCAAGCTGCCGTCTACTAGAGCAGCCTTGATAGCTGCCGAGCGCGGTGTCGATGACCTACCAAATCCTACCAAATAATATTATTGCCTCTGATTTAGTTCCAGCTTACGCAACATACATGCTGCTGTATTATCAATGCATTCTTTTGTTCGAGCATCTGCCCGGTTCGAAACGCGAGGAAAAGTATGTGAGACACTATAGTTGTGGTCGAAAGTCGAGAGTGGCAGTGCCGCGAGGGCGAGCTGCTACTAAACAGTTAAAGGGTAGTCGTGCTTTGCTAGGAGCTTGGTGAATTTGCCTAGTCATCCAGTAGTACCTAACAACCTGACTTGCCTGAGGGAGTTTAATACCTGTAGGTAGATGATGGACCGCGCGGTGGCGGTGCAGTTTCGCACCAGTGTCGGACAATTCTTATAGGCTTGGCACTACACGCGCGACCCTCGCTCGTACGGATAACATGAGTCCGTGTCCAGTACGCGTTCCTTATGAAACCCTTCTGCAAAACTTAGATTTTGGTACTCTGGAATCCATATGGAATGCAAAAACATTACAGCATCAGCTCACTAGCGGTTGCTATAAATGGAATAGATGTTAAGCATCCCCAAACAGGTGTTTAACCGTCTGCAATTGGTTTCATGCGCTCAGAAAATGACAATTTCAACTTCTTCTCGTGTCCACCGTGGAATTCGTATGATCCAGCACCGCGAAGCTAGCGCGAGTCAGACCCTGCGGAAACCAGGAGCGAATCCGTGCGAAATCCTCATCGAAAGGGCTGGCCGTGTAGTGCGTTTGGAATGGATGGCGTTGGGGCCGGCGGGGGGTCCCGAATTTGCACAAGCTGTGGTACATCAGTAGGGTTGCGATACTGATAGGTAGCTCAAGAAGTCAGAATATTCAGCAGTGTTGTTAAAAAAAGTCCTTCTATAGCGAATCACCAACTGCATGAAGTAATTGTACCCCGCAAAATCCGAGCATAAAATCGAGACTCTTGATCGGCAAACGCGCGTCGATTGGTCCGCTCGAGATTGGACGGTCAAGTCTCGAGTGGGGGTGTACTGCGCGACCCGACACCTCACCTTCCTCCCCCGCCCACATCGCAGCACCATGTCGGTCACCAATGAACACCCACTGGCAGCTTCACCCGCATCCGTGCCCTTCCCTTCGCCTCCCCTGTCACCGTCTGACCGCCAGGCCGACCTGAATGCGTTCGAAGCGGACCCAGCTTATCGTGGTGGTTTCTTGGCCTCGTCGCTCAGTCGCAACGAGGAAGCGGACCCGTTGCTGCTCAAGAGCAAGATCCAGAGCGACGAGCACCTGACCGAGCTGCGGAGACGTCGAAAGGGTGGCAAGGTTTTGGACAGCTTCTACACGTCAGTCATCATCGCCGTCATCGTCGCCTTGCACCGGGCCCGCATCGCGGCCGGTCTCAGTCCGGAGTTCGCAACCGACGTCGAGCCGAAACCGAGACTGACTCGCATGAACACGTGGTATTCGTCGTCCTACGCAGTCGTCAGAATGACCATATCACGTCGCTGCTCAAACCGATGGACAAGCACATCCAAGAAGCCGCAGAGGAGGAGGATGCGAATCGGTTGCCCGTGAGCCTGCTGAACTTCAAATCACCGCCGCCAGGTGCCAAGCGCCCCTGCCACTGGTCGGCGCACGTGTGAGGAGGAGGACCGAGGGCCTGGCAGGTATACAGCCTGGACTGGGCTGAGCCGAGTCGAGCGATTGCGGCAGGCCCAAAATCTATGCTGTATTACTTACAAGCTACGCCCACTAACTCCGGTCTACTTTCGACATGCCGCGACGTACAGATCAAGGTGAGCATGCGGCTTGGCGGGGGCCCAAAGCGCGGACGAGGATGCTGAACTTTTCGTCTGGGTAAAATACACTTTACCCTCAGATCGCCATTTACGGCTCATTCATCTGCAACTGCGTCCTCGCCATCTTGCAAGTCTATGCTGCTATTTCTTCGCTCTCCCTGTCCTTCTTCGCGACAATGATCGACTCGGTCTTTGACCCCATGGTACGTCGTGTCGAATGTGGTATCGACTAGATGGAGATCCTTGCCCCAACCGACTGACCCCGTGTGCGCAAAATGTCTCGTCGGGCGTAGGCCAACCTTGTGCTACTGTACTGTCATCGAACAGCTGCTAAGGTCGATCTCGTCAAGTACCCCTCGGGGGGAAGCAAGTTCGAGACAATTGGTCCGTCCACTTTGCCGAAGAGATCAACGTGATTGAACTCAGATTTTAAGCTGACATACCACACTCGCTTCATAATTTCTGACAGGTGACATCACATACTCGGCTGTGATGGGAGCTGTCTCGGTGGTACTTGTCGCATTTTCGGTTCAGGATCTTGCCAAAGGCGAGTCAGATAAATCGATCCACGTCCCCGCCATTATCGCTGTCGGAATCGCCTTTGGTATGTGATCTCCCCGAGACATGAGGGCCAGGATGCATTGCACTGACGATCTAGCTTCACTCCCACCGAATCCGTTGCATAGTCACCAAGCTCGCCCTTTTTCTGTACTGCTACAGTCTGCAAAGCAAGAACTCGCAGGTCCGAGTACTGTGGGAGGATCACCGTAACGACTTGTTCATCAACGGCTTTGGGCTCTTCACCAACGCCGCCGGTGCCAAGATCGCGTGGTGGATCGACCCCAGTGGTGCTCTTATCATCTCGTTCGTGCTCATCTTTGTGTGGGGGCGAACGATTTACAAGCTCTTCTCGTACCTTGCCGGTGTCGCTGCGCCGATCGAGTTCCAGCAACTCGTCATCTACAAGGCCATGACATTCGCGCACGGGATCGAGAAGATTGATTCTTGCGTCGTTTACCACGCTGGACCGGACTACATCGTCGAGGTGGACATCGTGATGAGCTCCGAGACGCCGCTGTGGAAAGCGCATGACATCTCGCAGGCGTTGCAGGACAAGCTCGAGGAGTTGCCCAAGGTCGACCGCGCGTTCGTTCATGTCGATCACGAGACATCACACAAGCCTGTGAGTGTTCAGAGCTTGCTGGCGAAATCCCTTATTACGCGATAAGACCTAAAGCGAGATTCAATGGCTTACAGGAACATCGCAAGAGGATCTGATGGTGCGAATACCTGCTTCCTTCCGTCCCACCCCGTCCATCGCGATTTGGTCGCAGCCAAGAATATCAGGTTCGCGGGCCTCCATTGCCTCTTCTGCGATCACCACCCCTTCAAGCAGTATCATTAATGAGACTTGCTCCTGTACTAATACGTTAGCAATCAAAGTTCGCAAATTCGGCACAGTGTCGTGAACACATTCTTTTTATTTTCGGGTGCCGACTCGGAGCTCACGGCATCCGCTAATGATTCCGAGGCTATTAATAAATGAAAGTGGAACGTCACAGTGCAGCATTTCCGGTGGAGTTCACTGATCGGCAGTTCAGGCCGATATTTCAATCCGCCCGATTTGCACAAGGACTCCAGTAAAGAAGGTCGTGCGTGGCATTGAGGCAGACACCTCACTACTACAACGCTTGCTAGAAATCTCCGAGACGAGAATTTGATCAAGGTTCAAGCTATTTTCCTATGACAAAGTATATTCATAGAGCCAATCGCCGACCACCACGCTGAAACCGCTGGGTTCCCTCTGGCGACCCCTCTCCCCTCCTCCTGAATGTCAACGCGAGAACAGATTTCAATCGCATCGACCTAAGCATCCATCACCCCACTCAGCCGATGCCGTCGCAGCCAACGGATCCACGAGTGTGCACGCGCTTATCATCGACACCCTTGACCCCGCCTCTCAACTCGCCCAACTCGACCTTCAACGCCTCGAGTTCCCTCTCCGCGCGACCGCGGCACGCCTCGATCTTGGCCGCCGTCGTAGGGGTCAAGCCGTGCGAGTTGGGCAACAAGGTGAACGCATCGGCCATGCAGTTGAGCACGGTCGTCAGGTTCTGAGGCAAGTAGCGCAGGATCGGCGATCCACCCCGAGTTTGGGGTATTCGGCGAGACCATGTCGTCGTCGCAGAGCGTTGAGGTACTCGAGATCCCCTTGAATTTTGCGCGTCGATTTACCGACCAGGATTGACGTCGCCTCGAAGGCCTCACCAGACACGGCCCAGGGCATGATGACCGCGTAGAAGAGAACGCCCTTTACAAGGTCGTGCTCGATGAGCGTGAACCCCGTCACCTCCTTGTCCCGGGCTGGTGAATCCTCCTCGTCGGGCTGCGATGCGGACGAAGGACTGACGTCCGTGCCATCATCCCGCGTCTTGACCTTGGACTTGGCCCGGCGTCGATGGGGTGTGGCCGAATGCAAGGCGACATAGCGGCGGATAAGTCTTGACTCCTCAATGTCCTCGCGTAGCAGCGAAGACAGCAGATTCCATTGGTCGATGCATTGGTTCTCGGCCTCCCGAAACGTAAGCCTGGTGAGCAACACCGATGCAAATAGCCAAATCAGCATTGCCGTGGGTCACGCAGTCTGTCAACTCACGCTAAGCTATCTCCTGTTTCCAATACTTCCGGTCGAGCGGTCGAACGTAGCCTCGTATCAAAGTACACCAGACGACATCGCGCCTCGAGCTGATCCAGCTTGTCCGGATGAATGTCCACGATCGAAAGAGTCTCAAACTCCATATCCGACAGGGGTGGGTTGCGCGCATGCGACAGCTGGCACGTGCGACGGCCCGCGGGGAACAACTCCTTGCACCTCCATCGTCCGGGTGTTAAGCGCCCACCGCCACCGCCGCAATCGGAGCAAGGCTTGTATTTGGCGATGCAGTTCAGACAAAGAACCTCCACCGTGAAGCTTGGCAGGGTCTGCAACGTCGCTGACGTGATCTGTCCCGCCCCGATGATTCGATCACAGATGTCGCACGTGAACGCTTGCTTCTTGATGTGGGGCGGAAGGTTTCGGCCCACCTCGACCGGCGGCTCGATCACTACGGTAGCGACCTCGCGTCCTTCCATGCGATCGATCTCGGCGCTCATCGTATCGGCATATGTGATCTTTGCTTCCACCGGCGTGGATTTCCCAACTGTCGTTTGTGCCGGTGGTGTTCCGCTGGGTGTCGTACTCTGGCTATTGACCGAAATGAATGTTTCCGCAAGAGGCTCGTCCACTTTGCTCAAAAGGCAGGCGAGACATTTGAACTCGACCTGAGGGGCAAATTCGACATCCTTCCCGCGCAGCATCAAGTTCGCGATCGATTTGTCGCAAGTTTGACACGTTGCCGGTACTTCGGCCTGGCGCGCCTTTGAGAGCCTGCTCGTGCCGTCGCCATTGGTAGCCGGACTCATCATGAGTGCGTACTTGACTCCATCACGCTGCACAATCGGCTTTGCGGAAGCTGAAGGCTCCCGGGCGGGGTTATACTGGAGGACCGGTGGAGCAGCACGTAGTTCCGCACGCATTCGCATCGCTTTGGCGAGCACGTCTGCCAAATCTGAGCCATCTGGTGCTGCGGCATGGACTGGGTCTCGGGACACGTGCTTCTCTTGAGAGAACGAAGGAGCCATCAAGGTCCCAGTCAGACCGGACAGACCAGTCGTAGGGGGGGGGGGGGGGGCATGTTCGACTGACACGCCGTAGATAGTCCTGGGTCAGCAACCCAAAAATTGGGTCGGTGGAATGAGAATCCAGCTCACCATTGAAGTCTGCTCCAGGGCATGCATCTCCTTGCGTTTGAGAAAACGCCGCTCGTGTTCTGCAAGGTTCAAAATATTGGACGCCGAGAGGTGGTTGACCGCGTCGTACTGAGATCCCTCGGAGCTTGCGCCGAACCGGTCGAGTTGCATAGTACGCTGGTCCAGGTAGTTCACTCGGTCATTTGAGCCGCGAACGTGATCGTCGGCAGGCACAGCCGTGGTCGAAGATGTTCGGACCCCCATCCCGTGTGGGTAGCTCATGAGCGGCCGATTCCGACGAGGGGGACGGTCCGTTTGTTTTGCCGACTAGTGATCCCACGACTTGGAAGGCAGCCATGGCCCACCACAAGTCTCACGAATGGGCGCAAGGTGCAATCGATGAGTTCGAGTCATTGCGTGATGATTACTCAGTCTTTACGATTACGAAACGAGACGAGCTTCCCGCGGGCGCCAAGGTTCTCGCCTCCAAGTTCGTTTTCCGAACGAAACGGGACAAGGATGGTCGGCCGACTTCGTACAAAGCTCGACTTGTTGCACGAGGCATCACGCAACGGCCGGGAATTGATTTCAAAGAGACGTTCGCACCGACAGCGAAGTTTGTCTCGATTCGTACTCTCATCGCGTTGGCGGCGGCCCGGGGTTACCATATCATCCAAGCGGACATTGACAAGGCTTATTTGCATGGCGAACTTGAAGAGGAATTGTACATGCGCGTACCGGAGGGAATCCGCCTGCCCGACAATGTCTGTCTCAAGTTGCACCGCTCGATTTACGGTCTCAAGCAGGCCGGCCGGGTATGGAACGAGACGATCCATAAGACCCTCGTCAAGCTTGGTTACAATCGTCTTCGGAGCGAAGAGTGTGTCTATCGTCGAACACTTGGCAAAGACGATTATTACATCGCGGTTTACGTCGACGACTTGTTGTTCGTTGGTGCCGACTTATCCGAAATCGATCGCGTGCTCGACGAATTGGATCGATTGTACGGAGTCAAACGTCTCGGAAATGCAGAGTACATCCTTGGCGTCCAGCTCATTCGTCAAGCGGACGGGATTGCGTTGTCGCAGCGACAGTATTTGCTCGATGTACTTGCAAGGTTCGGCATGGCGGATGCTAACAAAAGTGTATTACCAATGCAACCGGGTCTTCAGCTCAAACCCTGCGACACTCCGGATCCCTCGTTCCAGACGCAGTACAGGTCGGCGATTGGATCGTTGATGTACGCCGTCGTTGCAACTCGACCTGATCTTGCGTATCCGGTGTCGTACTTGGCAAGATTCACGAACAAGGCGGGCAGCGACCATTGGGCAGCAGTTCTGCAGATCCTACGCTACATCAAGGGAACTCTCGAACTCGGCATTGTATACAAGGCGAAACGTGATTCGTTGGTTGGATACGTGGGATACTCGGATTCAGACTGGGGTTCATCGGATGGGGCGGGGGGTATTCGCCGTTGCCAACACGACCCCAATGGCAGGAGTGTCATCGATTCCAGAACCTCCGCCGGCGACGCTTCAGACGACACGCGGAGGGTGTCATCGTTTCCTCCCCTCGAAGTCAATGCCGTAGATGCATTTTCGATGGGGTCGGTTTCAAGCTCGGATCTCATCATGTGAGTTCCGGGATGCTTGATGGAAGACTGAAAGCAAGGTTGAGTTCGGCGGACGTGCAACGGAAGCGTGCGGATGATGAACAGAGCATTCGACGCTGGAAGAGCTGCGATCGATCGCAACTCGGCTGCTCTTGATCTTTACGCCCAAGATCTGCGTTCGGATCGGACTCCGCGTATCGACCCGTGTTTGGGACGCGTCGCAAAACCAGTGACTTGACTCATAGAAAGCTTTACCGTGTGAATTTCACAAAGTCTGGTCAAGAATTCTCTTTCAGTTCTGCACCCACCCACTCGCAGAAAATATTAAAGTCTCCCCGAGAGGAATCATATTTGGGAGTATCAGACCCATGGAATTTCAGACATCGCAAGCATCGGTGACAGATTCACATCTAAGCAACCATCAAAGGAAAGGTTTGACATGATCATCCAGAGAGAAGATGTTGTGGCCTTTGTTCTATCCGTTGGACTTAGTCAAGCGGCCTATAACATTGAGATCAATGGTCACATTTTCCTTGTCACACCAGCTCTTCAGCTCGTCCCAAGTGGTTTCGTTCAACTGCGAGTCGATTTTGGTTTTCGACCAAACGACGGCTTCCTTCTGGCCGACGCGAGTGTCGAACATGTGGAACCAAACTTGAATGTCGACGAGCCGAGGAAGTTCACTCGTCTGAAGGCTCTTGAGTAGAGCGACCAAGCAGACCTCGAAGCCCAGCTTGGCGTAAATCGAAAAGTTGATGCACAGCGTGTGGAAGGGCGCATACGAAGGGATTGCCGCCACGAGGGGTCGAACGGAATTGAGCTCTTGGGAGTGATTGCGGCCGCGACACCCCGCGTAGGACAAAACACTCAAGCGGAAGATCCGGAGCGATTTGCACGCTTGAAGACCCTCTACGAGAAGCTTGATGATTGTAGAGCTTGCATCGAGTCCATCGTCCTCGAGGATGAGAGAGACTTCCTTCAGTCGCACGCCTTTGCAGGTCAGGAGCTCGACCTCGAGCGCTTCGCGCGTCGGCGATGCATGGTCAAAGAGCTGATTGTACCCGCATTTCAACTCGATCTTGACGAGTGCGGGCGTGCTCACGTGCCGTGCAAAGTGGGAGAGGGCATGGAAGCGCCCTTCGCGGCATTTCAGAAAAGTGAGCTTCGGGAGCACCGGTCGCATGTGTCCCAACCACTCGAAGCGGCAAGATTCGATGCCGCTCAGCTCGAGCCGTTCGAGATCTGCGGGGAGGGCGATTGGGGTCAGTGTCTCGGATTGCTATCATGTATTACACGAATGAAGCGGGTAAGCTTGTACTTTGAAGATCATACTTGATGGCGAACAGATCCAGCACCAACTCTTCTTGCGACACGCAAAGCGCCTTGACCGACGATCGCGTCAGGCTCAGCAGGTCGAAGAAGAACTTGGCGGCAGCGGTCTTGTCCCGAACGAGCGAAACGCGGAGGCGGTGGATCGGGTACCGCCTCGCCAGACTGAGGTCACGTGTCTTGTGCTCGGTCCAACGCCCGATCGTAACATGCAGCTCCTGCATCAGCTGGCGCGAAAAGGGACCGCGCCATGCTCGACAGGTTGCAGCCGCGTTGCGAAGGTCTTGGAAAACCGACTGGATTCGCCATTCGACGTCATCTTCGTCGCTGCGACGCTGATCGACAAAGGCCGCAATGTCACTGAGGAGCTCGGGCGGCAGGCGGCGAACTGCTTTACCACTCGCTCGTGCGTGTAAAGGCGCCATGTTTGTACTGAGGGCGAGGGTCGGCAACGAGGCGCCCGCCGCCCGGTCAATTTGCTATCACGACACTGCTGGCGGCGGGGGCGCGTCCGAGTCGCGACGAGAGCAAGACGCGCTATACCCTGCTACGCCTGTCCTGACGTAATACGCCTCGGCGCGTGACGCGTGACGTAGGGCATTGCAGCTCCCTCCGCATTCTCGCTCCCTTTTCTCAACGCCGCCAGAGTCCCCAGTGAACATTTGCACATTTTAGCAGTGAGTGGGTTCCTGAATCGACCCGAGCAATCTGAAACCAAGTCGACGATGGTGTTGAGCCTGATAGTATTGTCATGTCGTTGCAGTGAATTCGACATCCATCGTCGCCGGGCCATCGTCCTCCACTTCCCACGATTCACGCTCGCAAAGGGACGAATACCGTGATCGAGAAGACGAGCTCGAGTCCGACTCTGAAGCCGGTACGGACGTCAATGATGCGGAGAATGACTCGGACTCCTGGAGCATCGCCTCGTCACGTTCTTCATTGATCGTGTTCGAAGAAAGCATCGAAGAAAGCATGGGGGATTCGGATGGAGATTCGATCACGGAGGAGGAGGACAGGCACGCGCACGCCGCCAAAGTCGACCAGGACTTTGCGAAACACGTCCAGGATCGAGAGCGCGAGTCTCAAACAATAAAAAATCACTTCATCAAACCTCGTCCCGAGCACGATTCGCGCCACGTCAGCTGGACCGGTCGCTTGGGATCGAGAAGGTCGGTTGAGGAGATCGTGGAAGCGATTAGGGTGGCAACGGTGAGTGCGGACAGTCCCCATTTCAAGTCACTCAGGGTTCAGCAGTGGAACTGATCTGGTCGAGTGAAACCGCACCTCCTGGCACGTAGGGGGGACAATCTCGGCTCGTCGCATGCCATAATGCGAATCGGCCCTGCGCAGAGTGTCGCTTCGAGCCGGCCAACGAAGGGCCTTCGCTCGATGAGACGCCTGACATCGTCCTCCTTCCTCTCGAGGTTGTTAACGACAAGGACTCGGACTTTGTGGGGGCTTGGAGTCGCCTCAGGGAAGGCGAGAAGGATATCCGTGGCTGGATCCACGTCACAAGCGTCGGCATCATACATCACAGCGACAGCTCGCGACATGCCCGTCGCGCCGTGCCCCGCCTCAAGCGCCAGCTCCTCCGAATGCTGAACACGCCAATCCGTGACTTTGCTCTCGGTTTCACTCTCTTGGGGTCGGCTCTTACCATTTACACCCTCACGAATCAAGGTCTTTTCTATTCCCCACCCATCGAGTGTACGCTCGAGAATGGCAACCTCTCGACGTTCCTCTTCCGTCTCCTCGACATGAGCAATGTCGAACTCGGTGTCCGGCTGTCGTACAATGGGAGCTTCAGCCTGGAGGGACTCAAAAAAATCCCTTTGGACTGATCCCTGAGGCGGAGAGACACTTCACGTCCATCACCCGGGGGCCCCCCTTGGTTATCGCAACTCCACCTGTTCATGACCGAGTTTTAGTATTGGAGTCCGGTTTCATCGTTGATGATCGTATAGCGCAATATGATTACAAGCATCTGGAGTGCCTCTCCCCAAGTTCCCATTCCAAAATAACACGTTTACCCCGTTTCAGGCTCGGTGTAAGACACTGAGGGGGAGTGCAGCCTCAGCCGAGCGAGCTCAGCAGAGGCTCCGCTGTGGAAGGGCCTCGCTCGGAAAATGCCGACGCGGCGGATGACCTTCGTCTTTCACACCTGCGCACATATCCCTGGCTGCACCATCGAATCGAGAGGTGTGATACTTACGTTCAGTATGATCCTTCTTGTCCTCATCTTCACCATACTGATCTTCGCAACCCCCTCTGCATCGCTCGCTGGGCGTTCCGCTTCGCAAAAACCGTGCCCCCCGCCCCTCCGGGTCGATCTTGCACTCGCAGTGATATCAGTGAGTTGACGGTGACCCTTTCTGAGTCTAGCTGGAACGATGATCCCATCAGCACATTCTGCTTGTTTCACCTCGCTTCGGTCATGCAATACTCGCATTGAGATGGGTACGACTTGGCGGAGGCGGAGCCGACAGGGGCGTGAGTCGCCGTGACGCGAAACGCCGACGTGGCTCGATCGAAGCTGCTTCGACGGCGAAACAAGAGCGCGTGAATGTCGAGATGCTCGATGGCGCCGAGATCCGAGTCGAAATCGTGGACGCGAGGCGGCAAGAACTTGTCGGAGATGGAGAACTTGCCGGTCACGTCGTCGACGTCACTCGTACTGGCCAGTACGCCGTAGTCGCGGTCGTCGAGCTCGAGCAGGTGTAAAAGAACTCTCGAGAGGAGGTGCTTGTTCGTGTCTGTGCGAAAGTCCCGGGTCTCGGTCGCGAACACACCGTAAGCGTTGACCAGGTACACGCGAAGCATCTCGCCGCAGAGCGTGAACCCGAGCGCATTGGAGCGGATCGGCGTGGTCAACAACATGTGGAGTCGACGCAGGAGTTGCGGCTTCGCCTCCTTGACTTCACCGCGTTGCTTCTTCAGTTCCCCGACAGCTCCAACTTGGGATAAGGCGCGTCGAGCGCCAACTCCTGCGTCGACTCCACATGTTGTTGACCACGCCGATCCGCTCCAATGCGCTCGGGTTCACGCTCTGCGGCGAGATGCTTCGCGTGTACCTGGTCAACGCTTACGGTGTGTTCGCGACCGAGACCCGGGACTTTCGCACAGACACGAACAAGCACCTCCTCTCGAGAGTTCTTTTACACCTGCTCGAGCTCGACGACCGCGACTACGGCGTACTGGCCAGTACGAGTGACGTCGACGACGTGACCGGCAAGTTCTCCATCTCCGACAAGTTCTTGCCGCCTCGCGTCCACGATTTCGACTCGGATCTCGGCGCCATCGAGCATCTCGACATTCACGCGCTCTTGTTTCGCCGTCGAAGCAGCTTCGATCGAGCCACGTCGGCGTTTCGCGTCACGGCGACTCACGCCCCTGTCGGCTCCGCCTCCGCCAAGTCGTACCCGTCACAATGCGAGTATGGCATGACCGTGGCTTGGGTTGAACAAAGTCGACTCGCCGGATGCCTCGACCTGCGCAAGAAGATGCACGCCGCCCCACGCTCGGAGACCCAGGGGCTCAGCCGGATCGTCGGCGTTCACCGCGGCGCTTTCCGGATTCTCTCCGACTTCCTTCCCGACGACGAGGTGTTCGAAGGCATCGAACCCCGTGCGCTTGAAGTCGTCTTCTTCGAAGAGTGTTACTCCACACTAGACTCGGTCCAGGATACCGAAGCCATGGCTCGCGTCGTGTTGGGCGTCATTCACGGTAAGCATCCCAAGACGACGAGTGCGGCTCTTGGGGATTGTCCCTGATCGAACCCGGCTCATGTCAAGGCCACTGGAGCCTGCACTGACTCGGCTTTCTCCAACGTGACGTCTCGTCCAACAACGTCATGGTCGATCGCACCGGGCACGGGGTACTGATCGACTATCATTTGGCGGTGGCGTACGATCGACCTGACCATGACCACATTTTCAAGACACGCTCCACCGCTAGAGACGTATACCGGAGGGCTGGAGCGTGTCTTGAAGATGAGGTCATAATCTGGCAGATCGTGCGCCTCCGCCAGCTGATAGTCGATCGGCACCCGTGCCGGGTGCGATCGATCATGACGTTATTACGTCACGGTGGAGAAAGCCGAGTTGGTGCAGGCTCCAGTGGCCCTGACATGAGCCAGGGACACTCCCCAAGGGCCGCACTCGTCGTCTTGGTAGCGTTGTAACACTGTTCGAAGAAGACGACTTCAAGCGCACGGACTTCGATGGCGTCGAAGACCTCGTCATGGGGAAGGAAGCCGGGGAGGATCCGAAAAACGCCGCGGTGAACGCCGCGGCCGGGCCGACGATTCGGCAGAGCCCCCGGGTCTAGGCGAGCACCACTGGAAATCGAGAGCGAGGATGGGGCGTGAGTCAGCTGAATCGCTGGTTTCGACGCGTTCGATGGACACGGTAGGAGGGAGGCAGACGCGGTCGACGAGCGGCCGAGGCTAGTCAATTCGTCGCGGCAGCTCGTGCTAGTCAGGCATGGACGTCGGACAGAACTTCTACCTTGCGCATGAAGATTGGGGGAGCTTCAATCACGGTGGGTTTTTTTTGAGATCGGTGGAGCTTCAATCACGGTGGATTTTTTGTCGGAACACCCGAGAGCATGACAACGCCCAAGACGACTCGTCGGAAAACTGGGTGGGGTCGGAAATGGTGCGTTCAAACTCTTTTAAGCCAATTTAGACTGTGACATCATCGAGGAGGACACGTACGATACGAACGAGCCAAATTCTCTCCATCAGTTTGCTGCTGCGACTTCTCTTCATCGGGTTGCGAAAACGATTTCTCGAGCTTCTGTACGGCTTTCAGGCATCGGGAATTGTACGTTTATAGGGAGGCGGCACAGAAGGAGATCGGAGGGAAGGGGAAGAAGGGGGCGAAGGTCGAAGATTCTAGTGGGCCGGGGAAAAAAATCCTTGTCGAGGGGGAGGCAGGGATCAGGAACCGGAGAAGCTGAAGAAACGGAGGACACGGAGAAGGCGGAGGGAGCGGAAGAACCGGCGGACGCAGTCAGAATACACGAACCTGAAATGGCGACGGAAACAGACTCCTTAGACTTGAGGCATCGATCGGCTTCGATTTGTACAACTTCAATTCGCCGGAGGCCTTCGACTCCAGGAAAAGTCAACACGGGTGCGCGTTTCTGGGAATGGCTGCGGGATGCTCAAGCGGCGAAAGAAGAGCAGTCGGATGAGTCGGAGCGGTCGGTCTTTTAAGGTGTCCTGGACGGCCATGACGGTGGGAAGGAGAAGAACGAGGATTGGGAGCTCGAGGAAGGAGAGGAAGTGATGACAATGACTGCGTACAAGAAGGTTGGGGTCAGGTTGACCGACGACTCGAACATGGCGGTGATCGATTACGGCGGGGAGGCAGTGCTGATGTGATGTAAGGTATGCGCCTTTGATGTGCACAAAATATAATTTGTCGTTCTTGAACGCTAGGCTAAAAGCAAGTCGTAACTAGAACTCGATAGTTCTAGCTACTCTACCTGTGGGGCTGTTCCTGTAAGGCATCCTTTTACACGGGGTGGGCCTCCTGTCGTTAGTACCTTATCTTATCTTCTCTCTCTCTCATTAGTCTCCTGGGGGGGAGCAACCGCTTGGCTGGGGCATTTGAATCCCGTTATTGGATTGGTGGACACCGGCCCGTTTCTCGCACTTTGGCGGGCGGTTTGTGTTATCATCGTCGACTTCCTTCTAGTTTTCCGTAGGCCAATCAGGGGGAACAGGAATTGGGGGCAATACGATGAACAGTTTCTACAAGAAAAAAAAAAGGGGGGGGGGGGGGGGGCTTCCGGAACGGTGAGGAGTTCATGGTCGAGCAATTCGTGTGCGTGCGCGATCGTCATGGCTGTTGAGAGATGGAAAGATGAGGGAGTGAGAGGGTAGTACCCGAGGTGCGTCAGACGTGAACAAGTTGCGCGTGACGGGGACCGGCGCGCTCCTGGCTCACCAGCTCGATCTGACCCCTCGGAATCACTCCGAACCATGGAGGGGCAAGACAAGTAGTGAATCGTTCGGAATTAGAGTAGTACGAGCAGATGCGTTAAGCTACGATTGTCATTTAAAACCGTCAAGAACACTGCTTTTTTCATTGTTGCTGCTACAAATCAGGTCGACTTGGTGACCTCGGGTGACTGAGGGGTCTCCTTTCGGAAGACCGCAGCGCCGAGGGAGCTGCGATGCCGAGCGGCGGCGGCGCGGGCTAGCGTCATTGGCACGGATGAAGCAAGCTCGTTCGTAGAGCTTGACCTCGAGTCGCTTGATAAGCGCCAAGCCTGGCCTCAGCCTTCTTCAGCGGGCGCTTCGTCGCTCGTCGAGCGTCTCGTGTTGGCCAAGTAATACGACGAGCAGTCTCCGACTGAACGTCATTTGTGCCGAACTCTGTTGATTAATAGTAAATGGCTTGGTTTGGGCTTGGGGGCGAATTTCCCCACGACACGGCCCCGCGAAGAAACCGGCGACCCAACCGGCGCAGATTGCGCCGCCGCGAGCGAGGCCGAAAGGGGGGAAACAGGGGGTCGAAGGGAGAGCTCGCCCCCCAGCACAAACCAAGCGAGTTTCTGGGCGATCCTCAGATCCCATGTTTCACATTACCGGAGACGCGTCCGCGATTGACCGGGTGCGCGTCGTTCCTGATCACCGACAGCGAAATCGAGCGGAGAGGGCCGACTTGAAGGCGAAAGCAGTCGTAGTCAAAAAGCTCCGCGATGCGACCCTTGCATGGAGAAACGGGGAATTTCGCTAGCCGCTACCTGACGAAATGCGTCATCATCGTCCGAAACGTGCTTGCTCGGAGCAAAAGGTTCCCTGGGAAGGTGACGGAGGCCGAAGTCGAAACTCGCGCGGATCTGGGTCGGGATCAAAGCGACTTGCTCGAAAGAAGTGTTGCCACAGTATACGCGAAGGCGATTCATGGCCGATTGCCATCGATTAACGTTGAGGGGCGTAACGACATCGGTCAACGCCGCACGTAAACTGTGATGGAACGGAGAGCGGAGAGCTTATCCAACCCCGACCTAGGGGCTCTCGCTGACTCGGAAGAGGCATGAACAGGAAACTAGTGTCCCGTTGAGAAGGGTCTGTAGTAGATAGGTCAAAAAAGAAGTGTCTGTGTGGAATGCCCAGCTAAGACCTGGGCGGGTGACACTGGATGCGTGGAAAACGTAGGCACCGAAAAATACGGGGCCAAAGAGGGGCTTTGAGAAAGCGACCACATTCGAGGACGGATCCGGCCGTATGATAGAAGTAAAGCCAACATGGCCGGACGATAGAAGTCAAGCCAATATGGCCAAATGATAGAGGTACAGCCAATATGGCTGTACGATAGAAGTAGAGCCGAACATGGCTGTGTGACGGAAGTAAAGCCGAACATGGCCATACGGAGTAAAGCCGAACGTGGCCATACGAAGTAAAGCCGAACATGGCCATACGAAATAAAGCTGAATGTGGCCATATGAAATAAAGCCGAACATGGCCATAAGAAGTATAGCCGAACGTGGCCAAACAAAATAAAGCCGAACATGGCCATAAGGAGTACAGCCGAACATGGCCATACGAAATAAAGCCGAATGTGGCCATATGAAATAAAGCCGAATGTGGCCATATGAAATAAAGCCGAACATGGCTATATCATAGAGGTAAAGCCGAACATGGCCATAAGGAGTAAAGCCGAACGTGGCCATACAAATTAAAGCCGAACATGGCCATAAGGAGTACAGCCGAACATGGCCATACGAAATAAAGCCGAATGTGACCATATGAAATAGAGCCGAACGTGGCCGTACAATAGAAGTAGAGTCGAACATGGCTGTGTGATGGAAGTAAAGCCGAACATGGCCGTATCAAAGGTGCGCGGATTGCGAATAAACTCACTGGCGCTTGGAAAATTTGTGAAACAAGGCTCCCGACGAGAAACGAGTGCAGGCATCCGAGTTGAATTCGTGGCTGGGACGAATGGGTGGGTGGTCTAAGAACGTCGATCCGCAAACGATGCCGAGACTAGATGCTGGCTCCAGGTGTGAACAGACTCAATGGTATCGCTTCTGGTCGCCGCGTTGGACGCGATGTCAAACACCCACCCATAATGGTGAAACGGTGATCATCTCTGTTACATATCAAGACAATCATCTTGTCCAAAAGTGTATCACTAAGACCTCAAGCCACATTGCAATCTACATTTACATATATGCACGAGACTTTTCCTGTCACCCGTGTCTCGGGGAAAGCTGAGGGTAGGTCGAAGCGCGGTACCTCTACTTGAATTTGATCGCATATCCCCTTTTGATTGCCAAGCTCCGCGCGTGAGCTCGCGTGCTGCCACTCTGTATCGCGCCACCCACTCGCTCATCAAGCGTTTTACTTGCCCTGCGGTCCCTACTCGTCCCCAGCAGTTCGCCTGCCTCGCTTCACCCTACATCTCTAAGCAAATATGGTGAGTATCCGAGCCTTTGCTGACGCGTTTCGCGCTCGTCTCCGTCCTCGTGGTCGTCGCTCAGGGCCAGCGTGATCGGTCAACGAGCCCTGACCACAACGACTGCCCCCTTTGTACCGGACTATAGTCTTTCGTCGCCAAGAAAGTAGGACGCAAGATGTTCGCGGGTCAAGCAGCGGCGTAGGTCTCCCATATTTGTCTGCTGTCTGCCTTACACTGCAGCCGGGATTCAACAAGAGCTGATCCGCCGATCGTTCGTCCGTGTGCGACGCCGAATACGGCACTACAGAATGGAGCCTACCGACCCTCATTACGAGGTTAGTGCTCTAGTGTCTATGATCATGTACTGTCCAACTGGCTCGAGCTGACATGTCGCACATCTCTTCCTACGATGCTCATCTCGTTTCGGGTCGCCCGGCTTCACGTGCCTGGTCGATGACGTCGATCCCATCGGTCGCCGACTCGCCGATCCCTTCGCGCGTGACACAATACCCAATACCTGTTCCCAGACGTACCAAGATGACCGCGGCAAGACCCATTCGCGCAAGCGTGCCATGCCAGAAGGGCTGAGCAAGAAAGACCGACGAATTCTTGTCAGTATACACAGTCCGACGTCCTTGACCTCGTCACTGCCAGCTGATGCGCAAATGATCCCCTGATTGACAGAGATCGGTCCGACGTCGCGCCCATTACCTCGACAAGGGTTTTTCGCTCTGTGGTTTTCGCTTCGGTTGGACCGCCATCTTTGGACTTATTCCGTCAGTCGCACCCTACGATGTTTTACAATCGCATCTTGATCCTTACCCGAAGGCGAGCAGGAAGGAAAGAAAAGCTGACCTCCGAATTTGCTCACGTTGGATCTCATCAGCTTCCTCGGCGACATCATTGGCTTCTTAATTTCCTACTCCCTCGTTCTGAAAAAATGCCGACAAGCGGAGTGAGTGATTTGCACCACACTCCATCAGGTCTAGACCTCATCGAGCTGACTGGTCTTTTCCGTGCACTTCGGCTCAGTCTTCCGGCGAGCGTGCAGAGTCGAATGGTTTTCAGTGAGTCCTGCGACGAGCCGTGTTCGGTGTATCACGACAACCGACTCAAGAATGAGCCGTCTCCTTGCTACCCAGACCAAATGGTCGGCTCGGGTGTCGGAATGATCCCTCTCGTAAGCGACATCTAGCAGCCAAATCCTATGCATGTTCGACCGCTGACACTGCTTGTCCCCTACCCCTTCCTCGCCTAATAGGTGGGAGATATCATATTGGCCGTCTGGAAAGCCAACTCGCGCAACGCGCTCTTACTCGAAGACTATCTTATTGCCAAGTCCAAGACAGGGGCCTCCCCCGAGTCCGCTGGGCAGGAGGCCTTGTCCATTGCTGCCATGTCGGGCAAGACGGGTGAACGACCGGGTGAAAGACATGTTTCAGGTGACTTTGCTCCCGATAGCCCTGAAGCGAGTACGCCGACCTACGGAGCTACGGCGGTGAAGGGAACTTCGAGCAGCGGTGCGGCGGTCTCGGCATCGACTCGGAGGGCGGACGCGCAGCCGAAGAAGTACGGCTGGGGCTCATCGGGAACCAAGAATTTGAACGAGGATCAACGACCGTTGACACAGGCGAGCGACAAGAACGGGCAAGCCAGTCGGACGGCCTGACTGATGTTCAAAGGGTCGCTTCCAACGTCGCAAACATGATGTCGTTCGGGAGGTCGCCACGCCCACTGCGAAAGCACAGATCTTTCTTCTTGAACCTCTTAATATATAGTTTAGTGCCCACTACGGGTCATCCCAATCGTTTCTAATTAATTTGCAGTCTATGATCTTACCGGCCTTTTCCGGCCAGCTATCAGCCGTGGCGACGTAAATCTGACTAATGGGCTCTGCTCGATTACGGACCCATGCCTGCTACTCAAACCAATCTGGCAGCCTCATCGGCCTGCTCCCCCTCGGATTCCGCGTTCACGACCACTGCCTCTTCATCCACCTCATTCGATCCCCATAACCCCTTCTTGCACAACATGGCCATCCCGAGCACAACGGGCAGATGCACCAAACTGGCCCAAAACAACACCTTGGCGTTCCTTTCCTCCTTGTGTCGCCAGAACTTCCACGCAGCCCACGCCATCGCCCCATTCGGCACCGTCGCCAAAAACGCGAACCAAGGGTTCGTGAGGCCGAGGAGAGGGAAACTCCAGCAGATCGGGAGGAGAGCGAGGGAGTAGCGCAGGGAGACGAGGGCGTTCTTGGCAGGGTCGAGAACGGCGAGCATTCGGTATCCTGATGAAGCGTACGCCGACCGAAGGGTGTAGGCCAACGAGTTGAAGTGCGGGAATTGCCATGCGTAGAGGACGAGGAAGAGGGCCCACGCGCCTGGTTGGGTCGTCGGTGCGATCGAGGAGGTGCATGCTGCCCAGCCGATCATGGGGGGGAGAGCACCGACGATGGCTCCCAACCATGTGTTGTAGACGGTGTGTCGTTTCGCGATCGTGTAGAGTGGGCAGTAGAGCAGTATTGTGCCGAGTCCGATCGAGCCCGCGAGCGGGTTGACGGCGAAGAGGGTGCCGACGCCGATCGTACCCGTGAGGGCACCAAATGTCGCGACGTGCAATGGCGTAAGTTGACGTTTGGGGAGGGGGCGAGCACGCGTGCGAGCCATTTGCGCATCATAGGGTGCTTCGATCAACTCGTTCAGCGAAGCCGCTGAAGCTGAACACAGCGCTGTTCCGACCGTCATCGGGAGGAGGACCGAGAGGGTCAGGTCGTTCGCGGGCGAGGACGATAGCGCCGCAGTGGTCGGGGTCGACGACAGCGATTGCAACGATACGCCGGTCGAGGCGATGGACTGGGCAAAGGCTTCCATAGCTGCCGTGGTCGTGGATGGGTCTACGGGACACATCGCGTAACCAGCCATCGCGGTCAGGACGGTGAAGGCCGACAGCCGCGCCTTGGAGAGCGACTTGTACAGGGCCCAGTCATCCGAGACGGAGGTGATGGCTTTGCTCCTCCATCGGATTTCGGGGTTGGGTAACCCATTGGAGAGCACCGTCGGCGGATGGGGCTTGGGGATCGGATTGGCGAGCGGGACGAGCGGAGAGGTAGACGGCGGCAGCAGCGGTGGCTCCTCCTCTTGCAGGTACGAGGGGAAAAAGTAGTCCTGCTGCGCCCTGTTGGGGTCGGCGTGGCGTTTCGACTTACGACGCCGATTCGCAGTCGATGTTGTCGCTGGTGTCCGTGACAGGAGGTCGTCGTGGGCGTAGACGACCGAGGGCGATTGCGCGTGCGAAGACGATTCCGCTGCGGCTGCGGCTGCTGTGGTCGCTGCCTCTGCTCGTATGGGCGATGTCGATGCTGCTGCCCCGGCTGCGTTGGTGCTCGCCCATCTGCTGAGTAGCTCATCACTCGCCCTAGCCTTGCCCTTCCATACCGCGGTCGAGGCTGTCGCTGCGACGGTTGAGGATGAGGGCGAAGGTCGACGGCTCGAGCTAATGCGATGGCTGGTGCTCGACAGCGCTCGAGTCGAATTGGATCGACATGTCGAGCAAGAAGCGATGCTGGCTGCTCTCTTGGCGAGCATGCTGGATCTCGGCACGGCTGGGTCGCGTGGGGGGTGTGCGGGGGGGGGGGGGGGGGGGGATGGGGTGAAGCCAACCGGAGCAGCGCGGCCGCCGGTCGGGCCAGCTGGGCAAAGATCTGTCCTCGAAAGTTCTCGACTCGTCATCACGCCAGACAATATGCTGCGACAAGTGTTGCAAGTCAGTCTGTCTTCGAATCAGCAGAGAAGAGCAATCTTGTTTGGACGTGCGTCCTCTGGTCAATTCTTCGCTTCCGATATGTAGGGGAATTATTTGCAGCGAGTTCAACTACGGCGAAACGTAAGGATGTAAGACACAAAAAAAGACGCGCCAATCAAGATGCACCGTGTTATTAAGCTTGATAATAATGTTCAGTCGCTTCACAATCCAGTCATGAGAACGTTGGGCGCGTTCGCTTCAGCACCGCCGAGGTTGCGGCGCGGGGCGACATCGTCGGACTTGTTGTCCCAGTGGTAGAGGCGCTCTTGGGAGCCGACCTGTTGGTAGGTAGCAAGGAACAATCATTGTCAGTCATCTATATCCCGGTTTGACGTGTGGAGACAGCACCGACTCACCTGCTGACGAAGAACGTGCTTGCGAATAAAGTAAGATGTGGCGCGGAGCTGGAAAGCGGCATGCTTCTTGGTCGGCACGGAGAAGACTTGGTCCAGTTCTTCCAACGATAACGCCTTGGTCTCGGGGACCTGGTGAAGAATCAGAACCCAACAGTCAGCGACTGGTCTACTCGGCTCTGTGTTATATCGGAAAGCTTACAAATAAGAGGATCAAGAACCATCCGATGATGTTCCATGCCGCGTACCAACCGAACGCTCCTTGGGGCTTGAAGGCACCGAGCAATCGAGGGAAAGTAAGTGCGACGATGCTGAAGAAGAAAAATGGTATCAGCCACCTCGCTTGGACAGCCATTCGAAGACTCGAGGTCGACTCACAAGTTCCAGCCCCATGTGACGGCCGTGGCGAACGACATGCCCGTCTCACGAATGTAAAGAGGGAACGCTTCGGCCGAGTAAGTGAAAGGCACAGGGCCTTCGCCGGGGGAGTAGGCGATGCAGTGAAGGTAGATGCCGAGAGCGACGACGGCTACGCGCGCCTTGGACTCCTCGGGAATGAAGAATGCCATTCCGGTCATCAACAAGAACAGAGCCATGAGCGGGAACGTCGTAAGCAACAAGGTCCGACGGCCATAGGTGTCAATGGTCCAGACGGCGGGCGCGGCCATGATCCAGTTGAGCGCTCCAAAGCCTAGCGTGGCTCCCAAGGCATTCAGTTCCGAGAAACCCGCTTCACGGAAGACGGTCGACGAGTAGTAAGCGATAACGTTGATGCCGCAGAATTGCTGCATGAACATGACGATGCCCGAAGCGAGAGCAGCGCGACGGTTGCGAGGGACTGAGCACGGGAAGCAAAGGGGGCTCGGTCAGCTAACAGTGCAGACCAGGGATGGGCGCGAATAAGCGTCGAGGCACCCACCAGCAAACATCTCGATGAAGGCAGGTCGGTCGGTCGAGATCGTCGACTCCTCCTCCAGCAAGGCGTGGATGAAGAACAGGTCACGTGCAGCCTGGAGACGAGTGTGACGAAGACGGCAGAGCGACTTGAAGGCGTCGGCGTAACGACCCTTGCTCAAAAGCCACCTCGGCGACTCGGGCAGAGTGTAGACCCTATGGAATAGTACAGTGTGGGTGTGAGAAGTGTGCACTGTGGTTGCCGAATAGACGTCTGGTACTCACTGTGCCATGACGAAGAATGCGGGCAAGGCTGCGGAACCGAGCATGAGGCGCCAATTGACTGCGTCGAAACCAAAGTGGAAGACGATTCAAGTTCAGCAGAGGCCGTTATATGCTCTAGTCGCCCAGCTCTCTGGGCCAACTTACGGCCGGTGATGTGGGCGGGGTCCTTGACGCGGAAGAAGATGAGGGACGAGACTGTGCCGAGCATGATGCCGAAGGCGGTCCAGACTTGCCATTGCTATTGGGCAGAACCGAGACGAAGGATAAGTAACGCCAACTCGATCGCTAGAATGTGAGACGACTTGGATGTACTCACCATAACGAGGGCACCGCGGATCAAGGGAGGGGCAGTTTCAGCAGCGTAGACGGGGACCGTGGCACTCTTTGCGCCGATACCGAGACCAAGCACGAAGCGTGAAGCGAACAAGTGCGGCCACGAGTTGGTCACGCCGGACCAGATGCAGGCGAGACCCGAAACGGTCGCGGTGATGAAGATAGCTCCTCGTCGACCAAAAAAGCGGTTCAGAGGCGATGTGAGCCAGCATCCGAGCACGGCGCAGGCGAGGTAAGGGGCACCGGCGGTCAATCCTAGTAGCCATTGGTTCTGCGGGGAAGTGTTCCAATAGTCAAATCGATGTCGGGTTCGACGTGTTCAGCTCCGACTCCTGGCTCACCTTGCCAGCATTTGCGTTCACTTGACCGTTCGGAAGCAAAGCAGCAGTCTCGAGGCCGAATTGAGGTGCCCAGAACAAGTTGGCACCGTTCGTGACCGATTCGTCCATGCCTTAAGCCGAAATAACGAGTCGACAGAGTCAGAAGTAGGTGTCAGACACCAAGACAGATATTTCAACTTACCTTGGACGGCGGCTGCTACCGAGCAGCAGATCACCAACATGTACAGTTGCTTCGGGTGGTCCCACTATGAAGAACGGCAGATGTCAGTGTCAGGACGATGCGATCACACCACGTGATCTCCGTTACACTCACTTTGTGGGTGACTTCACGGCGCAGGATGTTCTTGTCCGCGTCGTCGAGCATGGGCAAGGACTCGAAAGCCAAGGGGTCTTGCGCGACCATGGCACCTAGCAGGGAGACGAAGGGCTCGCCGGGGTCAGACCGCTGGAGGAAAGAGGGGCTTCCGGGAACGGCAGATCGTGCCGTCGGGAGGGGCGGACGGCTTTGGTGGAGGTTGAGCAACCTGTCACATCGGCACTCACCTTTGGCAAACTCTTCTTCGTATTCACCGAGCCCCTTCTCGTGCGCGAAAGCTCGGCCCATAGCTTGCAAGCGGTCCAACGAAATGCCGGCCAGCGGGTTCTGCGGAAGGGCGAGTTCCGTGCCGAGTTGGGAAAATCAGCTTATGAAAGACGCGACCTTGAGGATCGGAGAACGACAAAGTTAGACAGTCGTTCGCGTGGAGGAAAAAGGGCTTACTTCCAACTTGGCGTTGATGTTGTCGTCCGAGTGGATCGACCCAACCGCCTTCTCGTTGTGCACGGCCGATCCCTTGGGCTTGTTCTGGCCCATCAGCTCCTTTTGCCGAGCCAGGCTCGGGTCCATGTGACCTTTGGTGTCCATGTTTGAGTTTTTGTTCGATGTAAGGGATGGGCGCTGTGAATGGCGTAGAGTCGAGTAAAAGGAAGGAGTGAAGAAAGAGGGGCAGCGGAAACTAATTGACGTCAGTTGACCAATCATCCGCAAGTGCGGCAGGAGCGAGCGAAACCATTTCGGACCAATCGTAGGTCCGAGCTGAGCAACAAGGTCTGCTGCGCCCGGGGCCTCGAGCGTCCGTGCTACAGGTAGGATGTTGCCGCCATGAAAGTTGCGCACAGGGTGGACGAGTACTCACCACTTGCTATTGTGGTCGACGATGATCAGTGAAGAAGAAACAAGAGGCGTGAGGCTAATAGTAAAAGTCGCATGAGGGTCGGCGCCAGGGGCATCGACAAAATGGTGGGGAGCGCCCGATTTAGCGCCCGACCCCAGCCTCGATTTTCGCGCTAATCGGCACTAATGACATCACCGTTGCGCGCCGAACGCGGCGGCGCGGGGGAGCCGCATGCACTTCGGTGCAAACTTGCAAACGTCTGTTTTTGAGGCCCCGGAAGGGCACGAAGCACCAAGATCTGATTTGCAGTGATGAAAACCGAACTCCTCCGATTGGTCGATGTCCCTGAGCACCGGCCGCCTCGTTTTCTGTGTTCGCAGGCTTTTCGCCGACGGCCAACTGGAACGGTCAGAGAGGTGTTCGGCGCTACAGCATCTACCTACCTATATGTATGACATCGATTCTCGGTGCTTGCAAAGGCTGTCCTCGAGAGTATAGTGTCATATGCGGCGGACATCTTTCCTCCCGTCATGACATCGACGAGCCAATACAGATCCATACGTTAGTATCCCGAATCCACTGCTCACAGACTGACGGAGGGTCAGTACCGATGTGTCCTGCCTATTATCGTCTTTGTGGGCAGCGATGAAGAACGCAAGCGTAAAAATTGGCGGCGCTAAAACAGGGTATTAATTTGAGCTTCGAGCGTGTAAGGCCGCCGTCTCGCTCCGACCTCAACGTCACCCTTCCAATTTCGGATCCGCGCGCAGGATGGCCTTACGCCGGGATAGCTCTCGTTTTCTCTTTAGCCTTTTCCCCCATCGTTAACTGGACTCAACCCCTCGCCTAGTTACCGATCCGTCTAGTACACATCTTATTCATCGACTGTAGTTGCGTATCCCCTGCAACTCAACTCAAGCGTTTCACCGTCTTTTCTTCGTCGTTCGTCGACTTCGCCCTGTGATCGCCGCTTCGCAATACCGAATTGAGTCTGGCCCTCACAGAGCGACTCGAGCTTGTTGGGCACGTACCCAAGCACCTACATCCCACACGCAAAAAAGCCAGGTCAGGAACCAGGGCACCTCAAGGCTCAGACTCAAATCAACTACGAGGGACATGCAGTGACTGGTCCAATTTCCAGAATGTATGACGGCGCGCCGCCCGCATCTCCTTCAGCGCGCTCGGGCTGGTGTCAGGGGTCGCAGGCAGGTGGACACGTCCGTGCGGGGTAAAGCAAGTCCCGAAAATGGGGGTTAGGGGTGCCACTACTGCGCAAGCCAACCGTCAAAAGGAATTAAAACTTAGAGGGTCAAGAGTACAGAGTACGGCAATCGAAAAACTCACGACATTCCAAGCGGGAACGTTGCGGGAAGTCATCAACCCGCACGATGCGGGGGTGCCGCCGGTCGGGGCTCGCGTGGCCCGCAAATGGCTTGGTGTGTGACCCCACATCAGCAGCTCGCGTTGACGACTCGATCAAGATGCATCTGCTCCCACGAGAGATTGACAAGGTACGTCCTACAACGAGACGTGGTGCGGTCATCAGTTTCACTTACTTATATTCTTCCCACACGCCTTGAACTGCTACTTCGCCTGCCCAGGTGCTCTTATCGAACGTTGGCTCGCTCGCGCAACGACGACTGGCGCGGGGGGTGAAGCTCAACATCACCGAAGCGACGGCCCTCATCGCGAGTGTGCTCCAAGAGCTTATCCGTGATGGCAAGCACTCGGTCGCAGAGCTGATGCAGCTAGGTACGTCGTGGTTCGCTGTCCTTTGACGCGCCGCCCCACACGCTCCCACCGACCTCGTTCGTTATCGAGACCGCACAGACTGACCCCCTGACATCTGTCCCCATACTCCTCGACTTTGGTAACACTAGGCAAGGAGATCCTAGGTAGAGCTCATGTTCTTCCTGTAAGCCCCGCGACTTGTGTCTGCCCTGCTCGTGTATTGACTAGGCTTTTGCTATCTCCGTCAAGTCCGTTCCGGCGATGCTGCACGAGATCCAAGTCGAAGGCGCCTTTCCAGATGGTGTGTTTCTGGTCACTGTGTGAGTAGACATGGAGTCAATTCATCCTGAGCCGATGATCTGGATCCATGTCCTCACAACTCGTATCTACTTCAGTCACGACCCCATCGCTTCGACCCAAGGCTCGCTCAAGTTGGCACTCTACGGGTCGTTTCTACCGATCCCTCCCGAGGATGTTTTCGGGCCACTCGAAGAGGAACCGAAGCGTGAAGAGCTACCTGGTGCCCTAGTATTCAAGAAGAACGCACCGATCGCCCTCAACGTGGGCCGTAAACGCGTCAAGGTCAAGGTCACCAACACCGGCGATCGTCCAATTCAGGTCAGTCGAAGTTCGCTGAACAGGATCCTTTACGTCAAAAGCTGATTCAGATTGATCTGCACTTCGATTGGTATAGGTCGGCTCGCATTATCACTTCAGCGAGGTCAACAAAGCGCTCAAGTTCGACCGCTCGCTCGCCTTCTTCCGAAGACTCGACATCGCCGCAGGCACAGCCGTTCGGTTCGAACCTGGTGATTCGAAAACCGTTACCCTCGTCGACATTGCTGGCAACCAAATCGTCACGGGCGGCAACTCGCTCATCGATGGCCCCGCCACTCGGCTCGCGAGCCAGGTCCACTACGATCAAATCATTCGATCTCTCGTCGAGAAGGGCTTCAAGCATGAGGAGCAGCCGGGCGCCGTGGTGGGGACCGAGATCGAGGGTGCTATCATCAGTCGTGAGACATATGCCAGCATGTACGGTCCGACGACTGGGGATCGTATTCGACTCGGTGACACCAATCTCTGGGTCGAGGTTGAGGACGACAAGACCGTCTATGGCGATGAACTCAAATTCGGAGGCGGTACGTGCTCGACCCCGTCGGTCGTTTCTTCGCATTTCTGACCATTAATCGAGGCTCTACACAGGCAAAGTCATTCGTGAAGGGATGGGACAAGCGACGGGTCTACCTGACGATATGACGCTCGATCTCGTTATCACCAATGCGCTGATTATCGACTGGAACGGCATCTACAAGGCCGACATCGGCATCAAGAAGAACCACATCGTTGGAATTGGCAAAGGAGGCAACCCCGACGTGATGCAAGGGGTTACGCCAGGCATGATCGTGGGCGTCAATACCGAGGTGATTGCTGGAGAAAAGATGATCGTGACCGCGGGCGCGATCGACGCACACGTGCACTACATCTGCCCTCAACTGTGGACCGAGGCCATGGCATCGGGAACGACGACCTTGATCGGTGGTGGCACCGGACCGTCCGCGGGCACGAAAGCGACTACTTGCACCCCATCGCAGACGTACATGCACATGATGATGGCCGCAACAGATGGGGTGCCGCTCAATTTTGCGTTCACGGGCAAGGGTAACGACAGCGGCAGCGTTGGTCTCATCGATCAGGTTCGATTCGGAGCCGCCGGCCTCAAGTTGCACGAAGATTGGGGCACGACGCCGGCTTCGATCGATACCGCGCTCAGCGTTGGTGACGACTATGATGTGCAGGTCAACATCCACACCGATACGCTCAACGAGTCGGGCTTTGTCGAAGACACCATCGCGGCTTTTAAGGGCCGCACGATCCACACCTACCACACCGAAGGAGCCGGGGGTGGTCATGCTCCAGACATCATCGTGGTCGCTGGTCACGAGAACGTCTTGCCCAGTTCGACAAATCCGACCCGACCTTATTGCGCCAACACGCTCGACGAGCACCTCGACATGCTCATGGTCTGCCATCATCTCGATCGAGCGATCCCGGAAGACATCTCGTTCGCCGAATCGCGCATTCGTGCCGAGACCGTCGCGGCCGAGGATATCCTGCAAGATATGGGGGCCATTTCGATGATTTCGTCCGATGCGCAGGCCATGGGACGTATTGGAGAGGTTGTGTCTCGCACGTGGCGCACAGCGGCCAAGATGAAGGACTTCACGGGTCCGCTCAAGGAGGAGACGCGACCCGACTGCGACAACGAGCGGGTCAAGCGCTACATCGCCAAGTACACGATCAATCCGGCCATCACTCATGGTATGTCACACGTTATCGGTGACATCGCGGTCGGAAAACTCGCCGATCTCGTGCTGTGGCAACCTCAAAACTTTGGTGTTCGGCCTGAAACGATCCTCAAGGGCGGTGTAATCGCTTGGGCCAACATGGGCGACGCAAATGCCTCGATCCCGACCGTGCAGCCCGTCATCTCTCGACCAATGTGGGGTTCGCATGCTGAAGCCGCGGCCCTCAACTCAGTGCTGTTCGTGTCGGCTCTTTCTCTTTCCTCGGGAACGATCGCGAACTATTCGCTCAAGAAACGACCCATCGCGGTCCGCAATTGTCGCAACATCGGGAAGAAGGACATGAAGAATAATTCGATTACTCCCAAGATTAGCGTCAACCCTGAGACCTATCGAGTAAGTGTCAAATTGGCTGAAGGGGTGGTCTTACCATACCGAACGAAGTGAGCTGACTCTACTACCACAGGTCGAAGCGGACGGTGTACATTGCATCGTCGAGCCAGCCACAAAACTTCCGTTGTCTCAAAACTACATGCTATTCTGATCTTCTGTCGTCGTAATGCTGGGGCTCCGTTCATTGAAAATCCTGTTTGTCTCTTCAAGCTGTCCGTATGCATTGTAGTCTGAGAATGTTCAGTGTTCATCATTGAAAGCGTGGATGCCCTAGATCCGAGCCTGGTCGCTGGTGACTGTATTGGAGTGTACTTCAAGTTGAAGCAAGTCGCTTGGTGGTTCCATCTCGTCAACCGGCTCCAGCCACTCGTCCAGGACTGCCTCGTCAAAGATCGACTCGCCGTCACGTTGAAGTTCATTCAACCCTTGTCCTATTGGGTCGGAGGACGGACGTAATGCGATCTCGCTCTCGCGCGATAATGGCATAGATGACGAGTGGTGTCCATTTGTCGAATCCTTGAGCGGCGATGCCATCGGCGATCTAAAAGGTGTTGGTGTCCGCACAGTAAGATTCGTTCCGGCCAAGCAGTAGTATTGCGGGGGCTTGGCTTCGATGCTTGGCGTTGGCGTTGGCCAGCTCACGTCTGGACGAGGGGTTCGGACTAAGACGCTCGAGCTGCCGCGATCTTGGCGAAGAGTCCGACCGCTTCTTGGCTGCCAGCTGGTCCTGGTGAGCGAGCAGGAGGAGGAAGCACGATTTTCAGCCTCCGTTGGTCGCTCTTCGAATTGGTGTCGACTGGATCGTTCTGCTTCGGAAACAGCTAAAGGATGCTGATCAAGACCAGACGAGGACCCGCCACTTGCGCCACCTGATTCCGAATCGGCCCTTCTCCTCGGCGAACCGCCCTGACCAAGGCGGGACGAGGGGAAGTCCAGCTGAGCGTTGTCGCTTGGATTCGAGTGCTGAGATCCTAGGAGTGTATGTGTTTCTGCGCCCCATGCATGCCTCTTCTTCCTTCCTTCCGTGAAAAAACGGAACGACGGCTGGCGGACGAGGGTTCGTGATGTACCGGCTTGCTGGACTGTGTTTCCATCCGCGAATGAGGATGCACCGAATCCGGAGGAGATGTGAACACTGTTTTCCAGTGCGGTGTTATGTCTGACCAAGCGACCGCGGATTAAAGCTCGGTTCTTTTCCTCCGCTGGGCGCTTTGCTCTTCCTTGACGGGCTTTGGGGAATCGCTGCGCATTTTTTCTCGCCTGAGTCGGTTGCACTGGCGCGGGGGGAGGTAGAGGCCCTAGACAGCGCTCATCTTCGGCGGTGGAATCCGGCAAAGGTCGCACATCGATGTAGGATTCGATGTCGGCTCCTTCGAGCTCCAGTGGAAGGAAGCGTGTGGAGTTGGTCGACATCTTCTTACGCTTCGTCAACCGCGCGCGCTTGCCTTGGTATGGGGGGTCACATGTCTTGCCAGTTATATGTGATACGGGGCTACTCTCTTTATTCGTGTTGATGTTCTCGAGTACAGCTCGAGTTTGCGCTCGACGGGTGGTTGGATCCATCCGATGAAGTCGCTGACTGGGCGAGGCACAAATTGAGGAAGGATGTACGCTGTGAAAAGCGGTAGATTCAATCTTCCATAGTGGATGATCGGGAGGACATATTCTGCGAGAGTTCGAGGTTTCCGGGGTCGCCCGAGAGGCCGAAGTTCCAGCATCGAGGGTGCTGACGCCGAGCTCCAGCATGCGTGGACGGGGTCTCGTTGGGTAAGGAGTTCCCGTTTGGAACCGCACACTGCCCGTCGCAAATATCGGAGCACGCACGGTGAGTGATTTTCGTGTGCTTCGTAAAGGTCTGAGACGTCGAGGCGAAGCTGGGGGCGTGAGTGCAGGATTTGACGAGGGCTCTGCTGCTCGACCTATGATCGCCCCACCGGTTGCCGCAATCCTTGATCTTGGTCCCTTCGAAGCTCTACTCGCGTTGCCTATATGTCGTTGAGCGGTTGTTCGATCACCGTCCGGTGCATTACATCCGAAGAGTCCCGAGTCGCCGAGATCCGAGTCGCTCGATCCCTCAAATCGATCTGCACGCGGATGGTCGTGCAGATGGTATGGATACGACGGCGAACCAATTGGCGACAATGCTCGGCGTTGCCATGTAAGTGAAGTTGCACGGAGATTTTTACTCGTCTTGGATGAAAGATCGACAATTCCCTCGACGCTTGAAGACCCGCTTGACTTGGGCATGAGCTTAATCGAAACTGAAAATTGACAGCAGAGAGATATGGAGTGCCCCACCAAGTCAGTCTTGTCCCCGTGACCGATCCCTGTCAGACATGTTAGTTGCTTGAGAACGAAATCGAGATCAATCGGAAGACGGGGTATGTATGTACGTGTATGATTGAGCGGACTCCGCGGGTAGTCGTCGCTACTCGGCGAGCAAGTGTCCCTGAGGCACGCTATGCTAATGACGTAAGGAGGGGCAGACTGACGATTGCTAGAGTTGGGACCATTGTTCCTTGTAGATGCGGATAGAAGCGTTGTCAACGGTAACGTCGCAGCTGGTCTCGATGGTTCGATAGGTGGCCTCCGATCTGTGTACGACATGGGTTGACGCCGACTGCGGCGGCGCGGCGGAGATGGCGGCTCCTCGAAGTCATCATCCGAGGGCGTCATTTTGCGGAAGGCGATGTGTATGATCGACCTCAGACATGAAAGGAGATGGAAAAGGACCAGGCGGCGATGGTAGTTGTGGTCGGCGTAATAGCGGGCGGGAGAAACAACCGCCACCGCCACCACCACCGCTATGGCCACGGGCATGGGCACTTTCACGGCGGGAGTGATCCGGCGCTGCGACGATGCGCGACAAATCTCCTCTCCGGTGCGACCTACCGAGCGAATTGTCGCCAGATCTTATGTGAAAGACAAATTGACGAATACAACTGATCTTCGCTTCTGCTCTAATTCTGATCACGAGTCGACTAGGTTGATCTTGTCGATCTGTCTTGATTAGAAGTATTGTGACCAGCGCAGTTGCGCTCGGCCGTCAAGTCCGCCGTCCAGACAGGAGGTCGAGTTTTAGTGGCGGCTGGGTCAAGCTGCGACTACACTACAGTTGTTCGGCAATCCTTCTCCAAAAAGCAGAGGCTTAAGAGAAGGTCCTCGTTGGGGAAGGCTTATTCGTTGGTGTGACCGCCTCAGCAGAGCTAGTTGGGACATCACCTCCTCGGCGGTCTCGCGTCCAGAGTAGCACACGCAAGGTATGTACTGCGACTCGGCGGTGCGGAAGTCCGAGTCGCCGAAGCTAGACTGTAAAATTTTACTTTACGATCAACATGCTTTGGGGACTTATGCGGGACCATCAGCTTTAGTATCTGGAAGCTGGGGCGAAAGGAGCGTGTGATCCATCCCCTGCACTCGCCCCTGTTTAGAACACTACACTTCGAGAGCCTCGGCGTCAGTTGCTCGTGGGCGCCGCAGCATCATGAAAAAGCTGAACTCATCCAGTATTGATGGCTTCAAATGTAGGGCCTGGATCCCAATGAGGCACATGTCATGAGCAGTACCTCCCGTTGCCCAGGCCAGGAGAAACTGTGTGAAACTTCCGTGAGATCGGAAATCGCGCGCGCGAGAGCTCCTCAGCGCAAATCGGAGATTCGCGTGTTAGCGTGCCGGGCCAAGCAAATCCTACCTACGGGGATCGGTCGATCCATCGGCTGTCGATCTGAGCGGCGGTCCAACTTGGCCGCTTGAGCACTCTTTTCGCACGGCGAAACTAGAGCACGAGGAACCGTGCTTCCGAGGCAATGCCTGCCCTACGCTGGCTCATCTGGAGGTGACTGTCGATGGATCGTCCTCGACTAGTACTCCACCTCCACCGCTGTTCTACTCCGCATGCGTATCTCATCCATTTAATTCTCCAGAGCAACCATACATGTATTCGTCCGACTCGAGTGAGTGTGTGAGAACTACGATCTCCGCTCTTGTTTGCGAAGTTTTCTGAGGTGTGCGACAACTGACATCGACGCCGGCGATGACGCTGCTTCGACGCGGCCGTGATCTCCGTTCCTCAGTTTTGCGCGAACAGGACGAGCTCATGTTTGACCTCTTGTCGAAGCATCGTCGCCTCCGATTGTTCGAACAAGCAGTGAGAAGGGAACCACTGCTCGAGAATCTATCTCCGGGTCTCGTCACGCACTGGTTCGAGTCGCGCACGCTCGGTGAACCGTCGTCATCGGCTTCGACATCTTCCTCGTCCGGCGGTTCGTCCCCGTCGGAAAATGCAGACACGAGCTCGCAGTGGCAGCAAGCTCACCACAACAGTCAGCAACACCTTGGATCAAACTTGAGGTACCCTCATCATTCTCTACCTACGACCACGGTTCACTATGACAGCGGAGTGCCTGTCCCCTGGGACCGTTACTCCCCCGCCTCCGCTCCTTCCGGACTGGATCAGCATCGACAACCGGTGCAGACGAAGCAGCCTTCCCACGTGATGGACACGCCCGTCGCACTCAAGATTAGCACGGACGAGATGGCGATCGCGCAACGCGTGAACTGGCTTCTCCAGCTGCAGCAGCAAGACCAAGCGCTCAACGCTGTGGCGAATCGTCAGCGTGAGCAACTCGAGATGAGGAGGAGATTCGAACTGGACCAGACCCGAGTCCTCGAGCAGGATTTTCTTAGCCGTGAGTACGATCTCGAACGAGGAAGAATTTCTTCCGTGTAGCACCGGTAATGAAGCTGAAGTCTCCTGTGCTTCTGCACACCTCGTTGACCAGATGGTTTGAACCTTCGAGTGCATCGTGTAAGGATCCGCGAGTGGCTCCGCTTGAATCAACCCCAGTGTGGCGAACCTTTAGAAGTCAAGCTGGTCCCGACGGCGGGTGGTACGATTATCACCACCACGGTCTACAACAATGTGGGTGAATTCAACTTGTATGCCAGAGAAATTCATCGGACTTAATCCACCCTGTTCTGCATCGCCAACAGGATCGCTATGCCATGCATCTGCCTCTCCGCTCGCTCGTCGCTCTCTCTCTCGGCTCGGATTCGATCACCCTGCAAACCTGCGAGCGACCTTCTTTCTACGTCACTCGTCGCGCGACGGGACAGTCCCAGACCAGTGCCGATTTCACAACCGAGCGAAGTGCGAGCATCGAGTCGCAGCACGTCTTTGGGGTGGTGCCTTCCGAGCTCATCGTCGTGCGTGCACAGCTTGAGCAACTCGCCTGCAGTCTCCCATTACTCCGCGTCTTGCTTTTTCCAAAGTCAATCAGTAGCGTGTTTCAGACTCAACCGCATGTAGGAACTGCTAGGGCTGGTGCTTTGGCGTGGGCGCCGTCGATGGCAAGTCCTCATCTAGCGACCAGCAAAAGCTCACCCGCCTTGCTCGGGAGCGCCGCAGGGTACCCGCAGCAGCCTGTTCAAGGCATTGACTCGATGTCGTCACCCGATGTATTCGCTCGTCCGGCGCATCAACGCTCCCTCTCATGGACGAATCGTACGGCTTACGAAGATGACTGCGATCGAGCGGCGGCTATGGATCTGACAAGATTGCAAACTGGAGCTCGTAGCACCGATCCGTGTCTGCCAGAGCATGCGGGCGCTGAATTGACAAACCAAGCAATTCCTCCTTCCTTCGGCACCACTTCTACACTCGATGTCTCTAATTCGTGCCCTGTTCCCCCTCCCACCACCCCGGAAAACCCGAACAACAAGTTAGACGACATGGAAGTCGCTTCATCCTCGTCAATCAGTACCCCACGCAGCCGCGAGTCGACTCAGGGCTCCGATCCCACCTGGGACATGTTCGCGAGCCCCTGGTCCTCGACCGCCGCGCCGACTCAAACCATCTCTTCCCGGGCTTCACCCTCCCCTGCATCTCAAATGATCAACGGACAGTGCGAAGCGACGCCTCGTCCTTCCAATGCGACTTTGGGCGTCATTGGTGATCCGGTTTCACGTCCACCTTCCGGAGGAGCGGGTGCGAAGCATTCGGATGCCAATTCACCTTGTTTCATCTGGAACCCGTTCGAAGCAACGCATTGCTTTAACATCCAGGACTGGAACTCACATCTCGGAACCGATGCCAATCAGGGAAGCACGACGATATCCGCGGAAGGGAATGGTACTGAAGCTTCGTCGACGTCGCTCGAAAAGTCCGATCCGAACGTGCACCCTGAGAATGCGAACCTGCTCGACTACGATCCCAACACTTTGCACCTCCTTACGACGCCTGCGCACTCGGACTTGCAGCTCAACTTTGGGCTCGAGACTTCGTCGTCTTGGCCTTGGTGAAAAGGCGATTCAGAGCTTCTCCTCGTCCACTTCGTTCTCATCCATCTTTCGTTGCCGAACCACAAAAATGTGAAATTAGATCCTTCTCGCCCCCTGCGGCCTCCTATGTACGTATCATCCTGGGACTTGCAGCTTCATCCTCAACACCGATTGCTTCGGTTGTAGACTATATAACACACCGTGTCATAAGTAGGGCTCCTGAATCGCCCACATAGACCGACCTTTTGAAGTATATTTCTGGAGGTTCGAAGATGATGAGAACAATCAAATGACACTACTGTTTCCCTCCATGCTCCGCTCTCGCCGACTTTCAAGGCTCTAAAGAGCAGAAGGGTTTCTTTGAGACGTATGCGTGTTGTGTTTGACGATTGCGAAAAGGGTGTTGGAATACGGCAAAATTTACTCATGTGCTTCATTCTACGAAAGAGAAGAGGGGAGCTCAGCTCGAATTTCGAGCGCCGATGTGACAACCACCCACTCAAAGACGTACTTTTGCCCAACTTCATCCAGCTCGGCGTCACTTTACCCGAACTGCCTCCAAAGCCCAACTTTTGCCCCGTCGAAGTCTTCTTCCCAATCGTATCTGGTGGGGGTTTGGCTGTTGGGTCGAAGGGGGGTGGAAGGGGGAATTGAACGGCGGCTCCGATGAGCTCGGGTCGTAGGGGCGGGGGTTTCATTGCTGTCGTAGAATAGTGTACGCGAATTAGTAATCTGTGCAGAGGTAGGTCGTGCGTGGGTCTGGACTAACTGTCGAGCTCTTGCCGCTCGAGAAATTTGATGTAAAACACCGAGCTCGGCGTCAATTCAAGATCCATGAGTGATTTCCCCCTTGAATTGAGGTCGCCTTTCGGAAACTCTCTTCGTGGGGGTGTTTGATCTGGTCACGTCCCCGATATGTAAATCTCAGCGGAAGAGCCTCGGTACGCTGTGGCTCGGCTTGCAAATGGGACTGACAGAGGAGGAACGGGGTTTGTCGGATCTCTTCGGAGAGGGCGAGCTTGACAAATTCGTAGATGGCGACCATCTTGTCCGTGCTCGGGAACACACCTTCCAATTGGGATCTATCTGCGAATCGAACCCGAATCCTCGTCTGTTGACCACAGAGTCGGTGAGCTCCGGCTCCGGCACGGAAGATCCGGCGACGAACGATCTCACCTGAGGCCATCGACTGGCCCTCTCACGAGACTTGGTCGCCTCTTCCCTATCCCTCAACCTCTGCGTCATCAAAGGCCTCTCCAACAGGTCCTCGCGCTTCTTGACCTGTCCAGCGAACGCGGTCTGTAGTTCCACGGCGGTGGGCGCAAAGTAGGATTCGGGGAGGTCGACCATCCTCGAGGTGGACGGGTCCGACTGGACGGGGAGGAAGTACTTGGCGTGGAAGAGGCGGGTCTTGGAACCGTCGGGGGAGACGGAGAGGAGGGGAACTATCTTTTCGGTCGTCTGCGGTGGTTGCGACGTGGTCGTCGTCAGCGCGCGGTCGATGTTCCAAGTGGGGGGAGCGGGGAGCGGTGAGCGTGGACTCGTCGGCTTGGGAGTCGGACTCGGACGGAGCATGGTCAGACACTGAACGTACAGGTTGGGACGACGTAGAAGCCGATGCTGCTACTGCGGTCGTTGCCAGAGCGTCTGAGGTAGGCGCCACCACTGCAGGGATCGCTGTAGGCACCACGGCCGAAGGCGAGGAGGATGACAATGACGACGACGACGACGACGACGACGTAGGAGCTGGCGACGGTTCAGCTACGGCCGGGTTTGAAGCATGGCGTGGTGCATCTCCTGCCAGAGCCTGTGGTGGTACACCAGCATCGGGCGTCGTAGACGGATCCATTCCTGTGGTTGTTGTGCGTGGCTCAGCGGATGGTGGAAGGCACAGAAGGGCCCGCGCGCGCTCGACTGCATTAAGTGGAGCCGAGCCAGGTGCGTCACGTGACATTTGCTCGCCCATCAGTCGCCCGGGCGATAAAGCGCAGCGAAGCGCCAAGCTGCGCGAAGCTCATTGCGGTTGACCCGTTCACTCTCATCCTCGTCGCTTCCTCGCTCGATCGCTCGCTCACATGGGCTCCACAAAACACGTTTCGGCGCAGGATAAGGGAAAGGGCAAGGCACGAACCACATTGACCAGTTCTAGCTCCAGCTCCAGCTCCAGCTCCAGCTCGTGCTTCAGCTCCAGTCTCGAGCGAGGGAGCTACGTGTGTGTGCACTGCAACCGTCGTGTCTCGTCCTTGTGTGAGTTTGCAGCTCGTCGGCAGTAGAGGTGCTTCACCACCCCTTGACTCATTTCATGATGTTTAGATGTCACCTACTCGGACCCATCCAACACCTCACTACTGCAATGCGCGTCCTGCGGCCACCTGCTCGACGTCTACATGACCTTGGCCTTCCCCGTGCTGCTCGTTGACCTGCTCCTCTCCAAGCCACGCGTATACCACCACTTACTCACCAATAGAGGATCGAACGATCCGAAAGAGAGGGAATGTGAACGCACCGAAAGCACGTTCAGGATAGGGGCCATCGTCGTCGGATTGGATGCGCGTCAGTTGCAGTCGTCCACCGGAAGCGATGAGGGTAGGTACCGGAGCTGAACCCTCGCACGGCCCTTGCAGTCATTCGTTGCACCAACGTCGGACCTCCGGAATCTCTGCATCCTGTATCGCTCTATCTTCGCGTACTGAGCTACTGTCTATTCGGTTAGTCCTGAATCATTTTTGACGAGCAGCGAGCAGCGAGCAGCAGATTTTTTCATATCTCGGCGCCGATTGCTGAACCTCCTTTGGTGGTCGGGTCTCATCAGAAACTTTCTCCCTCCACGCGTGTATTGCCCTCTCTGCGGCATTCTTCCAGACGTTCTTCCGGACATCGAAAAGCGCATCTCTGTGAGTGTATCAACGAGGCTTCTTCGTGGCCTGCGATCTGACCCACCCCCGGTTGTTCCCTCATCTTCACAGCTCACGACTTCGGCTCCTCCCCCTAACGCTCTTCTACACCTCCTTACCCACCCTCTTTCTCCTGTTCATCGTCTCCCTCATATGGCGCGAAGAATACTCCGTACCCTCCTCACCCCTATCCCCCGCCGCGCACCTCGACTTACCCACCCTCCTCGCCCCCATCTTCATGCCTTTGGTCGGCGGTCTCCCCAGTGCCGATGATGGATTCGTCAAACGCGTCAGTTGGCTTAGTAGGGAGAACCTCAAGAGTGGGGTGTCGACGTTTGGGAATGTGCGCGGGTGGGCGAATGAGGCGCTTTTGAGAAAAGGGGTAGGGGGGAGTAGTGCGGTCGTTGGAGTTGCTGGTCAGTTTGGGCCAGTTCGACCCTCAATCGGCGATGCTTTCTGTGCTGACTAATGAGAGTTCGGTTTTCAGTCCTCCTCAACGCAAGCCAAAGCAGGACGGTCCTCATTCTCGTCGTCGCTTGGCTCTTGCATCTCTTTACCCTCCACCTCGTGGATCCTTATGTCAACTGAGCGATGCAATGGTACAGCCCTTCACTTAGACAGTCCGGAGATTGGGAAAATCAAGTTGCCAACATCAAGAAACGAATCGCAAAACGACAATACTGAGTCCAAAGAACCGCAAAAGAGCAAGAACCCCACACCAATCCGGTCCGCGATCCTCATTCCACCGTCCTAAACACCCTCAACGCCTCCAATCCACCCACTCGTTTCCTCAGCCGCATCCCCTCCTCTACCCCCTCATCCCCCTCCTCCTCATCCTCCACCGACCCAGGCGTCTGGATCCTCAACCCCTTCTCATTCGCGAGATGCAACAAGCAGATGAAGCAGAACGAAGTCGAGATCTCCTCCATCTTGTCCTTGGGGTAGGTCTTTCGCAAGCGATCGACGACGGGGACTAAGGTTTCGGGTTTGAGGGAGGTTTTGCTGGAGCTTGAGACATTGGATTCGTCCGCTGTGGGTTCGATTAGGTCGGGTTGGTAGACGGGTTCGGTTGGGAACTAGTTGGAGACGGGGGGGGGGGGGGGGGGGGGGGTTGTTAGTCTACTTGCCCGGCCTGAACATCGGGATGACTTCAAGCAACGGGGACATACCTCCTTGACAGGGATCGAAACGACCTGCAATTCCGTCCAAATACTATCCTTCAACTTGGCCACATCGACGCGTTTCGCCCTCTTGGCATAATTGATATTCTCCGGCCGCACGCGCTTCAATTGTCCCTGCGTGTCCTGGAGAATATCGTCCGATTCATCGAGACCGCCTCCCAAACCGATACCGTCGAGCATTGGGCCTGTTGGGGAATCGTCCTCGTCCTCGTTGAAGTAGGGCAAATCGTCGTCGCCGTCGTTGAGGATCTGCGTGTCAAAAGGTACGGCATAGTCCCCACCTGAGAGGAGAGGATACGCAGTGCTCAGTTGACGCGTCAGTTCCTTTGATCCAGCATGACTCTCACTCACCGAACGAAGGTTCAAAATCGTGTTCAACGCCTCCCATGTGGTCGTCCTCCAATAAGTTGGCACCGGCGCCAGCCCAGAAGTGTGCATCGGCTTCCCCACCGCCCAGCGCGACCACCCCCGGTGCGTGATTGCCTCTCCGTCGTAGTTTGAGCTGCAAGAAGGAAATTCATAGCTCAATCAGTCTCCACCCGGCCTGATGATTCAAGCAACTCGATTGGACTCACCGCCAGTTTAGGTTTGAGGAACAAGCGGAGCAGAATCTGACTGTTGAAGTGGAAATCATCGGGAAGGATGTGTTGCTCCTCTTCCGTACCCTGGGCCACTGCGATTCGACTGTTGCGTTTCCCGTGACCAGCCGTCTTGGGCGCCAACGAGGATTTCCGAGCCGCACGAATCGATGCCGGTGTCGGGGCCGAGGCGAAAAGCTCCTTCTGAGCGATCGGCGGGGGTTGTGTGAAATCGAAGGCAAATGTGACCTTCTCCTTTCGTTGCTTTGCGGCAGTTTCGTCCTCGGCTGAGAGAATGAGATGACGAGAGAGCCCTTCAAGTTCAGTTTTCGTGTCGTGCTGAGTAGTAGTAGCTTGATCAGGAACACTTACGCTTCCTTTGCACCAATCGTCTCATTTTCCAATGCTCTGGCCCGGCCCAGTTCTTGGACAAACCCGCATCCAGCAAGTCAAACAGGTGCCCGTCCCCACTGCCATTCTCCATCGACATGACGAGTTCACCGCCATCCCCATCCTGTCCACCGCCCATAAATCCAGGACTATCGTCACGACTCGGATCGAACGGTCGACCGGCCCCAGGTTCGTCGGCGAAAAAGTCGACTGCTCCGTCGGCCCCGCCGTCATCATTGTCGTTGGATCCACCAAATTCGCGTTGATCGTCAAAGCCATAGTCTTGACCGTTTAGTTCATTGTCGTGCGCGTTGTCGCCACCTGTTCGACCACCGGGGAGTGCAGCGCGCTGGGTCAATTGAGCGAGTTCTTCGTCGTCGTTGTCGGGGTTCTGCAGGATGCCGAGGTCGAGATTCGCATCGGGTGAGAAGCGGAACGAGGCCAGACTCGGGCAGAGAACCATGTCTTCCAATGTGTCGAGTCCATCAGGGAAGCATCGGGCTGGAGGATAAAGGAAGGGCGGTCAAATCAGGCACGCGTGAGGGTCGGTACGCAGAACGAGGGAAGGAGTCGGACTCACTCGTCAGACGCGTTAGGTCACACTCAATATCCTCGTTCTCCAACACGTCATCTTCGTCGTCCTCGTCGTCGTCATCATCGTCATCGGCCTTGTCGAGCCTCGCATCTCCAGCATCAAACACGACCTTCATGTTCCTGTCACACCCGAGGTGGTTCATCAAGATGCCTCCTGCTCCACCTTCGTCAAAATCGGCACAGGTCTTCTTGAACAGAGGGTCGACGGTGAATTCGAGATCGAAAGCTTTGACTTTGATCTTGTTGAACGAGTCGGCCAAGGTCTCGGCTCGTTTGGCGTTCTACAAGCAAGCGGGACTAGGTGTCAGCGCCTTTCCAGCGTGGAACCGAACTTGGTATCGTAGCTGACCTTTCGCTTCGCCTTTCGCGCTTCACGAGCATCCTCATCTTCATCATTGTCCATGTCGTCATCATCATCGACGCCCTGGGAACCATTACCTGCGCGATTGGGTCCGTAGGCAGTGTGAGCGTCGGCCTTGCCCGCGCGGTGGACAGCACTCGGCAGAACAGCACTCACGACCATCTTCAGCCAGTCCACTGAGCAACTTGCCCGTCTCGGTCGCGACGGAATCGACGCGGGAAGTCCAGATCTTGACGCAGCCGTCGAGGGTGCAGCTCGCCTTCTGGAAGTTGATCGAGTTGTCGTCGTTGTTCCTGAGCAGCGACATGTCGGCAAAGTAGTCGATCAGGGCCAAACTCCATGTGTTGGTCGATGTGATTTTCTGGGTGGTGGAGGATGCATGTACCGTCAGTGCGATGAGATTCGCGATGAGGGTGATACAAGCTCGACGACGCTCAGCGGTCAGGCCGGAGTGTCGATCAACATGAGACGCGTCCACGCGAATGATTCAACACCTCGCGCCGGCGGCCATGGTAGCTCACATTGTCGGTCGCGATCTTCATCCACTCTTCATAACGTTGACTCTCGACCACAAGAGGGGCAGGTGGAGGTGCGACGCCCTGCAGCTGAGCACTGAACGAGCGATGTTGTGCCTGTGGCGTCGTCGGTCCCCCTGCTCCCGCGCTGCTGCTGCCGGCACTCGCATCGCGTAGTCGGTTCGCCGCTGCGAGAGCTGCAATCTTGCCGTGCTTGTTCTGAGGGTGACGCTGCAGTTGCGGAGAGCTATCGTTGCTGTGGTCCTTGGTCGGCGTCGCCAACAGCGAGGACCGGCGCGGGCCCGTATTGAGCGATCGTTCCTGCAGCGGCGCCATGGCTTCCAGACGAGCCCGGTGATTGAGTGGAGCCGAAGAGGCGCCGACTCGGAGGCGATGCGCCCGATTGAGCAAGCCCGAGCACAAGTCTGGATTTTCAATTTAGTGTGTGGTTTTCGCTAAGCACCCCAATCGTGCAAGCACACACTTCCTAACTTTGCTTCGACGATTGTGAGAGAGTATCACGGATATGTACGTCCTTGATAATAGCCGGTTTGTGCGGAAATGACTAGCGTCACGGTCATCGCAGTTAACAGCTGCAGCGCGAGAGCACCACTTGAAAAGCCGCCTACGAATTACTTTTGAGTGAAGCAGAGTAATCGAGGAAAATATCGAAATTTCCGGACCATAGAAATACACAAGGACTACCTGAAGATCGCTAGGCTCAACGGCTTGTCGTGAATCCACATTGCGCGAATTCTTTCGTCGCCGTCGCAGTCGCCTTCTCCATCGCTTTGAGGAACGCGGGGAGTCGGCAGACCGTGCCGCTTGTCAGGGTCTCGCCCTATCAGGGGGAATACTCGACCTTGTTAGCTGTGTGACGGCTTTCGGAGCAAGTACTGGAAAAATGCACGTACCTTGCCGCAAACGCTCGACAGATCCATGACTTGATCGTTGACCAGAATCCTGACATAATCCGAATCACCCCCAAGGAAAGAAAAGAAGCCATCCTCATACGACCCGCTACATCGCAGACGTTCGACGACCAAGCGCCCGGCGAAGGGGACCAACTTGCTTGCGACGAAGGTGCGCATAGGGCACGGAAGAGTCGGGCTCAGGGGTGCATCTTGGAAGAGCCCGATCAGACTCATAACGGGGAGCAATTGATTGTCGTACGTGAAGTCAGCGTAAATGAACTTGTCGAGGGGAAAATGTTTTGTTTCAGAGTCGATTGTATGATTGACTTGGGTCGTATCCTTGTCGATGTAGCTACGGTCCGAAGTGAGGCGCGTTAGGAGTTCGTTGACCCAGCCAAACCCCTGCGAGCGCGCGAGGGGGGCGCCAGGATAGGCGTTGCCGTAGTATTTGCCGAGGTCGCTGTCGTACGCGATGTAGGGGAACTCGCTCTCGCGGAAGAGACCGCAAAAGGGGGAGACGGAGTTTAACTTGACAGATTCAAACGCGCACAAATGGGCCAAATTAACGACGTCCTGGGGACCCAAATGATCTGGGTCAGCTCAACGTCCGGCACAAATGGACATCTCTCTATCTCTGAGGACGTACTGAAGCAGTGAGTTTATAGTCTCGGGTGTCCTGAAGCCTCTGAAGCACCGCCGGTGTCCAAACCGCTCGCCACTGTTCCTGCGCAGTCGGGACCGTGCTCGCAAGATTGGGGCAGTTGTTCGCCAAGGGGTTCTGGAGATGCTCACCCTCCGTAAAGACGACTTGGGTGGAGAATGTGAAATTTTTCTTGTACGAGTTGGGCAGTGTGGGGATCTGGACGTCCATATATCCGCGCGACCAGTTCCCTGCCGAGTCGACAACACGTGGATGCCCCTATGTGTGTGTGTGCAATTCGCCGTGGCAAAGTCAGTCGATGCCGGATGGAGCTGGTGTGAGAGCCACCGAAGAACGCACCGTCGCTCGAACGAACGGCGCACTGCAGAAGGTAAGTGCTGCAGTCGCGGAATTGCACTTCATTCGTTTCACGAGTTGTTTGCCAGCATCGTAAGATCTTCAAACGGGAGGCGTCACGATTAGCACGGAAGACTGTGTAAAGCGCTGATTCTCCCGATGCAAAAGCAAGGATAGAACTCACTCTTTAGCTCCATAGGGAATCAGATCTCCATCATCACCGACGTCGTAGGTGTACTTGGCGAGGAAAACCATCTCGGATCGAGAGTAGTTCCCTTTGCCGGCAATCTTGTCGAGCGTGGCCCGGACCGACTTGCCGGCGTCGGACGTCGGCTGTCGGGCTCCGTGGCGCTGCAAAAGATTCACCTAATCGCGAAGAATTTAGAAAGAACGCGAAGATTTCGTATCAGCGACCCGGATAGGATATCCCGAAGATGTCGCTCGTTCGACTTACTTGCGAGACCTCGCACTTGCTCGGCACAGCGCGATATTCCTCGACCGGATAAAAGGGAGAGCTTCACGCCACGCATCTCGGTCAGTAGCTAACTTCTCTCTGTACCGACATCTTTCAAACTCACTATTGACCCGAGTTTGTCAAATACGTTTGGGCAGCCCCCGCGGCGCATTCCGCTGCGAGCAAAGCAGCGAGCACGACGCGCACGGTCCCTGTCCCGCTTTCGGACTGATGCTGCTGGTTTTTTGGCTTGAGGATCAGCATCGTCGCAGACTCAGTGCAGTGGCCAGTAAGCCGTCTTTGAAGGAAGAGGTGGTGTGGTGGGGAGAAGAAGACCAAGCAGCATTTACGTCAATTCTACTTTTGGTCAACACACCTTTCACTTCATCGACACCATCGGCCACTGCCGGAGACAGGCACATTAACTTTTTGGAGTCGAAGCATCGCTTCGGCCGAGTACGCCAACTCATGCCGATCGGGGAATCTCGCGCGGACGATCGCCGGGTACATGCCTCGGATCGCTTCCGATCTCGGAAACCGGGCGCGCCGCCTCGTCTCCCTTGGGAAGACACGACTTGATCAAAAGGACGTCGGCGCGATGCGAGTCGAGGCAGTTTCTAGGTTCCTTTTTTGGATTCCTGAAGACACTTGGAGAAAGTAAACCGCTCATAATACTGCTGGGCATGAGTTCAAGTCAACCTGAGAGGTGCCGAAGAACATCGCGCGGCAAAATTTCGAAAAGCACGCAAAATTCAGGCGACTCGAACGCGCAGTTTAGATTCAGGGAGAATAAAATTTCCCAGGTTCTACACCGTCCAAAGGAAACGAGCAAGACGGCGCACAATTCCGAGACGAGAACATCACCCGGTGGTCGCCTAATCACTGGGTGTGAATCCGCACTTGGCAAACTCTTTGGTCGCAGTTGCAGTCGCCTTGGCCATTGCCTTCGTGAACGCGGCGAGTCGGCAGACAGTGCCACTTGACAATACCTCATCCTGTTGGCGAAGCGAAAGACGGACGCCGAAAATGGTTAGTAAGCAACGTGGCGCCTGGTCCGACAAAATACTATTAGGTCGACGTACCTTGCCGCAGACACTCGATAGATCCATGATCTGGTCGTTGACGAGGATCCTAACGTAGTCGGCGTCACTGCCAAAGAACGAGAAGAAGCCATCCTCGTACGATCCACTGCATTGCAGACGCTCAACCACCATGCGGCCCGCAAAGGGGACCAGCTTGCTCGCGACGAAGGTCCTCATGGGGCAAGGTAAGGTCGGGCTTAGCGGCGCATCCTGGAAGAGGCCGATCAGGCTCATGACGGGAAGTAATTGATTGTCGTGGGTGAAGTCAGCGTAGATGAACTTGTCGAGTGGGAAGAGGGCCGAGTTGGAATCGATCGTGTGGTTCACTTGGGTCGTACCTTTTTCGACATATGACCGGTCCGAGGTGAGGCGCGTCAGGAGCTCATTGACATAGCCGACCCCTTGAGACCGCGCCAGTGGGGCGCCAGGGTACGCGTTGCCGTAGTATTTGTCAAGATCACTGTCGTACTCGATGTATGGGAACTCGCTGTCCCGGAAGAGACCGCACACGGGCGAAGTCGAGTTGATTTTAAGTGAGTCGAAGGCGCAAAGGTACGCGAGATTGACGACGTCCTGAGGGTAGTGGGGCAGGTGTTTAGGTCAATGCAACCACTTTAAATAGGACTCGATCTAATGAGAAACGTACGGAAGATGTTAAATTATAGTCCTGGGTATCCTGAAGCCTTTGAAGCACCGCAGGTGTCCATACAGCTCGCCATTGCTCCTGCGCGGTGGGGACCGTGCTCGCGAGATCGGGGCAGTTGTTGGACAAGGTGTTGTTGGCATGGTCGTCTTCAGAGAAGATCACTTTTGTGGTGAACTCGTAGCTCTTTCTCGCAGTTGGGGTAATCACGGTCCGTTGGGCGTCCATGAAACCGCGGGACCAGTTGCCGGCCGAGTCGATGACCCGTTGTGACCCCTGGTTCGATGATCAGACATGGTCAGCGCAAGTCTCACCGAACAAAAAATCGGAAGCGCGGGTGGCTGCTCGACTTACGGAGGCGCGAACGAAAGGAGAAGGTTTGCAAAGAGAGAGCGCGACCATGAGCGAGTTACACATCATTCGCTTAGCGAATTGCTTGCCCGCATCGTACGACCTTTGCGACGGGTGAGGAGGACCGAGGCATCAGTAACGAACGGAGCGGGAATTAAGACCTGGCAATGACGTACTCTTTAGCTCCATAGGCAATCAAAGAACCATCTTCTCCGACATTGTAGCTGTAGTTGGCAAGGAAGGCCATCTCGGGGCGGGAGTAATTGCTCTTGCCGGTGAGTTTGGCGAGAGAAGCCTTGATTGACTTGCCCGAGCTGGACGTGGGCTCTCGAGCTCCATGGCGCTGTAGGAGATTGACCTGATGCCAAGGACGACTCATAATTAATATTAGCTTATGCGAGCCATCCAAAAGGCACCAAATGTGTATGAAAATTGAACCTGATCTGAATGCTCGACTTACCTGTGTCACTTTGCACTTGCTGCCGGACAGCGATGGGTATTCGCCGACAGGATAGAAAGGAGAACTGCCGAACAAGGTCCTCGATTCATGAGCGTCGTTTTCGTCATCTTTTTTGTCTACCAGAACAGCCAAATAACTCACTATTGCGCCGAGTTGGTCAAGTAAGGTGCGGCAGCTGTAGCTACGCGGGTGGCTTCGGCCACGAGCAAAGCCGTCAGCACGATTCTGATGGTGCTGCTCGCTCCAGATTGGCCAGTTCGGTCTGATCGGTGCGACGTGAGGACGAGCATGGTTTCGATGGTACTCGGAATGTTCGTGGGGGGTATGAGAAGGAGGTGAAGAGGTGATGGCCAAACGCTGAGCTAGTTTGTAGCCTGGTCAATCGATCGTTCGAGCATTGTAAAGCTTCTCGCGGTCGGCCTTCTCTAGTGCAATGGATGGAATTTATGCTATTTTGGGCAGCGCTCACGCCGATCGCGGTCTCCACCAAGCGCACGTGCGCGCCAGAGCGCCGGCGCTTCCCAGCTGGGCAACCGCAGCGCCTCAGCCGCCTCGCATTGTGCAAATCGAGAAAGAACACAAGTTGAACACGCCTCGGGACGAGTCCTCCGCGTCTTCTTTCTCTTTCTTAGCTTTTGTAATCTCAGTTCTAGTGCTGATCAACGCAGAATGAATCATGTGGGGCTAGGCAATATATTCTTGGTGGAGGCTGACAAGCACCGCCGACTCCCCTTTCGTGCTAGGATTGATTTACTCCCTACTCACAGTTTCACGAAACCCATTGACTGCGCCACCGCTTTCTGAGGCCCAAGACTCTCGATGGGAGCTCGATGGCCGGTGGGTCACTCACAGAACAAAAGAGCGGATAGTCAATGTAACAAAACAAACAGCTTGCGCTGTTGCAGAGAAGCAAATGGGACAATCCCTCCCGGCAAGGCCCGCTCATTTCCCGAACCCACACCCCTCAAATTCTTTGGTTGCGACTGCGTTCGCTTTGGCGAGCGCTTCGACAAAGGCCGAGCGCGTGCAGTACGTTCCTCTTTCGGTCACCTTGGACTGTCATGACCATCAAAGATAGTTCAGTTAGTGTGAGATCCTTGAGACGATCCGCTCGAGCGTTTGAAACGGCCTTGAAGACCCGACTCACCTGCCCGCAAAGTGAAGTGAGATCCATTGCCTGATCATTGACCATCACACGAACAAAATCGGTACGACCCTTGAAGATCTTGCCCCAGTATCCACCCTCGAACGCCCCACTACAATCCAGACTCTCCACTACCATGCGCCCGGCAAAAGGCACCATCTTGCTCGAGACGAAGGACCTCATGGGACAGGGCAAGGTCGTGCTCAAGGGATCGTCTTGAAAAAAGCCTAGGATCCCGAATACAGCTAGCATGAGGTTGTTGTACCCGACGTCGGCGTAGAACTTTTATCGAGCGGGAAGGTCTTGGAGTCCGAATCGAGCGTGTGGTTGACTTGGGTCGTGTCCTTGTCGACGTAAGAACGGTCCGAGGTCAAGCGAGCCAAGAGCTCGTTGACGTAACCTGCACCTTGCGAGCGGGACAAAGGTGCGCCGGGGTAGGCGTTGCCGTAATACTTGTCGAGGTCACCGTCGTACTCGATGTAGGCCCATTCGTAGGATTTGAACAGCCCACAGAAGGGCGAGGTGGCATTGATCGCGTACGAATCAAAGGCACACAGGTAGGCGAAGTTGAGCACGTCCTGCAAAGTCATATTGAGGTTAGTATCATGTGCTGTGAGAATTCGCTCGCTCCTACGACCGGGGACTGACCGTGCTGTTCAACCCGTAGCTCTCTTCGCTCTGCAGTCGCTGTACCACAGCCGGAGTCCACACCGCTCTCCATTCGTCCTGCGCATCAGGAACGATGCTGACCAAGTTGGGGCAGTTGTTCGAGAGTGTGTTGCGGCTGTCGCTCGTCTCGGAGATGATGACCGAAGTTTGGATCGGGGTCTTTGTATACTGCGATGATAGGAAACCTTCGGACCAATTGCCAGCTGACTCGCGCAACCTCGTCGAAGACTGGTATCAAGATGGGTGGCCACGCATGGTGAGCACAATTTAGGTCTCGTTGATTTGGTAGCAACCAATGGAAAGAGACATGCCGGGACGAGGACCCACCGAGGAGCGCAAGAACGGTGTCCCACAAAACACCTTTCCGAGAGGGCCGGAGCAGTACCTTTTGCCGATGGTGGAGCCTGCATCGTACAACCTACAAGAACAAAACCATCCCACGCCAAGCATTTCAAGTTCAGCATGCCAATTCTGTCCGAAGGAGCCGCCTAAGGTGAAAAAAACCCGATCCGTAGTCATCAACTTGTGTGGTGAAAACTCACTGGCTTGCGCCAAAAGGAATCAAGCTTCCTTCGTCGCCGAGATTGTAAGTGTAGTTGGCAAGGAAAGCCATCTCACTCCTTGCGTAATGCGTCTTGTTGATGACTTTGGCTAGCGTCGCTTGCATCGACGCTGAGGGATTAGGGGCCGGTTGGCGCGCGCCCGGGGTCTGCAGGAGGTGAACCTAGGCAGGGGCAAGAGGGGTTAGCATTGCATCGCCTGTTTGACGATTCACCCGCGGGATGAACCGACCTGTTTCATCGCACAGTGCTCGCTGTACTTTTTGTACTCCGCGACGGGGGTATATGCCGAGCTGTTTCCAGGGGGTAGGGGGAGCAAGCAAAAAGTTTTCTCTTGGTTCGGATCAGCTAGAGGTCTTAGGTCCTTATTGGATGGGTGTGTGGTACTGACTTTTGACCCGAGTTACTCTTGTAGAGAGGGTCAGCGGCGGAGACGAGGTCGCTCGCCAGCACCATCATTAAGATTGTAGCCGTCCATGTCCGCGCGACGGTGCGCTTCCTGTCCGAGGTGAGGGCGATCATTGTCGAAGCCCGAGTTGTCGATGTGGGAAGCGAAAGACGGGGAGTGATCCAATGCAGAGAGGGCAAGGAAGCAAGTAACGTCGAGGAGGTAGTTGTCAACACGAACCAAGAAGTCAAGTCAGGTCGCTCGTTGCAACGGACATCAACTGCACTGCACCATGTCAGCGCGCTTTTTCTCTCTCTCTATAGAAGCCGCCGCGCGTGCGTCTCAAGTTGCTATCCCGATTTGGGAAGTCCCGAAACCGGCACGCCTCGGATTCTGACCGGTTTTGTAGCAACCCGATCTACCTTCCCGCGCGGACCGTGGCGATCCTCAACGGGCGGTGTCACAAAGATTCCAAGCCTTAAAGCCGATGATCGTTTTTCGAGGGATTCGGGGCCATCATGGCTCTGTGGCTCGTCGCCAGCATCGACTTGGGGAGGCGGAGCAGCCCGGAGGCCGATGGGGGCCCACAGCTCAGTAGTGAGTGAGCTTGGACCAGACAAGCTCAGCGCGCGCGCGGGGCCACCAAAATGCTCCATTACGAAAACCGCTTCTGTGGTAGTGACCCCATTCCCCGCTTAGTAAACGCGCTCTCCCTCCCTTGCCGGCGCGCGCGATGGTTGATTGACATCCCCTCCACCTCCCCCCTCCACTCTCCACACCACCACCACCGTACGACGATGGCGATGCTCAAGAAGAAAGGCAGCACTTCGAAATCATCTCGATCCAAGAAGGCTCTCATTGAAGATGAGAATCAAACCCACCCAGGTTCGATGACGATGACGACGACGTCGATCAAGGCAACGGTCGTGCTCACTCAACACAACACGTCCTCGTCCTCTTCGGCGCTCACCTCGTCCACCGGCGGGGGTGCAGGGGGAACGTCCTGAGCGATTCGACTGGGAATACACCATTGGGTCGACACCAGTCGCTCGAGTCAAATGGCAAGACACCGACGACCATTCAGAGGACAGCGACGACGGCTCAGCAAGGCGGAGGCGGCGGTCTGTCGTCGATCCATCTGATGGCCATGTGGGAGAACTTCCAATTGGAAGGTGAGGCAAGCGGTCAGCGTTCCTATAGGTCGGAAGCAGAAGCTGAACTTTAAGTTCTCTCCCGTCTTTGCAGCCGAAGCGCAGAAACGAGCGCTCAAGAAGAAGGAGCGCTCTCGCCTCGATACGTTCAAGCGCCACATCGCTTCGACCATCACCCAACTCGATCCGAGGTTACGCGCCCTCCCTTTGGAACGAGCGATCGACGAATTCGAGAATGATTTGGAAAAGGCCCTGCGGGCGATCGTATTGGAGGAATTGAACGCCCAGCAACAACCTTTATTGCAATCGGCTTCGGGGGCTGACATTGGTGGTGCTACGACGACGGAGAAAGGGGGACGAAAGAGGTAGGGTTCGCACCTGGGGCCCAGATCGTTTCAGGAACAAGAAACTGAGCTGTTTTGATGCCACCTTACAGGAAGCGTCTCGTCGGAACTTCACCTACTCGACCGACCCATCTCGGTTCCGACGCTGGGCCTGATCCTAGCTCATCCACGAACCTTCAAGGCTCGATCAAGAAGGCTCGGTCGACAGCGTCCACTTCAGCAGCGGCGACGCTTGGTCTGGGCGTGCCCTCGTCTTCTCGGAGGCCTGTTCAAGCACCTTCTCCCGGTGTTCGTTCCGTTTCGGGAAAGAGGACGATCAGCGCTCACGGGTCACCTTCGACGACGGTGAGGATTTCTCACTACTTCGTCGCCTGATACGCGGCGAAGCTGATCTTGTCCCCCGTTTGATTCTTCCATAGGCGCCTCGCCAAACCCGAGCCACCGCGCGTTCGACTCGGCCCGAGACGACATGGCGCGTCCGAGCCTCGACCGCCTCTTCCACTTCCTTCATCCACAACCCCAATCTACCCCAGACTCCCCACGGCCTAACTCTGAAATCAGGACAACAAAAAGGCCAAGCTCGAGCTCCTCGGAGGGGGGAATCGATTTTGATGAGGTCGGTGAATGATTCACCGCTATTGGGGGAGTTGGTAGCGGATGATTCTGAGGAGGGGGAGCAGGAGGAGGAAGAGGATGGGGATGAGTATCTGGACACGGAGTGGAGTATGGTTTCCCCTCCTCCTACGTTGTTGAGTACTAAGAACGGGAAGACGGCGAAGAACAAGACCAAAGACAAGGACCCCAAGGGTAAGAGGAAGGCTTCCTCCTCTTCCGTCGTTCCCCCGAGTCAACAGACTTTCCGAGTCGATCTCCCTGCGAACGCACCGAGGTATACACAGGAAGAGGCGCGTAAGGTCAGGGAACAGGTTGAGAGGGAGGTGAGGGAGAGGATGGTGGAGGACTTGAGGAAGAAGTTGGATGCGACGGTGTTGGAGAAGGGGGAGAGGGAGAGGTTGCTGGGGGTGTTGAATCAGTTGTAAAGAAGACTTTCACGCTTAGGTTGGGTTATTGAGATGGCGATTGTCCTTTTGGTGTTTTGCTTCTGAAGGATCATTGAATTACAACAGCTGGACAGAAAAAATACGAGGCTGAAGGAGAACAACTCTGACAAGGTCAACCCATGATCCTGCCCAGAGTAGAAGCGAATCAGTGCTTCAGTCATAATCGAATGTTTCGCCTGTCGAAAGCAGTACTCACTGACTCAAATCACTCGGCGGCCTAACCGTCTGCGCGAACGTCAACAACCTCTTCAAGCTTTGAATATACTTTCGACTCGTCTCATCATTCAACACGTGCGCAACATTGTTGCTGAAGATTTTTTCTCGTCCCGAACGTTCATGAATACCGACCATGGTGACGCCGATGGGCCAAGGGGCGTTACCGATCGAGAGTCGAAGGTAGGCGTCGTTCGCGCGCAAGTATTCGCGGATCTGCATATTGTAGGTGATTTCGGCGATCGCTTGCAGAACGTCCGGGGCCAGGTCCTGTGAAGGCGAGGAGACGGAGTGAGTGACCTGGTCATGTGTTGGTTTCGGTTCGTTGGATCTACTGACCCTCTTGCGCAAGGATTTGAAGAGGGGCTTGAGGTACTCGGCCGAGGTCTGCTGGGTCGCTGCGGCCATACGACCTTGTGTACTCCTTCGAACGGCCTCTGTGGAAAGGAGAAAGGGTTAAGCATCGGGTATATTCAGCGTTCGGTGATTCCATAACTAACCTGGTCGATCCGCAAGTGATTGTTCCCATTCCTTGAGGACTCGCTGTGGGCAAAGGCGAACTCTGAGCTCGGAGGACATTTGCGCTCGTGAGAAGAAACACTGTGCCTACCTTGAGGGCATGGTATATCTGCGGGTACACCTTGTGCGGGTTGGATTTGACGAGCGAGACGTCGACGATGATGTCTTGGTCCTTGGGGTGGAGTACGTTGTCTGTCCGATTCTCGCCCTCGGGCAGTGGGCCATCCTCGTCTCCGACGGTGGTCGTGGTCGGGTTCTTGTCGATCTTGGTGGTAGAGGAGCTGATCTTGTCGGCGACTTGCTGCAGGTTCATGTCCTTGTCGACGTTGTGCATGACGTTCATGAACTCGTTGCGTTGGCCCTCTGACCTCTCCTCGATCAACTCGAGCGCCCTGAGCCGTAGCCTGCGTTCCTTGTCGGATTCGCCAAAGAGGCGTATCGGTTGGGCCTTGTAGCGTAGTCGTTTGATGGCTTCCTCGTTGGAGATGTTGAACGCTTCCGGTCTGGAGTCGGTCACTTCGGTCAGTGGTGAGAGATGTTCTGTGGTGGTGGTGGTGGTGGTCGATGAGGAGGACGCGACGGCGAGTGTCTGATTCGAGTCGGCTTCGAGTTGGGCGACCTTGAGCGCGGCGTAGAGTAAGTCTTGTCGTTGCTGTTGTTCTACCCTGATACGTTCGAGGTCACCTCGTCGCATGTACTTGGTCGCCTGGGTTGTGCTGGTGCTGGTGCTGGCTGTGGAAGGGTCGGTCGTGGTCGATGTGGAATCGTTGGTGGTCGGTGGCGAGTTGGCCAGCTCGAGCGCGCGCTTCTTGTTGGCGATCTCGGCTTTGAGAAAGTTCATCTTGGGACCGGACCGTCTGTTGACGGGGTGAAAAGTGTCGACTGGGCCAGGAAGTCGAGTGCAAGAGCCAGAACGAGGAGCGTCCGAGCTCGAGCTCGAGCTGGGCCTGGCGCGCGCAAGACTGCGCGAAATGGGTAATTAGCGTGCCAATAGCGGCCGGGGTAATGCCGCGCATCAATTTATATGACTTTGCGCTGGGCTCCGGTTCAAGCCCGCGATCGCCCGGCGCAACCCGCTCGCTCTCGTCCGCGCCGCATCTCCTTCCCCACCGCACGCTCTCAGTAAAACATGTCTGAATCCGAAGTGAGTCTCACCAGAACCGATCCCCACCCGAACCCACCCCGCGACTGACCCCACGCACACTGTGCATATCGCGCAGGGCTTTGTGTTGCAAACCGCGCCCTTTGACGCTCGTTTCCCCAACGCGAACCAGTCCAGGGCCTGCGTACGTCTGCTGCTCGAGCATCTGACACACATCTCCCACACTGAGAGCTGAGCCGGTACGATCTGACCCGACCGAACAGCTGCAAAACTACATCGTCAGTCAGAACTCGACGACCCCGACCCCGACGCCGACGCCCTCCGCGCTCTACCCTGCTCAACTGAACCACTCACTTGCGTCATCTTCACCTTTGTGTCGTCGTACAGGACCACTACCGATGCGTCAACAAGAAGGGCGAGGACTTTGAGCCTTGCAAGCAGGCAAGTTGCGCAATCGGTCGAGCGAGGCGCGCGATCGCTCCTCGTTCCTCGTGCTTCCGACCCGCCCCGCAAGACGATCCCACGAGCTCAGCCTCCGTCACGTGCTAACCGTCTGCATACCTCTTTGTCCCTCACAGTTATACAGGACGTTCCACTCGTTGTGCCCCAGTCAGTCGCTTTCCCTGAGCAGCATAGGATATGAAACGATCCCGGCGGGCCGCATTCATCGTCCCTCCGCCAGAGCGCAGCATTCTCCTCGAGCAGAGTTGCTGATCCTCGTTCTCTCCTTTTCGGCTCATGTGCCTCTTCGATTCAACGCTGCTCCTGCCTTCCCGATTCACTCCCCCGCTTCCTGGCCCGTCCGTCGAACGCGTAGACGAATGGGTTAGTTCAGAGCGACTGGCCAGTCAGGAGTGACAGGTGGAGTTGGCAAAACTGACGAGTGAATCTGCTCTTGCTTCCATGCCATCCTTCCCTTCCATCGATCCCTTCTTCGATCATTCCGATCCCATTCCCGGACACGATCTCCCCTCGACCGCAACCACCTCCCCTTCTCCGACACACCTATCCGTCAACTCGCACACGCACACACGCATACGTTCACAACGACAATGACTACTACATAGATCGCCAAGTGGGACGAGCAACGCGAGGCCGGCAAGTTCCCTGCCCGGCTCGAGTAAACGCAAGAAACGACGCGGATGGGAACAAGCGAGTGAGGCGTAACGTGGTATTAGGGAAGGGTATTTGGGTTAGAGAGTAGAAAGAGGGATGGGGCAATCCTGTGGAATGCATGCCATCAACTCGGAAGGAGGGGTCAAACCGGACGGCTGAAGATTTGTTGAGGCCGTTTGATCCTTGAAGGGATTGGCGCCGAAGGAGAGAAGCAAATGACGTAACGAGCGGGCACGGGAGGATGCATGTTGACGATTCGACGATCTTGAGGGGACAACTCCGGAACAAAAGATGGACCTGCGAGATCAGGCTCCCCTCCTCACCCCAAGCGGAGGTTCCTAAAGTCGGACTCTTGGAACTCATGTGCCATGCCTCTCCTTTCAACCTTATGCTTCATTACACACGCCCATACCCTTACAGAGAATCTCAAACCCTTTCCAGCACCCTTCTTTCTTCCATCTGTTCTATACATGCAAATGCGGCTTGTACATGGCGATCCACGCGTCCAAGCTCCGCCAGAAATCCGCGACCGTCGACTTGTCAATGTGCCTGTTCTTACGATCAACCTTTTAGATCGGACGGACATGAAGAACGGTTAGTTGGGGTTGTTCCAGAGAGGGTGAAGAGTTCTTTTGGTGAGTACGTACGCGTAGCTCAGTGACGTTCCACGAACGGACTTTGGGGTTCGGCGCTTCGTGGGTGTATTGCACGAACACGCCCTTGACTGTGAATTCCAAGGCACGTTTCGGGATGGGCTTGTGCTTGACGGTGTGAAAGTAGGGACGAATAGAGGGACGTACCGTGATGGAACAGTTCTTTCGGTTCGCGCCATTTGTAAGGGCGGAACTGCCATTCTTGTCCTGTGGTCATCACGCACACGACTCGATCCCTGTTCCAAGCCAGCACAAACGACCAACACGTCAGCGCCTTCCCGCCCCGTCCCCAAGAGCCTTTCCACATCTTTGTCTGAAATTTGTTTTGCACGAACCAAGCATCATCCAACGATCCAAACTTGGCCAACGCCTCGACCGAATTCACGACGAAATACCTCGCCCCTCCTGCCCCACCTCTCAACGCGGCGTTCGGATCGTTCGTCCAGCCATTCCGGGATTCGACACTGGAGGCGATGGTGGAACTGGCGCGTGCATGATGCACTATGACCATGTCGGTTTCTTCGCCGCCGGCGTCGAGTTTAGCTTTCGAGGGTTCGACGTATCTGAGTGGGTGGGAGGGGAGTAAGTTTTTTACTGATCACTAGAGCCATGCGTTGCCCCGATAAAAAATGTACTGCGCCCTCTCCAAGAATGCCTTGATGTTGTATAGATTCAACAGCGCGGTCTCGCTTGGTGAAAGCATGATGATGGGGTTCAAGGCCTTGCGCCTGTTCTTGCCCGACGATGAAGAGGTCGTTCCTGGTGCTGGGGTCGTGGAGGTGGAGGTCGAAGCCGAGGGTCGAGCTTCGAAGTGGTTGTCTTTGATGAGTTTCAGACGGGGGGCTAGGAGGGTGAGTACGGATTCAAAGTTCTGGAATCAACACAGAAAGAGATGATTAGCCCCTTCCCACAGAGAAGCAGTTCACCCCACGCTGGCCCCATGCTGGCTCCACCCTGGCTCGGCGCTGGCTCGGCGCTGGCTCACATTGGTCCTCTCCCCCCTCAACACGGTCTCTCTGTTCTTGATGGCGAACCCGGTCGGTTCGAGGCTGGAGTTGTCCGGTGCGATGTTGGCGTACACGGGACCCTGTACGATCTGCATCAGTCGTTTCACGCGTTCAAAGTCTTGCTGGTCGGTTTGGTAGGCCGGTCTCTTCAAAGGTCGATTATCTTGGGTGGTTGTTGTTGTGGTGGTTGAGCTTGTGGGTAGAGTAGGTCGAGTGGTGGTAGACGCGGAAGTGGTCGCTGATGCGGCAGTCGTAGTCGCTTCGCCAGACGTCTTGCCCTCCTCGGCGACGACGACGACGTCCTGCCCACCGCTCCCCTCTTTCAGTATCCTCCCTCCCGCTTCCCCCCCCCAACCTTGCCCGCCAAGTAATCCAATACGATCCTTCGATCGGTGATAGCGACGAAGCCAACTTGTTCATCGCGTGCGTTCTTGAGGTATTCTCCTACACCTTGCTCGCGCGAGAGCCAGGCAAAGACCAAGGTGGCGAGGTCGTAGGTGGTGGTGGTGGTGGAGGCGCAAGTGAAGCGGGTCGGGATCGCTTTGGAAAAGGTCGTAGGGGGGGAGGAGGGGAGGACGAGCTGGGTCGCGGAGGAGAGCGAGGTGGTCGGGCTCGAGCTCGCGTCGAGGTAGGTGATGCGCGAGGAAGGGTCCGAACTGAGCACCGAGCGCAGGACCGATAAAGGGTCCGAACTGGAACTCATGTTGCGTGCCCACGCGGTGTCGGTTCAAGGTGCGGCAGGGAGATGGGCAGTCGGAAGTCAAAAAGGGGGGGGGGGGGACGCTCAGGTGAAGCTGAGGGGATGCTCTCGGGTGCGCTAATAAGGAGGCGCAGGGAGGCGCTTTAGTAGCTCTTAGTAAGTGAGCATTAGTAGCTCTTGGGAAGGGGCGCGCGTGAGCCGACGAGCGAAGTTGTTTCCCCCCCCCCCCCCCCACATTCTACAGTGTCCTCCTCGGCTTACCCTTACCGGTGGCACATGGACCGAATAGAGGCGACGCCAGCTGAGAAGGCAGTCGTACCCCAAGCCAAGCCCTGCACGTTGGCGGTCAAGTTGATCGTACCCCCACCACGGCCATCGTCGTCGTCGTCGTCGTCGTCGTCGTCGTCGTCGGTCGCACCACCGGCCTCGACTACGGCCGCCGTCGCTCGCGTCGTCGCACCTCCGACTGCTCGTGTACGCCCACCCAAGCGACCAAGGGAACGAGAGTCGGTCAGTCACAACATCCTCTCTCATTGCGCAAGCACACTCGGCTCATCAGGCTCCCTCTTCTCCTCCAGCACGGCCACACGTGGACCACCACCACCGTCTCCTCATCCAACCTGACCCCGTCCACCTCGACGCCGCCCTCGACCACGCGCGTAGCGACCGAACCCCGTCAGATCGAACTCGTCATCTTCTCCGGCTACGAGATCAAGACCGAGTACGCCTCCCCTTACCCCTTGGAAGAACGCGTGCCCCTACCCAACACCACCTCAACTCAACGCACTTCCGCCGTCGTCCGGACTCAGAGTCGATTGAACCCACGCCGTAGCTCACCGTCTTCGCCGGTGACTCGGGTCAACGCCCCTTTGAGTGCACAACGCTCCGAAACTCTGACCGAAGCAGCGTTGGCGCAACGGAGGAACCAGGTCCCGAGATCACCTTCCCCTGAATTGGGCTTGCCCACAACGACGACGAACCCGAGTGCATCGATCGAGGCCGAAGAACCAACAAGGCAAGACACACCCCATTTCGACGACACCCCCGCGATCCCGCTTTCACCATCGGAAAGTTCTGACGCGTCGGCGGACGAAATCGTCGCCGCGCTCGTTGTCGCGAGTCCGTCGTTTCCACAATCGAGTACCGCGTCCGAACAAGGCTCGGAGATTGTCAAGACTGAGGAAACCAGAGAGGTGGTCGATGAGGAAGCGCGCCAGGGGGTGGTCATACAGTCGGCTGAACCAGCAATGACGGCAGCCGTAGAGGATACCACACCTACTCCAGCCTCACCAGCAGCAGCAACAGTAGAGAAAAAGTCGGCGGCAACTGTAGCTCCTCCGACCCCCGAACTCCCCAAACGCGGTCAAGCAGGTCGTTTCCTGTCCAAGCCTTTCCACGAAACCGTTCGAGGCCGTCGTCAACTGGCTCGTCTCGCCGCTGGCTCTGTCGGTTCAGGTCACGTCTCGGACCCTAACGACTCTTCATCACGTGCTCCAAGTCGAGGAACGAGGGATCGTTCCGTAACGTCTACGAATGGAGCCGGTACGGGCCGGAACTCGAGATTGGCGACCAAGATGGAGACGCTCGCTGAACCGATCAAGAGGATGTGGGTCTGTGAAGGATGCTTCAAGTACGTGTTTGAAGCGACGGCGTTGGTGAAGCATTTGGTAAATTCATCTCTTTGGGGTGGGATGGTCAGGATCGGATGGAGGTTTGATACAAGTTTTTGTTGCTTTGGTACGTGCAGAAAGAATGCAAGTACCATCACCCTCCGGGGAAGAAGGTCTATCAACGTGGGGCGCACACGATTTGGGAAGTCGATGGCGCGGTGGAAAAGGTTCGTCCTACGTCATCCGTGCAGAGGTTCTAGAGTCGCCGGCATATTGACTCTGACTTTACGTATGCACATTTCAGTTATGGTGCCAAAACCTCTGCCTCTTTGGCAAGCTCTTCATCGAGCACAAGTACATGTTCTTCGACGTCAGTCCCCCTCCCACAACTCAACCCAACCCAACCGACCACCCCAACCCAACCTAACCCCACCATCACCCCTCTTCCCACAGCTTGAAGGTTTCCTCTTCTACGTCGTCACGGACGCCACACCTTCCCGAGATTGGCCTCTCGCGTATTTCTCCAAGGAGAAACTCTCGTACGATGATTACAACCTCGCTTGTATCGTCACGTTCCCGCCCTACCGAGCGAAAGGGTGGGCCGCGTTGTTGATCGAATTGAGTAAGTAGTAGCCCGCTACAGACCTCCACCTTTCTTCTGGTAATCAGCACTAATCTCACCGACCCGCCCGACTCCTTCGGTTCAACGAAAAAAAAAAAAAAAAAAAAAAAAAAAAAAGGTTATGAAATCACGCGTCGGCTTCCCTCCCCCTCCGGATTGCCCGGAACGCCCGAGCGACCACTTTCCGCTTCTGGGTTGGCGTCGTATAGGACTTATTGGGCGGGTACGGTCGTCAGATATCTGAGGGGGTGTTTTCAGAGACGGAGAGGGGTGGTAGTGGAAGTGGAGGAGAAAAAGGGAAGGGGGAGGGGGAGGGGGTTCATAGGCGCTTTGGTGGTGGGTGACGGTAAGATGGGTGGGCAGACGACGACGACGACGACGACGGTGGATGGGGAAACCAAGTCCAGTAAACGTCAACGCTTGAGTTCACGAGGAGGGGACCCCTCACGCGAGAATGGCACCGAGGCGTCCAAAGAAGGACTTGATCAAGAAGAAGATGAGGAGGAGGAAGATTCGTTCCCCAAGGTTTGATCGATTTGGCTCAGAAGGTACATCTGAGACCGGAGGACGTGGCGTTCGCTTTGGTCGATTCGGGTTTGGCGCAATGGCGAAGGGATCCGAATAAGGTATCGAGCGAAGGATTAAAGGATGCGGAAGGGGAAGGGGCAGCGACGATGATGGCAACGATCGACGCGGACCCGGACGAGGTATTGGAGTTGTGCATCACCGAGGAGTTGGTCGAACAGGTCGCGAGGGAGAAGAATGTCAAACCTAGAGGGGTGCTCAGTATGGCCTATGTGTTGTTGTGATCAATGGAATTATTTGAAGGGCACGGTGGGCCTTCAATGCCATGAAGGGATCTTGACGAATTTGGGCCGGGGTTCAAGAAATAGGCTATAGTATTCGACAAGAGGGAGACACAATAAGGACAAGCGAACGAGAGAGATAGTTGCACGAAACAACAAGTGCTCCAGCACGAGGGCGGTGGTACAGGAAGCAGCAGAGCCCCTTTAACAAAGCTCAAAGCTTGGCCTTGCCGGCACCACTGGCCCATCGTCCCATATCACCGGAGCGTTTGCGTGGGTCGGCGTAGCTTTCAATCTTTTGTCGTTCGTGGGTGATGATTCTGGCATGGAGAAGCAAATAGTTGGGGAGGATCAGCTCAAAGACTCGCTCGAGAAATGGCTGAAGTGATGGAGCAAATTTACTTTTCGACCAAGAGTGCGCGGTCAAGGTTGCCTCGGACTTTGACACGCTGTGATATGAAGCATCGATTCTTAGTCTGAATCCGATCGGAATACCATTACGTCCCCGGAGTCTTTAACTGAGCTCCGGAGAAAGTTGACTCTGGCCCACCTTTGCAGCGTAGAGTTTCTGCGGGTTGTACTGTGAGCAGAAATTAAACAATAATAAGCTCCTAAGCCTTATGTACAGTACATCCGTTGGTAATCCAAACTCACGGTCCCGGTGGCCAATCCAACGCAATCACGATCGTTCATCTCGATCGTCACATCCGGCTTGGGGCTCGGTTTTTCACCTTGAGGCACGACCTGGACACGACCTCGTTTCTGAAGCGAATCCAATTACGGACCATTCATCAGCATTTTAGTATCTCATCCTCGCAAGTATGCTCCATAGGACTCGGTCTATACCGAACAAACCTTCATATCCACAACCCAAACGGCTTTCTGGCCCTCGCCATTCTCAATCTTGAACTGGTACACCGTCTTCATTTGCGCGACGAGCTTCTTCTTCGGTGAAGAGGGGGACGAGAGGAGCACTGAGATGAGGGCAAAGATCTGTGGTGAGGAAAGATTGGTGAAGAGATTTTTTTTGGAGATGGGGATAGAAATCCGGGGTAATCAACCGGTGAGTCAGTCCGGCCGTCATCATCCGAGGAGCCTGCTGAGCGCCAGGCTGCAGTCTGAGCGCTGTGGCCGTCGGACGCAACTCGTGATGCATCGAACCCCGGTACGGCAATAGCCGGATCATTCAAAGCTGCCTGCTCGAGCATCGAGGTCGTTCGTCAAATGTCAGCTCGTCGTCGTTCGAACTTGAAGCTCAAAGGCTTTAGCGCGTGATCCGCTCCCCGCTCCCCGCTTGAACCCCGGCCTCTCCTGGACCGCACGAGGGCGATCGATGGATTCATTTGACTGACCTTGACGAGCAAATCGGACAACTCTTCGTTCGAGCGAGAAGACGCCATGGCTCGAAGTGTGGAGCTGAGGAAGGGGTATGGCTCAGTACAAACAGATGCAAGGCCCAAGGCATGGCGCTGTCCCACCGCCCGCCCCCCCCCCCCCCCCACACGGCGACCTCGCGCACTCGCGCTGATTTGTGAAAGTCCGACGGCTGCTGCCGCCCGGAACCACTTCTCGACCGATAGCTTGCATCGGGTGGCCTACAGAACAATAACTACCTCTCCTCTCGCCTGAATGTGGCAATCGTATCGTTAAGTTGGCATTTCATGTCTGATTAGATCTCTCGCAGCTCTTGAAAATGAGTAAATAACAATTGGCGGCGGGCTAGACTCTTCGCACAACGGTGTCAGTTATCGCCCCCACTCACACAACCCAGTGATTGCCTTTCTCCCCTTTACGACAGTTTACGATTGAGGTCTGTTCGAAGTCAGGCAGCGAATGCATCAGCGCGCCTCTTCTTCCCAAGTCGACGAGCCTTGTCGGACACTGAGACGGCGTACTCAGCAACAGCCCAGCGACGGATGTTCATCAATACGCATTGGCGATAATGCCAGCGAAGCAGGTCCTCGTTGGGAAGGTCCTCGTCACTGCCGCGGAAACGGCTGCGGTCGATTCGACTCCCATGTACGACACCGTCACGACCCGTGCTAAAGTTAAAGACATGAATAATGTAGGTTCCGTCCTGGGAGCAAGAGCCCAAAAGAGAGTCAGACAGCTCGCACAAAAATGCGAAAGTTCACGTTGGACGAAACTTACGCCGACAGGGTAGAGGGAGCACGTATAACGGTTGAAGGCATCTGCGTACATCGAGGTGAGGAGGAGACCGTGCGACGGTCGGGGCGCATCTCCATGGTTGGGATCCAGCAGGTCCAAGATCTGGTTTGCATTGGAAAACTTGCATTGAGACCATCGGTTTGCTACGAACTTGCTAAAGGTGCCGCAACTCACATCTGGACGGCTTGTGGGAACGAAGGGTGTCAGATAGCAGCTCCGCCAGGGGTAGTCTGTGATGAGGCAAGAGAAATCGCGTGCGACCAGAGCAACGAAAGTCTTTTGCTGCCAGATGCAACGCATAGGACAAAGTAAGGGGGTCAAGCGTTTATTGTGAGGCGGTTAGCCGGTCCTCGATCACGTCAGGTGCCTTGTAAGTCTGGGAGGGAAACACACCTTCTTGACATCTCGCTGGGTTTTGGAACGGCTGACTGAATGGTCTTTCATGTTGTGTGTGTTGATGCCACCGCTACTGTCGCGGCTATCGCCGCTGTCGCGGCTGTAGCCGTTGTCCTCGCCGTAATAGCCGACGTACCCGTCGTCGTTGCCGTCGATATCCTAGCTAGGCGGCCAGTTGGAGGGGATGACACCCTTCTTCTTTCCGATGGGGCCGACCGAAAGTGTCGCCGGTTGGCCATCTGGAGGATACGGGGGTGCGAGGTGCGTGGAAGATGAGTGATGATGCTCCGTTCGAGAGCGCTTGTTGACTCACTTTCGGTGACGAAGGTGTAGTTGCCCGCTCGAGGTGCGATCGAAGTGTCGACCCTCTGACCGTGCTCGTCATCCGATCGAACCAGGAACCCGGGTTGGTCGACACAGAACTGTACCAGCTCTTGGACGAACGACCAAGCGCTCGGGGCCGACGTGCTCAGGGCCGACCGTTCCAGCCATGCGATCGGAAGTCGGGCGAGCAGAAAGGGCGATGACCGGCCTACGAGCGCTACATAGACATGCAACTCGCCCTTCCTCGAGTCGTGCCATAGCAACTGCGTCAACGAATAGGCACGCTCCATCGGTTGCAGAGGGTTGTGGAAGTCCCCAGACCCAGGAAAGCGCGTGGTGGGATCGGGGTAGAAGTCCGTATCCGCCTCCGATACTGTGGGTTGCTGAGGGCTGTTGATGGCGTGCTCGGACATGGGTACTTCGGGACGAAGAGCCGGGATGATCTCCAAGAACGTTGGTGCGTACGTCGTATCGTGTCGTCACGAGGTGGCGAGTGTATGGTGAGGTCTTCGAAAGCAGTCCCGAGAGCGCGGCAAATAGCTGCCAGACGGAGGCTGGGGTGGGGCAGGGTTGGGCCGTTTGAAATCAAACAAAAAGGAAGGAAGAGGAGGTTCACGTGCTTGACACGATTTTCTCATTAGCGATGCTGCGAATGATCCCTTCTAGGACTTGTACCCGCCTCAGAGATGTCAACGGCCTTAGCCACTGCATCTTTGGTAGCGATCATCTAGTAAGGGGTCCGGCTCTACCCTGGCTGTAGGTCACAGCCACTCCAGAAGTTGGCCCAAGGTGCCGAGGCATCAATTTTCAATATTCAAAAGACACTCGAGACAACCACATACGAACAAACCAAACGCGAGACGATCGTCTAGGCGTTGTGCTTCCAGCTACGAATAACAACCCACATCGAGGCTGATCAGCATTCGCCACCAGAGAAGCCCACCCTTCAGAGAAACTTACTAGCAGATATCACCGTCGACGATCTCGTACGGCTTGCCCTTTTGCATCATCTTACCGGCCTGCGCAAGATGGGATCAAAAGAAGGGATCAGTAAGATAGGATTGGGTCGTAACGGAGACGCAAGCACAACGTACCGCCTTGACCGCTGCTTCTGTACCGTACTCCTTCAAGTCGGCGTACGACATAATTTCACCACAGACTGTATAGTCAAAAATCGGTGAGTTTCCCATCCAGAAGGAAAAATGAGAAGCACGGCACTCACTGAAGTTCTTCTCGAAATCGCCATGAATGACACCCGCAGCCTGAGGCGCTTTTGTCCCCTCACGGATCGTCCACGCTCGCACCTCCTGAGGGCCGCAAGTAAAGTACCGAATCAAGTGCAACGAAGCGTAACCCGCGGTCGTGATCTTGCCCAACTGTCCTTGGGTGCCCAACTTCTCAAACTCGGCCTTTTGCGCAACCTCGTCGGCGAATTCTTGAGCAACGCGTTCCTCGAGCGCGATGGAGAAGGGGATCAGCAAATCTCCCGGGTTGTTCTCGTCGATCCAGGCCTTGATCTTGGGCAACCACTTGTTCTTCTTGCGGATGTAGTCCTTCTCCGACAGGTTTACGAGGTACGTCACGGGCTTGGCGGTCAACAGGAGCAAGTCGTTGACGATGTCGATCTCCTTGTTGGACCATGTCGCTTTTCGAACGTCCTTGTTTTGCACGGTCAGGACGTCCAAGACCTTCGCAACGCAGTCCTATGAAGACGAAGAGGCTGGATCAGAAACGGGAGGGCAAGGAATGTGCGATTGCCGGGGGCCGGCGGCGTACCAATTCTTCCTTCTTGGCCTTGTCGGCCAAGTTGGCGGTACCGGTCGCACCTCGGAGGGCCTTCTTGAGCGCATCATGCTTCTTCTCGACCCATTCGATATCCTTCAACCTGTTGCATCGAGTTCGCATCGTTAGCGCTCGGACTTGTACGCTCGGGCGAACCCGACATCGTCCGGGCTGTACGCACCTCAATTCATCACGGATGATCTCCATATCACGGATGGGGTCGACATCACCTTCGACATGGATGACCTCGGCATCATCGAAAGCACCTGTTCACACGCAAGCATGGGGGCCATAGTCACATCAGCCCGCTGACCCCGGAATCTATCCCTCCCATCCACTTGCCCGACTTACGGACGACCTGGAAGATCCCATCCACAGCCCTGACGTTGGCCAAAAAGTTGTTCCCGAGGCCGGCACCGGTCGAAGCACCCTTGGTCAAACCGGCGATATCGACGCAGGTGAGGAAAGCGGGGACCTTGGACGAGGGCTTGTAGACGTCGCAAAGCCAATCGAAGCGCTCGTCGGGGACGGCGACACCTGTTGGAGAGGGGGCTCGGAGTTAGCGAAGGGTTGCCGGGGAATCCGAGGTGTCGGCTTTCTTCGCTACGCACGAGCTTCCTCGGGTTCGATGGTAGCGCTGCAGTGACACAAAGAATGGGTCCGAAGAGAAGTGCCGAAAGTCGGATCAGCTCTGCGATCCACTGCGGCAGCTCAGAGCGCGACTCACTAGGGGAAGTTGGCGATCTTTCCCAAGTCGCACTTGGAGATGATGTTGAACACTGTAGTGTACCCCAAGGTTCTGGTTAGAGGACCGGTCCAGAAGAAGGGGAGAACGAGCGCCCAAGCTCGAGGCTTGCACCACCACGTCGGATAGGACTACGCACGCGACGATTTTCCAACGTTGGGCATACCTAAGTGGTGTAACAGAATAAAGGGAGTGGTCAGTCCGAGTCCGATCTGAGCCACCACCTGACGACGGAGCGAGGGACGGGAAAGAGGGGACTTGCCGACGATACCGATCTGCAAGTTGTTGGAAGGTCGGCCGAGCCAGACCTTCTTTTCCGCCGTGGCAGCCTCTGCAGAGTACGAATCATGCGCGTGGTGGTTGGTGCGAGTCAGTACATGGATGCTACCCAGACAGACGACGGGGACACGCTGGCTGTGCTGAGCGCGCCTCGCAGACGAAGAGCGACTGGGCGGGCACGCACTCTTGGGGGGCATGACGCTACGACGTTTGGGAGCAAAAGTGGTGGACGAGCACGACAAGGGGCGAACAAGAATACGCGTCAAAGAGGTGAGCTCGAGGGTCAAGCGTCGGGGCAAGAGCAACGACGTCGTGGTGACTGATTTTCCTTTCGAGCGAGGCGAAGGTGGCGGGCTAATGGCGGAGAACCTTTTTAGCCGTGCGCCGCGGTGGCCAACACGTCACCTTTTGAGCTTGGACCCCCTCCTACTCAAGTGGTGGAATCACTAGAGACTGCGGGCAAACAGTTTATACTACAGATTCAAGAAATCTAACGGAAGCAGAGAAGACCTGTCAAGCTCGCTTGATCAACCTGTCGAGGGCAAGAGTGAAAAAAAAGGGTCAGATCAGCGTGCTCCTCTCCAGGCTGCCAGAACAGCTGTCACGCACCAAGACAAGGTGATGTCGATATTCTTCTTGGACTTGGCTGTAGCAGTAACAGCAAAGAAACACAGTCACTATCAGCTCCCCAAGCTCACGACAATGTCAGCACGCCGAGATTCATGCTTTGGACGAACCCGAGATGGAATAGCAAGAAACTTCGCGGTTCGTGATCGTCGACAACGCCAACGCCGAGATGACCTCCTCGACCTTGGCATGCCCCTCGATATCATTCTTGTTGCCCAAGACGAGCAACGGAATTCCCCCCAATTGTGGTTTCTCCAACAGCGCGTGCAGCTCGGCTTTGGCAGACGGAAACGAATCTTGATCGGCCGAGTCGACGATAAATCTGTACAGAGAGGTCTCATTGTCAGTCCGAGTGGCCACAAACAGTATAGTCTCTGATCATACTCACACAATGGCGTTGACTCCTCGGCAATACCTGAACGGAGCAAGACTTCCAGAGTCAGCAGTCTCGGATGTGGGGCTCAGATCGGCCCTCGGATCGGACCACACTCACCGTTCCCACATGGATCTGAACCTCGGCTGTCCACCGATATCTGGTTGAATAATCTCCGCGGGTGTCAGATTCGACTATTTTCATTCGAAGTCGTCTCTATGTGCTCGGATCGGCTAAGAGCGGGAGAAGGTGCCGACTGACCCCATAGTTTGAAGGTCTGCTCGGTAAACTCGATCAGGTCAGCGCGAGAAAAGTGAGAGTCTACCAATCTGAGAACGACCACTCACGACATTGCCTTTCTGTACCCTCCTCAGATTGAAGCCTCTGTAAAGATCATCGCACCGATCAGAATTTGCTAGGCCCTTTTCACCGCTTGATGAGCTCCACAATCGGGCTCACACTGTCGGTATCATCGAGCTACTGAATTCTCCGGCGGCCAAGACGTTGACGAGCGATGTCTACAATACGAAGTCAATAGACTGCGTCAGTGAACTGTCGTCCGCTTTGTACAGCACCGTGACGCCTCGCCTCGCCGCTCGCGTCGAGTCATCTCCCGTCGCCCGTCGCCCCTCGCCCCGGTCGGCGGTCGTCACGTGTATCAACCCCCATCAAGCCCCACGCACCTTGCCCGAGTTCTGCAGCCCAATCAGGGCGATATCGCATAGCTTAGAGAAGAAGAGGCTCCTCAGCCAGTTGAGGAACGCTTGGAACATGGTTGCTGGGTCGTGTCGGGCGACTCGGGTCGAAGGCTATTGGCGCGAGTGACGATGACGTCCGTGACGCGTGACGTACGGGCTGTGCGCGACTGCTCGTCGGCTGTCTGTCCCGAGGTGGATTGGGGGTTGCGAGCGCGGGCTGGGATTGGATAAGACCAAGTGTAGTCGGATCTTGTGAAGGCCAGAGAAGGCGTTCTTGTTGGGAAGCTGTGGCTGAGCGGATAGGTGGCGCTGCGAAGGATTGCGAAGCGCGTGAACTCGGACTCGAGCAATGAGACCTCGAAAGACCTCGAAGCGAGACGCTTTACCACGTGCCAGCTCGGATCCAATTTTCTATGAGGTTCAAGAGCTTATCTACTGTACGGCATGGCACACCGAAAAACGATGATACATTAGATCCATTTTACAACATTGCATCCGTCATCTCTATTCATCCTGCAAGCGTTCCTCTAATTCGGTAGCTCGGCGCGACCGAGCTGATCCTTGTGCCGTACGAGCACATGGAAGTGGGCCAAGTCCCTCACCGACTGCAATTCGGGCGGGTTGGCGAACCTGGTTGAGGAACGGGAAAGCATATTTAGTGATTCGTGGTGTCGTGAACGTACCACTTTCGAAGCAGCACCAAACATCGCCCGCCTCGGCTAATCGAGCAGCTCGAAAACTCACCAGAGTGTGTCATACTCCTCCTCGCTCCACCGCTCCTTGACGAAAGCCATTATCTCTCGTTCCGGACCAACATCATCATTCGACTCTCCTCCTGCTCCCGTCCTTCCCCCGAGTCCATTCCGTTTGACTTGCTCCCATGAGTCGGAGTCGGATTTGGCTTCGACCGATTTGGTAGGTGGGGCAGAGCTCTCCGTGGAGGTGGTCACTGGCCGACATAGGTCCGCGTGAAATAAGGGAGTAGGTACCCAGACGACGTAGTGTCTGTAGAAAGGTTGCAAGATGAGTCAATCGTCCTCGTGACCTCCCAAACGCGCTGCAGGTCTAGCACCCCCACTTGAAACCACGTGTCCACCAACTCACACCACGTCCTTGGGCACGCTATACGCCCAGTCATTCAGCCTTACTCGAGCAGGCGCAGTCCTAATCCAATACTCTGTCCCACTCGACACCTCATGGTGCTCCCATCGAAGTTGAGCACGGAGGTAAGCCGCGACGGATCCGTGGGCTTTGCGAAGGGCCGGGTTGAAGCGTTCTTCGTAGGCTCGTTCGACGGTGGGATGTCGGACCAGTTCTCCTAAACGACCTCTGGAGGGGGGCTTCAGACGGTTAGATTATTGTTCAAGTTTGGGATAAGGACCTCATATGTAGCAGGAGGGACTCACTGGCCGAGGATGATGTCCATCAACTGCTCCCACGTAAAGATGGGCTCATGCGCCGCCTGCAGCCTTCTAGCCTCTTGCAACAGCTCATCAATGGCCGGGTCCTGAGCATGCGGCACGATAGTCGCTTGGTCCGTGTACGCCATTCAAGGAACCACGTCAGGACTGGTGCGGCGACCAAGTTTCGAGGGGTTCGCCGGTGCCTCGCCGTTCGCCGAGGGAGACAGCTCCACCCAAGCCTCAACGCCGACCGGCCCGACGGCGCTTCGGACCCGACCTCGGTCATAAAGGCAGCGGTTGAAGTGATCGGAGGTCTGGGGCGCCGTGCCTGGCATAAGGACGTCGATGATCATTGCCGTATCACCTCGGTCGGCCAATATCGCATCCACCCTTAAATTTGCCCTTGCTTTCGACTGACTGGGAGCGTTTCGCAACACAAATCTTTGGACGTCCGTGAAATAAGCAGCACGGGGGCTACAAGGGGGTCGGAGGCACCAAAACAAAGTTGGGACAATTTCTTGATTCAGTGAAAGTACGAGACTGTCGCCGCAGCAGACAACACAGGGGCTCCACCTTGGACGTCGACGGCTCAAGACTGCGAGACGACTCGTCGGATGCTCCGCTGATGTCCGGCATTCCTTTATCCCGTCTGTTCCTTCGACATTCCTTTTTGGCTAATCGAAGGAGCCTCATCCTAAGACCACATAGCCTTGTACCCCTAGAGTAATTACCTCGGTAAGTCGCAGTGTCATATGAAATGTGACCCCGGAGTCAAAGCTCTTCATTTGCAAGACCTCGCTACAAAGCGATATGAGACACCCGTCGAGGCTCAAAGATCTTGCTCGACCCGGCAACAGCCCAATGTCAAGGAAGGTCGTGTCCAAATGGTCGACGAGGGTTAAATCTAGCTTCTGCTGCGTTGGCGAGTTTACGCCTCGAGAGGCGTGGCGCCGACGGCGTCGACCAGAGAGGAGGTTAGACCTTCCTGATCCGGAGCGCAGACTCGCAGAGAGAACCTTGCTTGGGAGTCGCCGCGCGGCGAAGTCCAACTCCCGGCCGCGCCGGCCGTGCGCAGAAAGTGATGCACAAAAACAGGCACAAGTAGTAGAAGTCAATGTGGCCGTGCACCAGTCCGCCCGCCGCGGCTCCCAATCGGGTTTTATTTTTATTTTTACTGGGGCTCATAAATTGCAATCCTTCGGGTTGGCTGGGACCGCTACAAAAAGAGCTAAAAGAGGTTATAAAGCAACGACGGCAAGCAATTGGGTGAAAGTCAAACCCCTGCGCGCAAAGAGCGCTGCGCAGATCAAAACCCGCCGAGCACCTAACGCGGACTCCAACGGGCGGTGAGTACTGCTGCCGCTTCACGTCCCAAGAGCGAGAGCGAAGATACTCGAAAACCAGGCAAGAGCGCCTAGAGAAAGAAAGGGGGAGAATATTCAAAAAGTCACGACTGGAAACACGGAGAACCAGGAATACTAAGACAGAGAGGAGGGGAGGAGGAGGGGAACACACCCGAGGGGCCAAGGGAGGGGGTCGAAGCCAGAGCTAGAGGTCCCCAGGGACTGACAGGCCGCAGCCAAGCCCCAGCTACTCGTCACCCCGACAGCGCCTGATGTCCTCCCTTGGCTGAGTCTCGAGTGCTGGCTGTTGAGCCGTCGGGGCCGATTTTTTTTTTTTTTGTAGAAACTGTTCATCATATTGCCCCCAAGTCCTGTTCCCCCTGATTGGCCTACGGAAAAACTAGATGGAAGTCGACGATGATAACACAAACCGCCCGCAAGATGCGAGAAACGGGCCAAGTCCACCAATCCGATACTTCGGATTCAAGTGCCCCAGCCAAGCGGTTGCTCCCCCCCAGGAGACGAATGAGAGAGAGAAGAGAAAGAGAGAAAATGAAAAAGAACTGGCGTACTAACGACAAGAGGCCCACCCCGCACCCACTTCCCAACTCGGTCGAGACAAAGACAGGAGAGCGACTGCGCAGCTACCCTGACCCGCGAAATCCCAAGTCTATGCTCGGTCACAACAAGACGCGGTGGAGGCCCCTCAAAACCTCCACCTCAGCAGTCCCTGGCCCCTCAAAGCCGACTTTCTGCCTGTGTCTGCTGATCCCTCCCTTGACTCAGAACCCCGAAGCCAAAGAGCGCGAGCCACCGTCGAGTCAATCCCAAATCGCGAGCCGGTCCATGAGCAACGGAGGCAGACCTGTAATAAAAGAAAGAAAGATGAAGAAAATATATTTAGTATACAGTTTTTGTAAGAGGATGTGTGATGTGGGGTGTGTGAGTGTGGGATCGGGTGGGGGGAAATCGAACCCAGCCTCTACTGCCCTCGCCCGCCCCTTGCTCCCCCCGCCCTCAACTTCATCCTCTCCTCCAGTACCACCCTCCTCCGCTCCAGGCTTTCCATCCTCGTCCCGTGCTTCTGCATCCTCCATCTCCCACTGCTGATCATCTCCAAGACCATCCCCGTGAAGATCTCGATCGTCCTGCCTGCGCCTTCCTGTTCGCTGAGCTTGGCCTTGAGCTTGGGGAGGCCAAAGAGTCGTTGTAGTGTCGTGTACTCGGCGTCCTCGATCGTGTCGCATCCGAGCGCGTCGCAGAGCACGCCCCTTGCCGCGGTCCAGATGTTCCGCGAGTCGACGCAGCCGAAGAAGTAGTGATCGGTGTCGTCCACCGGCGCTTCGCACACGAGGCACGCGGGAGAAGTGTCGTGCTTTTGCTCGTGCTGGAGTTTGCGCGTCGGGGTGAAGCGGAGGATCAGCTTGAACCAAACTTCCCTCTCCCTCGCCGTCAGTGCCTTCGAGTTGACTGCCTTCCAGAAGCTCCTGAGGTCGTCCGGCTGCGGTGGTCCCTTGAGCCCGAGCATGTTGGTAAATGCCTTCGCGTTCAGGACCCGGCGGATGCGACGGACTGTGTAGGGGCGAGCCATGTTCAGCAGCGTATACTGGCTCGCCTGTTGTGGAAGCACCGGGTCCGGAAGGCGCTGCTCCATTGCGAAGCGGGCCACGGGCTTGGGGATGATCGCCTCGAGTGGTGCGCTGGTGCCGATCCGGGGAGGCACGTTGAGTCGTCCCGCCGCCACCGCCGCCGCCAAGGGGGTGTTCTTGTGTCGATCGACAGTGAACCGGTACCAGGCCGCGATTGCCAGTCGCTGCGGGAGCCCGCGTCGATCGTACTCGCTGTTGTCGCCGAGCACATCCGCCGGCGGCGTCCAGAGGTGAAACCCCCCACCCGCATACAACTCGCGCCGATAGAGATCCGCCACCTTCGGGTAGCCCTGGAGACGAAGGTAGTCAGGTACATGAACCGCGTCGATGGTCTGTCTCCCTCTGATGGGGGTGTGGAGGCTGCCGAGCAGGGTGGGCAGCGCGAGCAAGTTCGCGGTGGTCAAGGCCCTCGGGTTGACCTGCGCGTCGTGAAGTTTCGGAACGCCCAGTGCGGCGTGCCATCGGGGATGAAGGTCGTTGGGGATGGGAGTGGATGGATGTGGCCAGAGATCGGTGGCCAGGTCGAGGTCGGGCTGAGCTCGCTGGAGTGATGCGCGCGCAAGTCCTTGCCAAATCGCGCCGGAACCGCCGAGAAGAACGTCCCAGAGCCGTGCCGCAACCGCGTCCACAACGTCCCGCATCCTTATCACCCCGAGTCCCCCCTTGTTCTTGGCGGTGAACACAATGTCTCTGCCGTAGCTGGTCCTGCCCTTGCCCCCACGGACGAAATCGACGAGCATGTCATCGAGCTTCTTGACGACTTCGGGCGGCGGGATGTCGGCTGCAAGGAAATGCAGGATCTTGGGAATGGCGTACCGATTGACGTAAAAGGCACGGGTGTGGTGCGTGAGCCAGCGATGCTGAACCGCTTCCAGCGTCGCCTCGAGCCGTTCGATGAGATTCGCGTAGGCGAGTTCGGTGTCGCCGCTGGGGTCGAAGGGGAGGCCGATCCACTCGAGCGACTCGCCTGCGGCCTTGACGACGATTGGCCGTTCCCCAGGGTCCCAGCGACGTCCAATCGGTAGGACGACCGTCTTGTCCGTGTTGAGCCGGCCATTCGTTGCATGCCTCCAGTCGAGCGCCAGGTCATCGAGCAAGTTGAGTGACTCCAAGCCCGCGACGGCGACGACAACGTCATCGGCAAATGCAAGTGATGTAATGGCGCGGCTCTGTGGGTACGGATGAAGTGCAGGTATGGAGAGATTCAGCGCGATGTTTCGACGGTGTAGAGCATCCAGGAACGGCTGAAACACGATGTCCCAGACCGACGATGACGCCGGGTCCCCTTGGCCGAGCCCACACGTCAGTCGCACCGGCGCCGTCAGGAACCCATTGATGATGTAGCGCGCCGAGGTCGAGTCACCCGAGTAGAGCATCCTCAGCACGCGAAGAAAGGTGGTAGGAACGCCCAGAGCGTCGAAAATGGCAAAGATCCAGTCATGCTCGACGAGGTCGTAGGCGGATGATTGGTCAAGAGACAAGAGCGCGGCCGCGGGGAACTCGGTCCTGCGCGCGCCAAGTTCCTCGATCAGGAGACGAAGGTGTAGTGCAGCGTCGGCCGATCGGCGGTCCTTGACGAAGCCGTGCTGCTGCGGCGGGAGGAGATCGGGCATAATTTGGTTCAATCGGGCGACGTAGACCTTGGTAAAAATCTTGTAATCGCACTCGCGCAGGGTGATGGGGCGATACGACGAGAGTTCGGCGCGATCGGCATTCTTCTTGTGGCGCTTGAAGATGAGGCGCACGAGTCCCTGGCCCTGCTTGGGAGAGAGTGAACCGCGCTCGATCATCGCGTTGTAGGCCTTGGTCAGTACCTTGGACCACGCCTCCGGTGCGGTCTGATAGAGTTCGTAAGGCACGCCCGACGGGCCCGGCGATCGCCCCGGGTGCGTCGTCCCGATCGCGGCCACGACCTCGTCCTCGGTGATGGGTTGCTGGAGGAGATCAATCTGCGCTTCCGAGAGTCGGCGCAGAAAGAGCGGATCTGAGCGCGGGTCGTCGCAAGTCCGTGCCGCCCTGATCGGCACGAGGAGTTCGTCCCGAAGTCGGTCGACGCGTTCCGGATCACGATGCTCGATGTGGTAGAGGCGCTGGAAATGCGCCTGCGTGTGGTCAAGAGCGACATCAATGTCATGCGTTAGCTCTCCGTTGCCCAAGCGCAGTGCTGTGATCTTGGAGTCCGAGTTCCGCGCCGCGAGCTTGGCGTGGACCGGCCGCGACAGTCGTTCCTCGGAAGCGATCTCGGGGACGTGGGCTCGGATCCGGAGTAGGCGCGCGCGCTCCTCGACCGCCCGCTTGAGTTCCTCGGACGTCCTTGTCCATTCTGCCGTTTCCGCCTCCCCCCATACCGGTAACGCCTCCAGATCCTGCACCCTCCCCACCAAATACTCCATCCGTTCCGTCCGCTCCCGATGCAGCCTCCTCGCCATCTCCCCACCCCTGTCCCTGCACGCCTCCAGAACCTCCTCAAGCTCTCGCACCGGATCCTCCCCGCTTGCCCCTTCCAACCATCCTTCCATCATCCGCTGAAATTCCACCGTCTTGAAGGTTGTGGTATTGATTCGATGTAGTTGGTTGGATGTGGTAGGTAGGCTGAGCTGTGGGAGAGCCGCATCAAGATCGTCTGAGAGAGCCAGTACGATCAAGACCGGTCGGTGATCGGAAAGATCCTTGGGATAGTCGTAGATCGTCGAGGCCTGGTCGAGCCTTTTTTGGTGAGCTCTTTGTAGGAGAAAGTAGTCAAGCCGGGAGAAGGAGTTGGGTCGCTTGCGATTGGGATTAGGTCGAGTGAAAGATGGGGTGATGGGGTGCTTGTAGCGGATGCAGTCCGTGTAGGCCGAGTCGAGCTTGCCCATCAGAATCGGCCAGTGGTGGCCGCGCCGACTTTGGTTCCGCCGATCGACTTCTGGGCGCGGGCAGTCGTTGAGATCGCCGCCAAGGAGTCGGAGGTGGGATTTCTGTGTTTTGTGGAGGATCAGTTTGTCGAAGAATTTTGCTCGTTGTTTTGGGTCAACGGGCGCGTAGAGGTTATTGATTTCTAGAATTTTGATGTCGCCCCGCAGACGAAAGGAGGTGACGAGGAGCCGGCCGTCGAGTGCCGAGTGGGTGCGCAAGAGCTCGGCGTCGATCAGGGGCGAGTCGGCCGGGATCAGGGTCAGGCAGTGCTGGTTGATGAAGAGCTTGCCCTCGTACTCGTCCTTGATGAGCTGCCAGAATTGTGGTCTGATGAAATGCTCTTGTAAGAGAATCGCGGAAGCTTTGAATGTGGAAAGGTAGGTGTAGATATTACGTCGTTTTTCCGGGACCCCCATGCCCCTTCTTACGTTCCAGGTGATGATGGTGTGCTTGATCATTAATGGGTAGTCGAGGTCGAGGCGCTCTTGGCGGTTTTTTTTTTTTTTTTTTTTTTTACTGGGGCTCATAAATTGCAATCCTTCGGGTTGGCTGGGACCGCTAGAAAAAGAGCTAAAAGAGGTTATAAAGCAACGACGGCAAGCAATTGGGTGAAAGTCAAACCCCTGCGCGCAAAGAGCGCTGCGCAGATCAAAACCCGCCGAGCACCTAACGCGGACTCCAACGGGCGGTGAGTACTGCTGCCGCTTCACGTCCCAAGAGCGAGAGCGAAGATACTCGAAAACCAGGCAAGAGCGCCTAGAGAAAGAAAGGGGGAGAATATTCAAAAAGTCACGACTGGAAACACGGAGAACCAGGAATACTAAGACAGAGAGGAGGGGAGGAGGAGGGGAACACACCCGAGGGGCCAAGGGAGGGGGTCGAAGCCAGAGCTAGAGGTCCCCAGGGACTGACAGGCCGCAGCCAAGCCCCAGCTACTCGTCACCCCGACAGCGCCTGATGTCCTCCCTTGGCTGAGTCTCGAGTGCTGGCTGTTGAGCCGTCGGGGCCGAGCGAAAACGATCCAATACAACGAAACAAGCCTCGCCTTGACGCGAGGATATTGACCAAAAAAACAAGCGACCTTTCTTCCCGATCCATGCCGTAGATCTTGACCAACGCGAACGAACGATCTATTCGACGGAATCCAACACACGGCTTAGGAATAAAAGGAGAAGTGGCTGAAGCGTAGTCAACAACCGAGCAACAGGAACGAGATGAGGAAGAGAAGGGAGAAAGGGGGGGAAAGAGAGGGGAGAACTTCACAAAGCCTCCAACGCAACGACGATCGACCCGGCTTGCCGATCCATCCAAGAACGAAAACCGCTACTGCACAAAGTAGAGAGAGGGAGAGGTGCGCAGCCTTCCACTGCGCAACAAGTTTCAAGACAGTCAGCTTCTGACCGAAAAGGAAGGGAGGAAAGGAGGGGAGGAAAATGGGAAGGAAGGACTTAACTCGGTCATCACACCTCCCAATCTCGAACCCCAGGCACAAAACCCGCTCGAGAGAGAAAATCTCGCTCGAACGCTCTGAGCGCACTGGGAAGCGAGGGAGGGGCCACGACGTTGTCCAGCTCGAACCGCTGATGAACGCGCCAGCGGAGCAGGTGCAGCCGCTGGAAGCCGATCGCGCAGGCCAGCCGAACCCACATCCATTTCGAGGTCGTTCTCCCACGACCCCGCAAAAGGGGGAGCCCCATAGTCAGCTGCTCCGGAGTGAACGTCGACGGATCGACGTCGGTATCCTCGATGCCGAGCTTGTCAAGCAGAATGCGTAGCACCCCACCCCAGAAGCTGGTCGAGTACGCGCACTCGAAAAAGTAGTGGGACACCGTCTCGATGACCGCTGCATCGTTGCCACAGAACAGACACGTCGGCGAAGAGGCATGACCCTGAGTATGCTGCCTCTTGCGCGTCGGCGTCACGTCGTACATGAGCCGCCAGTGGGTGTCCTGCTCGACAGCAGACGCGAACCGGTCATGAAGCCATCTCCAGAAGCGCTTCCTATCGCTCTGAGAAGTCCCATCAGGGAAACGCTTGACACGGTCCTCCCTCCCTGGGAACCGCACCTTGTTCACAAGCCGACGAAGCTTGCGAATCGTAAAAGGTCGGGAGAGCCCAAAGAAGTTGAAGCACCGAGGACGGGGAGCCTCCTTGAGAGGTATCCGAGCAGGTCGCAACGCGGTCTTGGGCAGCAACGCTTTCGCCTTGAGCAACTGACCCACGCGCGACCACACGTGCTCGTGCTGTAGGGCGGGTTCCTTAGAGTGCTGCCAGAACCCGCGTCGATGACCAACCAGAGCCCATCCCTTCCCTTCGTCCCTCCAGTACAGGTCCGCGATCTGCGCAAACTTCGCCACCGCGTCCGCATCGTCATATGCGTGCTGGGCACCTTCAGCATAGAGTGAAGGGAGGCGAGGCGGAAGCGAGAGCAATTCGGGAAGCGTAAGGAGTTCGGACTTGATGGTTGGAACTGTGACCCTGGCCGCTGCAACGACTGCCCCCCAGCGCGTCGAGTCGCGATACAGCTTCTCGACCCGAGCCGTGCTGCTGAAGAACCCCCACGGACTGAAATCGCGGGTCGCAGCGACGAGGGACCTCCAGCTCTCGCGAGCTAGGGGCGCCCAGATCGCCTCGTCCGAGCCCAGATCGCCTCGTCGGCGGAAGCGTTTTTTTTTTTGTAGAAACCGTTCATCATATTGCCCCCAATTCCTGTTCCCCCTGATTGGCCTACGGAAAAACTAGATGGAAGTCGACGATGATAACACAAACCGCCCGCAAGATGCGAGAAACGGGCCAAGTCCACCAATCCGATACTTCGGATTCAAGTGCCCCAGCCAAGCGGTTGCTCCCCCCCAGGAGACGAATGAGAGAGAGAAGGAGAGAGAGAGAAAATGAAAAAGAACTGGCGTACTAACGACAAGAGGCCCACCCCGCACCCACTTCCCAACTCGGTCGAGACAAAGACAGGAGAGCGACTGCGCAGCTACCCTGACCCGCGAAGTCCCCAAGTCTATGCTCGGTCACAACAAGACGCGGTGGAGGCCCCTCAAAACCTCCACCTCAGCAGTCCCTGGCCCCTCAAAGCCGACTTTCTGCCTGTGTCTGCTGATCCCTCCCTTGACTCAGAACCCCGAAGCCAAAGAGCGCGAGCCACCGTCGAGTCAATCCCAAATCGCGAGCCGGTCCATGAGCAACGGAGGCAGACCTGTAATAAAAGAAAGAAAGATGAAGAAAACATATTTAGTATACAGTTTTTGTAAGAGGATGTGTGATGTGGGGTGTGTGAGTGTGGGATGGGGTGGGGGGAAATCGAACCTAGCCTCTACTGCCCTCGCCTGCCTCTTGCTCCTCCCGCCCTCAACTTCATCCTCTCCTCCAGTACCACCCTCCTCCGCTCCAGGCTTTCCATCCTCGTCCCGTGCTTCTGCATCCTCCATCTCCCACTGCTGATCATCTCCAAGACCATCCCCGTGAAGATCTCGATCGTCCTGCCTGCGCCTTCCTGTTCGCTGAGCTTGGCCTTGAGCTTGGGGAGGCCAAAGAGTCGTTGTAGTGTCGTGTACTCGGCGTCCTCGATCGTGTCGCATCCGAGCGCGTCGCAGAGCACGCCCCTTGCCGCGGTCCAGACGTTCCGCGAGTCGACGCAGCCGAAGAAGTAGTGATCGGTGTCGTCCACCGGCGCTTCGCACACGAGGCACGCGGGAGAAGTGACATGCTTTTGCTCGTGCTGGAGCTTGCGCGTCGGGGTGAAGCGGAGAATCAGCTTGAACCAAACTTCCCTCTCCCTCGCTGTCAGTGCCTTCGAGTTGACCGCCTTCCAGAAGCTCCTGAGATCGTCTGGCTGCGGTGGTCCCTTGAGCCCGAGCGTGTTGGTGAAAGCCTTCGCGTTCAGGACCCGGCGGATGCGACGGATTGTGTAGGGTCGAGCCATGTTCAGCAGCGTATACTGGCTCGCCTGTTGTGGAAGCACCGGGTCCGGAAGGCGCTGCTCCATTGCGAAGCGGGCCACGGGCTTGGGGATGATCGCCTCGAGCGGTGCGCTGGTGCCGATCCGGGGAGGCACGTTGAGTCGTCCCGCCGCCACCGCCGCCGCCAAGGGTGTGTTCTTGTGTCGATCGACAGTGAACCGGTACCAGGCCGCGATTGCCAGTCGCTGCGGGAGCCCGCGTCGATCGTACTCGCTGTTGTCGCCGAGCACATCCGCCGGCGGCGTCCAGAGGTGAAACCCCCCACCCGCATACAACTCGCGCCGATAGAGATCCGCCACCTTCGGGTAGCCCTGGAGACGAAGGTAGTCAGGTACATGAACCGCGTCGATGGTCTGTCTCCCTCTGATGGGGGTGTGGAGGCTGCCGAGCAGGGTGGGCAGCGCGAGCAGGTTCGCGGTGGTCAAGGCCCTCGGGTTGACCTGCGCGTCGTGAAGTTTCGGAACGCCCAGTGCGGCGTGCCATCGGGGATGAAGGTCGTTGGGGATGGGAGTGGATGGATGTGGCCAGAGATCGGTGGCCAGGTCGAGGTCGGGCTGAGCTCGCTGGAGTGCTGCGCGCGCAAGTCCTTGCCAAATCGCGCCGGAACCGCCGAGAAGAACGTCCCAGAGCCGTGCCGCAACCGCGTCCACAATGTCCCGCATCCTTATCACCCCGAGTCCCCCCTTGTTCTTGGCGGTGAACACAATGTCTCTGCCGTAGCTGGTCCTGCCCTTGCCCCCACGGACGAAATCGACGAGCATGTCATCGAGCTTCTTGACGACTTCGGGCGGCGGGATGTCGGCTGCAAGGAAATGCAAGATCTTGGGAATGGCGTACCGATTGACGTAAAAGGCACGGGTGTGGTGCGTGAGCCAGCGATGCTGAACCGCTTCCAGCATCGCCTCGAGCCGTTCGATGAGATTCGCGTAGGCGAGTTCGGTGTCGCCGCTGGGGTCGAAGGGGAGGCCGATCCACTCGAGCGACTCGCCTGCGGCCTTGACGACGATTGGCCGTTCCCCAGGGTCCCAGCGACGTCCAATCGGTAGGACGACCGTCTTGTCCGTGTTGAGCCGGCCATTCGTTGCATGCCTCCAGTCGAGCGCCAGGTCATCGAGCAAGTTGAGTGACTCCAAGCCCGCGACGGCGACGACAACGTCATCGGCAAATGCAAGTGATGTAATGGCGCGGCTCTGTGGGTACGGATGAAGTGCAGGTATGGAGAGATTCAGCGCGATGTTTCGACGGTGTAGAGCATCCAGGAACGGCTGAAACACGATGTCCCAGACCGACGATGACGCCGGGTCCCCTTGGCCGAGCCCACACGTCAGTCGCACCGGCGCCGTCAGGAACCCATTGATGATGTAGCGCGCCGAGGTCGAGTCACCCGAGTAGAGCATCCTCAGCACGCGAAGAAAGGTGGTAGGAGCGCCCAGAGCGTCGAAGATGGCAAAGATCCAGTCATGCTCGACGAGGTCGTAGGCGGATGATTGGTCAAGAGACAAGAGCGCGGCCGCGGGGAACTCGGTCCTGCGCGCGCCAAGTTCCTCGATCAGGAGACGAAGGTGTAGTGCAGCGTCGGCCGATCGGCGGTCCTTGACGAAGCCGTGCTGCTGCGGCGGGAGGAGATCGGGCAGAATTTGGTTCAATCGGGCGACGTAGACCTTGGTAAAAATCTTGTAATCGCACTCGCGCAGGGTGATGGGGCGATACGACGAGAGTTCGGCGCGATCGGCATTCTTCTTGTGGCGCTTGAAGATGAGGCGCACGAGTCCCTGGCCCTGCTTGGGAGAGAGTGAACCGCGCTCGATCATCGCGTTGTAGGCCTTGGTCAGTACCTTGGACCACGCCTCCGGTGCGGTCTGATAGAGTTCGTAAGGCACGCCCGACGGGCCCGGCGATCGCCCCGGGTGCGTCGTCCCGATCGCGGCCACGACCTCGTCCTCGGTGATGGGTTGCTGGAGGAGATCAATCTGCGCTTCCGAGAGTCGGCGCAGAAAGAGCGGATCTGAGCGCGGGTCGTCGCAAGTCCGTGCCGCCCTGATCGGCACGAGGAGTTCGTCCCGAAGTCGGTCGACGCGTTCTGGATCACGAGGCTCGATGTGGTAGAGGCGCTGGAAATGCGCCTGCGTGTGGTCAAGAGCGACATCAATGTCATGCGTTAGCTCTCCGTTGCCCAAGCGCAGTGCTGTGATCTTGGAGTCCGAGTTCCGCGCCGCGAGCTTGGCGTGGACCGGCCGCGACAGTCGTTCCTCGGAAGCGATCTCGGGGACGTGGGCTCGGATCCGGAGTAGGCGCGCGCGCTCCTCAACCGCCCGCTTGAGTTCCTCGGACGTCCTTGTCCATTCTGCCGTTTCTGCCTCCCCCCATACCGGTAACGCCTCCAGATCCTGCACCCTCCCCACCAAATACTCCATCCGTTCCGTCCGCTCCCGATGCAGCCTCCTCGCCATCTCCCCACCCCTGTCCCTGCACGCCTCCAGAACCTCCTCAAGCTCTCGCACCGGATCCTCCCCGCTTGCCCCTTCCAACCATCCTTCCATCATCCGCTGAAATTCCACCGTCTTGAAGGTTGTGGTATTGATTCGATGTAGTTGGTTGGATGTGGTAGGTAGGCTGAGCTGTGGGAGAGCCGCATCAAGATCGTCTGAGAGAGCCAGTACGATCAAGACCGGTCGGTGATCGGAAAGATCCTTGGGATAGTCGTAGATCGTCGAGGCCTGGTCGAGCCTTTTTTGGTGAGCTCTTTGTAGGAGAAAGTAGTCAAGCCGGGAGAAGGAGTTGGGTCGCTTGCGATTGGGATTAGGTCGAGTGAAAGATGGGGTGATGGGGTGCTTGTAGCGGATGCAGTCCGTGTAGGCCGAGTCGAGCTTGCCCATCAGAATCGGCCAGTGGTGGCCGCGCCGACTTTGGTTCCGCCGATCGACTTCTGGGCGCGGGCAGTCGTTGAGATCGCCGCCAAGGAGTCGGAGGTGGGATTTCTGTGTTTTGTGGAGGATCAGTTTGTCGAAGAATTTTGCTCGTTGTTTTGGGTCAACGGGCGCGTAGAGGTTATTGATTTCTAGAATTTTGATGTCGCCCCGCAGACGAAAGGAGGTGACGAGGAGCCGGCCGTCGAGTGCCGAGTGGGTGCGCAAGAGCTCGGCGTCGATCAGGGGCGAGTCGGCCGGGATCAGGGTCAGGCAGTGCTGGTTGATGAAGAGCTTGCCCTCGTACTCGTCCTTGATGAGCTGCCAGAATTGTGGTCTGATGAAATGCTCTTGTAAGAGAATCGCGGAAGCTTTGAATGTGGAAAGGTAGGTGTAGATATTACGTCGTTTTTCCGGGACCCCCATGCCCCTTCTTACGTTCCAGGTGATGATGGTGTGCTTGATCATTAATGGGTAGTCGAGGTCGAGGCGCTCTTGGCGGTGGTGACGTCCTCAAAGAGGGGAAGGGCGGGCAGGACATCGTCCTCGGGCTCGTGGTCGGACCATCGTTTTTCCTCAGCTACCCCTCTTCCTTTCCCTCTGTCCACCTTCGTCACCTCGACCTGCATCGCCGCTGCCGCCGACATCGACCTCGTCACCCTCCGCCCCTCTATTCCATCCTTCACCACGACGCGGCCCTTCCTTTTGATGATGACTCGCTTGGCGTCGGTCGGTTCGTCACTTGGGTCACTGAGGTCCGCCGCAGTCTGCGACCTCTTCATCACCTGCTTCTTGAACTTCGCAGCGGTCCCCCTGATGTTGATGGAGCGTATCTCACCGTCCTCGTCCCACGTGGCAAAGTTGTGACGCACCAAAGGGGTTTCAGCGTTGAGCCTCCTCTCGATGCTTTGGTCCCGCTCAAGTCGTGCCTGCTCAACCCAGTTAGCTCTGATCCTGTCCCACTCCTCCCCCTCGCGTAGCGACTTGGCGAGAGTTTCGGGTGACAGAGGTGGGGTTGGTTCGTGCGGCGTCGATTCGCGGGAAGCGGTGGCGGCGGTTGCTGTGGCGTCGCTGTCGTCGTCATTGTCCAGCCTGTTCGTTTCCCCTAAGTCCGTCGCTTCCGCATTCTCCGCTTTCGTCGATCCCCTCGCTTCGTCCACATCGCCCACCTCCGTCGCCACCTCCTCTTCCTCCATCTCCGTAGCCACCTCTCCTCCCGTTTCACCTCTTTCATCCGCCATCACCTCATTCTCATCAATCACCTCTCCATCGGATCCGCTGCAGTCCTCCAAGACCGACTCGTCCTCGCTTTCAATTTTGATGACCTCCGTTTTCGCGGCCGCCTCCGATTCCATCTCCGAGTCCTCCGAGTCCTCGTCATCCGCCTTATCACCAGCGTCTTCCTCCCCCGATTCCTCCGGTCCCTGTTCGCCCTGGCCAGTTACCTCTTCCTCCTGTCCCTCCTCGACCTCGAGCCCGGCGAAGTGATTCTGTGATGCGATCCTGTTAACAACCAGTGCAGGAATGGGGGCCTCGGCCTCCGCGATGTTGGTGTTGTGGGTGATGGTGTTTTTGTTGCTGTTGATGATGCCGTTGTGAGCCTCCTTCCGCTTCTTCTCCTGATCCAGTCCGCAGGTTCCCACGTGACCCACAAAGTGGCACCTACCGCAAGCCGCCTCCTTCTCATAGTCATGGCGAAGGGCGGTAACCGGGATGCCTCGAGTGGGAAGGTCGATCCTCGAAGGTAGAATCTCCTTCAAGGTCGTGTTGGGGCGTTGGAATAGGGAGTCGTCATCGAAGTGTAGGAAAGCCGAGTAGTCTCCGGCAACGTGGGCGAAGGCCGAGGCGTTGTCCACGCTGATAACGCGCAGAACCTGCACAAGTTGGCATGAATGTCCCTTGCCTGACAGGTCTTGCACAAGTGATTGGAACGATTTGATGATGGCATCCATGGAGGGCACTCCTTGAACACCGACGTTGATTCGAAGCTCGACCATGTTATGGTGGAACCTGTGAGACTTCGCGAAGCGGGCCTTCGCCGATCGCCAAGTGAGAGCGGGGGGCGTCGTGAGCGCCGCGTCACGTGCCTCGCCGGTGACGAACCCAACCGTAACGCGATGGTGAGCCGCCCCATTACGCAGGATTGATGAATGTTGTACGCCTAAGATCTGTGGTTGATAAGCCGCAAGATGGTCCGGCAGAGGAACTCCAGGCTCAAAGCAGATAGGAGAGATGGGCGATAGCAGCCTCGTGACGCAGGCCACGAGATCGATCTTGTCGGCATGAGTCGCTCGCGAGGCGCTCTGGTGAGACAGAGTCACTTCAAGGGCGTAATCGAAGATGTTCTCGACGGACCGGTTCGCGTTCAAGGCCGAAAATTTCAGCGATGTGGCGGTGGCGACGGGGTAGAGTTCGGCGAAGTAGATGGCCTGGACCCAGCGATCCATGCGGTTTCCGGGTACAGCACCCATGGCTTGTAGGAGGCTGCCCAGAGCCTTGGCACGCTGTTGTTGTTGTTGCTGTTGTTCAGGTGTTTGAGCCGCCATCTGACTCGCAGCGGCAGCATAGTTGGGTGCGGCGGTGGCGGGGCCCGTGACTTGCGTCTTCTTCGAGCTTATCGGGATCCGGTCGCGGGGGGGCTGGACGCTGGCGGCGGATACCGGTGGTGGCGGTGCCGGCAGTGGGGACCCAGGGTCTCCGGTAGACATCTTGTCGGTGTATCACTTGTTAACTCGAGTATCGAAGGCTGCAGTAGGGCGATTGTGAAGTGAAGTGAAGTGAAGTGAAGTGAAGTGAAGTGAAGTGAAGTGAAGTGAAGTGGAGGGAAGCGAAGGGAGAACCGCCGCCGGCTTGACCCGGGTGCGCCGCTTCTTTGATCTATTCCCGCTGGTTGAGTAGCTCAGAGGTCAGAGCAACTCTGATGAATGGAGTGGACCTGAGTTCGACTCTCAGTTCAGCCAAACTTTCTTTTGTTCTTCGTAACACTCAGTTCCGGGAATTCCCATTTCCCAACTCAAGTCGTGTGTGCGCCGCTAGGTAAGCTTCGTGGCAACACTCTGTTCATATTGCGCCCAATTTTTTTCTTGGCCGTTCTCCGCGTGGGGAATTGTGGTTGCCCGCGCACCTGTCGGCGCAGAGGCTTTGCCGAATCCAGGATCGAGATTTGCTTTGAGCGCCGGAGGCTTGGGAAAGGGCAACGGATATGACCTACTCCGTCGGCTAGAGTCAACATGTCTGGCACGACGAGGGACTCCAAGGCTCGGAGCTGCACCGGACGAGCGCCAGGCTCGCGCCTCACCCCATCTGGGTCCGACGTCGGACCTAGGGGTCCGCCGAGGTCGATATCAATTCCGCCACCTCGCAGTATCTCCGTGGCCCCGCGGAGATGTTGATGCCTGGCAATGCGAATTGAAGCTCTTGAGACCAGTGCGACGACTGAAGAGCTTGTGATCATCCCCTTGTACCCACCACTAGCTTTTGGAGCATGTACCCTTCGTAAATTGAATGCACTAAAATCCTGCCTGGCCCTTCGGTTTCATTTGTCGGCGACGTCAGACGAGCCCTGGGAAAACTGGATTGGTCAAGGCTCGAGGTCCCTGGCTTGTGAGCAAGGTGGCTCCTGAAACATTGCCGTGCGGCGGGGGAGGGGGCGGGGGTTTGAGAAGGTCGAAAATCCGGTTCAATTTTAGCATTAGCTTGGGGGTGCGACAGCAGAACTCTTGCCTAGACTGGCAGGGGCTATCCTTTACCGAAGGTGAGAGAGACATGTGAGACGCCGTGCGCGGGACCTGGCCCTGTGCACAGCTTTGGGGTCCAAGGCAGACGACCCGCTGTGCGAGCGAGGTGTATCGTTGGCTCGGCCCGGGGGTGGCAGGTTGGAGGCGTGAGAGTCGCACGGCCATTTGGGGGCCACATTGGAGGAGTCAAGTAAGCAGTTAAGTGTGATCGGAGTGTAGATCCCGAAGACCCTGCCTGCTCCCCGGCCAAAAAAAAAGTGGTCCCTCAGGCACGTCACTCAAGTTCGTAAACGCCCCACACCCACACAACCCTTGACCTTTCTCCTTCTTGTCAGTTCTACAACAGAGGTACTGGTCACCGCTGGATCGAGGTCGCCGCGGCTCCCGAGATCAGTGACTGAATCTCGACGCCCTTACCTGGGCGAAAACTCGCAGTCGGTTTCGGCGGCGCTCGGAAAGTCGGCGTCCGCTTTTCGCTCGCGCCAGCCTGAGAGGTCATTTGGACTCGTCTTGCTTGGCCCCCTCTTTCAGCTTTCGATTGCGCTCTACCTCGCCTCTCGCATTCGGCTTCAAGTCTAGACACGCCTAGGTAGCTCACTCGATCCTTGCACTTGCTACCGCTCTATCAGTCCGTTGACCTCGCTCTTGTTTTCCCTGTACTTGACGTTGCACCAGGCTCAGCAGTCGATCGAAACGCCCGGAATTGCGGTCATGCCCCTCCTCGCCGACGCGGCCAGCACCAGTGGTCGCCCGCATTACCGACCACCGCCGCCCCGCTTGGATTCGCTGCCATATATCCACACACCCCAGGTCCCGTCTCAGTTTTCATCTCAGCCCTTACCACCACCCTCGGCGCGGACAAGACCGAATCACACGCCTGCTTCGTCGATCGCCTCGTCAGTCTCGTCGAGTCGCTCCGGCTGTGCGCTTTCGACGCGTACGACCTCAACCGCTTGGAGTTCAGTGCTCGACGACGGCGACGACTACAGCTGCGATTACACCATCTACGACGACGCGCCTGACGAAGAGGATGAGGATGAACTCGATGCGCTGTACACCGCCTACGAACAGCACTACGACGCGCACAGCGCCGGGGCACACGACTCGACGCTCGTCAGATCTTCGCACGCAATGTTGAGCAAGCCGTTGGGATCGACGCGTCCGAGCGCGAGCGCGAGCGCGCCGGAGTCCGACGAGTGCGGCGGGCGCGGCGACGATCAGCGATCCATTACCTCGACCTCATCTAATACAAACCTCTCGACACAGCGACGCGGTGATGGTGACGTTACCAAACCTTCGCGCAAGGGAACGAAACTCAACCCCAAGACCAACAAACCGCTCAAGATTGACACCGAGCAAGACCTCTTGCAGCAGCTCGCGCGTCTGAGCACCGCGATCGATCTCTGCTTCTGTGGTCGCGTCGCCGAGGAGGACTCGATCTACTGCGGGCGAGAATGCTCGCGCGCCGATGCGATGAACGCGCTCTGTGGTGGTCAAGAGGACGAGCCAAGGACACCGTTGAGTGCAGAGCATGAAGCCGTCGCGACGCCCATAATGGGATCGAGGCCGACCTCGTTCGGTTCGTCCGATGGGGTCGTCAGCCATTATCGCCGACGGGTCGAGCGCAAGCGAGCCGAGGAGCGCATCTCGCAGGAACTGTGGCAATCGCGTAACAACAGCCGAACCAACCTTCACCCGAATCCTTCCGTGTCGTCCCCTCGTCGACTCTCCGGATCGAGTGTCGTCTCGTCCGTCTCGACCTCGAGCTCGACGGGCGTCAAACGATCACCACGAGACCCTTCTCAACGCAAACCCGTTCCGACTCGCGACTCTACGGGGTCAACGCAATCCAAAGCACCTTCGCTTTCTTCCTCCCTGGCTTCTCCCGCATCCTCATGTTGTTCTCCTCGCAACCACAGCTACGCAACGATGGCCGAGCCCGCGTCGCCTCGGTCGTACCAACAACCCAAGATCATCTTTCCTTCTCCGACCCGAATCTCGCCGACGCGCTCGGTCGTACGCGCCACAGGACTTGCCTCCAATCGAGCTCTCTCTACCAATATCGACGAAGATCTGTTCGCTTCCTCCCTCGATGCGACTCCCACCTTGGCAACGATCCATGGTCGTCGCGCACCCCTCAGCGACGAAGAATACGGCGTCCCTTCACTCAATCGTTACTCGTCAGATTCTTCAATGGACGCCGCCTATGGCTACGGATCCGTCGGCCTGATGATGCTCCAATCGGACGAAGACGAAGACGACGATGACGAACACGACGTCGTAGCGGGTCTGTCGTCGGGCCAGAAGCTTAAAGCGAGGGTTCGGGCGCAGATGGTACCGAGGCCAGGGCACACGCGCGGCAAACTCAGTTTCGACGATGTACTGAATTTGTTGGGGTCATGAAGTACCCTCAGTATTAATATCTTACACATATAAGGAACGGGCCACGTGTTGTAATGATACAGGTTTACGAATGTCCAGACCCGTGCGAAGCGGCTCGTCCCGACTCTTGAGACCAAAGAGATGCGAAAGTGTAAGTGGTTACATTCACAGAACGAAGATCCACCCTAAGAAAGAAGCTCGCAAAACGTCTATTGAGCACCTTTGGAGCTACCCTGCGTCGGGTTCCTCCGCAGTGCCGAAGAATTTCCGATCGTCGGCAAAGGCTTCAAGCCGCTCGAAGGTCCAGCCCCATCTCGCATCGGTCGACTCGCGTCGGCGAACCGAATGGTCGAAGCACTGATCGGGGTCGTCGGTGAATGCCCGGGACTGCGCAAGAAGGCCATCTGACTCGAAACGGGGTCGTCCTTCGATGGCGGTGGTGGCGGTGAAGGGGGCCGCGGAAGTGCTGGAGCGACATCGATGCGGGTAATAACGGGGCGTGGTGCGGGAGGTGGTGAAGCAGAACGCTTGCTCGATCCTAACCCAAAGATACCTTTGACGGACTTGAACGCGCCTCCCGACTTGGAATTGGACTCGGGTCGTTCGCGGGTCGTTGTAGCTGTGCGGTCATCGTCACGGGCATCGTCTTCATCCTCGCTCGCCGCCTCCTCTTCCGAGTCGGGATCGAGTCGCCCCGTTCTTTCGAGCGCAAAGCCCGTGTTGGGCTTGCGAGCGACGGGAGGTGGGGTCTCACTGCGCGCCGGAGAGTTGCTGCTGTGCTGCTGACCGTTTCTGGTGCGAGGTGATGAACTGGACGAGGAAGCGGGGCCAGGGCCTTGGATGGGTCGACCCCAGAGCGCCGAAGGGTCGCGCTCCTCTTCCTCGGCGCGGAGGGATGGTGAAGCTGTCGGCGCCGGCGACCGTCGTTTACCTCGACCTTCTAAAGCTTCGATGGGATGACCCAAGGCTCGCAGTGCGCCGAGGTGCTTGGTGATACGGCGATTCTTCTCCTCTTCCGTCATGTCGCGAACGTCGACTGTACCGTCCGTGTGCTCGACGACGACCTTCTCACCCTCGGGCCATTCTTGCGTCTCTCTTCGCTTCGCGGCGGGGATTTCGGGGTAGTGCTGCACAGTTTGACGATAGGTTTAGCTCCTAGTCCACCGCACACTGAAAGTCTGATCGGTACCCACCTGTTCTTTCCGGCACCAAGCATCCTTCTCCAGCTTCTCCTTCCTGCGTCTCTCCTTCTCCTCCGCCGAGAGATTCGGTTCCTCCTTGTACAGCTTCGCCGTCGCCGTCGCCAGCATAGACCGACTACGCAACATCGCTTGCGCAACGCGTTGCACGGCCGACTCCTCATGCTGTTGCGGCGTCTGATCCCCGACAGGCATCTTCTCCTTCTCCCGCTCGATCGCTCCCTGAGGCACCGTCAAGATCTCGTGGCGGTCATTACGTGCACTCTTTTCGAGTGCGTCGGGGGTAGCATCCAAGTCGATGACTTCGACCTCGGCACCGTCGTTGCGGTCGATAATAATCTTGCGCCCTTGCTGCCACGTTTGCGTCACGTTCTTGGAGCAGTATCTCGCCTCCCTGGCCGAGTCCTTTTGTCGAAGTGGTGGTCGCGAAGGCGATTTGCTGTCCTTGCTGCTGCCGAAGGAGAACGATCCCCGCTTTCCCGCCGCGGCTTCGGAACTTCTCCCCATCTCGGCCCCCTGCGGACGTTCCGCCGATTGTCGTCTCCCACGATCGGATCGATCAAGCGACGCGTCCCGGGACCCAGACCTGCTCCCATCCTCCGATACATGCTCCAGAATATTCTTGCGCGGATGGTCATCATTCTCTTGCTCCATCTTCTTCTTGATCCGAGCCGTCCTGGTTAGATCCTCCTCGTCCAAAGAGATACCGTGCGACTCGTCCTCGAGCGACCGTCTCCGTTCTCCATCGACTTCACCGCGTCCCAAGTCATTCTCCATCGAAGCCAAGCGCATCCTCGACACGTCCCCTCGTCCATCCTCGGGATCGGACCCATCCCCGACCGGTGCTTTCTCAAGACTGTTGGACCCAAACTCACTCGACGACGACCCTCCCAGACCTTTCTCGGCCATACTCGTCGGTTCGAGATCGTCGTCTCGATTGATGATGATGTCTTCACCTCGTTGCGCCCGTTTGACGCGAGACATCCAAGCTGGCTCTTCGGCCATGACGGGTGCATTGCGGCTCAACCCACCCCGTGAATCCCTCGAGGCGGAGGTCAAAGTGCGGGAGAAGGAAGCGACTCGCGAATGCACGCGTCGACCGAGTGTGAAGAAGGAGATCGTTAAGCCGTGGATAAGGATCGACGAAAGAACGATAAAGTATGTCACGGGCTGGATGATGAGCGCGAGCAAGTCCAACGAGTTTTCGGGCGGGACCGTCGGAGTAGGCAGTTTAGCCGCTGCAAGTGTAGAGATGAAGATCGCCCCGACGCCCATGGGGCCGAAGTGCCCCGCGAACAGGGCCTCTCGTCGCGTCTTGATGTCAGGGATCCACCACTGCAGCGCAAAGATGGCGGGCAAACGACGAAGCGTCAAGATCCCCAAGGAGAGCAGCACGAGTCGCCACACCGTCAACGTTAACATCTCGTCGGACCAGGCAGCGAACGGCATCGTTGCTCCGAGGTAGATGAAGATGGCGCAATTGGCAAGCAGATCGATCGTCGAGGAGAAGTTGGACTCTTCGATTGATTCGGTGAACCAGTCGTCCCAAGCGAAAGCGGTACCGCAAGCAAAGGCGGCGAGCAAGTCGTCCGATCCAGCGAGCGTCGTCAGTCCGGTGACGAGCAAAGCCAATGCGACGTACATCGCGACCTGTCGAGGAGGCAAGATGCACATGAGCTCGCCGGTCGCAAATTCAATAGCATAATGAGGGAGCACCTACCATGGACTCTCGATCAATCAACTCGCGTCGTTTGGAGAATTTGAGCAGCTTGCGAGCCGCAATACCGACGGCGGCTCCGATGACACACCCGAGGACGATTTGGTAGAGCAAGACGAGCAAGGCCCACCACCCGATCGCCTCGCCGATAGTGTGGTGGCCGCGAAGCAGCAGAAACAGGGCGAGGTACTGCGTGATCAAGGGGCCAGGTCAGACAAGGCAACCCTCGAGATAATCTTCACCCCTTTGAAGCACGTACGAGAAAGGGGAAAGCGGCGCCGTCGTTGCATCCACTCTCGGCCTGCAAAATGTGCCGAATGTGGGCCGGCACATGCTCTTGCGCGAACTTACCCTTGCCCACGACCGACGAAGCGAGAATGGGATCGGTCGGGGTCACACCGGCGGCAATGACGAGGGCGGGAAGGAACTCGAGTCCGGGGATGATGGCAAACATGAGGGCAGCCGAAACCATCCATCCGAGTAACATGCTGCCGAATCGGAGGACGAGCACATCGGTCAGTGCGAGTCATCAGCCAACAATATGAAATTGTGAGTACCCACATGGGACCAAGAAGCATGCTAAGAGATCTCCAATGTCGCAGAATGTAAGCCCTGTGGAGGCAGATCGGATTGATCGTGAGCAAACTCGCTCCAGTCTCTCATTCCGACTTTGGCGCAGCACGAACTTGGGCAACTCGACACCGACGGCAAAGACGGAAAGCGCGATGACGATGCGGGTCAATTCAAGTGTCAGGTCGTCGAAGTGGTGACCTGTGTGTGGTCAAGGTGTTCAAAGAAATTGGTTCAGCCCTTTGCGGACTCTACTACGCTCAAGGTGTCCGGGCAGGTAGGAAGAAATCCCTTACCGGAGGACCAGCTCCTCGGGGCAAAGACACCAGCACCATAGCCACTGTGGGTACGATTGCATGGAAAGTATCATCATTAGCTCCGCCGTGCCTCAAAAGTCAAAAAGTGGCGCAAGGCAGCTTCTTGCATCGCCGAGCTCCCGTTGCCATCGTGGCCGAAGCGAGAACTCGAGTTGGGATCGTCGTCATCGTCATGGGCGCCCCCGATGGTGGTGGTGGCTGCCGCGACGCGCGATCTCGAATGACGGCGGCGATACGGTGTAGACACGGTTCACTCACGAGAAGGCGACGCCGAATCCTGTAGCGATGATGGCTTCTCCAACATAGAGGCGTTCCTTGACAAAACCACTGTTGAGGGTCCGACGGCACGTTGTGGCGAGTGTGGTTCGGATCCGTCAGCGATGCTGCGATCGAAGTGACACGGAGCTGTGCGAGAGGCGCGTGCCGGCCGAGTATACTGACGAGAAGAGGCCAAAGAAGGTGACAAAGATGGACAAAAGTGTGATGGCGAGATGGACGATGTTGACCTGATCAGGCGGAGCACGAACATCATTGTCAGTCTCAGGGTGGGCTCTCCGGGGGTCAGGTTCGGACCTGCTGTCGGTGGTCGAATCGTGGTCGAGTCCGAGCGACGCTGACGACCGACGATAGCGATCATCCGGGCCGAGCCGATCCTCGAACCACTGCGACGAACAGGCACTCACCTCGGGTACGATCTGGTACAGTTCATGTCTGTTTCAACGTCACGATCCAAGCTTCAGCCATCAGTACATGTCGCAACCCTCTCGTGTCATGATCCGCGGCCGTGTCCGGTCCGGATCGGTCAGCCAGTCATCGTGGGCTGCTCCTCCGTTGCCGCTGCCGCCGCCGCCCGACCGGGAGGGAACCAGCGATGATGACACGAGCGCCAAGGTAATCAACTCACTCGGCTTCCTCGGCCGTACCCGCTCCTTGGAACGACGTGATGTTGCTAGGGTCGCCATGGGCCGGCGTGAACCCAGTCATCGTTGGTTTGCCCAAACTGCACACACGAAGGAAGACCGAGCGGCGAGCGAGAAGAGAGGTGTGCGCCAGAAGCTAAAGTGAACAGGTCCAGTCTGGTCCAGTCGGGCGCGGTTTCGCTGCGGCGCGCGCCATGGACGGGCCAACACGGGCTTGGCGTTTTTTGGAACCATCATGATTAGCAATTTAGCCTCTTTGGCCCACACCCACGATATCTCTGCTTCCAAGATGGCTGACAACAAGTCTGGCTGAGTAAGACCAATACCCCAAGAATGGACTCGGAAGAAGGCGGGTTCCCGCGATCCCTGCAACATCAGCAGTCTTCCGGAGATATTCAATCAGGAGCTCGAGATAGGTATGCCTATCTGATATCCGAGCTTCGACGCCGTCCATATCCTTACTCCGGTCGGTGCGGCTCCACTCGACCAGAACACTCAGGTGATTTACAACATCTCAAGTACTATGCGGAATGCGAGCGTACTAACGATCCAAACAGACAAATTCCTGACCCCCTGACCTTGGTTAACATCAATTCCACCCTCTGGCCCCTACCTCATCGACCTGTGCCGACCGCGCCCCAAGGGCCCTCCACGAGTCTGGCCCCAAACCTCCTACACACCCACCCCATCCCAACAGGACCCACGATCGTACACAACGCCACGGCCCACACAGCAACAAGAAAAGCTTCTTCGCCTAACATCTTTGCACTTCCTGGAGAGGATGAAGAGTTTATCGCGCTTTGTAAAATCAGCACGCCGATCTCACCTCGCGCGATGAGGCCTACGCCTAGGAAGGCGGCGGTGGGTAGGGTATCGTGTAATAATGAGCTGATTCGAGGACTTGAGGACTGGCGACTTGGTGGAGGAGCGACGAGGGTCGCTGACGTCGTGATGGAAGGGGAGACGACTTGGGTCGATGACGAGATGTCCGACGGCAGAGCTGTCGATTTGGGATCATTTGTCGCTCCTCGAGTAGAGATTGGTGTGAGAGGATGTACATGTCCCGCCCTATTGCGTTCAGCCGCCGACGACATGGCGATGGCTACGGGCTTGTCCTTCTTCGCATCAACGGCATCACGCGTGCCGAAAATTCGTGACCATATCCTTCCTACCTCCGGCTCCTTCGACTTTCTCTCTTCCTCTTCCGCGTGCCTCTTGGCGGAACCGACATTTGTCGGAGGCCGAATCGTATCCTGTATGACGACGGTCAACCCGACCAATCCTTTCCCCAGCGCCATCAAAATCGCATACACAATCCCCCTCCAGATAATCCTCCCTCTCCACATCTGCAGAAATGGAATCGAGAATCCGATCGAAGAGAAAAAGAAGGGCGCGAAGAGGTGCTTTTGTAGAGGGCCGACCCAAGTTGAGTAGGTGCATTGAAAATCGACGGTCGAGGTAGGGGAAGGGAGGGAATGGAGAAAGACGCCGGCGAGGTAGGCACCGAGGAGCATCGTCGTACCGGCATAGTAGGCACTGTAAATGGATGGGAGCAGTGGTTGTGTTAGCCATCACTCACTATTTCTTAACTGGACTCGTCGAAAGCATCACTCACATAGCGAGAAACCCCGAAAGCACGACCATCCCGAGCAACAACTCTGCATTCCTCCCGATCCTTTCGACCGGGGCCTCGAGCCACTTCCGAAATAGGGGACGAGCGACAATTAGACCCAAAGGAGGTATGACAAGGACCATGGCGATGGAGGCGAGGAGAGGTCGACCGACCGTCCATCCTAGGTTCGAGGTGTTGCCTTGAGATTTTGCGAGCGAGACGATAACCGCCTGCGATGACGGGGATAACTTGGATCGGGCTTAGGCTCAAGCTCAAGGCTGCAGCATAGGATTGTGCTTACCAGTAATACCAACGCAACGACATCATCAATCAAAGCCGCAGCTTGCAACGTCACTCCAATCCTCGTCTCGGCCAAGTCAGGAGGCGGTTCAAGCGACCCCACATTTTGACCTGTCCTCGCAGCCGGCGTCGACTGTGCTCTGAGGACATAGAACGTCGTCCCCAATGAGGTGGAAGCCAGTGCAGATCCTGCTGTGAAGGCGTGCAGCGTTGGGTATCCGAAGGCTTGGAATAGCGCGAAGGTGAAGGCGAGGGGAGTAAGGATGCCAAGTAATGCTGCGATCGTCGATAACGGGAGCGCCCGTACGAACAACGAGGGCTTGATGTCCAGGCCTGCTTCTGCAGCGTTGGGCATGAGATAAGATTAATTACCTGATAAGGAACGGAGAGAGGAGCTGTGCCGTGTTCATGACGTACCAAAGACGATCAAGACAAGGCCGAGGTAACCCAACACCAAAATGGTCTCTTCCCATTCGATAGGCAGAATCTTGGCTACAGGCCCATAGATAACGCCAATCATGATCTCGCCCAATAGACCAGCACCGAAGATCGCGTTTGCCACCGATCGAGCGACTTGCAAGAGGTAGATGAGCGAGGATAGCGTCAAGAGGCGAGGGATCGATGGCTCGTGGTACGGAACTGTGCCCGGTGGTGGTACTGAGGGAGATGAGCTCGACATTTTCGAGACCCGCGTGGAGGGTTATCAGCAGAGACTGGGTGAGGCGGTCATGGATAGCGAACAAGACGTCACTAGAGCGAAGACGGCGAGGGAGGGGGAGCTGAGACAGCGCGGCAGAACAACAGGAAGCCAAGAGCGCCGCGAGCCGCGATGCCGAGCCGGCTCACGTGATGACGGATGATCGATGACCGCTGATGACCGCACATGACTCTTCGCTCCGTGCAGCCCTTAGCGCATGCAACTCCCGCCAAACGAACGAGACACAGAGTAGAGCAAAGGTGGGTGGGTGGGATATACTGTTTAAAGAATATATCCGTCTATGATATGCTAAACAACTTGTGAGAGACGAGACCGTACGAAGAGAAGAGAGAGAGGAGGGAGGGAAAATGGAGAGTGGGGGGGTGGGGGAACAATAGAGGGGCGGGCAATGCAGAACCGTTATAATGAAACAGGGAACACGGATGTCAAGGGGTATCCTCGTCAAGCGCACAAGTGCCTCCTCGAATAGCCATACACGCGCGCACAGGCACGGAAACAATTGTTCATTCAAATCTCCATGGCATCGTTCCCTCCGGGCCCTTGCTGCTGTTGCTGATGCGAATTGCTCGCAGTATGAAGGGGAGAAAGCGTGAACCCGGATCGCGGATAGTTCGAATGGCTGGCGCTCGCGTTGCCCATCGCAGCGAGCGAGTCCGAGCTGGCCGAGTTTGAGTTGGACGTCGACGAGGGATGCGACCCAGGCTGCGACGAGTGATCGAAACCACCTCCGAGCGGCGAGGCGGCTTGCGACGACGACGACGACTTGGGGAAAAAGGTTGATGAACCTGCGGACCCGACGTTGCTATTGTTCTGACTGTTCTGGTTGTTGCTGTTGCTTGATTGGTGGTTGAGCATCGCACCCAAGGAGCCCAGACTCGGCAACGTCGTCTGTTGGTTCGACGCGGCCGCGGCCAGGTGGCTCGGGATCGCAGGACTGCCGTAACTCGAGTTGGAGCTTGTCGACCCGCCGGACCGGTTGATCATTGGCATCGCCGCTGGCGAATGGTGGTTCGAAGGGATCTGGCCATGCCCTCGGTTCTCAGGGCTGTTCGGCGCCGAACCTTCGGGCAAGAACGGCGTCCCGTCGGGCCGCAGCATCCCCGCGCCGTTGGCAATCCGCTCTAGCGAAGGTGGAAGGTGCAGAGGGGCGAGGTGGACGGGACTGCTCGCGCGAGACTGATGTCTCGAACCAGCTCGACTTGCAGCGGCGCTCATCAACGTCAGGCCCTTGAGCGGGCCGAGCACGGGGCTCGTCGACGGCTGCGCGTGGTATGCCAACGCCTGTTGCAGTTGGCCCATCGCGTGCTGGTGACCCGACCCGGGAACCGTAGCGAGGCCCATCGTCGGCCGCCCGTCGTCCGAATCGCCATCAGAATGGCTCAGCGCTGGGCTCGTGGTTCGCGAATGGTCCGTCGAGGCCGCCGTCGCGTACGGCGAGTACGTATGTCGGTGTTGCAAGCGCGAGAACGAAGAGTGGTGCGCCGGGTGCGACGCATCGTGCGAGTACGAATGCCGTGCCGCGGTGTCGTCGTTGTGAGGCAAGCTCGGGTGCGGTAGATGAGGATGCGAATGCGTGCCGTGGGATGGACGGTGCCGTCTTGGACCTGCATGGGAAGAGGACGACGAGCTCGATGCGCCAACTTGGGGTTTGTGGTCCTCACTCGACGGAACGAGGTTCGAGTGCACGCTCGGTTGCTGCTGCTGCTGCTGTTGATGTTGTTGCTGATGGTGCTGATGTTGCTGGTGCTGCTGCGGTGGTGGCGGCGGTGGCATTGCTTGAGGCTGCTGCATCGGCAAGGGATAGTGCGGTGGTGCCTGCCCCGGGTACTGCGGCCAGTAGGCCCCAGGATCGTACGACCCGTATGGCGAGTTGTTCTTGCTGTCCTTTTCCCGCTGCGTTGCAATTTCCCGCTCGCGCTCCATCTCGTGCAATCCGCTCGCCGCAGCCAAAGCCAACGCATTCAACGGGCGCGGTTGTTCTGTCGGTGTCGGCGGAGGAAGAGGAGCATGCGGTGTTTGCTGTTGCTGTTGCTGCTGCTGTTGAGGGTGTGACTGTTGCGGAGCGTGTTGGGGGTGTTGAGGATGGTGAGGCTGTTGCTGAGGATGCTGAGGCGGCAGAGAGAACCCATAGCCGAGCGGTGGGTAATGCGGCGCCGGCGGAGGATAGTGTTGCGGCGGTGGTGGGCCGTAAGGATAGGCGTACATCGGCATCTGGCCATAGTAGGCCGGGTATCCCGGCGGTGGCGGGGCGTATCCGTAAGGCTGCGAGCGAGAAATACACGCGAAAAAGAACAACGTCAGCGATTTGTTCCTCACATCTTACAGAATGGGTCACAGAACTAACATAGCCCATCATCGGAGGTCCATAGGCCGGGTGCGCTGGCGGCGGCGGTAGTCGTTGAGGGGGTTCGGGCGATCCCTCGTCCTCGGTCGGCGAATGCGGGCGACTCGTCGTCGGCGTCGAGTTCGTCGATCTCTTGCTCGGAGTCGTTACCCCACTCGTACTTGTTGATGCTCCACCATTCGAAGATGAGGAAGGCACCCCGCCGGCGGCAGCGATCGCTGCGGCCGCCGCTGCCTGAGCCGCCGCCTTCTTCTTGCCCCGGTCGGTGGAATGAATCCTCACATGCCGCGTCAACTCATCGGATCGAGAAAATCGCTTCTCGCACCTGTAAAAGGAAGATCACATGAGATAAGAATGAGAAGATCGGGGGCAATCAGCTCGGTGAGCTTGGGCCACGTTTCAGGCTTTCGCTCCGCTGTGGCCCCCCGGTCCCCCACGCTAAGCGGCTCGCTCGGCGCTAAAAACGACCGGAGCTCCGAGCCATGCGTGTCGTTTGACGACGACCGACAAGGGCCACAGGCGAATCTGCGATCGCGATCTTGGGGGTGAAACGGGATCGAGAGTTTGAAACTCACCCTGGGTGGTCGCATTTGAACGGTTTCTCGCCTGTACAGAAGGAGCATGTGTAGTAACTCGGATCAGTCCTCCTGTCATCAATCGTGTGCAGTGTTCATCGCCGAATGCCACATGGGAATGCAGGGTCCTCGGGGACCCTCCGCCTCCGTCTTCCTGCTCCGCTCCGCGCCGCTCGAGCGTTATTATTGGAGCGTGAATAACGTTTCGACCCAGTCGTCGGTCGGCGCGCGTGCGCTCGAGTGCCTAGGAGGCACCGCACCGACAATGGAAAACCAGTTCGCCCCGCCGTGGCCGGGCAGTCGAACTTCAGTTCAGAAAGGAGGCCAGGCAAAGCTGACCAACAGTCTACCACCAGGTCCAACTTTTGGACCTAGGCCTCGGATGCGACGTGCAGAGTGAGCCGTAGTCGGGAAAGCGCGGAGTCGCGACTCGCAACGAAGGCGCACCGCGGGGTGGTGGTGTCGAAATGGCGATAACGTGCAGCTTCGCCCTCCCCAAGTACGAGCGCGACCGTCGACCGAATCTCCGCTCGCTGGCTTGGCAAGAGAACCGGGTGGTGGGGAGGGAACATACCTGTATGCGTTCGGAGATGCCTCGTCTGATGTTCGAGTCGATAGAAAGCCCTCGAGCACAAGGGGCATTGGTAAGGGCGAGGGATCGATGCCTTGTCGACGGTCAGGGACGCGGCGGTGACCGATTGGTCGAGCGTATGTCCCGCCGAGTCGAGGCGAGGCAGGGATGACGACGCCGACATGGCGCCTACACCGTGGATCGGGTCGCCGTGATGATGATCCATTGACATTGAAGTCGAAGGTAATGACGATGCTGTCGGGTGACCGAGTGGGTCGGCGTAGGTCGCGCCGAGGTGAGCGGTCATCGGCGTCGGGTTGTGCTGGTGGGAAGGCCCAGCCTGCGGATGAGGCTGGTGGTGGTGATGAGGCTGGGACTGTAGCGGCGCCGGCGGTTGCTGCGATGGCAGCTTGAGCGACGTCGACGGCGACGACGAGGTCGACGACGCCATGGGCAACATCGAGGGCGAGCCCGGTAGCGAAGCGTAGCTCGAACTCATCGGTACGCGATCCAAAACGGATGCGGTTGTTGCCATGCACGAGGGGGAAAAACTCGCCGAGGAGAGAGGGTTGCGTCGCGGCAAAGGGGGTTGGTTAGGTTGGAGAGAGCGAGCGAGCGAGTCAGCGAGGCGACGGCCTGGAGCCGCCGGGCGGGGAAAAGGCGAGGCTAATGAGGCTTTAAGGCGCGCGGCCGCGCCCTTGACCCGCGACCGCTGGAAAAGCGCGTGAGGTTTGGCCGAGCTGATTAGGCCTCGTGCCAGTGCACCACCTTCATTATCGATTCAAGGCGCGCAATCTATCCTCCGCACCGAAGTCATTTTGCGTGATCGAGATTCTGAGCAATGGTCGCGTCTCGCGAGTCGGAATCCGATGGGGTCCCCATCAGCGGGGCTCCGTGCACGCAAAACTGGCGTAGCTTGAGGCTACCCTTTCTCTGACATTCTTGCTTGAAAGAACAAAAACTTCGAGGCTGTCGTTGCTTGCGTTCGTGCGTAGGCTATCAGACTGAAGCGAGATTGCAAGGTCATCATGCCGGGTCACTGCGAGTTATCGATGCCGGACGAAGCAGCCTCACCCGCGGAACATCCCTGGGAAGCCCTCAATTTCACAGCTCGATGCTCCGCCACAGTAGATGACTGGGATTTGGGACCATGAAGAGCCTCGGAAAACATTTGTCTAGAGTGTGAGCTTTTACAGGTCATCTGTGGAACCTCTGCAGCCCTGTAGATTGATGACCGAGACCTCGGATCTCCGTGGAGATCTTCTCGCGAGCGGAGATTTCAGGGCGACTGCTCTCGCTTGCCTCCGAAGGCCAGCGTGAAGATCCGAATACGAAACCGAACTATCATGCAAATGCAAAATGTACATATGAGGATTTGTACAAGTCAAGTAAATGGCCATCGTTGCTCGATTAAGGGTATCCGTCTGGGTCGACGCCCGAGTCCGAGTCCTGTTCGATAAGCTGCTCCTCCAAGTCCTCATCGGGGTCTTCCTCGGAGTGTACGAGCTCATCTCCAAACTCTTCTTCGCCATCCTCATCCTCATCCTCCTCATCATCGTCACTTCGGCGTATCTCAGCGCACCCCCTCCCGATTCGTCCCCTCCAAAGCCACCGTGCTTGACTGTGACACCATTGTGATACATGGGAACAGTGTCTTCGAGAGTCCGGGATGAAGAGGTGACCTCAGTTGCAGGTGGAGGTGGTGATGATACGGTGAACAACGGCAGAGGAGAAGAGATCTCGTAAAATGTCGGCAGATAGCCGGTCAAGGTGGCCGAGAGGAGCGAGCCGTTAGGAGAGAAGGAGATGGAAGAGATGGATGGCGATGCCGTTTCAACGGAGGCGGTTGTGTTGGAACCCGATGGATATCGAATGAGGTTCGAGTGGAACTGCGCGGAGAAGTCGCCGGGTGAGACAATGAGGGAAAGGCAATGTTCAGCCAAGAGGGTGTGGGACTGACCTCTTGAACGGCAAACTTTTTGGTCAGCAGGTAGGTAGGGCTCGTCGTCATCCTCGTGTCGTGCAGCAAGAGAGCTCCTCGACTGTTGGCGGTCGCGAACAAGGTATCGGGCTGCTGAGGGTGGTAGGCGACGTCGCACAATTCAGCAGTTGGGTCGCCGAGCACGTTGACGACCCCGACGTTGACGCTGCCTCCAGGGACGCGTAGATCGTAGGAATTGAGGATGCCATCGTCGCTGTGCAGGCCTCAGCGACGTGGTATCAGTAGCTTGAAACAATGTCGTCCTTGAAGTGGGTTCGACAGGCTTACGAGGCCGACATGAAGAGATCCGGGTTCATTGGATGGCACCTGACCCGATGGACGGCATCCTGATTGGAAGAATTTGCGCGGGTGAACGGGTCCAAATGTCAGTCCCTGGCCGCTCGGACACACCGTAGTGCAGAGTTCATGGACCCACATCGTGAGCTTCCCACATCCCCGAAGCCCGATGTCCTCGCTCCGTCTCGTTCGATGTTGAGGGTGGGTGGGCCTCGAGGTCGTACATTCGCACGTTGTGGTCGTTGCCGGCGCAGAAGAGTTTGCGGTCGTCGCACGAGAAGGCGATGGAGAAGATGTTGCTCTGAGGCGAAGAAATATCGAGGGATCAGACATGTTCCGATTGATCAACAATCCATCTCCGACTGAGATGCTGACGCCATCAAACCCGACAGTAGTGAAGAGCTGAACCGTGACGCACCCCTGACCCGATATAACTCGCCCTCGGCTGCTCCTTGGTCAAATCGGCAGTGGCCCTCCACAACAAGACCCTCTTGTCATCACCGCCACTAGCCAGCCATTGACCACCCAGATTCGACACGGCCAACGCATTGACGCAGGAATGGTGCGCGCTCAGGGGGGTCGAGTGGGTGTACTTCGCTGAGAGGGCATGTGGGGGGAGGAGGCGGATGCGGGAGGAGGTTGGGTCCTGGAGTGCAAGGTCAGCGAGGGTGGAGGAGCGTTTGGTAGTGCGAGGTGCAGCTTTCGATGAGGATGGTGTTATCGACATGCTTGACTTTGACCTCACTTGGCCGCTGGCCTCGCTGGAAGAACCTCGATGGTCGGATGTGGTCGGAGGGAGAAGCGCGCAGCGGCTTTCGCAAGTTGACACTCTCTCTCTCTCCCCCAACACGCTCTAACACGCTGCGCTCGCGCGTTCCTTCCTCCATGTGTATCATATTTTGGAAAGAGACCAAAACGCATCAGTAAGCCCCTCCGACCGAGTCAACCTCTCACTCATTCCCCAGGCGCTGACGGATCTCTCCCTCATCACGACATGACTCATTCCCCTCGGCCCCTTGACCCTCCACAGCATCATCCTCGGCAACCGGGACGAGTTCCTCTCCCGACCGACGACCAAAGCCGCTTGGCATACCCAATTCTCGCCCTCGATCCCGGTCCTCTCTGGACTGGACCTCGAAGCAGGTGGGGGATGGTGGGGCCTCAGTTTGGTCCCCAGCACGATTACCCCACACGCGGACGAAGACGTTCAAGATGCCGACGGCCCTTCAGCCAGCCTCCGCTTCGCAACCTTGACCAATTTCACCGAACCGGCATCCACGACTGAAGCAGAGAAGAAAAAACCCTCACGAGGACATCTCATCAAGAACGTACTCGTACACACCGAATCAACGATCGATCAACGTCTGCCTACGCTCGACGAGACCAAGGATCAATTCGCGGGGTTCAACCTCGTTGTGGCTGAGTGGGAGCCGAGGAAAGGGGTTTGGAGCATGTTCTATACGAGTAATAGGGATGCACAACCGGGGAGAAGGATCACCGGTGGTCGAGCCAAACAAGCCGATGCGGTCAGCAATTCGACATGGGAACCGACAAGTCAAGGCGAGCCAAGATGGCCCAAGGTCGAGGCCGGGTGTTCCCTCTTGGATGAGCTGATCTCGGATGACGAAGAGGATGAGGGCGTATTGTTGGAAAAGGCGTGGCAATTACTAAGGTGTGTCTGCTTCTCAGCTCAAGCGGAGGATGGCTTGGGGATGAGCTCATCAGTGAAGAATCTTTCTTTCTCTCCGGCAGCACGGCGAACCCTGCACCCTTGCTCGACCGTACCCACCTTCGCCACACCATCCTCGTCCGCCCAACCTTCATGAATCCTCTCGCACCACTACCCTCGACACCGACCCCGTTCACCCCTGCCCCACCCGGCACACAAGCCCTTTCTCCAGAAGTCCTCCCTTCCTCAGTCGACGATCCGGACAAGACAGAGGGTCGGAATGGGTATTGGTACGGCACGAGGGTACAGAGTGTTTTAATGGTCGATAAGAGGGATCCGAAAGGAAGGGCGGTGTTTGTGGAACGGGATGCGTATGAAATTGAGAAGGGGTCGGGGAAGGTCAGGTGGAGTGGGGAGGAGAGGAGGTTCGAATTGGAGGATTGGGTAATGGGTGGGAGGATTGTGGGGCAGTGATGGGGGTCGGTTGGGTACAAGTAGTTATTGTCTTGAGTGAATAAACATTTTTGCAACTTCGCCATCCATCTACACTAGATGCCAAATACCAAAACTGGCGTACAACCAGAAGAATCAGAACTGCCGATTCGGGGCTCGGCACTCAAATACTCAGGCATGTCCTCAGGCTCGGCCGCTCAGGGTTCCCCATTAGATGTCCAGATATCTATCTTAGCATATCTCGCTAAGATATAGATGACATCTTATCTAGGGGCCGAATATCTTAGATAGATAGATAAGGCCCCGGGGGTTTCCTTAGATATCTTTAGGATATCTTAACTTTTTTTGTGTCTGATACAGACTCCTGTTGCGCTGGAAGTTGTACTTTCCACAAAGGAGGTTCTTGCTCCTTAGCGAGGACATCGAATTTCAAGTCGTATTCGGCTCAATCCCCATGTTTGTGCCGCATGGTTTGGCCCAAGCGCTGACCGCGGGTGAGGCGGCACGGCTTGCCGACGGGCCAATTTGGGAGCTGAGGCTTTCAGACGTTTTTGCTGCCAGAGGGTGCTTATCTATACTATCTACTAAACACGTATCAACTACTAATCACACAAATCACACAAAGAAAGAAGGTGCAATTGCGACATTTTGTGAACTTCGCAATGTACCCCGGCGCCGTTCTCTCTTCTTTCTTCGCTCACTTGCACTCTCACACCTCGTCAAACGACTATAATCAATCTGAGTCTGTGCTGAAGCAAGATGGATCATGAGCTCCCCACTGCTGAGGAGGACCTTGTGTGTACGGAATTCGCCACGGACAAAGAAGCGCAAAATTACTCTCAGCTGAGAGGTGCCTCCGCAAATGATCGCTGGCAAGCTCGCTGCGCCGACGCTTTGATTAGATATCTATTAGATATCTAGGCATCTATCTAAGATATCTGACTAAGATGGGAGATAGATAGATAAGGGCCAGAGCCCAATTTTTTTAGATAGATATCTAATATCTGCGAGATTATCTTATCTAATGGGGAACCCTGCGGCCGCTCATGTAATCGACCGGTCTGCCAGTGCGTGTGCAGCAGGCGCGTGTGAATGGGAAGGTTTGCAGGAGGCGTTTTCGCCCGTTTTCGGCGCCGCCAAAATATTAGCTTTCAGGATATTTACTACTAAGTTAGTGGTAGTAGTACCGGCGTGGTTTTGTTTGTCCATAGTTATGTCGTAGATTTTTTAATGGCCCCACTGCGGGGCGCACTTTTGGCCCTCCGACGAGCAGCCTCCCGCACCCAGGTCTGGGCTTATAAAGATTGCCAATAGCTGGACGTCCCTTCGTTCCGTTCGTCCCTTGCGCCTCGGGCCTCGGTCCTTACCGACCGTCTTCACCCCCACCAAGTTCGAATCCTCTCCCTCCACGACTGTAACAGAGTCGGGAGGGATTCTTCCCATCCAACTCTAGGCGCTACAAGCGATGGAAGCCGGTCCGTCTCGTCCTTTGGGACCGATCGCGTCGACCTCCACTTCGACTTCGACACTGAGCTCAAGCCTGAATGGCGGAGCCGAGGTTTCGACGACAGCCACCGCGACGACGACAGGACGGGATCTGGCGTCGGTGCTCATTGCGCCTTCTAGTCAGTTGAAGATTTGTTGTGCGAAAGTGAAATTGGGCAAAAGCTGATGCGGAATCTCGTACGATGAAACCAGATATGACGCCTTCTCCTCTTAGCGGTTCACGCGACCTGATCAGCCTCTTCCACCTCGAACCATTGTACGACACCCATCTACGACCTTTTCTTCCTCCAGACACCACCTCAACAGGTCCCAACAACTCCACAACATCAGATCCCAACACCCCCAACCCGATCCATAACAACGGGAAAGGCAAACAATCCCTGGTCGTCGACCCAGCACCGTCGAGGATCGGCATCTCGTTCGGTGGGATCAAATTGGGTGCATTAGCGCCTGGTGCATTGAATGGCTCGGGTAATGATGGGAAACAAGGCCATACGACTCAGCAGCAGCAGAGGCAGCACAAGCCGGAAAAAGAGAAGACGTATTTGTACCTCGTCGCCGATATCCCAGGTTCGTCATTCGGAGTCGGAGGTCATCGTTCCGTTCCCCAGAGACCTGATCGTCCGTGTGGGGATTTTCAATAGGTCGGAACGCGATCCGTAAAGATTCGTACCTCAAACATTTGATCCTCAACCCCGATTCACCCGCCGTCGATCTCCGAGCGTTGGACGAGGACGTTCTGAGGGATGCGTTCACTTTGAAACCTGGCACGATTCCTGGTTTCGACGCGTTGGTGTGGGAGAATGATACGGAAGTACAGGGCGGACCGGTGAATAAGAAAAAGGTGCGGATAGGGACCACGCTTCTGCTGCTGGAACAAAGGAGAACTGATGCACGCGATGGGTTCGACTATACAGAAGAAGAAAAGACAGAGGGAATCCGAAGCCGGTGGAAGTGGAAGTGGCGGTGGAGGTGGGGGCAATGTTGTGACGCTTACGGCGACGGGGATGACACTCAATTTATCGGGAACGACGAATACAAGCGAGGATGATCACCGCAAGAAGAAAAAGCTGAAACAGGGATGAACGAAAGAAAGGGGAAGACGCCTCGATCTTTCTCCCTTTCGGCTGGGATCCAGGACTCGTAAAGCTGTACTATTTTGATGTATGCCAATTTTGACAACCGATCACAGTTGTTTTACCAGAACATCAAAGTTGGAAAGGTGGGAGGTCTAAAGACCCCGAAGCACCGATGGGGCACGGCTTCCAGCTCTGCACCAGAGTCCATCCGTTCTTCATCGTCGGATGTCCGTTCGTCGCCAACGAAGAAGCCTGTGCTGGAGTCCGTGCTGTCTCTGACAACTTGACCTTCTCCTCCATCTCTTTCAATCTCCTCTCCATCTCGGCCAGCTGATCCTCCACACCATCCACCTCGATCGAACTAGCCACCTTCGTCTCCGATTGCCTCATCACCTCAATCAAAGGCTTGACGATCTTGGAGAGGTTTTCGTTGATGTTGGAAAGTGTTTCAACCAGGGTGAGGGATATGGGATTGGCTTGGATGAGGAGGGACTTGATCAGGTTTTCAATGGAGCTTGTATCGTCGGTTGTGCTGACGAGTTGGACGACCCATGCCGAGAGGGTCGAGTAGTACGATCGATCGAGAGGATTGACTTGAGTCGTGCCTATGGGCCCCAAAACATCTTAGTTAAGAAGTATGCAAAGCGATCCTGAGCTCTTTCTCACGAACTCACTATCCACTCGCTCAAGCGCCGAGGAAGTTCCCAGCGATTCGACGATCCTAGCCAAGAGAGCATCTTGCAAGCCTTCAAACATCTCGTCCAGCCGTTCTAATAAAGGTGACCAGATCGCTACGAGTTCGGCGGACAAGGTCGGTGCTCGAAGGGTGACTCGTTTCCTACAAGGAAAGCGGACGTAAATGATTTTCCTCTGAGGAACGACCCGATGGGCCCCCTCCGCTCTTCGTGCTTGACTCACTTCTTCGCTTCGGGTACCAAACACCCCACTTCCAGCAACCCCTCTACGAGTCCCTCAATAGCTCGTTCCCTCCCTCTTCCCATCGACTCGGCTTCAGCAACCCAACTTTGGATCGCTCGATAACTCCGTGCCAAATCAGGTCGGATTTGCTTCGATTTCGAGGCGTCGCGCAGGGCTCGTTTCATCAGGGTTTTGTATGACGTTAGAAGGGGTTGTAGGTTGTCGATGGGGATGGGAGGAATCGTGTTTATGGTTTGGGACGAAGATGAAGGTGTCAAGGTTGGGATCCAGTAATTGGAATAAAGCCAATCGAGAGCCTGCGCAGGATCGCTGGTGCATCAGCAATCGATGGCGAGTCAAGCTCTTCCTGTACCCTATGGACTGACCTGTCTGGCTGCATCACGCAAGACGGCGATTCCAGGTAGGTCCTCGTGTGTGGCGGCGTGTCGTAGCTCGACGAACCAAAGCGGTAAGCCGAGTTGAGCCGCGAGGGAGGCCATCGATCGGGCAAAGTAGGTCGTTTGCAATGGGTCCACGAGCGAGTTGACGAACCTAAAAGATCCCAAAATTCGTTCATCAGCTTGAGTCAGAAGAATCAGAGAGCAGCTCCCTCTGGCGTACCTGATGAGCGCCATCGAGTAAGCCAGCCTGAGCTCATGCTGCGAAGGGCGTTGCGAAGGTCCGACGTTGGCTGTATCGCGTAATACGAGCTCGAGCAGGGACGCCGTCGATTCAATCGCGTGCGGACAGTTGCCTCGACTCATCCATACCTTGATCTACAGGTGGTGTGAAGAGTCGTGACGCCCGGCGACGGGGCACGTGACGAGGAAGCGAATGGGGCCAAGATGGAGGTAAGACGGTGAGAGCAGGGGAAAAGGATGAGAAGCCAAATATGTAATGAGTCCAGGGAGATGATCTGCAACGACCTTTCCTTCCCTTTACATCAACTCACCCTACCGATAGCATACCGCTGAACAGCCGCATCGCCGTCGCCCGCGAAGAGCCAGCTGAACACCTGATGCAGCTCGTCCGGCGAGCTCCAGGGGACTCGACGAGAAACTCCGACCATGTCTTGTAGGTCCAAAAGCTGGGTCGAGATCAGGTGGGCTTTGAGTGCGGTCGGGTGGGAGGAAGCAAAAAAGGGTTCGAGGATGCGAAGCGCGCCTCGCAGCACTTGAGAATGCAGGGATCAGATTAGTATCAGATCCGTGCCTGTTAGTTGGACCCGATGGCTACGGTATACGTGGCATGAAGACACAGTCCAACACTCCTTCATGTTCCTCGACAAAACTAGACCGAAATCCGTCGACATTGACTTTTCGACAGTTGAAGCGATTGATCGAGGGGGCTCCGATAAATTTGTCCTCGCTTTGCAGCGGCAACTTCATGCAAATCCGCTAAGCGCTACAAGACGCCAGCTTCAGTTGATTTAACGAATTGCTTGGGATAAACGATGATGCTCAGAATATCGTGTGAGGTGGCATGGCAGAGAAAGGGGTGAGAAAACTGGAGCTCGGGAGCAATCGTCCCAGGTGAATTTGCGAGATTGACGAATATCTCTACGATCAAGTTCTCGCCATTCTGTCTCGGTGAATTCACCTGAATGGTATGCATGTGTCGAGAGTACAGGCTTTTGCAAGAGTGGATCAGGGTCATCTGGAGCTGACAGAACGGGCCCGCGCCCCTGTGAAGCCGCCGCCCTTGCACAGTAGACAGCTTCTGTAACCCCACATCAACTGGTCCCGTAACAATGTCTTCTGTAATCATGTTTTTGCGATCTTGAAGTGTATAATGTAAGGACCCTTGACAAAATCCGCCCGACTTTGCGAGCCGATGCTGTCGCGGAGCTCGAATGCGCAGCCAGTTCTCGCCGTTCGCCCCTCGCGTGGTACTTTGGGGAAAAAACCGGCGCTGCTAGAACTGGCACCTAAACAATTTGGCAAGATGAAGACCAAAAAAGGCCTGACGGCCGCCCCAATACGGCAGAACGAAGAAAATCCATAACCAAAACTAAACTTAAAAGTATGCTCTCTAATCTCTGACCCACGTAAAGGATCTCCAAATCGCTGCCAGTGGGTAGAACTAGTTGGCCGCGCACACGCCGAAGCGAGGATCGGCGTGCGTCATCGCAGGGCACTTGTCCGCGGTGATGCAGAGTCCGTCCTGGAGGTACAAGGCGATCGCAGGGTTGTTGGGGTCCGCTCCACTGTGTAATAATGTACTCAAGGGTGGGTCAAGGAACTGTCCGCGAGCGAAATTCGGGTAGGGCCTTTGCAGGCAGCGCTCTTACCAGATGGTGGCATCCGTAGCGGAGTTGCACTGAAGGGCACCATAGGGGCATGCTGCGCAGGTGTTGCCCTGCTTGTCGACCCAAGTGTTGGTCGGGCTGCAACGAACATGACGAAGAGATCGCTCAGATCACAGGTCTGCGATTGAAAATTCCAGGGACACTCGGGCGCTGAACATACCAGGCATCTTCCGTCACGCAATCCTTGGAAGGGGCAAGGTACAGTTGAACGCCCGAAATGGCATCTTTTCCGCATCGGGTCGCACCGCCGGCACCGTCGTGGTTGCAAGCGAGCTCACCGCTGTCGCATGACACACAAGCAGCACGTTCTACCGCCAGGAGTCGTGTATAGAGTTGATCAGCGAACTGCAAGTGGGCGCTAGTGTAAAAGTAGTCGATAAATTCGACTCACGATAGTCAGGGAAGTAAGGTCCGGCAGCGGCGCAACCCCAGTCGAGAACGCAGTCCTTCGACGGCGACAGGAAGGTTTGTTGATTGTTCGAGTTGAGACCGCTGGGTTATGTGATAAGCTGGCTTTCGTCAGAATGATGGTTTTTGCCGGGGATCGTCACAAAGGTCTAGCCTCCGGGCTCCACTCACCACTTCAACGCAGTACCTTCTCCGTTGGCGCTGCAGTTGTCATCGCCGTCGTCGCATCGTTCGCACGTCGAAGAGGCTGCACAGCGTGTGGGCCATCAGCAACGACGCCTGCTGCCACGCCACCGGGGTTTGAGAACTTACAGGCTTGCGGGAAGAATTTGACGGGGCAGGTGGCGACACAAGTCTTGAGCGCCTTGTCAAGGTACACGTCCACCTGAGCAGACGTCGTTCCACAGGAGATCGCGTAGCCAGCGCCATTGTCCGTGCAGGAGGTGGTACCGTCATCACAGGGGTTGCACACGTACACCAGCGCATCGTCGTCGGACTTGGGCCACGTTCCCATGGGACATTGAGCGGCGAACACGCATTGTTTCGAGGCCGTGAGGAACGTCTGCGCGCCGTTCGCATCGGGGTTGCACGCGATTGCGCCCTTGGCGTCGCACGTCCTCGAGTTCGGCGCAACTGCGGAAGTGAGATGTCAGATTAGTGATCTCATCACAAATCATTCAAGATCTCTCTTGGTCTAGCCGACTCACGAGTGCTGCACCTTCGGCAGGTACGGCTAGCCGAGTCCGGGTAGGTCCCCGGAGGGCATTGATCGGCGGTCAAGCAATGGGCGTTAGTCAAGTAGGTGTCCTTGTCGCAGGTGAGAGCGCGCGTTTCCGATACGCAGGTAAGCGCGTGGGTCTCGCAGTCGGTGCAGTGACTGGTCGTGCTCTTGGCAAAGGTCGTGATGGAGCAGTTGGTGCCGATAACGCAAGAGCGAGTGACTGCGAAAATGCGAGCGCGACCAGATGCGTGGGGTGGTCAGCCTCGTTAATGGGCCATGGCACAATCGCTGATCGATGGCCCTTGCTCTTTGCGGGAAGTGCGGAAGATGAGAGACTCCCTATCGTCCGAGAAGAGACCTGAAGGGCAGTTTGAGACGCAAGTACCAGCGTTGAGGTATGTGGGAGCGTTGCATGTCAAAGCGGCCGTGCTCGTGCACGAGAGAGCATTGGAATCTTGGCAGTTGCGGCAAACGGCTTTGTCGTCGGCGTACTGCGAGACGGGGCATTTGTCGACACAAGCACCGAGAGAGAGCACACTGCCGGTGCAGGCCGTCGCCTCTGTCGCAGAACACGCACTCGCACGCGGGTCCGAGCACCGCTTGCACGTGTGGGTGGTCAAATCGGGGTAGTAGGACGTCGGGCAGACCGCCGCGCACACACCAGCTGTGGTGAGGAAGTTGACGCCGCAAGAAGTGGCAACCAAGCCCTGAGATACGATCGAGCACGTCTGGGCATCGGCGTCGCCGCATGGAAGGCAGGCGCCGCTCGGGGAGTTGAGAAACTTGGCGGGGCAGGAGCTTACGCACTTGCCCTGGTAGGCGAACGTGTTGCTTTTGCATGTGAAGGCTTGGGTCGAGTTGCATGTTGCGGCGTTCGCATCGACCGTGGCGCAATCTCGACAGTGCCTGTGTGATGGGTGTTTTGAACAGAGTGGATGAGCTCTGAACACGCTTCGACGGAACGTGACAGCAGCCAAGACAGGATGTGGAGGCTTTCAAGACTCACCATCCTTGTCCAGGTAGTTCCAAGCTCGGCAGGATGACACGCAACCGTTGATAGTCGAAATGAACTGTCCTGTGGGGCACGTCAAGGCCCCTGAAGCATCGCAGGTTGTGGCGTAGCGCAGGCAGCCGATGCAGGATCGGGTGGGCCGATCGGCGTAGTAACCCGTCGGGGGACACGAGGACACGCACGTGCCGGCAAAGAGCCACGTGTTCCGAGTGCAAGAGGTGGCAGCACCCTTGTCGTTACAGGTACCGGCGTTTCTGTCCTTGCAGGCTGAGAGAAGGAGAGAAGAAGAGAAGAAGAGGGGTGGGGGGGACCAATCGCATCAGCCGCGGTTCCGACGCAGGCTCTCGCCTCCTCGTGGCCTTCCTCCGCTCGCCCCACGCCGCTGCGCTTGAGACGGTCTGCGGCAGGCGAGCACGCCTTCTCTAAATACTTACCTTGGAAAGCTCTGGCAGTCGTATTTTCAAAGTAGGCTCCGGGGCAGGAGGTGACGCAGCTCGATGAGTACGCGAACTTTCCGACGGGACTGTGGACCCGTGCAATTGTCAGTTCAGGGCACCGAGCACACCCAATTCAAGCAAGGGAACTGACCATGCAAATGAGATCACGGCCGCAGTAGAGGTGACGACTTTGGACGACGAAGTTGTCGTCTTCGAAGTCGTGGCCGCTTTTATGGTGGTCTTTGATGTGGTCTTGCTGGCCGAAGTCGTGGTCTTTGCCGTGGAGGTTGCTCGTGCGAAAAGCTTGCGCCCCTGATCGACGTCTCGCGAGCCGCCGACGGGGACTACTGCAGCTTGCAGTAGCGTCGAAAAGGACGCAAGCGCAACGGTACACAAGAGCAGCTTCATCAAGGGGATAATGATGTAAGAAGGGTGAGGATGTGGGTAAGAAGGGTGAGGATGTGGAATTAAAGAGTGAGCTCCCCAGTGGTGGCAGAGGAGGACAGAGTCCGCGAGCGGCGCGTTGAAGCCTCGGACCAGATTTTCCCGTTTCTGATCCTCAGCTCAAGGGCGGGCCGAAATTCGGGGCCCGTGGTGCGTGCCTATGCACCTGAATCTCAGTCACACGTATCTACACGGTACCTAAATATCATGGCAAGGCTCTCTCCCAAGTCTCCAGCATGGGCCCTTTTGTACTTACTTTGAGTCGTCGCTCAAAGCGAGACTCGTCGGGGTTTCGGCGGCATGGCCGCGCACGCGGCGTAGTTCGGGCCTGGGCTGGCCTCGGCGAGTTTGCTGGCGATCTAGGCATAGGTCTCGCACTCGGGCCTCGGCGCGCGTTTCGCGCCGCGTGGGGGAACGGATTCGCACAGGGAACGATCTTATCTACATCTACATAAAAGAATGCACGACAAAATTAATCTACATAGAAGATTATTTAATCTAAATAAAAGAACGCACGACGAAATCAAGGTTCTCAGTCGCGCGCGCGCGCCGATCTTTGTTTCCCTCCCACGGTCCGTAAGATACGGGCGGTATAAGGGGTCGACAGTTCTAGCTACTCAGAGGCTACTTGGCTGTTCTGTAAGGTATCCCCTTACAGGCGGAGCTCGCAACGACCTTCATGGACGCAGAGAGGTGGGCGCGAAGCGCCCCCCGAGCCCTAGTAATTGAGAAGCACCCAGTAACAAATTTAAACACCCTTTTAAATACCTACCTTGCTACTGAGGTGTAGACCGAAAAAAGGGCAGATGGAAGCTTCTTTGGGACTCACACCGGCGAGACGTAGAGTGATCGCCAGATCCGACGCGTGGCAGATGAGACAAAATTGTTGAGCCCTGGAGCCTGGGCGTCAATTGATGTTGTGTTTCATGCGCGAGGACTGGACAGTGGACTGTGAACGGGGCGTCGCGGTCGCCTCCAAATGCCGGGTGCCGAGGAGGGTGCCGATCACAGCCCGCCCGGCGTCCGTCTCGTACCGGTAGGACCTTTTACCTATAGCGCGGCGTCGGGCGATTTTCATGTCTCGCGCGCTTGCGCGCCGAACGGTTGCACGACTCTTGGTTTCGGCTTTGGCATCGCTTCCCCGGCGCCATCAGCTCGACGTAGATCGTCGACGAGACGCGGCGACGGTCGTGCGATTGACGTTGGCTCAAGATTCAATCCGCAGCCGAGGCCTCCGTCGCTAGGGCCTGGGAAGGGGCCCAGGCACCTTTCGTGCCTAGCGAGATGGCCTCTCGTGCCCAGGTGCCTCCCGACTCACGAGTCACGAGTCACATTGCCTCGGTTTCTCCAGGCTCCATGAGACTGGTACTGGCGCGCCATAAGTTGGCGTCGGCACACCGCGGTCGCTTCCGGGCGCCGATCTGTTCAGGAACGGGCTCTACAACTTTCAGACGCAGTTGAGGTTTCCGGCGAGACACGTCACGTCCGGAGTCTCTGCACGCTCGGCCCACATTTTTCGGGCCAACGAGGCCTATGGGAGGCAGCAAAAAGCTGCATCCCGGTTCCTAGCGTCTATCTAGCTCTACGGTAGGTACCTTGAGGTGCAGCGCGCTCTGGCCAACGAGGCGAGCCCTTCCGCTAGGAGTAGTTGCGGACTTACGCGGCCGGGTCCCCGGCATCAAGTGCACTTTTTCGGGTGAGCCTCCATTAGTTGCTCTTCTCCCTTCGCTCCGTCCATCGCCCTGCCTCTCCCGAAGCTCTCCCTCACTTCAGAGGTTTTCCTCTCGCCACCCTCTACCCTTGTGCTCGCCTGCCATGCATCTCAATTGGTGCCTAGCCTTCGCATCAGTTGCCCTTGCTGGGGTCGCCGATGCCTCCTCCAATGGTCGCCCCTTCGTGATGCCAAGGGCAGTCACGACGACCACCTCGTTTCTTTCGGTCAAGACCAGCTCGAAAATTACCAGTTCTAGCAATACTGGCAGCTCCAGTGCTGCCGTGACCGCTTCGTCCTCGCAATTGAAGAGCTCGACAACATCGACGGGCAACGCCACTGCTCGAGTAGCCACGTCGTCGACGACGACTTCCTCATCGGTCACGAAGACGACAACCACGGCGGCCATTGTGGCGGTCGCAGCGGCGCCTACGGCTACGCCAGTCTGGTAAGTCGGTTATCATCTTCCGGGGCTCATCACTGTGCCATTGTCTGACAGCGGACGGAGTTAATCGTGCAGCGCCCAGAGCAAATTCTACAACGTCGCTCTCAAGCAATGCGCCAACTGCCAGACCGGTGCAAAATCGTGCTCAAACGCGACCACGGCCACTGCTTGTCTCAGGAACTACTATCTTTCTGGCAGCAGCTGTGTTGCGACTTGCCCGGATGGAAGCTGGGGCGATGCTTCGAGTGCGTCCCACTGGCCCTGTGCGTTTCTGGATGAGTGCTTGCTCAAACTAACCCCCTGCTTCGTCTTCCCACGGACACGTACGGTCGCTGCCCACCCCCTGTTCTACCTTCTCAGGCTTTAAGTGTATTGCTTGCACCGATAACGACGCCGCTACATGCAGCAAAGCAGTTCCCGGGGCAATCACATGTAAAACCAAGTACGCTTACAAAGGTACCTGCGTCGCGCCGTGTCCCGACCACTTTAGGATGGAGCCTTCAAGTGAGTTACCGACATGTTCACACCGCATTGAGATACCGTTCTTGCGCTCGGGCTGACAGCAAGTACTTCTTTGAATCAGACCGCACGTGCATGGCGTGCTCGGATCCAGATGCTGGCGACTGTACACCGCTCGCGGCAGTCAGGTGGTGCGTTGGCGGGGATTGTGCGAGAAGGCTCACCCTGCCTCGAGCAGAAATGCTGACCAATACTGTGTCTACCTCCTAGTCTCACCAAATTCTTGTCAAATGGTAAATGCGTCGACACATGCCCCGATGCCAAGACGTTCGCAGATGCAAAGTGGCACACTTGCACGCCCTGCCCGGCCGATTCCACGAGCTGCGACGCGAAGGGCCTCGCCCTCGGGTGCGCTACCAAATTCCTGTCTCTCGGCGCGTGTGTCGACTCCTGCCCGACAAACTCGTACACCAACCTCGCGACAAAGACGTGCAATGCTTGCGCAGATGGCGTCCTCGGCTGCTCGGCCACGGGTGATACCTCCTGGTTAGTGACTCGAGTCTAGCATATGCGAGCCTCAGGGTTCCGCTGATGACCTGCTAACGGCCTGCATGACATTCCACAGCGGAACTACTGTGGCTGGAGTGAAACTATTCCTCGATTCGCTCAAGTCGAAATGTGTCCCTAGCACGTCCTGCTCGACAAGATTCTTTGGCAACTCCGCGACCGGTAAATGCGAAAAGTGCGCAGTCGATGGCGCGCTCACCTGTATGCCTGCAACCGTTGCTTTGACATGGTGAGTTGTGGTGTGTTCAATATCTTTCCGACCCCAAGTAACAGAACCCAGCTGACCCGCAATTATTTTGCTCGGTCGCAGCGGCACCAACTCGGCCAGCGTGCCGACTTTCCTCTCTTCTGGCTCATGCGTTGCATCGTGCCCTGCAGGGTTTTACGGCCGTAAGTCTGACCCATCACCTTCCCTCCGCACGAGACGCGAGGTCTGAAACAACCGATTCGTATTCATGTTTTGGACTCACAGAATCCGGCAAATGCCTCGCTTGTGGAGCAAACGCCCTCACCTGCGATGCCACAGGAGCTGCTGTCAATATCTTGCTGTTTCATCCCACTGGTATTCCCGATTATGATTAGTTACTAGTTGTTGATATTAGTCGCCCCGCGCGTCTCGAGCCTGCCTCGCGCGCGCTCCCTTAGCGCTTATCTTCTTTCTCCAACGATCTTTACTATCTTCATCGGCTCTCGTACTTACGCACTTCGTGCCTCGGCCTCAGTTCCTGAAAGGTTATGAGCCCACCTAGCCTATCAGCGGCGGGCGACCTCGACGTCCACGGTGACATGGCATCAACGCCTCCACCACCGTCATCAACGTCGTACCATACCAACGACGTCGCCTCCACTACCTCCGTCACGCTCACTAAAGAGCAATTCGACGAGCTGATCAGGAACCAGCGCCCCGCACGGGACGACGACGCATTATCCATGCGTCAGCGCCTACCCCCAGCCAACCCTCCGGTCTTCCCCGACGACTCGAAACTTACGGAGGACAATTACGTTGACTGGGTCCCCACGATGCCGCCATGCCCGCCCTCTTGGGCTGGATTCAACGCTCGGACGAATCGAGCGACGGTCTCCGTTGCGAAGGCGGTCGTACCGACCAAACGCTCTGCACCAGGCAAGAAGGGAAAATGGGATCGTTCTGGTCCTGCCCCGAGCAACTGCCCAGCTTGTGGTCAAGGCAAACACTGGCTCGACAAGTGTCCGGAATCGCGCAAGCGAGCCAAGTACCTCGAGCTCAAAAACGCCATGAAGGAACTCCAAGGCTCATCATCGCCTGCGTCCACGTTCGTGGCCACCGAGGCAGCATCCAAGGATCAACACCTGTCCGTCGTTTCTTCTGCTACGTTTGTCAACATCGGGCCACCGGCGGAAATCCTTCTGCTAGACTCGGCGTCGGCGTGCCACGTCGTCAACGATGCGTCCTTCTTTGACGGCCCCCTTTCGCCTACCCCGCAAGTCCTGCAAGGTCTAGGGGGAACGGTGAAGGCCTCGGGAATCGGCTCGGTCAAGCTCGTCTCCGATAATGGTACCAGGTTCACCCTCAACGACGTGATCTACGCCCCCGAGAGCCCTGCCAACCTCATCTCAGTCCGGGCCTTCGACCGCAAAGGCGTTCGCATCACCTTCGAACACGGACAAGTCGAGCTCCGCACGCCGCAAGGGTGCATCGCCACAGCATCAGCCATCGCGTCCTGCGTTTACAAACTCAACGCTTCGGTCCAAGCTGCCAGCAAAGATGCGCGACACACCCTCGTTGCCACCAAGTCCAATAGGCTACCTTTACTTACCCTTCACCGGCGCTACGGCCACGCCTCTGTCCAGACACTTAAAAAACTGGCGGCCTCTGGCCAGGTGGAGGGTTTAGATTGGCCCTATAGTGACTTCGAGTGTGATGGCTTCACCTGCAACGCGTGCCTTGCCTCCAAAGCGCATCGTTTGCCTTTCCCCTCTTCGTCGTCGCATGCCGCGGAACCACTCGCATTGGTGCACTCGGACGTCTTATCTTTCCCCGAGGAATCCTTAGGCCATAAGCGATACCTCGTCACGTTCATCGACGACTTCTCGAGGAAGACTTGGGTTTACCCCATCGGGCACAGGGGCGAGGTCCTTCAGACATTCAAGGATTGGCTTCTGGAGATCGAAAACGCCACGGGTCGCAGGGTCAAAACACTTCGCTCGGACAACGGGGGCGAGTATGTCTCTACCGCTTTCAACGGCTATTGCGTGGCCCGCGGAATTCATCGCGAATTGACCATACCGTACACACCCGAGCAAAACGGTCGGGCTGAGCGAGCCAACCGGTCGATCGTCGAGGGCACCCTGGCTCTACTGTCTCACTCGGGACTCCCACGATCGTGCTGGGACGAGGCTGCCATGTGTTACATTCACGCCAAGAACCTCTCGCCTCACGCGGCCCTTGGTGGAGCCATCCCAAACAGTCGTTGGTCGGGCCACACACCAAGCGTAGGGGGTCTTCGGGCATTCGGTTGTCGCGCTTGGACCACCGTGCCGGCTCACCGACGGGACAAGCTCGACCCAAAAGGGATTCCTCTGGTCTTCGTCGGGTACGATCGACACGCGAAAGCCTACCGTCTTCTCGATCGTTCCTCCATGCGTGTGAGTCTGGGCCGCAATGTGACGTTCGTAGAAACCGAGTTCCCCTTCGCTATCGCGCCCACCCGAGTGACGCAGCCGTCCATCCCGGGTTACGCCCCCCAGCCCCCACCCGTCGAAGCTCCAACACCCGTCGAGCCTCCCCCACGGCCACCGGCCCCAACGCCTGTCGAGGCACCCGCGTCGCCCGCATCGACCAGCTCGGCCGACAACGACGACGCCTCATCGACCACGAGCGCAACGACGGAGTCAGCCGTGAACCTGCCGCAACCACCTCCGGATCCAGCTCCACTCGCCAAAGTCAAGCCGAGTTGGGAGTACGGCGACGTCGCCAAGGTTGGTCCCGATCCAGGGAAGTACGGTGAAGTCGACGCTCGAAACATCATTGATGGCCCCCGGACTCGCCGCCAACCCGTTCCCACCATGATCACGCGGGAACAGCCAGTCGACGGCACCGACGGACCCACCGCCTCTTTCAAGAGCCTGCTCCTTGCCTTCGCATCCACCAAGGCCGGCTTCGCAGATCATGACTTGTCGGTTGTTCGCGATCCGGCAAATTGGGGCGACGTCATCCGATCGGGACAAGAGGACGTTTGGGGCGCTCCGGCACAGGATGAATTCGATTCGCTTCTGAACGATTACGAGGTCTTTCAAATCGTCGAATCCTGTGAGCTCCCAGCGGGTGAGATCCTCCTGCGGTCGGGCTGGGTGTTCCGGACTAAACGCAACCAGCATGGCGACATCACCGATCACAAGGCCCGACTTGTTGCTCACGGATGTGCCCAACGCCCTGGCCTTGACTTCGAGAAGACCTACGCCCCTGTCGTCAAATTCACGTCCATTCGAGCCCTCATCGCACTCGCCGCGGCCAACGGCTATCTCGTCCATCAGGCCGACGTCCACAAGGCGTATTTACACGGCAAACTTGACAAGCCTCTCTACATGCGCGTCCCTCAGGGCATAAACCTGCCAGGCAAGATCCTCAAGCTGTCCAAATCCATCTACGGCCTTCGCCAGGCCGGCACCATCTGGAACGCTGAGATCGACTCGACTCTGCGGTCCCTCGGATACGTCCCCACCAGGTCTGACATCTGTATCTACCGCCGCGAACACGACGGGCACTCACACTATATTGCCTTGTACGTCGACGACTTGCTTTTGGTTGGTCCCTCTACCGCCGAAATCGAGCGGGTGCTGGACGCGCTGGAACTCGCATACGGCATCAAACGTCTCGGACCTGCCGAATATATTCTAGGCATCCAAGTCAAACGTGGACAAGACGGCTCTATCACGCTCTCACAAGAGCGCTACCTTCGGGACATCCTTGCCAGGTTCCAATTCACCGATGCCAAGCCGGCAAGTATTCCAATGCAGCCAGGTGTCGTCCTTGACTTCGAGGACTTGGCGGCCACTCCTCAGGATCGTACGCGCTACTTGCAGGCCATCGGTTCGTTGATGTACGCCGCAGTTGGAACTCGTCCGGACCTCGCCTTCGTGGTCAGCTACCTCGCTCGCTTCTCCCAGCAGCCTGGCCCGGAGCATTGGACAGCCATCAAGCAGGTCCTCCGTTACATCAAAGGCACGCTGGACTTGGGCCTCACCTATCGCAAGACCAGCCAGCCACTCCATGGCTACTCGGATGCGAACTGGGGAGCCTGTCTAACGACCTCACGATCGACCATGGGCTACGCGTTCATCTTGTCTGGAGCCGCTATTGCTTGGTGCTCCAAACGCGAGCACAGGGTGGCCAAGTCCACTACCGACGCAGAGTACCTCTCTCTTTCGTACACAAGCGGTGATGCCATCCACCTGAGCGAACTCCTGGCTGAACTTGGCGCTCCGGTCTCCGGTCCAGTCGTACTCTACGGGGACAACCAAGGTTCGCTGGCTCTTGCGCAGCACCCGACCAACCATCAGGGGTCTCGTCATGTTCGCATCTCGGAACATTACGTCCGCGAGAGGGTAGCTGAGAAGGAGATCGAGGTCCGCTACATCGCCACCGGCGACATGATTGCCGATATTTTCACCAAAGCCTTGGGTCCCAAGCCGTTCATCTTCCATCGGGAGAATTTGGGTTTGCGAGGTGCAGTGGTATGACAGCACGGGGGGGTGTCAATATATTGCTGTTTCATCCCACTGGTATTCCCGATTATGATTAGTTACTAGTTGTTGATATTAGTCGCCTCGCGCGTCTCGAGCCTGCCTCGCACGCGCTCCCTTAGCGCTTATCTTCTTTCTCCAACTATCTTTACTATCTTCATCGGCTCTCGTACTTACGCACTTCGTGCCTCGGCCTCAGTTCCTGAAAGCTGCTCGAACCTGTGCTACAAACACCTACCTCTCAGCGGGAGCATGCGTCACGGTCTGCCCTACAAGCACTTTCGCAGACAAAAGTCAGTCGCCTTTCAGCTTGTACTTTGTAATCATCACGAGTAACCAGCTGATTTGTCTCTTCTTCGTCCGCATCTGTAGCGGCAGGCACCTGCATCGCCTGCGGGACTGGGGCACTGACTTGCACCTCCCCGGCGATCGCCAAGACATGCGGATTGGACCAATACAACAACCAACTCTACCTCCTCAACGGTCGATGTGCTCCTGCCGCTGCTTGCCCCACGTGGTCCTTCCCCGACCCGTCCTCGCAAAAGTGCATCCAATGCACTTCGCTCTTCCCCGGTTCCCTGACTTGCAACGCTAAGGGTGCACTGTCGTGCGGTCAAAACAGTGTCGGCAAGCAGCTCTTCCTGACGGCGACCCAGAACTGCGTCGAAGCGGCTCAGTGCGTCGTTGGAACGTACCCCGACACTTCGAAGGGCCAGTGCGTGACTTGCAACGACGGTGTAACGGCGTGCACCGGTTTGGGCGCCTCTCAGGCACTGACGTGGTACGTTATCAGGGCACACGTGGTTTCCTCGGTTCTCTTTGTATGGAAATAGTGTACTGAAGCCGCCCCGCGCTCATTCTATGCAGTGGCACGGCATCCCGAAGCGTGCCTCTCTTCTTGGATCCCACCACCACATCCTGCGTGGCGCAGTGCCCCACGAAGTACTACCCGGTTCCGGGCTCGTCGAGTTGTGTCATGTGCGACGACGGTGATGATGCCTGCACTGGTAATGGAGACGGCACCGCCCTCGTCTGCGGTGTCAACTCCCTCGGACGAAAGACTTACATGAGTCCGACGAATGATTGCGTCGAGGGTCCTAAGTGCGGACAGATCGGCGCCTACTACCCCGACGACTACCTCAAGGCCTGCGTGAGCTGCGACGAGGGAGAGCTCGCTTGCACCGCCGATGGGTTCGGGGCTGCTACGAAGTGGTGAGTTGTGCTAGGGATCCTTTCTCGAGCGAGACCGGTCGTTGACTAGCTGGGGTGCCGATCGTCCCACAGCGGTAAGCTTCCCGCTACCGGCGAGCAACTCTACCTATTCCAAGGCGATTGCTACACCGGACCCAACTGCCCTCAAGGCACGTTCGTCAACGACGGCGACAACACATGCACGTCTTGCCCCGCCGGAGTTCTGCTTTGCGATGCCATCGACAACGCAAACCTCTGCGCACCTTCACTCAACGGACAAGCCTTGTTCATGAACGTCGGCAAGTGCGTGACCACCGACAAGTGCCCCCTCGGTACCTACGGCAAGCCGGGACCTTTCGTGTGCGCCTCTTGCCTCGAGCTCGACTCGCAAGCCAAGCAGTGCGACATCAACAACCGTGCCACTCTTTGCTTCCCCGGCTGGTGGGCGCGCCTTTCCGACGGCGTGTGCGTCCCCAGGAGTAGTTGCGACAGTTCCTACTACATCAACGACGGCCCGAGGACTTGCACTCCGTGCGAACGCATCCAGCACAACTCTGCAACTTGCACTGCCACCCTGGCAACGTCGTGCAAGCCAGGCTCCTACCTTCTCAACGGTGTGTGTCTCGCCGTTGTCCCATTCCCGGTTACTTCCAGGAAGACGCAAGTGAGTACCAAGCTTTCCGACTGGGTCCTGGACGCAATTGAGGGATCGTGTGACTGACGCGACCGAACGCCTGGTTTGCGACCACTCGTTAGCTTGGTCCTGTATCCCCTGCGGCTCGCTCTTTGCGCACGCCACGATGTGCGACCGCTCCTCTCTCTACGCCTGCGAAGGTGGTTGGGCCGTCATGAAAGATTCCAACGACAAACGGGTTTGCACCTCGAACTGCGACCCAGGTTTGAGCTACGTCATTAGCGGAGGCTTTGTGACGCAAGACGCCGGCAAATACGATCCCGTCATCGCCCAAAAGGTCCCCTTCAAGGTCCAAGGCTGCTACCCCTGCACTTCCAAGTTTGGAGAGTTTGCTTTCACTTGCAGCGAAAATGATCTGGATAGCTGGTAAGTTACTTTCCTCTCTTCTTCCCATTGGCGGCCGACGCCAGTGCGGTGAAAGCCTCATCCTTCCCCCACCATTCCTGCGCACATTGACGGAGCCATTCAACGAAATATGAGCTGACCTCTTCTTCTGTTTCATCACGTTATCAGCAATCCCCAACAAGCCTTTATCATAGACAATGCATGCTTTGAGTACAACTACTGCGGTGCGTTGCTCGAGTCTAACACGGGGCGCTGCGCAATTTGCATTCGAGTGCGTGAACTGACTAGTTTCCGAAACACAATGCGTTCAACAGACAACAACTACGCCTATTGCGTGGCGTGCGAAGCCGCTAAAGGCGCAATAGAAGATGGGGCAGCAGGATTCGCAGAAGGACTGATCACAGGAGCCATCTGCTGCGCGTTCGATAGTTGCTAGTTGTGAGGGCGGTGGAGTCCGCCGCGAGAGGACGGCGCCGGCGCCCGGGGCGGTGGAGTCCGCCGCGAGAGGACGGCGCCGGCGCCCGGGGCGGCGGGCCCGCCGGTGCGTCCTCTGGATCATTCTTCATTTCTTTTTCCTTCTCACCACGTAGTCCTACTTTTTAATGGTGAATTTAGATGCCCCTCACCTTGCTCTCAAACAACGTCTTGCATTCGCAACCTGTGTGGTCTTCTCTCGTTGGCCTCGGGATCTCAGGACACTGGATTGGGGGGAGAAATTCCGAAGTTGGGCTCCCGTACGGGATACGCAGCCATTGTAGGGGACGAATGAGAGCAAGCTCACTTGGATTAATACAGTTTTATACTCCAGTGGAGCACTCGGCCTCGATATAGCTGTGGTGTCCACTGTCGGGTCGTCTCCATTCCTAGCTAGTCCTAGGGCCGGCCGGCGAGTAGTACTGACGAGAAGCTTTGCAAGAGTGAGCCACGTATCGGAAAGCGCTAAAAGCGGTGGTGTTCCAGAATGATACTCTGAAGAGTTCTTTGTTGGCCCCTAAGTCATCGTCAAGGTTGGTACTTCTGGCTCTAAATCCGTGACCCACAGCAAAGCATCGGGTTACCACTGGGAAGGGCCGCGGCCGGCGCGCCCCGGCGTCCAGCGAGTGCCGATGGGGACGGTCCGTGCGCGTCAAGTCACCGGTGGTCTCTGGTGGTCTTCGCAGAATTTGGGCGGCACGCGCGACCCGAGCCGCCGACCGCGGTTGACTTCTCTCCCCTCACAACCCCCCCGCGGTGATCTCTTCGTAGTTCTCGCATCCCTTCAACTAGTCTCTTTTCAGACGAACCTTTCACTTCGAATCAACTCGTTCATCCAAAGCAACATGTCTTACGGTCGTCAATCCTACGGTTAGTCCTGGCACTTTGTCGTGGCGTGGAATGTTGGGCTACCTCGCACGGCCCGCTGCGAAGCCGAGTTTTTGGCTGACGTCTTGCTGCCCCTTTCCCCTTTGCCTGATCTTCCAGGTGGTGGAGGTGGAGGTAGGCATCTTTTCACATCTTCTCTTCTCGAACCAATCACGTCACCTACGGCGAATGTGTTGGACAGTGTCATGGATGTGGCTGTGGAGGGCTGTCGCGAGGGGAGCTCGAGTGGCGTCGGGCCGAGGCCCGCTCCGTTGGCCGACCCGCCCGGCCGGCCGTTCCTGGCGCGCAGATTTGCAGACGGTGTAACGCGTCGCGGCCCTGCTCGGGGACGAGATCGCCACCACGCGCACGCCGTTCGGGCACCAGTTGCAACGCGGCAACAAATATGAAAGCTGACAAACCCATTCGCTCGTCCCGTTCACTAGGTTACGGTGGTGGAGGAGGTGGCTACGGTGGTGAGTTCTGTGCCTCGCCGGCTTATCGTGTGCGTCCCTCGTTGCTGACTCGATACCACGCCCGCCTTCTCTGCTCTTTTTCTCTCGCAACAGGTGGCGGTGATGGAAGATACGGTGGTGGTGGAAGCTACGGCGGTGGATACGGTGGAGGAGGAGGCTACGGAGGAGGAGGAGGAGGATTCGGTGGCGGAGGAGATCGCAGTAAGTAGTCATGGCTCGGCCGGTGCGTGCGTCTTCACACGTCGCTGTTGTCTGACCTCGCGCTTCGGTCGCATTTCGCTCTTGTTCTACAGTGGGCGCTCTCGGCTCCGGCCTGCGCGCCCAGAACTGGGACCCTGCCACCCTTTCCAAGTTCGAGAAGCACTTCTACAACGAGGACAAGCGTGTGTCCGAGCGCTCCGACCGTGAGGTCCAGGAGTTCCGTCGCGAGAAGGAGATTCAAGTCTTCGGTAACAACATCCCCAAGCCCGTTACCAACTTTGATGAAGTGAGTTGGGCCTCTGATCCCGCCCATGTACTTTGATCGTCGATGCTAACCAACACTTCCGCCACCACAACAGATGAACTTCCCTTCTTACATCACCTCTGAGATCAAGCGTGCCGGTTTCACGACCCCGAGTCCCATTCAGATGCAGGTCAGTCTTCGGTTGTGTTTCGATCAAACTAACTTTGGCACAGTCGCTCACTCCGCGTGTGCTTCTCCGCCAACAGTCGTGGCCCATGGCTCTGTCCGGACGTGATCTCGTCGCCATTTCGGCCACCGGTTCCGGAAAGACGATCTCATTTGCCCTCCCCGCCATGATCCACATCAACGCCCAACCCCTCCTCAACCCCGGTGATGGACCGATCGTCCTCATCCTCGCCCCCACTCGAGAACTCGCTGTCCAGATCCAGGAAGAGTGCACCAAGTTTGGTTCGTCGTCCCGAATCCGCAACACTTGCGTTTACGGTGGTGTCCCCAAGGGTGGACAGATCCGCGACCTCCAGCGCGGTTCCGAAATCGTCATCGCCACCCCCGGTCGTCTAATCGACATGCTCGAGTCCGGCAAGACCAACTTGCGCCGAGTGACTTACCTCGTCATGGACGAAGCCGATCGCATGCTCGACATGGGTTTCGAGCCCCAGATCAAGAAGATTCTCGAGCAGATCCGCCCCGACCGCCAAACGCTCATGTTCTCCGCCACCTGGCCCAAAGAGGTCCAGAAGCTCGCCCACGAGTACTTGCGCGACTTTATCCAGGTCACCATCGGTTCGCTCGAGCTCTCGGCCAACCTGAACATCACCCAGATCGTCGAGGTCTGCTCCGACTTCGACAAGCGAGGCAAACTCGTTAAGCATCTCGAGAAGATCTCGTCCGAGTCGGCCAAGGTGCTCATCTTTATCGGCACAAAACGTGTCGCCGATGACCTCACCAAGTACCTTCGACAAGACGGATGGCCAGCCCTCGCCATTCACGGTGACAAGCAACAGCAGGAGCGTGATTGGGTTCTTAACGAGTTCAAAACGGGTCGATCGCCCATCATGATCGCGACCGATGTCGCTTCTCGTGGTCTCGGTACGTCACTTTCAACTCTCCCCTCGTTTCCCCTCCCCTCCCCATGCTTTGTGCCACCTTCGTCATGCGGAGCGCTTTGCGCATTTTGCGCGCGTTGGCATGCGCACTCTCTCCGCCGAGATCTCCTCTTCCTCTATACAGGGCCTGTCAACACCCACCATCAACTCTACACGACGCAAGAACAGACAGACTTGGTTTCGGCGCTTCGTCAACAGCTCCACTTTCGCCCGCGATGTCTTCCTACTAACGGCTCGGGTCGAAGACGACGGATCACACCAGGCGCTGATCAGTCGATGGCGATGTTGGCGCGTTTCTCGCAAGTCGCGGACGGGGTCTGGAGCACCAAGAGTCTTTTTCGTGCGAGCTTTTGGAAGATGTGCGGCGCATCGGGTCGCTGCGACGTGCTCGAGGCGGCACTTGCCCCCTCGATTGCATCGTGCTGATCGGCGCTACCATTCATTCGCGCGTCTCGTCTCGGTGTCACATTGTCGACGAGAGAAGTCGACAATGTGTCGTCGAGACTAGACGCGACGGATGAGGTCGTCTTCCAGCCCGGATATCCTGTTTCAGGAAATCATGGGGTTCGTTCTCATCCATTTGGGTGACTTCTCTGCCTGCTTTCATCCCTGTTTCGTGGAGTGCGGAGTAACGCCGTTCAACTTCGACCACCATCGGTTGCGCCTTCACCTTCGTGATCTTGGGCTCTTTGTTCGCCGCCGCCGTCGCCTCCCTTCCCTCCCCTCCTGCCCCTCTTCCCCGCTTCCCCCGTCTCCCCCACCTTTCTATCTCTCTTCCCTCATCCGCATACTCTTCCGTCCCCTCCCCGCCCGTTCCGTGCCTCCCCTTCGAGTTTCGAGCTTCGCTGTCTGTTCTTCGCGTCCTTGATTGTGGTGTCGGTTACAAGTACCAGGCCTTCCTGAATGAAGGGTGAAAGGAAGAAGGAAGGCTAAGCACGGAGAGCTGGTGTTGAGGTTCCGAGGTTGACTTGAGCGGTCTTTACTCACGGGTTTTACTTTCGTTCACCTTCGATCAATAGATGTTAAGGACATTGGCTATGTTATCAACTACGACATGCCCAATGGTATTGAGGATTACAGTGAGTGTCGTATATGGAGGGTTGTTTGACTGGAACGGCATGTTTTGCTGACATGCGACGACGTTGAACGAGGTCAGTTCACCGAATTGGTCGTACCGGTCGTGCCGGAGCAAAGGGAACGGCTTACTCGTACATCACACCTGATCAAGGCAGTAAGTCACCCCCTCCCCCCCCTCGAGCACGATAGCTACTCTTGAATTTGATGACTGACCTTGCGCATCATCGACCTTGCCTCCACCTAATAGAGCTCGCGCGCGACTTGGTCAAGATTCTCAGCGACGCCAAGCAAGTGGTCCCCCCTGAACTGCAACAGATGTCCATGTACGGTGGTGGAGGTGGAGGCGGAGGTGGTCGTGGTGGTCGTGGTGGAGGAGGTGGTGGTTACCGGCGTGGTGGTGGAGGAGGTGGCGGATACGGTGGAGGAGGAGGATACGGCGGTGGAGGAAGGTGGTGATCGATGAGGCGGTGCTACCTTTTTTGGTTCGCTTCTGTTCTTTCATCCGTTGTTTTCTTTCCTCTTTCTCTCCCTCTCAGTTTCTTGTCGTTCTCAGTCACATCCACTATAGAGCGCACTTGATATTTCCTTTCTTTCTCGAGGTCTTTGTAATTTACATCGAAACACATGCTTCGTTGCAAGGAGAAAGCACGGTCATTGCTTCACGGCTCTGTCCGCCTTCGCCCCATCGTCTGTTTTCGCAGCTCCATCCCCTAAAGATTTCCCTTTACTACGTCTCGTCTTCCTCGTCTTGACCTGCTTCTCCTGCTTCTTCCCTTGTTCCCCTTGCTCCCCACCCTCTGTCTTCTTCTTCCCTTGACTCTGCCCCTGCCCCAACTTGGTAGCTTTGCCTTGCAACGTCATCCTCAACTCTTTGGCCTTACTCAAAGCCTCTGCAGCTTCTTGCAATAGGCGCTTCTTCTTCCGATTCGGTCGCACCTTGACCTTCTTCGTTGTTGTGGATGTATCGTTGACAATGGATAGTGGTCGTGGTGCATCGGGAGGTATCTCGCCCTCTTCCATCTCGACTTCTTCGAGTGGGGTAGTTTGGACGGGTGGGTCCTGGTGAATCGGTTTCTCGGGCATAGGTTTGGAACGCTTGAGACGGGGTAGCTTTTCGGGACCTTGGTAGCTGCATGTGAGTGAAGGAGAGATGTCGGCTTTCTTACGAACAGCTTGAACAGCTTGATGCTAATATGAGCACCTACGTGAATGCCCTATCGTTCGCGAGTGCTTCGATCGGGTACGGCGACAGGACGATGATGAGTAGAGGTGAAGCGTGTTGGTTCGTTTTAGGTCTATGGGGATCCGATCAGCGATCAGCGGTTCAATCACAGAGTTTGGTCCTCCCGTACAACTCAGCAGATACACGTACCTCGAATTCTTCTTGCCACTCCCCAGTAACCATTCGCGCACCAAATCATCCTCCTCCCGACCCCCTTGCCCATCCGTCTGATCGATCGGGGTCGTCGTCCCGACCAGCGCGGCCTTCTGCATCGTCGTTAATAGGGTATACTGATGCAGCCCTTTACAATTCCTGATCCACCCCTTGAGACCTAGTTGAGTCTTGATCTCGTCCGAAGCGTATTTCAGTTCGAGGAGACGGTCCGTAAAGGTTCGTTTGAGGATTTCGCACGTCGAAATGAGGCGCGGGAGAACGGCTGTCGCGTTGTTGGAGGTGATGAGGGGGGAGTTGGTGGTGGTGGTGGTGGGTGGGGTTGGAGGATGGGGTGGCATCGCGTGCAGGACGAGGGGTTTGTTCGTCTGTGAGAGGAGGGAGTCGTCAAGTCAGTCTGGTTCGAACCTTGCCCCACAGGGTTAGTTTCGAGGTAACGAGGACGATAGACAACGTACGAGCAGTTGAGAATGAGCGAATTGGATCTGTTTCGACATCTGGCCATGCAACGTCACGCGTAACGAGGCGTAGACGTCTGGTTCGAGAGGGATCCATGACGACACCAAAGGGTGAGCTGCGATGGGGGGCCGCCGAGCAGCAGCAGCGACGGCGGCGGCGGCAGGTATGGGATGTTGGGATGTCGAGGCGGCTTGGGATGGTGGTGGTGGTGGTGGTGGTGGTGCGTCATGATAAGCTGTAGTAGGCTCTGCTGCTGTGACTGGTGCGGTGGGTCTCGGCTCCGAGGTGGACATGGCACTGAGTGCCGGTGGGGAGGGTCCGTTCGAGCCCCGCCGGGGGCGAAGAGCCGAGCCACGCCTGCGACAGCCTGCGACAGCCTGCGACGCTTCAGATGCGTGATGGACTACTTGGTCCGGACCCGCGCTCTACCGCGCTTTCTACGATCACGTCGAACAAGCAAGAGCTAGCGTGGGCAACGTTGGCTATCGTCGTGATGTAGGATATAGCAGCGTAATAACAGGCCGACGGAGGGAGCATTGATCTACCCAAGTGTGCAAGTCGGGGAAGCCACGTCAGAGACCAGAAAGAAAGTCACGGCACTTGAAAGAATGCAAATATCTGAAAAAATGCAAATATGTTGTGAAACTGTTTATAGTCGCTGCAGAGAATATCTTGAATTGTTCCATCTCTGCAAACGTGGGGACGAGCTTGCACCACCTCCGAGTCGGCCACAAGTTGGGCTCGCCCGTCGCAACCTGTCGGCCGATGACCGTCAGCGTTGCCGCAGTCTGACCTTGTATTACACGGGCCGAGGAACTCATGGGGGGGCCAGAGCGACCGTGGTTGTCGGCGTGAGGATCGTGATCATCGTCAGTGACCGCGAGAGTCAGCCTTGGCGTCGGTGTTGTGGTCATCGCGGATGACCTCGTCGGCGTCGGCGTTGTGGTTGTCACGGATGGCCTGCCCGTTGACGTTAGGCGTGTCCTCGTTGATAGGAGCGCCGTCGGTAGGCAGCTGAGCCCCTTCGTCCACGTCTACTGGTCCGCGATGCTCACTCGGCGAGGTGTTGCTCTTGACCCGTGAATAGTACATTGTATGGGGCATTCCTGTTGCAAGAGAATAATAAAAGCTCGGGAATACAGAGGAACAGCAATTCTAGCCTGTCAAGGTCGAGTCGACAGCTGGCATTCCGGCGTGGGCGGCGGATGTCTCACCGGTTTGTCGAGGGATTGCGAAGCCGCCCGCGCCCGAATGCCAGCTGCCGACCTTGACAGGCTAGAAATACCGTTCCTCTGTATTCCCGAGCTTTTGTTATTTCTTCTCGGAACCGGACTGCTGCTCATCTTCACATACACCAGGTACTATCTACGGGCCAAGAGCAACACCTCGCCGAGTGAGCATCGCGGACCAGTAGACGTGGACGAAGGGGCTCAGCTGCCTACCGACGGCGCTCCTATCAACGAGGACACGCCTAACGTCAACGGGCAGGCCATCGACGCCGACCATAACGCCGACGCCGACGAGGTCATCCGCGATGACCACAACACCGACGCCAGCGCTTATTTAAATTAATCGCGATAGGGGGTCGTTGCGGCAAATCGCTAGCAGCGGGATGTGCAAAAATGCGACGAGACCGACGACGAACGAAGCTGGACCGACCGCGAAGCGTAATGCATCGTTACAAAGGGAACGAATGTCGACACCAACACGAAGAAATTGATCGCATTGGTAACTTGAAGGCGCGCAAGAAGGGTCAGTCTAGTTCACTCCAGCTGAAATCCGGGTACTCATCCTAGGTTGGTCTCGCAGCCTGAGCCCTGGCGGTGAAACCGGCGCCGCGAGAAGAGTTCAGTCGACTCACCGTCAAAACGTACGGTTTGTACAGTGCGATCCGAAACATGCCTTGATACTCGGGCCAGTGGAAGGTGGGGAGGTGGGGATCTTTCATTTTACCCTGCAGGCCAAAAACTCGGGGTCTTTTACCCTGGTCATGGGGGGAAACGACTGCGGCCTGGATCGCGTCGGGACAGTGGCTCGACCTTTTGGTCACGTAAGTTGGCACCAACGTGGGTTCATCAGTGCGGAAGGTTGGTGTAGAACAATCTCTCAGTCACAGCCGTCTCAATCATAGCCGCTCTCATCGCTTGACAGCGATTCAGGAACACTTATTTTGACTTGTGAGATCACATTCCATTGACTCCATCTCCAAAGTACCACACGCGCCAAACTCCAAAGTACCACACGCGCCAAATTTTCGAGTTGACATCCTAATACGAGTAAGTCCGAGTCCGTTCGAATGGCGTTTTCCACGTAACATGACCATGACCAGGGTGTTCACATCTTCATCGTCATGCCACCTGGCAGAAGTTAGATATTGGAAAAGACACACAAGCCACAACACATAAAGTACGGAGACAAGCCCGTGAAGGTTTACAAGCCGAAGCAGACTCTCATTCACGCGAAACTCTCTTCTGCCGTCAGCGTGGGCCGAGACGCACGCACCCATTTCACTGCCCGGAATCGCTAGACACGTCCACGCTGGAGTAGACTTGGCCAAACGTTTTCTGCGAGCTATAGCCCTGTTCGACATGGGTAGAGTGGACGGCGGCCAGTCGACAGCGCTAGGGTCTGAGTTGAAGTGGATTCCGAAGCCTGCCGAACGAAGGTTCCATCGGCGGTGAGTGGCCACTGCAGACACAGTTTTTGATGAGGGACCCACCTCGCAGACGACGCTTCTCTTGCTTGGTAAATGAACCGGACCACGACGCTGTTTCGGGGAAAATTTTCTCTTGGAACATCTTGCGGTACTCGGCCACAGACGGAAGACGGCGGCAGCGAATCCTGAGATTGTCGGAGCTGCGGAGGGGTTCGACCGTCATTGGGGTTCCGTGCATTGGACCAGGTGATGAAGCGCTCGCGGAGTAGGTGGATCCTGAGATGGTGCGCATACGATACAAGGCGGTAAAAGATCAACCAAGGGCGCATGACAAGGGCGCCTTGCCCTGATCAAAGCAGGACGAGCCCACCCAAGCGAGTCGGAACTAGGCCTGCTTACCAATCGCGCTGTGCCTGCAGTGTAGAGCCTCTCGTTATCCCCGGGGTCGACTTTGGTGCGCAGATACCGCAACTCTTTCCAGTTCTTGCGCACTTTTGAAGACAAAAAAATGTAACTGTAACTGCGTTCTTGCGAGAGATAGTGTATCTTTCCCCTGAGATCGAGAGCAATGCTGCCCAAGTACTGCGTGAGCTCCATAGCAAAAAACCCCCCCTGAAATGGGACGATCCCGGGATGATTCCGGGATCGGGCCCCCGATTTGAAATCGGTGGCGCGATTTGAAACGCATTTGAAATCCGTGCGCCGAATTGAAATGCGCTTCAAATCGGCGCGGGATCGATCCAAAATGCGCTTCAAATCCTCGCGGGATCGATCCCAAATGCGTTTCAAATCCTCGTGGGATCGAACCATGCCCAACGGTCAATAAGGACAAGGGCATAGAACTCTTGTGAGAGGGCGGATTGCGCAAGGTAGAGTAGACCATTATGTTACTATTACTCGAAGTTTGTGACAATATACTACTGAAATGATCGCACCACCAGGTCCAGAGCGCGAGCTAGCGCGAGGCCTGCTCCCAGTGCCGCCGCCTGTCGCCGCTCTTCTGCCGCTCTCCGCCGCTAGCGTTCGGCCTCGGCTGGCCTCGGCTAGCGGTCTCGTGCTGTCTTTTGCAGTCTCTTGCGCTTGTCCGCTTTGCCCGCTTGTCCGCCCCTCCGTCGCTTTCGCTATCGCCCGGTCACCCATCATGACACCTATTCACACGCTTCCGGCAACCGATGTTGTTCTTCCTCGTCGCACCATCTCGATCACTCACCGTTTGTTGTCTCCATAGGGTAGGCCGCGCGACCTGCCACCACGCTTTCGCGCCAGACGTCGCCCTCAGCTCCCATAGGTTCGTCCGCACTTCTGCGAAGTCGCCGAGGCCGCTCCCGAGTAGGGCGGATTTTCCCAGAATTCGAAGCTCGATCTGTTCCTTCAAGCCTAAGGTGTACGCCGATGTTGTGGTGCGATTCGCCTTCGAACCGGTCTTGGCAATCGTCGTCTTGGACGCTTTCCGCGGGACGACGTGGCGCCGTATGACGCACATGCACAAATGCGCCTTGACCCGCGTTTCCAGCGTTGAAAACGACTTTGGTAGTTTGGTGGCGTCAAAGCATTCGCTCTGTAACCCTCAATCAACGCGCAGCAGGCTTCCTGCGAAACCCTGTATTCCAGGCCCCACGCGTAGATGGCCACTTCAGCGAAGGTTGGTGCACACAGCCTCGACTCGTCACTCGCAAGCCCGCCCTGATCGTGATCGTTCTCTTCGCTCCCTCTGTCGTTCTGTCTGGAGCTGTCATGGCCGTCGTCGTCCTCGCCGCTGTCATCGTCCCCGCCGCCGTCGTCATCGTCCTCGCCGCCGCTGCCGCTGCCGCCCTCCTCATCACCAGCATCATCATTGTCCTCGTCGCCCTTTTGATGCTCCTCATCATTGCCGTCGTCATCGACGTGCATCTTGCCGTCGTCATCGACGTCCATCTTGCCGTCATCGTCGCTGGACGCGGACTATTGAAGGTGCCAAAAGTCACGTGCTCGTCAGCGAGGGCACGGGGGACCGTGATGATTTCGCCTCGATAACCTTGCCCCCTCAACCTCCATAACTTGCATGCGGTTCTGCCAGTCTTTTCGTGCCGCCTCGATCGCCTCCTCCACCGTCATGCATTTACCGACGCCGGACTTTGAGGTTGATCGCCCCACATTGGGGTGGGGCAGGGTCGACTGATTGGCTGGACTGGGTGCGAGGGTGGTCGAGGTTTGATCACTCCCAACTGAGGTCGGTTCTTTGGCACTCGATTGGACCATGGGCGTGGGAGGAGGACGTGAGATGGCTTCTGTGGGGAAGCGGGGTGACGACAGCCCGTGAACGTCCTATTTCCGAGCCGTCGAATGCAGGCGCTGGAGACGACAGGAGGTGGGGTAACACCATCGTGTAAGTGCTCGAGCATGTCGCAGCGCCAGGAGATATGTACGGCTCGAACTGACTGCTCCTGATGTTCAATGCTCGCTAGTGGGTAACTGTCGTTGACGTCGCACAAGGGAGCACCGGGACGTCGGATAAAGCGCGGTCGGCAGTCTGCGGCCGATCCGGCCGATCGCGCGCTGGACGCCGGTGCGACAAAGTTCAAAGTTCAAATCTCGGATCTCGGTCGCGCTTTCGCCTTTCGCTCCTTGGCTTGCTTCACCCCCGGTCGGCCCTTCGTTGTGTCACCTGTTGTCCAGGCTCGGGGTGGGGTAGCACGCATCCACCAAGCTCGTTTCATCGTCACCCATCGTTTCCCATATAATGGTGAGTGCTCAAGCTCCTCGATCGCCGCTCATCCGAGCGAGCCACCTGTCAGTTCGTCGTCGCGCGCCGAGGGCAAGGCACTGACATGTCAAATACTCGTCCCAGGCGTGTTCCCAGGCGCGTCCCACGCCCACCTCATCATTGAAACCCGCCACCACCTCCACACCTCGGCAAACAGGGTCTGCAATTGGTGCCGTGGAGTCCAATGTCGCCGCTACCTTCCCTTCGGCGTCGTCCGTGTCGTCCGTGTCGTATCGCCATGCGGGCGAGAAACTCAATCTCTACTGGACTCGCATGCGCAACGAATGGGAGCCCGCATTGGCCACGCCATACAACGAGACGGCCGAGTGGATTGGCGAGCTCTGGTTGTCGGCTGTCAATTACTGGCTGGTAGAGCTCGAACTCGGCAAATCACGTGATTACCTAGAGCGACTCGATGACCCGCTCCTCGAATGCGTATTCGAAACCCTGGACAACGACGTGAGTATGCTGTCGCGAACTTCTACCTTGCCCAGGAGCTGACATCTGACCCACGGTGCGCCACTAGGACGATGGCAAACCCTTTCGAATTTTACGACCTCGAAGCAGTCTTATCAAGCTTTACAGGTCAAGGAGCGCGGTTTCAGTCGACCTCAAAGGACCCCCTCCTTCGCAATCGACGCGCAAAGCCACCAAGGTGTACGGACGCAGGACGAAGGAACAGGCCTCGCTTCACCCGTCTGGGAGCGACGGTTATGACGACGAAGAGGACGAAGAGGACGAGGAGGACGAGGAGGAGCATCGAGAGGGCGACGAGGACAGCGATGATGCTGGTGATGAGGTGGACGGCGGCGGGGAGGATGACGTTGGCCACGTTGTTGATGACGAGATGACAAGTTGCGACTCCGACGATTCATCCCTTTTGAAACGTCCTGCGTCTCGCAACAACAATCCTACGTCAACCCAGCGCGAAGTCTTAGGGAAAGGGCCTGGCAAGAAGACGAAGAAGAAATCGATGTTGGCTGCGTCTCGTGCCAAGAAGCGTCGTATCGAGACACAGCGTTCAGGTCCCGGAGCAACACTACCGCCCGTGAGTGTCATGCTTGAGTTGCTGACGCCATTGCGAATGTGTCTGGCTCTGGCTGACATGCCGGCACCTCCGGACTGTCTTTAGCCCTTCGACCATGACGACATCCTCATAACTTGCAAGCGATACTTTCTCTTCAAGACCAATTGGGAAGACAAGGATTATAAGTATCTGGTCGCAACCCTTGCGTCTGGGAGGGGTCTTGAGATCCTTGGGGAGATGAGTCCGGCCGACCGAAAACAAGCAAAGGTAAGCCTGTCGACATTTCGCCCTCGTCGGATTGGCAAGAATGAAGGTTGCTGACCTCATCCTTTACTCGGCTCGCAAGGCCCAGCTTCATCGCGTCATTCGATCTAAAAGATCTTCGATCCTCCATGCGACCCTCACCGCCGTGGCCCCGTACGCCAAGGCATGGCTGCGCTCCGAAGCAGGGAAGACGTTTCTCGATCAGACGTAGGTCACTCTGACGATGCAAGCTCTACAACATGAAGATGTGGCGCTAATACACCTCAATTTATAGGCCCACACGACCTCCCGCCGCACGCCGCAAGCGTGACTCTGGTCGAAGAAAGGAGAAGGGGCGCACGGACGAGGCTGAGGCAAACGAGAGACGCCGATCCACCGAGTTCCCCCGACCCATCAAGATCATGCCTTGGGTCACGCTCAAAAAGGCCAAGGCTATATTCTCAACTAATCTCAAGGCCGTAGATCGCGCCGTTCTCTCCGACCCGAAACTTCCATACGCACACCGTTTGAAATGCGCCGCCGCCGCCTGGATCGCGGCTGAAGTGCCTCATCAGAGGCGCTTGGCAGCCAATGACGAGTCGGGTTCCAACGAGGTAGGTTTCATGATTCGAACTCGGTGCAGTTCGATTGGCTGAGTGGAATGATGGGAGCGACACCGTGCAGGAACCGGATCAGCAGGTGAATTCGCCGGCTCGATTGCCCGAAGAAAGTGAGCAGTTTCGCAGTTTTTGGGTTGACCGCTGCACGGCCGTTCCACGGGACTCCACCACCGAGGATGGAAATGTCGATAGGTCTTTGCCAAAGGTCAACTGCTGGATAGTCAATGAAGACCGCCGGTGCGAATTGACATTGGGCGTCCCCGACGTTCTTCCGCCTCCATTCATGCATACCGACCACAACGAGGAGGACGATTCGGACGATGACGAGCCCGTTGACGAGGAGCTGGAGCAGGAAATTGTCGATTTCATAGAGTGGGAGCGTTCAGATCCAATAACGATGGCTGACTGAAGAGCAGATTGCAGGCCTGGTGGTGCGATGCACCACCGCATGGGGCCTCGTACCGTTTCAGTAGTATACTTGCACATACTTTGAGCAATAGTAACATGTTCGTCTACTCTACCTTGCGCAATTGGCCCTCTCACACAAGTTCTATGCCCTTGTCCTTATTGACCGTTGGGCATGGTTCGATCCCACGAGGATTTGAAACGCATTTGGGATCGATCCCGCGAGGATTTGAAGCGCATTTTGGATCGATCCCGCGCCGATTTGAAGCGCATTTCAGTTCGGCGCACGGATTTCAAATGCGTTTCAAATCGGTGCGGCGATTTCAAATGCGTTTCAAATCGCGCCGCCGATTTCGAATGCATTTCAAATCGGTGCGCGCGATCCCAAATGCATTTCAAATCGGTGCGCCGATTTCAAATGCATTTCAAATCGCTCCGCCGATTTCAAATCGGGGGCCCGATCCCGGGATGATCCCGGGATCGTCCCATTTTAGGTTTGTTTTTTTTGCTATGTCGGCCCGACTGCAGTGGGCAATGAGACAGAGACGGGCGCGAGCGGGCGCGCCTCGTCGCGTCGAATCCTGTCGAATCAGGACCCATGAAAGCCCAGCCTGAGGCGCGTAGGTAAAATCCGTCAAAATCCCGGATTTTGGACCTCATTTGTCCACCCTTTTTTGGTGTATTCGCCCAAAAATGTCCTTAAAATGTCCAGTCCATCTACGCTCGTCCAACAATAGCTCTAGAATTGCTTCAGATGCTCTACAACATCTCCAAAATTCGCGATTTTGGCTTTTCTAGGGCCAAAAATTTGTCCACTCTTTACCTACGCGCCTCAGGCTGGGCTTTCGGGGGCTGTCGAATCTGTGACGCGCCGCCACGGGTCGTCTGACACAATCGGTTCTCTCATCTTCGCCGGTCTCCCGTATCGCTCACCCGGCCGACCACAGCCACGATGGCGTTTGGTTTCCCTTCCAAAAAGGGCGTCAGGACGGGGATGCGGCAGAACAATGGTGCCAAGCGTAACACGGTCAAGCTACGTCCTCCACCGGCCAAAGCCCCGACCGCGAGCTCTTCACGACCAGCTGCTGGAGACGACGACAACCGAACACCGTACTACCAACGTGACTCGACCCATCAGCAATGCGACCCAGGCGATGACCAAGGCGATGAAGAAGAGTTCACGTATCAGGATCAGCTGAGAGGGGAGAAACGACCTCTCGAGGGCGCGACCGTCACCGTGTCAGGGTGTGGTGCCGACAAGAGGATGTTGATGACCGTGGCCGCCGAATTGGGAGCCAAGGATTGCACCTCGTTGACGAGCCAGACGACACATCTCATCGCTGATGGGTTTGGGAGCGCAAAGTGCGATGTCAGTCGATTCGACCGGGCGACCGGGAGAGGCCTCTTGATGATGGGGCTTTGAAGGAGTTGGCCCCTGACCCATCATGACGTTCTTCTCCGAACAGATGGCACTCAAATGTAACATGAAGATCATGGATCCAAAATGGTTGCTCGCCGTTCGAGACGCGTGGAGGGACGCCGAAAACGTCGACTTTGCCGAGGTGGGTAATTCGGATGCCCAGGCCAATCTCCTTGGACCTTTCAGGTCTAGAAAACTGATGATGATATCCCCGGCACATAGCTCGAGAAGAAACACCGACTCCCGGCTTTGACCGGTACGGTCGTCACGCTCACCCAGTTCCCACCTGGTCGGTCATTCGCAGCGCCTTTCTCGACCCTCGAGCTGAGTCTGGAAGCACTGACACAACTTTTGCATCGGCCGATAGGCGCTCGCGAAAGCGAATTGATGACGATCCTGGAAGGAGCTGGCGCCGAAATCACCAAACGCCTGAACAGGAGGACGACCCACCTCATGGTTTCCTCGACCAGCTCGGGTCATCTACCTCACACGTCCAAGCTCGAGTTTGCGACCAGCGACCGAGGGAGGACTGAACTTCCAAAGATGATCATCGTTTGGGAAGGGTGGCTCGAAGATGCGATCCGAAGAGGGGGGAGGACCGTGGCTAGGGATATCAAGTGGAAGTACGAACCGGGAGCGGAGGCACCCATCATGCTCGACGACGATGACATCGACCCCATTGCCTCGACGTCGCGCGGTCGGACGAGGAATGTGTCCACCGTCCCACCAACCTCGCAGTTTCACACGTCGAGATCGCATTGGGGACCTTCTTCAATGGCGGGTGGAGCTGACCAAGGGACCACGGCCAAGAAGACTGGGGAGGAAACCGACGATGGCAACACCGTCGTCATACGCAAAAAGAAGTCGAGGATCGACAATGACCCGTTGCTCGGACCCATGGCGATCAAGCTTCGTACGCAGGGCTCGTCAATTCGGCCTGGGTCTGGTGCGATGAATCGGGACGAGCAAGCTTATGGTGAACTTGTGGCTCCCCACGAGATGGCAAGACAACCGCTGCGAGGCGGGGGGTCTGAAGCAACGGTGGATGGGCCCGACGAGAGGCCATCGGAGCAGGTCACGTCGGCTACGAACGATGACAACCCCTACGCACTCGGTCGAGATCGAGGAGGATCGATCATCAAGGCCTTGTCGAGTACACGGTCGAGGCGCTTCGACGAGGTCGAGCCGTCCAGACCTCGCACGGCGCTCGTTTCAAAACGCTCGATGGAGGGACATACTCCGAACCCACTTGCCGCGGACGACTCAGCTTTCTTCGAGGGCAACGAGGAGGTCCAGATGGGCGCGGAGAACGAGCATGGGGAGGAGTTGTCGGACCCACCCATCTTTGAAGGGTTGACGTTCTCATTGATGGACATGCAAGACAAGAACCGTGGCATCATCAAGCGAGCCGTCGAAGAACGTAGAGGGAAGGTTTTGATCGATCGCATCGAGCCCACGACCGACCACATCGTCGTCGACTTCTTTGGCGCCCCTCGCGAATACCTCGGACCGGATGCCGATCCTCGTGTCATCACAGGGTGTTGGATCGAATCCTGCATCCACGAGGATCGACTCGTGCCATTCGATGACCGATTGCTCGAACGCCCCTTGCCGTACGAGATCCCCATTCAAGGTGCGGACCAGCTCAGAATCCATCTCTCGGGCTTCAGCGACATTGGCAAGATCCATACAAAGAGATTCCTCAAGGAGATTGGAGCGGGCACTTCCAAAGTCTTTAATCGATCGTGTACGCACCTGATCCACGTCGATGCTGGGAAAGAAGTGGGAGGCCCCGGGGGGCTCAAGATCGACAAAGCGCGGGAATGGGGGATCCCGATCGAGGGACCGGACTGGTTGAGGAGTTGGGCGGCCCAACGAGGCGTAATTCCTTCGGCTTCGTCTGCCGAGTCGGCGACGTCAGGGACGACTCGGGACAAGAAGGGCAAGGGCAAAGCGACGGTGGCCCCGAGGGACATTACGAACGAAAGCCAACCTCGTCTTGCGAGGTCTCGCACAACTCCTCACGTGGATACCACCGTCGCAGACGAGAACCAAGCCATCACGAGTGGCGCCCTGTCCGGATGCGTCATCTTCGTCTCGAACAAGTTGGCTAGCGTCGAGAAGAAGAAGGTCATCGGCAGCGTCACCAAACTGGGCGCTACGGTCGCCACTTCGTTCGACCCCTTCGCAGCGACGCATCTCGTCTACGCCAGTAACCGATCGAATGACCCTTCGAGCGAGTACAAGAAAGCAAAAGCGGCGCAGACCTGTATCGTGCATCCTCAGTGGGCCGTCGAGTGCGAACTCTTGGATGAACGAGTCAACGAGCAAGAGTACCCTCACACTTTTGATCCGAAGAGGGGCGGACAACTCGCAATTGTTGCCATCAGCTCGCCCGCGAAATCACAGGAGAGAGCCCAATTGGTTGCTTCGCCGGGAGGACGTCGCGCTAGTCGACCACCTAATTCGCAAGCCCTTTGGATGGAACGGAGCAATAGCTCGCCGAACAAGCCAGCTACGCCGAAGCGTCACAATGTGGACATGGATGACTCGTTCGGGCCCCTTGCGGCTGCTCAACCCGTGCATTCGGTTTGTGCAGACGAACCTTCGTCGCCTCGCCTGTCCCAAGCTGCCGTAGAGGCAGGCGCTGGTGCAAGAGTCGAATCAAGATCTTCGTCAGACCCCGCTCCTCTCCCCGCAGGAGAGGATGAAAGCTTTCAAGAGACGGGACGGAAGAAATCCGGCAGCACGCAGCATTTTGATGAGCTCACGAGGACGACATCGGAGCTGTTGGCGCACTTTGCCGATCTGGGAGGGGAATTGGCCAATCCTGCGAGGGCTTTGAGTCGAAAGAGGGTGCGTTGTAGAAAGGGTTTACTTTGGCTGTGATCTCTGATCTGACTGTGGTGTGTCTTTTCTCCCCTCCTTCTCAGAGCCACGTTTCGAACGCCTCGACAAAAAGTTCAATGTCGATGAGTCGTGATGGATCCAAGAGTTCCGAAGTACCTCGCAAAGTACCCGGACAAGCGATGTTCGAGCCCTCGCAATTCACCCAGGCTGGCGAAGATACCTATGCCGTCGAATACGATGACCCTGCTGAAGTCGCGGCTCGTGCGGCGTTGGCCTTTGCTTTGGGTGGTGGTAGGGATCCGACCACGACGACCGAGACGATCGAGGCCGCACCTGTAAACCAGGGCTCGGAAGACAAGGAACTCTACATGCGAACGAGCACGCGTTCGAGCGCTCGGAAGCGCAAAATTGATAATGATCTAACGGAAGAAGAGTCGTTCGAGTTCGGCAAAGTCGGAAAACGGACTCGAGGGGCGAGGTGAACCTCATCGCATGGGTTTAAGGCAATCGTACCAGCTCTTTATCCGGATCTTGTGTATCGCTACCAGGGATTCGTGGTTGTATATTTGCATCGCAGTTGTTGTGTACTACGTCTCAACGTTACATGCTTCTTGAGCGATCTATCTCGCCGAGTGTGTTTGTATATCGAGCTGTCTCGCATCGACGGAGCGGCGTTTCATAGGATCGAGTGACCCTCATATCACTCGTCGTGATTATTTTCGTTCTTGTTGACTTCCGTCTCTGCGATCCGAGCCTTTGAGGCCTTGCCATCGAACAGAGCTTCAATCTCCTCCAAAGTCTGTTTTGGAGCGTGCAGTCAAACACAGGTCAGCTCGAATGCCATCCGATTGGGCAGATCGAGGGGCACCTACATAACCCTTGGTCTCGACGCAAAGCAAGTAGACCAACACGAGTTGCACGACCATAATCCCCGTATAAACGAGGTAGTACTTCCAACTGATACGTTGCAGCGCGATCGCATTGACGTAGCCGTTGAAGATGGAGATGGCCTTGTTCTGTACGGCCCAAAGACCTTGGGATTGAGCACGGAGGGAATAGGGCATCACTTCGACGTTGTAAGAGAAGAAGAGGGAGCCGCAGGGGATGAAAAAGATGAAGAGGTAGAGGAAAAGTAGGGCGACGTGGGTTGCCCCGGCGGCTTTTGAGGCTCGGGTGACGAATTGCTGGGCCGTGACGACGAAGGCGACGTTGACGATGATGAGAGCGATCCAGGACGTGAGTAGTAAGCGTCGACGAGGGGTCCGAGTGACGAGGTAAGAACCTAGGAGGGCTCCGGCAATGACGGCGATAGTTAGGCCCCCGTTGATGCCGGTTTGACTGGCGGGGGATGTGATGCCAACGAGGTCGAGGATTTGCGTGTAGTAGCCCCCAACGATGGCGCTGCCGGACAAGTTCTGCATCGAGCAGATGAGGATCACTGTGCGGGTAGAAGCACAAACACGATGAGACACTTTTTACAAGACTCATACATGAAGCTTACCAATCGCGGTAAGACGTCTGTTCCGTTTCGTAGCGAACAACTGGAGCCAACTTCCTGATCGACCTTTCGCGTGCTCGGCTCCAATTGCTTTCTTCATCTCTTCAAACTCGAACACCACAAGCTCATCATGAGCGTTACCATTCCCATGATAAGCAACGAGGAAGGCCATTGCTTCCCTCTCGCGCCCTTTGGACATTAGCCATCGCGGTGATTCGGGGACAAAGTTGATCACGATAGTGAGGTAGAGCGCTGGAACGATCTGAAGGAGGGTTGGGATTCGCCATGCCCAGTTGTTGGGGAGGAACGAAGTACCGAATATGATCCAGGCCACGATGAACGAGCCGACTGCACAACATTAACGGTTAATCAGCTACCGGGGGGGTAGAACACTTCGCTGCGCACACGCACGAGCGTAGTTCAAATTGAACATCGATCCAATCAAGGCCCTTTGCTTGGGATGTGCCCACTCTTGAAGCAGGATAGGTCCAACGATAAGACTGAACGCCAAACCACTCCCACAAACGGCCCGCGAAACGACGAACAAGGTGTACCCAGACGAGGGTTCAATTCCCGCGGTCACGGCGATCACAGTCCCTGCGAGCATCATCAAGCTCGCCCAGCGAACGCACCATCGTCGACCGAAGCGATCGGCGATGTAAGCTGCGATAGGCGCAGATAAGAGTCCGGCAAGGTAGAACACGGCGTTCATTAAACCGATGTCACTCTGTGATGGATGGTTGAGCGCGGTGTGCCAAGAGGGGAGGGCTTGTAGGCCAGCTGTCAAGTTGTCGTCAAATCCATTGAGACATTGGGCACAAAAGAGGACCGATACCTGGGACAGAATACAGGTCGTTGAGTCTGTGGAAGCCTATAACCAGAGCCAGAACCTCGGCAGGAGAGTCTAAGGCTGAGAACGAGACGTGCGGAGAGCAACCCCTTTTCAACCCGGCCGTTGCGCCTGTGAAAAAAAACGGCTGCGTAATTTACCACCATCGGTGTTCGCACAGACGAGCCTCCACTCCGTCTACTCGAAGTACAGGGACGGTCAGAATGGACAGTGTGGACTCACGAAGAAGTTGAGTTGGATCAAACCCCGATTATACCACCAGTGCATCCCGTCGAGCGAGTTCGGCAACGTTGCCCAACCTTCGGCGTTCGCCGCCGTCGCCGCCGCTCGGCCTGCAGCGGCTGTCGAGCTCGAACCGTTCGTTGTGTAGTCGTGCCCGTCACTCACCCGGGGTAGCTGGACAGCAGGTGATGTGGCGAGCATGTCATACGCGTATTCCCTGCAAGTCTGTTCGAGGTGTAATGACAGTGATCAAGAATGCACCGTCCATGAACCTTGCCAGCCGAACTGGGCCAAGGGCTGACTGCCGGCGCTAGTTTAGCCGACGGCAAAAAAGGAGTCACGGGGGTGGACATCGCATCACAAATCCGACGCGGCCTTCGCGAGTTTTTCACTCCACATCCACATCCAAGTTTGAATGCGATAAATTGTACGGCTCTGCGCATATTTTATGCTGTCCCTTGCATTGGGCTCCGATGTCTGCCGGTGATCCGGGAAAACTGGTTCCATGCTGCCGCGAGAGTTCGAGCGTGAAAAGAACAGATCGCTCAACTCGTTCGCCGCTTGGGTCCCTTCGTGCAGCCGGCATCTGGATGTGTAAGTACTCGTGTCGAGCAAATGAAGTCAGGCATCCCTACAGTGCAATCTACAACCGCCTTCTGAGCCCATCGACGGCGGCTTCCCCACTTCTGACCGCCCGCTCCGCCGCCTCGACCGCACGGTTCGACACGGCCCTCCAATGATCCGTCGGGTTCGGGGAGGCAAATTCCCTTCGATATTCATCACTCAAAGGGGTCTTGTATGCTCCTTCGATCTGCGGTGGTGGTGGTGGCGTCCATGTCGAGATCAACCTCGAGAGCTGAAAATGCAGCGTCGAGACGATGGAGCGCAGAGAGAAGGCCTGGACGAGTCTCCGTGGGGGTCGAGGTAGGAACCTCTTCCACCCTGTCCGAAAAGGTAGCGCAGATTCGGGATCGGTCGAGGATTCCTGAATGGGCACTTGCTTGGCTGTGGTAGTCAAGATCGTGCACTCTTCCCACCGCTCGTCGGCCCTCGTGGAACCCATCGGATCAGTCGACGACGTCGCGACAAGCTCTTCCTCGCCCACTACCTGCCCACCATCCGGAACCTGTCTGATCGGCGATCTTCTCCGCCTCGCTTCGACGATCCGTACGAGAAGGTTCTCCGCGGTCCGCATCAGCATCGTCCCAAGTCCTTCCCTTTCGTGCAGCTCGGTCGTGAGGATCGAGATGGTCTCTATCCGGCGGCCTTGGGCAGTCTTGACGTTGGCGATGCGTCGTGCCAAGATCATATCCGTCGTGACCCTATCGCCAATGACGAGGATGAGGGACCCTTGGCCTTGCGAAGGGTCGACTGCTGTGGGCGTGGAGTCAAAGTGCCGTCGTTGGGCGTAAGCCTCCGCGAGGACTCGACCTTGCCTGGACCAGACGATGGGGGATGTTGTTGTCGGTCCCGGTGTGTGGGGTATATGTGAAGAAGGTGACTGTTGTAGTTGGGTAAAGTAGTGGGCGACTTGGTGGGCGCATTTCTTGCCCGGTTTAGGTGTGGGGTGAACGAGCACGGGTACGAGCAAGTTGCGAGAGACGGATTCGGCCTACATCAGACGAGTTGCACTTCTAAGTATATACACCTGGTGCTGGGCTAAGATAGTAGCAAGCCGACTGACCTGGAGTAAGAGAGGATCCTTGCGTGTACCGGCCGAGTTGGAGACGACGAGCACGTTCGCCGTTCCAAAGGTCGTCAACAAGGCTTGCCATGCCGGTCGCAGAGAGGGTGTGAGCCCGTCATCCAAAGGCTTCGTCTATCAAAGTCATGAAAAGCATTCCAGTCAGATGAAGTTCTTTCACCTCGGTCCAGGAGCATCTTTAAGAGAGCTTCGAGGGCAATGATCTCGCACCAGACAATTATCCTTGTCCACAACGACGCCGACCACCCCTCTTCTCTTGAACTCTTGGAAATCCAATGAAGCGATAGAAGGTACCCTGAGTCTAGGTTGGAGTATCGAAGGTCGTAGGACCGCTTGCAGAGCGGCGGCGATCCCGGGCCAGTTGGGCATTCGGAAGCGGGGGAGCGACGAAGCGAGAGCTTGCTAGGTAGAACAAGCTCGAAGAGCTCCAACAAGCTTGCTCCAAGATGGCCCACGTGGGAATGCACTGGGAACAAACGACAGTCAGCAAGTACAGTCGAGAGAAGGCAAGCAGCGCGCTGGCTGAAAGTGTGCGATCTGGGTGAGAGCGTGAGAGCGTGAGAGCGACCAGTGACCACCGGAACGGTGCCAAGCAAACCCGTGCCAGGCAGTGCTTCTTCATTCCCGGCCAGGATTGCTCGGCTCAGTTGAGCTCGCTGGAACAGGTGGCGAATGAGACTGGGCAGCCCGACATGGACTACAGGAGTCTCCAATTGTGTACTGATAGCGTAGGCGCGCGTAATCATCAGCTCCAGTGTGGCTCAGACTCACTACAGCGCCAACCTGGAGTCAGAGTGCCGAGATCACTGAGCCAGCCAGCCGGCCGTGGGTCCGAGCTCAATTTCTATCTCCGAGCACGATCGCCGATGCTCTCCGATGCTCTCGGCCGCTCCCTGCCGCTCCACGCGGTCTCACGCGGTTGCCGCGCCGCGGGGTGCCTATTTTCAGCTTATGCACCCTCGCTTGTGGGTCGGGTCTTTGGAACCCGATCCCTTTCCTTCAGAGTGACTACTACATCGGAACAACAAAACCCCGTTGGATCGAGCCGACCGCGATAGGTGACAGATCACTGGCAGTGCGTGCAGCCCCGGCAGGCCCTGGCTCCAGTGCGCAAGTCGGCAGGTGGCTTATCCTCGCGCTCGCGGTTCACTTCGTCATCCTCGATGGCGAACACCATGCGGTCGCCCGACGCCCACGCCCACGCCCACCGCGGCAACGACGACCACAACGATAACGACTACGAACACCCTTCACCACCATTGACACCTACCACCGCCATGGCTACACCAGCTCAGTCGGGCATTCACCTCGCACCGAACCCCAACATCTCGTACGAACACATGCTCGAAGGCGAGGTGCCCAACATGCTCGCCGATCGGGTCCTCGCCCTTCACGCCAGGCTACCCACGCCCAACATCTCCGCGCCCCGCCACGAGGGCTCTGGCAATGCCTCCCACGATGGAACACTCCACCCTCGCGATCGTTGGTTCAATCGTCTCACCCGATCCCTGTCCAGCAACCGCGGAGATGGTGACGACGACGACGACGACGATCCGAGGAGCAGCAGCACCACCAAGCTCGACTCGGAGAGGGAGCACTTGCTCGGCGATGGCGACCTCGGAGACGGTGATCATTTCGTCCAACGCGAAGATGCGGACGACGCAGAAGCGTCCTCGACAGATTGCATGCGCAAACGGCCGACCCTCGAGAGATCGAGCTCGACATCCCATCGATTGCGATGGTATCAGCGACCGAGCCCCTGGTTCTTCATCCCCGGCACGCTCATTATGGCTTTATCGCTCGGCATGACCATTTCGCCCAAACTCGAGATCTACTACCAACTTGTGTGTCGCAACATTGAGCCAAAGAGGAGCGGCGTTACCCTCCCCCCACCCCTTATCGAGCTCGGACAGCGTACCGCTCGGAACGGACTGGCATCGTCAGCCAAACTCGACGATGATCAATCCCTTGTTCACCGCTTCGTCGAGAGGGCCATGGGGCCACAGCACTTTGAGTTTAGCTCGAGCGCGACAAGTGGAGACTCGTGGTCTAAGCAATGCCACCAGAGTGTCCCCGTTCAGCAAGGCGTCACCTCACTGGTTAGTCAAGCATTTCTCCCGATTGAAGCTGCTTCTTCCCACCCGGCCTCTGATACGCTCGACAACCTGATATGACACAGGCTACAACGCTTACATTTCTTATGGGTGTGCTGTCGGCTTTGACAACGGGCTACTACGGGTCGCTCTCGGACCGACGAGGTCGAAAACCTATCCTCGTGCTCGCCATGTTTGGCACGATCGTGATGGACACCGTCTTGCTCGTCACCGTTCAGTACCACCACATCGTCGGCTACCGATTCCTCTTTATCGGCCCCATCGTCGATGGTCTTTTAGGCGGAGCTACGACTGCCCAGGCGACTTCGAACGCCTACCTGGCCGATTGCACTGACGCCGGATCTCGAGCGCGCATCTTCGCCGTGTTGGGCGGCGTCATCTTTTCCGGCATTGCGATTGGCCCCACCTTGGGTTCGATCCTCGTTCGACAGAGTGGATCGATCCTCTTGCCCTTCTACGTTGCTTTGACCATGCATCTCCTCTATACCTCGGTGATGATGTTTATCATGCCCGAATCGCTCACCAAGACGAGGCAGTACGCAGCAAGGGAACGTCACGCCGCGGAGCGTGCCGCCCGTCACGCAGCCGAGGATGAGGAGGCCCGCAAGGCCAAGGTCAACGGAGTAGCGATGGTCGTGCTTTTCAAAGTCAAGAATATCGCGCGACGACCATGGAAGTTCCTCAAGCCGCTCGTGTTAATCCTACCTCGCAAGCGACAAGCGAACGAGAAGGATGAGGATCGACCCATGCTCGATGCGATGGGTCCTGTCAAAGCGGGATGGGACTTTTCTATGCTCAAGATTGTAATTGCCATGTCGTGCTTCAGCATTGGAATGGCCGTCTACCAAGTTAAGCTTCGTGAGTTTGGTGTCCTGCACCCTACCTCGCGATCTGCACCGAGGATAGGAGCTCATTTGTCGATTCACGCGGGCAGTGTACACCTCGTATCGATTCGGTTGGGGAGCCGAAGAGAACGGTCTCTATCTCAGCTTTATAGGTGTCTGCAGGGTCATCGGCCTCATCATCGTCCTGCCCATCTTCATCCGCTTGGTTCGTCGACCAGCGCCTCTACCGCCGCGCGCGCGACCGGAAGGCGAGCTCGACACGGCTGGACCTACAACACTGACGAAGGAGCAAAAGCTCTGGGACCGGGAAGCGTCATGGTTGCGCACGCTCCATGACTCGCACTTTGATCTCTTCCTCGCCAAACTATCGCTGCTCGTCGACCTCGTCGGCTACGTGCTGCTGGCTCTCAACGGAGGGTCACCTGTGCGTTTCTTGATCGGTACGGGATTCTCCGCCTTTGGTGGAGGTGCCAATGCAGCCGTCCAATCCCTTGCACTCGCGCACACATCTCCGAGGGATTCAGGGCGACTTTTCGCTGGATTGTCGGTCCTGTCCTCCGTCAATGGTTTGATCCTCGGCCCCTTGTTGTTCGGCGCGGTCTTCATCGCCACCGTCGAAAAGATGCCCGAAACGTTCCTTTGGGTCCTCGTAGGGCTCATCACGACTGGATTGGCGACGCTCATGACCGTTCGGTTGCGCAAGAGGGTCGATTCGTTGCAGGAGTTGCTGGATGCTGAGGGGGTAACGGGATCGTGATCGAGAGGCTTTGAGTGGGAGTCTGGGTGACGAGGTGGGTATATGCGATTTCCTTGTGTAGCGTTATGGGGACTGTTGAAATACGAAATAGAACAGGAACGATTGATGACGTTTCGAGAGACTCATAGTGTTGAGCGCGAGTACCGGGGTGATCGGCCTTGATGAGGCACACAGGCGCTTGGGACCGAGTGGCGACCAGAGAAAGGTAATTCTGAAGATCATCGAATGGTCAATTATTCCCAAGATCTACAAGATCAGAATGAGTGACATCGAGCGTTTCATGAGTAGCTGGATCACGGCGATACGATACACACCTACCGAGATATCGATTCGAGCAGTGAAGTGGCGAAGCGGGGCACCGCTCGGTCTTTTCGTCGCCAGCACCGAGCACGGTGACGTCGCGACCGCGGCGGCCGTCTCCGTCCGCTTCATTTCAAGTTGCTGCGTCGTACACGTCGCGCGCACTATTGCAGAAACCGAGCGATCAAACAGCATCAAACCGAAAAAGCTCTCTTTACCTCTCCGCATCATCTACCATGTCAGCCTCCGTAATCAACTCACTCGCTTCCGCGAACCAGGTGAGCCCCACTTTGTGTGACGGCGATCGAGCGCGATCTCAAAGACGAGCCACAAGAACCTGATGACGCTGATTGATGTGCTTGCGCTTGTCTACTCAGTCTCTGCTCGAAGCTAAAGCTGCTAAAGGTGAGGAACACTGGACGTTGCGTTGTGCAGCCTTGGTCACTTGGCCAAAGCTTCAGTACTGAGCTGTGGACGTCTCGAGCAGGCCTCACCTTCGATCAAATCGCGAAGGAGCTTGGCCGCAACGAGATTTACGTAGCCGCGGTGTTTTACGGGCAGGTCAGGAAGAAGAACTTGGTGGCTCAACTGATTCGGTTTGGGTGAAGCTGACATGCCATTCCTTTCTAAACCTCGACTTGAACGCTCTTCAACTGACAGGCCAAACCTACCAAAGAGGACCTCGAGGGCTTGTCGAAATGTTTGGGAGTTGACCACAACGTACGTGTACCAAAGTCAAAGGTTGATTCTTCTTCTTTCGACCCGCTGAAACTTAACTGCGTTGATCGTGCATTGGTTGATGATACCGTGCAGTCGCTCGTCTCGACGATGGGACAACACTTTTACCCCGAGCGAGGTCTCGGCGTTATGCCACCTACGGATGCGCTCTTGTACCGTCTCTACGAAAGTACGTACGACCATCCTACAAAGACACAATGAAGCACACCCTTGGATCTGACACTCCCTCTCCCTCTCTCCACAAGTCATCCTCGTCTACGGCTACCCTCTCAAATCCGTCATCCATGAAAAGTTCGGCGACGGCATCATGTCCGCGATCGATTTCCGTGCCAACGTCGAGAAGGTCAATGAGGAAGGCGCGGATCGGGTCAAGTTGACGTTCGTGGGAAAATGGTTGCCGTACAAGAAGTGGTAGGCGGGAAGTGGTGCCTTGACTCGGCTTGAACTGAATGCAAGGCCGTGAAAGACGGCCCTTGACCTTGAGATGACCAAACGAAATGTTTACAACATACACTCATGAAAATGAAGACTGGTAATCGAAAAAAGAAATAGGACCCCTTCATCACGCCTGGGTTGTTGATCTCTCGGCGGTCGGGGACGAGGCGCCCGATTCGGTGCCGGGCCCTAATGCGACACTCGCGTTGCCAGACATGAGATCCGAGATGGAGGTTTCGAGCGAGTCAACACGTGTTGAGAGGGATGTTACTGTTGGAAGTAACAAAGGGTGTCAGATAGGAGAACTCGAGTGGGCGGGCTGGGGACGACCTACGTCGCGAGAGAACGTCCGCACTCATCCCGTCGAACCTGGCCTCGAGGTCGTTCAACAACTTATCAACCTGCGAGTACGAAGAAGGCATTAGATTTGATCGATTCTTGAAAGGATGGAGGTACGAGTATTTCCGCGCATGACGTACATAGCTCGTCAACTCCTGCGGGTTCGTCACCTGCGCCATCTCGTCATCGTTCAACGCCAGTCTAGCTGTGCCCACCCCGAGCCGAGGCGACTTGGGCAGACCCAACCCCAGCCCAACATTAGACGTTGACCGTGGTGGCGAGTTGCTCCCCAAACGTTTGGCCGCTCCGCCAGCGCCGAGGGGAGGCGAATGGGGTACGAACGCGCTGCGTGGACTGATCGCTAACGTGTTCGTGTTCGTGTTGGGTGATGTGGGGAGCGACGAGAAGAGTTGGGAAGAGGGGGAGGACTGTTGCGATCGTGGGGAAGAGACGTTCAACGGCTTGAGTGACATGGTCGGTTTCGTGGAGAGGCGTGTAGGGTTGCCGGATTGCCGGATGTTGAGAGCAGGCACGAACCGCGACGAGGTGGGATCGCCGACTCGAGCGTTCCCGAGTGTGCGCTTAGGGACTATAAAGTAACGATTCCCCCTGAAAGAGCGCAACTAAGCGGGGATCGACTTTTTAAGGGAAGTAAAGTGTTGTAGCACGTACTCCCGCGGCTGTGGGAAACCTTGCTTATTCTTGGCGTGCGGCAAGTGATGCATAGCAACCGCGGCATTTGATCAGGGGGTCATTTATGGATCGGACGACCGGCGGCGGCGCGAATCGTGCCGATCGGAGTCACAACTCGCCGATGGGAACGGTGACGTGGATGGCAGCATCTACATACTCAGTCCAAGGAGGTGAGACCGATGCCTAACCGATCGAGAAGAGCGCAGTGCGTTGACACGAGAAAATGGAACGACTGTTACCATGTGTCTGGCTTGACATGCGACGGTTGGTGAGTTTATCCGCACGCCTGCCGGATCGATGGCCCTGGGAGCGAGCATAGGAGGCGAAAGCTGCCGCGCCTGAACCTCCCCTGAATCATCGGTGTCAGCTCGGAAAAGCAAGATGCAAGACATTCGCACTGTCCTTTTTTTTCGACTGCGAGTAGCCTGCTCAACTTTCTGGTCTCGCAAGTCTGGTTGGGCGGTAAGTGCTTACACCGCCTGAAAAGGAACGATACTTTGACTCTACTGAATTCCTTGCTCTTTTTCATAGAATCGTCCTATCCAGTTTGATGATCATCGCCCTGTTCAGTTTGTTCAGTTCGATGAACACCGACCCCTGCAACTTCCCGACCGATCTCCTAAGTCCTGACGAGGTCACACGATTCGCGCGCTCAGAGCTTGTGCTCACCCCTGTCGCAACAGCTGGTTTCATTCCTTGAAGCCCCACCATCCCGGAAAACAGGCGAGCAAAAACAGAAGTCCACTCGTACCGCGTGCAATATGCCGACGGAATGCCCTCTCAAGTTTCAGCCCGTCCTCTCTTTCGCTCTTGTTCTCCTTCCCACATATCATCTGCCTCACCGCGTCCCTCTCCCCCTCGAGCTCTCATCCTCGACACTCTTTCCCCCTTTGCCGCCCACCACCATTTTCTGTGAAGATGCTGATGCACGGCCCGAATGTGCTGGGCATGGTCGCCCTGGCTTCGCTACTACTTCCGACCGTCGTGTTCGCCGATCAACCAGCCGCTGAGGACTGCATCGGCACGATCACCAAAGAATCCGACGTTACTGGCGCCCTCAAATGCAAGGATATTCGCCTCGGTAGCTTGACCATCACGTCAGGAAAGGTGCTCGCGCTGGATGTGCGCCCAGGCGCGAAGGTCACAATGTGTACGGAGAGCCCTTTGACCGCTGATCGATTGATCCACGCCCATGACACGAAGACTGATCGCTTTGCCCTACGTTCCCCAATGCGTGTGTGGGGGGGATAACACGTTTCTGGACCCGAAATATAGATGGTGATATTCTATTCGACAACTACAAAGGACAAAAGGGGGCCATGATGTACAGTAAGTCGCAAAAAAGTGTCTCCTATCGCCCAGCAGTTAACAAGTTAACATGCTCCTGACTTGAAATACATTCTTCGTGACCATCTCACCAACCTAGTCAAAGGTCAGGGGATCACGGTCCAGGGCAACAATCATAAAATCTTGGCCAATGGTCAAAAGCACTGGTGAGTTCGTCCCGCGACATCGGTGTAAGCAACGGGGCCGACCAGAGCAGCACCGCTCATCATGCTCTTGACGTTTGTGTCCAGGCCCAAAACCGTGAGCTCCTAAACAGGCTGTTTGGAAAGTAATTTTGGATTGATCAGGATTATCCGCACAATGCTTGTGTCCTTCCCTAGACCGGAAAAAGTCAGTTGAGGTTTTTGGACTCGCTACGACGGCAGTCTGCTGACCGTAGTTGGTGATCCCATATCCGAGCAGTCCCTTACGACGTACCAACGCCAGTGATGTTATTCTTGGCTAGCGGAAGCGTTCAAAACCTCGCCGTCGTCAACTCACCTCGTCAAGCCATTTCTATCAACAACCCAGGCCCCCTCACCGTTTCCAATGTCAACGTCGACAATTCTGCCGGCGAAGGTCGCGCGGTGAAGTAAGTGTTAGAGGCGAAGGTCACATCCTCAACCACGTCGACGGTGCCAGCGCTCGACTGTGACTTTGAGTTACCTACTGATGTGTTGATTATCTTGCAGTACCGATGGGATGGATATTAGGGCCAACGGTCCTCTCGAAGTTACTGGATGCACCTTCACTTGTCAAGATGTGAGCACCCGCCAAGTGCACTGAACTGACTTGCCGTTCGACAGCAGCGCTGAGACTTCATGATCTGCTCGCCCTCCAGGATTCCATCGCCATTAGTGGGGGTGACCAAATCAACATCAATCATAACATATGCATCGGGGGTCACGGCATTTCCATCGGATCTGTTCGAGAGTAAGTCAGCTTGGCGAGGGGCTTGGGACCTCCGAGCTTCCTCGGCCGACCCCAGTGGTTGATTTCCCGGGCTATCGTCAATGATGTGGTCTATTCAGTGGGGACAAGATCACCAACACGCGCATTGCTTTCAACACCCTCCACCAATCGGTGAACGGCCTGAGGATCAAGACCATGAAGGACGCTCAGAATGCGCTCGTCGATGGCGTCACATACGAGGGCAATAAGGTAGGTCGCCCTCAGAGGCTGCGCATGAACTAGTGTTATTCTGATGATTTCCGATTGCTCGTGATGCAGGGAACGGGTATCAAACGTTTTGGCTTCGTACTGCAACAGAGTGAGTTGATCATGTGAACGTTTGCTTGACCGCGTCGGGCAGAAATTCACCGGCACATCTGCCACGCCCCAAATTCAGACTACACCAACGACAACGGCCAAGGGCAGGCTCCTACCAGCGGTGTTGTGGTCAAAAACGTGTACTTCGCCGACGGTAATCAATTCACCCTGGATCAAGCTGCAATCAGTATGGTGGCGGTGTGCGGCCAGCATTGCCCCACCAATCAGATGGGTCTGGACAGGATCAAATTCATAGGAGGGCGGCAATCCGAAGCGTATGGTTACATACCTGTAAGCAACCCCAGTCGTTGTACTTGATTACGTATTGAGAAAATGGACGGTACCTAATTATTCTTCTGTCTTGCTTTTTGCTGACTGCCCATAGGAGTCCATGCAAGCCGAGTTGAGCTTGATCCAACGCGTGACGCCGCAGACGAAGTCTACCCCTGCATGGAGCCCCGCGCAGGGCCAAACGGGTTCCCAGCAAACCAAGCCGAGTGGCGGCGCCCAGAGTGCTGGCACCAAGAAGTCGGGTCAAAGTGGCTCCCACTCTTCCTCTTCCTCTTCCTCTCATCAGCACTCTGCCTCTTCCGCCTCCTCTCATCAGCATCGGCATCATGGTCCCGGTCATTCCGGCATTTCAGGCGCCCCCTCACTTGCCGCTGTTCAACAGCAGCAAGGCATCAAGAGGCAGCGCAAGGTCAACCACCACCATCGCAAACATCACCACGGCCACCCGTCTCACCGAGAGTGAGCATCTTCACCACGCCTCACGTCCCCAGGTCCTCGGACCCCGTGTTTCGAACGGAAGCTGGCCTTCCCGAGAACACCGCGACCCTCCCGAGTGGCCTCAACGACTTCGCACCGAGCCTACATTTATTCTCCGTCTTTATCCGTCGGGCTCTCTACTTCGCTCTATTTTCTCGTCCTGAAATCCGATCCCGTCTTGGCCATCCGCCAACCACTCTCCTTTTACTCTAAACCGTTTACGACTTCCGTCAAGTTTGGTCCCCTAGCTTTTTCCTACTTATTTATGCTCGCTGTGAATATCAACGACTTGCGTGGAAAGATCCGAGAAAAGCCGACTCGTACCAGTGCTATGCAAGGCCCGCGGCGCTCACTTGAAAATCTTGAATGGAAGCGTCAAGGCAACCTTGTTCGACTGCGCAATCGATTCCGATTGCATCCTAATTTCGACTACTGAACCCGGGTTCTGCTCGGCGACGTTCGCGGCCCCAACAATGTCCTCACGTGATTCAACAACTCCCTCGTTTGCTACGGATCGAAGTTGCAAACCTAGGTCAGATCTCGAGGTCGCGATATGGGATCCAGGGCGAAAAGCTAAGGGGAACTCACACCCGTCGTCACGATCTCCACGGGTCCCGAAGCGTCCTCGGAAGCGATTGTCGACGAGGTATGTTTCTTATTCAACCATTCGAACGCTCCCAAAGACTCGTTGTTCGATCCTTGACTCCCCGTGGGCGTCGAGTTCGAAGTCGCGCCTCCTCTCGACTTGCGTTGCAAGATCGTGTCGATGCGCGTCTCCCAACCTGCTTTACTCTGGACAAGGCTGACGAGTCCTACATCGTCGATGGGTGGATTGGAGACGTAGGGACAGAAGGATTGGTGTTGTTGAATCAGGTCGAAGGGTTTCGATGGGGTCGACAAGTGGGGCGCAAGGAGGACGGTCCGGGTGCAGTAACGACATTCAAGTATCGGGGTTGTGGAGGGTGCGCTGGGTACGGGTGTGGTTGTAGGTGCTGACCAGCCGAATAGTGCAAGGAGAAGATGCTCTCGTGTCGTTTCGTCGGTATTGGATAAGCCCTGTTGAAGGATGTCGAGGCAGTGCCGAAGTGCCACGCGGTGTGGTTCCCTCGAGGGACCTTGGAGTGTCAACCCGTGCAAATCGCCCAACGTCTGCTGCAGCTCTTTGGCCTGTTGCCCCAATTCCTGTATCAACGCCTTCCTCCCCCACTGAGGTAGTCGATACAACCTCAACGAAGCCCCCTTGACCCTCCAAGGACACGTCCTCAGATGAGCCAACCTCAATTCCGCCTCGTACGTCTGAGCCAATAGTCGACCCGGTTCGGAACTCCACGTATGCGGACTCGGTAACGGCGCGACGGAGAGGAGGGCATGGCAGGTCGTACATTCGATTTGGTCCCTTTGGGTTTTGTGCGAGACCCAGCCGAGGAGAGCGCAGTGCAGCGCGTCCAAGGGGGACGGTTTGCCGGGGGTGAAGGTGGTGGAGCGGTAGGTGCGGATACGGGAGATGAGGGAGCGGAGAGAGGTCGGCTCATAGGTGGGCGGTTTCGGGAGGGAGGAGCAGTCGGAAGCAGGTCCACGGTGGTGGGAGCTGGTGGGGAGTAAGGCTTCGAGAGCGGCGGTCGAGTGATGACCTGAGGCGGGACGTGGTCTGCGAGGAGAGCAAGAGGGTGTTGTCAGCTTGGACATGCATGCGGTAGACGCAAAGTTCTGCACCGACCTCTTGCGAGCTGGGCAAGTCGTGTCGGACGAGCTCCGCAACGACGAGGACGAGGTGGAGGTGGACGGTCGGAAGGCCTCGTCGAGCTTGGCGATGGCGTCGATCAGCTGTCGTTGGGTGATCCGAGTCGACGTCGACTGTTCTGTGGCTTGGTCTGCCATTGTTCGGAAAGGAGCAACGTGAGCTGGGCAGAGGACAAGCGCGGGTAGAGTGCGGTCTATTAGTGCGGTGGTGCCGTCATCGCCCGCGCCAGTCTGCGCCAGTTCCTGCCAGTTCGATAGACCGCTCAGGACAGCTTGCGGACAGTTGCGGACTATCTCCGACTCTCCTGTGCTCTGTGCGACGTCGATTGCTTGTGTCGGTCGTACGCCTTCTCAATCGGCGCCTCGTGCGCGTTCTCGGCCAAGCAATAGCCACCGCCACCCCACCATTGGGGACCAGGGGGGTCGCACCCGGCCATCGCGTCGAGCTCGAGCACGCCGACTCGTCTCCTTCGGTGTCTCGCACGGTCGCACGACCTCTTCGCTCCGTCATCGTCATCGGTCGTCGACGATACCCCGCGCAACAGGGCAGTACGAGCCTCGGCTGCGACTCACTCGGTCGTACCACCTTCTGCAACTGGTTTGCAACGCAGCATAGATTGTATGCCCGGCAACACATTGGACTATACCCTCCTTGGAACTCGGAACTAGACGTGTGTCGAGTACGAAAGGGACTTGCCGATTCGGTCACGCAGCCCGAATCGGACGGACCGGGACTCGACTCGGCCAGTTGCACCAGCTCGGCCATCATGGGCCACCATGCTCAACCCAGCTCAACACTTCCAATACTACTCTTCGTTTTCCTCGTCTTCTCGCACCTCTCCGCACCGGCCTCGGCTTTCTTCTCGTCCAAACGCAAGCTTCAACTACGAGAACAGACGCGCTCGCTCTTCCACCATTCCTACGACGCCTACAAGCGCCATGCCTATCCCCTAGACGAACTCAAACCCTTGTCCTGTCAAGGCGTAGGCGTCAATCGCACACACCAGAACGTGTTTGACAATGACGTCTTTGGCGACTTTCAGTTGACCTTGGTCGATACACTCGACAGCTTTGCCGTCAGTCTCTAAAGCGTGTTTCGATCGGGAATGCCACGTCACTTTTAATTTTTGGGGTTGACCTTTCCTCGGTGGTCGTCTCGGCGCAGATTTTGGGCGAGAAGGACAAGTTCGAACAAGGCGTCAAGGAAGTGATCGAGACGGTCAACTTTGACAAGGATGCAAAAGTGCAGGTCTTTGAAGTGACAATACGAATGGTCAGTTCTTCCAGAGTCGTTGAGCCGAGCAGAGCTCATCCGTCAAAACTGATCTGGCCGAATACTTGCCCTTCCAAAGCTCGGGGGACTGGTGCGTTGTCGATTGGACTTGAGACGAGTATTCAGCACTGATCATGCGTTGTCCGTCACACAGCTATCGAGCCATATCCTCGCCACCTCTCGGACCAGAGGATTCTACCTTCCGTGGTACCGGAACGAAATGCTCGACCTCGCCGACGATCTAGGTCGACGCCTCTTACCCGCCTTCAAGACCCGCACGGGGATACCATATGCTCGCGTCCATCTCCGGCACGGCGTTATGATGTTCGAGTCGACCGAAACCTGTTCTGCAGGCGCAGGGTCGCTCTTGCTAGAGTTCGCGACCTTGTCGAGATTGACGGGCAAGAAGGTTTACGAGGACAAGGCCAAAAAGGCGTTCTTTGCGGTGTGGAACCAGAAGAGTGATTTGGGATTGGTGGGAAACTCGATCTTGGCGCACGATGGCAAGTGGTTGACCACTGCTACTTCAACGGGAGCGGGGATTGATTCGATATTCGAGTGAGTCGTCATCGTGGATCTTCGATTGGTCTCGTCCGGGCGGGAGCTGAACTCATCACGACGCTTCCTCAGATATGCGGCCAAGTCATATATCCTGCTTGGCGATGACGAATATTTGAGAGTGTGGAACGACATGTACGCTGCGATCATGACGCATCTCCGAGCCCCTGATGGCTTTTGGGTGCGTACGAATTGCGCCCATCGGGTCGGTGCTAGCCGTCTCGTTTCGCCGATACTGAGTCTAACTCTTATCCGCAGTACCGCCCTGTCAACATGTACACGGGACAAATTGCCAACTACCAGGTCGACTCATTGTCGGCTTTCTTCCCGGGCCTACAAACGCTAGTCGGGGACATCGAAGCGGCGATCAAGGCCCACGCCGTTTACGCCTTTCAATGGAAACGATACCATGCTTTGCCGGAGGTTTTCGATATAAGTAAACGGATGGCTGTGAACCTTGGTCAGTCCGAGAGAGGAGAGAGGAGAGGGTGTTGGAACATGACGAGGCGGCAAAATGGCCGGGTCGATCTGACCCCTCATGCATGCAGTGTACCCCCTTCGACCCGAGTTCATAGAGTCGAACTACCACCTCTACCGAGCGACCAAAGACGACTGGTACCTCGAGATGGCGGAAGAGATCCTTCAGGACCTCATCTCGCGCGTCAAAGTCACCTGCGGCGCAGCCTCCCTCCTCAACGTCATCTCGGGTGAACGCGAGGACAAGATGCCGAGTTTCTTCACTTCTGAAGTCAGTGTGCCGTGTTCGGCAGGCCAGTATCCGAGAAAAGCGAGCTGATCTTACGACGCCATGACCTGGTAGACTCTCAAATATCTTTATCTCACTTTTGACGAAGGGAATCCATGGAACCATGACGATTCCAACATGGTCTTTTCGACCGAAGCGCACATGCTCGAACTGATCGATCGACCAAAGCCCAAGAAGAGGAGGCGGAAAACGTCCAAATCCACGCCCTCCTCAAGCACCAAAAATTCCTCATCGACGACACAGTCCACTCGTGCACCGATATGCCCTCGCTATGATCCGATGCAGACGGACAAGCATCAGCATTATTTGTCGAATTCGGTGGGGACTAGGACCGACTTTGAGCAGGCTAGGTACCTCGTTGGGCATGAGATTGATGTGTGGAGTGAGAAGCAGATGGTTCGGAACGGGTTGTGGTCCCACTATGGGTGGTGTGATGCCGGAATGACGGAGGTGAGCTTGCTTTCATGCATCGTCTGGTTACCGAGCTGATGGGATCTTTGCTCAAGCAGGCCTACACCATCGAACTCGTGTTTTCGCACAACGTCGCGGATGAGGTGATCTCACCCGGACCGGACATGATTGAATCATTATCACCTCCAGCACCGAGCCCACCCGTGAACGACATCGTCCATCCCAACGATCGCCTGATCATTCACCGCGTCCACGGCCTCCGCTTCGCCTTGGCTCGAACGGGGACACCTACTTCGGGACCTGATCAATACAGAGTCTCGAGGGTCGGTCCTTATCAGATCGGTCCTGGGCAGACGATTGTGATCGATGATCCGCTGGTGTTGGAAAAAGTGACTGCTGTAAACCGACCCGAGCGAGTTCAAATCAAGGTCGAATTGACCGAGCCGCTGCCCCTCGACGCCTCCGAATCACCAACCACAACATCGTCCTCCGACGAGGCTCAACCCCCTGCTCCACCTCCCGCAACAACAATCATGACCCTGCCCGGGATTGCCGCTTCCTTCGGTCCAACCTTGAACGACCCCATCCTCCCCTTCTCCTTCTCCCAACGTTCGCTCCCCCTCCTCCTCCTCCCCTTCTCGCCCTTCGGCTGCTCCTTCCAATCCCTCACCTCCGATACACCCCACCCGAACCTCCGAGGCCACATCCTCCTCCTTCACCGAGGTGAATGCAACTTCATCTCTAAAACCGCCTCGGCTCATCAAGTCGGCGCTTTAGGCGTCATCGTCATCAACTCTCCAGGAGTTTCCGACGATGGGTTCATCCCTTCTGCCGAACCGGAAGAACTTGGGCAGTACCAAGATGGATTGGTACCTTTGGTGATTATTTCGCATCAGAGTGGGGAGAGGTTGGAGGAATTGCTTTCGAAAAGTGATGGTCGAAGGACGGGGGAGGAAGGGAGGGGCGTCGTCGATGGGGGAAATGTGAGAGTCAAGGTTGAGGAGAGGGAGGTGGAGCAAGTGGTCGGGCTTGAGGAAGAGGAGGGGAGGATATCGGTTTTGACTCCGATGTTTTTGGGTGGGTATCAGGTGATGAATGTTAGATTGGCGAAAAGGGGGAAAGGTGGCGGTGGCGGTGGCGGTGGGAGTGGGAGTGGGAGTGGGAGTGGGAGTGGGAGTGGAAGTGGGGTGGGCGGGAAGAAGGGGAACGGAACTTGATGGAGAGGAATTGGGATGACCTTTTTTATTGCAAATTATCATGATCGAAAAATGACAAAACAAAAAGTCCAATGGGAGAGTCGTGAAGTGTTACCGAGTAGCCGAGAGATACACAAGAGATGAGAAGAAGAAACACCCAAGATTGCCAAGAACAACTCGGAAAACCCCCCTCTTCACCAGACCCCACCTTTCGAGATGACCCAGGGGCCAGAGCAACAAGGAGGTCCCGGTATGAGATGACCCGTCCTGCATCTCCTCACCAATCAAACTCCTCAGTGTGTAAATCGATCTCTTGAGCTCCCTTGGCAACCCCAAGGAGGATCTCCTTCTGCCTCTTGGCAACAGCGTTGCGAATGGCGCTTGTGAACTCGGAGGGACCGCAGGCGGCGATACCGATTGATTGGGTGGACGGGCAGGATAGGAAGATTTGTGAGAGTAGGAGAGGGATTTGGGGTCGGCCACGGTGGATTGTGAAATAGGGGAGAGGGGTAGAGGAGCTGTTGAGATGAAAGTGGGTGAAAAGGAGGTTAGCTACCGCGGACGGCGAGAATAAACTTGAAATGCGGGTGCGAGGCACGAACCCGGAAGTAATAGATCCTTTCGAATTCAACGACTCGTGTTCCTCAGATTTCTCCTCCGTGATCGACGGGACTGCGGGAACTATCGCGGCTTCGGCGACCTCGTCAAGGGTGATGGCGGACTTGGTGACGTAGAAATGGATGCGAACGAAATCGTCGGGAACGAGGGCGACGACGGAAGCGAAGTGGTCGTCGAGCCATGCGCTAGCCTCTGTCCGAACAAAATGATGAAACCCAACGTAAGTCGCGGGTGAACTCGATTAAAGTCGCCTTCCCATTGACGTACCTGCATTCTTTACCGCCCAATGAACCTCAACTTTCCTCGTCGCAATCCCCTCAAAGTTCCTCGCCTTCCTCTCACACAAATCCTGCAAGATCGAAGATACGAAACTGACACCACTCCCACCCGCAAGAAGGACGACATGTTCGTGCACGCCTAGATCCGAGGTCATGAGACCACCGTAGGGACCGTCGATGAGGACGGGCGTGGAGGAACCGGTGGATGCTAGTTCGAGGAGGGAGGGTCCGAGGCCAGAGCGGGGGGAAATGCGGAGAAGCATCATCATAGTTCTTGGCCCGGCCTGACGTTAGATGGGAAACATGGGATGGAGGAGAGTCAGCGCATTGGACTCTACCCTCAGGGTATGCGCAGCACCCAGCTCTCAAGCAAGACTGACCTTGGCATTGGGATGCAACCAAGGAGCATTCGCGACTGTAATCGGATGACTTTCAAGCGGCCGCGCCTTGATGAAGTTGAGGAACACATGTTGACCCCCCTTCCAACGATGACCCGGTGGGCAAGAGATGAGGACGCGTACGGTCGATTCGGGGAGGAGCTCGACGGTCGCTCGGGGAATTGAGCGGCCGTTGCGCACGAATAGGAGGGCGAAGCGCATGACGACGGAGGAGAGGTCTGCGTGGGCGGTGGTATGTGAGTGGATGGATAGCAAAAGGAAGAGCTACAGGCGAACAATGACTCACAGAGGATCGCGGTGGCCCAGAGATAGTCCCAAGACCCCAGCAGCTGTCCCGAATCGAGCAGTCGAATCCCATCAGCTATCTATCGGCCATGTGGAAGCCTAACCCAATCCAACTTACGCCATGACAATGAATGTAGAAAAAAGCCGAGAAGAGGATCGCCGAAACAAAGTGAAGGTATTTGAAGATCTCGTAAAAGCGATTACGGAGCGGGGTGGCGGATCCCCAGCAGAGCCAAGCGAGGGGAATGAGGGCCGCGATGCCGGACCAATAGAAGACTTTATGGGCGACCCAACCGGAGTAGTCTGTGCAGCAAAGGAAGAAAGGGAATGGGTCAGCTGAATGGTCGTGGGGATGGATGAGCGCACTAAGGTAAACGAGCACTGACAAATTTGAGAGTAATGATGCGGGTTCTTGCCATCGGTATTAGGCCTAATCTCCCTCCCCGCCATCACGAAAGGGAACGTATGCAACAAGGACAAGACCAAGAACAAATGCGACAACCACTGATGCACGACCTGCAACTTCTCATGACTGTATCCCGTGACGAAGCTGACCCAATTCCATTTGGCTCCAAAGGCGAGGATGAAGGGGAAGATGCCGAGGGCGAAAAGACCGGTTCGGATCGCTAGGGGTGGAGAGCCGACGTTCCATTGTGAACGGTAGTAGGGTTTTATGGAGAGGGACCATACGAGGATGAAGATCCAGAAGGAGGAGATGAGTAGGATTGTGCCTGTGGTGGGGAAGCGGATCCAGCCGATCGCCCGGGGTTGGGAACAGGCGATCCAGCGAAAGCCCGCGCGGAAGCGGCGCACGACACGGTTCGCGGCGATGCGGCGGCCGAGACTAGATGGGAGGAAGGCGTAGTGGATATTCAGTTCAAGTTTAATACATAAGGAGGGAGAGGGACTGACCTAGTCCGGCGCAAGACGGTGAACAGATTCCCAATCGCAGCCAAGCCAATCCCAGTAAGGATGAAATAAATCGCCGCTCGGGTGTCTGTCAAGGGAATACATTTTGAACACAGACCATAGATAAGCACCACACACACCCGATTGAGCACTAAAAGATCCCCAAACATCTTCTTCTGATAATAGGGCCAAGCCTGGGAATCCGAGAAGACAGCCGCCGAGCTTACATTTAGGAGCATCCTCATAAGGGTCGATCCGCATTTCGGCTTGTTGCGCGGCGGTGTAACTCGACATGTCCCAAAATGCGGCGACGGCCTCAGCGCCGGCTCGCTTGACCAGCGCTCCCGCTGAGAAGGACGACTCGGAGGGGAAGGCGAGCATGGTGGGATATGGTGGAGGTGAGACGTGCTGTAGACTTATGACAGATGTACTGAAATGTGGCAAGATACGTATCGAGAGACCAAAAGAGTCACGGGGCAGGTGAGGAGGAAGGACGAAGGAAGGGAGAGGAGGGAAGGTGAAAGACCTCTTCCCCTAGCCTCGCCCTCAGCCCTCCCATTCTCATCTCACCGCATCGGGAAAAACCGGTGTTCAGCAAGGCTTGGCAAAATTCACTCAAACGGATCAATGCCTCCCGTTCATCTCTGCTGTGCCCAAGTGTGATACAACAGGTAGCACCAGAGAAGCGAACGAAGACGATGGTGACGGGAGTCGGACGCCGAGGGAATAGGGACCAGATTCGATGAATGCCCAAGCCATCGGGTTTGTTCAACAGGCTTGCGATGAGCGGTTTTCGCTGTTCTTGGACAGTCCCGACCTCCCAACCTATCCTCCCCAAAGGGACGTGTCATATAGGAGTTCAAAATGCGCACCAGGGGCCAGGGGCCAAAGGGTACGGAGGAGCCGAAAGGGGCTTTCATCGTCCGAGGCAAGCGAATACGCCGGGGTCTTTGACAAATCGAGCGGGCGAGCGAACCGGTTGCCGGGTGCGCTATTTTCGAAGCCGGCTTAGTCAGCGGCTGAGAGCGCCTTTTCTGCTTCCGCTGTAAAAGGGGGAGGAAACTAGTAGATGCAATACAACAAGTGCTTGATGGGAGAGTTGCCTATTGTTACATCAAATTCGATGTCTGTTCTTACAAATCAGAAATCATACAAGAACGATTCCACCACAATGCATGTACAACGCTTCTCCGTCAATACCGGTCCGTAGGAGAAACCTAAGCCCCCAACCTACCCTGTACACCCTGTAAACTCTGTAAACCCTGCACACCTGTGCACCCTGTAAACCCTCTACAACCCCTTACACCACCTCCACCACGTCCCTAATAATACTCTCGACGCCCCCTTCCCTGGCCTGTTTCCTCCTCTCCAAAGCGCCAATCTCACTCCCCCAAAAAACGCTCTTCTCATCCTTGGCATTCCTGATCCTCAACCTATGCCCGAGGACGGGCAATAAGACGTGAATGATATCGCTCGGCAAGACTATTGGATTCGGAGCTGGGCGGTCTTCATTTTCGTGTGGGGTCGTAGAATGACCGTGACGTAGGACGATGGAAGTTTTGAGAATGGTGCTGAGATCTTTACTTGCGCGAGCAGTGAGGAACCGTCCGTCTAATTGGGGGTGATGACGAAGGGTTGAGATGAGGTCGTTTTGGTAGTTGATTAGAGCGTCGGAAAATGTCGAGGGTAGGATCGTGGAGGGGAAAGGAAGGGACGAAAGGGGTGGGTTCGAGAGGGGGTGCGAGAGGTGCGTGGGTGGGTGTCGGAAGTCGTAGGTGTCTGGATGGATCGTTAGTGAGAGGGTGAATTGGTCGAGCTTTCGAAGAGAGGGTCTTTGCATCAGCTTCAAGCTCACTTTGGTGTGCGATACAAGTCCCTCGCCCCGCTTCCGCTTCAGACTTACGAGGTATCGATCCAGTCCACCCCAGTCCCCACGATTTCCCTCCTCCAGCACAATCGCAATGCACAAGAACCCCTCCGGCAAGATCCAATCAACATCCTCCTTCGCATCCTCTCCACTCTGCATCCCCTCACTAGCCCTCCTCGACCTCAAGAACCCATTCAACGTCCCCGCTCCCGACCCCATCGCCGTGGTGGTAGTGGTGGTCGTCGTCGTCGTGGTTGTGGACGTCGGTGTGCCGGTCGAATTTGGCTCCCTCCCTAGACCAAGTCCCGACGAGGTATTCATCGGCCGATCAAGAGTGAGCCTTCGCTCCCTCAGCGTCTTGAGTATCCCCTGTTGCGTCCTGGGAGATGTCCTATCCATTCTTTCGATAATGACGACCTGGGGAAGTCGTTTCGATGAAAGGGGGGGAGAACTCGATGGTCGAACGGTGATGGTCGATCGTCGTCGTCGAGTCAGGGTTGGGCTGTTTAGATTCAAAGGATCGAGTTTGGACCGTTGAGCAAAGGTTGTAGAGGAGGGAGGTGCGACTCGGGCACCCCACTGGACTGCCGAAGCCGTCGCGGGGGAGGCCGGGATCGAGTGATCGGTGGTTTGGGAGTGGCTCGGGCGCGGGGTCAGGTCGAGGCTGGTTGGTGTTGGTGGGTGCGGTCGTTCGTGGGAGGTGGCGCGACAAGTTGAGCCGGCTATGATCGAAGGTTTACCCGACTCGCCTCGCCCATGCAGGAGGGATGAGGAGGCGTTGCGCTCGATGTCGATATCGAGGCCGACGAGAGGCGATCTCGGTTGGCTCATCGATCGACTGGGGTTCGGAGATGGTGAGACAGCTCGAGATGTCGATGGCACGGTGGCAAGACGTGGAGTGAACCTCGTTGATGCTGTCGTCGATGTGGCAGCACGCGGGGATACAGGACTTGAAGCGGACGGGACGGGCACGAAGGCGGTATGGTTCGGATCGGGAACGAGCCATGATTTGAGGAACGCGTTGGCCGAGACGGGGTGACGCGGGCATGGCACTGCGTTCGTTTCGAGGCCGTAGAGCGTGCGGCAGATCTGATGAGAGACACCGTGTGTGTCAGCAGATGGCAACTTGGGATCATGCTGCTACTCTGCAACTGACCCAATCGAGTTGGGCACCCAGCGCGGCGACCGCCTCTGCGCGTTCGTGCTTATCCAAAGTGGTCGAACTCAGTCGAACCAAGAGGTGCGATGATCCGGAGGCCAAGGCGAGACGGAAATGGAGGTAGAGGTGCGGATCGAACAGGTAGCCAAAGGTCGCGTGCACGTGCTCGAGCTCGGCCGGTAAGGGCCCGAACGGGGTCGGTGCGGGGGTCGTCATCTTTTGGGTCATGTGGTCAGTGTGGAGGGTGATGTGCTGGTGTGGATGGATGCTGTCATGGTCGATTCCGCGGGTGGGTGTCTCCACGATGAAGTGGGTGCCAGAGACCAACTTCAAGTCTGAGACCGAACATGAGGCCCCGACTCGATTGGAACAGCTTGGAACAGCTTCTAACAAGCTCTAACAGCCTTGCGCCTCCTTGCGCTGCCTGCCCCGCGCGTCTGGTCTGCAAATGCTGTCGTGTTCCTGGTCATCCTCATACCTCTCACTCACGCAGCTCCCAGCTCCAAAGGTCGCCAAATCATGGCCAACAAGAAGAGCAAGTCCTCCCACGCCGCACCTGTGACAGCGTCGTCTGCGGCCAAAGACAAGAAGGCCGTCGCCGCTGCGGCTGCGGCTGCGGCTGCGGCTGCGGCTGCGGCTGCGGTAACGCGTGAGCAAAGAACCCACATCTTGCGGCCGCTTACGGGCGTCAGCATTCGTCCTCCACGAACCAGACTGACCGATTCCCCACTGTTCGAATGGCCAGCCGCAAGTTCGCCCAAGATGAAAGCCACCACTCTTCCCCAGTCGGACGATGAGAAGCAGTCCTCCACGAAGGACGAGGACGAGGACGACGAGGAGGGGGACAAGGCCGTGTCTGCTTCCACGGCTGCACCCATCAAAGTCAACAACGCCTCCTTGACCGAACTCAAACTGGCCGTCGATGACCTCGTCAAAGAGGTCAGCTCAGCTCCTCCGCATCATCATCATCAGTAGCCTGGGTGACGTGGCATGGGGTGCCTCCCGCGACAACTGTCCAGAACTAACCCCCCCACTCTCCTATCATTCCCCCGCCGTGCGCTCCCTTTCACCGCTACACCAGTTCTTCAGTCGACCCTCGCATTTTACCCCTTCCCATACCCACGAAGACGTGCGTCTCATCCTCGGTTGGTCAGCCGTGGTCGTGTCCGCCATTACGGGTTATTACGGTTACGTCGTCGAGTTCCATCGGTCCAAGTTTGGGTGCGCGATCGGCGTCATCGTGTATGTTCTCTTGTCGAACTTGTGAGGGGAGACTGACCTGGTCAGCTGATGAGTTGATTCGGTGATCTAGTTACTCGATCCTGAATACGTTGTACTGGCTCTACGTCACCTACGTCGAGAAGCAAACCATCTTTCAAGGCAAACGAAGGACCTTCGCTTCCAGGGTAAGCTTTCCCCCCTCCACCCCTCCTCCCGAGCCCTTTTTTCTCCCTATCGTACACGTCCACACTCATCCATCCCCAATCCTGAAACCGTACCCGCACCCGTACACGCACAGATCTCTACCGAAACGATATCCCTCTCCTCCACTGCCCGTTCGATCCCTCAAGAACCGTACAACTTTCCCTTCTCCCACTGGACCAAGACTAAAACCCCAAACCCCACCGACCCCACCGCCGCCGCCGCCGCCGATTACCCCCTCTACACTCTCCACCTTTCCTACGTCCATACTTCCAACAACGGCAAGTCGCTCATTCGTTCTTTCGAAAAAACCTTGACCAAGTCGTTCAGCGAATGGGTAGATTCGCAAGGCGTGATTCATAAGCGTATTTTGGAAAACGATTTGCAAGCTTTGTTGAGCGAATGTTTGGAGGGTTAGGGTTTCCCAGCTTGGGGGGGATTGATTACCGTTTGCATTGTAGATAATCTCTTGGTTTTTTTTTTTGATTTGTTTACTTTGGGGAGGTGCGAATATAAACTTTCATGACATACATTTTCGGATGCCCCCCTTGTACGACGAGCTAGCGCGTTCAAACACGATGGACCGTTCTTCTCGGCTCTCGAAAACTTTACAAGGTATGGAGGAACGAAAAAGACAAGACTGCTCTTCTTTTTGGAAAAGATGAAATTGCACCTTTTGTCTTTGTTCCGAAGAAGAATAGAACTGCTCGACAGGAGAACAGAGACAGAACGCATTCCCGTGGTCCTTCCTACACCCTTCGAGAGAACGGAAGGGGCTTTTGGGGGGGTTTCGTCGAATCGAACGAGTCGCTTAAGCGATCAAGGTCGAAGCGGTGGCGGCCTCGAACTCTGTACGAACACGCAATGCGATCAGTTGAACGGTCACGTGTCTTTCCCGCGCGCAGTAGTTAGTTCGAAACGTACTGAAGGTAGGCGGCAACTGGGACTTGGTTCGGTAGTACCTCGCCAAGCGGTGGATCCTCGACTCGATCAAGATCAAACGGAACTTGGAGTCCTTGTCGTGACGGTTCCTCTCCAAGTGCTTGCGCACGGAGACGGCCTTCTTGATCAAGTGGTAAAGATCCTCGGGGATCTGGGGAGCGAGCCCGTTCGTCTTGAGGATACGAAGGATCTTGTTACCGGTCACGGACTTGACTTGGGCCACCCCGTGCGAGTCACGCAGGACGACACCGATTTGCGAAGGGGTCAGACCTTTGCGAGCGAGCTTGAAGATGTGGTCTTGGATGTCGTCGGCGGTGAGCTTGAGCCATTTGGGCGCGGAGCGCTTGTAGGGCAACGCCGAACCGGCGATACCCTTGTGGGGGTTGTGCATGCGTCCCATTTTGAGTTTAGGTGGTGGTGGTCGGAGAAGGGGTTAACTGTAAGAGCGTGGCGAGGAGGGTCAGCGTGCAATCGACGCAGCGAGTCAAGGTGCGACTCACGATCTGTACGGGAAAAGGACCCAGTTGACACAAAAGAAAGACTCGTATAGGGAATCAGTGCCGGCAAAGCCAAAAAGGAAAGAGGCTTGCGCTTGCGCTGCTCTTGTCGAACGCGGCCCCGGTGTGCTGAATCGCTACCGTGACCCACAGAGGGGACAGGGCTAGACAACGACCGCCCACACGAGAACGGCGTGATGAAACAAGACGACGGCGGGAGCTCCCCAAGGACCAATTCTCCTATACATCCCTGATTCCTGGCGACATCATTGCACATGGAATGAGCTCGTCGTAGGAGGTGAAGGCGGTGTAGGTGGGCTGGGCTGGCTCTCTGCCTTTTCGCAAGCGCGGACCCAAGGCTGGGAGATGCGTTTGGCTGGAGCTCGCGCGCTGTCGTCGTCGTCGACATTCACCACGCGTTCAAACGCGGGTGTGAGTTTGTCAACTCTTCCTCAAGGGAGAAAGAGAGCGAGCACGATAAGAAGAGGTCTTATGCGTTCGATTCGAGTGATGGCAAGCATGGGGACTTTGACCAACCTCTTGAGGGGGGGGGGCGTAGACTGAGAGTGGAGACGACGACAAGAGAGGGAGGAAGCTAAAAGCCGCCGCTCGAGCCAGTGCGCGACAGAGCCTGACAGCAATTTTTTCCCTGCGAGGCGTGAGCCAGCGCGAGCGAGCGCGCTTTTTGGCCGAGCCAACGGGTATTTTGACCAGGCGCAGCGACGAGCGCTGTGGGTTAGTCGCGCCTCGAAGGGGGGGGGCCCGTTTCCTTTTCGCAAAGCCCACATTCGCACATCGTAAGCCTTGCCCCCCATATCCTGCTCGGAGGCGTGGTGTCTCTATCGTCGCCGTGGGTTTCCAGTTCCTCACAAGCGACGACTCGGCCCACTCGACCATCGACACGGAGGACGTAGGGAGGACAACACAGGGGGATGGCGGATGCTCAGCGGGCGGGGGCGAGTCGCCGCGACGGCGGGAGACGAGCACGCTCGCTACAGACGACCGACGGTGCATGCTGTAGCCGGTCCGATCGCGAAGAGGCAGAGGATGTCGGCGGAAGAAGGCAACAGATTCAAACGTACATGGTGTAGTAGGGATCAGATGAGCTGACGTTACTTTGCTCTCTTTCCTGCTTGGGGTCTCGCTCGCTCGTTGCCCGCTCGTCGGTCTGGCTCTCGCTGTGGCCCGGCCCCATTACTTTTTGCGTCGCCCACGCCCACGCCCGGCACGTCCTACACACCCCACGCCACGCCTGTCGCCTACCGCCACGCCTCGCGCAATTCATCGCTCTCGCACCGCTCGCCTCCACCCCCCACCCACTCTACATTGCATTGCACCCCGCGCAGATGAAGCTTAACCTCGCCAACCCGGCTACGGGACAACAAAAGACGATCGAGATCGATGATGAGCGCAAGGTGTAAGTTCGCACGCCGCCGCACCACCCACCTCCCAGCTCAGCCCTCGTGCTGTGGCGGATGCCAAAGCTGACGCAACGATTTACTCCCATCCCAGCCGCATCTTTTACGAGAAGCGCATGGCTCAGGAGGTCGCCATCGACTCGCTCGGAGACGAGTTCAAGGGCTACGTCGTCCGCATCACCGGTGGTAACGACGTACGTTGCAGACCCACACCCCACGAAACCTGCCCATCGACGACTGATCATGTCGACCACGACTCTTTCTCACTCAGAAACAAGGTTTCCCGATGAAGCAGGGTGTGCTCGTCCCCCACCGAGTCAAGCTCTTGCTTTCCAAGGGCCACTCGTGCTACCGCCCGCGCAAGACGGGTGAGCGCAAGCGCAAGTCCGTGCGAGGCTGCATCGTCGGTGCCGACATCCGCGCCTTGGCCTTGGTCGTCGTCAAGCAGGGCGAGTCCGACATCCCCGGCTTGACCGACACCGTCCTGCCCAAACGACTCGGTCCCAAGCGCGCGACCAAGATCCGCCGCTTCTTCAACCTCGAAAAGACCGACGACGTGCGCAAGTTCGTCATCCGCCGCGAGGTCGTCCCTAAGAAGGAAGGCGCCAAGCCGTACACCAAGGCGCCCAAGATCCAGCGCCTCGTCACCCCCGAACGCCTGCAACGACGTCGCCACCAGCGCTCGCTCAAGCGCCGAAAGACGGAGCAGCAGAAGGTGCAGGTCGAGGAGTACAAGCAGATCTTGGCCAAGCGTTTGGCCGAGAAGAAGGAGTCCGCCGCCGTCGCCAAGAAGGCCAAGAACATCAACCGAAACTAAACAAGACAAGTTCGCTCCGCACGCAAAACAACCAACATCAGGGGAGGATTTCTCGAATAAAACAAAACTCGGCGCCGAGGGGGGGGGAGACCGTCTCCTTCCTTGGTCGGGAACTGCATGCGTTCTTGTGTTTCAACTTTTTTGTTTTATGTGTTCCTTTCATTGACGACATTGGGGGAAGAGGGGGAGAAAGATGGTGATGTAATCGCGAGAGGAGGATCGGTCTTTTCGTGATTCGAAGATCGACGGTGGATGAGAAGACCAGGGGAACGAGTGTGGGGGTCGATCGTGATTCAGAGTTACTTTCATTGTCCAGTAGTCTTTGGATCGGGATTCGATGCTCAGCTTGCAACCTAGAATCAGCAAAATGCGCTTTCCAAACACAAAACTCCCTGGCTCTTCGTTCCTGCGCGCGAGAGCTTTGGCTTGAACCTTATCCAAAGCTGTTGGCACTACATCAAGTACAACTTCTACAACGGCCAATCGAAAACAGTTCTGGACTTGTTCAACTTTGTGACCCTGACGACATCTCCAACCGAGATGGTTTCACCTGCAGACAGAAGAGAGCCATGGTCAGTCTCCTACCGGGCCCGAAACGCGTTCAACTCGACCGATCATCCCGCCCTGCCAGGGCTTGACTAACCAACGTTCTGTGAGAAACCATAACGACCCTGTTTTGAAAACAAGACCGTACATTAGATTCTTCCTCACGAGATAGCTCCCTCCGAATACAAGTCAGAATTCACGAACAAATACCGGACTATAAGGCTGGCCCGGATCGACCAACCTAGTCTTGGTCAAGATCCTGCGTTCGGCACAAATCACGTCGTATCAAATCACCTGCACGGCCTTCGTAGGGAAAAAAAAGGGGGGTTCTGGACAGGCGATCACTCACTTGAAAGGTAAGTTAGACCCAGTCTTGAACTTGCCTTTCGCGTAGTCGATGTTGAGGGAGACGCATCTCACGCAATTCGAAGTCAGGCGGATCGAAACTGCACACAAAGTTAACGACCCACTTTTTAGACGTAAACTCCTCCCACCAATCACATAACCATACCAAGCAATTTAGATTACCTTTTTCAGCTATCCTTAGCTCAGCCCACCAATCCTCTACCCAAGAAGCGAGAGAATGTCCTCTTTGAGGGGAGACCAAGAACGTAGGTCGGAAGGGGATGATGGATAGGGGTTCGTCGAGTTGGGAACGGACGGCTTCGAGGGAGGCAGAGGAAGCGATCATGTACGAGGCACTGTACGGTGGAGAATGACGAGTGAGTTTGGATGACTGGATCTCCGTGCAATTGCGATTAGGGTGGGGTGATTTACCAATCTTGGAAAGCGAGACCTCTGCTCGGGACAGAAAGCACAAAGGGGGGGAAAACTCGTCAGCTTACACCACATTTCCCCCCAACCTCCGGTCTATTCCCAATCTCACCGATAAAAATTCCCCCCCATCGATCCCAACACCTCCCTCCTCTCCTTCGGCACCATATATACCAACCTAACTTCCTCCCCGACCGTCCCACAAGCCTCGGTGAAGAACCGACTCGCTTCGTCCCCCAAGTCGATTGTTTCCGCTGAAGAGGAATGCATCGTGATCTTGATACGACGATTTTCGGTCGTAAAGTTGGGTAAAAGGGGTGTTGTGAATTGGGTCCCGTTCGGGGCGGTGATGGTTAAGAAGGAATGGTCCGATGAGAGGGTGGGGATCAAGAGGGCGTTCTTTCAACGACCGACCAACCCTTCGGACATCAGCTTTCCTTCGCCCATCTACAACGCCCACCAAAATGGAGCCAACCATCCACTCACCTTTGGTCTATCCGAAATATAATGACCGAACCACTCGTCCTCCTTTCCCTTCCCTAAACCATTCCCATCCCCGGCCTTCGCTTTGGACTTTGGAGAAACGAGCATGAACGTGCGATCGCCTTGCAAACCCCTTTCTGCCAAAGTCGCTTGGCTGACTTGAATAGGTGGAAGAGATTTGATAGGGTAGAGAAAGATCTGGGGGGATCAAAGTGGAGTGCTGGTCAGGGTTAGTGTGAAAGGTCCACTTTGCTATCAAGGTGGTGCGCTTACGGCTTCAAGTTGAAGGGTGGGGTATTTGGTAGCGTGGGAACGACGATAGAGGTAGACCGACGAGACGATCCCTCCCAATACGACCCAGATATCTTGCGAGACCATCTCGCTCGGATTGTTTGTCCTGCGAGGCGTAGGAGAGAGGTCAACGAGCCAAGAGCTTGCCGGGCCCACCCGCGGAGGGTGACGCGACGACGAGGATTCAGCCCGAAAGTGGTCCGAGCTTCAATCGTGTCCTCAATGATCCAATCACAACTGCTCAATATGAAAAGGCTCGACGCGTGCGAAATACAACAACTTCACCAAGCTCCACTACGACACATAATCCGCAACTCAATCACTTTCGTACTCGAAACTAGAAACATCCGATTCGCTACCACTATCCACCGTCGGAGTCGCGACCGTCACCGGTGCTTGAGCAGGCGGGGACGATTTGAGATTTCCATTATTGGCAGTTTGAGCGCGAGTCATGCGTTGGGACAAGGTTTTGGATGCCGAATGAGTGAGCTGAAGCGTACGACCGGTCGAGGAGCGTTTGGATCCGGATGAAGGTTGGTCCTCCGCTGCAGCAGGCAGCGTCCTGCTCGCTCGAGTCGCGCGAGGCGTAGGAGTCGATTTGGCGATCGCAGCCTTCTTTCGCGGCGGGGAAGATTCACGTGTGGCGGTCTTCTTCGTAGCAGGTGCCTTCGTCGTCTCCTCAGTCTTGTTCTTGATAGTCTTTACAGCAGGTACTTTGACAGGTTTGTCATGGTAAGCGACTTGCAAGCGTTGACGGATGCGCAAGCCAAGGATGAGCTTCTTCCATCGTTTGAGGCACCGGTCCTGCATCTTGGCAAACTCCTTCTCGTCGGCCGCTTCCTCACTGTCCATCACGGCCTGAGAGTGTACGCTCATAATCAGTACATGCCCATCGATTTCACGTCTTTGCAAAAGCCTTACCTGAATTAAAATATCAGCATTTTCCTGCGCGACGACCACACCATTGATGATAGGATTCGCGCGGCGCTGCCGAAACTCGAACCCCACAATCGCCTCGGCATAGTCAAACCCCAACGTCTTGGCACACTTGGCCGCTTGCTTGCTCGTCAGATGTACAGCACCATCAGGAAGCATCGAGGGGACGTAGAGGTCAATGTTGCCGAAATCGTTCTTGGGAACCTTGCCGTCCACGACAGGATCAGGGACGTAGATCTTGGTCTGTTCGGGAGCGTAAAGAGGTTGTTGTTCGGCTTCCCCACCGTCCATTTGAGCGACGGCTTCGGCTCGCTTGCGATTGATCGTCACCGTCCGAGACTTGACGAACTTCCAAGGGATCTCAGCGTCTCGGATCACCCGTCCCATGCGCCAGTAGTTCTCCTTGCTTTTGAGCTCGACTACGGCCGATCGAGGATACACGGGTTCGGTCGCCTTGAACAGACCCAACGGCTTGACCCCGGGTCGTATGACTTGATCGCGATGGAGGTGCTGTTCGAGTACATAGTTGGGGTGACTCTTGAAACCACCGACCGAAGTCGGGAACGGCTCGTTGGCGATGCGATCCCACAATTCCTTCTGCTCTTCCCGATCTCGATTGAGTTGGTACGTGCGCTCGAAATGCATGATCAAGGCAGCAAACCAGTCCGAGCCTCGTTTTGAAGGACTTCGAACCTTGGTCGTGTAGTTATTGAAGCTCTTGGCGTACCGTGGCGTCACATCCCGCGCCGTGTTGTCCTCTTCGTAGGCGACAACGTAGGCGAGCTGATTCTCGACCGACGATCTCGCCGGCTCCATGATGGACTTGCATCGCATCTTGCGCCGAATCGGGTCAACGGTAATCCACTGCCGCGTGTAGCGACTCCAAACTTCGGTCCAGAACACCGGTGGTCGAGCCGGATCGTCGTCGAGCGTTTGGCCGGCCTGAGCCCTTTGAGCCGGCTTGGATCGACGGAGGTTGACTTTGGGCGGCTTGTACGTCAGTCGACCCTGACCGTCCTCCCACCCATCGGTCCCACTGTCGTCTTCGTGTCCCGACGTGCCAGAATTGGCCGCGCTCGATCGACGGCTCTGCGACTTGGCTTTGCCTTTGAACCGTCGAGCGATCGTCCCCGCTTCGCTGTCGGTCGTTCCAGCGTCATCCGTCGCCGTCCCACGGAGCTTGCGCTTGACGCTGGCCGAGGGTGCACGCCAATCGACAGGCTGAAGACTGAAGATGAGCCGACTCGGGATATCAAGGGCGCGACAAAGGCACGTAAAGAGTTGGGCCGAGACGTCCCTCGATCCTCGTCGAAGCAGAGCATACTTGGCAAGCGAGTGAGGCCCATTGACGATTTCCCACGTCTTCTCCGATGCCGCCCCCCACTTTCTCGCCAGCTCTTTCGGAGCCGGCTTCTGCTTCTTCTTCTTCTTTTTGAATGACGACGAAGAGGCTTTGCTCTGACCTTTGGCGTTCGAAGGGGGTTCGACGATGATGATGTCGTCATCGGAGGTGAGGTCCTCCCACGGATAAGTCTGCGCCACTTCGTCGACCGATTTCTTCGTGTTCATCGCCCACCTCTTGAGTTCGTCCTCGACCTCGGTGACCGGTCTTCGACGCACGCCGGCTTGATCGTCGATCTCAAAGTATTGATCCCACCAGTCGAGCAAGTCCTTGAGCGCGGCATCAAAGAGCCGTATCCGATCTCGTTCGTTCGGATGGGTCGCTTTGCTGAAGCTGAAGAAGGCATTTTGGAGGTGCAAGGGCGTGATGCTCATCAGTCGCGCCTGTTGCAAGTTGCGTCAGCTCCTCGTTCATTGAACGGGTAGTAGCACACCCTGATCGACCGACCTGCAGTAGCTTGTCGTTGATCTGACGGTTGCGAATCATGCCCAAGGCGAGATGACAAGCGACGTGAGTCTTGTGACGTTGTTGACGAACCATTCTTTCCCTGGTCGTGGAACCATCAGGTTTACTGCTCGACCTCCTCAAAACCTTCATCAGCCATCACGAGCCCTGCGCACACGTCTTGTCCCGTCTGTGCCCGTTGCCCCTCCCTCGTGACTAGTGAAACGACGAAGCTGACTCACGCCTTTCCCTTTCCCTTCTTCTTATCCATCTTGCCAATCACAATCGATAAACCCTCTTTATTCTTCGCATTCGCGGTATTCAAAGCCGTCACTGAAGTATCCGCCATCACGTCCACCTCGTCCCATGCTTCTTCATCATCCTCCTCATCGTCCGAATCACGCTCTCGTGCGGTGTCTTGAGTTCGGGATGGATACTTCGACGACGACGACGCTAAGGCGGGGGAATTGGGGTGACTTGGGTTCGAGAATGGGCGAGATGGTGAGTCGATTAGATGGGAGGTCGAAGCTATTGAACGCGACATCTTGAGTGTCTGGTAAGGTTTGGGATGCGCCGACGACGATGACGGAGGAGGAGGAAAGAAGGCGATGACGCCTCGCTTGTCGATCGGCCGGGGCGCGCGCGCAAGTGATTTTGACATCTCTAGTCCAAGCCGCGCTGTGAGTCGACAAAGTGGAAAACTGGCTTGCACGGCTTTTTATGTTTGTACAGGCTTGTATACGAGGTTAAAAAAACTAGAAACTCCCGAGTTGAGTCGGACGCACACACAGAGGGAAGGGGGAAAAAACAAAATAAATACCAGAGAGAGAGAGAGAAGACCAAGCCAAAAATGCAGAGGAACGACGTGAGGATCGAACCACCCAAGAAAAGAGAGTGTAAAACCGAAGGCGCATCCGATAAATGTTGAAACCGGACATTCAAGTGGAGGGGAACAAGAAAAGAAAGGCAGGGCACGCAGTCGCTAAAATGGTCGATCGAAAACAATTGAACAGGGAAGCGTGAGCCAGGATGGCTGCCGGTCGCTATAGTACAAAGCGCGCCGTCCCGCTGGTTCGGGCCTGCGGGGTGGCGCAGGACCGCCCAGGCCCAATTAGACCTTGTGCTCATTGGTGTATTCGGTACCGTCGACGGTGCCGTGCGCACGCTCGAGTTCTTCTTGGATGAGGTTGCGTGGGCCGGTCTGCGGTAGTCGAACAGAGGCGCGGGGGCAGCGTGAGCATTCGTCACAGCGTAGTAACCCACAAACCAGAGACTTACGTAGTGCTTGCGACCACCAGCAAAGTACCAAATCAGACTGAGGATCATGACACCACCTGTAAAATGCGAATCGAATCCGTCGTCAGCCAGCCATCGCGCACCTCCCAAGCTAGTAAAACGATGACGAACCAGTGACGGCAGAAGCGTAGTTCATGTTCGCCGCCGTGACGGGCATGATGGTAGGAAGGGCCAGAATGATCACGACAAAGGTGGTCCAGCTAGCGAGAACGTATACAGGAGGAGCAATCAGTCAATAATGGTCCGGCTGCAACAATCTCTGTGTCGAGCACATCCCGTATTCCTTTAAAAGAATACTCACAAGATAGCGACAAAGTTGATGATGTACATGAGCGGCCCTCGGCCGAGGTCGAAAGGTCCGGGCTTGTAGTTGACCTCGGGGTGGTCACGGAACCACATCTTGAGGGCGATGGGGATGACGTACGACGTGTCCAAGGCCATCGCGCACAACGCAAAGACGGCGTAGACGGCCACGATCGAGGCGAACGAGAGCAAGACCATCAAAGCCGAGATGAAGGCGACGAGCCAGACACTGAAGACGGGGATGCGTTGCTTCGATAAGCGCGCGAACAATCCCCGGTCGGGAAGACCGTGGTCGCGAGAGAAGGCGTGGAAGGTGCGCGCGTTGGCTTGCATGGCTGTCGCAACGACTTGGAAGGCGGTCAAGCAGACGAACGTCCACAGCGCATAGAAGCCGCGGGGGCCGACGTTGTCAAAGATGATCTGAGCGGGGGCGTAGATCGAGCCGTCAAAGCGGGAGATGTCGCCGGAGCACAGCACGTAGACGACGTTGTAGATCCATCTGTGAACGAGGCGAAAAGATCAGGTCAGCGCCAGGTCAGCGCAAAAAAAAAAGCATTGGTTGGAGCGTTAAGCGACGTACCCAACGATACCAGTGCCGATGACGGCAACAAAGATGGCGACCGGGGCAGCGATCGAAGCCCTCTTGACCTCCTCCGAAATGTGCGCCGTCGCGTCGTAGTCGGTCATGGTCCATTGCACCGACAACAAGCCCAACAAGAAGACGAGGCCCTGCGACGACCATCCCGAGCCGTTGATCGTCGACGTGAAGACGTACGACGCTGTGTGCTTCTCCTTGGTCGTAACGAGCAACGCGATGATGATGGCCAAACACGAACCGAGGTTGCAGAAGACGAAGGTCTGCGTCACCTTGGCGAGGAAACGAGTTCCGGCCGAGTTGATGAGACCGTGGATGATGAGGAGACCGAGGAAGACGGCGTACGTCTGTCCGGTCGTGGCGACGAAACGGCCTTCGGTCGAGAGCGAGGCGGCCGAAAGGATCATCTGGGCGAGACCGTACTCGGTCGAGGCCACACCCGCAACCTGTCCGAGCAAGTTAAGCCTGTGGGAGACCACCCAGAGGTTGTCAACGCCAAGGAAAGGGTGCTGAGCAAGCCTCATTCAGCCTAGGCGGCGACTAACCATCCGACAACCCATCCGGTGATGGCCTTGTACTTGCGGGGGACGAGGTACGCCGAAGCCGAATAGAGACCACCGTTCGTAGGGTCTGTGATCATTTGATGGATATCAGCCATCCTTGCCACCTTGAAGGTTGCACCCGAGAAGTGGCTCACAAGCAGAGACAATTTCTAGATAAGGACAGCAATACGACAAGCCTGTCAGCCAGATCGCACGTATCGACAGGGGAAGTAAACATAAAGGTACTAACCCGCAATCGAGGTACCGAGGCAGAAGCACATGAACGATCCCTGGCAGAGACAAAGTTGCACGGGTCAGTACGGCCCACGCACTCGATGCTGCGTTTGCCTGTCGCCGGAGACGCTCGCGCGCGCGCTTCCCCCCCTGTCGGAGCGTGTCGGAAGCGCGAGCGTCGACGGCCCGGAGTGGTGGGAACGGCCAACCTACGAGGAACCAACACCAGACGACTGAGAAGAGGGCAAGAGAAGAATTCACGTCAGCTCCGATCAGAAATGCTTTTGCAACGACATGCTGCTCAGTTTACCCACCAGAAGAAGGGCCACCGAGCAAGAAGGGTGTGTTCTGCGGAGGTCGTTCGACCGGGGCAACTGGCAGTCAGTGTTTGGGAGTTCCGCTGGGCGACCCCCCGGCCTGGGCCCACGGCGCAGCGAGTGAGCGAGCGGTGACTGTGCGATAGCGGTACTCACAAAGGTCGTCGCGACCGAACTGGCTACACCCATGATGGAGAAGGCAAACGAGATGGTCTGTGATCGTCCATAGTGCAGTACAATGTACAATGGCAGCGGTGGGTCAAGCGAGGATGGTCAGCTCTCGGGTCGCAATCGCAATCGACTGTAATCGGTGGGGTGTGGGACGTGGTGGGTTACTGGCCGGCCAGTCGCGGCAACCCTCTTCGCAGCTACGGCGGGCCGCCACTCCCAGCAGCTCGACGAACCGCTTCGCTTCAAGCTCAGCCCAGAAACTTACCGACAGGTTGGTGAATTCACGCTTGAACTCTTGCCTGTAGCCCATCCTCGCCAACTCAGCCTCGTCCGATCCAGCCACGGAGCGCACATCGACCTCGGTTTGCGCGTGGGTCACGTCTGCGGCATAGGCCTTGTTGGCCGGGGTTCCGCCTTCGGCGGAGGACGACTCGTGCGACTTGGTACTGGATGACATTCTTTCTGGTGGGCGAGTGGTATCAGTTCGCAGGGATCCGTTTTGGTCGAAAGCTGATCAATGGTGGGAGATCGTTACGAAGTGGCGGGGGGGGCAGCGAAGTCGAGTCGAGGAAAGCGTGAAGACAAGAGGTGCCACAGGTAATCGCGGACAATCGCAATGAGTTTATCGCCGTGACGCCGAGTAAGCGGACAGCACGCCCTTGAAACGTAGCGTCGCTACTCAACGACGACCCTTAAGACGATAAAATCGGAGGAAGGTCCTGGCGAACTTGTGTGGCAGCCCCTAACTTCGCTTCTAGCAGGGAGCCAACCTTAGTTTGCCGAAACTCGGGGGGCCAAGAAAACTCCGTTCCGGCAGGTTTTTGGGTGACCCCGCTTAACTCCGACCCAGGTTCATTCCCGCTTTTCAGCCATGTTGGCAAGTTAAATTGGTGTTGGAGGTAGCCTACCTGGAGAGACATCTACAACAAGGGACTACTTTGAAGAGGCGAAGAAGAATGGTGATTAGAAGCGTCCAGGATGCCTCCCTGTTGCTGTGGTAGCGACTCCTTCTTTGCTGCTGTGACTGCTTGGTTGCTGACTGCTGATTTGATGCGATGTAAACTCTTCTGTTTGAATGGTGTTTGGCGCCTGAAAGTGTTGCGATTATTGTTGGTGGCACGAGGGTCCGAATTCGTCCGAGTCCGAGTCCTCGTCTTCGTCCGACTCGGTCGCACGACGGTTCCCCCCAGTGGACCCAGCCTGCACGCATTCCACAAGCTCAGCATCAGTGGTCCATGAAATGGTCTTACCACGAGAAGGATGGGAAACAAACTCACCCCAGTCCCCTCGACATACTCGACCAACTTGACCTCACTCGTATCCTGAGGATGTTCGACATCCTGCCTCTTGTTCGGCAACAACCTCTCCAAATCATCCAACGCCCTCTTCTCATCCCGAATCTTCATCGCCCACGCCTCGTCGGGCATCTCAACTTCGATCTCGAGCACCAAGTCGCCGACCTCGCCTTGCTTCCACATGCCTTCCCCCTGGACGAGAACCTTGTCGCCCGATTTGAGCACGCGCCAGCCTTTTTCACCAGGCGCAGGTTGGTGTACGACCAGACCACGTCCGTCAAGGTGTTGGAGGATGAGACGATGGAATCCGAGGATCGATTCGGACAAGGTCAGTGAGAGCTTGGTCGTGAGATTGTGGGGGGCGTGCGTGTAGGTCGGTGGGGACAACTTGAAGGTAGGGTGAGCGATAGGGGTGAGGAAGATGATCAGGTTCCCTGGGGCCGACGAGTCGGGCTGTGGTGCAGAGTGAACGAGAAGAATTAGCGCAGTTGGTATTAGACCGATTGCCCGCTGATGCTCAATCACGTACCGATTCATCGCCCTCGCCTCTGAGTACGATCTTGTCACCGTGGGTCATGCCTCGCTCGACATCGAACGTCTTTCTGACTTTTTCCAAAATGGTCTTCTTGCCATGACACTTTCTGCAACTGTGAACAAGGATGTCGAGAAGACGTGTAAGGAAAATTACGGGCCCACCGTTGATCCAGCCCAACGAGATTTCAAACCGGCACTTCAAAGTTCGCGACTTACGCATCTTGTGCGCGAATCCTGTAGCCTTGGCCATCACAGTCCGGACAGTCGATCTCTTGCCTCGTCATGAATGGACCGGCGACACGCATCGCGTACGAGATACCCGACCCTTTGCACGTCGCGCACTGGCGGCGTTTGGTATTGGATCTCGCGCCGGAGCTGAGAGGCGTGGAGGCCCATAGAAGAGATCAGTCACGTGTGGCCTCGGGAGCAGAACCAAGCGGCCGAAAGCGGGTGCCAACATACCCTTTACAGGTCACACACTTGCGAACCCTCTCGACCTGGATCGTCTTTTGCGCTCCGTTGTAGCAGTCCTCCATCGAGACGGCCAGTTCGACTTGGGACGAACGAGCAGGCTGGGGCTTCCTCTGCCGTTGTCCATTCGGTCCTCCTCCTCCACCACCTCGAGGCATCCCACCACCACCACCGAACATATGTGCGAACAAATCATCCATATCCGGCATTCCACCCGACCGCCCCCCACCGTTCTTTCCATAGCGATCATACTCGTCCCTCTTACCCGGATCCGAAAGGCATTCGTAAGCCTGTTGAATCTCCTGAAATTGACTATGATCAACGGGGATCGGGTTCCCTTTGTCATCGACTTTGGCGGCTTGTCGATCGGGGTGATGAATCAACGAGAGCTTGCGATACGCTTTCCGAATTTCGTCGCCGGACGCGGACGACGAGACTTTGAGCAGCTTGTAATACGTCTCGTCCACGACGGTCGGCATCTTGTCGTCGGGGGGCTCAAAAGCGTCTGGATTGGGTGTTGGGGTAGAATTTTCGCTTGGACAGAGCTAGAGAGGGGGTACCGGGTGCTGTTGGTCGTCACGAGACGACGATGCGGAAGTGAGTGAGACGCTTGCGAAGACGGGCCGGGTCCAAAGGTAGTCCGGGTCCGTGCACGCCCCGTGATCTGACAAGCTCTGACATCATCCAATCACCGAAAAGACGGTGCGAGTGCCAGATGCGCATTAAGACCAGTGTTACAAAGACAGTGAGGAACAGCTGAGCCAAATACAGAAGAAGCATAGTGAATGAAAGGGACCAAAAGTGTCTATTCAGAGGGTGGATGCAGTAGGCCATTGGAAGCGACGAGTACAAAAAAGTCGTAAAGGTCCGAGAGGGGCAGGGTCACATGATTGCCCCCCGCAAAGACGTCTTCTAGGTTGTGGAACGGAAATAAAAGAAACACGGAAAGGTCATCATGGTCGAGGTCTGCGCAATCACAAAACGATGGCCGCTCCAAAGACGCCTGCAAAGATCGCACCGATAACCACGACCGTCTTTTCGCCGACGAACCATGGACTCGAAGAGGGCGACGAGCCAGAGCTCGAGCTACCGCCCTTGACGGTGATCGTAGTGGTGATATCTATTAGAATACGCAAGGATGGGTTTGGGTCCCGGTCAATCTGACCATCGTCAGGAATCCGTTCTTGACCAAGACAGGACTGACAAGAAGCAAGCGCCTCGATCGAACCCGACGAAGTCCAGGTCGGGATCGCGGTCTCGGGTGTGGAGGCATACCATGTCGCGATAACTTGTGTAGAAACGCCACTGCACACGTAAAATTGCACTTTTGTCAGTATCTGCATGCGGTCAAATTCGCGACGCATCGCTTGCTCGGCTCGCGCCTCGGCGAGCCCCTAGACGGCCCAAAAAGAAACTCACTCGATCGTCGTCGCAACTGTGTAGGTGGCTGCGGAGGTGGGAACAACCCATAAGGAGTGTTCAGTCAAGTGATACAGTGTGTGTTTCATCACGCTCGAGCCATTGTTCGAACTTACTGGGTAAGGCGGAGCAGCCGGCGGTTGTGCACAGTGTGGTCGGGCCGACCTGGCCTTGGTTCGCGATGGTGGTGGTGGTGGTGGCGATGGTGATGGTGATGGTGCTCAGGATGCGCGTCGAAGTAACATCACCGTCGGAATCTTCGTAGAGAACTTCGACCGTCCCTGTGCCACTGCGGAAGACGCGGTCGCATCCCATCAAAGGAGGAGGGTCAGCCTATGCGCCAGGATCGACCCACTCTGCTCCCGCTTCCCCGGAGAGCGGTCGGGGATTGTTTCGTCCAGACTGCGGAAGGGGGATAGAGCCACCAACCGAGCCGAGGACGTGTGTCGTCGGTTTGACTCACTCTCCGTTTGCAACGGTGGTCGTGACGGTGCTCTGAGCTGCGACGAGTTGGACTATACACAGCGCACACAGCGCTACTGCGGGCCATGCGGTGCTGGGCCTCATTCTCGTGAGGAAAGGATGCGTGAACTTGTGGCAAGTTGCCGGGATAGGAGGATGTCAAGAGCGATGCTTCGAGAGCGTTAACGCGTAGATGTAGATTCGACTGGTCAAGCTGAACCGATCGTGTGCCTTGTCGTGCGAGTGTGCGCGGTCGAGTCGTGTAGGAGAATAGATGAGGTGCTCAAGTTCGTTGTCCGTCAACCAAGCCGGATTCCGTGCAGCACGAGCTCGACCTGCTTGGCGCTGAGGAGCTTGTTTGCTAATGCGCAATTGCCATCGGGACTAATCGCCATTTGCGGTATTGCGAGTGGCCGCGCGGGCTCACTTCGCACCTTGCCTTGCCCATCCGTCCCACACCCACTACATCGACCCTTGCAACATGGCGGTACGTACCTCCCTCCACATGAGTTACTCTCGACTCCTGTACTGACCTTGACCCGACTCGCTTGTATCCCCTGATCTTGTCGACTGTCCGCCGCTCCGCCATTCGACCGCCTCTCTCCTGTTACGTCTCGCCTCACCTCGTCACACGATCACAGTCAGGATTCGGTTACGCAGGAGGACGATCTCGATGCTTCGCATTCTGGCAAGGTGCGTCTTCAATTGAAGTCGGACGAGGGACAGAGAGTGGTGGGGTGCTGGGAGGCCAGACACCGCAACGACGGCGAAGCCTCCAGCACCGAGCGCTATGACTGACCGTGACATGTTGTACTTTAGACTTCTCGTCTTGCTACTCCAAAGCCGACATGCTGCACGAATGCGTTCAACCCAGGGATGACTACTTGGAATGCTTGCATCGCACAAAGGAGGTTCGTTCGAGACCTCCGAACCACAAGTGCTTCCTCTTTACGCATGCTCATCACCACCTTCTTGGCATCTCTTTCTCTTCCCCACAACTACCTAGATTTCGAAGGCTATGAAGATCAAGTCGCAGTACTTGACCAAGACCAAGGTCGAGTTGGACCAGAAGCGGAAAGAGATCGAGACGACGACCGACAGTGGGATTTTGGGCTTGGGGCTGTTGCAACGACCGGACGAGGCACAGCCATCGACCTAGCTTCGCAAGGGACCGTTCGTGTAGGAGTGTAGACGGGTTTGGGAATTCCGATTCGTGGTTACTGGTACACCGAGCGCAATGTGAGCGTAGTGGATCCGAGAGATGGGACTCGAGGGATGGTCCGTTCAAGCGCTGTAGATACAATCTGTTCGATAACCTCTTTGCCCGACTGGACGGGGTCGATGCATACCCATGGTCCTTGAGTGCAGCTCTGGCGTCCTTCTGGTACTGCCTCGAGCTCTGCAGAAGGGCCTTCGCTCCGATCCTGTCAAGTCTCCACTGGAGGTACGGCGGGACGGGGCAGGTGGTTCGAACGAGGTGTGTCTATGACATGAATTTAAATACGGCGTCTATGGATCGGAACTAAATGGGCAAGACGAGGGTATGATACAACAAGAGACAGATTGGGGTATACTGATCGTACATCGGAGCAGGTATATCTATAATCTCGCCTAAGGAGCACTGTGGGTGGTGGTTGGAACCGGGGTCGATGCACCGGGCGGCGACATGATATTCGCCTAAAACACGGGCTGAGGACAAGCCACACCAACCAAGGTACGAGGAACGCTCCGACCCGTTGCCCTGTGCGTGACGAGGAGATCAGCTCGACGAACCAAATTCTCTGCTTCTTTCACCTCCTCGGACCTACCGATAAAACTGCGCAAGCAAAAGCCGGACGGAGTTCTAGATCAGCGGCCATCCCTTATCATCCGGTATGAAGCCAAGCCGACCGACTTACGAACTGCGAAACTGCCAACACCCTCGCTTGATCGGCAGCACTGTTCCCATTCGGGTAATAGATCGAGTAACCGTCGTTGTGCGTGACGTAGTTGCAGCACCTGGCATCATGTCCGAAGACGCTCCACACCATCAAGCCCATCGTGTATTGACTGAGGACGTTCTTCAGGTACCCGGCGAGATCGTCGCCACCTTTGTTGCCCGTCCAGTCGAATTCTGGCAGATCGAAAATTCGAGAGGATCAGTGTGAGCCCCATTTTGTTCGTAACGCCTCACTCGAGCTCTACAGGGGTCCAAAATGGTTCTTCCTACTTACCTCCGATCAAGAGGTTCTTGTTGTACTTTTTCGCAATTGGAATTTCGGACTTGATGAGCGCATATGAGCGCGGGTATGCGTGATCGGTGATGATGTCGACGTACTTGGACCCTCCGCCCGGAGCGACGGCCTTGGTCGAATAGTTGTAGATCCCGTCCGTTCCGTCGATGACGAGAGATTTAGGGCAGAGACTCTTGATGAGGCCTGCGATGGAGTTGGTCCATCCGTAGGGTGGGTAGCCATCGTTGCCAATGTAACCTCCCAGCTCGTTCCCTGCGGACAATGAAAACAGGGGACAGTGATCAATATGATCTTTCGACCGCACACCGATGCGTTCAGTTTATCAAGGTGAATGGCTCACCCGTTTCCCAAGCCATGATGGTCGGATCGTCCTTGTACGCTTTCTTTGTGTAGGGGTTGTAGCGCGACATGACGGTCGTGACGTAGTTGCGGAACTCGTCGACCACGCGTTTATTGGTGTAGAAATTCGCGCCGAAGTTGCTTTCACTGACGCCGAACCACTTCAAAAAGGTGTATTTGCCGCCATGATAGTAGGCGTAGCTGATATACAAGGGGCCGCCGTTCGTCAGCACTGTCTAGTATTCGGTGGGATGCGGAGCGTCAAACCTTGACTGAACTTGTCAACAAGAGGAAGTACGACTCGGAGTCCGTAACGACCAGCGGCGAAAATAGCATAATCGTGGATGTCCCAAGCACTGGAGTCGAACCGACCGCGCGTAGGTTCGAGCAAGTACCTCGATCCGACGCTGACCCCGCAGGTGGTCAAACGAATCGAGTTCGCGCCCATCGCGACGGCGATCGCCAGCGCTTCTCGGATTCGGCCCTTGTCAGTCGGGTAGCCCTTGGTGCCAACATTTTCGTCATTGCAAAGCCCTGAGGAAGTGGGTCGTCCGGTTCAGTACAGTATGCCGGGCGGCCAGAAATGGTGCTGGCACTCACAGTAGATGTTGGGGCCGACCATACGGAAGTTTTTGCCGTTCAAAGTCAGCTGTTGACCACTCCTCTTCACCCACGTCGTTGGCCTGGGCAAGGTTCCTGTTCCAGAAATTGTGGTATGGGACCCCGCATACCTACTTGCACAGGTAGCTAAAGTTTGCGGGAAGCTCTGATCAATCCACCTGCCTCCACGAGCCAAGGTCAGAAACTTCGCTCACTAGTGGCCATCGCCTTGACATTTGCCGTTTTCGTCGTTGGAGTAGTCTTTGTTGCAGTCTTCGTTGTAGTCTTTGTTGTAGTCTTTGTTGTAGTCTTTATTGTAGTCTTAGTGGTGCGTGAAGAAGTCGTCGAGGTTCTTGAGGTTGCAGACGAGCGACTCGTGCTGGACCCGCCTCGGCTGGTGGACGATGCTTGGCTGTTACTGCTGCGGCTTTTGCTTGCGGAAGATGTGGACGAGTGGCTGGATGAGGAGGTCACAGACTGTCGATGCGAAGACGAAGTGGATGTACTCTTTGTGTTCGTCGATGTGGTGGCAGCTTGGGATGAGGTGGACGAAACGGCTCGCTTCTTGAAAGCTCTTCGGAGAAACCGGTCCTCGAACGAGTCGTCCTCCGCTGCCGCTGCAGAACTGTCTTGATCGAAAGAATTGCCGTCTTCCCAGGTCATTCCGACCGATCCGAAATCATTCAGGGGTACCCCATTCGAGAACGACTCCTCGCCCGTGAAAGGTGTCGATGGAATCGCTTCGTCGCCGACTCCAAGATAAGGTTGCTCGGCGAGGCTCTGTGCCGCGCTCGCCTCCGCAGACGAGTCGTAACGTGCGCCAGGATTGGCCAACGTTGTCCCGACCAGCAATGCCAAACAGAATGAATGGGAACGCATGACGACCACCGTGGTAAGACAAGTTGTGACGTGTGGTACGAGGGTGATGAGCCGCGAGCCTCTGCACCCAGATTCCTGGCCTGCCCCCTGGCCTGCCAATTGTAAATCTCACGTGACCGTGGCAGATGGATTGAGGTGCGAGCGCGAAGTCGTAGTCGAGGAGCGCAGGTCAACGAGCAGAATAACTGCTTACCACGTAGCTCGGACTGGACGGCACCAAATCAGGTGTGTTGTTTCTAGAACGAGAGGTCACTGAGCAATCCCTTGCAACGGGTGCCGCAGTCGGCAGCAATCGCCGAAGGCTCGTGAAAAGAGACGCTGCGCAGCTGGGCCACGGAGCCCGCCCTCGCAATGCCTCGATCGGCTCCCCCCACATAACTCCAGAGACCCCCCGCAGAGCACCCCTGGCAGTCGGAATCTCTCCAACTTCAGCTTGAACACGGCTATACGAGCCTCGTTCCTCGCGTAATTACTGACTACTAAAAATAGGTAGCCTAGGTACTTTTCTTACTTAGCTCGGTGTAGTTCGACCTCAATCCGCTTCAGCTTGGGCGGGTTTCATCCGTCAGTCGTGGAACGACGCGACGCGGCGCGACGCGTCAACCTCACCTCTGGTAAGCCTCAGTGCATCCTGCGATACAACGATGAGATTGCAAGCGAGCGCACAAGGATCGATGGTTGGGGTTCTTTGATCTAAAGAGTACGAAAAAAAGTATGGCCAGGTCCTGCATAGTGGACTGCTCACTGTCATCTGCCCCAGTGGCAGCGCGGCGGCCGGGGCGATCGGCCCCTCATACCGAGCCAAAATTTTCGGTTCGCAATAGACTGTACGAAGCCGACGAACAGGATCGGTATCCTAGAGAGTCTTCTTCCTGGATATACTTGTACTGTACCTAGTTTAGATGCACGAGTAGGACCTTGGCGCAAGTCTCAGACTCGCGTGAGGCTAAGGTGGGGATCTAGAGGCGACCCCTAGCGCGATGTTTCGGGTTTCAGCAGGTTTCAGTCCCTGAGGCCTCAGGCCTGAGGTGCGCCGGGTCCACCTCTACGAGATCGATACGGCCCCTCACAACGCCCAGAGCTTTCTCCCGAACGGTGCGGTACTGTCGACATTGACTGACTCACCGTCCTAATCTTCATCTGCGTTCGACTCACCCGACCGTTTGGTGGTGATACTCACCTCCGCTTTCGTTTGGTGCGGCACGCGTCCCCATCGCACTGTATTAGGACGATGTGGCACATAATCGAAGAACTGGACGCGAATAGACGGGAGAGGATGTGCCCAGCGTGCGCATGGGGTTTGGGCAACCGTGAAACCAAATTGACCTCGAGCGGGCCTCGCGATGGCAAGCCCCTGTTTCACATCCGCCGATGTTAGCTGGAAGTGAGATCGATTGAAGTCCGGGGAGAGTGAGTGATATTTCAATGCAGTCGATAGGTAAGCTCAGAACTTCATGGCTGATGTTGGTGATGTTCATGAGCTGAAGTAACCGAGGATGCCCCCGCCCAGTCGGCGCAGGGATCTGCATCGGCACGGTAGGTCGAGCGGCACTTCAGGTCGACTGCCCCCACTTTCTTCCTTTGAGATGTCGATTTCCGTCGAGAGTTTGGCATAGTCATGAACACCTTGGCGCGGCGCAATTTTGAGGGAACATCAAATGATTATGATGACTCGACTTGGAAGGTTATAGCGCTTGGCGCTGCACTGCCGGCCCATGAAGAAAAGAAGCGGAGCCCGGTTTGTTCGGGATCGACAAATCAGCGTCGAGGGATATGAAGCGACGGTTCGCGAGTCACGATCAGCCCCAAGGGACTATTTGCATACTCATGCAATCCCACTACAGAACTCCCTATTCCCAGCGGACGATACGAGACCAGACGATGAGGTGAAAAGCAGGGTCACAAGTAGGACGCCCCTGTTCGGCCGACAGGAATTGCTCACCGCAAAAAGTCTGCCAGCAAGCGACCAGCCGAGGCACCAACTCGTGCGTTCAAGCCGGAGCACTGTAGCCAATGACAAGAAGGCGACAATATGTGTCCGATTGCTCTTGGTGACCAAGGAACGAGAGCAGCACGCAGCAACGATGACGCATGCCAAGGTGCCCGGGCCTTGATGACCTACGGACTAAAAAACTAGGGGCTTGGGACGAGGGACTTTTGCGAGCGGGACTTTTTGCGAAACGACTACCGGTCCGAGTCAACTTGGCCGCGAGATTTAAGGTGTGCCAGGCGAACAAGAAATTAATTTGAAGGGATATAACGAGTTGGTAGGACGTAGGTGGTGGTGTGTAAGCCGATACAACGACGTGGGCCAGGATGAGCTGAAAGTTGCCGACGCGGCGTCCGGCGATCCGGAAGTCTGAGCGGGCGGGTCCCACGGCGCGCCGCGGCAAGGCCGCTGCCACAGCCAGTGGCGAGCCGCCATGATGATGGCGCTAACGTCAATGCGCGATTTATCGCTGTTTCGCACTCGGGACGACGAAACGTTGGCCGGCTTTCGTTGCTGCCTTCTTCGCTTTCTACACAGTTTTGCTTTTCCTTACATCTTCTCGACGAGCTCAGGCTTACAGCTTAGCCCCGCCGGTCCTCAAAGCCTTACTCGATCGAGAACCCAAATCGCTCGACTCGGCTCGCCCAGCCTCGTACTCAGCTGCCATTCTCCGCGCCGACGGCCCAACGATGTCATCGGCGATGCCCAACTCGCTTCCGATCTTTGATCTTCTCTGCGTCGGCTTCGGCCCCGCCAGCTTGGCCTTGGCTGTAGCCTTGGTTGAACAGAACCAACAAGCACAATTGGTGACGCCCAACGTCTACTCGTCGCTAGGAGGCCTACAAGAGGCGCTTCGCGATGGCTCGGAGCTTCGCAATCGAGGGTTGGAGCTGAACGCTGCGAGTGCCGATCCAGCAGATCGACCTGGTATCAAGGTACGATCCCGGGGACCACACTTATCTCGAACCCAGATCATTCTGATTATGCATCACTCACGCCGCAAATATCGCTCACACAGTCAACGTCCGGCCCGATAAAGGTTTGCTTCATCGAGAAGCACGACACGTTCCGATGGCACCCTGGCATGATGCTCGATGGCAGCACAATGCAAATATGTAAGTCAATCGAACTCGGCATGGGTGCTGGTAGGCGGTCGCGCCCATCATTTAGTGAACGTTTGCTCAACGAGCAAGCGCTTTTGAGCTGAGGACGTGTCGGCGTCTTGGAAGCGGAAATGGTGCCGAGGAGGCTGAATCGGAGATTGCCGTTGTCTCACAGCTTTTCTCAAGGATCTAGCGACCTTGCGCAACCCCCAATCGGCCTATACGCTCCTCTCGTACCTCGCTTCCTTCACACCCTCTCGTCTCGTCTCCTTCATCTCTCGCGAAACTTTCACACCGAGCCGAAGAGAGTACACCGATTACCTTGCATGGGCCGCACGGAAGGTCGAGGCCGAGCTCGAGAGTCAGAACGGCGAATTTGGTTACGGCGAGGAAGTCGTTGGTGTCGAGGGCGTTGTGGAAACAGGTGCCGACGTCAAGCTGGTCAAAGTCACCTCGCGAAATGTGGCCACGGGAGAGTTGAAGCAGCGACTGGCGCGAAATCTCGTCCTCTCGACCGGTGGTAACGCGCGACTACCGAAGGCGCTCAATACACCCGAAATTCGAGCAACAGGCCGTGTGATTCACTCGTCCGTCTTTTTGGATCGCGTCCAGGGCATCATCGACTCTTGCCTGTCGTCGCTGCCGGCCTCGAGACCTCTCAAGTTCGCCTCGTTCGGTTCGGGCCAATCGGCCGCCGAGACCTTCCTCGCCGTCAGCCGCGAGCTGGCCGCTCGCCTTCCCCACGACATTGCCCACCGACCTGAAATCACCCTCTTCATTCGCAAGGCGACATTACGCCCCGCGGACGATTCTCCTTTCTCGAATGAAGTCTTTGATCCTGCCATGTCGCAAGCCGTTTACGGGCTCGAGCCAAGGGGACGGCAGATCGTCATGAGCGACGCCAAGGCGACGAACTATTCTGTGGTCAACCCAAAGACACTAGTGTCCATTTACGAGGCGATGTACGCCCAGCAGGTCGAGGAGGACATCGCCAAGCGTGACGGAACACTCGACTCGCTCAAACGGTTTCCTAAGCTGATTATTCACCCGTATACCGAGCTTGTTGGCGCCACGACTTCGGGTTCATCATCTTCCTCGTTGACGCTTGTACTAAGGAACCTGGTCACCTCGACGGTGCATTCGGAAGAGTTTGATGCCGTCGTTTGCGGTACTGGATACGATCGACAGGCATGGAAGGGGCTGCTGTTCTCAAAGTCGGCAGAAGGCTTGACAGCCACCCCTTCCGAGACTGTGCCCCTTGCTACTTTATTTGAGCGAGTACAGACGACCTCCTCGCTTGACTGGCCCTCCCCATCGGAAGCTCTTCCCGCCTCCGACTTGTCCGATCGCTCCCAGAGTCATTCTCGCGAAACGACATCGACAGACGACAGTCCTCTCTTCTCCAACTCGGCCGTCTCGTCGAGCGCAGCGTCATCCCCTGCCCCGTCGCGAGGGTCGTATCAAAAGGCGGATGAAACCTCCTCCAACGATTACGGCGTTACCGAGAGCTACCGGCTACGTTTGCCCACCAAGACCGTGGACGGTGGCGAATTTAAGCCCCGGGTCTGGCTGCAGGGCAGTTGCGAGTCGACTCATGGAATCAGTGATTCTCTCCTGAGGTAAGTCAGCGGCTCCTAGCTACGATGTCGCCGTACGCTGCCGGTACTGACAGAAGCTGATATGATTGCCACAGTGTACTTTCTGTTCGTTCAGGCGAGGTAGTCGCCGATTTTATGAAGGAGGGCTCGTTTGCCTGAGTTTAGTATCCCTCCGTTCGAACGGTATGCTTCGCCGGCTCGTCTCTAGATCCGAATCGTTTTCCTGCAGCCTACTTCCGTTCACGCTTCCCAGCACTTTAGTTTCGTACAATTTCTTTTCTCGTAGTTCAGTTCTTGCTCTGAGCCCTTTAACCTAAACAACCATTCGGCATGCAACCCCTGTATTTCACGCGCATAATCGCCTCTGTAGACGTAACAGGTCTTTCGATGACCTGCTGCTCGGCGGGCAAGAAAGGTTGCAACTGGTGGATGATCAAGGGCCTTTAAAGGCAAGTTGCAGGGGGCACGCATGACGAGCTAAGAAATGTTGCTGATAGAGTGCTGCTCGCGCAATGGTGCGTGCGTGGTCAAACAAGTTGCAAAGTCCCGAAAGGACTGCGCTGTGACGTCGGCTTGCGCCACATTGGGCCGTGAGCGCAAGAGCCTAGACTCATTTCGCCATCCGTTTCGTTGCGTTGGCTCATCGACCCACTTCATCGTGGGAATCCGGGTAGTAAGTTGAGGGGGATCTCCCTGCAATACCTTCTCATTCTGAAGGCACCTGAGAAGATGCACCATCGCGAGCCATCGCGGCAGAATAAACGCGACCGCACAAGGGACTCGTGGCAGTGCGAGCACTTCGAGCCCCACATGCCTGCAGGCATGTGCAACTGCGCCGAAGTCGTCCGAGCGAGGTGCCCGGAGTCCGCCAAGTGGCGCGGGTGTGCCATGGCCGTCACGAGGCCCGCAAAGAATTGCATCACGCCTGCCCTTTGATGAGTAGTGATCCGCGTTAATAAAAGTGGTTGGGCGATCCTGATTGGTGCCGTTTCGTCAGCCAAGGCTTCCGCTTTCTCCGGGCTCCCGTAGGCGTTGGGCGCATCGCGCGTCGCGCTCGGTTGCACCTCGAAATCGAAAAGTGGTTGTTCCCAACGGGTTTGACGTCATGACCCCGCTGACCCCCTCACGTCGGCGACCTTGACTTGGAATGGGATCAGCCCTCCCCCTCTTTCTCTCCTACCACCACATCACTTCATAATCTACTTAGAACCAACCGTACCCAATACTCGATTAACAAACATGTCTTCCATCGGTGACAAGATCTCCAACGCCGCCTCGGCCGTCAAGGACTCGTTCGGCGAGAACTCCGCGTAAGCCTCTACTCCCCCTTTCCCCCTCTCCCCACTTCCGCTTTGGGCATTGAGTCCTTCAACATAGACTTGCGGACTACGCACTTACATTTCTTCCCTTCATACATACAGTGCTGCTCAGAAGGAGAAGGACAAGGGTCAGTGACTCGATGCCGTTTAAACATCAATGACCCGACGGCGCCTCCGACGCCACCCTTCACTGTCGAACTACGGACGGAGTACTGACCCCGCCACGTGATTTACCTTCCTCTTCTTTTAGAGGTCGCCAAGGGTAACACCGGTGCCGGAATCGGAGATCGTGCTTCGGCGTAAGTCACCCGTCCCGACCACCCTCATACCCAACCGCGTCGACGACTTACCATCGAGCTCCTATTCCTCCCCTCCCTCCTCTCCTCCTCCTCAGCGCCGTCTCGGCTCTCGGCAACAAGACTGATGAGGAGAGGCACGCCGCCTCGAAGGAAGGAAACAAGGAGGCTGCCAAGAACTAAATGGCCATACCACGACGTACCAGAAACATCTTCTCCAGCTCCACTCGAACGAATTGGATCGAGTGCCGAACCTTGCACGAAAGGCGCGGGGAGGACTTTTAACTGTTCATCAATTACATATGTGTTTTAAGCTTGTAATGAAATAATATTGTCCTACCCTGAAACGTAGCATGTAAGTGTACATGCCTGTACACGCACAGCTTCTTTTCGTGACGTTTGATGCGGCCGAGCTACCGGGGCAGCGCGCGTCAGGTAGACGACTCGCAACAGCCCAGGTCAGAGGTGTAACATGTTGCGAAGTAGGCTATGTTACACAAGCAGTAATAAATCTGTAGAATGCGAAGTGGGGCTGGGTAAAACTACGGAAACTACAAGCTGAAACAAAACGAGGGTGGGGCTCGAAAGAAGAAAGGACGAAAGGAGACAGTGTCAAGTGTGATGTCGAATGGCGACCTCACCAACACCATTGTTGAGAAAGCGCGATTTCGCAAGGCGATACGAGGAAAATATTTGGAAGTAGGCCGATTATCATGGCTTGGTCGCTTGCTCGACGGGGGCGGGCAAACTCGACGACGTGGATTTGCTCCACTTCTTCTTCAACTTAGGGCCAATCTATTCGTGATTAAAGAAGGTCACGTTCAGTTCTCTAGACCTCAGGCGCGCACGAACGGATGGTGAATACTCACGTATCGCAATGACTTGACCGGTCCGGCGGAAAGGATGCCTTTCAACGATTGGTTGAACGTCGGTCGGCCCACAATTTGGGCGAGACCTTCGAGAACAGCCGAAATTGATCAACCATTAGCATCAACACGATCGCGAAAAGAGATTATCTGGAACTCACTCTTATCAAGCATGACGTCAAACTCGTCGTCCTGCACGATGCGTTCCCACAAGGCCTTCTCGCTCCCTTCCTTCTGCCCCCTCAACTCTTCCTCACTCAAAGCCTTCCCTACCGTTCCCGCCTTTTCCCCCTCCCCTGCACCCCCCTTAGAAGCGACCAAAGCCTTCTTGAGATTCCATTTCCTCTCATAATGCGCCATGACTTTCCCCTTCAACCCGATAGGCAACTTGCTCGCCGTCGTGGCCCTCTGTTCCGCACTCCGATCCTGCCTCATCAACCTCACCTCCCCCAACTCGCCCGGTCTCTCCCCAATCACATGAACCGATTTCCAGAAACTCTTCAACAACCCTCCATACAACGATCGGAAGGCGTCGAGTTGCGCAGCGACGATGTTGCGTACTTTGAGAGGGTTCTCCCCGACTTTCATACGGAAGTCGCCGCGGTAAGAAAGACCGGCGATCTCTTCGAACAGTTCGACTTCGGTGAAATCTTCGGGGAGGCGGAGGAGGGCTGTACGTAGGGCCGAAGCGAGGTTGACTTGGTTCGCGAGACGGACCCGAGCGTCGTCCTTGAGGATGCGGACCTGTAAATGCGGAATCGAGGCCGCGTCAGATCGCCTCTCTACTAGCTTTCCGCGAGAGCTTTTGTTTTCTCTACTTACAGGTTTCTGCGTCCTCCCACTAACGTAGAGCGTTTCCCAATCGAGCATGTCCCGACACAGCGCATCGATCGAGATGACGCCGTACTTGAGCGTCTGCAAAACCGAGCCACGAATTTCAATGAGCGTTTCGTTTCCGAACACAGTATCACAGCACCCCATGGGTCTCACCTTTCCCTTGATCTGCACATCGACATTGAACCACACGTTCGCGCCCAACCCTTTATCCTGCATCCACGCGACAGCGTCCGAGCCCAAGAGGCGCATCGGCATCGAGTAATGGTGTGGGTTCTGGGCCATGTTGATCGCGTGCCAATGCGAGGGGTGCGAGACGGCAAAGACAAAGTCCAACATGGGTTGCTCCTGTGGGCCAAGCTCATCAAAACAGTCAGCGTTTTCCTTTCCCTCCGAATTTGTCTTCAAGTCTCGCAGCGAAAGTTGACCCACACTCGCCGCATAACCCTTTTGCCTGAACACGCCCGAACCATAAGCGAATGCAAAGCGTACGGGCGCCTTGAAATCGGCTAGAATTTCCTCCAATTCCATCTTGACCTCGTCCGAGACGGCGATGATCTGGTTGCGCCCGAACGATTTGGGCAATTCGGTGACGGAGGTGATGCGACGTCTGGTGAGACGCGCATCGACGGGGGGTGGGGTGGGAGGCTTAGGAGGGGTCGGTATCGGGGGTTCGGTCGTGGTGGAGGAGGCGTTCCACCTCCGGGAGGACGAGGTGGGTGGTGGGTAGGATGACGAGGATGAAGTGGAGGTCGTTGAGCGCTCCGTATCGAGGCGTGATTGAGCCGACGAGTGCAGCAACGCTGTCCGGACCAGTGTCTGTTGCAGAGGTGCTAGCGTAAACATCGGTAGTAACCGATGGGTCGCCGTCATCCTGGCGATGGTCGAGGAGGGACGGGAGACGGGAACGATTCGGGTCGAAAGTCGGAGCATGGTGGCTGCGGTGCCGGGTGGGGTTGAGCTCAAGCTGCGGTGGGGTTGTGTTTGATGAAACACTGCGGTGCGTCACACCTAGAGGTCAGTGCCCCATATCACCGCAGAGTAGTTCATGGCTTGTCATGAGCCCGGATTCGCTTCTAGCCGAGTCCTTGACGAGCCGAGGTCCGGCATCAGCCTCCCCCGACCCGACAACGACCGCGCCTATTCAGCGCCGTATTCGTCCACTACTGGGCGTAGTTCTTGCTACCGTCCAAAGTAGTACTAGAGTAATGCAGACAGTCACGACGTATGAACTTCGGCGACCAACTCCAGATCGATCCCGTCTGGGCCCGGCCATGCCGATGGCTTGCGAACGCCGTCGCGACACGAGTCCCGTTGGTCCGGCGCAGCCTCGATCCCGAGACGCCTGACGAATGACGTGGAGCCGCGGCGAGAAGCAGGTACGCCTTCTGGACTGACCTGCTTACAAACAAGGTACGTAGCAAAAAAAGCGAGAGTCGGACGAGTTGTTGTCGTGTAGTGTATGCGTCGGGATGTGTTGAACGGTCGAATAGTTGGGGGTACCAGGTCAAGGACTCAAGTTGAAGATGCGCCCAAAACGCCGGCTGCTCGCGCCCGCTGCCAGCCCAAATGCAAATACAAACCCAAATTGGGATTCGGCCCGTATTCGGCCTGCTTGGGCAAGGGCGCGCCTCATGCGTCTCCCCGATGCCCAGCCCGGGGCCCCTGACGGCGGTCGTACCGGAGACGCACTCAAACTCGCATTACATACTTGCCAGACCTTCCGCGCATATTGCCCTCATACCTGACCCTCGATTCACATCTTTCCAGAGCCCACGCGCACACAGCAGACTTCATTGACCCTCTCCTTCCGAGACGACTTTTGGAAATTAACACAACACACGCACACCTCAAAATTGTATCAAACCTCTGACTAATCATCCCAGCCCAACATGCCCGTACTCCTCCTCGAACCCTCACTAGGCGCCGACATCTTACCCCTCCCTTTATAAAGCACTCCCCCATGACGGCTCCCCTCCCCATTCCCTACAGATTCATCCCTCCAATCCCCCATCCCTCTCCCATCCCCTCTCCTCGTCTGTCCCCTCTGCCCCTCTCTCTCAACCCTCATCTTCAACTCCTTCAATTCCCTCAACCGGGCTTCCTTCTTCATCCTCTCATCTTCTTCCTCTTTCAAAGCCTGCGCTTTCAGAGCCTCGATTTGTTCGGGACTTAATTCGGGAGAAGAGGAAGGTGATCGGGCTCGACGTTTGTGCGAATTACGACCAGCTTTGGAAGAACGATGGTGGCGGGAGGAACGTTTGGAGTGTCTTCGTCTGGGAGAGGGAGAACGGGATCGAGAAGGGGTGCGCGAGTGGGAACGCGAGCGCGAACGCGAACGGGAGCGAGATGGGGACCGGTTTCTCTTCTTGGGTTCGGGGGAAGCTGAACGCGGGCGAGAGGCGGAGCGGGAACGTGAGCGTGATGATCTTGAACGATCGGAAATGGGGGAAGGGGAAGGTGTTGGGGTTCGCGCTTTTTCGACCGGAGCTGCGGAGGGAATAAGGGTGAGCTAGCGAAAAAGGCGGTGGCGTGCCGAGATGGGGATTTCTGATGAGCCTTACCTTTTCGTTCGAGTTGACCACAATGCGAGATCGTCACCAATTGCAAAGGGTGATCCTTCTCGTTGACAGGAAGCTTTGAAATGGCTTCAATCACTTCGTAGCCTGGTTTGAGCAGCGGTCGAGAGCGAATCAGCCACGACCCACTTCGGTCTATGTTCCAAGGGCAAACCTACCTTTTACGACTCGACCAAAGACGACGTGTTTGCCCAAGAGATGGGGACACGGCCGAAGCGAGACAAAGAATTGCGACCCGTTGGTATTTTTGCCTCGATTGGCCATGACCAACAAACTGTGCACCGTCACCGATTCAGCTTTAGCACGGAGCCTCATCCAAATGGGGTCGACTTACCCTTCGGAATCGATCTCCCTCCTCAGATCCTCATCCTCGAACGTAGCGCCATAGATGGATTGACCTCCCTTTCCATTCCTCAATGTGAAATCACCACCTTGGACCATGAAGCTGGAGAAGTGACGAGGTCGGGATCAGTGAGCATCGCCAGGGTATCTGAGGCTGAGGCACAGCAATGCAGTCGTAGGCTTGCCCTGCTATTATCCGATGAAAGGGAGTGCCTTTGTAGTACAAGGGGACGCCCATTTCGTTCACGCCTGCTGAACCGGTACACAAGGCTCGGAAACTGGACGAGTTGAATTGTCGAGCACGAGGGACGGCATGGCACCATCGCAAGCATATGCAACACAGGCAGGGATCAAGAGAGACGAGATTGATCATCAGCTCCCATCTTCCTCGATGGCAGTACAGGTGAGCACCACAGAAGGAACGTACTTCTCAGCGGTCTTGGGCACGGCATCGGCAAAGAGCTCAAAGATGACTCGGCCGAGCAATTCGCCCTCGAGCGAGATGTCGAAGAAGCAACGCGGGTTCGACATGGTCGCGAGGTGAGGAGGGCGTGGTGGAGGGCGTTGGATGAGAAGGGATGGGAGGAGGGAAAGGCGGGGATTGGTTCGATGAGCGGAGGAGGACGAGCTTGGACCCGCGCGCCGCCTCTTCGCGCTTCTTCGCAGCTGACCCATCACAGCCCATCACTAGCCATCACTCTCGATCACCAGCGCTCAACTCGTTCGGCCTCTCGGAGAGCAAGGAGTAGGGAAAGGAAAAGATGGGAGCCAACGCATCGACGGAGAGTGGCTCAGGATCGACCGGCTCAGGCCAGCGGAAACCCGGAGCTCCGCTCGATCATTACGAGGGTCGGTCATCCTCCTTCGCGGTCACGTGGATCGGGTTCGGCCCCCCATTCTGACGGGTGTACTTTGACGGGCTTCTGACATGAAAAACGTTTCTGTTGCATCAAACTATTGACCGTTGACGACCACAGTCCTAGGCATCTCGACCGAATCGACCTCGGACGAGATCAAGAAAGCGTAAGTTGTCCCTTCCAAAACCCACCCTGACTCGACATCGGATCGCCGGACCCCCACTAACCCTTTCCTCTCCTTCCAGTTTCCGCAAAGCCGCCCTCCGTGAACACCCCGACAAGAACCCCCACGATATAGAAGGGTCCACGAAACGGTTCGCGATCATTCAAGCTGCTTATGAGGTGCTTTCGGATGAACAAGAGAGGGCTTGGTACGATGATCATCGTGAGCAGATTTTGAACGGTGGACAGGCGGGTGAGGGACCCCAAGGTGCGTTTTTCAAATTCGAGCGGTCAAGAGAGAATGAACATGATGAAGGAGTTGAAGACTACTTACTGACCCTGCGATCCCCTCCCCTCGTTTTCAGACCTAGCAGCCGAAGCCTCCTATTTCGACTCGCTCCGGCGAGGAGGCGGCACCAGCGTTCCTAAACCCCGGTCCGCGTCCACCCGAGGCGTCACGATCCCCCAACTCATGAAATTCTTCACCACCTCTTCCTGGTCCGGTTTTGACGAATCCCCGACCGGATTCTACACGACCTTCCGAACGTTATTCGCTCTCATCGCTTCGGAGGAAAACGCTTTACGATCCACTTATACGTATCCGACCTTCGGCACAAACGAATCGGATTATGAGAGTGTGGTCAAAAAGTTCTATACGGGATGGTTGGATTTCGCTACGGAGAAGGAGTTTGGGTGGTTGGATCAATACAAACTCGAGGAAGGGATGGAGAGGAGGATGAAGAGGGCGATCGAGCAGGAGAACAAGAGGCTACGACAGGGAGGCAGGAGGGAGTACAATGAGACCGTTAGGGTGAGTACGGGGATCGCACCTCTTCGTTTTAAGCCTGTGGACGTGCGAAGACGTTGAGTTCGTCGCAATCGTACCTTCGCAGAACTTGGTCCTCTACGTCCGTCGTCGCGACCCAAGGTGGCAGGCCGGTCAATCGACCCTATCCCCCGAAGCACAACGCGCCGCCGAACTCGCCAAAATACGGGCCGACCTCCTCCTCGCAGCGAAAGAACGTGCTTTGGAGAATGAACAGCTCGCAGCGCAGTACCAAGCTCAGGAATGGCAGAAGGGCAATGACGAGGTGTTCAAACAATGGGAGGAGAGGAGTGAAGGAGACGGGGGGAGTGAGGAGGGGGAAAATGAGGATGAACAGTGGTGTGTGGTTTGTGGGAAGGGTTTCATGAGTGGTGGGGCTTGGGAGAATCATGAGAGGAGTAGGAAGCATCAGAAGAATTTGGAGAGGTATGTTTGACGATCTTGCGTGGTAGGATTCTACGCTCGATAGACGCTGACAGAGTTTCTTCGGCGAGTCTTGATGCAGACTTATCAAGGAGATGCAAGAAGAGGACGCGGCCTTGGGACTAGGGCGGGCAGACGAAGCCGGACAAGAAGATGTCGGAGAGGAAAAAGACCTCGATGACGACGAAGGCGAAGATGTGGACCCCCCTCCCATCGCATCGACCTCGCGTTCCCCATCGCCGACATCCTCTCTCGCCGAAGATGTCGCCGCCTTCAACCTCGCGAGCACAAACGATTCGAAAGCGGATGATGAAGTTCCCCTCCCTACAAAGGGGAAGAAGAAGAAACGACGGAAAGCTGCGACAGCCACCTCATTGGACGAGATCATCTTGGACGAGCCGGATTTGGATACGTTAGGGATCGCGAAGAAGAGCAAGAAGGGGAAGAAGAACGGACAGTCTGGGATATCGACACCGATCCAGATGGACGCGACATCGGATCTCGAGGAGGATCAAGCACTTGGGAAACAAGTCAAAGAGGGATTACTACCTAGCGGTGGAAAAAATCAAGAAGGGCGAAGGGAAAGGGGAAAGGGGAAAGAGGCTAAAGGATCGGGCTTCAGTACACCTGCTGAGGGAGGGGGGAAGAGTACCCCGACTGAGTCAAGAGGCGCGAAGGAGGATCTGGAACTGGCCATGGAGATGAGTAAGAAGGATAAGAGGAGGTTGAAGGAGGCGGCGAAGAAGGCCGGGACGGGGACTGAGGAGGTGAGCGACTCCTGGGTCTCAGATCTTGTTAATGTTGGAAAGATGGCTGATGTGGATTACCTTTTCCCATTGAGAACAGAAGTGCCACGTCTGTTCCGTGGCCTTCCCATCTCGGACGAAGCTCTTCGACCATATCAAAGTCACAGGTCACGCTCTCGCCGAAGGTCCAACCCCAACAGGGAAAACAAATTCCAAGAAGAAGAACAAGAGGTGAAACAGAACGGCAACCTCCCACTTCCCATGCGTTTAACCCCCCTTTACTTGGCGTACTTGTTGAACCATGCAACGGTCTGTTTGAACGAATCTTCTTTGCCGAACTTGATCCTCTGGTCCGTGATGTCGCCTCGGACGGCGAAACCGTGCGTGCAGCCGGGGTAGTAGTTCTGCTTCCAGCCTGGAGCGTATCGCCCTCCGCCCATCATCTCCTCGGCTTTGTCTTGCTGATCGCGCGGCCACTGTCGGCGTGGGTAAGATGATGACCTTCTGATCAGCATAAGAACGTTTATGAGACTCATCACCATGGGTGGGGATGTGGACTCACGGTACGGTCTGTCTCACACGCATTGATTAAGAGAGGGGCTTTACTCTTCTCCCGCAAGAGATCGAGGTCGTCGGGAACTCTGATGCCCGAGGGGTGAGCCGCAACAGCGCAGGTAACGACGTTGTCCACTGCCAATGCGACGGCGTATTTACCACTGTAAACAATGGCAAAACGCACGGGCCAGCCGCTTAGTGCAATGCTCTATCTCGAAAGGGAAGCGACGGACCCGAAGCAGTAACCTGTGCATGCGAATTTTGTGACGCCTTGCTTCTTGAGCGCAGCAATGACCTTGTCGAGCGTGGGGCGAGTATGTACCTCGGTGTGATTCTTGCTCTGTTATTTGGATAGTTCGATGTGATGAGCTCTCCGCATGTACACTACGACATGGAGAGGAGTTGCCCTACCCAAGCTCCGAGGTCGAAGCGACCGGCGTTCATCTCCTCAATTGGAACGGGGTCTTTGTTGAGGTAGTCGGCTGCAATGCGAAAGCGAAAGGTCTTGGTCTTCGACGTATCCCTTGCGCACCATATCGCCTTTGCTTACGGAAATACGTGGCGTAGCCATTATCCGCAAAGCTATCGCATATGAGCTGTGGGGTGAGTCGAAAATGTTGATCAGCTCGGGCGCACACAGCTCGAGGCAGACAGGTTGTCGACGAAGTCACAAGGTCAGCGCACTGACCTGGGCGTTAGAATAGATTCCATAGATATCACCTGCAACATAACATTGAATCGATATAATCAGAAACCCCCCGCCGCACGTTCCCCTCGTCTTCGCCGTGAAACTGACCGAGAAAGAGGACGGCCAAGGTCTCGTCATACTTGCCCGCTGCGGGTAAGGTGACGTAAGTGTCGACGCCGTCTATCGTCGTCATGGACCCTTTAGGGGTTCCAGAGTGGAGGGCGCCTTTCAAACAGCTGAAAGAGGGGAACGGAGAACGGTCCCGTTAGTGCTCGATTAGAGTTGCCCTTCATGTGGGGATCCGCAGATCGTCGTGGCCGTTGCTGAGTGGGCGGAGCAAGTGATCGAAAAGGACTTCGGCCTAGTGGAGGGATGTACTGAGTATGCACGTACTCTTCGCAATGATCAGGCATGGCTACGGCTCCTTTCTAGTCCAGGTGACGGGTGCAAGCGTAAAAGGGCGTGATTGATTTCACGGATCGTCAAAGTCGGTGTTCGCCGGCTACGGGCTAAAGATATCGCGTGTGGATTTGTCAGCAATCCCAACCCTTCGGCCGTGCGCCGACGCTCGAAATATATAGGCTCAAGGACGAGAGCAATAACAAAGATGGTTAATGGCTACTGGGGAGTTCCGGTGCTAGTCCCGCGGCGCTCGATCGCTCGTGTACGGCTTGCTCCAACCGAACGATTCTTACCACCACACCGCGCTTCCACCACCCCACCTCCTACGACCGAATCTCAATCATCATGTCTCTTGGATCTTGCTGCATTTCCGGTGTCAAGGTCCGTCTCAGCGTTCCAGGTCCCCCTCGGCTGCGTCAAGATGTAGCCAGCCTTCCGTCGAACGGCAGCGAATGCGAGCCCCTCACGACCACGCGCTGCGATCTGGCCACTCGATGCCCACCCAACTTGTCGCTGAACCTTGCGATTCCTGGCCCCTTCCTACAGCACGAAGGCACCCCCGCCGGAGAATTCACCACCATCAACGGTGCACGTGTCTGTAAGTCTCTTCACACCGCGCTACCAGCTTGACCCTACCCCTACCCTTCCTCACCGGCTTCGATCGCGCGCTGTCTCGGGACGCTCGTGCGTCATCGACTCGGGTGACGACCGGCCGACCGACCGACCGGCTCCACTCGCTCTCGTCCGCCGAAAACTCCGACGGCTTTGCTGATCAGGATGTGCATCTATCTGCCTTCTCTCGACTGCAGACCAAGCCCTCCCCAAGGGTGACTACGACAAGAGCAAGGCCTTGTTGTTCTGTACCGAGTCAGTCCATCCGAGTACCGGGAGTTCCTGCGCGAGTTCTGACTTTCCTCTCCTCGGTCCTTGCCTTCCCTTTCCGCCGAAACAGCATCTTCGGTAACTCGCTTCCCAACGGACAGGTTGGTGACGTATTCGCTGCCGCGCAAAGCTTCCACTCGATCGCTGACACAATCATTTGATGCTCCTCCTCAGCTTGTCGCCGATGCTTTCGCCGCCGAGGGCTTTGCGACCTATGCCGTTGACTGTGAGGAAGACATGCACGAAATATGTAGCACACTTCCTGCCACTGATCGAGCCCACCATATCCTGGCTACCGTTCTTTCTTACCATAACAGACCTGAACGGCGACGACGCCCCCGAGGATGCCTTGAGCGGCAACAAAGACTTTGACTTGATGGCGTGGCTCGGCAAGCACGGCAAGGCCGAAACGTACCCTCACATCATCAAGACCATCGAGGGCCTCAAGCAGCAAGGCGTCAAGGACTTTGCCGCGACCGGCTACTGCTTTGGTGGTCGCTTTGTTGTCGATTGCGTCCTTGATGTCAGTCTTTCCCCTATTCCGGACTCGGAAATCTTTTCTCCCACTCTGCTCTAGCTGGCTTCGTGCTGTTCGGACATCCTGCTATGAAGCACAGAAAAACTGTGCCACATGATAGGATACTGATATTGGTCTCTGATTCGCATTCCCAGGGTCACCTCAAAGTCGCGATCGTCAGCCACCCTTCGTTGCTCAAGCCTGATGAGGATTTACCCGCCATCAAGGCAAAGTCGATCCCCTTCCTGTGGAACACCTGCGAGAACGACCAAATGGTGAGACAAAAACAAGCTGCTACTTCCAGTTCTACCACGTCGTCGTTGCAGCTGACTGACCATAATCTTTATCCTGTGGTTCGTCGCAGTGGCCCAAGGAGTGCCAGGAGAAGGCCGACGAGGTCTTCAAGGGCGACAAGAACTACCAGCGCAACTGTGAGTCACCATTACAGACTGAAAGTTTGACGTTCAGTCGACCAAGGTGGGCTGTACTAAGCCTTTTTTTTTATGTTTGGTGGATTCGCAGACTACGAGGGCGTGAGCCACGGTTTCGCTATCCGAGGTGACCCCAAGGACGAGAAGGTTCGTGCCAAAAATCTTCGCTTTCCTAGTGGACGCCTGACTCGAGCTAAGGATTCTCACTCATTCACCCACTTGCCCATCTTTACAGTCGCGCAAGGCCAAGGAAGGCGCGTTCGAGAGCTCGATCAAGTTCCTCAAGGAGAACCTTTGACTCGCGGACGGTGCCAGTTTGACAACCAAAGGAAAGCTCTGAATAGTTGTGGACACAAACACAGATTTGTCTTCAAATAAAATAAACATACGGTTGGGAATGATAGATGATGTGAACTGCGTTCTCATGATCTCGAGCTGGATGATGAAAAGCTTCGTAGATTGGAAGAGTTGGGATTTTATCCTGAGAATTACAACACGAGAACACGACCAACGCTTTACGACCAACCACACAACCTTTCCTCAACGCTCGTTCTCCCTCTCCTTAAAGTACTCGATCGGTGTCCTTCGATCAGTTTTGACCATATTGTCCCGTTCGACCGCTCCAGGAAGCGGTGTGGTCCTAACCCTCGGATCGAATGCCGCTCTTTCTCGATCGCTGAGCGTGAAGAGACCCGAGGTTTGGGCGTCGAACCATCGGCGGATCTGGTGGGGGGAAGAAGGGATAAGTGGTGGAGGCGGGGTGGGTGGGATGTAGAGGGCTTACGGGCATGAAGCAATGCTCCTTCTCGCCGAAATCATAGATCAGCACCGCGTAAAAGGTGATACCTATCACAACCCAACATCCAAGAACTAAACCATCAGTACTCGAACTTGAAACCTTCCATAGCGCAACCCCACGCCAATGTCTTGACGTACCGGTAGCGAAAGCGAATGCGCCGAGCTGGATGCCCCTCGACAAGGGCGTTGGGAGGAGCGTTTGAGGGAGTGCGGAGACGGGGACGGGGGGAGCTTGATGCGTGGTGGGGGTTGGCGGGGTGGGAAGATGGCCATTGTTCGGTGTTCGATTGAGGGAGCGCGGTGGTGGAAGAGCGGGACAGGACGCGAGCGAGAAGCGCTCGGTGCGAGGCGTGGAAGGTTCCACAGGCCACTACAGGCCACTACTGCCGCTTGGACCTCTTGGACCGATCAGCCAGGGTCAGCCCCGGCCGGCCTTTCGGGTTTTCGATTGATCTACCTGAGTTTTCCCACGAGGCCGCAGAAGCACTGACGCACTTTCTGAGTAGTTGATGAGCGTTTATTATAGATGAGCGATTGCACGTCGACTGAATAACACCTGGTTGAGTGAGATACGCAGGGGGCAAGTTGGACCTCTCGGCGAGCGAAATTCGGAGAGCGACTGAGTCGGAACTTGCGAGTCGAATGGTCCAGTGTAGCAATGATTAATCAACCAAGAGAGTGGCGGGCGAAAACACTGCTCGTGCGTGGCCTACTCCCGATCGCCATCTGCCAGGCTCAATCCGGGGTAAGTTGCCTTTGTAGGTACACCCCCATCGACCAAAACTTGAAGCGCGTCCGAGGAGGCAGGGTCGCCCTGCCCAGACGCGTCAAAGCCAGCCGCCGGGCCCCAGCGCCAGCCAGCCTCAGCCAGCGCAGGACAGCGCCATTTATCCGGACCGGCCAAACGCGCGTCGCGTCCCAGGTTTTCTTTCCTTCTCTTCCCCCTCATACCTGACTCTCATCTCTCAACCCCCTTCCACCCGTTCCCCCTCCTTCCTCCCAGCCCACGAACGAACCATGTCTGCTGATCTCCAGACCGGAAGCACCCCCACTACGGCGCCCAAGGGCCACAAGTCGAGCTTGTCGGGCGTTATCCCTCACTCGGCGCCCGTCGGTCTGCAGAGCGTTAGCATGACCCCTGCGCAGTACAGGACACGCAAGGTCGCTCTCATCACTGGTCAGTCTATTGTGGACCTCGGTACTGTATGCATTAGGTGGAGGATGGTGCTGGGGTGTGCTATCCGGTGGCGGTTTGATCCCGTCGCGTCGTCGAAAATCACCAGTCATGCATCGAATATCGCTGACCTTGGACTGCTTGCGACTTTGTTAACAGGTATTACCGGTCAAGATGGCTCTTACCTCACCGAGCTTTTGCTGGAGAAAGGCTACGAGGTCCACGGTCTGTGAGTGGCAATTCCGCTCTCCATAAAAAAGTGGTCGACGACGCGTCGTGGTCGCGTGCACTCGCTCTCGAATGAACGATCAGTCACGCGATATCTGCCAGCTCCCATCAACGTAGCCAGAACTGACTCTCATGCTCGATCACCGCGGTTCACAGTATCCGACGATCTTCGTCCTTCAACACCGGCCGTATCGAGCATCTCTACAAGGATGTCCACGAGCGTGCGTTTCTGATCTCGCCGTGGCTTGCTTTCCTTTCGGACTCCGCGAGACACGTTCCAAGCTGACCACTCATCATGGTCACTCCTTGTTCTATCCTCACAGGACCCAAGATGGTACTCCACTACGGTGGTGAGTACTTGATCGAGGTGACCCCGTAACGGCTGGTACAGCCCCAAACTGACGGTCGAAGCGATCTGAACTGTACCCTCTCCAGATCTTACCGACACGACTAACCTCGTTTACATCATGTCCTCGGTCCAGCCCACCGAGATCTACAACCTTGCTGCCCAGTCCCACGTTAAGGTCTCGTTCGACATGGCCGAGTACACCGTGAGTTGTCTTTGCTTTCTCCCCAGCCGGAGGCGCTTTCCATCTCATGTTGCTCGGACGCCACCAACTCACACGACCCATCACTTTTTGCACAAAGGGTGATGTCGACGGTCTTGGAACACTCCGTCTACTCGACGCCATCCGCACTTGCGGCTTGACCAAGCACGTCCGCTTCTACCAAGCCTCGACCTCGGAGTTGTACGGCAAGGTCGTCGAGACCCCTCAGTCCGAGACGACCCCCTTCTACCCTCGCTCGCCCTACGGAGTCGCCAAGCTGTACGCCTTCTGGATCGTCAAGAACTACCGCGAGTCGTACGGCATGTACGCGTGCAACGGTATCCTCTTCAACCACGAGTCCCCCCGCCGTGGCCGCACCTTTGTCACCAGAAAGATCTCGCGCGCCGTCGCCGAGATCTCGCTCGGTCAACAGGATTGCCTTTACCTCGGTAACATGGAGGCCAAGCGTGATTGGGGACACGCCCGCGATTACGTTGAGGGGTGAGTAGTCCGATCACCTTTTCCTGCGTGAGAGTCTTCCAGCGTATTTGATACTGACGAGCTCGTACATTCCCCTCTCCCTCCCGTTCCGCAGCATGTGGATGATGCTCCAGCAAGACACCCCCGACGACTTTGTCCTCGCGACGGGTGAGACCCATCCCGTCAAGGAATTCGTCGAGAAGGCCTTTTCCCACGTCGGCATCACGATCAAGTGGCAAGGCGAGATCGAGTCCGTCGACGAGGTCGGCGTCTGCGCCCAAACGGGTCGCACGCTCGTGCGCGTCGACCCGCGTTACTTCCGACCCGCCGAAGTCGAGTTGCTCCATGGTACGCCCGCCAAGGCCGAACGCGTGCTCGGCTGGAAGCGCAAGGTCGATTTCGACTCGTTGGTCAAAGAGATGGTCCTCGCTGATGTCGAGGGAGCCAAGAGGGCCGATCGCGATTAAAAGACGGAGGTGACCCTCCTCCTTTCGATCTTATCCTTGCTTTTTCTTCCCCTGTTCTTTATTTACCACCTTAACCCCCTTTGTTGGCTCTTGGTATCGACTAGACAATCTTCCCCCATCTTCCGCGCAATAGACCGTTTCGTCTTTTCTTCTTCCTCCCCCTCTTTGCTCTGGTACATCGTGTTGAACCCGCTCCCTTGCTGTAGCATTCAGCTCCTTTGGCTTCTCCCTCTTGTTCTTCTTCTCCTTCTTGGGTTGTATGTGACCTCTCGTTTGAAAGAATGTGCAATCTTGATGGTTTCGTATTCGCAAAACTTTACTGGGGAATGCTTGTCAACACTTGTGACAGTCGTTGTGGTCCTTCATGTGGACTCTCGGCTTCGAGAGAAGTTAGCGGCTGGCAGTGAATCCGTACACAGGAACGAATGGGGACGTTTTTGATTGCAATTGGGAACACTGATGGATGCGAGAACGAGATCGAGAACGAATTGGTGAGAAAAGCCCGACGCCAGAGATACAGAGCACAGACCAGAGACCACGGTCGTACGACCGATCGAAGGAACTCTAGTATCGCGATGATAGAAGAGGAGGATGAATGTGAGTCATCAAGTGGAAGAAAGAGATTTAGAAATTCCAAAAAAAAGAAAAAAGAAAGAAAACCTCACCCCCACGATATAGACAGATTGGTCTAGGCCTGTGCGACAGGACACGAAGTGAGAGCCGGGTATGCGCAGCCCGGCCAGTCGAAGCCACTCGTGCGACCTCTACATGTATCAAAGGTGGGAAAGTGCCTTGGAGCCATGAGACACCTCGTTGGTCTTGTCTTGAGCCGCGTGATCGGGATGGGGACCCTTTAGAGGCTAGGGGCTGCGGTTGGTGCGACCTTGTATCCCGTACTCACGCCGAAGGTAGGATCGCTCATACTCTTGGAATCATCCTTGGCTTCGCTTTGATGGTTCTCTTTGCTGACGGAATTTCCCATCTCCTTCATCTTCTCGTTCACTAGGTTCGATCGGTAGGACGAGTCAGCCGCAAGTCCGAGAGGGTTTCAGCTGCAGCTGCAGGTGGCGGTAGGTGCGGCGGCGAAGGCCGAGGCGGGGGAGAAGATCGCACTCACTCGTGTTGGCGGCATCATGCCAGTGAATCCGCCAGCCAGTCCACCAGTGTTAGGGGAGGAAGAGGACCTGCACATATAAATGTTCGAGGTGGGCCAGATAAGGGTGCGATGCACCGTAGCACAAGTCCGAGGCGCGGCCAAGTCAGCGAGCGGTGATGAGCTCCTTTCAGCAGGCGTAACCCAAAGTCGAGAGGGGGTAGTGGGGGTCCAGACAGCATACTGACATTGAAGGGTTGTGGGTGTGAGTGTGATTACTGTAGACTGTATGTGCGAGGATTTGATTGAGGCAAAGATTGAGCGAGGGGGTGGCCCGTCTTTGGGAAAGGAGAGCGAAAGAAGAAAAGCGGGCCAACTCGAGGCAGGAAGAAACGCTCGGACCCTCGATAAGTCCAACCCCGAAGCCCAACTCCACCGGCGCACCCTGTGAGCTGCGGCCCGTTGAGATTATTCATACAAGACCAAAGTGAGCTGGAAGAGTAGTTGAACGGCTTCTCGTGCCACCGCTCCGCTTGATCACCAGCTAGGTGCGACGGAGCGGTCAGGTCTTTAATGACTTTCGAATACAAAACCCCGAGCGCGATGCAGTGTTGGCCTTCATGACTCCACATGGATTACACCGGAAGATGTCGCGGCCGCAAAATTGGAAGACGGCCATTCCTCAACAGGGGCTTGGAGTCGCGTGGCGTCGTGCATGTACGCAGCTTAGATCGATTTCTCGCAGGGGCGTCGTCGCCGAGGGCGTACGCACGACAACAAGTGCGTGCACGCACGCGACAAAGATGGCGCAATCAAATTTTCGGATTGCATAGATACGTTGTAAGCAGTTTAGGCAGTGTTTATCGACGGCAAAGGCAAAGAAAAGTTGGCGTCGGGGAGGGAATCTGCGCGGTCAAGTCGTAGTGCCCCGACCACGGCCGACACCGGACGCCGAGCGGCATCGGGCGAGTCGGATTCACTCGAGCAGAACAAGTGCTTGCATGGGCCCTAACTTTTTGGAAACCCCCCGGCGAGTCTTGCTCGTGAAATACGAGAGCCACGAAGGTGTTGGCTCCGAGGTGCGTCATGGCCCCCGGTGCGAACGCTAGGCTCAATGATCGAAGCGCTCCATCGAAGCGCCTTGTTGTCGGCGCGCTGCTGTGCCGCGCCAGCGCCCGCGTTCACTTTCGGATTTTCGTTCAAAATTTTCCTCCACCATTTCTTCGGTCGACGCCTTGCAGAAAACTCAGCACAAACTAAGGAGATAAATGGAGTCCTGGATGGTCAGCCAAAAAACCGCGTACAAGGCGGTCTGTTGCCGGACGCTGTTTTCTCACGAAAGTGGAGCCCGCATCACTCTCGATCCCATCGTCGGTGCATGACGTAGCCGAGCTGTGGCTCCCCCGTCTTGGGCTCGCTGTGGGCTCGCTTCCCTCATCTATCGAATCCGGGTTGAAAGAGATGTTTCCGTTGCCGGCCCTCTCTTTTCTCTCTCTCTCTTTCCTTCCCACCACATCTAAGAAGCCCAAGTTCATACACCAACCCAAACCAAACAACCACTACTATCATGTGAGTACTCTGTGCTACGCCTTTGACGACAACTTCGTGCCGACGAAGCGCCCCCCGTCTCCTCCATGTGCTTCGCTGACTCGGTCGGGCTCCACGTTGCCGTCTACGGCTTTCTTTGCTATACCTTGGCATCCTACCCCGACTCTCATTCAGGTCTTCCGCCACCAACAACACCACCTCCGGCAGCATCGCTGGTCAGTATTTTCCCGTTGCGTTGTGTGCAAACCATTCCTCGTCACTCATCGCCGCTTGCTCCTCCTGCTCGATGCCTTCCTCTCGCTTCCGACGTGCACAGACACCGTCTCCAACGCCGCTAACTACGTCAAGGAGACCGTCCAAGGTTAGTGCAAAACCATATTCATTTGTTTGAACTTCCAAAGCAAATGCTAACGCATCACACCTACCCACAGAGTACACCTCGTGCGTTCCCCATCCCGGTCTTCTTTCGTGGGAACATCACCTCATCACAACATCGGGTCGAACTGATATTATTTCTAACTCTACAGCGCATCCTCCAAGGAGGCCAACAAGCAGCAGATGTGGGTGTCTCTTCCTCAGTCTCGCCGATAGAGCGCATACTCCAGCCGCTGACAAACGGCCCCTATCATGTCAACCACAGGAAGGACTCCAACCAGTCCCTTGGTGACCGTGCCTCGGCGTGAGCAGTGTCTTTTTCTCATGACGCACGTGATACATCCGGGTATTAATGCAGATCCCTTATTCCGTCAACCATAGCGGTTTGTCGGCCGCCTCGGACAAGATCGAGGAGTCCGGCCACTCCGCCAAGGTGAGCTCGGTCAACGCGATCAGCTCCATGAGTGGACGGACCTTGATGGCTTACTATTATTTCATTCCATATTACGCAGGCCGACGCCCACAAGGAGACCGCCAAGCACTAAGCAACTCGCATTGTGTTGTCCGTTTCTACCATCCTCGTGCTTCCTGTGCCGAGGCCCAAGTACTTTGTTTGATGAATTGAACCAAGCTGCAATCGAATTTGATAATTGAATCGTTCAACGTCTGGATTGTTTCACAAGTCTCTTTTTTTGATAGGTGGAAGGGATGCATAGAATCTGCTGCGTTGCGTCCACCCGTGTTCTGTCTAAGTTCATGAGATTGCCTCCTGTCGTGACGAGCGTAAGGAACGAGGATTGCGAACAAGTACGCAGCGAGATATCGCAGAAAACATGCGCCCAGGCTCGAGCAGGAAGATCACACATCACTGTTACTGCCTATGATACAAGCAGTTTGTTGTTTGCTTCTGAACAGCAATCACAACAATTGTAGAACTTCGTCTTGCCCAGGCGAGGGTCGCCCAGAGCTGAGTAGAAATCAAATCCGGCAAAGAGGCTGGTGTTGCAGAAGCGAGTGATGTGACATAGTAAGACAATTGAGTGATATGTTTTGTAGATACATAAAGTCGATCAACGACTTAGTCCGAAATGAGTTCCAAAATGTCCACATCCCCTGCTCCGCGAGAAAACCATTCTTCTCGATAAGCTCTTTCAACTCCTCGCCCTTCGGCTCCGGAGCGAGGTTCGCTTGCTCTGCTGGCTTGCGCGGTCAACCACAATGTCCGCACAGAAACCCGCCATCTCCGGGAGTGCCCCCTTAGCTCGCTCCAGAACCTTTTCGTAGCCAAACATGCAGAAGGGCCTCTTGACCGTGAGGAGGATATCCATTCGGAGTTCGGGCTCGAACATGTCCCACGCAGCAAATTCGCTCGCACGTCGAGAGTGGTACCTGAAACACATGGGGCAAGACGGCTGCGGCTCAGTACCGGTGTGGCGGTCAGGTGAGGACCCCAGGAACGGCAAAGGACTTACGCTTCGTGGGATTCGTCGTGCTCGACCATGCACGCCAAACTCTCGAGTGAGGGAAGGTCTTCTTCCGGCAGCAGGAACGCGAGCAAGCCCATCATGTGGGGGATCGGCGAGGCTTTGAGGTCCTCGTAACGCATGGTGTGCGTCAAGATGGGCACATCGAGCCAATACATGGAGTGGTCGGCCCATCGCTGTGCCATGTCGAGCAGGCGTTTGCGATGTAACTCGCCGAACTTGCCTCCTTCGATCGCGGTCTTTGCGTTGTGTTGCAGGTAGCCTTCGGGGGTGCGCCCACTTTGCTGGAGCTGCCACCACGATGCCATGGCGTCGATAGGGTTGCGAACTGAGGTAGCACCACGGGCAGATATATTCATCAGTTGTTGAGTTCCGAAACGATCGGGCATTGTAATAAATTGACGTACCGAGCAAGAACGTCTGATCGAAGGTCTTGAAATAGTCCAGATTATTTTGGATGGCCCCCTTGGGAAGAGCAGGGAAATGAGTCTGTGTGTCGCAACGAGAGGGAGGAGAGAAGTGTTGAGCGACAAGCACAGAGATCCGCATACAAGGGGGTCTTCCGCCAGCCTCACCTTGACAAAGAAGTTGGTGTTGTGGTCGCATTCGCCCGTGAACGTTTGACTGAGCTTTTGATCGCAGTCTGTCGATGGAGAAAGTGTAAAGGACGCTCACGTAGAAATCAGCATTCCGTAGCAAAAGATACCGGCCGACGGCGCCGGAGAGTCGCAACTTACACACCGACGACGTCTGGTAGCCCGTGGCCCTCTCCACTAGCGACCTCATGAACGAGTTACCCGAGCGAGGGAACGAGACGAAGCCTGTGCGCGTCTGCGTCGAGTACGGGATCGTGTCGATGTGCCCGCACTTGGGCTTGACAGCGTCGTGGAGCTGATGCGCCCATCGACCCCCTTGCAGCTCGATCATTTCGGCCGACTCGGCTGCATTCACCTCAGCAAGCATCTCTTCCTCGTGCGCGTTTTCAGTGTTGTCCGCTACTTCCTCCGCGGGGGCCGAAGCGTCCGGCGAGTCGTCAGCCGCGGTGTCGTCGACCAAGTCGGTGGTCTCTTGGCTGGGAAGGTAAGCTCCGTCGGCTTCAGAATCGGTCGACTGGGCTTCCTCCTGCTCGATCTGAGCCTCGGCCTCGGCTTCGGCAAAGGACTCGGCGGCGCTGGGATCATACTTATCCGTGGCCGAGCTGGCGGTGCTGTCTTGGGCGGTGGAGCCCTTGAGCCACGTAGGCGCATGCTCAACCCATTTCGTCGGCCATTCCTGCGTCTTCGAAAGCGCACCACTCGATTGCAAGCTTCCGCTCGAGAGGGCAAAGGGAGCGATGACGATGGCAAGGGCGAGAGGGACGAGTACGGGGATGAGGTATTGCAAAGTGACTTCGAGGGTGATCCAGTCCCCAGTAGGTGCGTCAGTCCCAGTTGAAATTGCTTTAAGGGTAAAAGCGTCGAGTGCAACTCACAGATCTTGATGAGTGACGGCGACTTCTTCTGGAAGTTGTGAAGAGGTTCTTCAACATCGTCCTTGAGGGCCTCCTTCTCGTGGATGAGGTTGTCCGATTCTTCGTCAGAGTCCTCGGAGAAGACGACAACTTTGGGCAAAGCCTTTTCTTGCTTGGGCGGGTCGAAGGACTTGTTGATTTTGATCCAGATACCGCTCGCGACCCAGCCGACACCGCACCATCCCTCGATGCTGACGGCGCCAAAGTTGCCGAACAAGCCGGCGTTGATGAGGATTGACAAAAATTGGCGGATCGTCATGATCAACGAGCTCGTCAAAGCGCCCTACAAGTACAATTCAATCGCGCGTCAGCACAGTCGAAAACACTTATGGTACAGTCATTCAACGGGACTAGTGTCGTGTCGTGCGGCGGACTTACGAAGGAAGCTATGGTGTTGAGAAGAATGATCAATCCGATCGCACTCGCGGCGGAAAAGGTGAGGATGTCCCAAACGAGCGCAGGGCTCGTCATGAGCAATACCAAGTTGGGCAGTAGGGAGCCGGTGGTGCTCGACAAGAGAGCCACAAGAAGGGCAATACCGCCAGCAAAGACATTGGTCCAGATCTTGGAGCAAGCGAAGGCACAGTCAGCGACGACGGTCAAACTTCTCTTCCGCGCGGAGGGGTCCGAGCTCACCATCTGGTCGAGCACGGGGGACTCGGCCCCGAAAGGATCAGAGGAGGGGTTGCGACCGAACACTTTCTCTTGCGTCGTAGAGACCATTCCGTCGAAGAACAGGTACGCAGTCAAGAAGAGTGCCCCAATAAAACCGTTCCACGCCGAATGCTGGTCAGTCGAGGTCGAGAGGTGCTTGGGGTTTGGCGGCTGCGAGAAAAGATACGTCGCGCAGCTGCGCACGCAGCAAGGTGGGCCAAGGCGCAAGGTCAGTGCCACCGAATGCAGAATTTGAAAATTGAAGGGAGTAACAGAATAGAGTGGCCGAGACGTACCCCATCAAGATGACAGCGCCGGCGACCCACTCCCTGCGCTTGTGTTGCTTCTTCCAGACGACGGCACCGACGACGAGTACAGGGATCATCTTACTCGTCTTGGCAAGCGACTGGGTCGTGTACGAGACATACTTCAACGCCTCGTACTGGGAGGTTGTGCTAAGGAAGTTGAAAACGGCCACACTGGTGTAGGCGACCATCGATGAAGCTGGCCGTAGTCGAGCGGAAAAGCTGCCGGCCTCGGGTGTTTGGCGAGATTTGAAGAAGAGGATACTCAGACCGACCGAAACGCTGATGACACGGTTGGCGACAATGAGCAGCGAGGAAGAAGTGAAGCGTTCTCCGTTCGGGCCTACGCATCGTTCGAGGGACCGGGAAGCATGGAACGACGATTGTCAGAACAAGGAGAATACGCTAGGCAGAGCGGCCGCGCAGCAGCCAGAGATGGGCTCACCGTAAGTCGATTTCATGATCTTTTCCTGTTGGGCGAGAATAGACAAGATTGGGGTAGAGTGTCAGCCCAAGCACTCCGGTATTAAGCCAGATCCAAGCTTCTCTAGCCTGAGAGACCCATGCCCAAGCGAAGCTCCTGACGCAAGCGCCGACGCGTGACAGCCTCGGCGGCTGGGCGCTTCGGATTAGCCAGATACATCTTGAAAACAGCACCCACCTGGAGTACCCCATATGAAGAGTAGACAAAGATCAGCCCTGCTGCATGCAAGAGCAAAGACACGCGCCCGGCTGAGATGGCCATGATCGCGGCTGCAAAGGTGGAGATGGAGCCCGGAGGTCGCCTTGGCTGAGGGGCTCCAAACAAGGTTGTCGAAGTTGTGGCGACGTGAGGTGGGGATCAGGGCGAAAGGAGTGTGGTTGGTTCGACGTAGGAATCAAACCAGGTCAGGTACAGACGGAGAGATGTTCGACTTGTGTTGACGACGATGGCAAGTGTTCAAAAGCAGAGAACCTCGTTGTGGGCAGGGCAAGGCCTAAATCGCAGAGCGTTCTGTCGACGACGCGTTGCGTCGCGTCCGTAGCCCAGCGCCCCACCCCGAATTACTGCGCAGCGCGCGCCCTGGGCGAAGCCGACGAACCTCTCGTCAGCGCGCGAGGGCTCGCCGCCAATATCGCAGAGTGCCGCATTCTTGGGCCGATGCCGGACAGGGCCTTAAGCTTGAATAGTAGTCGCCTTCTCGGCAGTGACGTCTTTCGTCTTACCGACTTCTCTCTCTCTTTTGTCTGTGTTTATTTTCCCAGTCCTTCATTTGACCTGATGACATTGAAAGATTACTGTAATCCGCCTTCTTTGGCACGGAGCTTTCTACTCGACCTGGCAAATCTCCAGCGATAGTGACCGGCCTGCCTTACAATCGGCAGTATTTCGGTCTTAATGTCATGAGTACCTGAGGGGTCCTCGGACACCGCGTGGCCTTGCTGTCATCGGATTAGCAGGATAGACGCCTGAACGGCCTTCTCTTTGGTGAACACACACGCTTCCATGAAATTCTTAGTTTATTTGCGTTCCACGTTTTGTGCTAGAACGTAGGTATGCTGCAGATGTAGGACAGAGGCTTGAGTGTTTGTTCCGTCCCATTAAGGTAACAAGAGTGCAGCATTTGCAGCATTGTGTCACCAAAAACAAACGTAGAAAAGGGAGCACGCCTAGACCTATCCATCTATCTAATTGGAAATACGAGCCCTAGTTGGAAATATGCTCACCCGCGTACCGGATCAAAAGACCCAATACTTTAGTGACCAAATATTGGACTTAGTGACATTAGTGACAGCATTGAGTGCTGGTGACACAGGTGACAGGCGAAAAGCTGGTGACATAAGTGACAATGACAATAATAAGTGACCGAGGGTCCGACTTTTGTCACCTATTAGTGACGGGGCCAAAACAATTAGTGACCCAGCCCTAACACGGAGTCACGGACGGCGCGTCCGCTCGACTTGGGGGCGCCGGAGGCCTGACTGCCTGGCGCCAAACTCAGCCGCTCAGGCCCTGAAGCCCTGCAAAATTGCAGCGCAAGAACCCCGTCAGCAAGCCGCCCAGGGAAAACGCCAAGCATTTTCAACCGGCCTATGGCTCCCTCTGCGCTCACCCTTCGCTAATCTTCACCCCAACTGCGCAAACGCGTAAACAATACTTTGTGATCGTGGCATTGGCGTGACAAATCACACGGTTTGAACACCCTCGAGAATGGGAGCAGCGCCGATGGGCCGTTGCGCTGCGCTCTCTTTGCTGCGCTGCTTCGGCCGTCGGGCAAAAGTTGGTTTCCTCCTCCCCTGGCCGTGAGCCGGGCTGACCAATCGGAATATCGTGCGCTTTGAATCCTTTATAGCAACGAGCGAAAAAGAACTTGCTTCCGCAGACGTCTCCTTTGACAGGTCGGAACTCTTTTGCGTCTCATGCCGCTGCTGCACACTCCCCTAGCTCAAATAGTTATTGCTGCAGCACCTGCCTGCGTGCGCCAGAACCGCGCGTCGCGGCTGCAGAAAGTTTTTCCAATGCGCTCCTTTGGGACGAGTGACGTCGCCGAAAAGCGTGCCCAGCATGGACTGCTGCGATTGTGATGCGGAACAACCCCAAGGGCAAGAAATTTTATACGCAGGCGCCTAGCAAAGGATCCCCTTTCTAGAACACTCGGATAGGTATGAGAAGCATTCTACTTCGAGAGGACGGTCAATAAAAACAGAGTCCTCCGTATATGTCTATATGGTATAGATACCCTACGCAGCACGATATCATATTTATGGAATAGAAAGGTTGCCCTACACGTCGTTGTAAGGGTTGCTGTCAGTGCTCGGGCCGCTCAGATGGGTGGCGAGAAACTCGTAGCCGAATGGGCGAACAAACTGACCTCGCGAGTGAAGGTGAGGATGTGATCGCCAAGAGCGCGCATAGAGAAGCCGGTCTCGCAGTACACAAAGTAGTCTGACGCAACACGCATCGGAAGATCTCACCGGTCAGCATCTCGTGTCACCCACCGGTTTCTTTCACCCGCTAGGAGGCGGTGCAGCAACGACCACGACTCACAGATCCATTTTCGCTTGAACGTGTCGATGCCCTTGCGACTCTTGAGCTCGGGGTAGGCCTCGTGCAAGGCGGGCACCATCTCGTCCTCAAAGGTCGCCTCGAATCGTCTTCGCCATTCGCGAAGCGTACGTGCGTAGTCTAATCATCGGAAAAAAAATGCGTCAGAGCAAGTCGAACACGACTAGCAGGAGGGGGCCCACGACTTACGAGGTCCAATGTTCTCGATCTGCTCGACGACGAGCTTGCCCTTTGTGCCTTGTAGCAACGAGTCGACGAGACACGTCAGGGACGGCAAGAAGCCACCGGGGAAGATATGCTTCTGGATGAAATCAACAGACCTGTTCAAGAAGATTGGAACCAAAGGCGTTGATCAACATGAAGCAGGTGACGAGTGTACCAAGTCCGAGTCCTTCACTGACTTTCCGTAGTCCTCGAAGCGGGCCTCGGGCATCGTGATGACTTGCACGACGGCCAATCCCCGATCTTCCCTCAGTACTCGATTGACGACTTCGAAGTAGGTCGGCAAGAACTCGCGGCCCACGGCTTCGATCATCTCGATCGAGACGACTCGGTCGAAGGCGTTGCTGAAAGTCAGGGTAGTGAGCCACGTCAGTGATCGCTGCCGATCAGTAAGATCTCAAAGGCCTGCTTAACTCACTCGAATGATTCTGGGAGGGCACGGTAGTCGAGCAAATGAACGGTAATCATCTTGGAGAGGCCTGCTCGAGCAATCCTGGCTTCTGCGAGCTGCTTTTGCTCGATTGACAACGTCAACGTGTCAACGGTGCATCCGGTCGTCCTGACGGCCTGTGAAGAAGGTGCAAATTGGTTCAGCGCGGATTCCTCGATGGGATGAACGCTCTCGTGCTTACCTCGATGGCAAAGCTTCCCCATCCACTTCCAATCTCCAAGACTCGATCACCCTTGCTGATCCTCGCACGTGCGATGACCGTTCGCAGCTTGCGCATCTGGGCCACCTCAAGCTCGTCGACGTCGTCCCGGGGTGGGAATTCGCGGTCACCGACGTGTATTAAATCACCTTCGACACCGCCTTCCTTGGGACCCCAAATGGCGCAGGAGTAGGTCATGTCGGCGGACAAGAAGGATTCAAACATACGATTCGATATCTGACAAAAGAAGAGCGAGGTCCGATTTTAGCAGATAGGTCCGAACTGGGAGGCACTCTGAATGTGATACTGACATCGTAGTGAGCAGAGATGTTGGAGATGGCATTGCTAAGAGAGTTGGCGAAACGAGAATTGACGATCGCGTTGAAGGTTGAGAAGATCTTGCCCGCAAAGCCAGTCGAGAGCTCATTCAAGCTCGATCGGTTGATGATAAAGAGCTGTGGGTTTTCAGTCAAGTTACAGTTAGCGATTGAGAAGCAGAAGTGACTGAGGTGTGGGTTACTACCAACCTTGAACAGAGCGTCCAAATCATCAACCTCGATATCGCCGTTCATGTAAGCCTCGGAGAAGCCCAAATCGGCCAAGAGCAACATCCTGACCCAGAATGCATCGTTGAGCACCTTGATCTCGGCTCGAATCTCGTCCCTTGCCGGGTTGGGTTCCTGCTGCTTGTTTGGGTTCGGGTGCTCTTCGTTGAAGATCGCGGGCCTGCCGAAGGTGAAGATGCCGTCTTCCTTGGTGATGACTCGCAGTTGACCTGGTGGGGGTAGTTAATGGATGCAAGGGGGTCAGTACGATTCGGTTCCGTCTTCCGCTTTGGTCGACAGTGCCCAATTGGCTGCCGGGCCGACGGAGAGGAGGTCATTTTTGGCGCTCCTGAGCCTTCTCGGTCAATTACGTTCGGCAACGACCCCGAAGTGGGGGCAGGCGCGGGCAGGCGCGGGCAGGTGCGGGTGCTATAACAGGCAAGGCTCGCAACGACTCGACCCCAGCTTTTCAAAGTCGAACCAACTAACCCCTATCAATATGTTCCATCATGCTGATGATCGCGGTCCTAGCGATGACGACGAGCGGGGTCCAACTCTTGCTGAGCAACATGTCCTTGCCGCCGTTGACGAGCCGATCGGCGAGGGACACGAGCTTGCCTTGCTCGCGGTAATTTTTGGTCGAGAGGTACGACGACGCCATAATTTGATTCTGAGTTAGGGGTGGGTATCCGAGACGGCAGGAAGTCAAGAAGGCGAGGCTGGAGATCGATTCCAAGCGTCGACGTAAGGTGGTGGGGGGAGCCCGAACAACTCGATGGCCGGAGGGACGGGAGGGCACTTAAGAGTCGGTCGATCGCAAATCGGCCCGGCGCTGTGCCCGATTTCCCGGTTCCGCGATCATCGATCATCGACGCCCGATCCCCGTCCATCGTCTCGCCTTCTTTCGTAGCTCTTGACACCGAGTAGTCAAAGTCTTGAGTAGTAGCTCATCCTTTCGAGTATATGTCCAAACATTCAGTGTTTCATCAAAATGCAAGATCCATCCAACACCATGCTTAGCTGCCGGCGTGCCGCTCGTCCCCCACGTGGTGACCGAGCTGCTGCTACTGCCAGAGACAAATATAGGTAGCCCGCGCGGCGAGACAACTGACCGCCCCCCCCCCCCCCCCACCTCGTGCAATTACGAAGCGACCGAAGACGGTTCTTTCTTGCGCACCAATAATCAAACAAACAGCTCTTTTTAGGTGGAGTACCCCTGTACCACCACCACCCCTCTACATGTATTTCCCTTCTGGTCTCGCATACCCGAGCCCCGTTTTGGTCGTCCCCGTCTTCAGTCGGTTCCTCCCCGCGTACTGTTAGACGTGGGGGAAGAAAATTGCTGTTAGTTGGGCCGAAACTCCCGAGAAATCTCCTCTCGACGATGGAGGTGATGACGTACGACAAAGGAATCGATGAGACTGGCAACGGTCAACACACCACCAACGATCGCACATGTCGACGTAAGGAAGTGCGCAAACGATTGTCGCTCCTCGCGGTGGATGACGAGCATCGGCGAGACGTCGTAGTTGAAGAACAGGCCTGTGGATACGACGTTGTAGCATGGCATGCATCACATGAGCTCGTGCCGTTCTAGTCACCATTTGCGTGTTTTCACTCACCTGGCACACCAGCGTAGCCATGGGTCGTCTGATGCCCCGAAGAGTCCTTGCCGCTCTTGTCGCTCACTGCCGTGTCAATCCGACGGGTCAGAATTTTTGTCAAGCTTCAACGATCTCCAATTCACCCGATATACTCACAATCTCGCTCATACTCGGTGACCGAGTATTGATGAGTCCTCAGCTCGCGACCATCAAGGAAAATGAACTTGGTCGAGACGACCTCTGCGAATTTACAACCCATTTGCTTGTCAGTGCTCACAGTCTTCAACCGAGTGCTCCTTCAACGAAGAGGCAGTACGTACTGAGGAAGTACTGAATCATATAGTTTGACTCTTCGATGTGGACCTTGACTCCATCCAGCGGATTCACGATCCCCAAATCCTTCTTGGTTTGTTCCAAGCTCCTACCACCGACACTGACGAACTCCTCCTCATGCTCCGAAGCGAAAGAGAAATGACGAATATGATGACCGAAATCGTGTCGGTTCCCGTCTTGGAGGTAAGGGACGAGGTCGTGGACGTGCATCGCGTTGGCCTGGAACGACCGTCCGGGCGAGAGATGGAAGTTGCCGATGACCTTGTTAACGCGCACTTTGCCGGCGACGTTGCAGCCTTCTTCGGACTGTTCCTTGATTCGATCGGTCCATCCTTCCGATACGCACTGCGAGTAGGGTACGTAGCGTCAGCTCGCGCTCGCCCAGTGCCAGCGGTGAGCTCATCAACTACTGACCTGTTCAACCTTGTCCGGGTTCACGAACGACCACCCTCGCTTGACATACGACTCCCTGACCTCGTCGCAAGTGTTGCAGCACCCAGGTCGGTCGCCTTCAGTTGGCGGTACACCTCCGTAGCAGTTTCCGCCTGCGCGATATCCAAAAGATTTTGAGCTAGTGCGCGGAGCAGTTTCGAAGGAGGTGGTGCTCAGGCTCTGACTCACAGTAGTTGGGATCCTTTGTCTTGGCCTGTCGTTCGACATCACCCGTCAAGCCGGTTCCTTTCGGTCCATCGATCACTTTGCCTTCCTTTGAAAGACGGGTCTTGGTCATGTCGTGGTGAATGTCTGCGCGCAGTGTGGGCCGAACGGCACGAGGTCAGCGTTTCCGGGCTTTGCATGACGCGCTTTGAGAGGCATGAAGCGGCTTGCTCACCATTTTGGTGCTCTCCTGAGATATCCATGATATCCACACTCAGGACTGCGGTCATGAACAGGACGAGCTCGTCAGCACGTATGCCCATTGGTTTGAACATTGACTTCGCCCGCGCTCTCGTGAGTGAACGTACGGTAGCAAGGCACCCTGGGGAAGTCAATATCAAGATTGACGACCAACTTCTCCCCTCGGGACTTGTCGACCACGACCGATGGTTCCTAGAAAATCGGGGATCAGTGCGACCGTCAGCTCCTCGTTCGGGGACCGTTCTCGAACGGGATACCAGACGCGTCGAATTCGAGCAAGCTTCGACCGCTTACCCAGTGCACCCTCCGATAATCGACAAATTCGTATATTGTCAAAGCGACGATGATGCTTAACGAGATGAGGGTTACTGCAATCCCGCGTGTCGGCCAAGGAGAAGGGAGGTTCAGTTACGGGGCGATTTCGTGTGTCTTGAGCCTGACAGTGTGGGGGTGGTTCCAACGCACAAGCTCCACCGAATCCCGTCTTGATCTTGACATCTTCCATCGTCTGTATGGGGAGCAGTTCGCGTGAGCTCGTGCATCGGCAACAACTGCGAACGAACAAAGGCGCGACAGGCCGACTTTGTAAGACTTACCTTGCCGAACGCATCCAACCCTCGCACCGAAGTGAAACGTCGTCCCATATCGACGACCCTATTCAAACTCTTTGGCCTAGTGGTCTGAACCCGTCGCAATTGCGAGCGTGTCCTTCGAGTGGTCCGAGGGAGGCTCTGGCGAACCTATTGGGATGCCCGAACGACAGAGCGAGCCGAACGGAACACGTGTTTGTCGTGTGAGTCCGGTCTTGAGGGGACAACGGAGCGGATGAGGGAGGCCAAGGGCTTACGGAAGACGAGCGAACGGATCGACCCAGTGAACAATGCTCGGTGCGGATAAGGTCCGTGGACGATACGCGCAGCGTCGAGAGACGAGGACGTGAACGAGGGCGAATTAGAGACGGACAGGAAACGAGAGGCGGCACAGCGGTGGCAGGCGCAGGCGCCGGCGCGTGCGCGACCAAGCAAATGGCTCGGCTGACGCGCTGACGGCCGGGCCGAGGCCGTCTGTCTATCAAGCGCGGGAGGGGGCAGGTACTAAGGCTCATTACTATCGTGTTGTCATATGCTTGCAAGAATTTTGTACGACGTCGCAAAAGGTTGAACAGAATATGCTTAGGAGGGTGATGGTTGACACCCTAAGCAATGTAAGCATCACCCTTGAAGACCCACGGGCCGCCATCAAATCCACTCGCCGGCCCCGTTCATCCTGTCTCACCCAGCAGCGATGTTCTTCATTCGACGCCGAACGCCATCAAAGCGTCATGCACAAAATGATGGCTTTGCAATTATACCTTTCACCTGGGTAACAAGGAATACAGAAAAATACACGCAAACAGAACCGAACGAGACAAGGCTCTAAGCCTGTCCACTGATGGGTTGGGCGGGTGATAGCAGTAAGGATACAATCAGAGAAAGGTGACGTCCGGCTGGCGTGACCTCTACGGTCTAAGTACGAAAAGAGATACGATGGACCAAGTCGGGGCTTTATCCGAGAGACCTGTAGGGGAGGATGATAGGTCTCGTCAGTAAGCGTGTTACGGCGGCGTCTTCCGAGCCAATAGCGGGCTTACCATTCTTGTGCGATAGAGCTAAAGGTCGCTAGCCTGCACAGTCACATGATGATCATAGTCAGTCCCAAGACGTCCGTGAGCACGAGTCAAGCGCGGCGACCCACTCTTTCTCTCGAGCGCAATCAATCCGCGGTAGCCTCAGTTTCCTGCCCCGCTCGTCCATTTCGCTCCGGGGCAGATTGATCGTTGCACCTCGATGTCCTCTCATCCATGTCGCTGAGGGGTTCCATAAAGGGATTGGGACGGGTCAGCGCTGGCTGGCTCGCTCGCTGGGTGTACTGGGTGTACTGGGGCGTGCTCACGAATTTTGCCAAAACCGGATCTTGAGGTAAGGATTTGGAAATCAGTGGCTGTAGGGGAAAATGGCAGAGCGGCAAATGTCAGCACGTCACGCGCATGTGTGAAGCAGCCCGAGTAGCGAGCGATGCGCAGACGAACATGCAAATATCCTATGCGAACAAGGTACAGAGAGAATCGAACCAAGTCAGCAGTCACCCCGAGAGACCGCTCCAAAGCGTAAAGACGCGGTTTGCGAGCTCACCATGCTTCCGCCACGCTATTGTACATGTCGGTCAGATCCTTTTCGGCCTGTTCGGGATCGAAAAGCTTGTCCCCGAGCTGCTGCATCTTCTCGTACTCTTCCCGCACAGGACCACTTCCACCGTGTTCCCCATGAACTGGCAAGAACCCGGTGACGACGGTGCCGGGGAATTCCTGCAGAGCTTGCTGGCGCAGCGCGCCTGAGTCGGTGATGAGGTAGAACAAGACGCGTTGGCCCGGTTGAGAGTAGGTCTCTGCGACCTCGCGCGCACATTGGAAAAACTGCGAGTGGTAATTCATCGTGTTGATCGCCGCATCGGTAGCTAGGTTGGTCTGTGAGGAGACAGGAAGCAGCGCCGCGTCAGCAGCGTGTCCTCGGCTCCAACGTTGATCAAGATCGACTCACCATGGCTCGATCCCCCGTTCGGATCTGGAGTCCGACGCTGAAGACAGACGGGAGGGAAAAGTACGACGTGTATCGCGTGATGAACTCGAGCGAGCTCGGTTTCGGTCGAACGATGTAGTTGAGCAGGCAGCGGTAAATCGTTTCTTCCTTCAGGCCCATGTCCAGCAGACCGAGACCCGCGTGATCGTACTTAAACGCACGGAACAAGACGCCTCGGTTCAAACCCTCCATCTGAAGGGGAGCAGTCCGAGTATTAGTGGCTCTGATGCGTTCGAAAAGGGCTTATCGTGCATCGCTAACCTTGATCCATGACTCGTTGGCGTAAGTTTCATGGAAATTTGACCAAAAGCCATCTACACTGGGGCCCTTCATGTTGTGGCCCTCGATCACGGCAGGCACCGGCAAGTTGTCTGCATTGTAGAGCGCTCGGGGTGCGGTCGAGTGGGCGCGGAAACGAGTGGACCAGTCGACGCGCGGCGAGTCGAAGACGATGTCGGGTGGGATCGGATGCTCCCAGCCGAGGACGAAAGCACGTTTGGTCAAGACCGCGAACAGGAACGTCGAAGACAACCCGATCAAACTGCGGTCGAGAGCAAATCGGCATCAGTGTGTTTGAAACCAACTCCAGAGCCCAGAGTATGACCTACCGATCCGCCAGGCCACCGCAGACACTTCCAGCTGAGCAAGCGATTTCCATGATTCGGGTGTCGCGCTGTCTCGTCATAACCTGGTGGGAACGCCGCAGAGTGTGAGCTCAAAAAAAGGACTTTTCCGAGACAGGAGGCCTGTAAATGACGAGACGCACCTCTTCGTGCAGTTTTGCGTACTCTTCCTCCCAGTCGAACTTGGGACAAGACCCGTACGATTGCCCCGTCATGGCCTCCTCGAGCAACTGCGAGAACCTTCGGGCGAGCACAACACATGTGATTCAAACCGTCAGTCCCGAACAGAAGGCATCACAAGCTCAATATTGTATCTGGTCTTCACTCACTTTGGCCAAGATCCCCCGTAGTATTTGATGCCGTTCTGCGACGTCCACTGCCTGCGCCACTCCTCGTCCTCATCCCCCGATGAAATCGGCCGCGGCGGATCATCGGCGCCGAGTCCAATCCCTGTCCCCGCTCTGGTTTTCAGCCGCAAGGTCCTGGTCCAGTCTCGGAGGTGTTCTTCGCTCTGATAGACACGAGCCAGATCGTTGAGAAGCGATGTGAATCGACGAGAAAAAACGGTCAGTTTGAAACACAACCCGGATCGGAAGGTCTTGCTTCCACCGACGCCGCAACGCGCCAACTTACAGGGGTCATCTGATCCAGCCGGACCTGCAGACTCTCGTGAACGGCAGGCGAATCCCACTTCCAATTTCTCAGCCACTGTTCCTCTTCGGTCCATTGGATATTCGCCTCCTGGGTGTTCAGCACGCGCCTCCCGTTCGTGCGGCCGCCCCTGTTGTCCGCTAATGCGGGCCAAGACAGTCGACCGGCGCGCCAGTATTTGGAAGCGGTCGATTGCGTCGATTGAATAAGGTTTGAGGCGTGGTTCGACAGCGATCGCTCGCTTGTGTAGGCAAAGATACCCAACACCAACATGGGGAAGACGATCACGAGTTGGCGTCGCGTCGGGAAAGCCATTTTGATCGACGACGCGAGCGACCCGACCGAGCGACCGCCCGAGATGGTCGGCGACCCAGGCGGGGAGAAGGTCGTCGGCAGCGACGCCCTGCGGGCCTGGGCACCGAGCAGAGGCTCCCCTGAGCCACCACGGCTCATTGCTATCGACGACATGACCGATCCGTGAGATGGTCTATCTAGATGAGGTTGCGGGAAAGCGAGAGCGTCGTTTTGCGGCACGAAGCTTGGGGGTTGGAACGAGGAGAAAGGGTAAGCTTTCGAGCTGTCACACGCGACACGCGGCGCCTGCGGCGCCTTCTCAGAGGTTCCTTCGTCGCGTACCTTAAGCGCGTTTCGACGCGACATTCCTCTCGGCATTCCCCCCGGACTCCGGATGTGCGGCCGGAAGCGCTATCTGCTCTTGGGCAGATGCTACAGGCGACACAAAGGACGTGACATAACGCGCTCCTCTGATCTTTCCTCCTTCCCGACTCAACAACTATTTGTTCGTCTCGCCTATCTTTCTGCGACGGCGGGCTCGATTCAGTCGGCAAATTTCCGCCTCAAATCACGTTCAAAAATTACAACCCCCATCTTGAATATTGAACTGCAAGCTCCCAAGCAGCTTGCCGTCGCTCGTCAGGCTTCTAAAAATTACTCAGATTTATTCCACCCTCGCTGATCTCGACGCCTCGCTAACTCTGATGTAGCGACCCCCAACTTTATTGTCCTCGCGCTCCAGTTAGGGTTTCGGCTGCCGTGCGCGTCTGTTCGGGCGGCCCCAGCAGGGCCAGCACATACAAGCGCGCGCGGTACAAGCGCAATGTGTGCAGTTTCGAGATCGCAGTGGTGTGCAATGCTGTTTCTGTTAAATCGTGTATCTCGAGAGGGGACTGGATCGGCAACCAGTAAGTACACGAGACACAGTACGAGTTGTAGGAAGTATATTGGAGCGTTAGGATTGCAACTAACCTGGATCGGCAACCAGTAAGTACACGAGACACAGTACGAGTTGTAGGAAGTATATTGGAGCGTTAGGGGGAAGACTAAAGAGGCTCGCGGTGCGAGTGCGCGAAATATCTCTAAGTCCAAAAGGGGTCCGAGCGGCGCGCGGCTGGCTAGGCTGGGCGCGGGCTGGAGATCAACCTAAGCAAGAGTGTATGGAATTCAACAGTTTCTACGATCGTGGCGCAGCTCGCGGAGCGCCCAAGTCACCTCTCCCCTGGTCTTGGAACGCGTCAGAGACAATCCTTTCGAATTGGGCAAAGTACAAACATACAAAGATGCGGTGGTGAAACGATTGTCGTCAAACGAAAACGACGAAACGGAGTGATAAACGATCTAACTAGGGTAGCTGGGAGATAGGGGAGAAGCAAGCGAAGGCCTCATTCAATGACCACAACATCAGGTTCGCGGCGGTTGCTCTTGTTGTTGCTGGGAGAGGCAGTGCTCTGGGCTTTATCGGAATGACGGAGGGAAGCCCGAGGAATGCGTTTCGATACCGCTGGTACGACAGCTCGAGGAGTTTGCGCACTCGGAGGCATCTCCATCTCATCGCGCGAATGATCCGGAAGGTCCGCAAGCTCCGAAGAATCCGATGACTGGCTGATCTGGCGACGATGCCCGCTCTTCTTCGTGGTGGGTGTGGTTGAATCGCCCCCAGATACGACTGCTGATCCATTGGCCGGCAGCGCAAACGCCGAGCCCACCTCCGACGACACGGCCTGACGCTTGTTAGGTGGCAACTCCGATTCGGCTTCATCGCGAGAGCGTGTTGAACGCGAGGGATGGCAAGGCGCAGAGGGTGGCAGGAGGACGGATTGGTGATGCTGAATCGCATTGGTTGTGCCTATCGAGGCAACTTCGAGCGGAGACGAGTCGGGAGCAGGAGCAGCTTGCCCAACTTCAGTGATCATCTGGTACGCCTCGTCGACGTTGATACCTCGCGAGGAATCGATCGTGGCCGGAATTGAACGGTTTGCATTGACTGGGGCGACCGTCGGGGGAGCAGGCGGGAACAGAGCCAACGGCCTCTTGAAGGCGGAAGTACTCGCCTCGGCGGACACAGGGGTCACCGTGGGAGCTCGCAGCGCTGCTTCGCGCGCTGTTAGTCCAGTGGAAGTATGTCGAGGAGCACGGGGCGGAGGGACGATATGGGCGATTGGGACGGAAAGCTTGTCGTCGAGAGGCCTCATGCGTTTGGGGGGCGACGCGCTCGGCTCGTTGGACTCGTCCCCGCTCGAAAGGATGATCTCTTGGGCCTCCTTCTTCTTCCCTTTGCCGCTTTTGCCCGCAGCGGCTTTGCCCTTTTTCCCGTAGGCCATGACCGGTTTGCCGTTCTCACCACCAGAGGGCCCATCGGCTGCCACGTCTGGTACCTCGGAGGTGGCCTTAGGCGTCTTCTCCTTCTCGACCTCTTCCACGCGAGTCGCGGCGAGAGGAGCGTCATCACCCAAAGTCCGCTTCACACGGGTCGATGGAGGCGCGCTCGTCGCCTTGACCACGTCAGGGAGGTCGGCCATATCGTCGCCATGTTCTGCTCGAGTTTGAGCGAGTTCAGCGGCCAAGCGAGCTTCCTTCTCCTCGGCTTTCCGCGCCGCCCGTTCCAGACGTTTGCGCGCCTCTTCCTCCTCGAGCGGTCGACGCATCTCAGCCCATTGTTCGGCGAGCAGCTTGACTTCTTCCCGCAGCTCGCCACGCTTAGATTTCGCGGCGGTACCCTTCCAGATCGTATCTCGCTGTCGAAGCAGTTCTTGCAATTGGACTGCTTTGTCCTCTTTTGACGAGTCCTTGGCTCTCTCTGCACGGGTTTTCTCGTCCCGGTATCGCTGCACAATGAGATTGAATGGTTCCGGGTCAGGCTCTCGCCTCAAGTTGCGAGAGTGACGCTGCTATCTACTTACGAGGATATATCGTAGTCGATCATCCGGATCGACGAGGAACTGCTCGACGAAGTGAATGAGGTACAATCCACAATCACTGCAGTTGTCTTGTTGCGGCACCTGAAACAAGCAAAAAGGGTTGAGTCAACAGGCACTACTCTGACCGTCAGAATGCTTTGAATGAATACTCACATCGACGGCAAAAGCCTCGGCATTAGATTCCACCCAGCTTTCGGAGATGTCGAGACCTTTCTTCGCCAGAGCTTCGCGCCGGAGGTAGTCCTTGAGGTTCTTGCCCACGGGTCGGTGCGCGTCGCCGAGCGAGTCGAACGTCATGATGTAGCATTGCGTCGTCACATCCATAGGAGGGAGTGGGGTAGCTTCATTGTCAGTGTCACCGATCGTCAGCTCAGCCGCATCGTTCTTCGCTTGTCGTGGTGGCAGCGGTGGTGGTGGAGGTGACCTCGTGCCAGGTGGTCGAGTCGACGGCGAGATCGGCGTCGGGGTGCGCTTGAGTGGCTTGCCTGATTGTGCGGATGTGGGGGCCGAGAGGTTGACCTTGGCCGTGGGACCGACGAGGGCCTTCTCGACAGCGCTAGAAGATTCGGCGTCGGTGTCATTCGAGCTTGCCAAGACCTCGTTGCGGGAAAGCTGGGCTGTCTCGGGTGCATTTCCGCGATTCGGCATGGACGCAAGAGTGACCTCGCCATCGGTCAGAACGGTTTTAGTGTTTGTTGCCGTATCGTCTTCATCCTTTTCAATTTCTATCTTGACTGGCAGACCTTCACCGTTGTAGAAATTTGCATCGTCCGCAAGTTCATCAATCTCCATCGCACTCGGGTCCTCCTCGGGTGTCTCCTCGACAAGCTCGGCGTCAACGTCCATCACGTTCTTGTCGGTTTTGAAGGCCGTAGGCTTGGTGGCTTTCTTGGACGCTCGCGGGTTTTGGAAGAACCGACTCGTTTCTACAGGTTCTTGGAGATCGGGAGCAGGCACGTCGGGCTGTTCGAGAGTCGTATCGGTGGCCGAGCCAGCGGAGCTGCTCACGCCCAATTCGGTCGCCATGGCATCGGCCTTCTCGAGTTGACTGTGACGGGTCTTGCGCGTCTGCTTTGGCACGGTGAGATCGCCTTTGAGAATTGCACCGGGGTTGTACACGATCGCGAGGTACCAGTGATTCCTGCAGAGAGAAGAAATGGGTTTAAGCTACGTTGCATGGCGCTCGAACGCTTGTAGTGGCTCACTTTTCGTTGATCGGGACGATGACAATCCGCTTCTCGAACAGATCAAACTTGGCCGTCCATTTGGCGACGGAATCGTAGGTTTGCCTGCGAGGAAGAGTCTATCATCAGCACCAAGGACGTAACGCATCGCGGGTTGCGCGCGAACTCACTGTTTGCCCAATCCCCTCCGATCAAGCTTCTTGTAAAAGAACGAGTTGAACATATGCACTAAAGGCGCCAACGGCTTGCTCCCCTCGACGAGTTTGGTATCTCGCTCGACGAGGTTGAGGAATGCGCGCTTGAGACCGTACTCGATCAAGGTGTCGTTCAAGTACTTGCCATCCACGAGTCGCTTCGTGTCGCCATGCGTGACGGAAACGACGGTCTTGTCCCCCTGCAAAGGGTACACCAGAACGGTCCTCTCGAGTGGTGTGCCGTCCTCTTCAATCTGCCAAGCGTACTGCTCATCGACTGTGTCGGCCGTCGCTTCCGCGAACCTTCCTCTTGCAGCTTCGGCCGATTTACGAGGTACGCGCTTCGTCCGTTGACCGATCGAAGTCATCCCATTCTCCAATTCTTGCGGAGACTCGCCCCGTTTCACGCCCGAGCCCGACCCATCTCGATCCGATGCTTGCCTCGTTCTCGGTGAATTTGCCAGAGTGGACGTAGCCGATTCGACGTTGACGAATCCTGCGCTTTGCCTACGCGTCGACATGGGACGACCGCTCGAGACGGCCATGTCGAACATTTCTATTCGGGTGGCCATCGCCGAAGATGAGCTGCGCGCAAGAAATGGGCACGGGTGATCCGAAGCTCGAGGTGAGCTGCCGTCGTCGAGATAACCGAGTTGGCGAATCGTATGGACTTACGTGGTGAGGGCGGAGTCGACCCTGATTTGATGCTTATTATATAAGTGCTTGGGCCAATCGCGCGCCACAAGGTCAAAAATCCGGCGGACGGCATCGTCTTCGGGCAACTTTCCGAGTGGCTCGCAGATGAAACGAAGCCACACGACGATTTGATTATTTGGCGTACCCTCTGTGGAGAGGGATGATGAGAACCGTCCAGCCTCGCGTCAGTCCTGCCCTCACTGACAAGTGAAAACCCACAAGGGCTACAGTCTGTAAACTCACCTCGTCGAAACTTGCAGGCGTGCGCTAGCTTCGTGGCGGCCTCCGTTGCACTCGCGGACAGCTTGATGGCAAGCATGGGTAAGTTTTTATTGTCGTCGAGCTTTTCGAATCCTGATATATCGCTGGACCTCAGGCAACAGACATCATCGTCGCCGCAGCGAAGGGTCAACTGCTGCAATCCCGCGACTCCTTTGCTGTTGTGCATGATCCTGCAATCTCCCGTGCTGGCGATTCTATAAGGAATGCCGAGGGCTTCGACGACGAAGACCATCGTCGCTACCGAGGTGATGTCCTCCTTGGGTTTGTTGGCTCGACGAGGTATGAACTTTTTGGACGGTCCAAGGATCAAGTCGTTGCTGGGGTTCCCGTCTCCGTTGACGCTCCGTACCGACGCCGCCAACGGTGTCGAGGAGGCTGGTCTAGAACCATTTCGGGGTTGCATCCTGTTGATCACTGACGCCTGTTTCTTGACGTCAACGTTCTGTCCGCCAATCACCTCTTGCGCGTGTCGAGCACCTTCCCCGACCCCAGCGTGCCCGCGAGTGAACGGCCCGATGATAGGAGTGCTCTGATCTCGGTCGCGATGGAAGACCGCACGTTCGGCTTTGTCGGGCATCGCTAGCGCATCCGGTGAGCTCTCCTTATTGTTCAATTTTGAATCGTTCGAGGCAGCAGCCGAAGTCGACGCCCTGCGCTGTCCGTGACGATGAGAATCTTGTCTCGGCTTCTCGTCGTCGAACCCTTCAATGTCGTCTTCCACGTCCTGATTAGGCTCCTCTTCATCGGATGATATTTCCAGATGGGTTTTCGATGGTTCCGGAGGTTTTTCAATGGCTTTGCCCTTGCCCTTGACGTCGAGGTGCGGAGCTTTGCTCGTCGCGTCCGCGGTACCCTTGACCTGAACTCCCGAATTGGCTCTTCGTTCGATTGCGGCTCCAGCAGCTTGCGAGATAGTTCGCTTTGATGTGAGTTCAGTATCTGGCGAGAGCCTTCGGGGTTCGGCTATGGGCGGAACGAAATTGGATGTCAGCATCAGCGACAGCCGAGAGGACCAAAACGAGCCAGCCGGGTAGAAATTAGACGGACGATCGACGGGTGCAGCTTGTGAGATTCTGCCAATTCTCTTCATGCCTGCGACCTGGTCCGGCTTGGGTTCCCTATCCAGGGGAAGCGCTTTGGTGGGATTTCGCCGCGAAGCTGGGTTCGCGCTTGGGACGGCGCTTTGCATGGCCTGGTTGAAAATCTTGGCTCCACCAAGGACACCGCTGGGCCCCGACATTCTGCGTCTCGTTCCAGCATTCTGGTGCTGAGGTTGCGAGTAGCTATGCGACGAAGGACCCGAGTTTGACCAGCCCCCATTGCCGGCTGTGTAACCGGAAAACTGACGACTCTTCCCCTTCATTGTCGGATCTTGAGGTGCGAACGGCACGCCCGACTTGTGGCCATGAGACATGTCCAAAGAGGTCGATCGGTTGTCGGAGCTTTGGGCATAGGTCGAACAAAGAATGAAAGGATAAGAGACAACCAATCAGTAAGCGTGTTCGACGCACGAGAGGATGACAGTGATCTTATCGACCCAAAAGTCCTCCGGGAAGAGTGCAGGCGTCGGTGGAAGAGTCTGACTCACCTTGTGCTGTGATGCACGTCCCAAGCTCGATCCGCGTTCCTTCTCAAATCACCGTAGGTTGTGATCCTGTTGGACGCGATGCGATGGGTGAGGCGAGGTGGGGCCAAAGCTGCAGAGTAGAAGGAGGCAGCTGGGACTTGACGATTCGGCAAGGGGCCCTGCTGCTGGATGGGACGCAGCTCGTTGCGGTCGATGCGTGGGGGTCCTCTTGAAGTCCGAGTTACGACAGGTGGTGATTCCTCCTCGTGATCGAGTAGAGTGAGGTCCAAGAGATGATGCGAAGAAGTCGAAGCCGTGGTGTGCGCTTGTGCCGGAGTCAGCACGGACGACGATGATCCGGCAGCCTGCGAGGCGACGAAGAATGACAATCGCCGCGGATCAGTTCGCCGGTGCGCATCCAAAGAGTAATCCAGGAGTAGCACTGACAGATGTGGAAGTTGATGGCGCGTTTGGGGAGCCTAAGGTGTGCTTGTGCAGCGACGAATGCGAGCTCATTCGGCTGGTCGTTCGTTGGTCCGCTCTGCTGAGCACTCCACGCTGTTGATCGACCTCGACCTGCGCCCTGTCGTTTCCAGCGGGGCAGGTAGGACGTGAACGTGCTTGGCGATCAGCACTCAGAAGGCCAAGCAACGGACGCGGGTAGCCTGGCCGGTAGGCGAGCGCTGACGGCAACGATGGCGGTCGACAACCAGAGACGAGCGCCGCGCGTGCACACGACTGCCGAGACGGGCTGGCCGGGAGAGGGCGGGAGGCGCGCCATCAGCCTGAGTGGCGAGTCCGGAGTCGGGCCCAAGTGAGGGCCACCGAGTATGCTGTCAGAAGTTTGATTGTCTGGAAAACTGCCTCTTTCGAGATGAAGTTATGTTTCGGATTCTCTCTGGCTTCAGTTCAAAAGCCTAGCAGGTCTAGTCTAGTTCGCGGGCGGGCTCGGCTGTTCTCCTCGGCAAACCGGACTCGGCGAATTGGTTCAACACCCAGACACAAGCGCTGACTGTACAGAGGAATTGGGACCAGCTACACCAGGCTCATGCTTCACTTATCCCTTTTCTGCTTCAAGCCGCTTCGCTACCTGCTGTGGAGACACCCTTTACGATTGAGATTGAAGCAGAAAGTTGTCCGAAAATTCATCGCTTTGAAATGTTGCATGTGGGGCACGCGTCCTCTTGCGCGCAGCCGACCCCCTTCAACGTCGTCGCAACGTCGAACGATGCGACATCGTTCCCATATCGACAGAACGACGGGATCCACCGCCGTTTCCAATGTAGAGAAAGCAGAGCAAGTCAAGCGTCGTCCTCAATGCACCTTGATGGCTCGCTCCACGCAAAGTCTCAACACCTCGATCGGCGGTCATGGGCCCTTCGACGGTCTCCGCATGGCGGACCCTAAGTCCCCTCCTGAAAATCTGTCGCCATCGCCGAACACATGGCTTTGGATGCCTACATGGCAGTTTATCAAAAGAAGTGGATAAATCCCTACGGTCCACTGTGGGCACCGCGCGATCATTGTATCATCGCTCGCTCAAAACCGGCGCACTGGTCTCTCAAGCGTGGAGGGACTCCACGTTGCACGACGATTGTGCAGGCAAAGCTATGAATACACCGGGTTCCCTGACATAAGGGACATCGTGGTCATTTCTCAAAAGCCGCCTTCAACGGCTTAGTCAGTGCGCAGGCAACGTCGTCTTTGACGAGATCGCAATCAAGAGTTTTCAAGGTGAGAACAGTAAGGTCAACCATCCGACTCCAATAAGGAGCTCGGAGTGTTTGGCTGACCGCTTCTCCGAGTAAGATCCGACCCTCGTCATTGCAGAGCTTGTCAACCTTGAAATGCCTCCAGGACTTTCAACCTCTCTGACGTCGAAGTACTGCTCTTCCTTCCAAGCTCAAGTCGCTCTCGATATCGCCCATCATTTAAAATATTGATCAAGTCTTGGCGCAGCTCGTCGTGCCCAACCTCAAGGAGCTGAGCCTGACACGCAGTGATTTCCGCTCTCGTGACCGCCCAAGTCAATCCGAGCACTTCGAGCAATTTTTTCCAACGTCTCTACCTCAGTGCTAACACAGTGTATCTGAAGTGCCTGCGATACAAGACCACGATGGGCGACCAGAGCTATACTCCGGTCTCTATACATGCTTTCGAATGTTCGCGCGCTAATTAATCGCGGCATCAGGCGACGTCGGACGGTTCGGTGCGCTCGACTCGGAGGAGTGCCGGTTCCGTACTCCGAGTCCGAGAGACCTACCTTCAGACTCGGACGAGATTCTCCCCCTACTCCGCGATTTATTTCACCGGTTCCTTTCGAGAGTGTCGCTACGGACTGAATCAATCGAAGTAGTAGTCGGATCAGTATGGGTGTTGACCGACTTTTTTGACCTCGCTCATCGACTCGATCGAGAAGACGACGAGGTCTCACCTCCAAGTTGAAACGCTCAAGTTCGACATAGCATGGGTCCACGGGGCCCTTAGGAACGAATTCCAAGATTGAACTTAACATCCCCAAACTCACGGAAGACTTCTTGCAGGACCAACAGCCCATCGCGCGTGTGTTGCTTTCGCAGGTCATTCGAATCATGAATCGATTTCGGGGGACGTTTGTGCTCTGAGGATAGGGGATTCGCGTTTGAGTTCGACCCACAAGCATACCCGGCGTAGGATGCGCCAATACGTCTCGGTTGTGTACCCAGAAAGGCGACGGCCCAGGTTCCCCGATCTAACTCTGATTCTCATGCTGTACGACGCCGCGACTCCCTGGAGTACAAACAAGTCGTCGAACGTTCGGAATTGCTCAACCGAGGTCGAGGGCAGGGGTCGAGCTAACTCGCTTGCGGTCGTGTTGCACCCTATGAAGCATGCAACGCCGCCACGAGATGCTTTGTTCTTCTTGAGCGTTTGGACTGGAATTTGACCTGGTCTAATCGCTGTCCAACATAACTCGATCCTGTCCCGACTCGAGGAAGGCATCTAATGATCTGCCATGTGGTATCCCTCTCGGCCTTTTTCTTCAACGAACACTCTATATCGCTTCAATAAGACTCTATCCAAAACCCATCCTTACTCCGCGCGTTCAAATTCTCTCAACCATCCTATTCCTTCTTCCCCCCCTGTTTTGCCTCCCCCTCCCCATTCAACTGTTTGACCCTCAATTCGCACTGTACGACAGCCCTCTTCAACTCGCCCTCTTCCTCACCCGACAAACCGAACGTCCGAACGATTTCGGGGACTTTGGACATGGTGAGGACGACTTGATTCTCTGATGAAGTTGTGGAAGAAGTGGAGGTGGAGGTGGAGGAGTAAATCTTGTCAAGTTCTTTGGAGGGGGTTAGGGATAACTGCGAGGTCGAGAGGAGGGTCGAGAGGTATTGGGAGGCTTTCCATGCTGTTTGAGAAAGATGAAACAAGTGATTGTGAGCTGGATCGAGTCGCAATGTGGTAAAGTACTGCTCTCGAGCTTACCTCGGTAATGCGACCATGCTCGCCAGAGAACGTAGAAGAGACTGCGCGGTGGTGAAAGACAAGGGAGGCTCGAAAGTGAGTAGACGGTATATGGCTGCAACACATCCGCGTTCAACGAAGCTTACGGGAAGCTGTGCGAAGACGACATCCCTCCAATCGGATCAGCAATAGACCTCATTGGTGCATCCAGTCGCACGAATGTCAGCTCACTTTGGTACGACCGGAATGATCGCGAATGGAAAAGTCAAGGGTGCGAATCTGCCCAACGAATGCCAACGATCTACATCAGCCTCATCCCAACGCAGCACAGACCCTGATCACCAAACTCACAAGATGCATTTATACATGGCCTTCTTATGCAACGGTTCCCGATGGTCCAACTGCTTCCTTAACGATTCTTTCAACTCGGGCTCTTTGAGGATCGACGAGGGGTAGATCAACGAGACCTGTACGACATGCGCACCATCGCAATGAAGATCAGTTGGAATCCTCGTTTGCGTAATAGTTGGCGACGCTGGCGTACTTTGTCTTCTTGTCTTCTTGCGGCGACACCGTCGGAACCTGCTTTGATGGCTGCCCACGGTTTAGGGGATAGGGCGGGGTCGATCGCCTTTAATGCCCATTCCTGTGGAACATGATTAAAAGCCGATTAGTTTTCGATACAAGCTCTCGCAATGTCTCTGTAGGGATCTTCGACTTGTGAGAGGAGTGAACCGTCCGTGTCTTTTGACGATCGCTCACCTCAAACTCGATCTTGTCCATGAACCTCGCTCCAATAACCTGCCAGCCAGCCAGCCAAACCAAACCACGCCATCAGCAAGCTTCAACACCCCATCACTCCCCCCCCCCCAAAAAAAGAACCTACATAAGCCCTCCTCTTCCAAGTCCCCTCGTCCGCCTTGCCGAACCCTTCCCACGTCCCACTGGCCCATAATGTCGCCCTCGTCACATACGACAACTGTCTCTTGCCCACTTCTTTCTGGCCCTCCCCCAACGAGGACCCTGATGTGGGTGATTGGGCCGAGGGGGATTCGGAGGGTATAGGTTGAAGTCGTTTGGCTTGAAGGAGGAAGGAGGGGGAATGGTCCTTGGTTGGGAGACGGGTTAGGGGCAAGGCGAGGAGTTTGAGGTGCGATAGGGACGACGGGTGGAAATGGGCCACAGTCGATTGGCGTAAGAGCCGGAGTGGTGTTGGGTGCATGATTGGGCCAGGGTCGGGTCGGGTCGCTGGCGGGATCCGGGGTGGAGAGAGGGCACAGGAAGCGATCTGCACTTCGCGACGATGACCGCGACCAATTAGCCCGGTCGCGCGCAAGTCGATGACGATGCGTCAGGAACCGGCCACTGCAAGGTGCTTGAAATTCGGTGAAAAGTTGCTCAAAGGGGCGATGCACTTAACTCCTTCATCTCGATTTCTTTTTGACCGCATCTATAACACTTTTCTACAACACGTACACTACCTGAAAGGATGTCCTGAGGCCATCTGCCCGACTTTAAGCACCGCCACTGCACTCTAGAGAAAAGCAAGTGCGCCAGGCCCACCACTCCAATCGATCTCGGTCGGGCAAAGTGATGGCCACTGCCAGTGCGCCGGCAACGCACCTAGCCTCTAGGTCGGCCTCGGGTTCGTCAACAGATTCATCAATTGGCCCTTGTTCAAATACCTCAGATGAGTTCTTTCGGCCTGTCAAGAGGAATGTCACGGTTGGTAATCAGCACTGAGCCGCTGTCCGAAGCGCTAAAGGACGCCAGAACGGACCAGCGTCTCCTTTTTGACGTTGTTCCATACGCTTTCCTCGATCTGGGCCTTGACCAATTCGTCCGAAAGTGTCTTGTACTCTTGTTGAATTTGGTCCAATTCGGCTTGGATCTGTTCCAAAAGAGATGCCTTGACCGAGCGTCTGGAGAATTGAAATTTTCACAATGAAAGAATCAGCTTTCTGCCCTTCACCCCTCGCACCCCTCCCATCCCATATAGGACAAGTCAAGCTCACATCTTCTCAACACTCCAATCCTCTTCCTCCTTCTCCCCCTCAACCCCCTTCGTTTCCCTAATCTTCTTCAAAAATTCCTTCCTCCGATCCTTAAGCACCATCGCCGACGGTTTACTCCCATCCGTCGAAGCCTGTTCTTCCGGAAGCACGACGTTCCTCTTTTTGGATCTGAGGCCTGCACCGGGGGCCAGTTTGGGCCCATTGATGGAGTGGGTTTGGTCTCGGGAGGGTTTGATGCGCTTGCGACCGCCTTTACGGTCCGGTCGGGGCGGTTGGGAGGTGGAGGTGCCGAGGGAGAGGGATGTCGGGGAGGGGAGGGAGGAGGCGTCGGGAGAGCTTTGACGCCGCTTGCCTAGGGCTTTGGAGGAAGGGGGTCGTTGCGAGGGGGCGAAGCGGGTTGGGTTGGGGGTTGGGGGAAAGATACCCGTTGAAGTGGAGGTCGAGGTCGAGGTGGTGGTGGGGCTCGGCTCGACACGGACATTCGCTCGTGATGTCGACGAAGCCGTTGTACCACTGGCTCTCGCTCGTTCCTGGTCGAGAACTTCCCTGTCCTCTGTGGTCGCTGGTGGCTGATGGCTGATAACCGCTGGAGCTGCCTGGGAAGCGGGTGAGCTGGCTGCCGAGGAGCCGGAGGTCGACGCCGAAGTGGAAGCTTGTGATGACGCTCGGACGCTGGGACGACATTTTGTCGTGGTCGAGACCATCTTGAGGGGAGATTTGTTCGGGAGAACTCAATTCGAGAGTGCTGGCGGGGGGTTTGACTATAACCGGCGTCCGCTGACTGGACCTTCCAGACGACCTCCGTCCTAGTCGATCAATCTGCTTAGCGCACACAGTCCATCGGGTGAGATTTGACCTGGGCCGACCTCGTGTGGACTATTGAGGGTACACAGAACCGTGGCAGAAAGAGAATGGCAGGGAAGAATAGGGCAAGAAGGCGAAAGCCGAAGCAGACGAACCCAAAGCGTCGTTTCGCACACCGTCTCGCGCGCGATCACAGGCGATCACTCTCCTCTCCTCAGCCTCTTTTCCTCTCTCTCTCCCCCCTCCACCCACCTCGCCCTTACGCGATGCCACCCCGTCCCCGTCCCCGTCCCCGTCCCCGTCCCCGTCCCCGTCCCCGTCCCCCTCCCTCGCCCTCAACGCATGAACTCATCAACTCCCCCTTACACCGCATCCCGACCCTCTGGTCCCTCTACCGGCCCCTCCTCCGACTCTCCTCCGTCCAGAGCCATCCTGCTATCGAGTCGGGTGTGTTGAGGGCTTATGTCAAGAGGGAGTTCAGGAGGTCGACCAAGTTGACGGGCAGGGACAAGATCGGGGACAAGTTGCGCAAGGGATACGAGGTACGTTTCATCCACTTCGCTACTTTCTCTCGGGCAGCGCTCGGCAATTTGTTCGGGTTCAGGACTTTTACCTGGTCCGGAACTGATCCTTCTTGATTGTGTTTATGGATTATTCCTTTTGAAAACATAGCTACTCGACCTACTCGAAACACGATCCACCTCCCCCACTTCCTCCGCCCGTCTCCACTCCCTCATCGAGCACATATCCCTCTCCAGACCCCACAAAACCCCTACCCCACCACCACCCCCTCTCAAACCCCGTCTCACAAGAGGTATCCTTCAAGCCCAACCTTACCACCCTCCTTTACCTCGTCTGAAACCCCAGCCTTGGAGGTTGGGCGCTATGATTCATGAGAGGAGAAAGAGGATCGCCAAGAGGTGGTCGGAGAGTGAACAGGTCAAGATTTGGAGTGAGGATGGCAGGGACGAGGATCGGTTCGAGAGGGACGTGCTTCAGGGTGGTGAAGGGAAGGGGAGGGTGAGCGTGACCGGTAGCGGTAGCGGTGAGGAACAGGTTTGGGCTAGGGAATGGTCAGAGTTGTGGGAGACGTGGAAGGGCAAGGCCCAGAGGGAGACGAAGATCAATGAGGTCAGTGGCCGTCGGGCAGCCCGAGAGAATTTCTTGCGTTTCTTCCGGACTGGAATTGGAGCGACGAACCAGCGACTGATATTACACCATACTGTTGCTGCTCATCCACAGATGAAGACGCCAAAGGAGATGCAAGACCGCGCGACGCGAGTCGCCAAGATCTCGGGCAGGGCTAGAGCGGGATACGGGACGATAGATTCCCGACGGACGGGGGAAGACTCGACCTCGTTGGACATTCGGAAGAACCAGGGTCAGGGAGGTGGCTAGCAAGGGACATAGACTTCGCTTGTACGATTTGAGGAAGCTTACGACAATGCAATGCTCGTCGTTGCCCCAATAGTCAGAGGGTTAAGAAACGCCGAGAAACACCGAACAGTGGGTAAACAGGGGTGGGGGGGGGGGGGGGGGGGGGGCATCCAGTGGCGAGCGCTATGCTTCACGGGGAGAGAGGATGGGAGTAGTGAGGGGTCCGGGACTTCATACGCCCGAAAACCACGCCACCAGGCTGAACCCGGACTCATGGCTGGTTACCAAAGGCGACCAACGGCCCGGGCACGCCGAGCGAGCCGAAAGGCGAGTGCGGTGTGAATCACTCCTTCTTGCTAAAATCACCTATTTTCACTCGCAACATCGCCTGATGCTCGCTCAAAACTTCAGAAGTTTTGCTTTCCCGCCCGCCTCCCCGGTCTTGCCTCCCCTCAGTAGTGCTGGCGCTGCCCCGCGAGTTTCTACGCGGGGCCGTATCGTGGGGGATTCGCCCCCGGCCCAAAAAACAAAAGCATTATAATATAGTCACTACTATCCAATATAGTCACTACTATGAATAGAGATCAATAGAGATCGGCACAAACGTCGTTCAGTATGCCTCAAATCCGCAACAACTCGATTGGCCATGGAGGTTCATCACAGTCAGGTTTCACACGGCACGTGACGCAGATGATAGAGGGGATCACCTGAATGCTCCCGGACCGCCGTTTCTTCTGTTCATTTGTAAATCCGAGACTTGATTGGATCAGCCTGGCCCTCTTGGCCATCACCCAGGAACCGGGCCTTCGCATGAACCGCTACTCCGCTTCTTCTGTCAATCCGAGACTTGATTGGATCAGCCTGGCCCTCAAGTTGGCCATCACCCAGGAACCGGGCCTTCGCATGAACCGCTACTCCGTTTCTTCTGTCTTGCTCCGCACAAACCCAAAATCGGAAGCTAAAAATAGCACAGACCCTCCGCCATCAACGGTTCCTATAAGTGCGCGCCCGACGAGCCCGCTTTCGCTTTATAACAGCCCCGCCGCCGCCGCCCAGCTTTCCGGGCGATCCCATGACGCTAAGTTTAGGTCGGCCACGGGGGACCGGGTGGGGGAGGGGGGAAAGGAGGGGGAAGAACTCGGTTCGTCCTCATAACCGACCGAGTTCAGGTCTGGGAAACGATTTAACAAGGTACGAGACCACCTCCTTCGGCGAGTCAAGCTCTTGCCAATACAGCTTTTCTCTCCCTTCTTCGTTTCCTCTTCCTCGTTCTGCTCGTCCAAGCTTTTCCTTCCTCTTGGACCTCTAACAACTCCAACACCACCCAGCATCATGCCGTCTTCAGCAGCCAAGCAATGGGTTGTGTGCGACGACGAGCTCGACGAAGCGACCGCTCAGAAGCAGCACGTCGACGCCGACGCCCTGCATCGGTTAAAGCACTCCGCCGACGGGCACCACATCCTCATCCCTCAACCGGACGACAACCCTCGCAACCCGTTGAACTGGTCCGAAGGCAAGAAATGGGCCACGCTCATCGCCATCTCCTTTGCCGCGTCCTTGCCCGATTACGTACGTTCGTGCTTCCCTTTACTCCTGGTGAACCCAAGACTTGACTAGAGGCGCTCGGACTGGCTGCGCGCGGCGGCCTCGTTCGCCGACGGTCGTCGCTTTCGCGCGTGACGAAATCCATGACGGGAGTCGAGCCACGGCCGGCCGATACCTCCGCTCTGCGTTGGATTCTCAGCGACTCAACAGCCCAGGACCATGCATGTACCTGCAATTCATGCTGACGTGTTCTTCGTTTTCTACTGCAGGGATCCGCAACGGGTTAGTGGTGCCTCCCTCCCTTCGTGGGCGCTCGGCCCAACTCCGCGAACCCGAAAGAAACCGGCCTGCCTCCTGTCTCGGGTGAACATCACTGACCGAGGCCGCATTCCTTTCTCTTTCTCTCAGGTGCGACAACTCTGATCCCCCAGGGTATCGATTGGGACCTTTCGCCCAACTATGTCAACCATTCGCAAGCCGGTAACGTGAGTCCTCAGAGCCGAGCAGCGCAGTTTGCTGCGCCAGCTCCGGTGTCAGGCGAAGTTCCGTTTCATCGAGACTGACCGGCTATATCCGCGTCATTCTGGCTCCCTCAGGTCTTCATGTTGGGTGCCGGAGGTATCTTTGCCGTCGCCTTGTCGAACGTCTACGGCCGCTTGCCCGTCGCATTCTGGATGTTGGCCCTCTCGGTCGTCTTCGCCGTGCTCTGTGCCGCCGCCCCAAATTTCAACACCTTCTTCGCCGCCCGTATCTTGCAAGGCTTCTTTTCCGCCCCTTGCCAGGCCACCGGTCTGATTATCGTTAGGGATATCTACTTCTTCCATTCCCAAGTCAGAAAGGTCAATATTTGGTCCGGTGAGTCGTGGTTCGGTTTTCGCCCAGGTTGAGAAGTCGAACTACTGGACTGACGCATGTCCTTATACGAATCGAATCAGGTTTCTTGATTCTTTCGCCATACGTCGGTCCAATCATCTCGGCCGCGATCCTGTCCTCGAATTCCAAGAACATCAAGCTCTGGCACTGGTCCTTCGGGTCGTACTCGATGTTGTGCGCCTTGGCTTTCCTCGGCGTCGTCCTCTTCGTTGACGAGACATGGTACAACCGCGACATCCCCGAACGGAATCAACCCCCCACCGGCGGACGACTCGCGAGGATGACGGGTATCGGGCGACCCAAGGGCTCGTCGACGAGGTATACGCTTTACGAGGCTTGGTACCGTATGTTCGTGTCTTTAATCAAGCCCCCTGTCTTGGCCATCTGCATTTCGTTCGGTCTTAACTTTGCTTGGTGAGTTCGAGGCGCTAGGCGATCTGAACGGCTCGGAACCCTCTCAGCTGACTTCATCCCCCCTCTTCTCTCTAAACCCAGGGTTGTCGGTATCAATACCACTTTGCCCATCTTCCTCGTCCCCCTGTACGACTTCGGCGACAAGCAAATCGCTCTCTTTTACTTCACCCCCGTCGTCGCTACGATCCTCGGTGAAGGGGCCGCGCACGTCATCAACCCCCGTATCCAGGAATGGACCCTGAAACGGAACCACGGTGTCTGGAAGCCCGAGAACCGTCTGATCGTCAACCTCATCGCGTTCCCTTTCTGCCTCTTGGGTCTCATCCTGATCGGCTTCGCGTTCGAACACCGTTACCACTTCATGCTCATCAGTTTCGCATGGGGCGTCTACGTCTTTTCCATTATGCTCTCCACCGCTGGTTACTACCAATACCTTCTCGATATCTACCCTACCGAGTCCGGTGAACTTTCAGCTTGGATCAACTTCTTCCGTGTGCTCGGGGGTTTCACCGTCTCGTACACGATCGTCGACTTTGTCAATTCCAAAGGAGCCATCAAGGCGTTCAGTATCTTTGCCGGTCTTTCGACGATCGCTTCGCTCATAGTTCCGGCGTTGATGTACTGGGGTCCTGCGTTGAGGGAGGCTTACCCTTCGGTCGGGTTGGCGATTCCGTCCAAGACGGCCAGTTTCGTTCCGTCCTCGGCTTCGGGGGAGAAGGACACGAGCAGCATGGAGAAGCCCGAGGTGCACCAGATCGCTTGAGTTAGCAGGTGTTGCGTTCGTGGCTTTTTCTACTTGGGGTTTGGTTGTGTGTATCCTTTCCTTTTTCTTCCATTTGTCTACGTGTATATGTTTCCTTGAGTCTTGTAATCGGGGAATCTGACTTAGTGCCTACTAGTGCTGTCTTTTGCGCGCGAGAACTACGTTCTCGGCAAGAAGTGATCTTTGCATTATGGCGAGAGCCTAGAAAGTACCGCCGAACTGAAAGACTGGATATGACAGCACAGAAGATGATACAAACCTCTTGAAATCGCAACTGTTCGTACACGGCCCCTTCGGCCGCTAGCCCGGGTCGGTCCATTTCGCTGCGCATCGTGTGCTCAGACCTCCGCACCCTCCTCTGCTGTCCTTCCACGCTCCGTTTCCGTTTCCGCTTTCGCATCCATACTCGACCTCAAAGTAAGCGCCTGAACTTCTTGCAATACAGGTCTTCGAAGTACCCCATCCGGACCGGGACCGGATATACTTCTCCTCTGCAAAACGTCTCCGACCGTCGTCGTCGGCTGATGAAATGATTGTGCGCGAGGGGATCCTCCTCCACCCGAGGTCGTTTGGCGAATCAAGGAAGGCGTTACGGCTGGCGCGGGTTTACGTTTTATACCTAGTGAGTTGGGGTTCGATGGAGTGGGAGTTGGCGTTCGACAATGCGGTGGTGGGGAGAGGGAGGTCGTTCGATGCGTCGAGGAAGGAGGGTTGGGTTGGAGAGTTGGACCTACGTTGCCGTCGAGCGAATGACGCGGTGGATAGGTTGAACTGGAGGTCGGGCGAAGGGCGGATTGGAAGGAATGTCGAGCGTTTCGAGGATTGGGGGTGGCCGAAGGCTGAGAAGGGTTCAAGCGAGGTAAAGGATCAGTGAGTTGCGGGGGTTTTAGGCGTCCGTATGAACTGACTCACCCTTTCCAATTGACCTAATTCATTCATCCCTACCACTGTAGCCCCGTCGAAAGAAGATCGCCAACCCCCATTTTCGACCCCACGAAGTCCACCGACGCGTGGCCCACTCACGAAAGGGGAACTGATCTTTCGATTACGAAGATCTTCGACGAAGCGGCTGGAGGAGGTTGAGAGGCGTTGGCGAGGGGAGACACCTAATTGGGTCTCTTGGTTAGGAGGTCCACGAGGAAGTAAATTGAGGTGGGTCCAGCCTTTTTTTAAGTTTTGCTTGACGGAGGAAAGTGGGGATGGGGGTGTTTTAGGAGGGCTGGGTTTCGGAATAGTCGCTGGCTTGGTCGTGGTCGAGGTACGGACCAAGGTCGTCAAACTGAAGCGACGACGGGAAGCTGGAGCAGGTGACGGTGACGGTGAGGCTGGCCGATTTGGATCGAAAGAATCTCTTCTGCCCGGGAAAGGAAGGGGATGGTGGACCTCGTTGCCCCTCACACCCGGTCTGCGGTCTCCTGACTGGTCAGTTCTCGCGCCAACCACTTGCTCTGGTCGCGTCGACTGAACCCGAGCAGAAGACATCGACGGCCGAGGAGAAGCCATCATCTCAGCCCCTTCGTACTGATGTGGATGCTGAATCTTGGCTCGTTCGTTTCCCGACGATGCTGAAGGACTGATCAAGATTTTGACTTTGAACTGCATTAAGAATCGAGGACCTCTCACACCCCTTGGCATCGGCGAGATCGGTCCGCTCTCCCCGGTCTGCGGAGCCGGGTGCAAACGCGCAGGACCGTTCATGATGGTCGTTGGGGAAGGGGTTCTGGATCGACGTTTTGTAGTCGTTGTATTGGGAAAAGAAGAACGATGATCGTCTTGGACTTCGTAGTGCGCTTGCAAAGATCTTCTTCGTCGATCCCTCGCAGTTGAATAATACGATGCTTGGTCGTCCGAAAGGCTACTTCTTCGCGTCGAGATGGAATTCGTCTTGTGGTCGGCTTCGGGATAAGATGAGAGCAAGCATCCGAACGAATGGTGGGTGTAGCAAAGGCACATGATGAGAGCGTTCAAGAGGTCAATTGTAGGACGTGGGAAAAGAGAAAAGGGAGACCGGAGGATGAGGAGTGACGGACTCACCCTCGCGACGCGTCGAAAAAAAAACCCGCCCGAAAGAGGAGGTTATTTGTCCGCGAGCTTTGAGACAAGGGGGTTTGCAAGACGGTGCAGTGTGTGGAATCGCGGTGCGGAGCCTTGGGGTTGTCACAGTCGAAAGAGGGGAGACTCTGTCGATCGGCGTTCGTCCCTTGCGAGCTCTCACCGGAGAGGAGGCACCTTTTCGCCCACCGGAGGCTACAGCACCACCACGACAGAAGAGAGGAGTCCCCGCGCGTGCGTGTGACGGTGAGAAAAAGAGCCGGTCCCACGCGTCGTCACAATGATTTGCCCGGCGGTATATATGGAATCGTTTACAGCACCAATAAGAGGAGTGAGAAAGAGAGAGGAACGGGGTGCGGCATTAGGACAATTCGGACAAGAAAGGGTGTCCGTGCACGACCATTCAATCACGGGACGCGTCCGTCGCGTAATTCCGAGGGTCGCCAGTCGTGAAATCGAGCAACGGAGAAAAGGTTTAGGCTCTGAGGGCGTCTCATTAGGTTTTGAATTCCTGTGTGTCACGCGTTTACGCTGACAGTTTTCAGAACGAAGGAGCAATGAAGAAAATATACCACAATCGCCGCCCCATATTGGTCGCACGCTGCAGTGGCAGATTCCACGGCGACCCGCCGTCGATCGCGTGACGTCGCCCCTCGCGCCGCTGCTCTTTGACCGGACGACCGCGGACACGAACGGACGATCATGCCAGCCGGCGACGAAACACCTACGAGTGCTGCGACGATTCTTCAACAACGATTGGCCGCACTTCGATCCTCAAATTCTTCTTCGTGCGTTAGTTCATTGGGGAGGGGCCGGTGAGGTGTAAACAACTTTGTTAACCAACGCCCTCCACTCCCCCACCCCATTGTCGATGTTGCCCCACATCCTCGTCGCGGCTTCAGATCATCGTCGGTTCCTTCGGGGACTTCATCGACCATCAAGACTGCGGAGGGTCTAGCGAAGAACGACGACGACGACGAAGATGAGAACCTCTCTCAACTGCTCGCTTCTTTGGATGTACCCGACGACACTGGCGACGACGACTCGGATGACGACACCGACCTCCTCAACGACTCCGGAATCGACGTGCCTATCCAAGTCAAGAACGTTGATGAACAAGTCAATACTATCCACAAACGTTACTTCATCCTCTCAAAAGAATGCTCACTGACACTCGATCTTTCCTGAATAGGTCACGCACTACCTAACGACCGCCTCGCAACTCCCCAGTACGGCTTCCCTCCCTCCTTTATCCTCCTCAACCTCGCAAAGGAAACTCGAAGCTACATTGGGGTCCTACGAAAATCTAGCACCAAAGTTTGTCGCCCCTATCGAAGTATCGTTCTTCACTCCTCCTTCGACGAACCTATCTGGACCCTCGGGAGGGATAAGAGGCGATGAGGAGGAAGAGGCATTGATGGCTAGGTTAAGGGATGAGTTGTCTGTTGAGAAAGCCGTACAGAGTCGTGAGGGGAACGTGGAGGATGGTTGGGAAAGAAGGTTGAGCAAGATGAAGGAGTTTAGACCGATCACGGATCCGGAGAAGGAGAGAGAGTATTTGGAGAGGGCCAAAGGGTTGGGGGAGGGGCCGGGCTTGGAAGGGGTTGAGGAGCTGCAGAGGAGGAAAAGTAGGGAGAAGAAAGGGAGGCGGAAGGGAGGGAGTGGGAGTGAGGAGGATACGGATAGCGAGGAGGATACGGAAAGTGAGAGTGACGAGGAATGAGAAGAAGCTTTCGAGGGTCTTTCGATGGAAGCTCGGGGGCGAGAGAGGGTTTTTGGTACATGTCTCGAACGGACTGCTTGTAAACAATTAAACACACACAATGACGATCCAACTTCCATCTTCAAAAGCAAGGCACCCCACACGAGGAGGCGGACCTTTCGTCTGCGAGCCTCACTTGGCATCCACAGTCGTCTCTTCCTTCTGCTTGCCCTTCCCTGGGTCCTCCTCCTCTGACGATCCACTCGTCGCAGTATTCGCCGCCTCGGTCGTCTCGGCCGTCTTGTTCTTCTTTCGTTTCTTCATCATGGCTGTCGAAAGGAAGGAAAAGTTTGGTGCCGCTCATCAGCCAACGGAGCCCCTCGAAATGTTCTCTCCTTCATTTCTTCAAACCCACTCACCCAATTTTACCGCATCCCTCACCCCTTCATTCAACTCCTTGCTCTCTTTCACGAACTTGCTCTCCTCCATCTTCCTCTTCTGACCCGCCGTCATACCACCCCCCTTCAATCCCGAACCTGAAGCTGAAGCTGATGCGGATGAGGATGAGGAAGCGGAAGCGGAAGTGGAAGGTTTGGAATGAATCCCTTTATCCAACCTCGCGATTTCGGCGTTCAAAGCGTCCAGTTTGGCCTGAGCTTCTTTCTTTTGTTGGGCCAATCGATCCGGCGCGGCTTGAATGTATTCGGCCAATCTGAGAAAGGTTCGTCGAACACGAAGAAGAGTTGAGCGTCGGAAAAGAACCCCTAGACGCCTTTTTAAGCGGGATCTTGGGTTCGGGGAAAAAGGGTTCAAGTACTTACTTTGTAGCTTCCTTTATCGTACTCAATCGCCTACCGTTCAAATCTCGACAACTGTCATTGTTCGTCGCCTTGTTGCTACTCATCCTACCGCCCTGGGCACGGAGTTGGGATGCGAATCCACCCTTTCCACCGGGGAGGCGCACCGATAAACGGAGGAAGAGGGGGGAGCTGACATCGTTCGTGGTGGAGGTGGAGGCTAAGGAGGATAAGGTGGTGGTCGGTTTGAGAACGCGGACGGAGTGGGAGGAGAGCGATTGTTGAGGCAGGGGACAGTAGGGCGTGAGGAGCGTTTGGAGGGTAGAGATGGTGGTCGATTCGGGCAAGGTCAGGGAGAGAGTCGAAGGGAAGGGGGTGTAGGTTGAGATGAGGACAGAGAGCATGGCTGTGGATGTGGATGTGGATGTGCGTTGAGGGTGGGGTGGTGGTGATGGTGATGGTGCGTGACTTGAGGTCGGCGGTGGCGAGTCGCTCAGTTGACGGATGCAGGAAGCTTTTGATAAGCCTCCGAGCGAGTGAGGGCGATGTAACGTTCCGAGTGGGACTGCTGACTGAATTGAGTTGCACGTGTAGAGGCAAGGCAGTGGCAGAGGCAGAGAACGGAGAGCGAGAGCGAGAGGAGCGACGTGAGCCATCCGCTTCGGGATTCGCTCGACAGGCACCGGCTGCCACTCTGAGCGATCTGAGCGCCGATCCCAATCCCTCAGACAGCATCATACGTGCTTCTCGATATCTTCGTTGGTCTAGCTTTCGCTGTTTCGTGTAGAGCGACCCAGCAAAGACTCTTATACGATCTCTAGGCTCTCGCTCTGAAGTCTCAGCACTCGGCGTTCAGACCTCGGGACTAGTATCTCCCCTCGGTAGAAGCCCCCTCGAAATGTATCTGCAGCAGAATCTGCCCCTCTCGACATTGCACATGCTCCCACTCGACTAGGGCGAGATAATCCACCTGGAAAGCTTTGACTTGTGGTCCCCAACTCCAAAGACGCGAGCGCGCAAATCTACTCCTCATCGGGGTTGATGTTGACCTAATCTCGATCTGATCAGTCTTGGCTCCCCAAAAAGAATTGAGCGCCACTCTCCCAAAGCTGAATAAAACTCACCTCGGGGTTGTAGAACAAGGTGTGGTTGCCCCAGGGGAATTCCTTGATGCGCTTGTTGAAGTAAGGGTACACGATGCGCTCCGGCAGCTCACCGCCGTTCTCGTGCTTGATGTGCTCGACGTGCGCCTCGTGCTCGGCCATCAGGTTCATCGCGTTGAGGAAACCGACGACGACTGCGGAGGGGGCGCGGAGGAGAACGGTTAGTCGTGGGTTCGCGTGGGGGGGGGGACTGGACGGGCGTTCGCTCGTTCGGATGTCGGAACTGGATCGCATTCTTCGGGGTATGCTCGCGTTGATGTATGACCATGACGATGCCACCTCGATTGGTGTAGACCTCCCATCTCTCCGATTCCGCTGTTGTTCCTGAGAAGCCGGTTCGGGCAGGATCCAAGGCCGGCCGATCCACGGTGAAGAGACAGGATCACTTACTAGCGGGGCAAGCGACGTAGAGGCTGTTGAAACACCAACAAGGTGCGGATGGGGTTAGCCACGTCGATCAAGTCAACAGCCCGGAGAGAGGTCACGGGATTGAGGGGGGGGGCCGGTGGGAGCGCTCCAATCGCGGAGAGCATCGGGATCATCGGCTAAGGATCGAGCGGAGCGGATGCCTTGGGGATGTATTCGCTCCTCGTCGATCAGGGAAGGGTATATGCTCCTTCTCGTGTATGATGAGCGCAGTACCTGGACGATGCCTCCGCTCTCACAGGACGATTCGCCCCGATTCGGCCCAAGCCCAATCTCCGCAGATCGCCCATGCCTCCCCTCTCTCCACGCTTCAACCCCCGCACCGCACCCGCCCAGCACAAACGAACAGCGAACAGATGATCGAAGAAAACGTACGTGATCTTCCTCCACAGCTGCGCGGACTGGGCGGCATGGTGTTGGATCGCCTCGCGGTGCTTGATGAACTCGTTCGCACCGCTACCTTCCGTCGCGGTCGCGTACGAACGCACCGTCGAGGGGGCTCGACGGGAGGTGGTGCGCAGGGTGCGGAAGAGGGCCGACATGGTGAGAGCGGGCTTGATGGGGTGTGTTGTGTTGGGTAGGGTGGTGAGATCGGTATGGCTGCGGATGCGGAACGCGGGAAGACGCGCGGGACATGACGGGGTGGTCATCTAATGCGTAATTGGGTCAGCATGTTGAGTTTGGTAATGCGCAATGGTCGCCCGGCCGCGCGTGGGGCTCGGGACCGGTAGCAACTCGTCACCCGTGTCTTCCCTCTCCAGATTCGACTCCCAACTGGCCCAAGATGAAGTTGACCCACCTCCTCGGTAAGGCCACACCCGAGCGTGGAACTCCCCCGACCTGGAAACTGACCCGCTCCCCCACGATCACCATCAACTTAGCCTCCACGCTGACGCTCCTGCTCGGCGCCTCGTCCTCCGTCGTGCTGGCCCGACCGGCACCCACCGCCGCTGCGCCCGATGTGGACGTGCAGATCAAGTTTCCGGATACGAATCCTTTCGGACGTGAGTTGTTGAAATCTACAGCGCGGCTACTCTGGATGGGGATGTGGTAGGGAGTTGTAGAGGGGTACGAGGGCATTCGAAAGGCACGGCGTTTCGGCTCGTGTGACGTGGTCGCGTCCCAACCGGATCAAGCCGGGAGGAGCTGCGGTAGAACGGGAAGAGCGTCGTACGCAAGGCATGGGTGATCGACGCAGGACGACGGGATCGATCTGCATCGTAATGGGTGAAAGAACGCGACGCACTGACCTGCTTCTCTGGACCCCCCCTTCCACCTCGATTCAGGCGTCATCAACGGAGCCGTACGTACCCTATCCCAAGATTTACACCCAACACACCCAACGTATTCAAAAACTGACAAACTCTTGCTCTGCCGAAAACAGTCCAACAACGTCCTCAACGTTCGCCTTCACAACCACGGCATGGACGAAGTCGTGCTCAGCAAGGTCTACGGAGAGTACTATGAACCCCATGGGAGGGAAAAGGTGCTCAGGAAGGTGAGCTAGGAATCATGCGCTTATTTAGGGATGTGCAAGCGGCTGAACTGCATCGTTTTCGGGGTTTTTATTGCGACAGACGACCGTTTCGGAGGTGAGGGAAGTCGTCCCCGGAGGAACCAAGTCGAGGCCTATCGTCTACAGGGTGAGTACAGAGCAGCTACCAAGAGCGAGAATCATCCACTGTAGTCGAGAGAATTCATCTGGTGTACCTTTTGCTCTCTCAGTTCCACTCGGAGAACAAGATCGGTGAAGTCGGTCTCCGAGTGTTTGTCGAGTTGCTCGATGCCGTACGTCCGAATGGAAAACCGACCTTCGCTTGGGAAAGCCAACGAACCCCCCCACTCATTCCACTTTCTCCCCCGAACAGAAGAAGAAAGTTCACAAAGTGCTCGGCTACGAAGGTGCCGTGACCATCATCGAACAACCCGGTTCATGGTTCGACCCCGCCCTCTTATTCACCTACGTCGTCCTCGCATCCTTCGGAGCTTTCGTAGCCTACCTCCTTTATGGTTCTTACGTACAACCTTCGACCGCTGGGGCCAAGAATAAGAAAAGGAAGAATGTTGGGGAAAAGGTTAGGGAGGCGAAGGAACAAGTCAAGGAAGAGGGAGAGAAGCTCGTTGATGGCGTGGACGAGAGTTGGTTGCCGGAGCATATCTTGAGGCAGAGGAAGGGGGGAAAGGGGAGTAAGGGAGGACTGACGAGTGGGAGTGAGAGTGAGGGGACGCCGATCAAGGCCGGTAAGAAGGGCAGGAAGTAAAGTGGGGATTTGGATTCGGATGCGGAGGTGGGTAAGTAGCGAGGTGGGGAGAGGCAAGGGATGCGGGGTGGAAGGATTTTATTCGATCTTGACGAAGCATAGGGAGCGTGGGGGGAGAAGTCCTGTCTTGGTCGAAGAAGAAAAACAAGACTCATTGTAATGACCAATGACAGAAGAGTCTTCGACTGGAACCGAGCTGGTATACAACATGGCAGTCGACTGATCAAAAAAGAGAGTTACGAGCGAACATCAAGCCTCGTCCTCATCATCATCGCTAATGACAAGCTTCTCCCCACCCGCCACAGCTGCCGCAGCCGCTGTAGCAGCGGACCTCCTCGGCACTCGTCGTGTACTCTCTCCAGCAGCGGCATTCGAAGAGGTGTCCACATTGGAACGGACATACTCCTCTTCACTCGCCTCATCGACATCCATCCTTCCTCCTTCCCAAAAGTCACTACTATCCAAACTAGCGTCCGATTCGACGCGTTTGACCCTCCTCTTCGCGGGCGCCTTTGCTTTCTTTGCTACTGTTGGAGGTGCATTAGGATCCTTGGGTTTGGGTGGGCGACCCCTTCTTTTCGGCGGCGGCGGCGGCGGCGGTGGTGGTGGTGGTGTGGGTGACCTTCTCCCCTGCAACGAAGAGCGTCCCTCCAATTCTTCGGGATCCTCCATCTCCAAAGTCGGTAAAGCCGGCAACATCCCTTCCCCATCATTAGCATCCTCCGCATCATCCTCATCGGCCCATTGTCCCTTCTTGTACTTGTTCTTGGAACCTTTAGGCCGTCCAGGCTTTTTCTTCACTTTGGCGACTTTGGGTGGAGCATTTTCGGCTCGCGGGGCGACGCGCGATTTGAATTTGAGCTTGCCGGTCGTCAAGAGGGAAGCTGGGATGGGGGAAGTGCGAGTCGTGGGGTCGGCGACGGGTACTGGGTCTTCTTTGGGTCTTATGGAAACGGGACGGAAGTAAATTCGGGAGGTGGACGTGCTGGGCAGGGGGGCGTAGTGAGAGGGGGAAGTTTCGGTTTCGGCTGTGAGGGGGGGTGTGGTGTGGTGTGGTGATGAAAAATGCAAAGTGAGCTTTCGAGAGAGCGCTTAGTTGATAGTTTGTGTTTACGTGCAAAGGACCCACGATGGTGTTGCAAGAGCACTTGATCGCCAATCAAAGTCTCGTGTTGGCCTTGGTAGAACTGAGGACCGACGCGGGCGTAAGGAGTTGAGGATTCGAGGCCCTGCTCATTGGTACGGGAATAGGTAGCACAACGGATTCAGCATCCAGGCCAGATGGACTTTGCATGAAATAAAACGAGTGTGGCCTTACGAGCAATTGTATGTGCCCTCGTTCCTGGTTGAGCGTCTCGACGGCCAACTTGGCCCCAAAGTCGAGCGTCAGGTACGTCACCTGTAACACGCAGATGGACAATGATTGAGCTAACGAGGAAGGTGAGATTAGCATCAGAGGGACATACCTCATCTTGCTCCCACTCATCACTATCATCGGCGTCATTGACTTGATGTTCGCGAGGTTCGAGTCGCTCGACTCTCGTCCATGTCCGATCGACGAGCGGTGGATCGACACAGTCCGCTGCTGAAGTGAGGGGCATGCCCACGACAGTTGGTGGCGGTGCTTGAGAGTGAACTCGACGAGGACCTGATGTGGAAGAGGAGCTCACGGCGCGTCAAAGCCAGTTGCTGAGTCAAGCCAACGCATAGGCGCGTAGGCACTGCTAGTAGGCACTCCGAGGCAACGCGTCGCGTCACGTCGTCTGGACAGGTCGCGTCCGACTCTATCGCCGCGCTAGTCTCTGGACTCTCTCGCTCCTTCCCCATCCCTCGCTCATCAACACTGGATCCCGATCTCGCAAACATGACCTCGTCCGAAGCCGCCGTCTCCTCAGGCCATACCAAGCCACACGAAGAAGAGCAATACCTCTCCCTCGTTCGCCAGATCCTCCGCACCGGCCAACTACGACCCGACCGAACCGGTACCGGAACCCTATCCCTCTTCGCCCCCCCTTCCCTTCGCTTCTCCCTCTCCCGACCCGATCCTACCGATCGCTCAAAGACCGTCGCTGTACTCCCCCTTTTGACCACCAAGAAGGTCTTTACGCGAGGTATCATCGAGGAACTCCTTTGGTTCGTTCGAGGATCGACCGATTCGAAATTATTGTCCGACAAGGGGGTCAAGATTTGGGATGGGAATGGATCGAGAGAATTTCTGGACAAGGTTGGGTTGGGGCATAGGGAAGAGGGGGATTTGGGACCGGTTTATGGGTTCCAGTGGAGGCACTTCGGCGCAGAGTATAGGACGGCCAAGGATGATTATCAGGGGGAGGGGGTCGATCAGTTGATGCAGGCTGTCAAGAGTATCAAGGAAAACCCCACCGATAGGAGGATCATCTTGAGTGCTTGGAACCCCGCAGGTTAGTGATCATGTCGAGTGAAACGATCTTTACGATTTTTGGAAAGGAGAAAAGGCAGCTGAATCCTCTCCTCCACAACCCGCCGCGCAGACCTCAAAAAGATGGCCCTTCCCCCCTGCCACATGTTCTGCCAATTTTACGTCACCCTACCTCCCCCCAACGCACCTCAAGACACCAAACCCCTCCTCTCGTGCCTCATGTACCAAAGGTCCGCCGACCTCGGTCTCGGCGTCCCCTTCAACATCGCCTCCTACGCCCTTTTGGTCCACATGATCGCGCTGATGACAGATACGACCGCGCACGAGTTCGTGCATCAGTTGGGCGACGCGCATGTGTATAAGGATCATGTGGAGGCGTTGGAGGTGCAGTTGGGGAGAAAGCCCGAACATGAGTTTCCGGAGTTGAGATGGAAGAGGACGAAGGAGGAGATAGGGGAGGTGGATCGTTTCGAGGCCAGCGATTTTGAGATTGTCGGGTATAAGAGTCAGGCGGCGATCCCGATGAAGATGAGTGTCTAGAGAGGGGAAGGGTGCGAGGAGATCGTCCGGCACGGAAACTTGGGAACTTCTGACAGATTTGGAAGGGAGAGTTCTCTATTGTGGAGGCTGTCGCGCAGGTCGTGTTTAGGGGGTACGGTGGTTGTAATCCGATCTCGGGATGTCATTGAGTTCATGGGAGATGGCACCACAAGAATCTGTTATGGTACTCTTGCATCGTCCATGGTGTCAGGCGACGCAATCAATACCTACACTTCATCCGACGAAGAGTGTCTCCTGTCTGAAGGATGTTTTGCCCACTCCGTCAGCCGGGGAGGGGTTTGACGTTCGTCCGCCTGCTGTTCACAAAAAAATGCTTTGCTGCCTGTACAGATCAAATAAAGGAGCTTCAGTTAATCCGCACTGCATGACTCATTAGCTAGGGTGTCCGTCGCCCGACACTGGCAACGTGCCGATGAGCACACCGGGCGGTTTTGCAAATGCCCCGATCACCGGCGGCTAAATCGTCCCCCAATGCAAGCCGTTGCACAAACTGAAGCAAGACTAGCGCGGATCGATGAAGCTACTTCCCGATTTCTACCGAGCCTTGTCGGAATCATGTGCCGTCGTGCATCACTTCCCTTCTTGACGGGGAAGGGAGAGAGCGTGAACTCATCGACTGCGGCCACCTCGGCTTCCGAAACTGGGTTGATAATATTCAATTCCTTGAGAACGAATTAGGAAAACCAGAGTGAGCCATTAATGCGCGAAAATACACGCGCAGCGTAGGCGCCAATAGTGAATAGGGGCTAGGTTCTTTTTTTGGCACTAGAGCGACTTTCGCGTCGACTGACTCGGGCGAGATCGGCCGTCGGGGAGAACATGAGTGAACGAAGGGGCTATAAAATCTTTTGAGATGGTGTGGATGCCTCTTGGGTCCCTTCATCTCACTTCGCTCTTCTTCGTCGTGATTCGAAACCCGATCCCTCGAGCCTTCCTCCACGATCATGCAACTCAAAAACTTCTTCCTCCTAGCGACCGTCGTCGTCGGCGTTTCAGCACAGGCGGTTTCGAGCCGTGGCGATGTCCAAATTGAGCGGTGAGTCCCGTCCTCGCTTCTCGCTTGCCGAATACATGGACCACCGCTGACCTCTTCCTCCCTTTACCCCTTGTTCATGATCAGTTCCGACAACAATGCTGAGGGCAAAATTGAAGGGTTCGAAGTCGTTCGACGAAGCGTCATCACGAACACCCCCTGCCAGTACGTAGTAACCAGTAACTCCTGCTCTCGCGGCTGCACTGCCCGCGCTCATGTCTTCAGCTGTCCTGAGATAGCTTATTTCATCTCACCTGTCTGCTCTCTTCAGTCGTTGCGTTCACGCTTGCGAGACACAGTTTCCTAGTCCGCTTGCCGGGTAAGCGAGGCCCTGGCTTTGCAGGAGTCGGAATGTTGGCAGCTGCAGTGCGCCCAAGTCCACTTCGACTGTGTATGATCCTGCTCCATTCTCGTTTAATGTCTACGCTGACGACGTGTTTCACTGCCTTTCTTCTCCGTTTCTATTGCCCACTTTTTTGGTGTCTCACATCAGACATCATCATGCGCCAGGATACCAGGCCTGCTGGGACGGATGCCAAAAAATAAAGTGCAAGCAGGGTTGAACTTTCGAGCAACGACCGTGCCGTCTCCGGCGAGAGTCGGGGGGAAAGGAGAGGGCGATCGGATGTTTCAGACATGGAGGTGGACGTGGTCAGATATCGAGAGGTTCTGAAGTGGGGTAGTAAGGGATCCCTGATTGCCCGAACTTCAGTTGGGGGGGGGGTGTGTTCCTTGGAGTTGAAGATAGTTTGCAACGTAATTTCATCTTGGCTTGGTAGCGCGACTCGGGTCAGAGGAGCCAAAACCCTGGGGTTTTAGTTGATTCTGATTCAGGGTCAATGAGTCCTACACTACTGGCCTCTAGCCAGTGGGCTTAACTGCATTCCCTCCTTCCAAAGGTTTCTAGGTATTAATATAATTATACTGTCTTTGAAATCTAGCGAATAAATAAAATAAAAGGCAAGCGTTCAATCACCGGCTTGACCGGCAAGGAAATCGACAAGGACGACGCAAACTCAATGATTGGACGAGTGACGCTTGATTGAGGTGGCCCTGCTACCGTAATCATCTCAAGTGATTGTAATTCTCATGGCCTTACGGCGAGGAGGATATGTGAGCCTGAGGGAGGCGAAAAAAATAAAATGGAAAGCGCCGCCGGCACTTGCTGCGCGTTCCTGCCGACGAGGTGCTCTCGGAGGGCTGTCCGGCTCGCAAGCGTCCTGAGTATACACAGCAAACCACTAGAATTAAGACCATTTCCGATTTTTTTTTTTTACAATGTAGGCACAACTGATGCCGTCATCTGGGTCGTGCTGCGTTGCCTCTGCCGCTCGGGGACCGCAGAATCTGACTCGGGTCATCGAACGGCAAGCTTCGCTCTGTTCGGCTGTGATAAATGTTCTTCGCACCGACAGCTTCAAGCTTTGGGGATACTTGCTGTTACTATATGGAAAATATTTAAATCACTGCAGCAAAAGGTACTGAAGCCTCTGAAAGCGTGACAAACGGTACACACTCGATGCGCCGAGTCGATCTCGAACGTTCAGCGTAACCTCGGCGTGGTCAGCGACTCGGGCCTACCCACTTCGATCACATGTATCTGTACACGACTCTGAGTCCGATCTCCTTATCCTTACAAGCATCTTTCAAACCTGCCTCAGCCATGCGATCGCGAATCCATTGTCGAAGAGGTTGTTGTAAAGCCTTTTCCTCGGGCGTCGTGTCCGGCAGGTATTGACCCTTGGGAGGCTCGACCGCTCTAGACTGCTTCGCCGCTTCGAGCAAGGTAGAAAGATGGGGAATCTCACTCGCCAACTCGAGGCACTCGAGCGTCAAATCGATGTGAAGTATCTCAAGATGATCCCATGGATCCGTTTTGAGGGATGAAATCAATATGGCCCAAAGTCGGGAAAGATCCTCAGGCTTGCAATCCGACTCTCCGCGCTTGATCTTCAGCGAGCGGCAGGGGGCGCCATTCGATCCGACCGCACGAATGCAGTCTCCGAGTCGTTCAAGGTGGCTGATGTTGAACTTGACAGTTTCAAGAGAGGTACATCGCGGTAGATGTTGAAGCAGGGCGTCCAGAAACTGAAGAGCATCGCTTTCGTCGATCAAGACATTACACTTGAGCTTGCGCAGACGAGCGCTGCGGGCGCCTCCGAAGAGGACCTCGACCCATTCTGCAAGAATCGTGCGATCTCGCCAAGCTCGTCGATCGACGTAGAGCTGTAAGTTGTGCAGGCGAGGCATCTCGACGTTCAGAGGTAGGTCCATCACCCCTGGCAAATCGGACGACGATATCTCCAGCTTCTCCAGGAGCGGTAGGACCGGCTTCGGCAGCTTTGAGCCGTTCTCGCGATCACTGACCCAATCAACGGGATCGCTGATCTTCAATTCGACCAGGTCTTTCGGGTGGAGCGACAATACAGACGACTTTAGATTATGAGTATGGGGTATGCGCAGATCCAAGCTCACCTTGGAGATGCTCGATCGTCGTCTCGTTGAACCTGAAGAAGAACGTATTGACGAAGAGAGAACGGATCGACAGGCCGGCAAATATTTCGGTCGCGTCCGTGTAGAAGTCGTCGCCCAGAGGATTCATGCCCAAATGCATGCAGTCGACGGGATAACGCTCACCCAGGCCGGACGCGAGGAGCTTGCGCGCCATGACCAAGGACTCGGACGGGCGGGCCTCCACCGCGTCCACCACTAGCGACAGCCGATCCTCCCGCCGCACCGATCGAGCACAGTGTGTGTCTTCCGGTCCGCTCCTACGCAATAGGTGAGTGTCAGTACTCGAAGATGTGGTTGTCAAATGCAGTCTTGGGCAGCTCGTGCGCAGCAGCATCAACTTCAGCATGGATCTCCTGAAGGAGCTTTGTCGGGCGCACCACGTGGAAGGATACTCCAGGAGGAACCCGCTTGCGAAAGAGCGATTCCTACGAGTACTGGTCGTGCGATCCAAACTGTGATGCTTGTTCAAATGGGTGTGTTTTCGGAAGGCAACAAGCCGCGACCCCCGTGACTCCGCCACAACGTCATTGCTTCCCGAGCACAGAGCATACGCATCAAAACCTGTTACCGTGCTTCGAGCCTGACTGAACGAAGAAGTCCAGAAGAATCGCGAGAACGTCTCAGCGACTGACTCTAAACAAACGCTGCACAGACTTCCACCGCTGCATCCCGAACCCGAACAAGAAGAACCCGGTAAAGTGACATCGCATTCTTCGCCAGCATCCGATCAGTTCAAGACCGAGAACCGTTCTGAATGGAATGATTACTTCACCGACGCTCGTTCCCGTCTCTTCTGCTGCCTGGTGTGCTCCGAGAGAGTCTTCGGGCATAAAGTACGATGGGTGCCTGAACACGACATCAAGCGTGAGGAATCAGGGATTTGGAAGGTATTAACCAACTCTGCACTACGGACGGACCTCCGACCACCGACTTACGATTCTTCAGCTTGGCGGGGCGCACTCATTCATCCCCGACGTCTTCATCGACCGAGCGATTTATTCGATCAGATCGCGTACTCGCCCATGAACAACACGCTTCAGTGCTCACTCTGTCCAGACTGCTTCAAGCGGTCGTTCCCTACCACAGGGCCACCGACTAAGCCCCCTCGGTCGTTGAGCAACGGATTTTATCGCGCACTGGATCATGTCCCCGCTGATGTCCGAGTATACCTCTCCAACGCGAGTCAGCTTGAGCACCTCTTCACTGCGCGCGCCAGAGCCTACAAGAACGTGTACAAGCTAACTCGTTTCGGAGATCCCAAAGTTCAACAAGAATATACGCGCGGAATCACCCTCATCTTCAGCCAGAACACCGCTTCGTTCACCGATGTACTGTCCATGTCAGGCGAGGAACTCGCTGACAGTGTGTGCGTTCTATTCTACAGAGGGAACCTCAACCTTGCGGAGCTGGACAAGTGTCGACCCATGATCGTGAAGCAGAGTCGGATCCAAAAGATGCTCAGGTGGTTGATCAACGAAAGCAAGAATCCGGCGTACTCTGCCGTCTCCTTTTTTAATGGCGAAAGACTTGCACAGCTCGTTCGATGCAATTCTGGTGTGCTCAACTCTACCTCTCCAGCACCCACGGCGGTTTCAGCTTCCACTTCGGCTTCGGCTTCCGTCTGGGTTGCTCCCCAAGTGTCGGATGGACAAACCTCGGATGAAGACAGTCTCGTGCCCGACGCAGTTTTGGCCAAGGTGTTTACCGCAGAGACAGTGGAACCAACATCATCGCTTTTTGAAGGCTACGCAACAGCGCATAACGACTCTGATGAACCAGTATTCGAACACGTCCATGTGCCGCCACCCGCTACCGACGAACCAGTTCACTTGTGGCAGTTCTCTGAGAAAGCTCTCCGTTATTTCAACCACTGCAAGACCAGCCCCCCCATGTCATTCCGACAGGCGACGACCCTTTGTGGGGATCTTCGGATGACTTCCTGCTCTCAAAGCTGCAAGGTGGCCACACCTAGATCCATTCGGTCTCGTCGGTGTCTGTCGAGCGCGACGTCAAGATTTCTCTGGAGGAGCAAGTCAAACATTGGCTCAATCTATACGACAGCGATTTTCGGTGCGACCCGTCTTTCCCGTTCATCATCTCGAACATTCTCCGCCGACGAGACGTGTTTCGCCACCTCGCTTTTCGGGTCCCCAAAGAGAAGGTGGCTCGAATCGCAGCAGCACTGCTCGAAATTTACCGCATATCGACCGTATTCTGGCGTTTCGTCCAAGCACACACGTACTTCAACCAGGCGAGACAAGCCCCACACGCTCGCTTTCAGTTCGTGCCGCATCGGATCCAGGTACATGCCAGGAAGAAGCCCCTCTTCATGCAAGTCACGCATACAATCAATTAAATTCCTGTATGGGTAAGCTGATTTAACATGTCTACCGCATCGTCATCATTACAGCCTTGTCCCCCTCTTCTCACCGACCGTCCACCGTTGCCCAAGAAAAAGCTATTACCGGTCAAGAGGCCCATTATCGTGACATTGACCTTGCAGTGCCCCTTCCAGAAAAAACGTAAGTCGCTCCCTGAAGTCCCGATCTTTCAACATCAACTGAAACCACTTCTTATAGCCAAGTTCGGTGAAAGCGCGATGTGGGTCCCCGGCGCTGACGACCACATACATACATACAAAAAGTCGGAGTCGGACCAGACACGGACTGTGGCATGGGCGATGTCGAGTGATCTCAACTTATGCATGTTCACCCCGGCTCTGGCTCGATCTCTTCTTGTCTGCAATGTTCATTAATGTTTGGCACATACTTACACGACTCATTCATGTGGATTGAACTGACCCGCCAACTTGGTGCTGCATGCCCGATCCATGGCACGTTCTTTGTTATACTAGCTGACGTTGTCAGTCGGTGTTACTTCGTCAGAGGTTCAGGGACCCGTCGCCCCCTCCGGGGGCGCGTTAATTTTGACAGGTATAAGATTGGGCGATATCCCTGAAGCTCTGAAAGAGCTGAAGGTTTCGTTTCGAAAATTGGGCGGTTCCAGCCCAGAATTGGTGCAAATCTCAAAGTGTCTCAGAATTCGGCCCCTGAGTCCTCAGGCACAGCTTCCCCGCACTTTATGAAAACGCGCGCGGCGTTGTTCGGCCTAGCTCAGGGATCAGGACTCAGGAGACAGGGACCACGGAGTCACGGACCCGGCGGCGGGGTCGCTCTTGGTCCTTGACTCCTTGGACCTCGTCATAAAGCATAGGGGGGCGAGGGGGGGCCGGTTGCCATACGGGGCGGGAGGGCAAGAACTAAGAATAGCACAGGTTTCACGCCCTTCGAGCCACGTCGCTTTCGAAGCTTCGCCTTGTCATTCGTCACTCGCACACGGCCCGACCCACCCTGCAGACTCTACACTTGTGGGCTTGTCAGACTCTGCAATCTTCTTGTCATCTTAGGAGCGCGGACCTAGTAGCCAGACCTACAGCATCCGGACCTGACACTGGCCAGACCTACCACCCGGATTTAGCCTGTCTTCATCCAGATCCCCGAACTCGAGTCAAATTCTGCTCCTGATTGTGCCCAGTTGCACGCTTCTCGAGCCAACATGTCTACTTTGTCGCACCTTGTTCACCTTCAAACATTTGAAGCGCCTTCTCAGCTGAATACACTTGATGAGTTTGATGAGATCAGGTTAACGACACAAGTTGGCCCTCGAGCTCGAGAGCAGCCAGTCGTACTACACAGTTACTATGGTCCAAAGGATGGTTAAGGGTCGACTCCGCGAGCATCTTTGGCTGTCCTCAAAACCTCGGTGTCTCTTCATCTCTTTCTCCCTACTTGTCACCACGCCACCTTCATCTACCTCTTCCGCGACAAGCAATGTCTCCGACCCCCTCTCTGACCGACCGACTGCCAACATCATACGTACGACGCTCTAGATTACGAGCGAACTTCCCTCACCCACGAAGACGTTCAGAACATTGTCGAGGTCTACAACGCCTCCCTGACGACCTTAGCCAACATCGTCGATCATCGCTCGGTTGCCGATTTCGTTCGTCTACAGAAACCGGGGAACTACGGCGAAGTCGCACTGGCTACGGCGGCAGGTCAAGTCGCCAACATATGGCTTGTAGGCCGAATCCGAACCATTGATTCTGCAGGGGGAATCGTGCCAAAGAAGTAAGCGAAGCCACGTGTTACTGGAGATCTACGCTAGCGCTAACCAAGATGCCGCAAACTTCTATACATGCCCTTGAACAGCCAGCAATGGCGCCTTGAGCGAGATTGCGTCAGGCCTGAAGATCTCGACCGGGAGATTCGACTGGAGCTGTTCGAGTCCGACTCGGAGGTCGTAAAGTTTCGAAACTGGCTCCAAGGAGGGGTGTCTCAAGCCCTTCATCAGCACTGGAAACTTCCCAAGAATCTTCAAGGTGAGCCGCTTGCTGAACTTAGGCGGTGTTAGGCGTGCGAGCAGGGTGCTGATTCTGCTGCTGCTTCCCATCGGCTACTTTAGAACTTGCGGAATTGGCATCGCCATTTGGGCGCAACTCAAATAGTGCACACATCCACCACCGTGTGGTGACCACAAAAGAGTGAGTGCGCGTTTTCCTCACCTACTAAGTTCCCGCAGAAGGGGCCAAACTGACACTGGTTTCACAATGGCATCCTCTGCAGCTGCTGGAATCACGTCTTTGGCCGCGACATCCCGTTCCCTGCCAGCATCAAGGCCTCTATCCCTCCTTGGCTGGGGACGGATAGTGAGGATTCGGCAAGGGAAAGGGAATATTTACAATTTTGGAAGGAGCTGTTGCAGCTCCGCTTTCAAGGAAAACCGACGGAGCTGGCCGCGCCGACGCCCTTCCCGGTTTCCTTCGCAGACGACCCGAATCGACAAAAATACGCACACACAGTTCTGCAAGCAGTGGATGTGTGTGGGATTATGTGCAACGTACAGATCCATGTGTACGAGGACAAGAGAAAAGAGCAATGGATTGGACGCTATCAATTGACCCCGGTGGCAGCCCGTATCCATGGTCGACTTGCCAGTGCACCTCAGCCTGCTGCCAGCGGATCGGTGAGTGCAGCGGTGGGCCCCCATCAGCATGGTCTCTTACTCTTGAACCATGTGTTTTTTTTAGATATATATATATATACTGAGACCCCCTCGGCACCACGATACCAGGGCACGCCTCAAAATTCATCGGCCATTCATTCGCCTGTGAAGAGGGTCTGCGTACGAGGCCGAGTTCGAATTGGACTTTGCTGACCTAACTAATAAGGGTAAGTGGAGACACCGATGCGCCTAACACTAGGTCATAAGTCAACCTGACATGACCTTTCTTCACCCCCGGCGGCGCCTCCCCCTTTTGCAGCCAAAAAGATCAAGTCGGACAGCGACAATAGCAGCGCCGACTCGGACGAAGACGAAATCGGCCTCGCGGGCTTCGGACACTTGGGCGCCTGACCAATCTACTCGCTTTCTAGTACATAGCTCATTTTTACCAACTGGTACAGAATTGAGATGAATGCCCTTTCGATGTTAAACTCGACCGCGCCGCGCTTGAGAGGTTCAGGGACTCGTCGCCGCCCCGCGGCGCGTCAATTACAAGCCTGGTTACTTTTTAATCTGCCTGAGGTGAGCTCTAGAGCTCTAGAGAGCTTCAGGGATTCACCCGGCACTCGCCTTTCGACCCGCTCGGCGCGCTCGGCGCGCCCGTTGGTCGCCTTTGGCAACCGGCCGGGCTTTCGGGGTCTTTCGGGGTCCTCGTGTGAGCTCGTGTGAGCCGCCGTCCGCACATGCTGCCACGCGACGCTCGCGCCAGCGATCCTTACCTGCATCACAATCGCCCGGTGTTGACCACCCCCACCGGACTCGTTCACAGCTCACGTCAACACTATGACCTCCAGTCCACGACTCTGCCCAGTCACTCCAAGCTCCAATTCAGAGCGTCCGAGCCAGCGTAGTACCCCCAAGCGAACGCGCGAGGCGAGGACGAGCGCAGACGGTTGTGCTGAGTGTGCGGCAACAAGTGTCGATCCGCCTGTCCTTGCGCTTGAAGATGATATCACGGCAAGTGACCAGAAACCAGTGCAAATGACGAGGTGACTCAGGGCATGAGCTCAGCTTCGAGCGCTGACCTGTGCATCCGTGATCTCATCGACTGCTCTTGACATGGCCGCTATCAGAGACCGGCGCCGTCGCCGTCGCCGTCCCAATCATCGTCGTGGTGGTCATCGTTATCATCATCATCATCGCGTTCAAGTACTCCCACAATGTCCGACCTGGACACAGTGGTCGCAGCTCTCGAGGACGCGACCGACGACATGGAGGAATACGCTCTGCTCAAAGGCGACATCGTGCCCCGCCTTTGGTTGCGCTCGATGCCGGAATTGGTTGAGCAGGTGTTTGGAATCGACCATCCGGCGTTCGACGAGATCTCACAACGTGCTCGCCAGTCAGGCGGACAGGTTCAGTCAGGCCAGGCTCAAGACATCCAGGCCGAGCTCCGCAAACGCTTTCAGGAAGCCCACGACGGCAGTCAGAACCCGCGGATTGAACCGTCGACCAGCCAGTTGGCCTGGATGCAGGGGGTAGCACGACTTGTAAGTTAGGAAGACCGAGACGCTGATCGGCATCGCTCCGTGAGCCTGGATGCTTGGAGGTCTAAGCCGACACCAAGCCCATCTATCTGACCGAACTGGCATTCGTCTGCGGCAGGCTCAGACCGATCCCACGCACGGGAAACAATTCAAACTCGCCGTCGCAGTTGCCGAGCGACCGGCACGGCTTTACATTCACGACACTATCAAGCGATGTTTCGACTCTAGCCCAGGGTCGGACAAGGAACCAACGGAGTGGACGCCTTTTTTGGCATGCTGCAAAGTCGAATCGAGCTCGAAAACACTCTTGTGGAACCGCGTGCTGGTACCTTGCGCGTTCGGTGCCCGACCTCGCTCTCCGTTCCCCGGCGATGGTCCTGGAGCATCCGCGCCCGAGCTGGTCAGGGTAGTACTCGATCTCACCGAGCATGTGCTCTCGCAACCGACACGACTTTTCGCCCCTGGCCTGGCCGTCAGCGACAGGAAGGCATATCTGGTCGTACTGGACCAAGAGACGTGTCGAGTCGCGACCATCTCGGACTGCTGGGGTCAAGGCTTTGGCGAGCTAGCGGCGGTGCTCTCGATTCTGCTCGACCTGGATGTCTACTCGGCCGGGTTTTGTCCCTTTTTCGACTACACGTGCCACTCCACGAGCGGGATCGCACCCGCGTCGTTACTCACGTCGGTCTTTGGGTCGTCAGTCGGGCGCACAGTCAAGTTTGAGGACAAGGAGCCGATCGAGCTTTTGTCCTGTGCGAAGGGGGATGGCGGGCACCATCTCTCCGGACGTTGCACGACGGTGTTTCAACTGACGCGCCCGAGCCTGAGCGCCACCGCCACCGCTCCGGAGGTCTCGACTTTGTCGCCCTCCTTCGTCCTGAAAATGCAGCTCGTTGGTCCGGACTTTGTACGCGTCGAGTCAAACGTGCTTCGCAAGATCAACGCCGCGCGCGACAAGGGTGCTCTACCGCCGGCCGTGTTTGACCATCTGGCTACGCTCGAAACTTCGGCGTCGCTCGCCCTTGACTCGGGCTTGCCGGTAAACGATGAAGACCAGTCGTCAGCAGCACCAATGCCCGCAGCGAAAAAGAGGAGACGTGACGATACCTCGCGCTCCCCGCATACCCCAATACGACGCACACTTGAACTCCTTGTCCTGCGCAACCCCTCACCACTGCCACAGCCGCTCTTTCGGCGTCATCTTGGCCAACAGCAATTGCCTCTGACTCAGATTTTCCGAGTCTTCGATCAACTCCTGACGGTGCTGGCCACGCTTCACGATCTCGGCTTTCACCACCGCGATCTTTCGCTCGGCAACATCCTTCACTTTGAAGGCCACCTTGTACTCATTGATTGGGATGGCGGTATCGCGGCCGATCCCGGAGTCTCGTTCGCCATCGCAGCGCGAGAGGAAGGCCGCCTCCGGGTGACGGTGGAAAGCGCTCCTCGACAGGCGCTTCTTTGCAACGTGGTTGGATTGGATTGCAATATCGCGCACCTGAGTACAGGCTAGCCCACGCGTTCGAATCGGCTGTATATTGCCTGTTCCATGCCCTGGTCTATCGCATCAAGCCAGAGGACCCTGCCTGGGACTACTTCTTTCGATGTCCCGCTGCCCGCCCTGGTGCGCGTCCTCGTTATGCTGAAGATCGGGAGGCGCAACTGATAGACCGTCGGGCGAGTCTCTGGGGCGAGGGCGGCGGCAACGACGTGAAGCCGCAGTACAGGGAGCGTTTGATCAACATGCTTCGCCGTGAAGATTGCGAGCTAGGCGAGTCGTTGGACTTGGTGACACGGCTCTGTCCAGTAAAGGTAACCTCGCTGTATACGTCCGATGAGTGCTCGCAGGCGATGGATGCGATACAGGAGGGCATACGACGGCTCGCAGCGAAACGCTCGATGGGGAAAGAGATGTCCCAGTAGAATCTATTATGGGGTCGAGCCGACCGGACCTCTCCTTGTTTGTGACATTGCATGCTATGATTGGTGGTAGATGCTGACGCCTGTAATTCTATCCGACCCCTGTGGCCTGTCTTCTGCACGACGACTAACTGGAACACGCAGGAGCGTCCCGCATTTCCTCGAAGCGAAATGGGCAGACTCACGCTCACGGAGCGCGCCGCCAGATCAAGGTATTCAGGAATCAGCTTGGCACATGGCAGAAACTGGTAGCAGCCTAGCACTTATTTTCTGGCACCAGTTCACGATGTGCTCGTCGTAAAATACCTGCGAGTTGTCGACATCCTGGCCGTCAGCTAGATCGTATCGAGGTGCTGCGCAATGTGGTCGCTGATCTTCTTTGACGGTGTGGGAGCAAGCGCTATATCTCAGTAACATTGTTCAGGAAGCTTCTACCTGCTCAAGGACTCACCTGAAGAAGATACTCCTTCCTCCCATCCGCCTTGGCTTGAGTGAGCGCATCCTTGGCCGCTCGACAGTAGCCCTTCGAAGGTCCTTCAAGTTCCTTCAAGTTCAGAGTCGATCAACCCCTCCTCGCGAACAAGCATGTCGACTGCATCCTGCACCGCCTTGTAGAATTTGCATAGCCTTGGGAGCGCAACAACGACTTTCGCGTACGAACGAACGAAGTGCTGAGGATCAGGAAGGCTGGCATTCAGCACGTGGAAGATCCGGCCAGAACCACTGCGTAAATCCGCTTACCTCAATGCAAGTTTCTGCCCCCGCAGAGGGATCGAGTCGGGCGCCATGAGAAGAAAGTCGATCGAACGCGCAACCAAGATCTGAAGTCCACACCAAAGGGGGCGCTTGAAGGTGGGGCTGGACGTTCGCCTCAACATCTGGAGCGACAAACTATCATCAGCTCAATCTTAAGTTCGGGTCGCCTTCGGATGTGGACTAACCTCGAGGCGCATCATATCATGGTCGATCGAATCGTTGCTTCCTGTAGTCGTCGTATTCAGGAAGGGCAACATTATCGAGGTCCGAAGACATCTGGCTACCTTGGCGACGGAAATCTATCTTGTCATCGTCGTCGGTGTCCTGATGCCTCGACTCTCGCTTCTGTTGCCTTGGTTCTCATCGTCCATCCCGATGTCGCCTTCGGTTACGTTCGCATTTGGTTCCTCCTCGTCATGAAGTCCTGAGCGCGAATTTCGTGAAGTTTCCGAGACCTGCCGAAGTGGCTGAAGAGGCGCCTGGGAACAGGTGCTTCTGACACGTCGGGGTCGCACTCGAACTGCAAGGGCGGCTGAAAGGACGGACCGTCTCTAGTCTCCGACGACGGGGTGTTTCCGGATTTCAAAGCCGAGGAGTTGATATGCCGTGGACGACAGGAAGCTTCATTAGCTCCCTGAAGGCAGAGCATATAATACCAGCACTAGTACGTGGTTGATCAATAGCTTCTAAAGCAGAAGCAGAAGGCATTATTATTATTATACATTGAACTTGTTACTTGAATCCGCACCAAGGAGCGCTGCCGGCCAGCGAGTGTCGCCTGCCGTGCGGTGAGACGCCACGACGGAGCAGGGGGGGTGGTACTCGAGAAACTCACCGATGATGCCACTACTTTACGCTTCTCATGCTTTGCGCTATTTTGAGGAGTAGGGGAGGATCGGCGCTTGCTTGACGGTGAGGAAGCGACTGCTGACGTGGACACAAACGACGGCTAGCGAGAGTCAGCATCCGTGACTTGGGCATCAACTTAGGCCGGATTAGTTTTTTCTTAGTACCAGTGGGAACCCGTTAAATTAACGGGAGGTTGAAATTCAAGTAGCCGGAGAATCGAACGGCATACATGACGAAGTACAGCATAGCAACTATTCTCCATTCATCGCCCTGAGAACAAAGCGGAATATTGGGTTTGGGGTTACGATGGGTGCGGCTGCCGCTCGATCGACGGCTTGTAGGTTGTCGTCATCATCGGCGGGGTCGCGAGAGAGGAGAAGCACCTTGATTCGATCAACACTCATGGCTCGAGACAATGCCACATACAGCTGCCCATGAGTGAAAACGGGATGCAGGGAAAGAGCGACGCCATCACGATCGAGTGATTGACCTTGAGTTATGTTGATTGTCTTGGCCAAGGCAACTCGGAGCGGGAATTGGAGCCGGCGCAGTGAAACCAAGTTGACGACTGCTAGTCGCACTCGCCTCAAGTCGCACGCGAGGGATGCAAAGCATGGTACCCGCTCGATCTCCGATCAAGATGACGGCTTGAATGACTCGCGATCTTGCGTGGGAGACGATAAGGATAAGGCGGGTACCGCGGGTACCGTTGCAGAGACCTGCGTCTGGGCTTTGACGACGAAATCTTGTGAGACTCTAAGCTTTCATCGCATAGAGAGGCCGACAATCCGAATTAGGAGTAGAGAAGGCTCACATTCTCAATCAAGAGTAAGGAAGAATTCAATCAGCGGGAAAGAGGAATACAGACATTACTGCAGCGTCATCGTCTCACGGCAACGACCAAAAATACCCTCGTGATCCGATCGATACATATCACGAAGGACGAAGGACAAGAGCAAGCATATGACCCCTTACGAGAATCGAGTTGCAGAAAGACAAGAGAGGAGCAAGCCCTGAAACTGGGGAGCTTGGTCAGGGGAGGCGGCGCTTGAGTGGGCGGTGCTCGATCTACCGAATGTAGCAATAGCAGACGGTCGAGCTCGAGGGCGAAAGTCTAGGAGTCGAGACCATAGCGAAGGAGACGAAAGGTGAATTGGGCACAGCACGACGCGATAAGCGTGGTGATGGTTACGCGGGAAAGGCAGACGCGCGCGGAGTCCAAAGTCGAGACACCACTTCCAGTATCTCCGGCAATTCCGCCTGGACGGCGGCCATCTTTTGCTTGTTTGCGACCGCGACCTCGGCCTCGCTTGCCCCTCGAGTACCAAGATCGAACGGAAGGGTGCACATCATACGCTCCACAAAGCCGTGCATTTCCGGGCCGAGCTTTTCAAAATCTTTGAGGAACAGTTTGTGCAAGTTGGGGTACTCGCCGTTCCCCCATAGCTCCGTGCGGGCGAGATCCATCGGAAACACCGGACGCCGCCGTCGACCGCGGCCACGGGGGCGAAGGTCCAGGTCTATCCACAAGTCGGCAGAGAAGCAGTTGCCGACGAACTCGTCCAGAACGAACAAGAACCAATAGACCGCTGACTCGAAGTCGTGGTGCAGGGCATGCGAAGGGAGCCTGCTGAACTGCGCACCCAGCAGGAGCCAGGAGCGAACCTCCCAGGATACGGTCGCGCGCGTGAATCGGATCGAACCGGCGTCTTCGGTAGCGACAGGAACCTGTTCACCCGGCTGGGCAACGATGCCTGTCTCCCAGTCGACCAGAACAAGGTGTCCTTGGTATTGGAGGATGTTGCCGATCGACAAATCGCGATGGTGGATGCCGAGATCGAAGAGCGCAGGCAGAAGGGTGAGAAGCTGGTCGAAAACTTGGCAAAACTGGAAGAGTGTGCGCTGCTGAGCGCGGGCATCGTCGAGGGGCGCAGGTAGAGGAGTAGGATTGCGCATGACGACCACATCAAGTGTGTGCCGAGGCGAGTCTCGCAGTCGTTGTTCGGAGTTTTCCGAGTCCAGGAGTATGGGCAAGGCGCTGTCCTCCATTTGCGATCGATGACGGCCGAGCGACTTGGCCTTCTCGGGGAGCGCGACATGTCTTTCGATGAGCTGCGCCGATGCCGACGGAGCCTCGGCTGCGCAGCGCTCGACGATTTTGTTCAGCACATCCGCTTCGTGTCCGACAAAATTCTGCGTCGTGAGCTGGATCTTGACCACGAACGAGGGCTCTAGGTAGTCCGTCGATACCGCTGGGGAGCAGGTTACCAAGCTCGGGCGCGTAAGCTGAAGTGTGACCGTAGACCGCCCAAAGACGGAGCTGCCGTTGGCGACTGTGGAGTCAACAAGCCTGACGGGTTCCTCGGCGATGAACTCTACGGTGCGACCGACCAGGGGGGCGTCTACTTCGAGCTCGGACGGTCGAAGATATCTCGTACACAATGCGACGGGGGCAATGCCGGTCTCGAGGTCGCATGCATAGCGAAACAGAGGTGACAGTCCGGCCGAGTAGACGTCCAGCCCGAGTAGAACGGAAAGCACCGAAGCGAGCTCGCCAAAGCCCTCGCCCCAGCGGTCCGAGATGATGGCGATCCGGCACCCCTCGTTATCGAGGACGACGAGGTAGGCGGTGTCGTCATCATGGATGGCGAAGCCAGGCGCGTACATGCGTGCCGGTTGCGTGAGCACATCCCGTGCCAGGTCGAGCACGACATCGACGAGAGGGTATGGGGTTTCACGCGAATCATCTTCCGAGTCACAGGCTCCAAAAGCCAACGGGACGAGCGTAGCCCGCGCGATCGATCCCCCCTTCGCCGAGGTCAGCCCGTTGCAGCACGTCAAAAAATGGTGGTGTTCGATCAGATCAGGTCTGCCGGGGTGGCATAGGTTGGATAAACGAGCACACCGTTTTGCATGTGCGAGCGTCAGATGTGGCTGCCGACCACGCGCACCGGATGCCTGTGCCGTCAATGAGTCGCGAACGGAGTTCTTTGAATCAGCGTCCTCACATACGACCTCTGGAATGACCAATACTGGGGACATGGCACTCACAAATTGCGCAAGTGGTAAGACCCAGTCTGCCATCCTTTGCTCGATCGGTCGCCTGCAGTCCACGTCGAACATGGCTCGAAGCGCTGATCGGCCAACTTGAGCGAGAGCTTCTTGCGCCTGTCCACTGAATTGGGTTGGCTCAATCCCAAACGCCGAGTGCACCAAGCCGGACGTGCTGCATATCACGATGCGTGGGATGATCTCATACTCGATGAAGGCCTGATCGACGTCTTCATTCAGCTCGGGCAAGAGAAGCCTCTCGATCATACGATCGTAGGCTCGGTTGCGAGGGGGTGCGTATTGACTCTGGGACGAGGGGCGGTCAGAGTCCTGCGATATCTGCAGCAATGAATCCAACGACGTGTCCGAGGGCGCGGGTGAAGGCGGGGTCCATGAGGTTGGCTTCACAGGCGAGGGGGGCGGTGGGGGCTGTGGCGTGTTCGAAGCGGCGCAGCGAGCCGTGCGAGCCGTAGTTTAGCAAGTCTGCGACTCGAACCGAGTCTGGAGGCAGTAATGGTACGTGTACGAACTTCCCGTCTAGCCGGCTCGTCGAATGCATTGAGTGGGGATGCGACACTCAGCGCGCAGCATGCCGGTGAAGGTGACTCGATCTCGTGCTCCATGTTCAACGATGCGCACGTAGTAGCACTGCTTCGAGTCTGGCGTTTGCTGGCCACTGGGCCGTCATTAACCAGAGGGCGAGGGCGAGGGCGAAGGCTTTGTGTGTCGACCATGCTTGCACGATAAGCCGGGGTGTGCAGGCGATGCAGGGCTGTGTGGGTGGAGAGGAGGAACTGTGCCGCCGCCGATGACAGGTTGCTCTCGCGAGGAATTTCAAGTAATCCACCCAGATCCACCCGGCTCTCGCCTGCTCTCGCTAGCGCCATACGCCCAGTTGACGCCCCAATTCGCAAGAATACCCCACGCTGATCAGCGTATTCAATCAGTGTTAGTCTCACTATGGCCAAGCTACCACAGATGTATATCAAGCCTCGCCCGAATTTGCTGCTGCCGTCTTCTTCTTTCTTCGTGCTTCTTTGATCGCTTCCAACTTTAGTTTCAACGCCTGTATTGTATCGGGTGTTGATCTGTTTGGTGAGTAACTCTTTTTTCGCCAAGCAAACGCTGGTCGCCGCTCCTCTTCCCACTCACTGTCACTTTGGAATCGGCCTCGAGCTGTTCCCTCTCCTCGGCTTCGATTCGTTCCATTATTTCCTCGCGCTATTATCGACCGCAAATGTCTATGAGCTTCGCAGTTGCTCGCAGGCCCCATTTTTTCTTTTCTTTCTTGTATGAACTCACCTGCTCCCTTTCTAACCTTTCCAACCTTTCTTCCTCCGTCTCTTCCTCCTCCTCCTCCTCAGGCTCGCCTTGCTCCTCACCTTCCTCAGCGACTTTGGGTGCTCCAAACTCGTACGCTACAGGTGCAGCAAAAATGGTAGCTTTCGCCGTTGACGATGTCGTTGTTGTTGTTGTGGGTTGGGGGGCATCTTGTTGTAGACTGGCTTCGAAAGCGGCCCATTCGGGATCGTCTTCCTCCGCTGTCGCTGGTGTAGGGTCGGTTGCGTCGTCTTGCGCTGATGTTGATCGTGTTGGTACTTGTGAGCGATCGGTGAAGAAATCATCGGGAAGGGCACTCGTTCGATTCTCGTCGGCCGGCCCATCCTCGTCGTCGTCGGATTGCTGTGTCCCTTTCGCTTCGCGAGCTCGTTTCCCCTTCTCGTTGTTGTTCGACTCGCCATGCACTGGTTCAGCAGATCGAGATCGTTTTCGTTTCCCCTTGACTGCTGCTGCTGCTGCTGCAACTGCTGCCGCCTCTTCCCTTTCCCTCAGGGCCTGTTGTTCCCTCTCGTAGCGCTGAACATTCACTCGATGACCCTATCCCCAAGTAAAACACCCCCACCCGACAATCAGCTCAACTATTCGCACAGACACAACAAGACCCAACACTCCCCAAAACGGGAAAACTGAACCTTTGAAATCAAATGCGCGCCCCAGAGGTTATCATGCTTCAATACGGTCGCGGGGCACAACGTGCACGTTAAGCGCGATTGTCGATCGTACGAGGCGAAAGGGTGCGTGATACGTTGGGTCGAAGAGGCTTTTTTGGCCGCCATCAGGGATTTGAGCGAGGCGGAGGACATGGTGCAGCAAGTGGGGTCGAAGAGGTGGGAGGGAGCGGAGGGGAGCGGAGGGGAGCGGTGAGGTGAGGGGGACGAGGGGAAGTGGGGAGAGAGAGAGGCGCACTGAGGCGCACGATTTTCGGCGTCGAAAAGAAAGAGGATGCCTCGTACCTTTGATTTTTACTGAACAGGGCATAACTCGTTTGCTCTTCTGGCCGCCAACAGATTATTCGGGTAGTGTTCACATGTCTTACCCGGACCCATCAACGGCGCATCGGACCGAATCGAAATCACTGGAGCTAGCTGCTAGCTGGAGCTGAGCGCTGAGTGATTACCCGAGGGAGTACTAACTAGCTCCTGATGGAACCCTCGGGCCTTTTTCCCTCAGTTTCATATCACGCCTGTTTGTTCTCCCGAAAGACGTTATCTCCCTCCGTCCAATACTACTACACTCAAGTCCCAGGCGGTCACTTCTCAGAGGAGCAAAACTTTGGGCCAATCGTCGTCGTTTCGGAGGATCGCGCCATTGTCTTCACTCGTCCTTCAAACTGGTCACCGCAACGTCGACCGTCGCGGATCAAGCTCGGGATCATACCAGACTTCGGGTCGAGTGCGGCACAGTTCAAACCACAAGATCAAGCGGGAAACGAAGTTTCGCGCACCAGAACGAGCGTGAAAGATGACGTGAGTCACCCTACATCCCCCGTGTGTGCTGCAGCCTGCACGGGAGCTTGAGCAGGTCCCCTTCGCATCGTCATCGTCACGTCTCGTCACGTCGAGTCGCACGTCGTCGTCAAGCCCGTCAGCTTTCGTCGGGCTCCTCGTCTTCGAGGGTTGCCAGCTCCTCCTGCTACAAGCTGCAACTAGAACAAAGTTGAACAGCCCACGTCTTATTTGCGAAGCACCCCCGGGCTGACCGCCAGGTAGCACGGGGAAAGATCGAGTACTAGCGCGTTGTCGGCGATGAGCATGACACACGCGCGGAGGTCCGGAGGGCCCTCTCTCCAAGAAGGTGTCCAAACCATTCTCTCCGAATCGAATTGGCGTCATCTCTATCCCTTCCGGGTTGATGCGTCGCTTGGGGAACGAGATGAGGTTCTTCTTCGGATTGGACCGGCGAGCTTGGACGGGCTCGGGACATCCGAGCGCGGAACAGGTTTCGACGATCTCGTGTCGATTCAGATTCGACACATGATAACACCTCTGGGCACTCAGCGGAGCCTGATTTGCCGGCAAGAAGGACATGCCCAGAACTGATCCTGAAGCTTCTGATGTTTTGCGACCTTTCACTTGTGCAGGAAGGAATATAAGATCGTCATCATGTACGTTATTGGGAAGCAGCTGGAACGAGCTCGAATTTCGGGGGGGTTCAAGGTTACTGAACTCGTCTCGTTCTTTCTTCAACAGGGGTGGAGGAGGTGTTGGTAAATCAGCCATCACCGTGCGATTCGTTCATTCCTTGTTCGGTAGGTTGTGATGGCATTGAACGCGAGACCGCCGCCAACCACAGAGGAGAACCTTCAGTCGCAAGCTTCATCAGAGCTGACTCTCGGTCCGTCCCCGACCTGTAGTGGAGAAATACGATCCGACGATAGAGGATTCCTATCGCAAGACTATGGTAGTCGATGGAATTACGTGCCATTGCGATATTATGGATACGGCGGGGACAGAACAGGTGCGTACGAGGCATCTGTTCTCGCCAAGCCGAAAGGCTTAATCAGAACCTGATCGAGTGTTTTGAGCGGGTTCCTCACATAGTTCATGGCGCTGCACTCGATGTACATGAAGACGGGGGATGGATTCGTGCTCGTCTTCAGTCTCAGCTCGATGGAGTCCGTTTCGGAATTGCAGAACATCAGGGAGCAGGTAAGGGTTCAAACAGTGCGCGGGCAAATTGGAGAATGGTTGCTGATGCGGTTGATATGTGCGCGGGAGCAGATCCACCGGATCAAAGAGGCTGAATCTCGGATACGAGTCCCCTTGGTACTGTGCGGGAATAAATGCGATCGTGAGTATAGGATATCACCATCTCGTCCATGTTGCAGACCCATCGGATTATCATTGACGCTCTATGGCCCCACAAGTCGGCGCCGAACGACAAGTCCCTCGAGATGTCGCGGTCGGTTTGTCAAGAGCTTGGGGTGGGGTCCCTTATTACGAAACGAGCGCTCGGAAGGAGATCAACATACGAGAAGTGAGTTCTGACACATGCGTGAATCTACTCAATCGCTACTCATGCATAATGATCGGCGCTGTCACAGGTGTTTGAAGATATCGTGAGGCAGATGATCAAAGCCGGCGTCGGGACCAAGTATAAGGAGCGGGGCTCCAGGCATTCGAAAAGATGTGTGATAATCTGATCACGCTCTCCAAGGGATAGCCGGTCATCACTCTTTCCTCCTCCTTCCTCTCCTTTTCCGCCGTCTTGCCTCTCTGTACTTGTGTCCTCTTTCGCCCGTTCAATCTGCAAGGGTCATCGCAAGGGATTTTGTTCTTCCTTCTGGTTCGGGGGTTTGTTTCTTTTGTTCTACAGAGACATCAGTAACACTTCCAAACCTTTTTCTTCCTACTCGTCTGTGTTGTCCGTTGTCACTCTTGTGCAAGCCCTTCTCTCTCGTTCCCCCCCTCTCGTTTGCAAGAACTCGGTCGGTTCGCATAATAGAAAAGTCCTGGTTCAACATTTTGACGTTTTACATGACACCCCACCCCACCCGAGGTGTCTTTTTGATTTTTGATTTTTTTTTTTCGACTACGCTCTTCCCTCACTCCTCCAAAAAGATTTCCTCATCCGCATAAGCGCAAATGCACACCCTCCCACCAAACTGCCTACCCGCAATCGCCTTCATAGCCTCGGTCGTCTGTTCCTTCGCGTCGAACAAGACGAACACTTTACCCAAATCCTTGACCGCTTCCGAAGCCTTGACGTCGACTCGACCTGTCGAAGTGATGATCGGTCTAGGGATGCGTACTTGATGTACCGTACCGAACTTGGCGCATTCGTCTCGCACGTCTTCGAGAATTTCGGTATAGTCTTGATCGTTCGTTAATTCGTCGGGCGCGACCATGTTGAGAATTTGTAAAGCTTTGGTAGGGTTCACTTCCGAACTTTGCGCGGCGGCGAGGATCGAAGGCGTGGCGTTCGGACCGGGGGCGAGACCGGGAGCGAATTGGTTCGCTCCCGTTCCGGGACCGTGCGGTCCTCCAGGAACGAATCCAGGTGGTCCGTGGCGTTGACCTATTGCGGCACGTTGCACGACGAGGAAACGATCACCGAGTTCCATCCCGTTGAGACCTTGGCATGCGACTTCGGTTATGCTGGGATCGAGGTATTCGCAGAAGGCGAACCCCTGCGAAAAAATGATCGAGTTGAACACTTGAGCGTTTTGCCCGACCAAAAACAGAGTGGGGAGAGGTCAGTACTGACCTTGGACTGTCCCGTCCCCGCTTCTTTGACGAGGTTGAAGGCCCTCAACTCGCCAAACGACTTGAGCAATTCCATCACCTGGTCGTCATTGAGGTAACTCGGCAACCCGCCGATGAAGATCTTATTCGGCGTATCAGGGACCATCGTCGATACGACACCGGGGACATGGGGCGGTGGTTCGGCCGTGGCGTCCAATGCGCCTTGGTAGTCTTTAGGACGGCGAATCTTGAGCGCGCAGTTTTGGAAGATGATGCCATCGAATTGGAGCGCTGCGGTCGCTTCTTCGGCGTTACGCATCTCGACAAAGGCGTAGTTCTTTTCATAGTTGAGATGAACGGAAATGACGGGCTGGTCCCCTTTGACGTTCATGCCGGCTAGATCCTCGCCCAAATGACCATCGGAGAGGAGGTTGTTTTCGGCCATTTTCGAATTGAGAAAGTGCGCGATCGCTTCGTCCGTGGCTTCGAGAGTGACGTTGCCGACGTACAATCGACGCGACTGACGCGCGAACGAACCGATGGGGCCGGGTATTTGGGGCATCCCTCCTGGACGGAAGTGGAGGGGGGGCATGTTGCCTCCCATAGGACCACCCATCGGTCCAGGAGGACCATTGGGGTTGAAGGGCACGGGGGGACGATTCTGACCGGGCAGGTTGAAGAGGCCTGTGAAGAGAGCAGAGAAAGGTCGAGAGTTGGTTCTTGCAGGTTCGTGCGAAGTGAGGAGCGCACAAGGACTGACCAGTCATCTTGGCCTGCTCGGCGGTATAGTTCTCAAAGCCTTGGGGCTTGATGTCCCACCCAGACTTGCCGCGCACGCGTTTCGAGATGGGCTGAACGTGCTCGGGCGTCGGCGACCGTCTTCCAGGACTGGCGAAGCCTTCAAAGACTCGACCGCCTCGATTCGTAGGGCGTCCTCCACCGCCGTTGCCGCGGTCTTCATCGCGGCGTCCTGCTCCTCCTCCCCCACCATAACCACCACCTCGTCGACCGTCGTCGTACCTTCGAGAAGGGGGAGGGGGTCCCCTTCGTCGATCGTCTCGGTCTCGATCTCCTCGACGATGGTCGTCGTAGTCGTCGTAACGAGGGCGAGAATCACGATGATAGTCCCGATCGCGCTCCGAATCCCTACGAGCCTCCCTCCCGTCACGATGATGATGATCGCGATCTCGGTCCGAACGATGGTCCCTATCCCGATCCCGATCCCGATCCCGATCCCGATCTCGTTCCCCACGATGACGGTCGTATTCGGCGGCAGAAGGTTCGTAGAGGTCTCTTTCGCGACGACGGGACAGCGACGACGACGAGTGGGGTTCGTCGTCCCTGCGGTGCGAGGAACGGCGGGAGGACGAGTCGGCGTGAGGCGAACGGGACCGGCGAGAGGACGAGTGACGACGGTCAGAGGGTGGGTCTGGGCGCAATCAAAGTAGTGTGTCAGTGGAGGTGGGCGGTGGGCGGTGTTGGTGTGTGGTGTGTGGTGTGTGGAATGTAGGATGTGATGGAGAGCGGCGAAAGGGTAGAAGGGGGGAAGGGGGGGAAGGGGGAAAGAGGTGAAGAAGGGTCACTCTCCTACCCGATAGGTGATGCCAAGAGTACTACTGACCTAGTCGACTCTCGAGAGTGGGCGGTGCACCATAGGCCCTACTGACGCTTTCGAGGAAACGGTCTGCTTCGGCCATGATCTCTGATGCGAACTGAACGCTGAACGGGACCGGACGCCAAAAAGGTTGGTGAGGGGAGCACGAGCAGAGCGAGTTCGCGCGCGCGAGGCGAAAAGGTGAAAAAGGTGCGACGCGCTGGGGGTCAATTGCCCATTACAAAGCTCGAAACTAATTGTCGGGTATAATATCAGTTTGGGGGGGGGTCCGGTCCAGCTCGCTCTCGCTCTCGCTCAGCGCTCAGCGTTCACGCACCGCCTTCGTCCGTATCGACCCCAACCTCGGAGCTCATGGCCAAGTTTGGCTTGAGTGATTCCGACTCGTCCGACGAGGACTATGACACGAGCCAAGATGGCCAGCAACACCACCGAGCTTCAACGAGCGCGTCTCCTCGACCGAGTGCGAGCAGCAGCCAAACACTCGAGCAAGACGACGGCGATCAGGACGATGCACCGCCACCTAGCTCATCTCTGAACGATGAGCAGGGCATGGACGAGCACGATGAGGAGGATCAACTCCCAGGACAAAGAGCAAGGGCTCGTCGATCAACGCGCGAAACGAGCTTCCTCTCGACCACCTCTATATCCTCCCGACCCCACCACGACGACGACGACGACGACGACGACGACGATGATGCCAGGTCCACATCGACCGCTTCCCTCACCCCTCGCAAACGACCCGTCCCCGCCAGCAGGACCCTCCCCACGACTGCGACTGCGACGAACAAAACGTGGTCCACCAACCTTCGTCTTGAACCCAAGAGGGTCGCCGTCATGCAGGCTAGCTTCTTTCAACAGCAAGCATCTCCCGTAGCGGCCGAGCAACAGGCGCCAACCAAGAAGGATCACTCGACGTGGACCATTCGAGGCTCTGCTGCCGCGGCGTCTACCCCTCCAAAGGTACATCATCACGCTCCATACCCAAACATTGTCCATCTCACTGATCAATCAGGCATCACAGGCTACCACGGCAAGCACGTTCAAGGCTGCCCCTGCCCCCGCCCCCGCACTGGCCCCGTCCCCATCCGTCGTGCCCACACCCGCGATCGACCCCTCCCCCTTCCGACCCTACCGCAAATACACCCGCGTACCTCTCGACCGATCCATCACCAAAGGTAAAGAAGGCAACCTCGTCGATTTGGGTCTTGCGCTCGGTCGATCGTTCAGAGTAGGGTGGAGCCCGACAGGTCAGATCGTTCATCTGGGTCGCGGGAAGCTTTATCGAGGCGAGAATGTCGACAAGAGTGATGCGCTCAAAGTGGACAGATTAAAGACGAGTTCGGTCAGTTATTATTTACGACACACGCTTGTGAATTACGGAAACTGACTGAGTAACCGACGTCTTGACAGTCGACGGACATGCGTTCGGCCGTACGGCTCCTCGAGGTCCAACTCGTACATACACCGATATACTCGAACCCCGTCGACTCCAGCAACGATGACCCATCATCCTCCATCCCGTTCGCCGTACCTCATCCCGAACTGCGCTTCACCCATTTCGTGAACGAGTTCCCTAGTTCGGATCGATCGGCCGAAGCGAACTTGTGGAGATTGGGACAGGCCTTGTTCGATGAGATTCAGGATTTGGCCATTCCGGAGAACGTCGTCGTGGACGATCCGAGCGTGCAGGCGTATGTCGAGAGGTTGAGGAGGACCGATAGGTTCGAGAGGTGGTTGAGGGAGGTCGTCAGAGGGGAGGTGGAGGATGATTTGAGGAACGTCGGTGGGGATGGGTTGGGCGCGTCTTCTGAAGAGGCGGACGAGGCCAAGAGAATATTCGCGTTGCTCAGTGGACACCAGGTCGAACGCGCTTGTCAGGCCGCAGTCCAAGCCGGCGATCTTAGGTTGGCGACGTTGTTGGCTCAAGCGGGCGGAGACGACGAGTTCCGACGAGATATGTTCCTCCAACTCGTCAAATGGAGGGAATACAGAGTCGACTCGCACATTCTACCCGAGTATCGCAAGATTTACGAACTTCTCTGCGGGAATGTGGGCCTGTCCGAAGGGAGGACGGGGAAGGATGGTGATTCGGTCGTCGATGGAGTTGAGGAGGTGCATGTGGCGCAAGGGTTGGGGTGGAAGAGGGCTTTTGGGTTGAGTCTCTGGTACGCGACGTTCAGGTCCTCGATCGAGACCGCTATGGAGTCGTACGAAAGCGCCTTTCAAGAGGATCCAAGAGTCGCAAAACCCGAACCGGAGTATATCGCTACGCCTACACGCTCGCCGGAGAAACGACCGGAATGGAGCAATCGATCAGGCGAGACACCGTCGGACCCTCTGTATCAACTGCTCAAGTTGTACACTTTGTCGACGCACCCTTTGGAACAGGTCTTGTTGCCGATCAACTTTGGCACCTGTCCATTGGACTATCGGCTTCCTTGGCATCTCTACATTCTCCTCTCGCGCGTCTTGAGGAGGAGAGATTTCGAGGATCGAGTTCAAGTCGTCGATTTCGAGGATAGGGGAATGGATGATGGCGACGATGGGAGGGGGTTCTTGGAGGGGAATAGCGTCAGGGCGGATTTGATGACCGAGGCGTATGCGAACCAGTTGGAGATGAATGGTGAATGGACGTGGAGCGCTTTCGTGTTGCTGCATTTGGAGCTGCCGATCGCGTGAGTTGCTCTACTGGGTAACCGTATCTGGTGTCCTCGGAGACGACTGACAAGTCTTTCTCATCTCAAACAGTCGAGCCAAAGCCCTCCAAGCCCTCCTATCCCGTTCGACCCACCTTCTCACCTCGGACACTTTCACCTTCCTCACCGAAAAACTTCGCATCCCCTTCGAATGGATATATCATGCCCAAGCCCTAGCCGCACCCGATCGCTTCGAGAAATTCGGACTGCATCTACTGGCGAGGGAATGGAATGAGGCGCATCGGTTGCTGAAGGAGCAGTTGGGACCGGAGGCGGTGTTGAGGGGGGATTTGGGGTTGTTGAGGAGGCTCGGTGGGAGGTTCGAGGAGGAGCAGGGGTGGAGGAAGGTGGAGGGGTGGGAAGAGGGGGCGGGCTTGTTGAAGGAGTATGCGGAGGTCGTGGAGGGGGAGAAGAGGTGGTTGGAGAGGGTTAGGGAAGGTGCGCATGCGGAGGAGGCGGAGTTGGAGGAGAGAGGGAGAAAGGTTAGGAGCTTGTTGGAGACGATTGCGAGGCTGGGGGATGAGGACGTGAGGTCGCGGAAAACGAAGATTGCTAGGGACGAGATGATGAGTCGCTTGACGCTGATTGCGACGAGGGTCAATGGGGTCGGTCTTCTCGCGAAACCTTCACGCTGCCGGTCTTTTCAGGTGAATTTCATGCTGATTTGCCGCTTTTCTTATTTTTCGCTCATTCAGGCCCTCAACAAGATCCAACCCAAGATGTTGCAAGAGTCGGATCGATTAGTCTGGATCCGAGGCGCCGCAGACAGCTTTTTGACGCAGTCATTACAAGCAGCTTGTTCGTGAAGGGGATACTGACAAGTTCTAGGGAAGACGAAAACGTAGCATTGGGATATAGTAACAATCACGATCACATCCAACATTTGTGGGGAGCACACGGGGTACGGACTAGATTTAAGTCGTTTCGAATCTGGGTGATGGGTTAGAAGCAGCCCCGGCATTGTAGCGTTGCGCGATTTGCGAGACACGAGAGCCTGAACGGGGATGATGAGAAGCTGGAGAGTTCGAAATTGCCTGCCCCAGTTGAGAGAGATCAGTGGGATGTGCGACATAAAGGAACATAAGCACAAATTCGACTCACACTCGTCGACCCAGCAACTTCATGATAGCCCCTTTCCAGCGCCGGACCAGCCTGACGCATCCTGTCCTTCTCTTCGAGGTACTTGGCCCTCATCTGAGCGACGAAACTGCGTTCGCTCGCGGTGGATTCGTTCCGAGTCAGAAGGGGTCGAGAGACGGGTCTCCCGGGTTGTTCGTGGGATTGTGGAGGTGCTTGGGTCGCTGCTGGCACTGTTCGGCGGAGTGGGCCGTTAGGGTCCATGGGGGATTCGATTTGCTCTCGATTTGGATGTGAGGCCGGTAAGGGATATTTCTGATCGTGATTCGAAGTAGCCGAATTCCAACGAGTAGCTGCGGTCCGTTGGGTAAATGGGACAGGTGGAACGGATTCTGCTAACTCCGCAGGTGCGATTGGAGGTGGGCGAGGGACAGACACTTCTAGCTGCTGAGGCTGGGCGTCCATCGAGGCGCTTTCAGAGGTCACTTTGTTCAAGCGCGCGGCGTGGTCGTCGTTGGGCGAAGGTGAAGGCGGACCGGTGGATGAAGGATACAACTGTGACGATGCATGGGATCCTTGGGGCGTAGGTGGCAGGTGATACTGATACGAGCGCGATAGTTGAGGTGGATGCTGATCTGAGCGTTCGCCCCGTCCGTCGAAGTGGTTGGAGTTTGAAGCGACGGGTGCCTGCGGCAAGGATTGATGGAGCCTTTCTTGAGAGAAGCTGGCTATGGAAGATGGCCCGGGAGATGGGAGAGGTGCATTGGAACCACTTGAATGATCCGTGAAGGCTGAGCTTGTGGCTTGCGACACCTCTGACTCGATCCGATGCAGTCGTGGGCCGAGGACAGCTCCCACTTCAAGTGTGCCAACGGCACCAATCCCGACCCCAAGACCGTCGACCTTGTTCGCGCTAAGTGGAGGCAATGGCGGCATGTTTTGTTCGCAAAAGGTACCCATCAAAACGACGTTCCCGACCTTGGACCCAGTCTTGCGAGTTGCGTCGACTCGATTCCTCCAGGCCGCCTCGCCGAGCAGGCATAGCCCCCTTGCCACTTCCAGTGCCGCTCGATCTCGCTTGTTCCCCGTGTTCTCGGCATGAGTAGTTTTCGCACCAGTGACAGAGCTTGAAAGATTCGACAGGGTGGCGATGTACTTCTCGTGCGCTGCGGCCGCACTATGGACGTCGTCGAGCGAGTTGGGGCGGCGATGGTTCCCGATCGGTCTTGAGCGCTCGTAGGAGGCAGAGACTTTGGCCATCTTGCCGTCGAGCATCGTTAGACTTTCTTCCAGGAATTTTTCCTCTTTCTTTGGGAAGGTAAAATAATTGAATGTGAGTATGACCATGCTACGCTTTCGAGGTCGAGTCAAACCTTTGAAGATGACCCACCGCTATCTGCTTGAAGAACGTGGCGGACAGCGAGTTGAGAGCTTCGTACTCCCTTTGCACAGACTTGGCATGTTTTTGGTCGACATCTTGAAGACCATCGAAAAGTACAAGGGTAGCAAGCAGACCCGTAGCTGATTCGGGGTGTCGAGGGTTCAGTACATTCGCTTCGGCGATGGAAATCCCAAACTCGCCCGACACTCACCGACGGCTTCATTCCGACTTCCAAATTCCACCTTCTCTCCAAATTGTCCTGCCATCTCCTTCAAAGCCTTGACTAGAGACTTCTCAACACTTGCCATGGTCGAGCAAGCGACTCGATAATCGTCCAAAGCGGCCAAGAGCGTCGACCATGCCGAGAGCGAACGATGCAGTGCTGCGCGATCGATCCTGGGACCACCCCCGCCGGTTGAACCTTGTTGAGCCGACTCGTTCGATGATCGTACATCAGGGAAGGGGTAGCCATTGGAGGGTAAGGTGTTATAAGGGCTTGAAAGTCCTGGGGATGGATGAGGTGAACGTCCCCCGGTGCCGTTGCCCATCCCGCCGCCACCTTGGCAGTACGCGAAGTTGCTTCCAGACCAGGGGCCTCCTCCTCCGCCGCTGAACAGGTTTGGACTCTTCAAGTGGGGGGACGATTGATGTGACCGTGACGAGTGACTTGAGCTGCCTGGCATCACGGGTGCGGATAGGTGTTGGTGCAAATCATTCGTGTTGGAGGACCAGCGTTTCAAGGCGTTCATAGCGGCTCAAGTGAGTTGAGGGACGCGAGAGAGAGAGTGAGAGCGGCCGAGATGAGGCTCGAGCTCTTCAAGAACCGTTTGCTCTTTGGACTTTACGGTTCGGAGTGTCCGCGCAGGGGCCTCACCGCGATTGGGTCGGAACCCATCATCCCGCGCATCCACCACCCTGTTTCGGCTGGTCATTTTTGGATTCCTTTTTTTGGATTCCTTGAGTAAACAGGCATGCGTCGATGTTAAGACTTGGTGAGTCTGGATATTTCTGTCAAGCCGGCCTGGGGTCGCGCTGAACCGAGGGGAGCGGTGAACGATCGATTGTGAAGGCGTCAAAGCTTCCGGCCCGCGGTCGGGCCGTGCGCTGTCCTCACCAGTCACCAAAAAAAAAAAGCAAAAATGGTGTACATCATAAGTGCCAATACTTTATATTACCTTGGATGGCACACAGACAAAGGATCTCCACAAATTACGTTTGGTAAGGCAAGGTCCTGCCAAAATAATCGCCCCTTTTCAGCCAGCTTCAGCACTGCTTCAGCCCGCTTCGGTCATCGGCGTCGACGTCACGCGTCACGGTCAGGCCCTCTTTTCGGCCACACGCTCGTACCGCCGCCGTGAACCTGCGCGGCTGGCTTGATTGCTCACCCCGTGCGACCCCTCCCTGCCGCGATGGCAGGTAGCAAGACCACCCAAACGTCGAATACGGACAATCCAGATTCGAAAGATTTCTGGGAGAAGTCGGCCGAGGAAGCCAGGGAGGTCAAGGCGATTCACGAGCAGTCCAAGGATCCAAGGTCCACGGCCGGCGACGATGCCACGGCCGCGACGCCGACGATCAACTACAACAACGAACCCTTGCCTGCGGGAGAGGTGCATGCCTATCATGAACATGCTGCCAAAGTAGTCAGTCCATCGCCTTTCGGATGATCCGAGCGTGCATCACCGCCTCGAAAGCGCAAGTCACACGGGGCCGCCAAGCGGGGAGATGAATGTGTGGGGTTGCTGCGCAGGGTCTTCGCAGGGAGCTGAAGCTGACTCGCGACCTCATCGATCGTTGACACCCCGAACCTTTACCTTTTACAGTGGACAACGGCCATCATACTGAACTCAATCGTGCTCATCTTGTTCTCCGAATGGGGTTTGCACTACTCCTTCTCTATCGCAGCGATCGGTCTGTCCTCAGCTTCGTAGAGCGCACATCACGTGCCGCTCACTCCGCACAGCCTCCTCAGGAGCTGCTCAACTGACTCTGGCTCACCTTCCGCAACCGCAGCTGTCGGAGTTGTCATGGTACGACGCAAGACACACAGCCTAATGAAAGATTGGGCTTGGGACAGGGAGCGCAAACGTGGCACGAACCCCAATGTTTCCGCTTTCGAAAGTGTCGAGTGGATGAACTCGGTTCTCAGTACCGTTTGGCCGATGCTCGATCCGGACCTGTTCGTCGCCGGTGTCGACTTGCTCGAAGACGCGCTCAAAATGCTTTCTCCTTCGGTGGTAAGGACGGTGCGTATCGATTCGGTCGATCAAGGACTCAATGCGATGCGTATTCTGGGCATTCGGCGACTGCCCGATGACTTTGACATCACCGAAAGCCCTTTCGCTGCCCAAGTCGACCCGACCGGTCCACAGTTGGAGGAGCAAAAGGGTCTCGATAACGCCGAGCCGGGACAATATGTCAACATCGAGGCCGAGTTCGCATACCGTCGTCTTCCCAAGAGCAAGTCCGAGAACGCCCATTTCGTGATCCACATGGGTCTCGGCGTCAAGAAGGTGCTCAAGGTCGAGCTGCCCGTGCTCTGCGAGCTTTCAGGACTGTATGGCAAGATCCGACTGCGGCTGGAGATGATCGCAGAACCGCCTTTCGTTCGACATGTCAAGTTCAGCTTCCCAATCTTCCCCAGCATCGAAATTGTGGCCAAGGTGAGTGGAAGAGACCGCCAGGCGGTCGCTATCAAGGCGTGCGCTGAATGATGAAAAATTATCACTTGCACAGCCTTTACGCGCAATTGACGTAATGTCGCTGCCTGGGTTTAAGCCTTTCATTCTTTCCTCCATCAATTCCGTCCTCTATCACTTTGTCGCCCCTCAAAGCTATGAACTCGACCTCAGCCGCTTCTTCCTCGGCAGTGACATCGCAATGAAGACGAGAAGCGTCGGAGTCGTCTGTGTCGCGATCCACAAGGCCCAAAACCTCACCGCATCGGATGTAAGAGGTACATCGGATGGATTCGTCAATGTCTCATTCGTTCACTCGGGCAAAGTGCTGTTCTCGACCCGTGTCGTGCCCAAGACGCTCAACCCGGTCTGGGAGGAGGTCACCTTCTTGCGCATCACCGACGACGAGATCGATGAACAAGACCGCATCCGATTCACTGTTCTTGACTGGGATCGCTTCTCCAAGAACGATGTGATCGGCATGATTTCCATTTCGCTCACCCACTTGGTCAACAATCCGGGAGTATGGGATCAGAGCACTATCGGTTTGGAACACAACGGCCAAGTCGAAGCCGGCACGTTGTCGTACTCGGCCGCCTTCTTCCCGCTCGCGACCATGATCGCACCGACGGCGAAAGTCCAAGCCGATGATCCCATGGCACAGGTTAAAGCGACCAAAGCGAAGCCGATGTTCGCTGATCGGAGCCAGGCCACGGACGACAGTCGCTCCTCGGCGGTGGGTTCTGCAGCCGGGACGATGCCAGCGCCGACTATTGTGTACTGACCGGCAGATATCCTCTCTGACAGTATGCCCAACGCATGCGCGAGATGCTGGATGGACGAATGCCGATCAATCCGGCTCAACCGACCGGTATTCTCGCATTCCAAGTTCATCAACTCGCTGAACTTGAATGCGGTGACGAGCGGTCCGAAAAGAAGAAGGCGGTCTCCGCTCCTTCTTCCTACTGTGTCGTCTATCTCAACGCGGAGAAGCTTTATCAGACCCGTGTCAAACCGTTATCGGCGCAGCCTTATGTCAATGCTGGCTCAGAGACTCTCTGCCGCGACTGGACCCGGGCTCGCATCGATATCGCCGTCATGGATGCTCGCGATCGCGAAGCCGACGTTTTGATCGGCTTCATTTCGCTTCAACTACGCGATATCTTCGCGACGAGATCCCAGGTGACCAAGTGGTTGCCTCTTCTCGGGGGCGCGGGACATGGACGGCTGCGATTTTCGTTACTGTTCAAGCCGCTCGACATCGTCTTGCTCAAGCCTCTACTCGAATGGTCCATCGGGTGCTTCGAGATCGTGCAAGCCAAATTGAGCAATCTGAGCGAAGAAATGACAGCTCGACTTCAGGTCTCCGCCGAGGGACAAGGTTCAGTGACCTCGAGCTCTTCCGAGTCTTTACTATTCCCAGGTAAGTCCTCTACTCTTCTCAGCATATCCATCTCTTTCGAATAGTCTGCTAATGCACTTGGAGCGCGCTTGTCGATCAGCTGGTTCCGAAACGACCAGCCTGTCGTTCGACTTGTCCGAGTCACTTCGCGTCCCCATCTTGACGCGGTTGCACCCGCTTCAGTTTAAGGTCCAGTCGGTCAGGACCTTACGGGGAAGTGAGACTGTATGGTATGCTCCGCTGTGGCTCAACGACTATGCGTATGAAGGAGAAGAAGAGATGGAGCTGCACCTTTACCCGTACGTGATTCGATTGCCGATGATGGAGTGTTTCTCGACTCAATGGACCCCCGTGTCCTTCATTCGATTTATCCCACGCAGTACACACGAGACCTGCAACCCGCCCTCCCCTTCTTTGCCCTACCAGCCGCGGTACAAGAAGCACAAAGTAAAGACCCCAAAAGAGCAAGGCAAGATACCCGAATCCTCGCACAACCTTTACCCTACTACGTCGCGAACCTCCGACTCGCCCAATCAACCTATCGTTGCTCGCAATGGTGAGACTTCGCGCTCCACGGCAAGTGACGAAGGGTCATACCCGGTCTTGCATATCACGTTACGGTGGAAGGCGGGGATGTCGGCGAACCATCGAGATATCATCTTGGGTGCATCTGCCGCCACGAGGGATTCGTTCACTTTGTGGCTTCACCGCCACGACTTTGCGGTCAAGGAGAAGAAACGCAGTGAGCGCGATGCCGACGCCGCGTCGGCACTTTTGAGTGGGCTGTCGAATGAACCTGGTTGGGATGATAGCGAGTCGAGCGATGACGAGGAGTTGGGGACGGAGATTGAGACGATGAGGCGTAGGTCCGCTAGCGGGGGAGTGGACATTCTGATGCGCAAGTTGAAGGGGACCAAGGAGGGTAAAGGGACGACGATGAAGTGGATTGGCAGCAACCTCAAGGTGAGATCCCACTATCCTGCACCAACTTGTGACGGGGCGTTGCATCTGATCGCATTCGCTCATCCTTGCCAGATTGCCGGCCACAAAGTCAAGAAGAGCATCGGCTCGAGCAAATCGATCGACGGCCCAATGCCCGAAACCGAAGTCGTCAGCTCATTCTAATGCGCCGGTCTCACCCCTCGCCGCGATTCGGCCACGTGCGTTCCAAGCAGCCCATCGTTTCTCACATTTGTTGTATATTTTCGGTGCTCTCTTTCACATCATTGGTCTTTGGTGCTCTCGTAAGTCTCATGATTAGCTCCGCACCTGAATTGGGGATGGCATGCCTCGAGTTTACACAACACGAATTTTTGACTGCTTTCCAGTATGTTTTCGCACTTCACTCTACATCAAACTGTGCTATCAGTGCTGCACCCGCCGAAGGTTCGACTTCGGTTCCTATTCAAGCGTAGAGACAAACATAAAAGTCAGTGGTCAGAATAGCCGACGTCGGAATCGCACCATGACGTACCATCGCGAGAAATTTTTACTTCGCGGTTGCCATTGAACTCGTTGCGGATGTGCTTACATTGAGAGAATGGTAGCGTGGAGCTAAGATAGAGAGAAAAAGGGAAAGCGAGTAAGTACCACTTGAGAGGTACTGCAGTGTTCAATCGCTGCACCTACACTTTCAACCATTTGACAGAGAACGGTCGTCCCCAACCAAGGGAGTCTTCGTGCGGCTGCGGCAGTGCCGCTTCGATAGTTTCGATCGGGGATAGACTGATACGGTAAAGTGCGCCAATTTCAGTTTTCAAGTTCTTTTGGGAGCGATGCGAAACACCGAGACGCACCTAACTCCAAGCTTTCCCATTCGTTCACTCTTCTCCAGCGGACTGATGACCATATCCTTCCTTCGTACCCCATCGGCACCCAACGTACTCGGCGCGTCACTTCCACCCAAGAGTTGTTGTGTCAAGACCGCTCGGTGAGTCCTCACTGGGGCACTTTGCGCTTTGGCTTCTGTACTAGGTCCAGATTCGTCATCGATGACCAAGCGATGAAGACGAAGTTGGTTCGGGTCGAGTGTGGCGGAACCGACAGCGAACGCTTCCTTCGTCTCAGGAGCCAGGGTAGCGGGAGCCGATTCTGTTGTGGGTCCTCCGGCAGGACTAAGAGATAAAGGAGATTTGTCAAGCCATCGGTTCTCTGAAGGTGAGAACAGAATGGGCAAGGTCTTTAAGCTGACGCCGTTCGAGATTTCGACCGCAGGCGATCGGGAGCCATTTGCCACCTCCTCTACTTCCTCCTTCTCTTCTGGGGGCTCAACATTGTCCTCGTTTTCCTCAAGAATCGCCGAGGAGCGAGGCATCATACTAGCACGGCTTCCTTTCGAAGCATTCGAGTTCAACGAGTCCTTCGAGTTCGACGAATCGAGGGACGAATTTTGCGAGTCTTTCGAGTTCGGTGAGGGTTCACGAGACGACCACGACACACGCTTCTTGAGATCGTTGGAGACACCTGACGTCATCCGTGCACTGCAATATCGAAAGGCTGGGTCAGTACAGCCATTTTTAACTCACTCTAAGGAGTACCTGCAGCACGTACTAGCCAAAGAAGCATCCGCTTTTGTTGGCGCTGAAGATCAAGAAGACGTCCGTCGCCGTATTGAACGCTTGGTGAAGGATGGGCTACAGCGAAGAGATATATTCGCATTAGTTGGAGCTTGGTGTGCGGAGATGATTCCTCGGGAGGTTTACCTCGTTATGACTCTGGGTGGCCCACAAGCCTCGTTCGACCGAAAGATGAAGATCATTCTCGTCGTGCGACTGCGCAAAAATCAAAAGCGGGTCAGTGTCTCCCAGGAAAATCCGACACCGGTTAGCCTTTCCTGTAACTGACCTTCAGGATAAAATACCGCTTCTTGAAGTGCCGAGCGAGGTACGAACTACTCGTGCTTGTGCTCGAGATGGAATTTCCGCCGACGCTGGAGATGGACGCGACGCGAGTTTCACCGCTTGATCGTACTCTACCATCCTCCTCCTGTTGCCCTGGCCCCGATGTGATTTCCCGAGCCGAATCGGCCGCTTCTTTGGCTGCTCTCGTTTCTTCGTGCTTCCGAGCTGCCACGAAAGCATGGTGCATTCCTCCGATGCGTTGTGCGCCTACTCCACTTTTGGCATCATCTTCCTTTTTACGGACTCGGCAGATGAGGTTCTTGGCCCTCGGATCGTGGGGTCGCAAGGGGAGGTCGTTCGAGACGGTGATCGCATGTTGTAGATGCACGTCCGAGGCGTAGTTAACGAACGCGCAGTTCGACCGAGCGATCAAGTGGATCGATTCGATTCCGTTCGAACGCAAGTCGACACCGCCTTCAACGACCGAAGCGTTCGATGAAGAGGACGGGGAAGACGCGGGTGGAGGACGACCAGCGAAGAAGCGCCATAGTTCGGCGTGCGTTGCATCCGCCGGGACATTGCCCACCCACAGTGCGTGAGGAGAATGGGCAGGTGGCTTGGGCATGGCTAATCCACCGTGTGCGCCAACTGGGGTCGTCATCGCGGCTGTGGGGGGACGGCTCGAATACTTGGTGTCGCGAGAATAGATGGCGTCGTGGAGCCTAGACTGAGCCAACTGGCCTCGAGAGACCTCGATAGGCGGTACGTAGACTTGGGGCTCGCCTGAAACGTAGGAGGAGGGATAGTCGGAAGCGTGGGCCTGCGCAGACTGCTGCTCGTAGCCACCCGAGTATGACATGGTGGGGGATAAAGGCCCAGACATATTATGAGTATGGAATTGACGATTAGGATGATGTTGCTGCATTCGGAGGTGCATTTGTTGTTGCTGCTGATGGTGGGGGCCGTGGCGCTGCGGTGCGAATTGCTGCTGGTGCGAATACTGCTGCTGCTGCGGATAATAGGGGTAGCCCGGCACAGCTGAATATCCCGCCGTCGCGTAAGGTGAACCCGTCGACATGTCCATGGAATGGTACGATCGATTATCGTGACCATAACTCGATCCATCCGAAAAGGTGTTGCTGGGTCGTCGATCACGTCCTGAATGCGGTGGTTGCGAGAACATGCTCAAGCCCTCCGACATTGGAGACGTACGTTCGCCCGGATAAGCGTACGTCATGCCCGTGTAGTGCTCGCTGATGCTGTGGTGCCTATCCGACGAGCTCGGGCACATGAAAGGAGCAGACGAAATCGCGGGAGAGTACATCTGTCCGTGGCTCGTCATGGCAGGCGAGGCGGTGGTGTACTGTGGCACGTATTGAACGTGGTACTGCTGCGGCGGAGGGTAACCCGGGGACCAGGCCTGGCCTAGTGATTCCGATCGATACTGGCCCGACGAGTCGAGGACGTAAGTCTGCTGGCCATTGCTGTACATTTGAGGGGGATGTTGTGACTCTGGCGACATCGGTGGATAGTGGCCGTATCCTTGCGGTGCAGCGTACGACATCATCTGAGGCGAGCTCGGCGATACGAATGACCGACTTGTAGAAGCGTGGGGTCGCTCTAAATATCCGGAGTGCATGTTCGCATACCGTTCGTCTTCCCTCATTCCTGGAACGGAGTAGCCGTGAGCGTTATCGGATGACGCAGATGATAAATACGTCGCTGTCGTCGCAGGACTGCTCCTCGAAAAATCAGACTGTCCTCGACACATCGGGTTGCTCGTCATAGGCGAGTCGTCTCCTGAGCCCGGGTGGCGCGAGGTGGTGTAGGTGTTTATCAGGAGGTTCTGCGAGTTTGGGTTTTAGTGTCGTGAAGAGACACCCCATTGAGTCGATGGATAGGTAACTTACTCTGGAAGAGGATGACCTCCCCGAGCCAGGGGTCGAGCGTGCGTCCGAAGCAGCCTGGTGTGTCGGAGAAGTTCGAAGCGAGATCGATTGGCCTTCTGCGGGGACGACGGGTGATTGCAAAGAAGGGTTAGCGTTCGTTTCGATATTCAATGAGAAGTGTATGCATTGAAATTTTGATAAGCAAGGTATGCTAGTTGTGTAGAGACCCAGACGATCCCCTTGCCGCTCTCACTCATTCGCGCGCCTCCAACAGCCGTTTGAATGCCTACGTCATTTCGGAATCGGGGTTCAAGCCGACCAACCGCTGTCCTCTACGCCGTCCATCAGCGAACGAGCATATCGGACTCACTATGCTTGCTTCGATCCCTAGAGTTGGACCCAGCTACTCCACTTCGCTGTTGTTTGATATTTTGCTGTTGTGGATGCCCTCTTGCCCTCTCGCCCAGTGGAGACTGTCGTTTGCCCTCGCCACTACCCGTCGGACTTGTTCCGCTCGTCGGCGCGATCTCGTGGGCTGTCGCGCTCGCAGTGGAGGTGGTGGTGGTTGCTGCCTTGTGAGCCGGCGAATGACGTACTGGAGTCGGTGCAGAGCTCATTTTGGGCGGAGTGGTCGAAACGACTTGACTTGAAGGTCGTGGCGGGTCAGATTTCGAAGGTCCTCGTGCAGTGATGATCCCTGTTGAACCCGTCGAATCGACCTGAAGGGCCGGTTCGATGCCCGGCATCGTTCGATTCGGTACTTGTTGCGCCTTCAAAAGTGGTTCAACGAGAAAGGGTCGAGAGGAAGAAAGAGAGGGGGGGAATTGGATGAAGGCGTCGTCGAAGGGAGAAAAAAATATTAGGTAAGGTAAGGTATAGGTCGTAGGTACAACACACGGAATAAGAAGACACTGCTACAATCCGGGCTCGAAGCAGAGCAGACGGGGATGATGAAGAAGCAAATAGAAAGCGCGTCCGACGGGATCATGAATTCTTGTCGCGATTCAGGCGGTCCGATGACCTACGCAAATAATTCAAAATGCGCATCCCCGAGCTCGATCGTCTTTGAATTTAGGAATCCTCGAGCAATTCGGTTTACTGTCGTTTCGCTTTGTTAAGCGTGTCTTACCTACGGGACCTATTTTGCGATCGGCGAGCTGCAGCGCCTGGCTCCATTGACCGACGTCAATCAATTCGAAGCGGCGGCGCCGGCTGGCTTTCGGAGAAGGCTCGATGACGTACAGGTGATCGCTCTGCTCGGACAGCTCTGGCAAGTCGGTGCGTTTGCTCGTGGTCATTTTTGACGCGGTCCAGCCATTCGGCACCCAAAGAACATCTTAAACGCCTACAGAAGACCCCAACCAGTGTATGCTCTGAGATGGAAGCCTCTCTTGCGTTGTCTAGGACGGTTACCTGACGAAGAGGATGCTTAATCAAATTTTGGACCAGGGCCGCCTCTGGATTCCGTGCGAGCCCCTGCACGTGACTTTGCTTCGACCCTCCGAGTCAGACAATAGCCCACTGCTTCTACAACGAGTGTAAGGCTTATTCTATTTTGCACCATTAGACCCCAGAAAAAAAAACCCCCCGTCCCCACACCTCCCTCTACTTGTTCTCGACCTGCCGACTCGGTTCATCGACGGAATTGTACACCGAGTAAATGAGCGAATAACCTTCAAATTCGTACAAGATCCGATCCTTCCTCTCGTACCTCCTCGCCAACTCTTCACTCATCAACTTTCTCATCCCTTCATGTTGGGAAGCTTTGGTCACTTCGTCGTCGTCGTCGATCGAGACGAAGAGAGTGATCGAGAGTGTTGCGGGTTCGAAGATGGTCAAGACTCGTTCGACGAGCTTTTGCAACGAGGCGGAGGAGGATTCGACGTCGGAAGGGGAAAGGGAAAGATCGAGGTTCGTTTCGAACGATGCGTACGAGTATGCAGGTTCGGGAGTGACGTGAATGGTCGCGTAGCGTTCGCCTCGAACGGCGTTGGAGGAGAAACCGCAGGGGGAGAAGAGGAAGGCGTCCAAGGTCGCGTCGGGGAGGAGTGAGGTGATACCGAGTTGGGTCGAAAGTGATGTACCCAAACTGTGCGCGTCGCCTTCGGGGGCGATGTCGGGGTATGAGGTGTAGGGTGTGTCGGCCGAGGATCCGGGGTGGTAGAAGGATGCGCAGGCGCGCGGGGAGAGACGGGTCATGAGGATTTCGAGCGTCTGATCCGGGATCGAAGGGACGCTCGGAGGTGTAGGGTCCTTGAGTAGGGAAGGGATGGAGGAGAAAGGGTTCGATCGAGGAGAGGTCGAGGAGAGGGTCGGGGAGGGGAGGGAGGCCGAGAGAGAGGCCGAAAGCGTCGAGAGTGCTGTTGTCGGGTTGATGGGACTGAGGGCCGAGGTCGTCTCGAGCGCATGGGGCATCAACACATCGTCCTGAGGTGGTGTAAGGTACAACAACCAGTGATCTCCGTTCATTCGACCGACCGTGTATGCGGACGAGTTTTCTGTCGGAGCCGCCAGAACGAGCCGGTACGGATGAGCGCCTCTGCAGCAAGAGGGTTACGAGGACCGGTTCGGTACTGACCGAAAAGTGTATCGAGGAAGCTCATTTCCTGCGCCCAGTCCTTGTGAGGTCCGATCTGACGATCGGGGAACATGAAGGTCTTGCGGGAGTAGAAGCATCGCCATACGCCTCGGAAGCCACACGTCTCGCTGGCGATGCGCAACAGCGTCGGTAAGCCCAGAAGGGTGGTCGTCGTACCGCACGTCTTGAGGATCAACTTGTGAGGCCACACGAACATGGACGACTCGCTGTGGGGAGGAAAGAGGTCCGCATACGAATAAGCAACTCGGTGCATGATTGGCTCTCTTCACCGGAGGGAGTTGGCATACCTCAAGAGGTAAGCATCAACCTGTTCACCCTCAATGACGCTGAGCACCTTGCACTTGACCTCATCAAGCATATCATCCCACACATGTCGAGCGACCTGCCTCAAGCCTGTCCACTCTGTAGCGTCGTCGCGACTCGGTCGGAGATCCTGACCGGTGTGAGCTTTGGAAGCTGGCACGAGATCTTGCGAGGGCGCGAACCAGAGCTCGAGTAGCTTCTCGGGTCCTTCGAATGGACCTGGGGACGAGTCGTCGAGGATCGTTACAGCGTCGGTCATCGTGGGTCTTCCGGGGGAATAGATTGCAGACTTGAAGGTTGCTTCACTTGGGGGTCAGGAGCGGAGGCGTCGAGGTGGGATTGATGTTGAGGCTCCGACCAAGTGGGTTGAGCTGCAAGAGCGAGATGATCATCAGTTTTGATTGTAAACGGGGTTGATCGACGCAGAACTCTGGCTCGGCTGCCGAGTTGGTGGGGCCGCGATGTCCCGTTCGAGCTACCTGTCTCGCGCCTTCGCAAGGCCCGAATCGCCAGCCGGTCGCGCGGGTTCGCACTTGGGACCGGAGACACGACGGCAGGCAGGCAGCCCGAGGCAACCCAAGCTCAGCTCTTGGAAGATATCGACTCACCCTATCGGGAGTTTCCGCGCCAAGATAGATTGAAAGCGAAGAAAGAAGTGACGAGACGGAGCGATGTTGACACTCCTGCAAGGTCGCGAGGCAAGTGCTGGCGAGTGGTCGCGCGTTGAGCTCGCACCCTGTCAACCTCCCCGCCGAGCGCAAAGAGGTCCGAGCTCAAACGAGCTCAAACCGGTGCTCAAACGGGAGCTATTATCGTTCACCCCGTCGCCGCGCCGCCTGGCAGCTTTGTACGACTCCGTCACCTCCCGACCCCTCTCGACTGTGCGCCATGGCTGCACCACAGTACACACCTTCTTCGGAGATCATTCATCTCGTACACACCTTCAGCGACACCCTCGATGCACTGCCACCGGCGTTGACGCGCTCCATCTCGGATCTGAAGGAGCTGGATGCCGTGCTCAGTGGTCAGTCTCTGCCTGCTGCGTGGCTTGACGAGCTTGTGCAGCTCATATGGGTGACTTATCCATTCTATGGACTGTACGCTCCTAGGCTCGCTCAATGTGATCACGACCAAGCTGCAAAAGCTCTTGACGATGATGACCACCCCGCCCTCGTCCTCGTCCTCGTCCTCGTCCTCGTCCTCGTCCGACCGCGCCGCGTGCACACCCTACGATCGACTGCGACTTCTGAGGGAGGTCACTGAGGATGCTCGCGTGTTCAGGCTCGGCGGTGAGGACAAGATCAGGGTCGCGACTTCGACTTGCGAAACGGTCAGTCGACGGCTTTCTGGCGATTGGGTCCGGCGTGCTGCATCGAAGCCTTGCGCTTACGCTGTCGATTCGCCTTGCGCGTTGAATTTAGATTGCCACCCACCAAAATCACCTCGCGACCCTCTCGACCTTACTACTCGAGTTCCTCCCCGCTCTAATGTTGCCGACGCTGCCCGCCCCTTCGGCTCCTCACGGCTACCCACAATCCAACACCGCCGACACCGCGATCCAACGACGCCAAATGTTCCATTTACCGCCCGAACGTCACCCAGGTCAAGGATCGACGTCGAGGATGTCCGCTGCGATGGGCATGGCCCGTGACTTGTACGAGGCGACGTCGTCGAGGAATACGACGCTCGGGAATGGATCCGCCGCCGGCGCGCGAACGCTTTCGACTTTGGCACCGAGTGCTTCCAATCCCGCCGCGGGAGCGAGTGGGGCCGCAGCAGGAGGAGGAGGAGGAGGAGGGTCGCACAAGAAGCCTCGAGCGCAGAACGCCAATGCGACTGCGCACGCCGAAAAGGAAGCGAGCAAGCACCCGAACCAATACACCAAGAAGCGAATTGCGCAGGCCCACCAGACCGCCCAAGCGAATGCGATCGGCGTCCATTCTCTCACGGCCCAAGGCGGCGTCATCGCCAGTGCGCCGGCCGTCAATGCTCAGGCTGGAGTTTATGCACATTCGGCTTCGCTCGGTGGGATGACCGCCGTTGAGGCCGTCAAGGAGAAGCGGAGGCTCGCGGGGACATCGTCGAACACTGGCGTCGATTATGCTCAGAGTGGAGGGGGCCTGTACCCCGAGGACCATGCGATGCCGCAGAGCATATCGCCGAGGGTCGGGGGCAAGAGGAAGGGCGAGGAAGGGTATGGGGCCAGGAAGAAGAGCAAGAAGACGTATGTGCTGATGCTGGTCTGGAGATCGCCGACGTCCCGACGATGCTGAACTTGTCCTTTCCGCTATCACAGCGTCGAGGCTTCCCCCGATCCCACACCCCGAACATTGCCGACTTCCACTACGACCACCACGTCGGCTTCGGCTCCCACGACCACGACCAAAACCGCTCGACGAGCAGCGACCTCGGCCATCTCGGCCATCAAGGACTCGGCGATCGACCCCTTCGGTATGAACGCCCAAGAAGCCGCGGCGACGACGCAACAGGCGTCGATGAACAGGCTGCAAGAGGCCGCCGACCTCGGCGACGACGACGAAACGGACAAGACGTTGTACTGCTTGTGCCAGCGCCCGAGTTTTGGCGAAATGATCGCTTGCGATGGACCGACGTGTCCGCATGAATGGGTGGGTTTGCGAGGGGATCACTTCACTGCACCTTGGAAGACGCGACTGATGCTAAGCTTCTATTGCCTGGGCCCGACAGTTTCATCTCGACTGTCTCAAGATGTCGTCCGCGCCGAAAGGGAGTTGGTTCTGCGATTATTGTCGGGTGGGTTTCCCAAGTCGTACCTATCTCGCTCTTATTTGCGACCCAGACTGACGAGCGATTGCTTTCATCAACAGGCGGAGAAGGAAAAGAAGAAGGGCGGTCGTCGGTGATGCTGAGTTGAACCGTTTCGGTCGGGTTTGTGCGAGAGTTCTTACACATGTTGGGTATCATAGTGTACTCGGACCGGTTGAGGGATCATGTGGATTTTTTGGTCATGAAGTAAATGAACCACGTTTAAATTGTCGCCCTGGGACAATGTACTGCTTTTGAGATCTGTCTCTGGCCTTGGTGACTTGTTGACTGCAAGCGTCACTTGATAATAAGCGCAAGCGCTCGGCCTCACACGCCCGCACGAGCTCCCGCGCGTAAACCTATCGCCGCGACTTTCCCTCCGATCCCTCCGCACAGCCATTCCACAGGAACCCCTACCTGAAGGGGAGAAAAACCCACCTCAAGGCGACGTCCGATCTGACCACACCGTTTGACTTTGGGGGGGAAAGAAGCATCATGGCAGGCGGTTACTTCCACTACGAATCGGACTCTTCCGTTCCTTCCTCCTCCTCCGATCGTTCACTAGCCTGCTCCCCCGCGACGTCATTGATGAATCACCCCATCGGTCACGCCGGAGCACGAGGCGCTTCGTTGGACCTCTCACCTTCTTCGACGCGTTCGGGTGGTACGGGTATGATGAGGGATCCTTTCGTCGATCCTAGGTTGAGTTTGGATTCTTGGAGTAGGTCATCGATCGAATCGAGTAACGCTTACGCGGCGACGACTCATTCCCGACCAACGAACGGCGAGTCTGATCACTACTACGCGGATTCGTCGGATCGAAGCGAACGACCTGGAATGAGGCCAGCTATGGGCAGGTCGAATAGTGATGTTCAAAGGGAATTGCAAGATGCGTTACAGGACGGTTTACCCACGCCGAAGAAGGAGGAGAAATCGACGAGCAGTGCGTTCGCGAGTAGGATCATGATGGCGAGCGGGGAGAGTAAGAAGAGTGGTACGAGTACTAGTAGTGCGGGATCAACTCATAGTGGTAGTACGAGTGGGGGTGGCGGATTCTTGAGTCAATTCAGGACGGGTGAGTGCTTTCATCTTGTTTTGTGTGTGTGTGTGTGTGTGTGGAGGAAGGAGCATGATTGATTCGAGTGAATGGACGCGATTCTGTTTTCTAATAGGCTCGGGCTGGTTCGCGCCCGTCGTCCCGCCGGAACCGAAATTGACTCGAGCGGAGAGGGAACAACTCGAGAAGGAGCGTATCGAAGAATTGAGGAACTCAGGCGCGAACGCATCGAGGAAACGACCGTCGTTCATGAAGAGGATGTCGTCCGGCGTTGAGATGATGGGTTCCTTTGGCAAGGATCCGAGTGGGCTTAGTCCGGCCAAACAGGGGCGGGCGAGGAGTGGTACGGCGACGACGATTACAGAGGCGTATAGAGGGTAGGCGGACGTAATGTCAGGAGGGAGGGGGCTTTTGTTGATAGGGATCTGGTGTATACGTCTTTTCTCGTTGTGAATGTTTTTTTGGTCGGAGGCGATGCCCTTGTGCTACCAGTAAAGATGTGTTTTTATAACTCTCGACGAACGAATCGTCGCGTGGAGCGTTGCACTTTCTATGGCGCAGCTTGCCTCTCTCCACGATGGGATTTTATGATGGAACCACACGAGATGGATTGTATTGAAGAGGAACGCGTTCACACAACAAAAGCCAAACGACAGAGAGCTCACCTGCTCGAGATTGGTGACTTTTGAGCACAATTCGATCTAAAGATTCGAGAACAGTTGCCATGAAACGATGTCAGTATCCTGTCTGTCCATTCGATGCGATGTTCCGGTAAATATATGGATGCAGCTGGCGAGTGGAGGGGGGGGGATCAGATAGTACATTCCGCGCATTGTCGTTAAGCGAAACCTCTTTTTGCGTTTTGTAGACGAAAAGGAGGGACGTTTTGAGCGACACTAGCTGAGCTGGGTGTATAAATCGAGCCTTCAAGTATTTTGTTATATGGCTCTTGTTCGTCATCTCCCATGGTCGTTGGGGTGTTGGGTCGGGGGTTGGAGGATGGGAGCGGGGACGGAAGGTGGAGAAGACTTACATGGAGGACAACAAAGTCACGCCCAGGCCAAATCGAAGGGTACCATTGTCGATAGTAGAAGGTTGGCATGGATGCGATGCTAGGCGTCGATCGTGATGAGGTGGAGCAGAAAGAAAGAGGTGCGAAGGACGGGCAGGGAAGAAAAAAATGCCGAGTGCTCGCACATCTGCCCTCTACTCCAGCTGGTGCGCGGTGCAAGAGCTGCCTTGCGTCTCCCGATAAGGAAGCAAAGACAGCGTAAACGCAAGGCACATGATGCGACGTGGCATGGTCGGTCGTGCAAGGTGGAAGGACAAAAGGCCAAGCGACGACGCTGCAAAGTCCACGCGCGTTCAAAAGCTTGGAAGCCAACCATTCAAAGCTTAGTAGCGACCAGGGCTCGTTTAGTAACCCATTTCGACCGACGCGGCAGGGCACGCCTGTTCTGGTTGTTCTGGTTGCCTCGGGCTTAGCCCTTGCCTCAGGCCTCAGGCTCGGACATGGCCTCGACGCAGCTGTCTCTTCTGGGCCAGTTCCCAGTCGAACTTCATTCGACCGTGATTGAACGACTGTCGGCGCAATGTGAAAGCGCAGAGGCCTTCACCTTGGCTGAGATGGTTTATCGAAGGGGTCAGTTGAGGATGGTGGCTTGGTCTGCGCGTAGGGTGCTGACGTATGCTCGGACGTCGGTCTGACAGACGGAACGACGATGCTGCAGGATGATCATGCTTTGAGAGTCTGTGCGTTCAGATCTGCGTCGACAGAGCAATCAAAACACCCGGCGAAACGGACAAGGTGGTCAGTCGGAGTCACACGTCCCCACTCCTTCATATGTGGGGGGGCGGCCTCTCCCACCCTCCAAGCTCATGCGCTAATGCTCGTTTCCTGCCCCTCCGTTTTTGCACAGGTCCGTTCAAGTGCTGCAGAAACCTGAACCCGCACGGCTATCCCCCGAGGTGCTGCAACGACCTTTGATCGAATGCTCGATCGAGGACGGCGCTCATCCGATCGCTTTGGCTAGTGCGATGGGTTTCTCGCAAGTCCTCCATGTGAATCTCACCTACGACTTGCCAACCACTGATACCGTGTCGATGACCTACAGCACACACGCCTTCACCCTCCACACTCGAGGGATCGTCTTCTCTCGCGCGTCCAACTCGGTTCACATCAAAGTCTACCAACTGTTCGCTTCCACCTCCTCGACCGAACCTCTCGACCCATCGCACTACATCATTCAGCTCTACACCCAATTCGGCACAACTTCTACTTCCGCAGCGGGGACGAGTGCAGGGAGAGGAGCTGCGGCGGGTACTACGGGTTCGGGTGGCAGTGGCAGTGGCAGTGGCGGTTTGACGATGCAGGAACAAAAGGTTTTGGCGACGGCGAGTTTGAAGAAGGTTCAGGCCTTGTTGAAAGGGTTGGTCGATGTGGGCAGGGTGGAATAGAATCATGAAAGGGCGGAACGCAAGTCGAAATTAAAGTGGTGTTGCAACATCGGTACTACTGACTGTTCTAGATGCGAGCGAAGGAAATAGAGAAAGAAACGTTTCCTGCGTCGAGAGATTATCGCTTCTCACAACGACTCTCGTCATGAATGGCTCGACACCCCATATCGCAGTATTTTTGACCGCACCGCATACAGCCGTACGTCCCCTTGTAGCCGCAGACCGAACACAGTTGGAGTGGAGGTCGTTTCGAAGGTGGGGCTGACGCTGTGAGATAACTTGGCGTTGTGGGGGCAAGTTTGGAGAGACCCTGAGCGGGCGGGAGAAGCGAGCTTGAGTTTAGTCGCTGGGTGATGTTTCATGTTCGAAAGGGATCTTTCTGCGCCTCACGGATTCGTCAACCAAGGTGGCGAGGTTCTTGCGATACATGAGCAAACTGCGAACGGCCATCGAGCGCTTCTTGCGACCGGACTTGTCCCTCCCAACTGCACACAGAACGGGAGATCGATATCTGGGTATAAGCCCCAACCCTTTCGTCGAGCGGATCCACCAGAACGCTGAATATCCAACGCACTATCATCATCCCTCAATGGCGTCACGCCCTTTTCCGTTCCATCCTCATCCGGCGCGTCCGAGGCGCCATAGGCCGTGGGCCCTGTCGTAGGCTCGGTGTAGTTCGTGCGTTCGAGATCGTTGAGGTGACGCTTTATGCGACGGGATACGTAGTCCATGTCGAGGGGGACGCCGCCAAGACCGTTGGGGCCGAGCTGGGCTCGTTGAGCTGGGGGAGGTGCGGCGGGGTGGACGGCTTTTTAGTGAGGGAGGAGCTAAAGGCGTGAGCTTGTGATGGCGGACTTACGTTGTCGCCGTTCTTTCTTCTTGAGTGTGGACTGTGACATCGTGAAAGCAGCCTCAGACGCAAGAGGGATAGAGGGCGAATCCTAAAAAGAACGGAGCCGCTCGCTCGTCCTTCCAGCCCGGTCAACGAGCTTTCGCTTTCCTATTCTTTCCACTCTCCTTCTCTCTCCTTCCACGCGCTGACACCGGTTCCCGCTCGAGCCCAGAAGCTTCCGTTCTTCTTTCGCGTCGACTGCAGCGAGCGTCCGGGTGCTCGGCCCGTGTATCTCGTCAAGAGCGAGCTCCTCAACGCTTGGAATCAGAACGATCCTCCTGGGAGCGCACCAGCAAGCATGTCCTCGCTCGACAAACTCGCCATTCGTGGCATGTACGTTAAATCCTACCCTTGTGAAGGTCTCGTCCGCCATTACTGAGTCGAACTTGACCCGGTTTGGTCCCCCCCCCCCACTTTCCTGGTTCACGCAGCCGTTCGTTCGACCACAATGACTTTGCCGTCATGCAATTCTACACTCCCTTGACCGTCATCGTCGGGCACAACGGAAGTGGAAAGACGGTACGTACTTTTGATCATCCTCAGCTTAGCGCACATCATCGTGGGGCTCTCGGCGCGAACGAGCTCTTCGCGTCGCATCACCTCCCCTCACGTCGCACGCGCCTCGACGCGACCATCCATCTGCCCGCGCTTTTTTTTGACATCTCAACAAGAGTTCTCGCGCTGGGGGGGGGGGGGGAGGGGGGGAGAAAGACAGGCACTGATTCGGACTACGATCCCTTCTGCAATTATCTACTCCCCTCCTCTACACGTCTGAATGCATAGACCATCATTGAATGCCTCAAATATGCGACCACCGGTGACTTGCCGCCGAATACCAAAGGCGGCGCCTTTGTCCATGATCCATCGGTCAGTCAACGCCCCTCAAGACGACGTAAAAAGATAACGACCCTTGATCGACTATGTGATGCTCATAACTCACGTTCCTTTCTCCGTTTTCTGAACCCTACTTTTTCTGACACTCCCAGATCGCAGGAATGTCCGAAGTGAAGGCCCAAGTCAAGTTGCGCTTCTTCAGTGCGAGGAAGGAGAGGATCCTCGTCGAAAGGAGGTTACAGGTCACCAAGAAGAAGACCGGCGTAGCGGGACTGACGATGAAAACCCTCGAGAGTAACATCACCATGCTCGATGAGGGAAAGGATTCCAAGGTACGTAGTCGGACTAGACTTTGCTGGTTTCTTTGTGGTTGTGTGAGAAGGCATCAATTGAAGGGGGGGTGAGTGCTGACTTTCCATCTGCGATGACCTTGCGCGCGCGCGCGGATCCGTTTTATATTCAGAAACGTAATTCGCTCTCGACGAAATGTGCCAACCTCGACGAGGAAGTCGCTCTCCAACTCGGCGTCTCCAAAGCTATTTTAGAGAATGTCATCTTCTGTCATCAAGAGGACTCGAACTGGCCTTTGGCCGAACCGGCGGCGTTGAAGAAGAAGTTTGATGATATTTTTGAGGCGACAAAGTCAGTGCTTGATTGAATGAGAGGGGTGACGCGATAAGTTGGGGTTTAAAAACTAGAGCTGACGAGTCTACTTTGCTCCCCCCAAAAAGGTACACGAAAGCGCTGGACAACATCAAGACGTTGAGAAAAGACCAGGACGCCGAACTCAAGGTCGATAAAGAGAAACTGGCGGCGCTCAAGACGGATCGGGATCGAGCGACCAAGGTTAGTCATAGCGCACAGAGTGCGAACTCGTGATAGAGGGTTCCTATTCTTATTTCATTTTGATGCGCCACGTTGCGTCGACAGCTACGTAAATCGATCGACGAATCGACGAACGCGATCGCGGTCAAGCAGAGCGAACACGAGGCGCTCGAGGAAGAGATCACCAAGATCGTCGAACGCAACAAGACCTTCTTCACGCAGGCTTCCAAGTACCAGGACATTATTGGGAAGGCGGATACGTTGAGGGAGAGAAGGACCGTCGTTGAGGATAATTTGACGCAGGTTCAGGCGAACTTGACGGAACTACATGGTAGGTCCAAGGTGGCTACTGTTGGAGGCAGTTGAAGAGGAACCCTGAATCTGATCCGGTTCCTCTTTCACCTAATCATAGATACGGAGGTTGAGTTGCAGAAGAAGATTGAGAACCATACGGCTGACATCGCCGCTCTGCGCAGCTCGAGGGAGGACGTCAAGCGCAAAGCCGCGGACGAGACGGATTCGCTCGCGGCGCAGGAGCGCAAGCGTTCGACGGCGCAGACCTCGCACGGAAGACTGTTGGCGCAGAAACAGCGCCACGAGGAAAACGTCGAGATGAGGCAGATGTTGGTCAGGGAGTTGAGTGTCAAGCATGGGATTGATGGGTATGATCATGATCGGTTGGGGGAGGAGGAGATAAGGGAGTTTGAGGAGAAACTTGACGAGGCGATCGCGGAGCAAGCGGCCAAAGTCGACAAGATCAAGAGGACTGCTAGAACGAACGAGCAACAGATGCAGGCTGAGATCCAGACGCTCAAGAGTGCACAAGCTGCGGATGAGAGTGCCGCGAGAACGATTGCTCAGCAGATCGCGGTGCACACGAGGAAAGTCGCGGTGTTCAATAGGCAACTCGATGCGACGAGTGCGAACGTCGGTGACGTGACCATCGCCGAGGCGTCACTGAGGGATGATCAGAAGAGAAAGACGGACTTGGAAAACAAAATTAGGGAGGCGGATTATGATGGGAAGCTGAGGGTCGAGACGAGGAAGGGCAAGGAATTGGAGGAGCAGAGGGATCGACTGCACGACGAGCTGACGAGCTTGAACGCACAAGCCGACGTTAGGGCCAAGCTGCAACTCAAAAGGAACGATGTGCTGGCCAAGGAGGAGGCGATTAAGAGACTGTGAGTCTAATCGTCGTGGCTGCTTGTGGTGGGGTCCTGTGTTCGGGCAAGAATTGACCACTCCCACCCGTTTTGGTGGAGGCAGAGTGGAAAAGGCCACCCCTTCCTATCGGAAGCTTTTCAAGGCCGACCCGGCGCGTGCGACGATGGAAACCGAAATTAATGGCGCGATCACTACCGCTGAATCGGAGCTGGCCGTCGCCGAGGAGTCGAACGCCGAGGCCAAGAAGCAGTTGCAACAAATCGAGTCCGCCGTGGGGTACGCTAGAGGCAAGACGAAGGGCCTCACCGATGAAGCCAAAGGTCAGTGCCCAGGATGCGAAGGCGACAGGGTGTTGGTGCTGATGGAAAAGTGGATTTGTTATTTTTCGTGAGCAGCCTACAAGCAGACCATCGATGAGAAATTGGCGCAGTTTGCGGCCGAGACTGGATCCGCCGTGGCAAAATCTGTTCAGGCGGCGATCAAGGAGGCGGAGGAAGAAGTCGAGCTGACGCGAAAGTAAGTCACATCTTCTTCGAAGGCTCCTGAGCTGTTGCTGATCTGTTGCGGTAATTTCGCTCTCTTTAGGTCTCTCGAGGACTCGACGCAGTTCGCATCAATGTTCCAGAAGATTCTTGAGTCCAGCGTTCGCGACCGCAAATGCTTTGGGTGCGATCGTAAGATCTTGCCTGATCAGATGGACGCTTTCCGTGCCTATGTACGTTCATCTGGTCCACGTTGGGACGTACCATGGCTTGGTGAGCCTGTTCCATTGGGCCGGCGACTAATGCTCTTGACCATGATTGCTCTTCGCGCAGTGTAGAAGTCGCATCCAAGGTGGTCCGGGAGGGTCGGCTGAATTGAAAGCCGACCTAGACGACTGGGTCCAATCCCTCGAGGAGCGACGTGCCCTATTGCCAACGGAGGTAGCCTATCTCAAGCTGATTGAGCACGACATCCCCGCGGCCGAGAGAGAGGTCGAAGCCCAGAATGCGCGCTTGCCAGCGGTCATCGCACGCACGAATGAGACGGGCAAAGTCGTCAAGGAGCGCAAGGACACACTCGGCGAACTGCAGAACATGAAGAGGCCTGCCAGTGATGTGACGAGGACGCTTCGTGAGGTGCAAGATTTGGAGAGGGACATTGGGAAGCTCGAGTCGGAGTTGCAGGCCTCTGGGTCGACGGCGACGACGGACGACATCACGCAAAAGTTGCACGCGGTCGGCGAAGACATGTGGGTCAAGTGCTGAGCTCTGCACGTCGCGGAGTAGAGAACTGATGCCTTTGGAATATCCACTCCACAGTCGAGTCAACAAAGCGACCGTCGATCGCCTTCGCGTGGAACAGCAGAGCCAGAGCAACCTCATCCAGTCTCTGATCAAATCGATCCACGCAAACGAAATGGACTTGGCCAAGAAGAGGCAGGAGATCAAGGAGAGGGAAGACCTTGAGCGTCAGAAGGAAGCGGAGCGAGCCGAGATTGAAACACTCGAAGCCAGGGCCAAAGTCAGTGCACCGTGATTGAGTGGAAGTGCTAGACCTATGGCTGAAGCGCTCGGGTTCGTAACTCGCAGGAAGTCAACACCAAACTTGCCGAAGCTGCTCAACCAATCCGCAAGCGTGAGGATGAACTCGCGCAGGCGCGCAACGAGGCGGCGCAGAAGGAGGTGATGGCCACTCGAGAGCTGCAGTCCTTCAACAAGAGCGCCGAGCAGCTCGCGCTCAACAAGCGCGAGATTCAAACCTACGAGTCGAGGGGTGGCGCAGGCGAACTCATCAAAGTCGAACGCGAGCTCAAGCAGTACGAAGGGGTGATCGCGGATATGAAGAAGCGTATTTCGGCGCTGCAAGACGAGATGGCGTCCGCCGATCGTCGTCTCGCCGATTCGCACGCCGTCCTGCGCAATCTGCACGACAATGTGCGACTGCGCAAATCGAAGCGAGATCTTGCGACGATCGATAGTCAGCTGGAGAGCTTGGACGACGAGGGGGCTCGCAAAGCGTATCGGAGATTTGAAACCGAATACACGGCGATGCGTCAAAAGCAGTCGCAGAAGCAATCCGACGTAAGTCGTTGCGCACATGTGCATCTGCGAGGCCTTAGTGCTGACACTCCGCGATGTTGGCTTTGACTTCCCACAGCAAGCAAAACTCGGAGGAGAACTGGCTACGATGCGCTCAGCGCTCAAAGAAAAGAAGGAGGAGCTCGTGTCTGAGTACGACAGGATCGAGGAGAAGTACAAGCAGGAGCTTGTCAAAGTCAAGACGACCGAGGTCGTGAGCAACGATTTGCTCAAGTACGCCAAGGCGCTCGACGCGGCGATCATGGCGTTCCACTCACTTAAGATGAAAGAGATCAACGACACGATCGCCCATCTGTGGATGAAGACGTACCAAGGCACCGATATCGACAAGATCATGCTCAAGTCTGATTCCGAAGGCAAAGTCGCGGGGACCAAGGCCTCGTACAATTATCGTGTCGTGATGATGAAAGACCAGGTCGAGATGGACATGCGAGGGCGATGCAGTGCGGGCCAGAAGGTGTTGGCCAGTATCATCATCCGTTTGGCCCTGGCCGAGTCGTTTGGCACCAATTGCGGTATCATGGCGTTGGATGAGCCGACGACGAATCTGGACCAAGATAACATCAAGGCGCTTGCGTCGGCGCTCGGCGACATCATCAAGGACCGCCGCAGCCAGGCAAACTTCCAACTCATAATCATCGTAAGCGCTATTATTGGCCACCCTGCTGCTTTCTTCCCCCCACTGAACGCCATTCGTGTCTATGCCGGTGCAGACCCACGACGAACAATTCCTCGAAACGCTCGGCGGCTCAGGCGTCATCGACAAGTGAGTGCAGGACACCATACCCCGCCAAAACGAGACTGAGGTGGCTGAATGATACCTTCTTTCCTGTATCCAGATATTTCCGAGTCTCAAGGGGTGGTAATGGCCAGGTCTCGACCATTGAACGACAGAGGCTGAATTGAGACTCGATCATCAACGCGCTTTCGTTCTGTCTCGCAACAGATTCCATCCTCACCAGAAGCAGTACTCTCCTATACCATACCCGTAAACCCTGCAATTTCATTTACCTTTCCCTGTCGTCTCATCTGCTGTAGAAGACAACACGATCTCGACCTCAAAGATCTGCACCAATTCCGGCGAACTCCCGCCAGAGACCGGTGATCACTCGATCACGGGCGGGTACGGCGGTTGCAGCGTCACCGGTCTCCGGCGGTTGCAGCGCTTTTCCCCTCCGATGTCTCGATCGGATGCCAATGGGGTTCTCGAGCGCGGGAAGGAAACTGCGACCTTCCTTGTGTATCTTTCCGTTTGTTTGGTTGTGTTGGGATGAGGAAGATGATTAATCTTCCTGGACGAGACCCTGGGATGATGCGTACACCCCAGGGACCGCGGTTTGCAAAAAATAAGCCAAAATTCCCTTGGAATAAGACAGCACCTTATTCGGGACGGTGGGTGGGTCGAAAAGTTTCGCGAGTGTAGAGGCAATGAGCACTGCCGTTCGAGCGAAACGAATAAGGTGCAGAAGCGAACAGGCATTTATCTCGCCTACTCCACTCTAAGCGCATGCGCGCCACCCCCAGGGGGGCGGCCCACCCGTCTCCGATCGGCGCTCGGAAGCGAACCTTTCATTCTTTCATTCTTCACCGCTCTCCTCGCACCCGTCCACTGCCAACATTGATCATGACATACAATTACTCTTACCTCGTTGGATTCCCTGGCGCATGGCTCATGGTCAGTTACAACCGCCGTCTGAGCTGCTCCCACCGTGAAAGTAATCGACCGACCATTCCACTGACCCTGTTGGATGATCTGCAGCACATGTTAGTTCTGGGATGTTATATAGGACAGTGGATCATATGTGGCTGACGACTCTTGCCCTCTTAATCTCATGGCTTGCTCTCTGCTTCATGTATCACTTCACTCCCCGCCATGACGTAATGTGTCCATCCATTCGCCGCCCCACAATTAATGCGATCGCCCCGCCTTCCCCCACTCCTCTCGCCTTTCCCGCTCCGCTTTCACCAAATCATTCAGGTCCGCTCATTGGTATGCGGCTGCTTTGACCAAGCAGTCCAAGGACTTGAAGTTCTTCGACAACCGTTCGCCGCGAGCCTATCTCGCCAAGGTCACCGCCCTTGAGAAGCAGACTCCTGATCAGCAAAAGTACATTCGCGGTGCGTTGTATTGTTCATCTTCGTGGTGAGGATAAATCGAAATACTTACATACGATTTGAGTTCGGACGAAATAGCTGAAGCCGCGAATGCCAACGGTGTCGAGGCCATCCCCCTGTTCGGCTTGGCGGTCAGTAGCATCTGAAATCCGTGACGGGTGGGTTCGTGGCTGACACCTTGCCCTCAATTGTACAGATCATCGCGGGTAATATGGCCCGACTTCCTGCCGAGACGATGAATCGCTTCGTCTTCACCTGGTACGTTAGCTATAGCCCCAAAGCGGCTCGATCGGGAGGTCAGGCCACGGCCGCCGCTGATGTGAAGATTCGTCTCCTTCGTCCTGAAACTGCAGGCTCGGACTTCGCGCTTTGTACAACGTTCTATATATTGGCACGAATGGTCACAAGTTGTCATTCCTGCGCAGTTTGACTTTCCTTGGTGGTATTCTCAGCACTTTCAACATCTTCATCAAAGCTGGGCGGGTCTTGAACGGAGGCACCTGATTCGATGCATATATATGGTGATTCGACTTGGATGGGGATTTGGGCGATGACACTCGACAACGAGTCGAACGGATATTCACAAAATTGAGCGATGAAACTCGTCGAACTGATATTATACGAAGCTGGAATTGGTCATATCATATATTCTCCATTCTTCAAAAGCACCATGAGACTGCCTTGGAGTGTTCCGCCAAGAAATTGGCTGGGGATACAGTGCGCGTACGTCTTAATCCCACGGGCCCATCCACCAAGAACAACATTGGCTCTTTCCAACGCACACAGTTGTGATTTCGATGCAGGTGTTGCGTTTGCATTGCGTAGGGGTTCAGAGCGACCAAGGCCGGCCATCGGGCTCGTCGCGGCCTCGGGATCGGGCCGATCGAGGATCCCTTTCCCCTCGTCCAGCTCTCAACTCGATCGACGTCGATCGATCTCGAACGAACGCGAAAGGACGACGACCACGTCTCCATTAGACTAGAGAACAGCTCAAGACTCGATCGATATGAAGATTGCCGTTGTAGGATCGGGTACCTCCGGTCTGGGTGCGACCTGGCTGTTGAACGAGCACTCGAAGCACGAGGTGCATCTGTTCGAGGCCGATCCGCGCCCCGGCGGACATGCCAACACGGTGCGCTACAAGAACCCGCTCGGCGACGACTACATCAACGTCGACACCGGTTTCATTGTGTGAGTTTGAGCGGGCACCAGGTCATAAATATCATGTGGATGTCTTCTTTCTCTTGCTCCGTATCGATCCTAGGATGACGTGTGTGGGCCCCGAACCTGTCGTCTTCACACGCTGATCGTCTGGCCCTTCTCGCATGTGCATGTATTCTTCTCGACGGTTGGGCGGATCCGGTCGGAAACTCTCCAGCTTCAATACGGTAACCTACCCCAACTTTTTGGCGTTCCTGCTGGAGACGGGTGTGCCCTACCTCTCGTCCGACATGTCCTTCTCCGTTTCACGTGATCGCGGCCTTTTCGAATGGGCCGGCGCTTCCCCCGCTGCCCTGTTTGCCCAACCGCTCAACCTGCTCAACCCGTCGCATTGGAGGATGGTTTGGGACATATTGCGCTTCAACGTCGGTGCACTCGAGGTTCTACAGCGTGGCGACCGTGGCGACCGTGGCGAGAGTATCGGCGATTATCTTGCTCGGGAACGTTACTCGCAAACTTTTATCGACAATTATCTGCTCGTGCGTTCTGCTTCCCGGGTGGCGGACGGGACGACAGATGTATACCATGAATTTCCCTACTAACTCTTCAAATTATCCCGAATCCTCCAAATGCAGCCCATGACGGCAGCGATCTGGTCAACACCTCCTGATAAAGCTGCGCTCGATTTCCCTGCGCTCACCTTGATCCGCTTCATGCACAACCACCACCTCATGCAAATTCTCGATCGACCCACCTGGCTGACGGTAGAAAATGGGTCCCACTCATACGTTAATCGCATTCTGAACCGTCTTGATCCGGCTAAGTACCACCAAGGTCGCAGGATCGAGTCCGTCCGAACCGGCGGGAAGGAAGGCAAAGTCGTGCTCAAGGACTCGGAGGGGAACGAGACCGATTGGGACCATGTCATCTTCGCCTGTCACGCCGATACGACGCTGAAGATACTTGAAAAAGGGGAGGGGATCACGGAGGAAGAGAAGCGGATTTTGAGTGGGTTCGAGTTTAGTAAAAATCGAGCCGTTCTCCATTCGGACCCCGAGGTAAGTTCAAGCGCAAGGCTTCGTGCACGAGTCCGCGCTGATTGAGGGTTTTGTTACTATGCATAGCTCATGCCTCAGCGTCGCATCGCGTGGTCGGCATGGAATTACCTCACCGCGAGTGACGGGCCCAAACTCAACGTCAACAGTGTCGCCTTGTGAGTCGACCGAGGCAGGCTCGACCAGCCGATCGAAAAGCGCCTATCGCTCAACTCTGCCCTTTCCCCACCAGGACGTATTGGATGAACTTGCTCCAATCGATTCCGGAAGCGATCTATGGTCCCGTACTCGTCACGCTCAACCCGCCCTTCGAGCCTCGGAAAGAACACAAATTTGCCGAATGGGACTATGAACATCCCCTCTTTAGCGAAAAGGTAAGAGCATTACGCAAAGCGTTTTAATTTTGAGACGCACATGATGCCGACCGAGATTTCCTCGACCCGTGCAGAGCGTACGATCGCAGGATGAGCTCAAGAAGATTCAGAACAAACGCGGGATCACATTCGCCGGCGCTTGGACGAAATACGGTTTCGTAAGTGCTGCTTATTTTACTATACCTGATACGGAGTAACGCATTTGACCTCGTCCCTTGCATTCTTTTATTCTTTTCTCATTCGATCAGCATGAGGATGGTCTCACGTCGGGTTTACGCATCGCCGTCGATCACTTGGGCGCTCAATCACCTTTCCCGATCCGACACGCCGAACGAAACTTGAACCTCTCACGAACGGATCGATGTCTCAACTACGCTTTCTCTCGAATCGACTCCTTGGCCAGGATCTTCTCCTTTCCCGCGACCGTGTTCCTACTCGTCCTTATCATCGGATTAAGCGTCACCAGAATGGTTATCACGGTATTGGGGGCTCGATCGACCGCGGCTATGATCGGGGAGGTCATAATGATGTTGCAGAGAAGTAACGGCGCTTCGACGGCTCCTGTGGTGAAGTTGGACGGTTTGAAGAGAGCTGGGCAGGCGGGCGCGACGAGGCAGGTTAAGTAAAGGAAGTGAAGAGGGACGAAACTTGGTGTCATTCCCGTAGGCCCACGAAAAGGTTGAGCTCGATTACTTAGCACGTCGCAGTGAAATACGAACAAACCGATCCATCGATGCGAATTTTGTACAACAAAAACAAGAGATAAAAGTGACAAATGCGAGGGAGAGAGAGAGAGAGGTACCGACCCGACGCGGGGGGCTCATTGGAAACGCATGCCCTCGCCTACGAGGTATTCACCACTTGCGGTCTTGTGGATGATCCACTTCGTGGGCGGACCCCAATTCTGCTCGGGGACGTTGGAAATGCCTCGGTGGTGAAGCGACGTCACACCGCCGAGTATCTCATCGAATCTTTGACGCAACTCGAGGCTTTGCGTCGAAGTATCCCGGCGCATGCCCATGACAGGGGGCAGATTCGGAAGAAAACCGGCCTAGCGGGGAAAAGGGACGGGAAGGGTCCGGAGGTGAGTATCACACAATTGACTTTGCTTGGGCAGATGTGACTCACCCAGTCAGAGTCGGAATCGAACTTTACAGCAATTGTTTTGCCTTGCAAGGATTCGTCTACGAGCTCGAAGTGGAAGAAATACCGCAGATTGAAAGCTGCGCCAGGGTGTTCGAGGCAGCTGTCTTTGTTGGCGGGTAGTCTGGCGTGTTGAAGAAGAGGCAGCTGGTCTGTCAGCCACAGAGGAGGAGAGGGAGGGTCACAGGTTTTGACACCACTGCTTCCTTACTTTCGACGACAACTAGGTTCCGCACAGTAGGCTAGGACCCAACGGACCGCCTCGGGGAAAAAGTGGACAACACGAGCTCGAACACGAAAGTCGCCAACTAGGTCGGAGCTGATCATGCGCGACATTGAGTACGTGAGCTCGGCTATTGACGCCGTCATATTCACACAATGGTCAGCAAGATTCGTGAGCTGTAGAACTCATGCTTCCGTCAAGTGGAAAGATAGGCTTACGATCCGGTCCGTGAGCAGCTGATTGACGGTGACTCGACCTAGCAGATTCAGCTGGCGCTGCTGAGCGGTCGGATGGTATGCCGATGGGTGCGACAAAAATGGGGGCCAGCACGGGCTCTGCCGCAGCTTGCGCAGCCTGGTATGCTAGGCGGCGTCTGAGTCAAATGATGACAGAGTCGCCTAGGCTCAGCTCGGTATCTCCTAAGCATGGACCTCCAGATGGAAAGACAAACTTGTGGATATCGACTAGCCACGGATCCGAGGCGCTACCTGGACCCAACAAGATGACGTCACGCTTTCGTTCGTACTTCCGATCGGGCATTATTGTCGCTTCAAGGTAGCCGTTGGGATTAAGCTTGGGGCGGAGGTTGACGAGGTGCACGGCGCGGCCCTGTCCGGGCTTCTTCCCGATGCCCGGTCTCATCAATTGGTCCAGTGGTTGCGCTTGACAGCCAAAGATGGACACTTGAAGCACGTATTGACCGGGAAGACCGTCTTCCATCTGGTCGTCGAAATCGTAGAGTAGATCATTTTCCGTGAAATCGGTGACATAGATCGAGACCGGCTCGTTGGGGCCCAAGGTTTTGAGGTTCTCGTTCCCGTAGGCGTAGATACGCAAGATCTTATTGAAACGTTGAACAGAGTTTATCAGCGAGACGGCAATGATGGAATGTCGTCAGAACTCACCTGGACAACAGTATCGCAGAAGACGTCGGGTCTCATATCCATAATCTTGGTCATTTTCCGGCCAGATGCTTTGGGCTTTCGCGAAATGCTGGGGAGGAGAGTAGTACCAGTCGTTGCGAGCAGAGAGTTTGCCAGATTCGTTTTCGCCGATGCCGCGCTACAATCGGCTCTCACCATGTCTTTCGCGTAGTCGATCTCGGCCTTGCCATATATTGCAAGTGTCTTTTCAGACTGCGCTCCGATCATGATGGGAGCCTCGGCGGTGTTCGAGTCCCGAAGCAAAGCGGCCCTTTTCAGAACCGCGGAACGGGGGTGATTGTCTGAATAGCCGATGAACCGTCGACGATCTTTGCTCCACTGCACTTGTTTTGAGGGGGCACGTATCAATTATGGGTCAGTCATGAGGTAGAAACTCGCAAACTCAGTCAGCCACGAGACGCACGTTCATGCGCTGAAGAATGACGACGTCTCCGATCTCGGGGTTAACGACGTCGTTCGGGGAGGGTGCGAAGTACTCGGCGGTCAAAGGTTGATCGTAGTCCGGAGTGCTAAGATCGAGGGTGATTTTGTAGTCTGAAAGCGCCGTATCACAAATGGGGCGGAGGGCGGTGATCAGGATGAAGCTTAACATAGGAGCTCGCAATGTCCCTGCTCGTGGCAGGATCGAAGAAACTGACCCTTTCCATCGGTTTTCCCAATCGAAGACACGCTAAGAACGATTGCCATAACGTCCAAGTGGCGTTGATTCTTTGACTGTTCGATTTCGCTGAAGGGGAGATATTCGAATCGTCTTTCCGCTCTATACTCGACACCTGTCGTGACGAGCCCCCAGGCGGTTCGAGGTTTTCTCTTGGGTGGAGGCGGGCACACTGCGTGCGCCGGAGCAACGGCAGTACCAAGTGCACTTGCTCGGTTCTTTTTGCTTTTACTGCCTTGCTCATTGGAGGTCGGAAACACGCCGTCGGTATCTTGCGGCCTTTTGTGCGACTCAGCGGCGGGAAGTGGTGCATTCTCTTTAGAATGCTGCTGAGCTGTCGGGGGTTGGGATGGGCTTGATTGCTCCGTTCTACTGGGCCCAGCGGAAATCTGATCGTGCGCTGGGTATCGAATGAATTCAGCGGTGCTGTCCGCTGCGGTTACCGGCGGACCTGAACCTGGTTGGGGCGGCCGAAAAAGAGATCGTGAACCCCCACAAAGTCAGTTGACAGGGGATCGAAGGACGTGCGGGGGCTAGAGAGGGGAGGCGCGTGAGCGGAGGCTTACCGAGTACATCGAACTTGACGCGATTGCCACTTTTGCGATGAAGATCAAAGCTGACTCCATTGCTATAGAGCAGCTTGCAGGATCGCCGGCCCTCGACGTGCCTGATCGCGGCGCGGTGGAGGCTCAATCGCACCTTGAGGCCGATGTCGAACCGGCCCTGGACTTGGGCGGCCCATGGCCCGACAAGGTGGACTTCGACACTGGTTGATCCCGAAGAGGTTGTCGCTACTCGCCTGTCCGGGCCAGGGCTAGGTTCGGTGTCGTCGTCGTCGTCGATGTCGTCGCCGCTGTGCTCGGGGTCCAAGGGCTCGGACTGTAGTGAGAGCTGCGCGCGTTGGGACTGAGCCGAGTAATCCTTGAGGGACATGATCATGCCCTGGATGTAATCGCGTGGGCCGTAGCTCTTGTCCGAGAGCTTGGAGAGGGCGACACGCGGCATGATTACCAATGAGCACGGCCTGAGCGAGAAAGTAAGGCATGACTCTTCAAGTCGCGTTCAAATCGTTCGCGCTGGCTTGGATTGGCTCGGTCACGTGCTCAGCGCGAAGCAAGAGCGCGAACACCAGAGGACACCCTCGGGAGTGATTCCGAAATGGACCGCTAGACGCGCCGTGGAACACATGCCATCAAATTCAGGTTCCACCGTTCTGGGGCATCCGGGTCCCTGAATACCACAAGGTGTGCTCCCTGCCACCCTTGACCTTGACCACCCGTGACCTGCGACCAAAGCGAACAACCTGAGGCTGAAGCGAAGCGCTCTTGCTCATGAGTTTCAGCACTTGGGAAGGATGTCACCGTAATTAGCAGTAGTAGCAGCAGCGACAGTAGCATCAGCACGTTGGGATCATCGTGACCTGCGGCCAGGGGTTGACGATCGCGGCGCGATGGCTACTCGTCTCAATCAGACCGAGCAATACTTGATGTACGGAATTCGTTTCGTCTCATACTATGCGACTCTACTTGAGAATCCTGTACCCTCTCTCGTCCCCTCTTGCCCTCTCACTGCCGACCCGGATGATCCCCCGCGGATTGCCGTTCGACCTCAACCCGCTGCCTTGGTTACCTGCCCCCTTGCGCTGGGTCCATTGCGCTGAAACGACCTGATCGAGCGTGATGGCGCGCACACCGACGAGTTCCTTGATGGCGAGCACTTGGCCGCTGGAGACTTGAGTAATCGGCACGATCGAGGACGAGAGGCGACGGGGTAGGCCAAGGGCTTCACAGGTGCGCGCGACCGTCTCGGGTAAATTTGCGGGAGATCGATGCAATGTGATGAGGTAGTGCGTCTTGTGGTTCGACTGCGGCTGTGGCGGTGAATGCTTGGTCGGCGATGTGTTCGTCTGGGGCTCGTGCGTGGCCCGGGTGGTGCACTGTTGGCCAGTCGCAGCGAGCGAGCCGGTGCGAGTCGTGGAGAAGGTTCGACTCCTCAAGCTACATGTCACCGCGAGGTGTTCCAAGGTGAGCCTCGACGAGGCAGCGATCGGCAGCATGTTGGGAGACGTGATTTGCGCGCCAAGTGAGCTGGTAACAAGAGCACTGGTGGGATTTTGGAATCGACGGTGCTAGCAGCGTGCAATTCACCGTGAGTCGGGGCGAGCGTGTCTTGGGATCGATGGAGCGACTGCGGTGCGGCGAGAGCAAAAGTAGAACGCAGAATGCGGTGTGCGTCGTAAACGGGAGGCGAATCGGAGCGCTTTGAAAGGAGCTGTCTGGAGTTGTGGGTGTGACGAGGCGTATGCGAAGCCTGGACCAAGATCTCTAATAAGGAATCTAATGGGCGGTGTTTCCGGTCAATCTGAGCTCGCGCTAATCGGTGTCGGTTGCGCCATTACGAAGCGGCGCAATCGCCCTAACGGTCTCGACCCAGCGGGCATCGCCGCCAGCCGGTCGCAGCCTATCGCAGCCAAGTCGCTCCCACTCTGCTCCACTGCGGCAGACTGCGCGCTTTTCCCCTCCGATGTCTCGATCGGATGCCAATGGGGTTCTCGAGCGCGGGAAGGGAATTGCGACCTTCCTTGTGTATCTTTCGGTTTGTTTGGTTGTGTTGGGATGAGGAAGATGATTAATCTTCCTGGACGAGACCCTGGGATGATGCGTACACCCCAATTCCCGAGCCCTCGGTTCGGACAGGCGCCCTGGCGCCGGACGCGTACCACAGGTCACGCCCCCCACATTCACAACCAAAGAAACACAGCGAAAGATGCCTACGTTACAACGCATTCAGGCTCTAACCGAATCGAATGCAAGCTTGCCAGCCTTGCTCAGCACTTGGATCGTAATCTCCTTGTGCCGCCGCCAATACCTGTCAAAGGCATTCGATGACCAACGGCCAAGGTTTCGGATGTGATCCGTGTGTACACCTTCTCGAAGGTAAAACGTGGCCCCACCGGACCTAAAGGAGTGGTTATTCAAGGGCGCCCTTCCGCTCGCCTCGAGAATGTCTCTGATTCGTCGCGAGAACGCCGAGGAGGTCAGCTGTCGATGACCTCCCTCGCGCGCCCGATATGAGAACAACCGCCCTGGTGGAGGGTCGTTTAGGCGGAAATGGTTATCGATGCCACCGACCGGGCAGAAGGGCTCGCCGTCTCGCGCCGAGACTACCAGCGTGCGGCCGACACGCCGGCGCACCTTGTCGAACGGGAGGTCCAACTCGTATCGGAGAGGAGCTTCGCTCGTCGCATCGATCCGGCGTGCATTGGCCACCGCTAGATGCCGCTCGGCTATGAACTCTTCGTCCGCCGAACCCGCCGTAAACTCGCCCAATCTCGCCATCGCGAAGAACGCCGCACACGCTGCAGCAAACACGGCCGTATCGAACGGACTGCACTTATCGATCCCCGCGGCCAAGCACCTGAGGTCGTCCAAAGTCGCCGCCAATCGGTTTGGGGCCTGGAGCTGTGGCCGCAGCCGCAGCCAGTTGCATCGTCCACATCTTCGGATCATAGTTCATACGCCGCCCATGCGTCGTGTGCCAAAATTCTAGGGCGGTACGGAATCGGCGGAAGTGGCTGACGCTATAGGCTCCGACGCCATTTCCCGACAACGCGATCCGAGTGAGAAATCGCCTGACGACGTCAGGATGTGCGGGGAATCGATCCCTCCGGTCGACCAAGGAGCGGACGTTGGACCGGAGTCGTCGGTGTGAGAACGAGGATTCGGTTGATGCCTCGATACGCCTTGGCGAACGCGGCGCACAGCCGCTCCTCCGGCGTGCAATTCGTGGATGAAGCCATCGGGGCCATCTCGTTCCCGTCTGCCTCAGTTAGGTAAACGACGATGTCCCCCGAATGGGAACTGCGCAACATCGGCAATCTTGGGTTCGACGTCGACGTGAATCCCAAACAAGTCCCTGGACTACAATCTAGTTTCACAATCGGAGGTGGCGCCGCAGCCGGTGCTCCATCGCGCAGCGCCGAACTCGACGCGTCGGCCCGACCGGTGAGCGCTCTTCCAGACTTGAACGCGCGCTCCCTAACGGCCATCGTCGGGTACGGAACGGCTCGTTGACGAAGCCTCGACGCGGCTCGTGAATCCTCGAAAGACATCTGTATTTTCCAGACGGCGTGCGACCCCCTCGTCTGACAAAGTGTGGGGGGAGGCCGAACGTGCCAAGCACGCGCCTACGCTCACGCGATTCTCTCGCGGCGGAGACGGGATAGGACCGGATAACCGCACAGCCGCAACCGAGGCATAAGAGCGCGGCTCTGAGTCATGATAGCGTGACATTGACAAAACAGGACGCAAGAGGGTTCGACCCACAAACAAGCAAAGGTACACGACCTCGCAGACACAGGGATACGCAACTCCGTACGAACGAGGCTCCACCTTCCACGAAGGGAGTCAGATATCTCAGCCTATCGCCCACAGGGGCTCTCCCGCCGCCAGCAGCAACTCGCGCCCCGCCGGAAACTTCGACAGTGGGTGCGCGATCATGAACGGGAACGGTTCGTACTACCGCGGGCGGTCTGGCTGCCGGGACACGACGTCCGCGGGGTTCACCTTCGTGTTGATGTATTAAATCGACCACTTCACACCTCGAGTTTCTTCAAGGCTGCGCAGGTTTGAAAGCGACGAGTTCAACAAGGGATTCATCGAATGCCCTTTCCTCCATCCAAGCACAACCCCGGTGTTGTCGCATCGCATTGTAGAACGAAATGTCTATCGTCTTTAGACATTCGTAACGCAGCCTCGGCCAGCGCCTCGACCGCCCACGCCTCTGCGTTCGTGATCGAGACCGAGTGTCGAGGCGGTGGCAGATCCGTCCACCCCTCGGGGAGAGCGAAGTACGCGGAGTATCCGTTGATGACGATGCCTAGTCCGTGCATATAGGCATCCCACGCTAGCGCAAGCTTCGATGGGATCGGGAGGGCCTCGAACGACGTGGAGAATAGGCCTTCCGACGAGAGGGACCTTCTCCAGTATTCGAGTTGATCGTACGTGCGACGGTCCAGGCGACGCGCCCGCGATACCGCCTTCCGGTCCCCGTGCGCGATACACTGTCTGTATAGACAGTTGAGATGGGTCCGTAATGCAGGTAGGATGTAGGCGACATACCCCAACGACCCAGTGACCGACTCGACCTCCGAGCGTTCCTTCTGATCGGCGCAGCTACCTTTCACCAAGGCGTCGATGTAGCGCATCCGCTTCTGATCGGTGACCCTCGCAGTCATTAGATCCAAATCCCAGTCAATCCCGACGTGGACAAACTGACGCGTCCACGTGAATCCTTTCTGCTCCGCGAGGCGCCAGCCGAGGGATCGTACGAAATGAAGAATGGCTTCTTGCGATATGGCACCCGACGTTCGGACCGCGCAAACATCGTCAACCATCTTGAAGATTGACACGCCGGGGAACTTCCATTCGACCAATTCTTGGGTCAGGTCCGCAACGTTCCCAAAGACACCGGGAGTAGTCCTGCCACCGAAGCATGGGACTCGTCGTACGAAGATGAGGCCGCGCCACAAGATGCACATGCTCGATCGCTGGTCCCATCGCAAAGGGAGCTGGTAGAACGCATCGGCGAAATCCCAACCGCAGACTTCCGCCGTCAAGGGAAGCTCGCGAAACTTGCGGTACAACATGGGCAAGGTCGTCCAACGGCAAGGGAAATCCGCAGATTTCAGGTCGTCATTAATGAAAACGAGTTTCGGACGGCTAGACGAAGCATTCCGTTGCGACGGTCCATGCCCACTCGTCGACGGATGATTCGCTTCGTCAGGGTCTGTGGTTCGAACGATCGGTTTCGCCTTCGGGTAAGACCGGCATTCCGGGCGCTACTGACTTCGGCACATAGCTGATCGGATTCGTGCGGAAAGGACCGACCGCGGCCTCGAGCTCGTCCTTGTCGTACGGGCCCGCGATGTACCCGAGATCGAGCATGCGCTCCATCTCGCCGTCCATGACCAGTTGTTGCTCCTCACTGAGCGGTGCGTTCTTCGCGATGTGACGCTCCGACGGAGGGTCCTTGATGCCGAAATCAAAGCCCTCTCGGATCTGCTTCGGTATAGCGGCCAGGTACGGCGCGACGTGCGCGACCTTTGCGAGTGCCTTAATCTTGGCTTCGAACGCACCAGCATCGAGCAGCGGAACAATCTTGTACATCGCATCATGGAACGAGTCGACTTCGCGAGCCATGATTCGCATGCGAGCGGAAGTTTCGGGCGCTGGCGACGAGCCCGGCGCGGGCATTGAAGACACGAACGGGACGTCTCCTTTCGGTTAGCGGGTCTGGAAATACAAATCCAGCACGTCAGCCCTCGGCTGCGCAGGAAGGGGCAACACCCAGCAGGTCCGTCGGGACCGGGCATCTACACGTACGCGGACGTGAGGAAGCGCGAACGGCGGGGGATTCGACCCCTGAACGAGAGAACGGAGGCACGCGACGCGATGCCCGAGAGGTAACGACCTCACAAAGGGCCGCAGAAGCGGTTCGAATCGTTCGGGAAACGAGTATTTACCGTGCGGTGAGGGCCATATTCGAGGCGAGCCGGGAGCGAGAACCGGAGACGGAGTCGAGAAAGACGGGTTCGAGTGGAGCCCTGCCCACCCCGTGGATGGGCAGTTCGGTGATGCTCGGAGAGTCCGCCGGAGCAGCGGTTAGCGGGTGCGGACGTGAGGAAGCGCGAACGGCGGGGATTCGACCTCTGAACGAGAGAACGGAGGCACACGACGCGATGCCTGAGAGGTAACGACCTCACAAAGGGCCGCAGAAGCGGTTCGAATCGTTCGGGAAACTCGAGGCGAGCGGGAGCGAGAATCGGAGACGGAGTCGAGAAAGACGTGTCACTGACTCGCGAGTCAGGGACTCAAAACACACTCCTTTGCTGTCGGCCGCGACAGGTTCGAGTGGAGCCCTGCTCACCCCGTGGATGGGCAGGTCGGCGATGCTCGCAGAGTCCGCCGAAGCAGCAGTTAGCGGGTGCGGACGTGAGGAAGCGCAAACGGCGGGGGATTCGACCCCTGAACGAGAGAACGGAGGCACACGACGCGATGCCTGAGAGGTAACAACCTCACAAAGGGCCGCAGAAGCGGTTCGAATCGTACGGGAAACGAGTATGTACCGTGCGGTGAGGGCCATATTCGAGGCGAGCCGGGAGCGAGAATCGGGGACGGAGTCGAGAAAGACGTGTCACTGACTCGCGAGTCAGGGACTCAAAGACACTCCTTTGCTGCCGGCCACGACAGGTTCGAGTGGAGCCCTGCCCACCCCGTGGATGGGCAGTTCGGTGATGCTCGGAGTCCGCCGGAGCAGCGGTTAGCGGGTGCGGACGTGAGGAGGCGCGAACGGCGGGGGATTCGACCCCTGAACCAGAGAACGGAGGCACGCGACGCGATGCCTGAGAGGTAACGACCTCAGAAAGGGGCACAGGGCCCGTCGGGACCAGGCATCTACACGTACGCAGACATGAGGCGGAAGTGACGGCACGACACGAGAAGAGGGAAAGGATGGTGATACAGACGCGCCAACTGGGTCATGCGGACCCGACGTGGGTATAAGCCTCATGCTGGCCTTTACAGAAAGAACACGCGTGTTCACGAACGCTGGTGCAGGCTGCCGCTCGCGGCAGCCGCAGCGCTGAGCGGAACCACCGAAGTTACGACTACCGCTGCAGGCGCACCACTACAGGTTTGAGGAGAGGAAGAATCGGCTTCCAATCCTCGTCCCCCAGCGTTGCGGCCTCCATGGCTTGAATGCGGCCACGCGCCTGGATGAGATCGTCCACCGGGCGCTCCATCGCCCGGGCCCACGATGATGGTCGAAGGGTCCGAAAACCTTTATCTTCGAGACCTTGAATCCCGACCACCACAAAGAACGAACCATCAAGTCGTATTTCCGCATGATGTACCAGTTCGAGTCACAGGTCCGCATTGCAACGGACTCCGAGTGGCGGTCAAACATCTCCGAAGGCAACTGTGCGCCTCGGACGATGGTCGAGGCCGTCATCGAGGCGACCATTGATAAGGAGCACATAGGAACAGCGCGCGTCCTGCCAATATGCATGCGCGGCAGGCAACCGTCGAAGACCAGACCCGCCTCCTACCGCGCGTTGAGACCCACACCATAGTTCAGACTCATCTTGACTTGTTGGTGTCGTGACAGACACGACATCGGAACAAAGCGCCATCGTAAGTGGTACACGCCGTCGTGTCTAGGGCGCCGGAGAGTTGCATCGGGGGCAATTGCGGGGCCGTCGCGGCGTGGTCGTTGGTTGAGGTCGAAGCAGTCGTCATTGCCGGTACTGACAGGGTTGAAAAGTTTCGCGAGTGTAGAGGCAATGAGCACTGCCGTTCGAGCGAAACGAATAAGGTGCAGAAGCGAACAGGCATTTCTCTCGCCTTACTTCACTCTAAGCGCATGCGCGCCACCCCAGGGGGGCGGCCCACCCGTGCTCCAAGCGGCGGCGCGCCTGCAAACGATCGCCAGTTTTCGCGTCTGGGCTTGGCTTCTGCCGCACGCCGCGCTGACGATCACTTGCCCCTCCACCGTTGAAAGCATACACGCCAGCACAGCATGGCACCCAAGGTGCTTCACATTTCAAGAGCACGATCGTGTGCTACGGCTCCCCACTGTTGCGCGTCGCATTCGCTGATCCGTATTCCCCTGTCGCTCGTGTCGTGCGGCGTTCGCGTCACTTACAGAAAGGAAAGAAGATGGACCTCGGCGCCTTCTTGGCCGACGAAAGTCAGTCGACGGGGCTGTGCACGGATTATCGCTCCCGAGAAGCACTTCTCTCGTGTTGGCCTTACTGATTCGTGTTCCCCCTTTTGGCGTTCGGCAGGCACCGGCGGATCCTGGGCCGACGAGGTGGATGCGCTCCCCACTGGACGTAAGTCGGATCGGGACTTTGGGCAAGCGTGGCATCTGACATCTCAATCCATCAAGCCAATGCCTGTGCGCTCACACGCTCCTTGGTCACACTCCTGTCTCGCCGTTCACAGCCTCGGGCGACCCCTCCTTGAGCGCCGGTGGACTCGGCGGATCTCACCTCTCGCGCGGCATGGGAGCATCGGGTAAGTGCCCCGTAGAGGCATCAAATGTATATCAGCCCTTCAAATCGTTCCTGGACTGAACTCGGCCTAGCGTCTCTGCTCTCCGTCTTGCTTTCACTCTTGGATAGGCGGTTATGGACGCAGTGACCGTGACGATTTCCGACCGCAGCGCGCCGAGGTGCCCTTTCCGACCGCGCCTCCTTACACCGCCTTTGTTGGCAACTTGACCTTTGAGACGGTCGATGACGATTTGAGGGACTTTTTCGCTGGCGCCGAGGTGCGCACACTTCTCCGAGATACTGGGGTTCCAATCCGAACCTGCCGCCGTGGATCCTCACGATGCTGGCTTCGCTGTTACAGGTCCTCTCGGTTCGCATGGTTTCCGGCGCGGATGGCAAGCCCAAAGGATTCGGATACGTCGAATTCTCCAAGAGCGATGACCTTCGCAACGCCCTTGGTCTTTCGGGATCGGATCTGAATGGCCGCACTGTTCGCATCAGCGTGGCTGAAGCCCCTAGGGAAGGCGGCCGTCCCGAAGGCCGTGCCGATGCCGAGTCGACCTGGACGCGCTCAGGACCTTTGGCGCCACTTGCCGGAGGTGGAAGAAGTGGCGGATTCGGCGGAGGATCACGATTCGGTGCTGGTGCACCCAGCGGTGGGTTCGAGGGTGCCGCTGACGTTGAGCGAGAAGGCCCCATCAGGGGTGGCAAATTCCAGCCCTCGGCACCGAGTGACTTAGGCGGAGCTCGTCGCACCAGCGGCTTTGGTGGCTTTGGTGCGGGCGATCGAAGTGTTAGCGGGGGGTCGGCCGGTGGCTTCGAGCGCCGCGAGTTCCAGGCCGCACCCCTAGCCGAGGTTGAGCGTGAAGGACCTATCCGCGGCGGCAAGTTTGTCGCCACTCCTGAACGCAATTCGTTCGGTGCAGAGCGTCGAGGTCTCCCCCCAGGTCGCGCTGACGAGGAGAGGTCTTGGACTCGTGGAGCACCTTTGCCCCCGGCACCTCAACGATCCGGATCAGGTGCATTCGGTCGCGGACTGGGTGATCGAACGCGTGAGCTTGGGTCGCTGTCTTTTGTCCCGAGATGCACCTCGACCCTTCGCACTCACACCCAGCTTGTATGTGCTCTCTTGTAGCCCCCACAGAGGGAGGTGAACGGCCCAGACTGCAACTCTCGGCTCGCTCGTCGGCCGATGGCTCCCCAGCTGCTGCGCCCGCTCCATCGACTCGACCGTCCCCATTTGGTGCCGCAAAACCCGTCGAAACCCGCGAGCCTGTGAATAGCCCCAAGGAGGCCGAGAAGCCTAAGCCAACATCGACTTCGGCTAGATCGGTCTCGTCCTCGTCTCCGTTCGGATCGGCCAAACCTGTCGATATCAGTGCCAAGGAGCGAGAAGCCGAGGATCGCATCTCCAAGGCACGCCTAACGGCCACTCCCACGACCACTTCTACGCCCTCTACGGCTTCGAACCAATCTGCGGCGAACCCTGCTTCAGCTGAGGACGGGGACGGGCAGTCGTCGACCACTTTTGCTTCTCCCGCCGCTACTTTGAGGAAAGACGGCATCTCGTTCTCGTCTGCTGCGACGACGGTCGATGAAGTCGCCGAAGCGGTTGAACAAACGTCCATTGAATAGGCCCACTTTACTTTTCAAAAGGATTTGTGTTGTCTTGATAATGCAGAAGGTGTCGCCTTTGAACCTGCTGAGAACAGTCGATCTACTGACGATGCAAGCGAGCCAAGTTCGGGCAAGAGAAGCACTCCTCACCTCAGTACGAGTTGAAAGCGAAGCGTCGGCGGTGTCAAATTCCCCACATGGGGAGTTGTGTCAAGGGTGAGGATGTAGGCTAGCGTTCGACATGGCTACAATTGCACAGGGACTTTTTCGCAACGAGTATACTCTAGAATTGGGGAGTGAAGAATCAACCCCTGTTGGCGGCCGCACGTCGAAGGATCGCCTCGACCTCCTGTCTCCTCGTTTCTCTCTTCTCTTCCGGTGATTCGGAAGCGCTTCGAGATCCTCCTACATGACCTTCCCTCCAACCGGACGTGAATTCAGGTGTACCCCGATACGTTCCCGAACTTTCAAAGCTGTTCCTCGTCGAAGACTGATCTCCTCCAGACTCACGCTGCGCTTCGATCGAAGTATCCGATGGGAAGGACACTTCGCTTGCCCTACGAAGGCGCATTCTTGAAGTCGGCGACTCGAACGTCGAGGCGTTCGTCGGGTCGAAGACGGGAACGGATAGAATGCTCGCTCGCGAAAGCGAACGTCGCATCGACGAAGGTGTCCCAGGTCGTACGTTTGTCGCACCTGTATTCGACAACTATTGATGCAAAGGATACAACCCAGATGAGATGAGACAAACCAACGTCATCGTGCTAAGAACGATACTTTCGGGGAAGGTTGACCCACCAAATTGCGTCTACGCGACTGACTTCCAACCGTAGGAGACGACTCGGGAAAAGTATCATCATACTGCGACGCGGCGCTTGCAGGGTGAGAGATCGAAAGCGAGGCGCGCGAATGTGCTCTACCGTCCTGCGAAATCGAAAGTGGCGAACGGTATTGATCGCGGCTTCCGGGGGAGGGCGAATGCAGGGAAAGAGGGCTGAAGGCATTGCGCGAAGCTGAGTTTCGGAGCTTGGGGGTCGCGTTTGTGAGCGCACCAAGCGAAAACTGGTCTCCTGAACGAGCGGGAGACATGATACCGAGGCTCGTGGAGGGTCGAAAGCCACTAGCTCGGCTCAAGGACCGTGGCGAACGACCTTCGTCCTGGCTCGTTGAGTGGCGCTCTCGCTCGAAACGTGTCAGGGCAATGATCTCTTCAGTCAGGCACCTTATCTGGTCGTTACTGGTGCGGAGCAGCGAGCGAGCGGTGGTGGCAAGAATCGAACTCTCAGCCAGATCGTCCATTGAATCCATGGACCGCCGGCGCTGCTCTTCGCTATCTGTACGACGCTCCAGGTTGGCCGTGGCTTGGACGAGATCGCGCAGTCCATCATTGAGCTTTACGGTCACCCTGACGGTCGCAGCTGTTCTTTTCAGGAGGTCGGAGGCGTCCGAGGCGTCACTCGGACTGTTCGGGGCGTTGCCGATGCCATCCAGAAGTTGATGAAGTTGATCATATGCCGCATGTACCAGCATGTGATGGTCTCCGACGGCAACAGGTCGGCCAGCCTGCAAGTTCCGCGAGGCTGTCGACGAGCCTGCAGCTCCAGCGCCAACATCGCCTGAGGAGGTCACCAGAGACAAACGGCTCATCGAGCGACGCGGATCTCGTTTCCGAAGGGACGTAGCGGGAAGCCATCCTCGGAGACCGGTCGAAGAAAAATCTTCATGGGCATGCGAGACGGGCTGAGATTCTAGATCGGCGAGCGATGCTTGTTTCCCGATCCGAGTCGGTTCATCTTCACTTCCGGTTTTCGCACGAGTTCGCGTGGCTTGCAAAGCTCGAATAGCCTGGACTGGAGCCGAGGAATGGTGGGAAGACACAGCGCATAAGCAAGCGAAAAGTGGACCTAGACATATCAAGAGCGACTCACACTCTGAGATCCACCCCGTGCTCCCGACTTCGAGGTTGCGCAGACGTCTTCTGCGCTCTTCCAGGGGTAACGCGCCTTCCTCTGCTAGCAGAAAATCGGACAGACCGAAATAGTCAGAGAGACTCTTTGCAATGGCTCCGATCAACTCATGCGAAAAGACGTACCGTCAATCCCAGACCTCCTTGAGGCTCGATTGTAGTCCGCGGAAGCTGGTTGGCCTCGACCATCTTCGACCTCGGAGTCTCCACCGTGTTCCAGACGCAGGTCGTGTCTGGGATGCGAACCACTGCCGTCGCCGGGATGTGTGCGACCACTCATCTTAGTTGGTATGCAGTTGTCCGACTGGGATGATGGGCTACGGAAAAGGCGACCCGCTCCATGCGGAGACGACCCGATGAAGGCTGACGTGGACGAAGCATTTGCAGGTAGCTGATCATGCAAAGTGTGGTTACCGTCTTCGGCTTGCAGAAACTCTTGGGGGATGCCGCGCCGTGTGCTGTTGGAAACGCTGCCTGCCACAGTATGCGCGTTTTTCGCCTCAGATGGTGAGTATTCGCTGCGTGGATGAAACACAGGCGAGGCAATGGCCGATGGCGATGTTGCTTCACTGCCTTCTCGCGAGTGCGCACCTTGAACGCTTGCAGCCCGCGTTCGCTCCGAACCCACCCAGCTCGAGCGTCGAGGCGGGCCATCGCGATCGCGGGTCAATTCCCACTGGTCACCGTCGATCGAATACGAGGATCGAACATGCGCCGTTCTTCCGTGTTCTTCGGCGGCCTCATGACCGGAATGAGGCGACGAGCTATTGATGTTGTCGAGAATCTACTCGGACACGGGCCAGCCGCTATCCGATCAGAGACGAGCAGAGAATTTGGGGTGATCACAAGGGCTGCGCGACACTCACTCTCTGATTCCGCATCTGCCTCTCTGACGATCGCCACGGCTTGCTCGATGACACTTTGCCCGATTCTAGTCCATCATCCAAAACGGATCGATTCTTGAACGGCAGCGAGGTACCTCGTCCCTTGGGTGTCCTTGTTTGGAGCTCGGGAATCGCTACTTCTCGAATCGAAACGGCTTGCCTAGTGGGCTGCGGAGTATTGATCGCAGAAGCATCTGACGAGCGCGGAAAGTTGGGTGAGGGCAGTGGCGATGGAGACGGGGAACGGGACGCCTCGAGCGCGTCCAAATAAGGCTCGATTGAGCTGGCAGTGTCAACAGAGTCACGCCGAGGCTCGTCCGTTCGTACCGAGGATGGCCCGATCAGGTTCAGACGCTCAAGACGGTGGCGCTGTTCGTGCGAATGGTCCGAACTCCGCGAAGGGGTACCTGCGACCGACGGGCTAGAGGTCTGGATGAGCGGGATGGAAGAAGACATCGACAAGCGCTTGTCTGGAGTCGTAGGAGCGGTCGGAGTTGGTGGAGCACTTCTCGCTTCACTTCTTGGTGGCCGGTCTGGCCTCGGTCGGCCGGTGGACGCTGACACATCGGTTGCAAACATCCTGGCAGATGCGCTGGCGATGGGACGATGGCCGTATATCGTATGATTCAGCTCCTCGTTGGACCGAATGGTGCTGAGAGCTCGATTGGAAGACGGGGAAGTGATGGCACCGTTGAGCGAAGCGGGTGGAGATGGTAATTGCGCACCAACGGGCGGCAGTTTGTCTGTCAAACCGAGGTCGAGGCCGTCCGAAGCTAACCCTTTTTCTGAGGGAGACATGCGGCCAGCGCGAGAAGAAACCGACAGCGACGGGGACGAGCCAGGGGCGCGGTAAGAGTTGCGACGAGACGACAGAGGGGAGCTTTGGCGACTGTTGCCAGAAGATGATGGCGAGCGATGGGCCGAGGAGTATGACTGGCTTCGACTTAAGCCCGGGGATGACGGTGAAAACGGTTTGCGCTCGCGAGGAAAGGAGGAGCTGTGGAGCTGAGCGCTTTCCCGAGGGCTTGAGCCAGGTAAATGTGCGATCGCAGCGATGTGGGGATGTCCGTCCGAGGCCGCACTTGATCTTCGTGAATTGAGACGGACAGTACTGGTGCCGACGTGGGCATACGCTGGGTCGGCAGATCGTGACGAGTGGGTGGACGACTGGATTGATTCGACGGGGCTGCGATAGCCATCGACGAACGGACTCGCTCGTCGGGTGGGGCTTCCATTTCCAGTGCTGGACGACGACGACGAAGACGAACCAAAGGTGTTGGACGAACTTGTCCGCGCATGCCTTAGAAGCGGCGGCAGAGGTGGGGGCCCGCCAGGCGGGAAGGAAGGGGACATGCTGCGGCAACGACGATCTCGAGCGTCTTAAGGGCTTGAGTATGGCTGCATTTGACCGTTGCAGAGCCTTGACACGTGAGACCCGGAACAAAAAGGTCGAGTTGCGGTCCTTGAAGCGGTGCGAGCTCTATCCGCCACAGTGTAGGTTGGGACGTGAGGTGCCTAGTTCAATCACTTCGAGCGAGCACGGTCGACGCGGTCGGGAGGGAGGCGGGGGACAGCAGAGCAGCGTAGAGTTGGCAGCGTCGTCGGGACCCACACAGTGCTGCCCCTGTTGGATCTGGACGGACAGAGGAGATGAGGCAAAGTCGTCGGCGAGACAAGGTTCCGCTCACGAGTAGATCGGTGCGCGTGTGCACCTCGCGGTCCGGGCGCGTGAGGGCGCGTGACGCAGCCAGTTTGTTTTTTTGTATCAAGACGCAGCCGTGACGCGTGAGGACCGTGCCCACTGAGCTGGTCCCCATGTCACCTCCGAAGAGGCCGAAGAGTCAAAGCTGGCCTGAGCGGGGTTTTATTCAATCTTGATCAGATACTTCAAACACCTGCCCGCCTGGCAACCTCCTTTTTTTCCGTCGAGTCCGTTCAATACCTTACAAGTTGGGTTCTCTACGCAGACTCCGCGTAATCTGTAAGCCCACCTGCCACATCGCTGCACTGCATCCGCCTGCGTGACCGAGTTGAACTTTAACGACTGGTTGGGTTCCTTCTTATCCGATCCGCCTTCACACGACGCACGTGACGTTTTGAGTTGCTGTCCCACGTCGCTGAGTGTCAACATCATTAACGACGCAATGTCATCCTTCTCGTTGACTGAGGAGCAGAAAGCTCAGGTGCGTCGGCCGGAATGTATCACATGCATAGTGATGCATCTCGCCGTTGCCGGGAAGCACTATCCGCCTGATGTGGGGTGCCTGCACACGGAACCGCACCCAGGCCTTGCCAAAGCATGAATAGCTCACTGAACCCCTTGCCCCTACCTCTTTCCTTCCACATGCTACGCCTTTACTGTCCAATTGCCGTCCTTCCCCATGATGGTCTCGCGGCCATCAGTTCGATGACGAAGGTTGTCTCCTCATCAAGGGCTTCTTCTCGACGGAGACCGCGGACGAACTACTTGGCCGGGCGAAACAGCTGCTGGCCGACATGGACCTCACCGATCACCCGATGACCGTTTTCACGACGGAGGAGAACGCATCCCACCCTTCGGACGAGTACTTTATCACCTCGGGTGACAAGATCCGGTTCTTTTTCGAAGCGGGCGCCTTCACAGAGGGCAAACTGAACCGCCCCCCTCAACTTGCGGTCAATAAGGTGAGTCGATACGTCGGCGTTGTTTCTCCGTTTCAGTGTTTGCCTCTTTGAGCTTATGAAAAGTATTCTGGCGTTTGCCTCGTTCGCCATAGATCGGTCATTACCTTGTCAGGGACCCCACATTCCGCCGCTTTACTCTGGAAAACCCGGACATTGTGGGCCTCAGCCGATCCCTCGGGTATCACCAACAGCCCTTGATATGCCAATCCATGGTTATCGCTAAGCAGCCTCAGATCGGAGGCGAAGTAGGTATTCATGACGACGGGACTTTTCTTTGGACTGACCCCCTCTCCGCCATCGGCTACTGGTTCGCACTGGAGAACTGCACCCCCAACAACGGCTGTCTCACTTTCCTCCCCGGTTCCCACAAAAGGAATCGGATCACACGACGCTTGGAGCGCGTCGTCGGCGGTGGAACGGAAATGAGGCAGATCCCGGATCTCGTCGGAAGCCCTGCGAATCCAGACTGGTCCAAGGAGCCAGGCTGGAAGTCTCTCGAATGCTCTGTCGTCGATCTAGTGCTCATTCATGGCTCCGTCATTCATGCCTCATCACCGAATCACTCGTCCGATTCTCGATTCATCTATACCTTCCACGCGATCGAGGGTGAACCACACGCAAAATGGTCACCCACAAACTGGTAAGTTCGACCGGGCGAGGCGATCGCTGTTGCAAATGCCACATCTAGCGACCGTTTCACGCGACCTTCTGAGACGACCTTCTTGTCTGGTGCTACAGGCTGCAACCGACCGTAGAAACCCCTTTTGACCCTCTCTACGTGGTGTGAGCGTCAGGTACAAGCAGAGCAGGGGCCCCTTTGATGGAGTTTAACTCTCACGGGTTGGCAGGCAACAATTTGTAGACTTTAATTCCACACTGCAACAACATGACAAAACAAAACTGGGTCAAATCAAGATGACCGCGCAACAAAGCTTTGCAGCTGAGTTTTCGTCGGTGAGGCGTAGCCGTTGGGATTGTGCTGACGAGGTAAGGTAGACGCATATGGCTTGTCAGTATGACCGCGAGTTGCAAACCGTTGGCTCGGGGACTCACGAATTGCCAATTCACGAGGTCGCGACACATGGCGATGATGTCATGTTCTGCTTTCCAGCCTAATTCACGCTCGGCCTTTTCTGCCGAGCACACCACGCATCCTAAATCGCCGGGTCTTCGAGGGCTCACCACAATCTCGATGGATCGCTGCGCGATCAGCGAGAGCATTTCGATTACTCTTAGAACAGAGGTGCCTTTGTTGGTACCCAAACTGTTGGGTTCAGATTAGCAGACCGATCAGAGCGGGCTCATACCTGACGCTCGACACACTGAGCTTCAGTCGCAACATGCTTACTTGTACGTAGAATGACGTGCGGTCGGTTGACCCTCGACCACGGCCCTGAGCGCCGCTAGATGGGCTTTTGCAAGATCGACGACGTGGATGAAATCCCTGACGCCAGTTCCATCAGGCGTGTCATAGTCTGCGCCATAAATCTGATGGGTGTATCCGGAGCCTCAACCCAGGGTAGACCGGCTAAGTGAGCTGTAGGGTAGACGTACCATGACGTGGCTACGCTTGCCTTGCAGAACTTGCGTCACGATCGGCATTAGATTTGCAGCATTGGTCGGGTCCTGAGATGGCTCAAAGTAGACCCGGGTCAGCAGTTAAGACGTGACAAAAAAGAGAAGGGAACGAATCTACCTCTCCAATGTATCCAGATGGGTGTGCTCCGCTAGGGTTGGTGTATCGCAGTGCCATGGTGACCCAATCTGAATCAGAGGCACAGCTGAGCGATGCAAGTGGCCAGACTGTTTAATCAGGTTGCCACCCCAAGATCAAGACTGGCAACCGAAGCATCACATCACAGGGGACTTACAGATCTGCAAGTATTTCTTCGCACATACGCTTGGTCCGGCCATCTACGATCGAAGTCACGAGCGCACAAGTTCAGCATGCCGGTCAGAATCCGCCAGGTCTCGGGGGTGCACTCACAGGGATTTGTGATGCCCTTGCTTGACCCAGCGACCACATCGCATTGATCCTCTGTGATGCCTTCGCCGTCACAATTGGACCCATAGACAACGCAACTCGAACTGAACACCAGGCGCTTGGCGTTCCAGTCGGCCAATGCCTGGACGAGGTTGAGGGTGCCGCCGACGTTGACCTGGTAGTAGATGATCGGTCCGCTCAAACTTCCTGAGACCGACTTGAGGGCTGCGAAGTGGATGGCGGATACGATACGGGACGTGGTGGATGTTTTGGCATAAAGCTGGAACACTTCGGACAGCGCGTGGCGGTCTTGGATATCACATGGATGATAGTAGAGAGGGGGATGCCGTTCCACGGCTAGCGAGCGGTCGGCGTGGTACTTGGCGGCGAGTATGCGCACCCTTTGCAGAACCTCGGTACTCGAGTTGGCGAGGTTGTCCAACACGACCACTCCGCTGTAGACCGTTGGCCACCAATCACGTCAGTCTTGCAGAGATAGAGATCGGCCTCGAGCCGGGCTGTTGAGCACCCGCGCGTGGTTCAGACGATCCTGTCTTCAGTGCCAGGTGGTGGCTTACTATTTGCCTTCCTGCAAAATCTCGAGCACAGTGTGGGAGCCGATGAAGCCGCAGCCCCCTGTCGGTTCGTTCAGAAGATCGGGGTGACCGGATTCGCGCCAACCGGGTGAGCAGAAGGAGTGGGAACGAGGAGAGTGAGCGGACGCCGATGGAAGCGGGTTGCACTACCGAGGCACGTGAAGGGCGCAGCAGAGGTGACACGTACCGGTCACTAGAATCAGAGGGTAAGCCGACTCGACATTCACTTCCGATGGGCAGGACGTGCTCAGGCGATCGCTGGGGTTGCCTTGCAAGTCGGCTAGGCCCGAAGGTGGTGGCGTGCGTGGAGGTGTAGACAGTGGGATTCGTCTCAGAGAGTCCGGGTTGAGAGGCGTGATCGAGTCGAACGGGCGATACGAAGAAGTCAATGCTTCGGCATCATCCGTGAACGACTCGAAGTTGGCGAGCGCGGACGTGGGGCTGGAGGCAGCGAAGGAATGCTCATGCCGATCAGTCTCACTGGAAGGTTGCCTGTGGGCAAGGTGAGTGCGCGCACGTCGTCCGGCTCACCTAGGTGGATGTGACACCACCACATTGCCCCGCCACTTCTCTCCATCCTGTCGCGAGTGAGACGCCGAAGAGGAGTCCGGACCGGCGCCAGCCTCACGTAGAGACACGGAACTGATCGCCGCGCGAAGAAGCGCTGGTGAGGTCGCGTGGACAGATGTACTACGAGAAAGACCCGAGGCGGCTCCCAGCAATGCTGCGTCTGCGTCATCTTGTGCAGCGGTGCCAGTCATTGCGGAGACTGGATGCGTGCCGGTGGTGAACGAGCTGCAACCAGCCGCCCCCCGCCGCAGCAGCAGCTACTTCACTCAACCCCTCGCCAGCCCTCGCCAGAGTCTGCCAGAGCTAGCCAGAGCTTGCCAGCAGTGACCTCCTCGCCTGCTCTCGTTGGCCCTACTCTCACCTTGTCTCACCAACTCTTACCTTTTCTTTCTTTGTCTAACGATTAATAACGGCACAGTCATAAAAGCAGATGACTGAAAACATTTGCTTGCGAGAGTCACGTGTGCCGAGGGCAGAAGACGGACAATGTGTCGTACGCACGTCGTACACATGTTGCAGTCTACAGGGAAGAACGAATTGCTGAATGCTAATAATAAATGAGGAAACGATTTTCTAAATGCGAGCCACCGAGCCATCGAGCAACCTGTGGCTGCACGCGCCGATGTGTGAAATCCCGGAAAGGCGGCCCCCCAGGGGTACGTCGACATCTTCCTCGCGATGCCCACGACCAAAGGCAATGTACGGTCCAGGTCGTTCGCCGCGTCGAACCGTGGATTGAAGAATTGCGCCGGCACCTATGCCGGGCCATCTCACCCCTTTGTCGCTCTTAATTATGTGAGCTTGCCCGTGATCCCGGATCGTTGACGATTATGGAAGGCGCAGTATTCTGATGCCGACGCGGTGAAGCGTTGGCCGGTCGCCACCGCCATGCCTCACGAGTGGTAGGTGTCGTGTACACATATGTGGCCGCAAGAACCATCGCAGAGCCGAAGACGATCCCAAGATTCACCTGTAAGACACGCGAGTCAGTTTGGCGCGGCATTCGCATCGCGAGTTTTGTTGCATTTCCCTCACCTGGAAGTTGAACAAAAAGACAGAGGCGACCACCGAGAGCAAAATTGACATGCTCGTAGAGAAGCATTTGAGGAGATTATCGGCGTGCTTCATCACCAAAGCTGTCCGCATCCGTCGTCACCCATAATCAGCACATTCAATTACCCAGAACAAGCCAAACAAAGCTTTTCCCAGAAGGTTGTACTCACCGCCGAGCAAGCCTCCGGTAACCTGAAGAAACACAACCATCCAAGTAATGGCGTTGAAACCATCGAAGAACGTGCTGGCTGCTGCGATCGGCTGCCAGGCAGAAGCTCTCCACCACCCACTCGCAGCCACAGCGCCGTTCGCATCTCCGGCACAGTTCGACAGCTCCCACATCAAGACGGGAACACCAGCGACAAGGCCGAAGAACGAGAGCTGGATGTTGCGAACCCAAATGCTGGGCCTGATGAAAGTCGTCGGTGTGGTGTTGGGGTTTGGCGACGAATGTGGCGTGCTCGGTGTTTTGAGAATCTGCTCGAAGAAACACGATGCAAATCCAGAAGAGATGCAGGCTGCCATCACGGCGAGCAGGCCGATAAACTGATTCGGTCGCCCCGATTCATGGGCTGGAGCGAGTGGTGTGGCTTGGGTTGAAGCAGCCGTTGAGGCCGACACGCTATAGATCTGAACAATGCCGACGCCGAAGGTCAAGACGAAGAGCGATGCCCATTGTTGTTGCGTCAAGACGCGTTTGAGGAGGATCACCGAACACATTGCCGTCGCTGGAATCTGCGAATGAAATGAAGCGCTTTTCAGCTGTTCCGTCGCACAGAACGCCGACGACATCAGAACTCAAACTCACCTTGAGTTGGTAGGCGAGTTGAAACAAGGGGACGCTGAGGTTTCCCGAGGCAACGTACTGCAAGTTGCCTTGCACCATATAGAGCGCGGCGACAAACGCCAGATTCCACCAGCCTTCGCTCCAGACGGTCTCTTGAAGTGCCCTCCACCATTCCACATCCAGCACATCACTCATGTGGGAGCCCCTTGCACGCAATTCGAATGCCTGTCGGGTCGGATAGAGGCCGTCGGCGTCGAGAATTTTGGTCGGCGAGGGCTCCGGCGCCGGAGTTGCAGGTATCAGTGCAAGCTTAGGCGCGGTAGCATCTAGCTGCTGAGCCAGGCAAGAATCGATGCGCAGAGTTGTTGGAGACCCTCTCTTTCCAACGCCAGATGAGGATGCTATGGGATACCGTCCAAAAGCTGTTCAGCTCAAACTGCTTTTGCCAACATGAGAGTGGCGGCCAGGCATCGTTCGGCCTCAACAACAGTCGACGATGAATACTCCGGCAGCAAGTCCCAACTCCGGACTTGGGGACAACTCACAAGTGGTTTCGGCCATACTCAACCAGTCGTAATGTTTCTGGTCGTCGTCTTTGTCGGATTCGTCGCCACCTGATTGGCCCTTCTCCTCGCCAAGCCACGCCGGCTCGCTCGCCTCTGCCAGTGCACGTCGCTCGTCCAGCTGCCAATACAACCTTTGTCGTTCAGATACAGTCGGTCGAAGTTCGCCGGACCAGGCTACCAGAGCTAATGCGACAATGATCTTGAAGAACTCGGTCAGGGCGATGGCGGAAGAAGCGTGGTATCGGGCGCCCGGCATCGACCGTGAGACATGGAGCATGATCGATAGCACACTATAGTGCAGCGTCAACGCGAGGAGGGAAAGAACGCCCGCCCTTTTGGGAAGCATGGAGGAGTATCAAGAATGAGAGTAAACATTCTGGCGGGTCAGCTTGACCAGGCAGGGGTGGGGGGGAGCGACGAGCCCCTTTGTCTACGCAGCGCCCTCGTCTCCTATTGCGGTCTGGACATAGGACTTACCGACTTAGATGAGTCATCACCACTTGCAACGGGAGCCTATTACAAGGCCCGATTCTATGGCGATGTCGGGGCGATGTCGTCGAACCAGCAGAGGCTTGGAACGGGGTCGCAAGGGTGAGACGTTAAGCTGTGAGGCTGCGCGAGTGCCGAGTGCCGGCGCAGGCGTTCGTCCGTGTCAGCGCGTCTGCGCCGATGAACTCGACGCGTTTGTCGCGACCGCGTCGACGCGACGGTCCAGCAGGCCGCGCTTGACACTCCGAGCCTTCAAGCCGAGCCTTCAAGTCAAAGGGTCGCTCTGGCACCCCTGGCTATATTTCTAAGCACACCAAAAAGTGGCGCGCGCGGCGCCCCTCCCAGCGCCGCTCTTAAGCGGCGTACCCATACAGGTTGCCCCCCCTGCAACCCGGGTTGGCCGCTGGCGCCAGGCCAAGATTAACTTGTTCATGAGATTGAGCATTTAGTGACTAGTACTAGTATGCCCGCAGACCTGTCTCTTTCAGCTTCCGCTCAGCGCCAAGTGAGACCGGCCTCAGTTCTAACCAGAGCATCAACTATCGAGACACCCTTCCTAAATCTCGAAGCTACGCAATTCACATCGACGATGGGCAGGCATCGATGGAGACCTTTCAAGGTCCGTCTGGACTACTTTGAGGAGCATCCTTCCTATAGGCCTCAAGGCCTCCGATCGGACGCCCGACTCCGCACCAACATCCCCGGAACCCGGCACCGTGTTACTTACACTGCCCGCCAAATCCAGCAAGGAACCTTCGATGATTTTGGCGAAGCTAGCTCGCCGTCTCCTCAGCGTCCAATGGCCCTTCCAATTCAGGCCGATTCCGACGAAGCCGCGAGTGACGCCGCCAACCCGAGTGGGATGGATTGGGATGAAGAGCGTTACAGCGAGTACGGTGGTGGCTTCGAACACGACTTCGATCCAGCCCCATACTCTCCGGATCGAACATCCCATTTCCCAACCTCGCTTGACTATAGTGCAATCGCCGAGCGATTATCACTGGCTGACCTGCGCCAAGTCGAAAGTTTCGAATCAGCCACACGTGGTCAGTCGAAGCAAGGAACGTACAAGCAATTCGTGTTCAACGACGCTCGCCTTAGGCGCTTGGAACGGCCAGCGCTTCTGCGCCAGTACATCGCGTTTTGCGCTGGGGTCAAAGGTCATCTACGGCCCTTGATTGACGTGGACGAGGAGCTGTGCCAGGGTTCGGTCGCTAGCGAAGTGCCGCCGCCTTGTTCATGCAAGAGTCCCCTCACGTTACGGCTTGACGTGTACGACCTCATAAGCTGTATGTGAATCAGGCGAATTGGGTCGCTGTGTCGAACGTTGCGCTGACAAGGTCGAATGGTTGAATCAATGCAGTGGTCGAGGTGCCGATCGCTTTTTGTCCGAGATCCAGCAGCGATAGCCCATGCCTTACGTACGCCGAGCGCCTTGCTCAGATCGGATTACTCGGATCGACCGCAGCTGCTCCTCGCTCTGCATTCACCTTTCGACTTCTCCAATTTTTCGACTCCTGGTGGAGCACCGCGCCGTTTCCTGTCGATGGAGCAGCTCGCGGGCTCGACATTTTCTATGAGCAAACTGGATGGGGTCGGCCGGGCCTGAGTCAGCATCAATTCGTGAGTTCGACCTCCTGTCATGATTGCCATTGAGCATTATCTGATGTTTATCATCGTTTGCGCAGGACAAGGAGTTGCGAAAGCAACTCCAGCGCGCCCTTGACGAATTTCGGGCTCTCACGACATCCGAGCGAGAATTGGGCGACCTCGTCCTCGGTGTCGCGGATTCTCTCTCGGACAAGTGTCCAGCATGCTACGGATCGACGCGTCTAAACCAAGCCCACCATAGAGTCGAAGTGCAGCATCTTGTCGCTCTGGATGGCAACTTCCAACATTCTCGCGACACCTCAGCCAAATACGATCCTCAGGAGTCGACGCCAGCCCTCTTCCTCGGCGAAGATGAGCTCGAATCGATGAAGGAGATCTGTGATGGTGGCGACAGCAAGAAGTCAGAAAAGGTCCGCTGATCCGAGCCGCCCCCTGCGATCCTTTCAACGCGCTGACGCCTTTCCTCTTGCGTCTTGAAGGCTTGTGCTGATTCGTGGAAAGCGGCCAACGGCGGTGCGACACAAATCTCGCGGGGCAAGTCCGATACGGGCCTAGTTGCCTGTGTCTGCCGTCACGATATCGCGTTGAAGATGGTCAACTTGTATCAATCAGGTGAAAAGTTCATCAGCTCAGCTCCTCTCTCACCCGCTTACAAGGCCTGACGCTCGTTTTTGATGAGGCAGGCGCTACTACGGCTTATCGCTGCTGCAACATATTTCGAACCAACTCCCGTCCGACGATACACTCGGAGTGCTGTATGATGTTGCGTGTAATTTGGACGGCTACATGCAATCGGTCAGCAAGAGTGGCGGATCCGTCGTTTCTTAGATTTCTGGCCCTGGGGCGCCGCTGACCTTCACTGTACTTCGATCGCCCGCAGAGAGGTATCCTTCCCGATTTGTTTCCGAGATTGAAGTTTGCCACGAGCGTGTTTCATGCTTTTGCTCATCAATGGCCCTGCCAGCTCGAGTACAACCCGCGCCTGATTCAGCACTTTGGGTTGACGGATGGGGAGGGATGCGAACGCGTTTGGAGTCAGCTCCGATCGCTCATCCCGATCAATCGTCGTGCGAGCGCTTCTCACCGGCGCGTCAACATCTCGCGTCGCATCGACCTGATGAACAAGAACGGTGTTGATAGCCTCGGTATGCTCTGCCATCCACACTTTCACGCCGTGTTCGTTACTCAATCATGCGGTCCCTTCATTCATCGTCCATTCTAGGCCGTTGGCTCCGCAGACGACTGTCGAATGCTCAAGATCAGCTTGGAAGGGCACAAACTGATCTGAGCGACGTTTCGGCAATATGGTCCGAGTCTGACCTTCTCGCGCAATGGGATTTACAGCGAGCTGCTCAAGCGACCACAACGGCGAGTCAACGTCGGGAGAATGAGGACAAGGAGCGATTCGAGCTTTTCAACATTGTACAGAAGCTACACCAGGTGGAAGAAAGGCTGTACGTTCGGCGCGTCAAGCCCCATTGGAGGACAAGGGCGTAAAATTGACACTGTGTCTTGGCATTGTGTGTTCAGATTCGATCCAATGGCTTCCGATGAAGCGAAGGCTCGCTTGCAGCAACAGCTAAGAGCTTATCAACAAGAATACAATCGTACGAAGGAACTTGCAGCTTCAGGTGCGGCGCGCGTCCTATCTTTATGAGTACCGCCACCTGATATTTGATGTCCCATGACATACCTAGATTTCCAGCATTTGTGCAACTGCGTAGTCAAACTTCGCGCATTACACAAAGCGACGGTCCAATTGCAATGCTGTCAAGAACGAATTGACTCAATGGGTCGGGGACGAAGCGGCGCGACAATCGGTCAAGTCGAAGCCAGCAAGCTTGTCAGCGTCTCACAGACGCACAGCAAGAAAGGAAAAGTGGCAATCGATATGTACAATAAAGCGGTCGGGGATTACCGAAATGCTGCGACCGAGCAATCGGCCAAGATTCTGGACAACTTGCCGCTCGCTACCACGATAAAGTCGCTTGTGACTCTGTCGCCAACGGACGCTTTCTGGCAAGACGGTTTTTTCGAACACGACACTGCGCCTTGGGCGATCGATACCGACGTTCAGAAAGGGATCAAGGCGGTTCTACTCAAAGCCAGGGCGGAAGAAGAGATTCTTCGAATCGGAGCTGAGGTTCGACAACTACTCGCGTGGCTCGAAGATGAGGACACTCGCTTTGTTAGGGTATCTCAGGCATGGGCAGAGGACAAAGGTGAGATGGACACACTCTTTCTTTGTGATGGTGCTGTACCTTACGTCGCCCCTTCTATTAGTTCCCGAAGAAACGATCGAAGCGGCTAGGAAACTTCTCGGAACTGATGGCGCGGGCGAGGTTGGCACGGCGGTGTGGCATGTGCTTCAACGCCGACAGATTTCGTTCAAAGAGCGTCTGGATCGGCTCGCCGAGCGCGATGATCTCTCGGTTGTCTGGTTCAGAACGCGTTCACCCGCAGTTCATGAATCGCGGCCCTCGGCATTCGGTTTGATCGGGGGACTTTTCGCCGGACGGCCGAAACAGGTGTCGCGCCGTTCGCGCGGTAGTCCACGTCATTTCGGTCGCTGCCTTTCGACGCTGAATAATACTCAAATGCAGAGCCTCGTCGCTGAGTCGAGCCGCCGCTCATCAGGTCCTTCTGCCGTGGACGTGCGCCACACAACCATCGACCTCGACGCATTCCGAAGGGAACTTGGCCTGACCCCCGATCCAGCCGCGGAGCAGGCCGAGCGAGACCGCGATGATGTGTATGAAAGACGAATGGAAGAACTTTTGGGCTCACGATCGGAGCAGGAGGTTGAGGAAGAAGATGATGCTGAGCTCGGGGAGGGCGGCGGAGAGTCAGGCTCGACAGGGGGTGAAGCCTCGGACGACCTCGAGATTCTCGACGAGCCCATGGGCTAGCTAGGGATGGTTTGGCGCATTTGTTGACTGTAGATTTTTTGTTATTGAAGAACTTTGCTTTTTGTATGCGGCCCATATCGCACATGGTGGAATGTGGACGCCAAAGTGCACAAAAGTAAATCGAATGTCAGCCTTAATCAGGCGTTGACGCGTTGACGACCACGATCCCACGAGCCGGTCGCCACGGCCACAGTCGCCGAACTGCAGTGCGTGCAGTGACAAGCTTGAAGGTTCTGCTAAGTTAAAGACTGGAAATTGGTGCGCATCGGTGCTGACATTTGCATTTTCAGATTTGGGAACGTTGCCAGACCTTACAACTCAAAGTTCCTTTTCTCTT